GACTTGGTGATCGTTGGTTGTCGTCGGCACGGAGCTTCCGCGTTACCATGCTCATAACTTGACCACCTGTAACAGCGTGAAGCATTTTGAGTTCATGAATCACAAGCAAAGGTTCCTCAGCCACGCGGTACTCGAGCAGCGCCAAATTGTCGGCCACGTACATGGCCAAGTTGACGTCTGATTCTGTACACGTCGTGCCCACGGTCACATCCATAAGACGGACCAATGCTTTGAGGAATGCGAGGCGTGCAGTTCGATACTCGCTAAGCATATCAAACCAGGTTTGGAGCAGAGCCTCGGCATGTTGCTCTCCGTCTCGATAACCACGCGGATGAGATGTCAAGCGACACTGAAATTGGAATGACGCTCTTACACATTCGCCGTATCTGGATGCAAGGAGCGACGCATGCTTCGACATCATATGTCGGTGAAGCTGAGCAGCGCGGCTCCGCAGAATGGGATCTTGACTTGTTTCCAGAGACACGAGATACGGTACCACCTGCATGGGATGAGACAAGCCTTGTAGTATGGATATGTTTAATATCTCACTTGCCGTCCGCTGGATTGGCGCAGACGTCACCTCCAACACGGCTTCGAGCACAGGCACTGAATAGCGTTGCAGCAGACCCGTCACCAAGCCAGCATCTGTATAAGAGCGGCCGGTCAGCTCGGCGACGACATCTGCTGATGACGCAGCAATTTGAGAAGTGCTCGCTGTGCTCGCGAAGTGTCCGATCGTTGATGCAGCGGCGATATTTGGCCTGAGAGCATCCATATCATGCTTCAACAATGCAAGCAACGAACGCAACACTAGGTACCGTTCTTGCAGCGAGCCATCGTGAAGAATACGCTCAAGTGTTGCTGAAAGCTCGGGATCAAGAAATTTGCGTGGGTACATGCTAAGAAGCGAGCCAAGCGCGATCAACAACGGGATATGGTGCTGAACGGCTCCCTGCCTGGTTGTTGTAGCATATAGGTCCATCAAATGTGAAAATACATCATCAAGACGAGTGGGCTGCTGAGCTGCTTCCCACGGGCCGTGCGCACACAACAAAGCCGTTAGACAAATCACAAGAGACGCGTTTGTATCCAAGGATTCAGCACGTATCGCAAAGAATCGGGTCAAGCACGAATGGTATGTGTGTTGCAGCAGCTCGTAATTGTGCGTTTGGAACGCAATGACTCGACAGAAACAAAGGACCAGTGCTTCTAAAGCAGACGTGCCTGGGTATAGCTTACAGCGCGACAGTGAATGTGTTAAGATCGCTTCCAAGCTCGTTGCGAACGCCCGGGCTGTCCGTGGCATGTGGCATACGCACGTGGGATAAATCCACAGTATATATCTTCCATGACCGCCACTTTAGCTGGCGTTTGTGCGCCCTCCAAATAAGGCAGCAACTGTTTTGCACGACTAATTGTCAGCACGTTGGGCTGTGTTTGACTCAGAAATGTGCACGACGCGCAGTTGATCAAGCATGGCCATTGGCTCCGTGTCACCGGCAAACAGTTGACTAATAAGTTCATCCACCAACTCGCCAAGTGCCAAAACTGAGGTAGTCTGTGCATCGTCGCCGCTTGTCTTATCCTTGTCGAGTCTGCGCATAAACTCTTCCAGCGGTGATGGTCGCTCTCGGATCCTCGTACATAGATCAGCAAAGAGTCGCGCCAAGACAGCAGGGCTTTCACGAGTCTTGTCACTAAACAGCATGACTGTCATGCACTCCAGTGCAAGTGACTGGACGGTAGGATCCATGTCATGCATGCAACGGAGCATTCGAAGCATGATCCTCAACTTTGCATCATAGTCAATCCGCAGCGAATACACGTCACGCATAAATCGAATCACCCGCTTGCGAACGGCAACAGCGGTATCCATGATACGCTCAGATACGTCTGCCAGATATACTGGAAGCTTCGCCGGCATGTACAACAAATAATTTGCCAATAAAGACACACATACTTCCCGAACACTTGCACTTGTATCCGTGATATGCAAGGCAATGGTTTCGCGCACATGCTCATCATCCAGGAAGTCTGCATTTGCATCCGCCACATACCCAAGTCCACGTAGCGCGCGCAGTCGTACGGACAACACAGACGAATTTGCGCATTGTAGCAACGGCGCGACGAGAAACGAAAACGATACGAAGTAAGTGCTCTGAAGCACCAGCCACATGATCAAATGTGAATCAGCCACCTGCACAGGGCCATCATTCCGATCCATCTGCTGTGCGCAAGTTGCAATCGCATGCTGGAACAAAGCAATGGCTGGGTCTTCTGTCTTGTCAGAATCCCCGACATTCGCAGCAACTTGCGTGTTGTTTTGGAAGCCACTGCTTTTGCAGGATCGCATTGCGAGCGCAAGGTCATAGAGGAACTGTGCACGATGAAATCGAATGGCCGCTAGGATGGACGGATCTTGTTTGTTTCGAGTACTGAGTCGTTGTATGAGGCTCGAATGCGCTTGCTGCGTCTGTCGCAGTGCATCCACGTCGAGACATGCGCATATAATCGACATGGTCGGCGGGCAAGCTTGGCTCTTTCTTGGACGTGGCTGTTTTTCAGCACGTCGAATACGTGCAGCGACAATGCCCAAAAGATCGAGTGCCATTGCCTTGGCTTCTAGAGCACCTTTGGCTTCATGTAGCACGTTGACCAACAAGCGCATGAAGCATGATAAAAGCATGGGCGCAGCCGGCCATTCAGGAAGAAAAACGAGCGCCAGCGTGTCTTCAACAATTGCATACACGATAGCTGCATAGCTCATTTCGGTAGAGTTCTTTCCTGCTTTATCCTCTGCTACTCGCTGTACAAGGAATGCCGCAATGCTACTAGCCAGTGCATGCACGGACTCGTGATTGGTTTGGCTCGGCGGTTTGTCTTGCGTTTCCCTGACATCAGCGTCTACGAACCACGCAAGACTTTGTTCACAAGAAGCGGGCGACTCGTACGCTGCAGCCTGGACAAGCTGGAGTAAGAGAGCTGTTATAACATAAATGCGTTGACCGCCTCCAAGGCGAAAGTGCCTCTTCCTGTGCCGAAGGTCCGGCAATTGTTGTAAAGAAATAAGTATCTCGCTTAGCACCCATGATCGCTGCGTCGGATAGAACACGAACAAGTTGCGCAGTATATGCAGACACGAAAGCCGGAGGGGACGCAATACATGCGCATGAGTAAAGGAAGAGTCATTGGTTTGTTTTTTCGTTGTGGTGGTCATGGATCCACGGTCCTGTGCAAATAGCGGAGCTAAAGCGAGAAAGACGCACCGAGTCATAAGGGTTTCAGGTACCGAGACACTGCTGAGGCAGTATAGCGGCTCTAGGAGAGACATGGTCGAGCAAACATGGTGCAGATGAATGTCAAGTTCTGCGACAAGACTTGCTGGCGCGGAGCCCTGAATCAAATGAAATGCGAGGCCTGCTGGCACAGGATTCGAACATGCATCAACTAGAGGAAGAACCAATGCTTCAAGCGCGGGTTTCAGTATATCAAGGCAGCGTTCAAGCAGCTCTTCTGAAAACAAGAATTTGGGCAGCTGTTCAAAACCCAACACAATCAAACAACACTTTGCACAGAGTAACAGCGAGACGGAATCACGCACCTGAGCTTCTAAGGACGCAAAGTCCAAATCAAGACGAAGTTCTGCGCGCTGACTCTGTTGCCGCATCGTCGTTTCCAGCAAATGCAAAGAGCGAGAGAGCAAATGCGCATCGATATCCAGCAATGTGCGTGGTGTACTGTCCATAGACATCATGCCAGAGGTAAGAGCTTTCTCTGTATCGCGGGCACAGCGGCGGAACAACCCATACAGCTGGGTGATCGATGTGTGCTGCATCACCACCTCTGTATCGACCCGCATCACATGAGTACCCTGCGGAGTGTCGAGACCACAGTCCTGTACGTCCAGATCCACAGCTTCTAGAAACTGGATGAGCAACTGTGTTGACGTCCATGTTGCCCGTACAGACTCATGCGGTGGGACGGGCGATGAAGGTGGAGCATCTGAAGTGAGCAAGAGTGATTCTTCCGAATACAGCTGCGAATCATCCAAGTCCCAGCCCGAGTCACCGTCCAGCGAGAAAGGTTCACTTGTGGAAAGGCAAGTAAATTTGGACGGTGGCGAACTGCGCACGTCAATTTCATTCAAAGCGCGCTTGTGTTTATTCCCGATTGACTTTTCGGCTTCGCTCAATAGGCCAGGTCGTAGTCGACTAGGCATATCATCAGCTAGGGCTTCGTACGCCTCCAGCGAAAGAGTCTTGTCCGCTTCGTCATCATCACTGGTTGGTACGGCCGGAAGCGACGATCCTGTTGACGATGGCCATCCGGGATCAGTGGTCATTAATTTCACGAGGATAGAGTTCCTGGGTGGCGTGGTAAAGCGTGTCACTTTTTACAAGTTTTCACTCTGGAAAGTAGGAATTACGAATGACAAAATCAAGATTCTTGATCGAGTGCCACTACTATGGAAGAAGGGATGGATATTCGTGTCATCCGACCAAGCTAGCTCCACATCCTTGTCTGGATCGGCCACATTGCCATGGTGACTGACCCTATGGCGATAGACCCATCAACTAGTTCAGCGGCGAGCAGGTATGATCAGGTTGCTGAGCAAGATGAGTCACCTATGGAAGAGGTGATTCACATTCACGGTACGGAAGAAAATCAGCACATGCAGTTGGTCGGTAATGGATCCACTTCTGAAGAAGACGACTTTGATCACGGTCTGGTTCGTGTGTGGGATGAAGATAGCGATGACGATGAACATGACGCATCACGAAGCACGAATCATTCTGTGATTCCAAGTTTCCATTTAGGTGGTCGTCTTCATAGTTCGCATCGGCCTGAATTCCCCTCCATACAGAACTGGTGGCGAACGCTCTTGATCGGTTCTGCTGCTCCCGGTACACTGTCCACAGGCCATGTCGCGATCAATTTGTTTTCATCGGGTCTTCATCCTGGTGTCCTTCTGGCCATGCCAGTATATTTTTGCAAGTCTGAGGTCGTGCCTGGCATGATTGTCCTGACACTCGTGGCATTACTCGGTATTTTTGGTGGGGGTCTTTGGGTAGCGCTCGGGCGCTATGTTGGTGGCCATACAATTGAATCCATCACAAGCAAAGCATTTGGCATGAATACGCGATGGAAGCGAAATATCGGTCATGGTATTAGTAGCGTTGCGCTGGTGATGTATTGCACAGGCGCGGCTGTCATCGCTTATCACGCCATGACAGACTTGCTACTCCAAGTCTTCTTCCACTACACGGCCAAAGGTCAGCTCCTACATGACCGTGCTTTTGTCACGCTTGCCATTGGCGGTGCACTGACGCTCCCGCTCCTTCTCTCTTCTACACCCAAACGCAACATGTTTCAAATTCAGTCGTGGGCTGTGCTTCTGTCGTACCCTGCCATCATTGGCATTCTCTTAGCGCGGATCAATGACTGGAATCTGCCAGGGCTCCAAAAAACATCTCTGAGTGATCGTTTCTCTGGCGATCCCACTCTTCTTGTGCCCCAGCCACACCTGAGCGACTATTCGTGGCCTTGGGCTAGCACTGCGATGCTCCCTTTGCTAACACTAAGTGCTTCCCCCGCGCAGATCCTAGCACACAATCGCAGCTTGAAGCGCAAGAATGCGTATGAATCGAACGTGCTTTCGTTTCTATTTGCTCAATTTATTCAGATTGCCCTCATCATCGGGACTACCTACGTTGTCGGCGTCGAAATTGGCACACTCGGTTCATCCAAGTTCCTTGGCGGATTGCATGCGAATTTTTTTAATGCGCTCCCACTTGATGACGATTACGTGAATACGGCTAGAGTTTTGTTCGCGATTCTTCTTGCTGCGCATTTGACTGTGTGCTTAGCATCCGCACGCTCGTGCTGGAGTCGTCTCTTGAACTTGCTGAATCTCAATCCTCTAGGCGCCATGACTCCACCGACGCCTCAAATTGTGTCTCGTCGCATGCCGCAACGACATCGGAGCTCGTCTTTGTTCTTTAGCCCTGCATGGTTGCCTTCCAATTGGTATAGCCCATCAGTCCCGTCATCTGAAGCGACGTACGCTTGAGTTTGTGAGATGGAAGCGATATAAATTCATTCGCGATACTCTAGCAGGGCTTGTGTTGTGGTCGGTCACTGCATTTACTGCCTTCTTCTCGGGCGTAGGTGGATTTTTCCGTCTAAGTGAAAAAGAGGGCGAGGAACTGCGCTTCTTGCGGTCCGTCGAGTACATCGGGATTTTAGGCGCCATTGTCGGTTATGTCCTCCCTGCCATGAATTGGCTCGTTCTATTCAAGATTCGAAAGCCACGCGCGATTCTTCTTCTTCAAAGCAAATCGATGCGCCGGCGCATTAGTCGTTATTTGCTTTCACCATTGAGCGCATTGATCAGCAAGTCATCTCACCCTCCGCCTTCCGAGATCGAACCTCTACTTTCTGAAAGTGGGAACCCATTAGTTGATGAACATGGTCATGCAACGCACTCTACGAACATTAGTTTGCCGAATCATATGAACGAGCATTCAGCAAACAATTGTGACGATGCCACCTTGATCCTGCTCGCACGGAAGGAACGTGAGCTCCAGAAAAAATCACGCGATCGTCGTCGAATGCAGGAGCTTGTGGTGGTAGTTGCCCTTCTACCGTTTGGATTATTCCTTGTTGGAGCTGCGTTGGTCGAATTGCTCGAGGGCAGTTACTAATTGGATGAGCACTTTTTATACCTATGTATAATGAACGTAAATAATGTTATTTATGAATGGATTGCCTTTGAAAGTAAAGTCACGCACATGTATATGAGTGAATACCCGTGCGCTTTCTGGCTTTGGGAACGGGACATGGAGGATTAGAAAAAAAGGGTGTGAGAAAAATGTCTAAAGTTATGGTGTAGATGTTTGAAAATTGTTTGTCACATCGTGCACTTGTTTTTCCAATTGCGTGATGGCAGCCACAAGCAGCCCAATTTGATCACGCGCTTCCGCAAGAGTCTCTGGCTCGTGCTGTACAGTGTGGAAGATGCGCGCCTCGCTAATAGCAGCTGGTGTTTCGACAAAAACAGGTTCAGGATTAGATGCACTTCGAAAATGCTGCCATTTGCCAGTCGTCACCAGCTGGCCAAAGCTTGTATTGCATTGCTGCAATAGGAGCACGAATGGAAAAAATACATGCGTTGAGAAAATCATCACTTGAAACACTGTCAGTCCCATGGCTTCTCCAATCCATGAGCCCCAACGTTCGTCCGTCAAAAACCTCATTTGCACGATAAACAAACATGCTTGGAGAAGTAAAGACCACTGTGCGAGTCAGTAAGTTGATGAATCAACGCACCATGCTGCCAATTGACATAGATCTCGATGACCAGTTCCGGAATTGCAGCACTGCAGCGATGAGTTGTTGGAACAGCATGGTAATGTGCTGATACAAGTGCTCCTTCAGACCACGATGCATGAACTCGGAAGGTGTGCTAAGCATTTCCCAAGCAAGAATTTTGGGCCCGAATCTGTTATAAAGGAAACGCGAAGTAGGATCAGAAATAAGTGAGTACTTTTCATGCAAGACTCGGAACACGTCACTTTGGTCCGGCCCGACCTTGTCTGGATGGTACATTTTGGCCAATTCACGGAACTGCCGCTTGATCGTCGAGTCGTTGGCTGTGACACTCACACCAAGGCTTTGGTACGCACTAGGACCCAAGCCTTGTATCAGCTGAAATATACAATACGTTACATATGCACATGCCAAGATCATCCGAGCCATCTCCCAGTGTGATCTAGCGGCCATCGAGCCGGATGTCGGCCTTTTCAAGCGCAACATAGCAAAGGGTATACCATAGGATAGCTCTAGAAATACCTTAGTTCCAATACGATCCAGGATATTCCATCCTCCAAATATGAGAAGCTGTGTCCCTACGATCTGAAGCAGACCCATCACGAAGCTTGTTGAGATTCGCTTAGTAGACCGGGAGTTCGCTGTCGCCCTGTGGAGAAGTGTCGCTTGCTCATAAACCGAGGTGTACGTGTGTGTCAATTGCACGTGGATTTGGAGGACTGAAAAAGGGAGATGGATAAACACCTTGTCATGCGTGAGCGACAGAGCAACAATTGGAACATTGATTGTCGCAAAAAGCCTAAGCGCTTTGATCGTGAGGCTAGCATTGTTTGCCTTCGCAAGAAACAGCATCGATGCACAACAGACGTGGGTCTGAGTTTGTGCGGATGCGGAGTGTTGATGTTAGTCATACGGGTGACCCAATTGAAGAGGCCTCAAATCGACAGGATGATGTTGAGCTAAGACTCTTGGATGAAGAGAACCATCGTGATACAGAGGCAGAAAAGCATCATCCTTTATCCTCGGAGGAGGAAGAAGACTCTCATCATCTTGTTCGTCAGGTAGTGCCTGAAACAGATAACCCTTTGTTGCCATCACTTACGTTAAGAGCAATCCTATTGGGGGGGCTTTTCACTGTGTTGGGCGCCGGCATGTCACAATTGTTTTTCTACAAGTCGAATGCTCCATCATTCAGCAGTTACTTTGTGATTCTTGTTACTCTCCCGCTTGGACGTTGGCTTGCTCGGCTGCTCCCTGAGCGCGATGTCAGTCTGTTTGGCTGGCGGTTCCCCTTGAATCCTGGGCCCTTCAGTGTCAAAGAGCATGTTCTTATTGCTGTCACGGTATCATCAGGAGCAACAAGTGCGTATGCATCCGACATCATCAACATTCAAGAACTCTTTTTCGGTGAACACATGTCAGCCCTACCGTCTATGACTCTGCTGATCACTACACAAATTATAGGCTTTGGTTTTGCCGGTCTGGTCTACAATTTGCTCGTGCGACCGCCATCTATGATATTTCCTGGCGCTCTTGTTACTGTGTCGTTATTCAACACTCTACATGACGACGAGTCCATCCTCACACAAAAGCGCATGCGCTTTTTCCTCATCACCTTCGTGGCAATCTTCCTGTACCAGTTTATCCCAACAACTCTATTCCCAACCCTGAGCAGCATCGCTGTCCTTTGCTATGTACACCGAAGTCGTATTGCTCAAATTCTGAGCTCGGGTTATAAAGGCTTTGGAATCCTGAATCTAAGTTTTGATTGGAATGTCCTCGGTACAAGTGGCCCGTTATTCACGCCTTGGTGGGCGGCACTTAATTTCTACGGTGGTCTGATAATCATGATGTATGTGATCATGCCTATCTTGTACTTTTCCAATTTTTGGAATGCCAAATTGTTTCCGTCAGTGCTTAGTTCGGCATTGTACAACACAACCTATCAAACATTTGATGTAAATGCAGTTCTACGATATGACAACACACTTGATGAGAGTGCTTGGAATGAAAAAAAGCCGATGCTCTTAACTCCATTCTTTGCTATTTCATATGGTATTAGTTTTGCCATGCTAACTAGTACCATTGTTCATGTGTTGTTATGGCATGGAAAGGAGATTACAAAAGCGTGATGGAACCCATTGTACTCCGACGTCCACAACCAACTAATGAAAGAATACCCGCTTGTGCCTCAGTCGTGGTATCTAGTCACGCTCATTGTCTCCTTGGGCAGTGCGATCATTCTCGTAATGACGACACCCTTACAGTTTCCCGTGTGGGGGCTTTTGTTGTCGGTTGGTATGTCCCTTTTTTTCCTCATTCCTATTGGTATCCTGAAAGCTGTGAGCGACACAGGTGTTGGCCTGAACGTAATTACAGAATTTGTGGCTGGATACTTGATTCCAGGCAAACCTATTGGCAATGTTTGCTGGAAGTGCTATGGATACATGAGTTGTGCCCAAGCTCTGGATATGATCGGTGATTTGAAACTTGCTCACTATATGAAAATCAATCCTAAACACATGTTCCTTGCCCAGCTTCTGGGCACAGTTATTGGGTGTGTTGTAAACTACATGGTCATTTGTGTGGTCCTCGCACCTCAGAATGGGTATCGTGCATTTCTCGATGGAAGTGTCACAGACCCAACAGGCCAGTGGGATGGGCGTAAGGTGCAAATCTTCCGTTCCGCCTCAATTATCTGGGGTGCCGTGGGTCCCGAGCGTTTTTTTTCCGGAAATTACAAGTACCTATACGGCGGCTTCATCTTGGGCGCACTGCTCCCGATTATTCCTTGGCTTCTTCATAAACGTCTTCAACGCCGCTCACTCAAAAAAATTCATGAGTCTGTTTACAGTCGCACCGTCGTCCCTATTTTCCTCCATGGGGCCATTGCTCCTCCGGCGACACCTACAAACATCATGTTGGGCGGCTTTGTGTGTGCGTTTGTTTCTCAAAAATGGATGCGTCAGAGGTATCCCCATTGGTTTAAAAAGTACAACTACGTTCTCTCTGCTGCCCTGGATGCTGGCTCATCTGTGAATGCATTGGTGGTCTTTTTCTTGTCCATCTCATTGTTTCGTTGGATTGGAACACCACACTTATTCGCATCGAATGACACGGATGTGGAGCATTGCAAAGTGGACTAAGCACAAGCCTATCTTGAATCTCCGTTTACCTAAATCTCACGCACCCCGCCCAACTAACTCTATCCCTGTCGGACTGATCAATTACATCAACACTCTCTTAGTGAATTGTACGCTTAGTAAAATGTCCAATGTTAAATATTCCGGGCCAGAGCTACTGGAGGAAATAAAGTGATTTTGCCACACGCACATCCCCACGATCTTCCATAAACGAGTGTATGCTATGGTGCATTGGGGCACTAAAGCTCGACAATCTATTCATGAACATGATATATACCACCTTTTTGGAAGAGATGGATCGGACGATAGTGACGGTGGTAATGGGGCGAGATTTGCGTCACCTTTCTTAACATTTGCTGTCGTTGCTATCGCTGTCATTGTGGCACTACTAGTTATGGTATTCACTCGTGTTGTATTTATTCAAAGGCGTGCAAATTTGGCTCAAATAGAGCCTACATCTGGACCTGTGATTTATCAAGAGCCTAAAGACTACGTGCCACCTATATTTGAGCGAAGACTCTCAGCCGCAGCGGATCTTGGCACGCACGCGTCATGGGACAATTTGCAACCCTTGTCTGTGGCCTTTGATCGAGACATTTCTGCGCATGTACGCTCATCAGAAAGCGTGCAAGAAATGACGACTAGCGCAGTTGGTCCTCAGCAGCCGCCTGCCGGCAGTGTTCAAGCGACATTTCTCGTTTCGCTTCCAACACCATCTATGAAGTTTCCTGCTCATTTGCGTCGCCGCGGTCCATCTCATGGTATGCAAACGAGCGAAATTGATGGATTAACATATGTGAATGCTCGAAATTCAACCGAGAAAAATACCACGATGGATATGTCTGATAACGTCACAGACAAGTTGCGGCGCTCAGCAAGTTTCCGAAGTGCATTATCAGGCAAGGAACTTGGGGATGCTCGAAGAGAAGCGTTCCTTAATCAAATGGAAATGACAGCCACAGGTGGTGTTCTACCGCGGCGGGTTCCATCTGTTCGCTCCAACTTATCCAGTACAAACCAAGCGGTCCTCGATCGTCATGATACTCTCACGCACGAGGACGACGAAGCCATAGGCTCGTTTGCACTTGGTTCTTTGGCTATGAATGTGAGGCAGACACTTGTCGAGAAGGCAGGATCACAAATTCCTTTAACAAGCGACGAACTGACAAATATTATTCATCATGCTCAGCTCGTTCGAAAAAATTACGTATCACAAGCTCAACAGTGACAGATTTATTTGTCTTACTTCAGATACCCCGCCTCGGCGTGATTGGCTTATAATTCTTTAGCATGCTTTCTTATGGCAAGTACTACAGTCCCCAGAGTCCTATGTTGTCGCATTATACCACATGTAGTTTCTAAGACCACGTACGATTCATAATTGATTCAATGGCCTTCTCCACATTGTCAGCAATCAGGGTGGGAGTGTGAGCTGGTGGTCCTTCAACATCACGGAACACGCCTGTGCGGACCAGAGCTGAGGACCAACCGAAGTTATTTGCACCTGTCATTAATTAGCCTGTGGTAATGCGTACCAAGGATATCGGAATACGGATTGTCACCGATCATCCAAACGTTTTCAGGCGGGATTTGCGCACATGAGTCTTCCGACGCAGATAGCAGCAACTCCTGAAGCAGGCCGTTGGCGTATTCGTATGTTGAAGTCTCTGGTTTGCCAAAAGTGTGCGCATTTAGCTGAATCCCATTGGTAACTCGCTGTTTGTAAGTCGTTAATAAGATACGCACATGAAAGACGGCTTCAAGAGCTGTACGAAAAGCACCTTGGCCAAGACGAGCGACAGAAAAGTCATTCCCCCACAACAAGTCGCCGTGCGAGAAGTATATTGGTATCGGCTTACGTGCACGAATCTCTTCGTTTGTAAGCACAGTTCCAAAAACACCGCCGTCTGAACGCATAAGGTCGACCGCGTACTGGATATCACGACCCCATTCACGACTGTCATGCAGCATAAAGATGGCCTCAAATGACACTTTGGAGAAATCCGCGTGCTTATGTGTAAGAATTATGATATGTTGCCCATCATGAATTACATACCCTAATGGCACACGCTTGGTCCTTTTTGGGCTCACCGTAGGGGAAAGAAGGTGGTGCAAATGCCTGAAGATCATGAGCAGTGTAAACTTGTGTGAAGCCATAGCTGGTTGTTAGTCATATGAAGAACTAGCATACCCTTCAAGAACCTGACGAGATGATCCAGGCGGATAGTCAGGCCCACCGAGCATCAAGATGGCCTTATCTTTGTATGTCTCAACCAAGGATTGCATTACAGTGTGTGCTTGGACCACCTGCTTTGGCAACACTTGCGTTTGAAAATCATTCGAGAGATCATTTGCACGCACCTTTTCATCCTTCCCACCACTGTTAGTAATGAAAAGGTACGGCACTTTCCTCTTCCAGGGATTCTCTCCTTCCAGGATGCGGATGGTTCGAATTGCCTCAGGTAAGACTTTGGGTCCTTGCTTTAGCACACCATCAATGTCAAAGGCAATAGCCAGCGGTGCATGATAGCGTGTTGATGTGATGAGGCGCCGGCCATTGGAAAATTTGAGCGGCGAACGCAGAATATTAGTCCGAAGCATATGCCACATGTCGATGATCGCACAATCAAGCGACTGGAAAAGGAGGACTCTTTGAAACGCGGTACGTTGTCTATTTCAGGGTCTAATACAATAATATTATGGCCACGCATTCCTCTGGCAAAATGTCGCTTTGCCGCGCGCACCCCGCGTAGCTGGGCAGCCGATGTTTATACACACCTCCATACACACGTGGCTAATTGGCGCGTGAGTTCGAACGATTTGAGAGTAGAGGAATCCGAATCTCTAGCTAGGTGTCGTTCGGACTGGAGACTAGCGGGAGCACAGACAGATTAGATCGCGTGTGAGTGTTCGTGCGAATACGATCTCGGTTCTTCCATATATCGGGGCAGTTTTCGCGCGCTTTCGTCTCAAAGAAAGCGAACATGTTGGGTTTAGGCACAGTTCTCTATGTGGCCTTGTTGCTCGTGAATAGCATTGCTATTCTCAACGAAGAAAGGTTTTTAAGCAGAAGTGAGTGATACCTCAATACTTACAAGCAGTTGGCTGGTCAACAAATCCTCGCTCATTGCATGGACTTGATGGTGCGGCTAGTGAATCGAGTGTAAAGCAACGCCTTATTCACCTCATTAGTGCAGTACGAGTGCTGCTGCGCAGTACGTATTTAAATCTATGCCTGTCTATGTGAAAACTGACAAACATGTCCTACAGTTCCTTTGATTGCTATCAACATTCTAGTGATCATTTATGAACTAATTCTTGGGTAAATAGCTGTTCTTCTTTATCTCTTCATTGCACGACATGCCTGTCGAAGTCTGTATTTGCGAACGAGTCTAGCAAAAATGCTTGGGTTGGAATTTTGGGCAAGTAGGGGCGGTGTACGACGGAAATATGTCTAGGCATTATCGGGCATCGCGTGAATGAATCGGGGAATGCCAAGCTATAGAGATCAACAGCAGAAACACGAGCCAACACCCGCGACGCCCAACACAAAGCCACGGTTTTTCGCATTTCCCAACACCTGAAGATCGCTGTGGAGCTATAAGCCCTTGTAGCTCGATCAAATTATCGTTGCCTTTATGCATAGTGGCAGTGCGGATTTGATGATCCGTCCGCACTTAAAAGCGTCTAGCTCAGATGGTCAATACACAAAGCCGTCCAAAAAGGAGCAGCGCAAGTTGCGGCGCCGAAGGCAGCTTGCCGCAGCACTGATTGAGGCAGACAATGATGATATCGAAAGGCGGGTGAACTATCTGACACAATACGATGCAGCATCGTCTGACATTCCAGCGCTGCTTTCAGTTGCAAAGTTTGCGACGCAAAGTGTTATGTTGTCCGCTGCTGCCACAGATCAAACCCAGGAGAATGACCGCCCTGTATATACATACCCGCTCAATACCATGCAAGAATTGTCGCGCAAATTTCTTGGTTTATCGGCGCAATGGGAAGGTGACGACTCGTCCCATGATGCCGCCAATGATGACTCACTCGTCGACTTATATGCTGACGAGGATTCAAAGCTTGGGCGCGTCGAAATTGGTCACCTTACATTTGGATCGCCCCTTACACACGTCTTGCATGATGTACAAGACATACAGACATCTTCAAACCAGGTTCAGGCATCAACCCCCGTACACTCCCCGCGGAGAACGAAGCCACCACATCTCAGCGCGTCCGTTTCGATGCCTCAACTGTCACAAAAGGCTTTAACCGATTCTCGAGGGGAGTTTCTTTTGCAACGGATCCAACATCTTCAAGAGCATCCAGAACCGACACCGAATCCAGACATCAGCACGTCGTCACAAGAAGATACGAGCGCGACATTCGAAGATGTAGGCTCAGCATCTTCTGAAAGACATCCAGCAAAGCATCGTACTTCTTCATTGTCACTAAGCTCAAAAGCATCCCTTTCAGGCATTCAACCAATTTCTGATTCTACTTTGTTCGAACAGAGAAATGCGCTTGGCATACAGCTCGGCTCTGACTCAGAGGCATTTTTCTCTTTTCGTCAACGTGTATTGAGAGGTAAAGAAGCCGCTCGGAATCCAAGCGGGCGGCGTCATTCTCTCTCTGTTTCAGGATGGCCAGGCGAGATGCATTCAGTTGCAGAAGAAGCTGGCTTTCTTTATGACAAACCACTCGATGGCCTCGAGCCAAATCCAGTGCAATTTGGTCAGCAAGAGCCACTTTCCGACATGGAAAATAAACACGACTCGTTGCACGAGGAAGGTGATAAACACTACGACGGCTCTCATGGTACTAACAACAATGACGGCAGCACCCACAATCACCAAAACAACCATGTTACATTACGCGCAAAACAGTGGGCTCAAAAATTCAATACATTCCGTTCCCTTGACAAGAAGCGCGCAAAACTCTCAAATGTACATACTGATCCATCCGACACAAAGCTTGCTGTGTCGTCGGAATATCCCCAACTTGACGGTCTTTCGCCTGTGCTCGACGTACCTGAAACCAGTGCGCCGAATTCAGCTGCGGTGTCTACTCCTAAAGACGACGCATTAACAGGTGTTAGTCTTCATTCACCCATGACAAACCCGTATGATATGGCCTCGGACCGCGCACCGTCAAGTGCCAATACACTTCGACCGAATGAGCTGCTCTCCCCCTCAGCATCCTTGAGCTCATCGCCACCGTCTCCGTACCCGTCAGCCCCGCAATCATCTTCTCTTCAAGCACCGCCAAGCGCAGTTGAGCAGATGCCACTAATGAATGCTAAAGACAGCTCATTTGCGGCTGGAGAGCCAATCCAGGCATCTTCATCGTTCTATATGAACGATGCCAATACATTGAGGCATGGGCCATCGTGGATACCCACATACATCTGCATTCCAATGCCACTTGAAAATTTGCCGATTGATGTGCGTGATACTCAAACGGATGACGACGATAAGGCATTCTTTGCCCCTCATGGTGCGTTCATTCTGGAACGAGGAGTGATTCTTCCGTCTATCCAAAAAAATGCTGGCACTTATGGACCAGTGCAAGTCCCGGTCAATATAGGCCGCCGTGTGCTGCATCCATCCACGGCCTTGTTCCGAAATGTGCTTGTTCAACGAGACGACGAGCGCGAGGGTTGGGGTTGGGAACGACACACGAATGCATCGCGATATTTTGCTGATTTGCAAGCAGACGATGATGACTCCGACGATGAGCTACCTCTGATGGATGTAAGGATCCAGGCGCGTGATGAGTGGCTCGCACAAAAACGACAGCATCGCGAGCGCGTGCGACGTCGACAAGCGAAACGTGAGCGGCAGCGCCTTCGTGTGCAAGCACTCGAGAAAGGCGTCCATCCATCTGAATACGGCGTTTCAGAGCAATCGTCAGATGACGGCAACCAGAGTGGCTCGGATACGACGATAGACGATGGCGATGAGCTCAGTGAAGAGTCAGATCCTGAGCGTCCTTGGGTTGACGACAAACGGCCTGCAGGTCGCTTGTACGGAAGCAGCTTGATTGAAATGGCTATGCGCCAGAAACAAGAACAGCAGCAAACAGCAAGGTATTATGGCCGAGAGTCTATGTCGGCTAACCATATGTTCACCAACGACACAAAGGCACGTATGCAGCGTCTTTTTGGCGAAGTATCACTGTGGGATGAGGAAATGCAACGTCATCAAACTAGCAACCAGTCCCCCCCAGCTGTTGCAGGTACGAGTGTATCTATGGATGAGCCAGTAGAACCCATGCTCGAGCCGGGTGCTGCCTCAGCTATTGTTTATCCGGCGGCTGATGAGGTCCTTGTAATGGAAGAGGCAGCCCTTGACTGTGAAGACGATCATGTCGGTGACACATGGGATGATACTTCCTCGTCTTCATCTGTGTCGACATCCCAATCCCACAACCAAGACGAGCAACCAAGACAGAAACGATTAACATACCCTATTCGACGGATGGCACGTTATTCACGCAATGATCCAAACCGGCCGCGATGGTTAGAAAAAGGTGAGGATGACGTGCCTCTTGCTGCCCTTCGGGATGATGCGGAAAAATATTTTTCGTCCAGCGATGAAGACGTGGAACCTCTTGGAGCAAGGCATCCTCAGGCAGAAGTCATCGCAGAGAAAGAGGCATTGATTCGACGCCTTCAGGAGGAAAATGCACAAGCACGAATGCTCCTCTTGCGTTCTTCAATGCAAATGCATATGCCAATGCCATACATGCCGTGGATGATGCCTCCGTGGATGATGCCTTCCATTTCGTCGGAGGCCCATTCTTTGCTGGGTGACGATACTTTAGCAGCAACTGCTGCTGCTGCTACAGAACATGGCGAGCTGACTGATGATGTCCCTGTTTCATACATGTATGACCCAAATGTTCATGCACATGGCATGTATTCTGCAACACCAGCACCTGTCGCCTGGTCAGTTGATGACGCGCATGCAAGCGAATGAAATCTGAGTTGTGATGTGCTCTTATTGGAATCTATGACTGCAAGTAGTCAAAGAGTCAATATCGATACGTTGCCTGACAAGCGATGCACTACTTCTTTGCCCTAGACTTGAGTGGATTTACGCATTCCATCAACGTTCAATTTACAGACGCATCAGCTGTGACTTGGCCTCAAAACGAATCAATCATGATCGCATATAGTCAGCAGAAATATCACATCATCATAAAGAGCTGATCCTTAGCCTGCTGCATCATACGCAATGGTGAATGCTGACTTGATTTGTGCAACATGATATTCATAAGAGGGTGTCGTTCGTTCTGTGAAGGTACATTACCTACATGTGTGACGTTAATATAGGTTGGAATTATACGATAAGATCTTGGCTCTCGCCACACAAGACTTGGTTAAAAAATTTAACAAAGACACATACGTGACATTTGTAGCATGATTTGAAGTGAGTAGACTGCAGTGCCAGTCAAAGATGCGGAGGCTGGAAGGATCAATTTAATAAATATAATGATATCGGTGTAGTAAAAAGTCCGATTATTAGTTGACGATAATACTGTTGAGCACTGGTGCGATTGTGTCTTTTCCTTGCTTATCTAGTAATGTACGCCTTGAGAACCTTTTATGTGCCCTACACTCGTGAGCTGAAGTCGCCCTTTCGGAGGAAAGCGGGGACGACATCCAAGTCAGCATACATCAGCGAGGCTTGTCAGATTTCAGTGCCTAAACTCTTCATCCTCAAGTATGTCGAAATCCAGTTAACTTCTTGCCATTATCGTGTAATGATAGTAAATATCAAATCATTCGAACCAGAAGTTGAATTGACATAGTGATCTTCGCGATTCATGATGCCGCAGGTGCGCATAGACGCAACATGTCTACATGATGCCTAGACTCATCAGACAAGTTGGACGAGCCATACTCAAGGAGCTTTGGAATGTACGACATAATACGAACCTTTCCAGGCAGCTGGTGCTGTGTGACACGAGCACTTGTTGATGGTGTGACGAAAAATAATGTGTTGATCGTTGTTTGTTCATGAGGCATACATATAGGCAACACGCCGTAGCCCACATCGACTTTGGGTATGTACATGTAGTCACCATTGCCATCAGAACGGTCTTTGTCGGAATGTTCACAGTTCTCTGATTTGTGCCAAAAACCAAGCACGCCTAGAGGCTTCGGCACACGTACAGTCCCGCTTGTATGTGACGCACGAACGACGCGCATAAACACATCAGCGATTTGCTTACCGACAAAACAAATGACGCGTGGCCGATAACGCGCAATCTTCATGAGCAGCTCAGGTACTCCACGTTCCAGTTCAATACGAGTCAGTTGCTCGCTTCGTGCCGTCGGACGGTGTGCAAGATTCGTGAGACCCAGTCTGTACGGTTGCAATGTAGGAAATGTCATGTCTTGTGAGGGCGTGAGTCGCTCACTTGTCAGTCCTGCCATATGTATGCATGCGTAGAAATGGTTTGAACGGTGCGCGTAATGGCGACGTTGAGCACCTGACTCTGTTCCTGGATTGATACCACAAAACACAACTGATGTTCGTTAGTTTATTTTTCTTAACGAACCATCCAGGTTAGGTTTTATGTAGTCTGGGAGCCGCTGTCCTCCCGCAAAGTAAGGCGATATAATACGCGCCTCTGCAGAGATGGCTGTCTTGGATCGCGGCGCACGTCCCATAGGGGGTGTCCTTCAGAACAACTCAACCTACTGACGAGATCCAACGCGGTCTCCTCCAATGACAATGTAACACTCCACATTCACTTACGACGAGCAAGTGAATGTGGAGTGTCGTCATGCATGGTGAAAATCACCGACGCCTCGTAAGACTAGCAGTAATTGAGAAATTGACGATTGCCCCATATCTATCGATATGTTTTCGTCGAAAATTCTACGAACGACATGTCTTCGCTTCGTGCGCCGTGTGCATAAATGGATGTGCGTACAGTCAAAGCTTATAGCAGGCTCGATACGCAGGGACACGACAGTCGCACGACAGCACCTCTCAGCATCGTCGCTGCTCGTCCAGGATTTCTCGATGGACGCTTCGATGTCAAACCTGAACATTGTGAGTGCAGCACGCACACTAACTTGCGCAGTGAACCGTGCCGGCACTCTCCACGGTGGTGTAGTTATGACGTTGATTGACTCAGGTGGTTCACTTGTTGTGGCTACAAATGGCTACCGAAACACAGGCGTGTCAACAGACATGAATGGCACGTTCGTACGTCCTGCAGGCAGGGCTGGCGAACAGATCCGTGTTAAGAGTGAGATTATCGGCATGGGAAAGACCCTGGCATACACGCGCACAGAGCTGCGTGATCTTGAGTCTGACACGCTGTTGGGTATGTTGCACTTAATGGATCTCGATGATCGAGGCTGTCCACATGAAGCTATGTCTAACTCACGCAGCCTATGGAAGCCACACCAAGTACATCCGTGCAGGCACCAAAGCAACAGACAATGTCGTGTTTGACAAGACTGGCGATAACGTTGTGGATGGAAAAATGCCTGATGATGCCTAGGCTATTTAGAAGTACACGCTTCCTACCAGCCCTCCGTAGTCCACCGTCCGTTTCGTAGCACTTGCTGCGCTTTCAAAGAAGGAAGTTCCCAACCTTGCCCACCAGCTGCACCACCATCTTGGAGTGAGCCACCATAACGAGGGGTAATTAAAACGTCTCGCTTGAGCGCTGTGCCTTGCTGACCACGCTTGACGGCCTTCATCGCGGTGGTGAGAGCGGAAGGTCCTAGCGCTTCAGAGCTTTGTGAGAACGTGCAGAGAGAGCGGCCTAGTGTAGAGACCCAGGCCGGATTGATTTTTGTCACCATCTTGAGCCATTGTGTGCGAGGAGCCATATCGTCTTCCTTACCATCGTTCATGCTAGCTTCCTTTGGTGCGCTTTGGTGCACTTCGCCAAACACTAACCATTCAGGCGGTGGACGATGATAGAACACCGAGCTCATATGGATATACACAGGCCCATGAACACCCAGTGCCACGTATGGAATACGCCGTGTGCTGGCCATTTTTGCGCCCTGAGATGCTGGTGTTAATTCGGCCTCGGGTGCACCAACCACATCGGCACGGACAGCGACACGATCAATGTAGATAGATGCAAGAAGCTGTCGCAACACCTTTATCTGGACACTGTTCGGCGGAGGAAGTTGGGGGTCCTGCAAATGCTTTGTATCATCATCGGACAAGCCACTGAGATTTGCTATCACCAAGTGACTTAGTTGCGCGCGTAGTTTGTGTATCTCTTCCATGGCCTTCTGGCGCACAAAATGTGCGCGACAAAATGAGACAGACGCGCCAAATGCAGCTTCATGACTGTATGCACCAACTACGCTGAGCAGGCGGAACGCATCGCTAAGGCCATCGCCTAGAACGTCGAATTCGCGAAGGGCTTTGAAATAGGCTGCACGTGCCGCGCGCCGCTGCTCCTTTGCCTCTGCTTCGTCTTCCGCAGCATCATTCAGCGCCATGCCTGTAAGAGACAAGACACAGTCCTCACGCTCAAATACATCTCCAACACTCATAGCAGCCACAATAGCCACAGCATAAGGTAAACATGCATGTTGATGTCCTTGGGCGATGAGCTTAGCGTAGCGCGGCACCACAGGGAATAGAGACATAATTCTGCCAAGACTGGTAATGGATGCATTCGTGACACGCTTGTTCCCTGACATGGCATCTACATGTTCAAGAGCTCCAAGATGCACAAGTGTACGCTCTGCCTTCATCAGGGCATGCCGGTCAGGAGGTGTGGGAAATGGGAAGTTTGCCACATGATCGATATTCATCGACTTCATCTGAAGAACGAGGCCATCTACTGGTGTGCGTAGAATTTCAGGCTCACCAAACTCGCGAAATAGTTCCTCGTACAATGCAGAAGAGTACAGGCGGTAGCAGTGGCCCGGGCCAGTACGGCCTGCACGACCGGCTCGCTGAGCCGCGCTGGCCTTGCTGATCCATGTTACGTCGTACGATTGCACTTGACTGTGTGGATGAATGTGCCGTTCTTTTGCGCGACCGCAATCCACGACATATTTTATATGAGGGATTGTGATGGACGTCTCCGCCACGTTTGTAGCTACAACTACAAGTCGTGTATTGTCAGGCGCTCCATCAAACACACGCTGTTGTTCGGCAGTCGGCAAGAGTGAGTACAATGGAAGAATGTGCATAGGCGTCACAGATTCAGCCAGTTTCAACGTATTGGAATCCTCATCCTCATCCGTATCAAGAGCGTCATCGTCACTTTGAGTATCATGGTCCAACTCGTGATCGATCGCAGGTTCCTCGGATGTGCCGAGATTCATGTCTTCGGCTTCTGGTTCCACCACGCGTGAGGACATTGCTGAGCGACTCCGAGAATAAGCCTCTTCATCCGTGTGAGACTTGGTAAGAACATTGGCACTATATCGTTGCGCCAATTTGCGACAGACTGTTTGCACTTCCTGCTGACCCGTCATGAACACAAGAATACCGCCAGGTGGAAGTCGTGTGTGAATTTTGCTTGTTTTTTTTATCGCCTCGGTTACATAGTCCTGTTGGGTCCGACGATTGAAATGTATTGTTACGGGGTGCTGTCGTGCTCCGATATGAATCACAGGTGGTGGCGTTGAGAAGAGCGCCGTGTTCCTAGTAAAGTCACCCACACGCAGCGTTGCACTCATAATCACAAGGCGTAAAGGTCTAGGAGCTTCTAGTCCTTTGCCACCATCGATCCAGCGTTTTTCTCGCAACTTCACGACGCGACTGAGCATGCCGATCAAAACGTCTGTGTTGACGCTTCGTTCGTGTGCTTCATCAACAATCACGACACTGTATTTAGAGAGAGTTAGGTCTTGGGCAAGTTCACGAAGTAAAACACCATCTGTCATAAACTTGATTTGAGTATGCGGGCTAGAAGTGGCATCGTAACGAATTTGATACGAAACGCGATGACTCGGTAACTGTAGTTCCTCGGCCACACGACGCGCCATACTTACGGCAGCAACGCGACGTGGCTGCGTCATCCCAATCAGACCTGGATTGGCTATATTGTGAGCATGCATGTTTCATTGCCTCATCATACATACCACTTCCGTGTGTTCCGAAACCAGCCTCATACAAAAACTGAGGCACTTGAGTCGTTTTACCGCTACCTGTCTCACCACATAAGACGGTCACAGGATTCTCAAGTACAGTTCGAAGGATCGAGTCCTCTTCGGACACGACAGGTAATTGCATGCGTGCCTCCTGAAGCTCTTGCGGACGCTCGACAATTACATGCCGAATAGGTTTTGTATCCCTTAGTGTGCTTAAGAATGCTTCTTCATCAAAGTACTGCTGCGTGAAGCTCGAACGAATCGATGGCATATCCTGACCCAGTGGACCACGAATTTTGCCATCTTGTGGTCCTAAATCACGCACGCGAACCACATGACCACCCACCGGCTCGAGGGTTCGGCCATCTTCATTGTCTTGGTTCGGTCGTGCAAGCTGAAGAGCCTCCATCGCCCATTCTTTAAATCCGCGACTACGACTTGATTCACCAATTCCACGACGTTTGGGGGTCCGATCATGCGTCCCTTCAAAATCAATATTTCTCTGATGGTCATTCTCATTTTCCTCATCTTCATCGCTGCTATCCCCATCTTCTTCTTCTTCTTCTTCGTCCCAATCATCATTCTCATCATCATGACTTGGATCCGACTCGTCGTTCTCGCTACGGCCATGCTCCTCGTCCTCTTTCAATTTAGATGCACCAAGCCTCTTCTCAGCGGGGTGCTGAAGATTTGAGAGCATGTTCTCAGGAATGGCTTCTGAACCGGGAGGTAATAATCCACGCTGTCTCATAGCTTCTAAGAGCACAGCCTCTTCGTCCTCGTCGGTGTCGGGCTCTTCACTTTCCAGCTCGTCTGTGGCAACAGAGTCTGTGTCGTTTTCGTTATCGGTCATTTTCTCTTTACCTTTGTGCAACTTTCTGTTTTCAATCATTTTGTCCACATTATAGACACCTTCGGAAGAGGAAGTCTCGCTCTTTTCTTCGTCTTCATCGGAGTCAAAGCTGCTGTCTGTATCTTGACTTTGCTGATTAACGTTAGATTTTCCTCGCACAATTCTTTCCATAATGGACAGGTTGCTTCGATCTTGAACTTGGCGTTTCCTTTGTCTTTTTCGAATCACCGGCTGCATGGGATGATCGTCGGTTCCCCTAGCTAAAGCTGAACCAACCTGCACAGGAGGTTCCGATGTAGGTATGGCTTCTTTTTTCTCGAACTTTTTGACGGCATCAAGAATGCGTCGCTGGCGTTCATCATTTTCTGTATATTCATGAACCTGACTGAATGTCTCACTCGTGACTTGATCGTCATCGTTGTCATCCATTGCGTCGAGGTCCTCGTCAAGATCGTCTTCATGGATGGTCATGGCAGCGGAGCGCGCTCGCTTCGGCCTTACTATCCTGCGCACCCAACAATTTATTCACACGTTCAATTTCCTTGTTAACACGACCAGTACCAAGAGTGGGGGGGCTGACAAGCTCATTTCGGGCGCTAATGTGGGCAGACGACTTGGCGAGCTTCTCAAGAACACGTGCCTTTTCATCCTTTCGCAGCTTGGCTTCAATGAACTTGTCCAGGCGCTTTCTTTTTTTCGACGAAATCTTCATGGTTTCGTCATTACCGCCTTCGCGAAGTAGCTCACGGCGCTGTCGATCCTGTTGGGCCAGTGCTTCTCGTGTCGCGTCGTCGATGATCTGTGCATTAGCATCGGCTTCAATTATTTGGCGCTGCCGCATAGACTTTTTTCCTTTATGTGAGGAACCACCCACGCTGGAACTCCGCGCTTTGGCATTGTATCGCTGATAGCGCTTAGGTCCCATGATGGGTTGGGCGAACAGATCCCCCTAGCTGCCGACGTGTGTAAAAGACGTTATCGTCTAGTGGAGGAATTGGCCGCATCTCAAAAAATTAATTTTCTCTCCGGTAGGCTGAAGCTTCCCTGTCTGGAAGCGGGAGGGGGAAGTTGAGAGGCTTACTGTCCAAATTGAAAATAAAGCTACAAGGGCATAAGAAAGTAACTAAACAGGGGGAACAAAGTCATTGATGCGATCTGGACGTTAGGGACTACGCATAAACAGAGATTACAATGAATGGCAGGGACAAGAGGACGAAGAACGTACCACGTGCATTCTGAGCGATGCATTCGGCGATCCAGCAAATAGACCGAATTTCCTGCTCTTTCAGTTTGAGCCAAGAATAAAAAATGCCATATTGAAATTGTGTCATGGTGAGGAGACGATTTACTGACGTGTAAGAGTTTGATATTGTCTGGAAGAAGGTAGGGTGTCATCAAAATACGTACGTTCGACTTCATATTCAAACATTTTGTCTTCAAGTGTTTCAAAAGAAGCATCAGCCGACCCAATGGCACCAACACTGCTGTCATCGAACAAGCGGCGGTATTCTGGTACAGACTCAACAATGGTCTTCACTTGATCAAGTTCGTCAGCCTTAGCAAGCGCATTGTTGCCAGCAGGGAATAGTTTGCCAAAACTTGGGAAAAGTCTTGCACGTTCCGTCTTGCTCAGCAAAGTGCCGAACGAGTTGATTGTGATATTGATGGTGCGTCGGTCAGCCTCGAATGCCAAAAGTTCATTCATGCTTTCAGCTGTCGGTCCGCCGATCGAGTTGCAAAAAGCTGCAAAGTCTTCAAGGTATGCTTTGTACAGCTTGTTCCGAATGATTTCAATATTAAGGTCATCCAAGTCCGATGACGAGAAGCAGTCGCGGAAATACGGCGAGAGAGGCGTTTCAACCAACACGGTCCGGTAGAGTTCCTCGACATTTGTTGCGACGCAAAGTGCTGGAAGCGTATCAAACCAGCCAAGGGGGTGACAACGGTCAAGTAGCTCATGCGTGTCGCGACCATGCAGCGTGCCTGTGATCAGTAGGATGACATTATCGATCATGTACGAGTATGTCAGGTAGTCAAGGAACCTGCTGAGCGGCTCGACAGCATTGTTGCGAAGGTATTCAAACTCGGCAACAAGTTTGTTCGTCGCGCGCTGTGAAATGGCGGATGTTGCGAGTGGCGATGGCTCGTTCGCAAGAAAGTTGCCATAGTCTGTCGCTGACAGCTGCATACGTAGATCTTCCAGATTCTCACACTGCGTGAGAGCCTGGTAGTTCGACGGCGTCAGCATCGAATTCTTGTATCCTCGGACAATGCCCTCTAAATAGCCGCCATTGATGTTGAACGAAAGCGCTTCCATATTAGCGTCGACGACGGTCGTCACGTCTCAAGTTATCTCCACGCTCGACTCGACGGACAGACTTGACGTCCATCTGACCAACGGCCCCAATCCACTAGGGCCAACACAGGCGCCCAGAGCAAGCTGAGCGACAGGCCACCCGTGGTGCACGTGGTTTCGGCCGAATAGGTATGGATAAAATTTGTGCGCGTGCGTGGAAGTGCGTGTTAGCGTGTAAGTTGCGTTGATCGATCGCCACGCCGTGTTGTTGGGCGACGCGTAAGACACGCGTCGCATGGTGTTCATAGTAAAGCTACCTGTTAAAAAGTCGGCAGGAACCAGCAACCAGGATAATGTTGACACAAAGTCCATCTCACCGAATACTCAAACTACCAGTGGTGCAGAAGGAGGCATATTAACGCATGTATCAGAGCAGTCACTCGAACCATTACCACCGACAAATATCAAAACAGACACCACGAACTCTCCTGTTATAGCTGAGCAAGTGCTGTCGACTTCATCTTCTAATCTTGATGTTCTACTAGCTCCATCTGTCTTGCGGCATCGTTATGTTCGTGGTGTGGACAAGTCAAACATAGTGGAGCGACCTGAACGAATACGTGCCGTTTTGTTGGGCATCGCTGGCGTTTATGCTATGAGCACAAAACTGTCAGGGACTTCGCGTTTGCCACAGGACATACTCACCACCAAACTCTCAAGTATGACAATGCAGGAGCACGAGAGTCATTTGCGTGTGTTTGTTTCGTCGCGAGTTTTAAGCCTAGATGAGCCAGAGCCCGCTTTGAGTGATATTCATGCCCATGCTAGTGAGCCAGCCTCATATTCGACGCAGACAGACTATATGCCGGATCCAGAAACTCTCAGTATCCCCGACATCCATCTAGCGCGGCTGTCTTTATTAGCAACAAAGGCGCCCCACAATCCGCCAGGATCCTTACCTCGCTCAACACCCTCAGACCATCTTTCAGATGCTACATCCAGCGATGGCGAAGGTGATGAGCGTATGCATGCCTCAGAAATACCTGATACATTACCGCAAGGTGATTTGTATTTGTGTGGTCCGCATGAGAGCGAGGTGAGAGACACACAGGATGGTGGCTCAAGAGAAGCTATTGGGCATGCACTGGGTGCATGCGTAGAGGCAGTTGACCGCGTCGTTGCTGCAGCTTCCGTTGCAGATAGGATCGGGACTGAAATTCCGCGCGAGTCTCCGTATCTGACATCGCAACAGCTCTTCCCTATTCAGGCAGGTTTGTCCGATATACCCCCCAGTCGATGGACAGAACACACGCCAGCCAAACGGGCGTTTGTCTTATCGCGACCGCCGGGACATCACTGTAGTGGCGCTGATCCCTCCGGTTTCTGTTGGGTGAACAATGCGATGGTGGCAGCAGCACATGCGTATCGTGCACATTCAATCGACCGCGTGGTGATTCTAGATATTGACCTGCACCATGGAAATGGCACGCAAGCCTTGGCTTGGCGAAGAAATGCCGATGCTGCCGCGTCAGACTCCCAGCGACAAGCACGGCTTCAATCTATGATGCGAAGTATGCAGCGGACTGGTTCCGCCGCATCGCGACAAGCAGCGCGGGTGGCAGATGCTACTCGCACGCGTTGGGAACGATTGCTGCACGAAGAGTCACTCGTCGGACCACGTGCTCAGCGTCTTTTTTACGGAAGTCTTCACGATATTGAGAGCTTCCCATGTGAGAATGGGGATGCCGAGCTGATCCGTAATGCAAGTGTATGCCTTGGAGGAGCTCATGGACAATGGATTTGGAATGGTACGTATGAGAATGCATGCGCGACAGGCTAGGATGCTGCATCCCTGCTTCCTCTTGCTTACTGATGTTTTTTGGCGAGATGTAAGCTGGGCAGCAGCTCGCTAGTAAAAGGTCTGAAGGAGCTGCTGGTGTTAGCGGCACCTTGCGACGACCCGAAACAGATATCTGAGCACCTGTTGTCTCGCGCCCTCTCTGCCACTGAGTTTGATGCAACAATGCGCTAACCGCAGTGCACCTTGAAACACATCGCGACGATGCTGAGTTTCAGCACTTGTACACTACGAAGTATCACCAGTTGCTGGAACAAGCGCGCCGATTCGTACGTGAGACGGATGCGCATCCGAAACGCACCCTAGTCATGATTTCTTGTGGCTTTGATGCGTGTACATACGAGTATCCAGGTATGCAACGACATGGAAAGCATGTACCGCCGCAGTTTTATGCGCGCTTTGCTAAAGATGCAGCCGCCCTTGCCGACGAATGCGCCGAAGGCAAACTGGTGAGTATCCTAGAAGGAGGCTACTCGGATCGAGCCTTGACGTCTGGCGCACTAGCCCATCTGGGAGCATTGGCTGAAATGCCTTGGTGTACTGATACATATCCACGCACACAAGCGCCATGGAGTCTGGACAATGTGACGCAGTTACAAAAAATGGCAAAGCGTGTTTTACACGCAAGTAAGTCACATGTGACCGCAAGTGCGCGGCGACGAAACACGACCAACCACCCTGCATGGCTAATTCGAGCCTCAGAGCACTTTGCATCGTTCCAGCGCGCATGTGGAATTCATGCGCGCCCACTCGAGATAATCAGCACGCCATCCACTCCACGAAAGTCTGTCACTCCGTGAGCTGGATGTGGATTTGCCAACGCCATCGGTCGAAACGTCCGGTGGGCATGTGCTGCGTGACCGCACTCTAAGGCGTACGCGTTCACAAACAGCTATGCTAGCAGAATCAACCTCTGGACGTGCACGCGCTCGTTCAAGGGTGCCTATGGAGCCCGTCCCGCCGGTACCAACGACACCTCTGCGTGTTGGTACCAGCAGTACTGATGTGAGCAGCGGCGTCATGAGCGAAACCTTTGCTACTTCTCAACACCAATTGAACGTTGTACCGAGTGCATTGCCTGTGGAACGTGAAGGACCCAACACACCTGTGCAGCAGAACGCGATCACAGAAGCCGATCAAAGTGATTTGTTGGACTTGCTGGGTCGCTTGCATTTACAGGAGCCACGTGCTATGTGACGACGGGAGCTAGGTGACGAATGTGGCTTGGCTCATGTCTCCTTAGTTGCTAGTCGCAGTAGACTACTTATTTTCGAGCGGATGTCTTTTTCATTCGTCGCTTTTTCTCGGCCTTGGGCATCTTGGTTTTGCGACGCTCTCGATTTTCTTCTTTGACTTGTTTTCTGTGATTCTGGATCGTTAGCACCAATTGAAAGCAAACAAAAACTTACTTTGCGCTCCTCACGCTCTTTGGAACGTTGTTCATCGGGTCCCACTTCTTGCTCTGACTCGCTCTTATTGACACCAGATTCGGCATCCTCAGCCTCGATGTCGCTCTCATCATAATAATCGACTTTATCAATCTGGTGTTCTTTCTGTTCGCTCTTTTGATAGACATCGTCCAGGCCCGTCACTCCCGAGTAAATTAGGCTGTGCACTTGACCAGATCGCACAATGTCTGCATCGCGCTCAGGATCAGCGATTTCATCCAAATTGCGTGGCAGATAACTTTGGCGAAAGACTGACTCCTCAGTCTCCTCTTTTTGGGCATCGTCCATTTGGTCTACGAGTGAGCTGACCAGCGAAGGACCAGTCTTAGATGATACGGCCGCAGCCGCCGTTTGCGCCGACTCTTTGGTGAAGTGTGCAAGTTCCTCTATCAGGGACTCTTCCGTCTCATTGTCATGCCATGATGCCGGTCTCTGCGTTGTGGAGGGGGCAAGTACAGTGCTTTGAATCTGCTCATCATTTTCATTGCTTTGAGTGAGTTTCTCGAGTCCAGCGACGCCTCCGCCGCGTGAACGTGTACTTTCCTTCACGATGAAGTGGAACGTCTGTCGCATGCCAAGGGTTTCGACGCCATGCTTGCTGAAGTATGCATCGATATGCGCAATATCCTCGCGCAGAAAGTCAAAAGCATGCAAGTGATCATGCTCCACTGATTGTGACACATCTATAAGCCATAGATGGTTATCATGCAGCAAGATATTATATTCACTCAGATCGGCATGCACGAGGCGGCATTGGTGGTACATAAGGCGCATGGTGGCAACGAGCTCGCGATACAAACGCGTCCAGTCTTCGGGTGCAATAAGGGCCTCGGCATCCTTCAGCCGCGGACTAGACCAACCGTCGTCATCCCCGAGAAACTCCATTACCAGAACGTGGTCCCGGAGTTCAACAGGTGCGGGTGCCCGAAGTCCTGCATTCACAAGGCGTTTGAGGTTTCGCATCTCCTTTTCTGCCCAGAGCCGCACCATTTTTCGCGGATTATGTCTGGCATAACCATGGCGGAAGCGGAATTCACCCGACACATATCGATCGCGGTCCTTAAACACAAGAATACTAGTTTTGTATATTTTGATCGCCACACTTCTTGGCGGCTGCCCTGGTTCCAGTGGTGGACGTACCGCATAGTATACATTGGCTTCTTTGCCTGTGCTGATGCACCCATTTACCTCGGAAATGAGCTCGCGACGGATCATTTTAGACAAGATAAGAAGTGTACGCGGATCGAGCACTTGTTGGAGCGTCGCTCGATCGGCCTTGTCTTTTCGTCGATTCACCTCTAGTTTGTTCGTTTTGCGCGGGACACGCGCATCGACGCTGCCACCAGCAACACGCGATGGATCATATGCATCGTCAATATGGATGCGCGCTGTGTATTTCGACAGAGCAGCAATTTGTGCTGCTGTCTTACTAGAATGCATAGCTGCATCATCCGATGGCGCAGAATGATCGTGGCTCAATAGCCCGGCACCAATAGTCGAAGATGCTGCGGCACGTTCATGTGCAACCTTGGATGCACGTAGACGTGCTCGATTGACTGCTGGCATCGCTGTTTGAGCATCATTTGTAGGATTTTGCAAAGCCGTGGCCATCTGCCGAGCGCGGTTGTACTGCTTCGTGAAGTCTGAACATGGTAGGTGCATGAGTATAATGATCGAGCAAGGACATAACAACTACGCACCACCTCGAGCGATTTCCCAGTCTGCGTCGTCCACGGCACCGCGAGCCAGGAGGTCGTCCTCATCCTCGTCAGATTCATTCATAACGTCAGAATCAGACCATTCTTCAATATCATGAGTGTGTTCATCGAGATTCTGTGCCATAGGGTATGGGATTTGGCGTCAGGCAGGCACAGAGTGCGAGGGAATACAAAGGTGTTAGACACGCGTGTCAGGAATATGGATAAGAAGTACGCAAATGCCAAAATGTGTCCAAAAATTTCGTCGTGTAGATAAAATTAGACACGCCGACTGTGCCGTCAACGCAAAGTCTTTGCTATTGTGGAGCATGACACGTCCACAACTGCATAGCTGTAAAAAACTCGTCTTAATGCTGTGCAACCGTTGAAACAACTACGTTGGGACCTTATAAACAATGTAGGGTAGAAGTGCTTTATGAAACTTGGCGCGGGCCGCGTGGACCACGAACGTGGCTCTGTCGGGGGCGAACGGGTGTGGTGCCATGCATATCAGGCACGGCAGGCTGTGCGCTCGCCTGCGTGGACGGTGTTGGTTCAGGTGCTACCTCTGGCATTTCCAAAGAAGAATCAGGATCAGAAGCAAGGTTCAAAGACGATGTGGAAGCGGCAGCAGAAGTAGTGGCTGCATCAGAAGCTGTCTCAAAAAGCTTCTGGCGTGCTTGGTGGACTTGGCTCGTGCCCGGAGAATCCATTTTGGGAGGCGGTGCAGGTGCCTCAGATATGCGTATCGGCGTGGGAGTGGTCATGCTGGCCATAATGTCAGGATGCTCGGTGCCTGAAGTCGTGTCAGGGGTATGATGATTCTGGCTCGGGCAACTAGGTTTCGTGGGTGTTTCAGAGGCCGTCGACTTCGTGCTGGCGGCGGGCCCAGCTTGAACCGGACTTACGTCAAGCTGCAAGTGATTGAGTGATAGAACGCGTCCGTTAGAGCCAACTGAACTGGCCCTCGATGCCGCACTGGATGTGCGAGAATGCGGTGCGGACGAGTGTCGAGACTCGATCTGAGTAAATCGGCGCTGGAGCATACCATTGGGCGGCGGGCCCAAACTTTGCAGAGAGCTGCGCTTAATGCGTTCATCAACAAGCATGCTGCGATGTCGAAGGAGGGGCGACTGCCGGTATGGACTGAGTCCTTTCATATCCGACTCTTTGGCTTTTTGGCGCATCAATGGAGGGAGAAGCACCTCGTAATGCTTGACCAAATCTCGCAGAAGCAACGCAGGGTAATCGGAGAACACGAGTGACGGTAAGGTGCTGTTCGGTCGCAATACAGCACGGCCTATGGCCAGACCCAGCTTCGACAGGTACACATCTTCCGGTTCTTCTGTCGGGGTATTTTTCACGAGCTTGTAGAAGTGAGCGACGAGTGAATCGAGACATGTAAGATGCAGTTTTGGCAAGCGGCTCAGGACAGTGGAGAGCCCCTGTACAAGTGGCTCGACGAGTGCCCGATGCTCATGCTCATGCTCATGCTCACCCGCCTCCTTTCGTAGTGAGAGGAAACGAATGCGTGCTGCCTCATAAATCGTGACAACTTCATCCCATGCAGAATAAGGAAGGAGTGGCGAGTTCAATTCCAAGAGCCATAGTTTCACAGTGGCGGCCAGTACAGGTGCATCAATGGTATCAAGCAGTTGATCAGGCGCCGTCGATTCGAACACGTTCATTCCACGGTTCTGATCGTAAAAGTCCGACAGACTTTCGCGAAGTTCGTGCACTTTTACAAGCGGTACATCATACAGCCAAATGCGTCGTTTCTCAGCATGAATGGTTTCATCGGTCGATACACCACTCTTAGGAATCCAGCGTGAACGCTCCGCATAGGAGCGCTGAAGCGCTGACAACAGCGCGTGGAACACAGGGGGCAATGTTGGCATTGTCAGCGATGACCCAGGCGCTGCAAGTGTTGTTGCCGTATGGGCTGACAAAGCTGCGCCTTTCGCTGCAGCCATCAAGTCCATGCCAAAGCCGCCATTCGTCATGCCTGCGACAGAGAACAGGTCGTCATGATAGTAAGGCTTGAAGACTACAGCCACCGGACGGAAAGGGCCGGTGCGGTAGTTCATGACGAGATGCTGGATGTGTACGGCAGGGTCCATAGGAGCTCGGTCGGTGCGACTCAGCTTGTCATCGTCAGTGACTCCGCTAAGGGCCCTCATTACCTGCTCCCAAGCAACAAGCACACGTTGTATAGCCACTGCTCGATCAAACTCCCACTTTTGTGAGAGTTTGTACTCATGAATCAATATTTCTTCTGCTCGGCAACGAAGCTTATCCTGAAGCACTATTGCGTCTCGGTATGCCTTCTCCGCTGCCTCGGCTTCACGGCGCAGTCGGACATGCCGAGGCTCTGAGAGACCAGTGACAGCCGCACGCACCTGTGCCAACGCTTGCGAATCTTGCACGCGCTCCATGGTCAAGTTCCAGTATGAGGAGAAGCGCGACTTCTGGCGCTCATGCGGAGAAGTCTCATTGGTTTCAGATGGGTGGGACGACTCGGAAGGCTTGCGTGCCTTAAAGCCAAACTGCTGTCGCAATGTTTCACGCCGCTTGAGCTTCTGTGCTTCCGCCTCACTCAAAGAGGGGGACGCTGAGGCAACTGATTCAGCATGAGAAACGCCGCTTGCATCGGACGCCGTGGCTTGCTGCGCTGACTCTTGCGTTCCTTCTCGAATGGGTTCCTCATTGGCCTCCTGTTGGAGCTCCTGCTCACGCGCTGATGACGCAGGCGCCGGCCTCTCCATTTCTTTCTCGCCAGTTTCGTCCGTGGCAGTCATGATGACGGATGTCTCAGGCATAGAAGCTACTCTCTGGCCAAGGGACAATCGTTTCATACTGGGTGACGAGTCTTTCGTGTTTCGCGGCCCATTGGTCACAGCATTTACATGTGGGCCAGGTGCAAAACGTGCATCATCTTCTGCCTCATCAGCATGCCAACAGCGCGCCTCATAGGAAGATTGTCGTTTCTTGACTTCATTCGTCTGGCGCTCCATCTCAGCCAGCGATGCGTCAATGAGCTGCCAGCTTTGCCGCACACGCTCAGCATGTGCAGCCGCCCATTTCCCAAATGGCTCAACAATCATAGATTCAAGCCTTTTGGCTACTTGGATGTGCCTAACTGCCTCGCCAGCCGTCGTGCTTTGGATCACGTCTCGCACCATTTGTGACGTTAGTGCATTGCTGTGCAGGTAACCAGTGCGAGCGTCGTCAACTGACCCAGGAAACATCGTGTCCGAGATGCACGGGACAATGGGACCTTGAGAAAGCGCGCGCGCATACGCATACTCACTGTCTACACGGTGCTGGATCGATGCAAGCACAGATTCATTTTCGTCCAGACCTTCTTGCAGTCGAGAGTACAAAACAATCGCGCCCTTCCTGTACTCAGGAAATGTCCAAAAGGACGCAGCAAATGTGGGTGGATATGTGATGCCTAGCTTTGGCGACGCCGTCATCGCCTGTCGTCTTGCAGCTTTGAGCAAGAGGCCGACTGACTCGTAGTGTCGTCGGCGTCCGGCGTCGAGAATAGGGGGGCGCTCTTTTTGATGCGTGTCTTCTCCAGTCTGCCCCACCATGGCTCCGAACATGTGGCAACCACGTGGCTACGATCGAAGACCTTGAGCTCTTTTGTGGTGCCGCACCAAAAACGTCCAAGGTCGTTTACGTCGGTCGGTTGTCGGTCGCGTGGAGACAGCAAATAGGTTCGTGTTCTGTCGTAAGCACTGCTGCTGCTGCCGCTGCTGTTGTTGTCGACGACGACGCAAACTGTGAATGACTATGTCGAGTGCGATGCCAAATACATCGCTGTATGTCAAGAATATTAATTCGAAAGTGAAGAAACCTGGTATGTATCGATCTGCTATAGAATCAGGAACATTGACTCTTGCAGAGCTTCGCCGACAGCTGTACAGCTTGTTTGGGAGCTATGGCAAAGTCTTGGATGTTGTAGCAACACGTGCAGATGGCATGCGCGGCCAGGCATTTGTTGTGTTCCGCGATCTACAGAGCGCGACAGCAGCATTACGTGCGCTTGATGGATTTGAATTCTATGAAAAACCTTTGGTACGTGCCCGACAATGCTGACCATGAACTAGAAGCTGGAGTATGCACGAACACGCTCCAAGGCAACGGTAGTTGCTGAGCATGGCGAAGAAGCGCTGCTTCGACCGGACCTCATATATAAAAATGCCGATGGCACAGCTATTGGTGGGCGGGTAACATTCTCCAATGCTCAGGGTGACGCGCAGGCTCAAGAGCGGAAACGTCTGCGAGATGAATCGGGTTCATCCATTGCTCCAACAAACTCGGCTGTCGAGCCTCTGCACGGCAATTCCAACGCAACTGACGTGAGGCCGTCGAAAGCGGCCCGTACTGAGCCAATCCCCGATTCTGAGAGTCATCATGCACAAATGCGCAACCAGAATGGAGTAGAAAAAGCTGACGATGACGATGATGACGATGACGGTATGTGTTTTTTCGGACATGGACTCATGCCAAGCAGCTATGGAAATTGGAGACTCAGACTCGGACGATTGAACATTATGGACCATGGCTCAACTCGTACCATGGATGTTGCTGTAAACACAATGGACTTTGTCGTTCTTTCCTGGAGAGCCCACCCCCATGATACCCACATACTCTTCGTCATTATGGAACGAGATAGTGTTCACGAAGCCTGTCATCTCACTGGATACTTTTGTCTGTCCGTAGGTCTTCACCCCATACTCTATGATACACATACGAAGTCATGCATCAATACACACAAACTCACGCCCGCACATCACCGGTTCGGGAGAAGACGCATTGCAAAACACTATGCATTTTTTCAGTCAGGTATTCAACTAGGACACCCATCGGGATCTCACCCCGTCAAGAGATACACTAGTACAGAGAGCGAGAAGAGGATCGATTGGAACTAGCCGGTATGATGAGAGCACATTTACTCATCGTCCTCGTCGTCATTGTCCTCGTCGTCGTCGTCGTCCTCATCCTCCTCATCCTCCTCGCGCTGCGACTCAAGAACGGCAACAGCAATACGGTCGAGGTCACGCATGCCATCCTGCGAAATGATACGGCCGCCCTTGCTGCTGTGTTCCAGCACGCCAATAGCCTCAAGGCTCTGAAGAACCTTGCGCTGCACAGCGCCCGAAGCAGGGCTGTGGTGCGAGGGACGGAAGCCACGGTTCTTAGGGCCTCCATGCAGCTTGCAGAGCGAACCTACACCAACCGACTTGTGCAGGTAGACATGACGCGCAAGGGCAGCAGCGCGAATGTACCACCAGTCCGGATCGTAAGGGGCCTGCTCCTTGTAGGCACCCGTCTTGACAATGTCGACCCACGTCGGCATTTCAAGCTTACCTGTACACGTACGTTAGTACTCGTTCCAACGAGCATCCGTTTGAGTCGCTGGGCCGACCTGTATGCAAGCTGCTCCAAGAACCGGCGGTGTTGACATCACAGAAAATGCTGCTGCGACTCATCCACTCATACCAGGTGTGCACTTCAAGTGCAACGGCATGCACAATGTCGGCCCCAGGACAAAACTGTCTGCACACGTACCTGACCGCTTCAAGTGCTGAGCGTAAGCGTGAATGAATTGAGCGGCATCGACATCCTTGACGCTGCGAAAAGTTAGTACCTTGTCGTACAGCCGAGCGTCATCACGTACTTCGGCATGGTGACTCTATGTGAAGGTAAGCGTAGTGCACGTTGAGCTACGAAGAAGCCGCCGGCGCGCGCACGAAAAACGAGGGGCCGTCGAGGGAGCATGTGTCGTCGGCCGAACGTGGGTGGTTCGCGTGCGAAATTCAGTACGAACTATATTCACCAACATGTGACTATTATGCTTACATAAAATGAGGTGAGGTCCTGCAAGGCGTCAGTACGTTGGTCGCCGATAATGGTCGCCGAAATCGACGCACGTACCAGCTGAAGTCGCGGAATTCGGCTTGGTCCTCGGGTGAAAAGATGCTGTGAACGGGAGTGAGTGTAGGTTTCTCCCTAGTGAACTAGCCATGTGTTAGTAATTACGCGTCTGTACGAACCTCAGTATCGAACCACTCGGTGTCGCTCGCATGGCGCAGCGTCGGACAGAAAGGCGGAGTGATGCGTTTTTGGATGAGGGCATCCCAATTAATGTCGCGGAAGAATGGATGCGCCTTCACATCTTCGGCATCGTTGGGCCCAGCGCCAAGACGACGAGCGGGATCACGCGTAAGTAGGCGTTGCAATAGAGAAACGGAGTCGCGAGGCATCTGAATTGGATACAAAGGCTCGTCTTCCAAGATGGCGTCGAAGATCTCGTCCTCGTCGTCGCCGCGGAAGGGCGCCTGGCCCAAGAGCATTTCGTATAGCAATATGCCAAATGCCCACCAGTCCACAGCGCGTCCGTACCGCTGCTCAAGCAGGATCTCTGGAGCCATAAACTCGGGCGTGCCACAGAAGGTTGAGGTTGTGTTGCCGTACCACATGTTTTCCTTACACAAACCATAGTCAGCAATCTTGATATGTCCGTCCAGCGTTAGCATGATATTATCGAGCTTAAGATCACGGTATATGATGCCGTGTTTGTGGAAGTACTGGAGCGCTAGCAGCACTTCCGCCGCATAGAATTTTGCCCGATGCAAATTAAACTGCTCGCGCTGGATATGGAGCATCAAGTCGCCACCACTCACATACTCCATCACAAAGTACACACGAGTCTCTGTCTGAAAGCAAGAGTGCAGGTTGAGAAGAAATGGATGCTGTTCACGCGCCACGGTCAGGAACACTCGCTTCTCGGAGCGCGTGCTATCGATTTCGTCATTCTCGATGATGAACTCCTTCTTCAGCACCTTGATCGCATACAAAGCACCGGTGCGCTTCTCCTCAGCAAGCATGACCTTGCCGAAATTGCCTTTGCCCAGAACAGCCAGGAAGTTGAAGTCGTCCAACGATACATTGTGCTGTGCGGACGCAGGGAACTCCAAGGCACCGGGTGGCGCCGCCGTCGCAATGGAGGATGCCATTGATGATGGCGGCACGGACGAGGGCGCGGGTGGCGTCACGATTGTCTGCTTCGGTGCAGTTTGTGCGGAGGGAGCCAGACCACCCGCTGATGGCATGGATGAGCGTTGTGAATGCGCAGCTGGGGACTGTGTTGGCTCCGTCGCTGGTGACGCTGGCAATGGCTGACTAGCTTGGGCGGATGATGACAATGGTGGTGGCGGTGGTAACGATGTAGGATCATGCCATGATTTGCTCGGCGGAACTCCTGCTGCTGATGGCGACACGGGAGCAGTGGCCTGGCCAACCGAGACGCTTGGCTGGTGAGTGGGGATGGGAATAGGGGCCGAGGTGGGAACGGCAGTAGTTGAGGCAGGCGCTGCGGATGTCATGGGGGCCGGTGCAGCAGCTGAGCGATGCGAAGGCGAGAGCCTCAGCGCATGGAGAGCGGGGAATATATTGTCCAAGCTGGTGCGGCGGCTTGTCGGCAGCGAAGGCGACGAAGTCTCGATGGAATGAGTGGCTGGTGCACCCTTGTGTCTTGGCGGGCATGCTAGGCAAGGTAGCTGTCGGCGGAGTCAAACTCAGCTCAACGGTTTCTTGATGCTAGCAATGTTGCTGAGCATTTGGTTTGCCATTTCCATCGACATGCCACAAAAGTCCGGCACAAGGTGAACACAGTCGGCATGACATGTAAGATCACATTCACTGCACTTGCGACTCGCGCGTCGTCCCAGGGGCAGCATCGTTCCACAATGACAGCACCAGTTGGCTCCCAGATTCGTGAATGGCTCGAAGCGGTGTGGGATACGGTGCTTCAGCTCAACCTCGTCGTTTGCAGACGCACCCGACTTGGTGCCGATGCACTTGGTCACGATCTTTGGCGCACATTTCCTGTGACAGCGGTAGTTGCAATCTTCACATTGGCTTCCAGCTGCATTCAGGAGCAGTTCACCACACAGCGCACAACGGATCACCTGGTAGAACTGACGCGGTACGAATCGGTGGCCATTGACAACAGACACCTGGTCGCGGCGCTTGCGCATGGCGCCATGGCGACCCAGTCCCGTGTCATAAGAGCGCTTTGGGACATTCTGCTTGGTGAAACCGAGCTGCAAATACACGGCACCTCGCGGTTCGACAGTGAACCAGCCTTCTAGGCCTGACTTGGCCGCCTGCTGTGCTGTGGGCTGGGCGGGGAAAAGCGAGGAGGTCATCGATGCCATGGTGTCGGCCGTGACCCAATCGCTGCTATTCGGTGTCATGGGCGATGGAGACGCCGATGGCAAGCCATCAGCGCCGACTTGGCCAGCCTTGATTTTGCGCAACTGTTCGATAATGTCACTGATGCGGAGCCACAGCAAACCAACGGGGACGGGTGCAGATGTGCCTACGCGGTCGAAGATGACCAGCTCGACTTCGTTTGTGTTCTCAAGCGGGAGCTCATAGCTGACATTCCATGCATCAGAGCGCGAAGCTGGGGTGCGTACTCGCTCCGATTCTTCTACCTTGATAGACACATACGATTCACGCATGGAACGAGTGCTGCTGGATATCGCGGCATGATCCACTTCCTTTGCACCCTTGATAGCAATCGACAGAGTGCCGGACTGGGGCTTGTGCGCACGACGAGCCGCATAAGGATTTTCCTGTTGCACCTCTTCGTCATCGCGCATGTCCAGCTGCTGGTATCGCTTGAGCGCTTGCTGGATCAGGACAAGCTTTCCTGCACTTTCGGTGCGTTGGTTCATCGCATCACCCTGACTCCGACGATCACTTTCAGCCTGGTACAACCGAGCAATCTTGTCGTAGCCGTGCTTGAACTGGCGTTCGAGTTGAAGCTTGTATTCAAGCTGACTGATCATGCGCTGAACCTTGGCGCTTGTGAGCGGCGTGTCGTACTTCATGAGATCCAAGGGTGTGTAGTTTCGGCGCGCAGCAGTGGAGACGCGTGTCAGCGCTGCGGGATCGCTGCCAGGGGCCATGACGGCGCCGTTGGTGAAGGCGCCTGTGCGGTAAGCAGCACTGCTATCGATGGGAAACATGGCGGATGGCGGCACACTCGCATCAGATGGCGAGCGTTTAGAGAATTCGTCGGCCAAGTACGACGCTGTGGCGGACGTGTCCGGGTCTGGATTTGGCGATGCAGCACTACTGGTCGTGAGAGCCGATGCTGAGAGTGACGGCTGGTTCATGACGCCTGGTGATAGGTCGATGGATGCGCGTCGGTGCAGAGATGCAAGGCTCTCTTCGAGAAACTGGATAGTGCGACGTGCATCGCGAATGTTGGAATCCGCCTGACGAATCACATCCTGATTTGGTGTGGCACTCCGGAGTGCTTGAAATCCCTCGATAATGCGACGTTGCGTGTGAATGCGCGACTCCAGGTCGGCCACTTTGGTTGGGATCGACTCCTATGAGTCGAGCGTTAGCATTTGCATTCATCGCACATGGGCATGGCGCACAACGTACCGGCATATTCGCACACCTGGGTGTCTTTCTCTGGCTCGTGCAGTCACAAGTCTTTTCTTACGTAGGAACAAATTCCACCAGGATCTTTGAGAGGCGCAGCACTTCCAGACAAGGGGCACGTGTCACAAGACGTGCTTGAAGGAAGCGCGCAGGAATGCTGGTGCAGAGTAGCCACCAGCGAACGTAGTGGCGGGAGTGGCTTGCTCTATCAGTGTGCCTATGACGACGAGTGGCGCCGCAATTTATCACACACGTACACACACACACACGTACACACTTACACACCCACACACGCACATGCCCACACACGCCCACACATACCCACACACCTCCTCCCCCATCCACTCACCCATGCGGCAATCTCGGCCGAGATGCGCTTACGGAAGGCCACGCTGGAGGCTCGGAGGACGAGAGGAAGAGGAAGGACGCTTTGGCCAACTGTTTCCATGCGCGATTGATCCGTGTCATGCCGCGCCAAGCTCGTGTCCGGATTCAGACACAGACGCACGCTGTGCAGTGCGACGTCGCGTTCCAGACGGCAGGGCCACGATCTAGAGCTGCTCGCCAGTGCACAGGTCGAAAGGTCTTGCTGCGTTATGCGTGTCGTGTTCAGTTAGGTGAGCGTGTGATGTGTCTCGACGCCACGCAGCTAAGGGATAGCGGCGTGCGTCGTGCACTTGAGACGTTCTTTCGCTCAGTATGTGGGAATGCGCGCGGACGTGTGTGTCCTTTCTTACATAGAGAATGCTGAGGCATTCAATGTACAGACATGCCAATGGACAGGCGTAGCGCACGATGCCCTTTTATGTAGGTACCGGGACGCGAGACCCAACGAGATTGGCGCCACATGATGCTCACGGGGCGCAGTTGAGATCATCTTGCGTCGGATCCCGCGTAGCACCACAGCGCCAACGCGGATCTCCCTAGGCATGACGTGGGAATGGCGCGATGCGTCTATTGTACAAGCGTTGTGTGCGCCTATGCTGGGCACGCCTCTTTTGCATGCGCATCATCAGATCATGCACGAGGTGCTGGCACATGTGATCGTGCCTCAAGCCGAGCACATGAATGGTGCATATGTGGAGCATGTATGCCGTGTGACGCCGCTTCTGAGTCACATGTCGAAAAGTATCGCTGGTATGATGATGCATGCATCGACGAGCGCTGGGCTCGGTGGATCGAAGCAACCTGTCCGAGCAGAAGAGATTGCGCGCGATTTGCACATGGCTGATCGCTCTGTCATGCCGTCTACGTACTTTGTTCTACCGCGCACGTATTCCCACGGAGGACGCCGCGTAGGACACATGGGGCCGGAGGACGACTTGGCGTCGCTATCGACGGATGCGACGCAGATCTTGTCGCCGCCGCACTGCCACGCGAGTGCGATGCAATCTTCAGCATGTCCGCGCACATTAGCACGTACGTCGTCAGGAAGCACAGACATTTGGGCAACACCATGTGCATCGCCGCGTATGATGACGCCCTACGAACATGCCTATTCAGATTCTTGATGGTACATAGAATATCTCACGACGGTCGACGTGGCAGGGAATGTGGGCGCGCCGAGCGGAGCCAGCTAGGCCCGCCGCCCTGCTCGCGGGGCGGGCGATCAGCTTTGACGACCGGGGGTATCTGAGCCGAGGGAGCCGGCTTGGCCGACGAGGACGAAGCCTGGTTTCGCTCGACAATGGCGGCCCACTTGCCGGGCTTTTTGGTGCGTTGTGTCGCTGGCTGTTGGGTCTTGGTGGGTGCGAGGAGAGCCGCTGATGGGACGACTCTTGGAGGTGCTTTGAGGATGGGTGGCGGCTCGGTTGACTTGCGTTTCGGAGGCCGCTGTCCGCTGGCTTTGGCATGCACGGGTGGTGGTATGGGCTGGACGGGCTGAGGGGGCACAGGTCGTTTGTGCGTTGACAAGATGGGAGACGGGGCGGGAGCCTGTGCAGGAGCAGATGCTTTAGGTGCGAAGGTGGAAGTGGAAGGATATGTCGATGTCGGTGCTGCAATGGTCTTGGTCTTGGGTGTCCGGACGGCCGACGGTGTGGTCGGAGACGAGGCTCGTTCGGACGAGTCAAGCTTCCGATGCAAAGGGGGTCTCAGCTTTGCGTCTCGAGAAGGCGCCGGCGCCGGTGTCTTCTTGGGCACGGCGGCAGATGACGACGGTGTCGGCGGACCGGAAGCCGCGGCTGCGACTTGGCTTGATTCACGACCCCCTTGATTCGGCGGAGCCAGTCGCTGCGGATGTACAAATGTGTCGCCTCGCACAGGCACAACAAAGCCGCGTGAGCGCGCCTCGCTAATCATGTCCCTCCAGATTGTGTCATTGCCTAGCATCGAGGCATTTCCAATCACTATCATGTTGCTCCGAGCACGCGTGAGAGCAACGTTCAGCCGTCGGTGATCGCTCAAAAAGCCCATCACGCGGTCCTTGTTGCTTCGCACGCAGCTCAGAATAATGATGTCTTTTTCCTGGCCCTGGAAGCCGTCCACACTGCTAAAGTCCACGTCCATCGCGGCCGCGCGTCCATACTGCGACACAAAGAGGGTGCGCAAAAGATCGACTTGCGCTTTGTACATGCTGACGAAGCCGACGCGTCCACGCAGGCTCGTTTGCGCACACGCACACAGCGCCTCGTACACCTGCATCGCCGTGTACGCTTCGCTCTGATTCTGGATCGAGTGGCTGCGACCAGGCTCTTCCAACGCATCGACGTGGAAGAAACGAAATGGGCCAAAGAGCTGTGTGTTGTGCCATGGCTGGAGTGTTTTGGACGCCATCTGTGGTCCATCGATGAGCTGGCGGCCATAGAAGGCCGTCGACGGAAAGAGGCTAATGTCAGGATGCATGCGGTACTGGATCGATAGCAGATGCACACGGTCGGGCGACGCATTGAACATGCGCACAAACAGCGACTGCGCGTACTGCCGCCGCTCCGCCTCTTGACTCAGCACGGTGGGTGGCAGCTGTTTCGGATCACCGACGAGGATACAGCGTGTGCACTCGTAGCGAAGGGGGATGAGTGTGCTGAGCTCGACGGCCTGCGCAGCCTCATCGATCACCACCGTGTCAAACGTGTAGCGATACAGCATCTCATGCCCGGCGCCGGCCAGTGTTGCGCACACAATCTCTGCCTCGTCGAGGATGCTCATACGGGCCATGTGACGCTCCGTCTCGGGCCGCATCGATCCCATCTTGCTGCGGCTTTGTAGGGACGACACTTGCTCGCGCAGTTCAAAGCGTTTGTCCGTGAGCTCGTTCAGCTCTGCTTGCAGCGCACGCGTACGTTCACGGCTCGTGGACGATGTCGGTGCTGAGGCGGACTGCTCCAGCTCCGCACGCTTGTCGCGCCACGCCCGCTCCACGCGCTGGAGTTCTTCTGCGGCGCGCGATGCCGCCGTGTCCTTGGACCCGGCGTGTTCGGCGAGCGCGTCGAGCGTCACGTCGCGGACGGCCGGATTCACGGCCTCATCACGCCCGAGCCGGACGAGACGCGGCACCACGCGCTTGCCATCAATGTCGACGCCGTCCTTGATCCGGCTGACGAGCTCGTCAATGGCCGCATTGCTCGGTGCACACAGCAGCATACGAGCCGATGGGCCGTCGCGCGCCGGCGCCGCCGCTTTCTTGGGGCCGACGCTTGTCCCGGCACGCCGCGAGAGGAACGACGCAACAAGCGCACGAATCGTTTTCGTCTTGCCCGTGCCGGGGGGGCCCTGGATCAGCGAAAAGCCTGGCGTGCGCATCGTCGCGACGACAGCACGTGCCTGTGGCTCGTTCAGCTCGTACATGCGCATGGCCTTCGTCTGATCAGCCACGGAGACGTCTGGCAACGGCGCGACACGCGCATGGAGCACATCCTGCACCATCGCCAAGTCCGGCACACTGCACAGCGCTGCATACTCGCGGCGAAGCGTCGTGAGGCTGAAAAGCTTGACGATGCGCCAGCCAGGCTCCTGGATCCATGGCATCGCATTCTGCGCCTGCGCGTACAGGCAACGGATGCCAAGCTCCAGCCCACTTGACCCCGGCTGACTGGTCGCTTGCTTGCGGCTAAAGTATACGTTAGCAATCAGTTTCAGTGCGCGCGATGGCAGCTCCAGGTACACAATATCAGTCTCGTTGAAGTAGACGCCTGCCGGCATCGTCGATCGCGCAGCAAATTCCAGCTGAACAAAGTTGTCTACGCGGCTTTGCCGCAGGTACTGCACATCGACTGAAGTTGCATACTTGACGTCGTCGCATGCCTGCTGGAACTGTGCCCATGCCTCGAGCGTCAGAAGCGTGCCAAAGTGCTCTGTGTAGGAGGAGGCAGTCGCGTGCCAAGAACCTGGCGACGACGTTGAGAAGGCAGTCCCATCGAGCTTCGTTGGCGGGAGTGGCTCGTTCGAGCTCATGCTCCACGACAAAATACACTCATGCATCGGCATCATGGAGGGTGCTGTCGAGAGTCGGCGTCGCCGCTGCTCGTCGTCGGCCTTGCGCATGGCCTCCTGCAAGGCCGGGTCCATCATAGGCATGACAGTTCGACGAACAACGGTGGGCTTGGCTCTGTGCGGCGACGCAAGCGCTGCGAGCCCTCCTTTAGCACTTGGCTTGCCACGCTCTGCACGCGCGCCATGACCATCGCTGCTGGACGAGTCGGCATCAGAGTCCGAGTCGTTGGTGTCCGAGTCATCTGAGCCGTCGTGGCCACTCGGCTGCTGCGTCGGCCGACGAATCTGGGCTCGTGGCATCGTCGTGATGGTGCCCGTGACGCTGCTAGTCGCGAGCGGCGCGCGCGGCTCGTCAGGCTCCCATGCTCGCACTGGGGCATGTGGTTTGCGTGCGACCGAGCGAGTGAGCTGGAACTCGTTGCGTAGCTGTGCCAGCTTGCCCGTTGAATGGAGCTTCGATGCGCGCGTCGAGGATGCCGTTGACGACGAAACCCCTTTCAGCTTCGGAGCGGCCGTTCGCGGTGAGTCTCGCGTCAGGTCAACGACGATCGGCTTTTTCTTCGGTTCCGTCCGCTCCTTCTGGCCCGGTGGTACGGTCGTGAACGACAGCGTCTGCTGCAGGAGCCTGGGCTTTGTTTTCGGCTTTGGATCCGCCTTCGAGTCGGTTTTCGGCTCCGAGCGTGGGAGGGCAAGGAACTCATCCAGCAGCAGCTCCATTTGTGCCGTAGACAGCAGCGTGCGGCGCTCCTGGACGTTCGTCACGCCCAGCTGCTGCGCGAGAAAGTCGACCGCATGCTTCCGGACCTGGGCCGGCAGCACAAGGTGCCGTGTACTAAACAAATGCACAGCCCGTCGGATGTAGTCGGACAGCTGCTGCAGAATCTCTTCGTGATTCAGCCGGAGCCAGTTGATGGCACAATCAAGTGGCATCGCCAGCGTGCCGAGCACGTCGTCCGTATGTGAATGCAGCTCGTTCGACCGGCACGCCAAATCGGCACTTTGCACCATGTACGACGCGAGCATCGGCACTTGGGCAATCCACTGCAGCATTTCCTGCCGGTCGGCCGTGCGCGACCAGTCGGGAATGCGCTCAAACATTGTGGCGATACACTCAGATATGCCTGTCCACACGAACAAGACATCGGCCTCTCGGCCCATGCCGCTCCCCCATGGTATATATGGCAGCAGCACGCCCATATTTCGATCGCACAGCACGTGCAGCATATCGTCCAGCATTGACACGGATGCACGCGCCAATGGCAGGGCCCATGCAACGTGTCGCGCCGCTAGGACGAACAGCACGACAAAGGAACGCCCTCCCTCCAGCGCTGCCTCGCGTGCATCCATCCATAGCATGTGGAGCGACTCGAAGCGCGTGTAGGAATCATCAGCCAACGCACGGAATATCACATGCGCGCCTTGCGAGACTTCCGTGCTGGCAGACGCACCCAGCAGTGGCAGCACTGACACACATACTCGGGGCATCGACGCAAATGTATCGCGGGCGTGAGCGAGGGCCACTGTAAAGGCGTTTGCGATGCACGACATGCCTTGACGAAGTTGGACAACAAGCGCAGATATGCCCGCACACAGCCTGTCGTATGCCTGGGATGCCGGTGCCGAAGACGACGGCACTGGCATCTCCGCCAAAGGCTTGGGCGTATGCACTTCAAGGATGGGTGCAGGATAACCCGGCGCTACGATGGAAAGCGCATAGAGAAAGTACGCACACAATACCTGCGGCACGTCGTTCGCTTCCTCGCTACTCAGCACTAGGGAAATGTGCTTCCACAAACGTTGCGACACGGTCGGCACACAAACGGCATCGATGTCAGCCTCCCACTGCATGAACAAACGCTCATTGGCTGTACTAGGGTCATGGTCGTGCGCGTATGTCTTACGGATAGAGGCCGCGACACCCGTTATACTGGACAAGTACAAGCACGCATTCATGGTCTTGACAGCATCATGTACAAGCGCCAAGCCAACCGGGCGCAGAAGACGCGGTGTCGTCAAGCCGCCCTGGACCAAGACCAATGCATACAGATCCAGCACAAGCGATACACACGCATCGCCCTGGAGACGATCCTCTGTCGAGCTTGATGTCAGTGAGGCATGCAACGCTTTGGAGATGCGATCTTCAATGAGCAAGGCGCCCAGCGTGAGGGCCGTGCTGCGCACAGTGTCACGCTCGTGGGTCTGCTGTCGCTTTTCAAGCAAGAAGTGCGTTGCTAGCTTCAGCGCCTCGGCGTACACTGAGCGCGAATATGCATAAATGACATCAAAGAACCGGACCAAGAACACAAACAAGCACGCTGGTCGCACGCTGTCCAGCGCAGGGTGGTCAAGCACATGGATAAGGACAGGCATAGGAGATCGCCCAGTGCGACCCCATATCGACAAAGATAGAGTGTGGAGACATACGACCGATAGAACGTCAAGGAGAGGTTCCAACGGTGTATCCGAGTCGGGTATACAATCCATGGCAAGTGGCGCAAGTACCTGCCACTGCGTAGCTGATCCATCGTATGTAGGCAGGATCGCCTTCCACGCATTCGCATCATGTCCATGGGAGGCCTTGATCACAGCAACAAGCTCGTCGAATGGAGAACTCGGGCGCTTCGACTCCGTCGTCGATGTCGACGAAGACGCTCTTTCGGTATGGGGTATATGCGACAGCTCTGCAAGCATCATCCGAGCGAGTGGCCATTCCATCCGCGCATCGGCCACATACTTTTCAGCTTTCTCGACCGCCGACTGGCCTGGCTCTAGCACATGCTGTGCTTCGAGCCACACCATATTGACGTCTCGAAGACGCGTCCTGCAGGTGTAGAAGAAAAAATATGTACGTAACCATTGAGTGGACGCGCCTTAGTCTGCACCTCTTCTTTGTTGGCTCCAGGCCCTTGATAACCTCCACATGCGAAATGGGGCGCTGGCGCGTTGGTAAGTGTGGCGGCTGTGCGTTTCGCAGCGCGCCACAAGAAGGGGAGGTGGGAGAGGGGGTGTTTACGCTTAGGCTGTGTAAGTTTGTGTGGGTTTTCGCAAGAAGCCCGCCCGATCAATCCATGATTGACACGACAGTCCATTCTTCTCCACACAGACGCTCATGCTTAGACGACAGACATCATTCACCTAGTGTCAAGTGACTGTGTGTCAGACGCGCATGACCGCTCTGACCAGCAACGATACAGCGCACAAAATCCAGCAGGGTATTTCATACAAGCAGGAAGGAAATGCTGCTTTTTTACAGCGCGACTATGTGGGAGCACTTCGATCCTATCACTATGCCACACTCGTACGTGCACACGTAGCACTCATGCATACACGTGCATTTACACACATATGCAGTATTTAGCAGGACTTGATGAGCAAGTGCTTCAACAATTCGGTGGCTCATCTCGCGGTTACGACGTGCGCGAGGATCAAAAGCAACTCAGCCAAGTCCGTTCCAACGTTCGTATAAGCCTAGTTATTCTAACGCTTTTCTCTCCAGATGGCAGCCTGTTACCTTGCGCAAGAGCGATTCGCTCGTGCTGTCCATGCGTGCGATCAAGCATTGGTATCTGATCCGTCCAATGCAAAAGCCATGTACGTTGCCCTATCTCTTATGTCCCAGTTTCCGAAAAGCACAAGCTTTACGCAGGCAAGGTGCCATATATCAGGCAAAAGACTGGCTTGAATCAGATGCAGTGTGCGAGTATGTCAAAGGACCAGACTTTGATGCTGAAAAGTCGCGCATTGCTGTGAGTATTTCAGAGCGCGAACGCAAAAGTCATGCCAAATGGCGAGGATTCCTTTCCTAGAACAATCAGAATATAAAAACAACATTTACACTGTACCCCAATTTCCCCCCCCCCTACACACACACACACACACACACACGCACACACACACACACACGCACACACACACACACCAGGCGCTTTCAATCTGCGGCCGCTGTGCTTTCTGGATTTGGGCTCGTGATATAGGTCATTTCATTTTCACGTCCTGTCTGACGCACGGACATTTTCCTTTGCTCTCCACAAATGCCTCTTTATCTCTCCATACCCAGCTTGATCCCCCAACCCACCCTTACCGCCCCACCCCACTTTATCCTTTTCTGCTGGCCGACCTGGTCCTCATGCACTGGTTATGCGAAAAATACACATCCACTGCGGCTATTACTGGGCACCTCCTGCGTGGGTGGTGGGAGTGTGATTCGATATTGTGCATAGCGCGACATTCTAGTCTAGTCCTCTATGCGCTCGAGAGTCGGAGCCACGCTCCATTTGAGCATATTTGCGACATCTCTCTCTGCGCTCGAGTTCTTGCTATGGATGTGAAGCGTGATAAAGGACGTAAGGATGCCTTGTACATTCTCACCGACCACCCCATGCCCAGACTCATTGCCTTTGAGCCGAGATCCCATTTTCAGGTCCATACGCAGCGAGTGTGGCAGCTCGACGAATCATCACGCTCACCTGCTAAGTTGGGTCTGACACTTGCATTGGAACGTGCATACGATCATTTGTCACCTGGTCGTTGGGCACTAACCCATGTTTTCACTGGCAACGTATACCTAGCAAGTTTGGAGAAGGATATTGCGTTCCATGCTCGTCTTGACCATGCAGTCTTGATCAGCTGTACTTTCCTAGAAAGAAGCTCACCAAAGGCTCCTTGTACGCTGGCCTGCCTGTCTATATCATCAGATTATGCCACAGCGGGTATGCCAGTGCTTACATTCTATGCGATTGACGAGTCGAAGCAAGCGCTTCGCCCTCTCCCTTGGCATGAACCGCGCGTCGCGCCGTCGCAAACCAACACACGAAAAATGCGTCGCACGGATGGTGATGCTACATACCACGTCCCTTTACCGGAAGAGGATGCCTACGGAGCGCACTATCTATTGGCTACTCCCGCGTATGCGGGTGGCGGTGTTCTTGTGTTTTGTGAACACGTCATCTTCTTCGTGCCACGTCCAAGTGATCGCCGCCGCGGGAAGACACGAGCTGAGTCACGACGTGCTCGTTATCAGGAAATTCGAATGGACCGAGGCATGCATGTGGAATCAGCCACTTGTTTGCTGTCGCATCATCACGACGAGCTGCACTTTCGCGTGTTGTTAAGTACCACGCGTGGTTCTATGTACATATTGACTGTCTCATCTTCTACAAATGCTTGGGAGACCATTCATATGCACTTGTTGCGCCTTCAAATGAGCTCAGTGGCTACAAGCCCGCAGGGACTTTCCTCTTTGGGCGAAGACTTTGTGTTTCTTGCGAGTACGACAGGCGACTCCGTCCTTTGGCACGTGGATTCGTCACCTTCACTGCATGAGGTATATCGATGGCCGAGCACAGCACCAATTGTCGATATGGTGCTCGATAACTCCAGCGTCATGGATCGCATCATCACTGCTAGTGGTGCCGGTCCTACTAGCAGCTTGAGAGCCATAATGTACAAGGCACTCACTAGCACATTATTTATCAAACCAATGGATCTAGTGAGCGTCTACGCGTTAGAATCTGCTCTCGTTCTTGTGCATCGAAACTCGGCTTCTATCGTGCAGCTCAATGAGCATGAAGACCCCACACAAATCTCCATTGTGCATGATGCTCGTGTCTTGCATGCTGGCATGTTAGCGGGCTTGTACCTTGTCGCAACCTCGAAAGACATCCGCACTTATGGACGTGGTAAAACAGTTTGGACAGCTCCCGACGAAATCTCAGCCTGCCACGTATTAGATGATAAACATGTGGTAATAGGTCTCGTAACACCACAGCTGCTTGTCTTGCACCACGATCATCACAACTGGTCAATTCTTCATTCGTTACGAACTCATGCACCGATTTCATGCCTATTTGGCTGCGCCTCCGCTATAGTCGCGGGGTTCTGGGATCGCACGGTGCAAAAGTACGTTTGGCCTTCCATGGAAGGTGATCCAATCCATATTGCATGCACGTCGCTTCCCACATCTATTCTTCAACATGCATTCACGCCTCACGGCGAAAACCATACCGTGGTGGGCTATGCTGATGGCCATGTTGACGTGTATAATGATCAAGACAAAATCGTGCATACGTGCCAGGTAGGTACAGAACCGATTCACTTGACCACTGCACCACTTTCCATGATGGAGCTGCCAAACACGCACGCTATTGTAGCATCGGGCTCCTATACCTGCTTCCTATACCCTCAAGACTCTGCGTTCCGTGCAAGTATATGGCTTATTGAACATGTGCGTGCAGCAGCGTGTGTAGACGCCAGCAGCCAGGCATTGACCATGGTGTGTGCCACACAGTTCGGCTTGGAGGTGCATGCCATTCATACGCTACATCATCTAGACATTCAGAGCTTGTCGTTGAAAGGACAACAGCCCACATCCATCGCAAGCTTTGGTCCTTATATCGTTCTCACGACATGGCCTATGCATGCGTGGGAGCATCACGAACGTGGACTGAGCACGATCCGCGTCATGACAAAAGCAGGGCTCAAACAAGTCACATCCCATTCCCTCCACGCCTATGAGCGGCCCAACAGTGCGTGTGTGAAGAAATTTTACAACACGCCATACATTGTCGTTGGGACTGGGTTTTATGTAGGCGGCCGAGACTCAACATCCAGTGGTCGCCTCATCGGTTACACATGGTCGACGCCCTTGTCAAAGTTGCAGCTTATCTGGTCGTGCGATGTGCCTGGCCATGTCTATGGAGTGACAGATGTACCAGGCTCGTATCTTGTTGCAGCTGTCGATGCACAAGTACATACATATGCGCTATGCGATGGAAAGCTGAAGCTTTGCGATCGATGGGGCTGTGCCTTCCTTGCGACGTGCCTCACATCGCAAGGATCGACTGTCGTGGTGGGAGACGCCATGCACTCCCTTACGGTCCTGCAAGTCGATCCCAAAGGACAGCTGCATGAAATCGCTCGCGATGTCGATCCATATTGGACAACGGCTGTAGGCGTATTGAGTACCGAGCAACAGCAGTACATCGGCACAGACATTGCGATGAACATGTTTGTTGCTGAGCGCGTGCACCAAACGGATGGAACTGATCCATGGAGTCATGTGATGCATCGAGCGACGGCATTCCACCACGGCGACATGGTGAATACAATCCAAAGCGTGGCTGACGGCCGTATCCTGTTTGGTACGGCCTCAGGCTCCGTTGGTACGCTGATGTACGTGCCTGATGAAACGGCATCCATGCTCTGGTGCGTTCAAGAGGCTTTGTCGCATCAAAGACATGCGCATGGCGACCTTTCATGGGAGTCTTGGCGTACGCTTCGCACAGACATGCAGATATGCGCACCGCGCCATGTATTAGATGCTGAGCTGCTCACAACATTTTTTACGTGTGAATCGCGTACTGGCATAGTTGGCATGGCACGACACACTGCTCGCGAACTTGGCTGGAAACATGAGCACTTTGATGAGGCAACGATTGCACATGCCCTTCGTGCACTACAACTGAAATGCTGAAGCATACGCAAACATAGTCGTCTGTACAAGAGAACATTTCATGCACCGATGTACATGGAACCGATATCGAGCAAAAAGCACTTAGCCCCTGACTTGAGCTCAGTCACGCACACATGACCCAGCTTATGGAAGCCTTGCGACAGTACGCGCAAGTGCATGTCAACCGTACGGCTCATCCCCGGGCGAACAGACCTGCGTTTGTTAGTGCATCTGCTTCAATACACGTACCCAACACGGATGCTGCTGTGTTCCGCCACAATAGCGCGGTTTTTCTGTGGCGCCGGCTCGAGATCCATCGCCCAAGAGACCTGTATATCCATAGGATCAGGAGATACATTCGACAATGCGATGCAGATATGAATGCGATGAGAGCCAGCTTCCGTGGGTTCCTGATATGTCTTGAGCGACGCCAGCAGGCAAGAGGCAAACGAGCTCACACGCGTTGGATCAAACCCGATTCGCTGCGAATGGCTTTCACTCCACCCAACAGCATGACGTGTGGTGCTTTTGCTACGTCCATCTGCGTCTTTGATTGACACTCCTTGTGCCCCTTCGCGCGTCTGATCGTAGGAGATTGTCTCCTCAAGACGAACAGGTTCTACATTTCGAGACGCTGACAATGCCATAGGCGCAAGAGATGCATCACCCGCCGTTGGTGGTGGCGGTGTATCCGGAGTCCATGGCTTCGGAATTTGGCCCATAGATCGGCGAATTATATGCTCGGCAAATGAGCGCCGCTGCAAGTCAAGGAGCGCTAGCGACAAATCCATGAACCCATTCCATTGCGACACACATGTGCTGTGGGTCGACGTATGTGGTCCACGCTCCGGTGTGCCAAGCATCGTGACACGAGTCGATCGATGAGGATCCCATGTGGTCAGCTGCCGCGCCAACGTCTGCGCATCGAGGTCCTCCGAGCTGATACGAAGTCGCACTGTGTATAACATATTGTGCTGAGCATGTCGTCCCAGACAAACGGGCAGTGATGACGCGTGGCCCGGTAATGGTTCAATTACGATCTGTACGGGATCATTCATCGACATAAAGCCCGTCTCTCTCGTCATGTCGGACCGTTCACCCATGTCTAGATGCAGCGCGTGAACCCAGAAAGGAATGGTCATTGGCAATGCATCTAGCTCTATGCACACCACCACACTTTGTGCATCTTCAGATGTGTCAAGCGGCAAAGTACGACTAAGTGTGCGCATCCTCACAGCCGTCGATGCACAGACCACAGCAAACGTGTGTGTCATAGATGTCAGTGATACGGGGCCTTGTGATGCAAGCGTCGCAATGTCGGTTGTCGATGACATCGTTGCAGACTCTTCACGTGGCTTGCTTGCCACGCCCACAGGCGTTGATGACAGGCGTTGCGGAAGACGCGGTCCAAATCGGGCCGAATGTGAGAGAGGGGCCAGGGCAATATCCGCATCGGATGCCCGAGCTGCTGCTTCAAGCTCTTTGATATGATTCAACCGGCTGGACAAAGAACTAGCCTCACCCCACGGCGCAGTGATGTCTGTACCAAGCACACCAGGAGCAAGCATGGACAGCGGCATCATTGTGAGCCGCTTCGACAGGTATTGCATGCGCTGCTCGGGCGTCTCATCCGGCACCTTGACGGTGTCGGCGAGGTCACTAAGAAGATCAACGTCGATGATATACGGATCAGACGATTGAGAAAATGGATGTTGTCGGTTCGATGAGTAATGGAAAGGCATTTGGGGCGGTGCTGCTTGTGCTTGCGCAGCAAGAAGCGCGAGCTCCAAGCGCAGTTGAAGCATAGCATTGATTTTCATCCGCTCGCGGGGCAAGTCCGTCATGGTATAAGGCACATTCACATCGCTCGTCCAACGCACGACCCACGACTTTTGTTGTGTATCGTATGTGATGCCAGGAACGAAGGATTTATCGAGGAAAGGCTCAACAGCCTCCGTCTCAGGCCTCTGGATACGTGTAAGTGGTGAGCGGCGAAGAACAAAGTCTGTCGAGCTCGGTAGGCGTTGCCAATAATGGACGAAAAGCGAAGCGGGAGTTTTTGTCTCCTTTTCTTCACACATAGAGCCGCGTAACGACACGTGTAGTGACGACAACAAAATGACCAGCAGTGGTGGCAGCGTCATGACAGAGTGATCGTCGAGCGTATGTACATCGGAAAACATATGAATCGGTGCAGGAAGCATAGTCGGTAAGGATGGAAGTTTCATGGTCAGCTGAACGCGTATGTGTTCATCATAGAATAGACATGCATATTCATCAATCATTGAAGCCGGTGGCATGGCAAGCTCAAGAGACGAGCCTGCGAACAATGCAGCTATGTCCACACATAGTTCACGCGCATCAGTGTATGCGAGTGTAGGCGTCAGCACGTCCTCGTACATGACCATCCCTACTACGCAAACGCAATCTACCAGCCTTGTTTCGTCTCTTGCTTTGCCTCGTTCGTTACTTCCTATCGAGACAGGCAGCTCGCTACGAAGTGTGGAGAACCAACGCAACCTTTCTCGATTGGCTGACTTCCCCACCCCCTACCCCAGGACTATTACGTAGCCGTCATCCACCCCAGAGCTCATTTACATACTTGGTAGTGCCCCTGCCCCTACCACGCTGAATCGCTCGCGCTCCAACGACACCTGGGGACTTGCTTGTCAAGCTATATAATGTACAAGATTTTTGATGCCAAGAAGAAGCACTGACCAGGATCTCACGTCGTATGCGACTCACGTACTTGTTGAACTTTTCTTTCACAGCCACACCACACGTACCCATACTCACCTAGTGCGAACTTGGCACACATGCTCGACCGCGACACTCTTTACGCATCAGATCATCAGCTGTCATAGCTCTCTCCCTCACTCTTTCTCTTGAAGATATCTAGCGGTATTATGAAGACACTCTCTACACAAAGAGATTACTACTTAAGCCTCGAACGTGAGCGCAGCACCAAGCTTGTGAGCACTGGCATCTGTCGAGCCAGACGACAGTTTGATCGTGTCAAGAGCAAGACCGAACGTAGCCTTAATGCCAGGACGAAGCGCCTGCGCATAGCCAAGGGCCAAGATACCCGAGTTGTTGATCTTGGCCTTGATGAAGGCAGCGTTGTCGAGGTACGTCTTCGTGCCGACCTCAAGGTTCATGTTGCTCGAGGCCTTCGAGTCGTACGTGGCACGAGCACTAGCCTCAATGTCCTGGTTCACTCGGTGGTAGTACGAAGCGCTGTACGTGGAGAGGTTGCCAAGCGCGTGGAGTGTGATGGCATACTCAGGAGCGTGGAAGCCAGCGGCCAGGTTGTAACGCGCAAGCTTCTTGTCCTTTGCGTTGTACGCGGCCTCAGCACCGAACAGGAAGCCATCACGGCCAACCACAGCATCAGCGGTAAGCAGAGGACCCTTGAAAACGTCCACAAAGTTGCGCATGTGCAGGCCTGGCGTTCGGTAGGTCAAAGCCAGGAGAGCGTTCTTGGCTTGCTTCTCTGGCACAAGCGTCGAAATGGCCTCGAGCTTCAGGCCATTGGCGAGATGGTTCTCGGACTCAATGTGGTTGCGCAGCACATTGGCGGTCGACCAGGCCTGTGTGAAGGCGAGACCCTTCTTGCGGTCTTGCCAGCTGGCCTCAAGGTCACCGCTAATGTTCGACGACTTGTTGTCTTGTAGACCCAGCACACGGAATGTCACACCCGATGGCGTGCGGGTCTTGACCTCAAGGGTCGAGCCATGGATGGGGTAGTCCTTGCCAAGGATATCCGACGCGGCCTTACCAAGGTCCTTCCAGCTAGGTGGCACAGGGATCGACATGGCGTTCTGGTGCAGTGGGTGAATGCAGATGTAGAGAGAGAGTGGGTGGCACTGTTGTGTTTGCGCCCGTCTTGAGTGGCCCGCCCACTTGTTCCGTGCCGCTGGCATTACGCACGCGCCCGGCCTGCTCGGCCGGGACCGGGCAAGGTGCCTTGCGCTGGTCAATCCATACCTCTACTCTCGTCCCATCAGGCACGTGGCGCAAACGCACCCCAATAGGCAGTGTTGGCTGTATAAGCAGGCCATGCGAGTCCGATGAGGCGTCTGGAACAAACCCAGCCTGCTTGGAGTGGCGCTCGTATTGGAGTCGGAACCCAGACGGGCCCTTCAATTCCGTGAATAACACGTTTTTTTTTTTTCCATTCTTGAGGGGATCCGCGGAGCATATTCATCCACTTGATCCAGGTCTCTCTGTCTCAACTCTCAGACGATCTATCTGAATTTCACTTCGCGGATAGCTATAGTGCCAGCCTACTAGAAATATCTCTTGCGAGCGCTGTCAACCATGCTTCCGCACCAGCAAAACAAAATTGATATCTCGGTACGTATTCGAGGGCGGCGCTGGTTCTGTCGACAATCGATTTGCTTTTACCCTTTGTGAGTACAGCGAACTAACATGCGAACCGCATACGCGGTGATTATCCAAACAGTCACTCACGGAGGAAGAGCAAAAACTGTTTCGTTTGTACGGCAAGCTACCGAATCGCAAAGATTTGGTGGCGAACAAGTTGAAAGAACGAAAATACTTCGACTCTGGCGATTACGCTTTGTCAAAAGCCGGCCGTGCGCCCAAGCAGTCAGTCGGTACTACTATTCCTAATCCGGAGATGGTGCCTCATGCCGCGTATCCTTCGCACCCTGTGCAAACGCCTGGCATGTTTGTACAAGGAAGTGGTCTGGGAGGTGCTACTAGTGGCCCGAATGTACCAACTAGCCCTGGTGCGTCTAACATGATGAACGTCCCATCTAGCCCGTCAGGTGGCCACCGAACATCGGTAGGCAGTGGTTCATTCACAGACACGGGTTCTCGTTCATCATTTCCTATGGCCACGGGCGTAATGGCTGGCAGTCCAAGTCGTGAGCCAACAAGTTCTCTGAGCCGCGAACAGATGCCAGACCCTTCGTCTTCTAATGCAATGCAGGAATGATTCCATGTTGGTAACTTGCGTACCACTCTACATGTATGTCCACACACTTGTCAACCTCTCCGCTTTTTATGTCTACCTGTATCCCTCTGGCTCAGCATTTCCGTTTCGCTCCATTTCTACCACGCTTCTTGCCTGTTCTATGGCATGGGCTGTACAAAAGGTCCCTTCCTCCTTCACACCCCCGACGTGCTGGTTTATCTTCCCTTTCCTAACCCTTGGTGTCGAAGTGCAAAGATGTGTATGTAAAAAGGATGTGATGGTTGATGTTGAGCGTCACGCCACGTGGCAGTACGTGCCTACCTTCTACGTAGTGGTTTGTAAAGCCGGCTGACCGCTTGACTAGTTTATTTTGTTGCGTGCAAGTCATAGCCTCTACCAAAGATTTGACTTTGGGCTTAAGACCGACCCTTGGTTGTTCTCCACAAAGTCTAGTCAGAGCGCGAAGAATGGGGTCCATCACGGAGCTTGAAGACTCGCTCAATATGCTCCTCAAGGTCATGGCGTCTGCGATTGCATATCTCTCGCGCAAATCAGGGCACACACCAGTGAATGCGCAAGTTCCGCTGACAGTTCTTGGAAATACTGAGGCACTTCCGCCAGAGACCTTGGAGGCCAGCCGCGATGAGCTCGTGCAAGACCTGATTTCACAAGCCAAGGACGTGCAGCGTCGCATTGATGCACTCCCTTCACGAGATATTTCAGAGGATGAGCATGTACGTGGATGTTGCCTAGTGACTCTTTTGATTCGTATTGGACAGTGTCGTACTGACGCTTTTGGCAGTTAGAAGAGCTTCGGCAGCTTGAGAAGGATATACGTGATGCGAATCGCGACTACATGCAAGCATTGAATGAAGCTCGTACGTACGAATTTGTGGTCTTAAAATCTGCCAACGCTTTGTACCTCTTACTTACACAGGTACTACCAGATACATTGTCGAGCCAGCTCGATGCTTTGCTCAAGCGCCTTGCGCGAGAGCGTCACTCGGCGCGCGACGAGCTCGTCCACTCGGCGTGACAGTACATCACGTGCATGTGGAGGCGCGAAACACCTGATTTTGGATCGCAAAGTGGCGCCACACGGATTGCCTTAACATGGATGCATGGCCTGAGTCGGAGCCTGTGGGTGTATCTACCACACCAGACAACATGCCTGAGTGGAAGGATTTGGATTCCATGCTGGGATCGCCAAAGCCATGGTCCATGGTTGACATGCCTGATCTATTTCTCACAAATCTGATCCATGATGTCGATCACACTTTCACAGATGACTCACTCACAGACTTTTCCAGCACTGTCGCTACATCTGGTAGTGAGACAGAAAGCAGTCCTGGCGCTTTCCAGGAATTTATGATGCGCCATTCTTCTCCAGAGAGCCTCTCACATTCGCCGCCGCCCCTTGTGCCCGGCATCACGAGTCCTACACAGTTCACCATTCCATTACCTGATACAGAGCGCTTGGATCTTGCACCCCACGTTGCAGAGACAAACGAGCCTTTAACTGCAAGCTTTGGGCTTGATCAAGTTCCTGTGACTTCCTACTCCCCTGCATACATGGAGATGACTCTGGGCATTTCGCCAGCGTCCGTCCAGCATGGCGTGGAACCAGTTAAGCCGGTGGCATCTACTGAGACAGTGCCCCCTGTAGCTTCGATGTCCTCCATGGCACTTACTTCTTCAAAGGCATCTGATCACTCGAATACGCCCGTGCCGCCTGCAATGCCTGCAGTGGCTACGAAGCCAGACATTCAAGCTTCTAAGGCAGTGTCGACGCCATCCGCCACATCTGAAGAAACGATTCTAGCGCCATTGTGTATGCAACCAGGGAGCAACCATAATGCCATGATGGCACTTTCACGCTTGCGCTCTGCCGTGCATGAAAGCGAAAAGCAAATACAAGCAAAGAAGGCCCCGTGTGCCAAGATGCCTTCAGTTTCAGCTCCGTCACATGAGATGTCTATCGCTTCCGCTACAACAACTTATTCTGAGTCTGACGCACAGCATCCAGGCCAACATGCGCGCAAAAATGCACATAATGCTATTGAAAGACGGTATCGCAGCAACATAAATGATCGCATCGCAGGTCTAAGAGACGTAGTGCCGGCACTTCGCGAGACGCGCCCGCGCAATGGACGCCGCAAACGACGACGCGGAAAAACAGAAGACATCGAACTGGTTGATGGTGTGCGGGCAGCGACGAAACTAAGTAAAGCTACGATCCTGACGAAAGCCACCGAATATATTTGCTACCTGAAATCGCGTGAGGTGCAATTAAGCCGTGAAGTCGCTGGCCTTCATATGTTGCTTCGCAGTTTTGAGGGTGGTGATGAGCTTCTGACCCAATGGTCTGCTGAGATGGAACGTTTGCACAATCAGTACCCTCCGATTGAGGCTGTGTACAGTGGTGTCGAAACACCACCGCCAACGTCACCAAACGCGTCAGCCACCGGTGTGACAGCAACGTCGTTATCGTCGTCGTCATCATCGGCATTTCCACGTGGGTCTCTCGATGTTGAAGTGGAAGACGATGAGTCTGCTGACGAGTCAGATGAAGCCGATGATACGGAGTCGTTGTCGTCAGGCTCCGGTGGCGACCCGGTTCGTGCTACGAAAGTGGCACGATACATGTTTGGCGCATTTGTGGGACTTTCGTTCTTCGGCCGCTCGGATTGGGGCGATCTAAGAAATACCGATGCAGATCTGGCTTTGCTAAATACAACGGCATTATCTGCGCCAGTATCGACGTCGTCCTTGCCTCAAGCGCATGTCATGGGCGTGGGGCACCAGCTTTGGAAACGCTCGCTAAGTATGGACCACAAACCTCGGCCTTACGATGATGTTCCAACAAGCGACCTGCTGTGGGAAGTCGCTCGTGGGTGCGTTTTGGTTACGCTCATCGTAGCGGTGGTTTGCTCGATGGGCACACACGCCCGGCGGTGGGCATTGAAGCGTGGCTATCTAACTGCTTCTCGATTGCAGGATACGTCCACTTTGTCGGATTTGTTATGCACACCATTGGAGCAGGTTCGCTCGCCTCCTATGCCGTTGACGCAAGCCAAGGTCACGTACGAACGACTAGGTGACCGACTGTGCGTCCCATCCACACGGCTTGGTCTTCTCATGCACATGACCTGGACCTGTACTTGTTGGCTCAGTGCAGCTACGGTACCTGGCGCCGCAGGGTGGATTCGCTCGCTGACAGACCCAACTGTTGCACTCATAAAAAAGCGAGCTTTTATTAGGCGCGCAGAATTTGAGTTAGCTCTGGGGCGAAGCGTGCAACCTGACTGGTTTGTGCGGTTACACACGCTCATCATGCTGCATTTTTATGCGTCCGTGTTTGGCGCAGAGTTGGATGAAAAACTTGTGTTGGCCCTTGTATATTTGGATGCTGCAGAGCAAACGCATCTGCCGTATATGGCACAGCGAGGCGCTCAGGTGTGGCACAGCACGGGTGCTCGGCTCGTTGATGCATCATCTTCGTCGGACCCAGGGCAAGAACAAAACAGACGCATGCTTTCAGAACTTTTCAGTGTGCCGATATGTCATGTGAACGCGTATGCACGAACGGCTTCTTGCGGCAATGAGAGTAGCGAGAACACACGTCGAGACGAGGATTCTGAATGTGGCCATGTAAGTGTGTCGCCGCTTGCCAATATGGTCGATGCACTGCGGCACGAGGCGCTCCTGTCGTTTTGGACGACGATGATTTCAAGTATGATGCGAGCGAGTGATAGCGTCGTATCCGCCCCGAGCGCGCACTCCTGTTCGCACCCTGCTGTCCTAGACATTGTGCGCGACACGGCATCGCTGGCGTCTGTTCAGCAGCAGCTCGCATCTCTAACACGTGACCGTGCCTGCACGAGCAGCATGACAGTTGAGCAGATTCTTGTGGCTCATGGCATGCTCGATCTCGCCGCAGGACGCTTGGCACGTGCGCATGCGTATGTACGGATGTTGGGAAGTAAGCCCATCTCGTTGTCTGCGCGGCAGTTCATTGCATTGTGGGCGGATGCGCCCTTCGTTACATCTCGCACGCCTGTTGGGCCAGTGGACATGCTTGCGAGCGTAGCTATCGGCTGGTTTGCGATGCAACGGATGTATGCGACTCATAATGATGCGAATGCAACAGAAAATGCCAAGGCGTGGCATGATCGTCGTAGAAAGAGCGCATCATCACTTCATGCACTGGCGTCACAGTGCCTATGGATCTTTGTGTCACCCGACAAGAAAGACAATAGTGATGGGACATACGTGCGAGACCTACTGCCGCCCAACCAAGTGCCGTGCCTTGCTCAAGCGCTCGATTCGCTAATGGACAACCTGTTGCTTACATAGTGTACACTAGAGAAGGAAGAGAAGTCTATCGAATTAGGGCAAGGAAGACTAAGAGTGGCTTCGTCGTCGCTTAGTAGATCGTGGTGGTTCTTCGGCTTCCAAGCATGATACGGTGCTGGACGTCGCATGAGATGGTGAGCCACCATGCGCATAGGTAGTGTCTCGGCTTTGTCTCATGGACTTGGATGATTGTGTTTCGTTTGTGAGCACAATGTACACGATCGCGGAGTTTGGCTGTCGTTTCGCCCTCACCTCCTCATAGGCAAGAGAACCATATCGCGAGGCACGCGGACCAGGCACTATGTATACATTCACAGTATAAGCTGTGGCCTGAAAACTTTGTGAAAGATAACCGTCCAGAACCAGTTGGACCAACAGACACTCGCAATCGTCTCGAGAAAGTGTAACTTTCCCGTGCAGAGCGTCTAAATCCAGCTGTTCCTTCGCTGATGTCGGATGGCCCTGATCATCGGCCAGTTTGAATTGGGCATTCTGCAAGCCACGCACAAGATCGGCCAGGGCAGCAAGCGTGATGCGCCCACCGCGTGCGTGCACATGCTGCGCAGCACGAACAACCTTCCAAGCATGCTCAGAAACGTCGGTTACTAACACTTGACGCTCACAACGATCGCACACGCCACAGCGCTCACTGCGCGGCTCGTCAAAGTACGCGGCCAGCACGCACTGACGGCAATTCGGAGACTGTGCATAAGATAGCATGGCATGTACTGTCGTAGCGCAAAGTAGAGGTCAGCATGCAAGTGCCAGAATACGAGAAACGCAAAACGATATACGTACACTTATCAAGTGCACCGACTTCGCTGGCTGTCATGGCACTTAGTCTGCTAAGATCGCCAGGTCGGTACAATAAAACACAATCAGCTGGGAGTCCATCGCGGCCGGCACGTCCTGTCTCTTGATAGTAACCTTCCAAAGATTTAGATATGCATGCATGCACAACAAAACGCACGTCGCCTTTGTCGATTCCCATGCCGAATGCGATCGTCGCACAGACGACCTTGATTTCTCCCGTCCGCCACATGGTATGAACACGATGCTTTTCCACTTCGTCCAAGTCCGAATGGTACACGCCTGTGAGGATTTGGCCATGACTAAGCTGCGTAAGTGCCTCAGACATAGTATGTGTGTCTTTCCGACTTAGACAGTACACAATGCCTGAATGCTCGGCATGGTGCTGGAGAATGTAGGACGTGACCATCTGCTGAGTCGCCAGTGCATTTGTCGGCCGCATACGCACGCTATACTTGAGATTCGGACGGCTCAGTGGTGCACGGAAGTACACGGTGCGGCGTGGTAAAGCCTCAGTAGGTTGTGTCGTCGAGTCACGCATGCCTAGGATCTGGAGTACATCACACAAAGCCTGAGCACTGAGCGTGGCCGTAAGACCCATCATCGGCGTCTCGGGAAAGAGGCGTCGACAGATAGACAGCTTATGGTAGTCAGGGCGGTAGTCGTGGCCCATCATGCTGCAGCAATGGGCTTCATCAACAACGATTCGCTCCAAACGACCTGCTTCATACACGCGCTGCAATGTGGCTAAGAGCGTCTTGGACTTGACAATGCGTTCTGGTGTGACGTACAGGAGACGTGGCATATTCGTGCCCTGAACGAACCCGCTGGAGAATAGCCTGCATCTCTGAAGATGACATGGAACTAGACAAGAGCTCACAGGAAACGCCCCGCTCTCTGAGATGATACACTTGATCGGTCATAAGCGCGATGAGCGGCGATATTACGACGAATAGTGCACCACTGAGTAAAGCAGGCAGCTGATAGCACAGTGATTTGCCAGCACCCGTTGGCATGACCACCATGATATCACGACGGTCCATAACCGCATTGCATACAGCTTCTTGACACGAGCGGAACGACTCGATGCCAAACACACTCTTGGCTTGATGCGATAGCTCTGCAGACCATGGAAATTGCGAAGTCTCTACGTAATTTGTGGTTTTTGCATCAGTGGCACTTGCCTCGCATTGCTGTGCTAGGATCTGTGCACGTTCTCGACGAAGAGCTTGTTTCCGCTTGTGCAAATCACCCAATTGCTCGTCGACGAGCGCTATCTCTGTGTCAATACGATCAATTCGATGCTGCGCGTGCACATCCAGATCACACGTTCGCACCGATTTGGCAGCTGCTGTCGTCGCCATGTGCACGTTCATAACATGCACATCGTCATCATCCGACCTGTTATTCATGCCCTACCGCACTCCTCCACTCCAACGATCAGAAGTAGTAGCCCAAATACAATCTGGAGACTCTTGCGACGATAGCCGCTAACGCGTGGCAATTTATGCATCATGTCGAATTCGTTGTGGAAATTCCGTTTTAATTTTTTTTTTCTGGGGGGGAGAACCACATGTCCACACGCCAGCAGCGATTTACTATTCAGTGTCTCCACACGCGTGTGGCTCTCTATGGGTGATGGTGACGAGGTTTGGACCGATTTCGCTTACGACGTCATAGACGATGAAGAGGCGCAAGAACGACGGCGGGAACGCGAGGCACGTATTCGTGCACGATTCTTAGAAGCACGCGCGACGTACAAAGCAAAAAATGATACGGAGGCGTGGTTTCTTGACGGTGTAACGTTGGAAAATGTAAAGACACAAACCCTCGATACCATGACGTCACAACGGATCCAAATGGGCATTTTGTACATGTACTACCAGCATAAGTATGAAGAAGCATATACATGGTCCATATGCTTGCTAGAGCGAATGCACGCGTTAAACGCAGGCGCCGTTGTGTGGTCCCAATCTGTGGCCCTGCCAGTGTTGTGTAGTACGTCACCTCCGAGAGACAAGGAATCACAAGCCATGTCACAATCAGCCGTGGCGCGTGAAACTCTCGATACAGCTTTGCGCTGTGCATTGCATATGCATGACGCGCCACGCGAGTCCCTTGAGCTTGCAATCGCAGCTGCGTACTCGCGAGTTCGTATGGAGCCATCCGCTTACGACGGTCTTTGGCAGAAAGATCGAAACAAATCATCGTGTTTGGTATGTGCATATGGCTATGATTCGAATGGCAGACGGACTGACTAACCATGCCAGTGGACACTTGCGCCAGGTCTCGCGATGACACTGGGCCATGTTTGCCTGCGAATCGGACGCGTACAATGCGCTCTCGATGTGTTTGCGCTCGTCATGGGTCTTCGAGGAGCTCAAATGTATGTGTGTAAGGCTATGGCAAGGACATTGTGCGCACTGGCGCCATCACTCGACTCTCACAGACGGAATGTATGTTGTTGCATTGCACGGTCATTTGCAGTTTGTGCTCTACAATCATGTCCCCCGATGCATCGAACGGCACTGGCTCGTGAGTTCGTCGAAGGTCAGCTTGTATCGAATATCATTGATAACCCAACGAGCTTCGACGGGGTTTCCGAACAGACGCTCATGTCGTGGGACGATGTACTCACGAGGGAGGCTGCGCTAGCGATCATCTTGACTCTTCAGAAGCGTGGTGGTGCGGCTTCGCTGGCATCGCGGATCCCAGCATATATGGATATGGCTCGTCAATACCTAAGTGGTGCTTCGTCTGCCTGGATGACATGTCATGAGGAGTCGATAGAGACCACTTGGTCCAGTGTACGCACCCTATAGATGATGTTTTTTTTTCTAATATGCTAGATGCTTTTCTCATACCTTTATTGGCAAATGTCGCACTCCATGGAGCCTTTTTTTCTGACGACTGTGATCCCAAGATGATGCTACAACGTAGTATGGCTGTCGGGCATGGGCATATGTGGAGGCAGAGTTGGTGCCTTTTGAGACCGTCTCTGATACGTAGCCGTGCCTATCCTAAGACACATCGTCAGAATGCAAAGTGGGCCGCTACCGACACTGTACAGGCCGTATCTAGCACTAGGCCTCGAGGGTAGCGCCAACAAGCTTGGAGCTGGCGTTATTCGACACACACCACCCACAGGACATGACGGGCATGGTGCAGCCATCAACCATGCGCGCGTTGATATCCTGTCGAATGTGCGCCACACGTACGTGACGCCGCCCGGCGAGGGATTCCAGCCGAGCGATACCGCAAAACACCACAAGCACTGGATTTTAAGTGTGGTGGCAGAGGCTGTGCGTGCAAGTGGCATTGCGTCCATCGCCGAGATCGATTGTATTTGCTACACGAAAGGACCTGGTATGGGTGCTCCTTTGCAGGCTGTTTCCATTGTCGCTCGCACATTGGCACTGATGTACAACAAGCCGTTGGTCGGCGTGAATCATTGTGTCGGCCATATTGAAATGGGCCGTACCATTACGGGTGCACACAACCCGGTCGTCCTGTATGTGTCGGGCGGCAACACGCAAGTAATTGCATACTCTGCACAAAAGTATCGCATATTTGGTGAGACACTTGATATTGCTGTGGGCAATTGTTTGGATCGATTCGCGCGAGTCATTGGCCTTTCGAACGACCCTTCGCCCGGCTACAATATAGAACAAGAGGCTAAAAAGGGACATCGCCTCTTTCCCTTGCCTTATGGCACGAAAGGCATGGATGTCTCACTAGCTGGCATGCTCAGTGCGACAGAGGCTTATACGAAAGATGCGCGATTTCGTCCTACGAAACGAGGCGTGTCAACGACTGATGTCCCCGTCGGTGCGTTGGCAAACGGACGCATTTGGACGGGCAACAGTGCACATGCCCTACAACGGTCCGAGGACACAGTGAATGTTCGGTCCTGCGAGCAAGACAATATTAGCGGCTTGGATGCGGAGCGTGATGCAGACATCATCACGCCCGCTGACCTTTGTTTCAGTCTACAAGAGTACATGTTCGCTATGCTGGTGGAAATCACGGAGCGTGCTATGGCCCACATTGGAAGTAAGGATGTCTTGATCGTAGGAGGAGTTGGATGCAATGAGCGACTGCAACAGATGATGGGTATCATGGCAAGTGAGCGCGGTGGAAGTGTATTTGCGACAGATGAGCGCTTCTGCATTGATAACGGGATCATGATTGCACATGCGGGTCTCCTGGCTTATCGAATGGGCCAATCGACGCCCCTGGCAAAGTCAACGACCACACAGCGCTACCGTACAGACACGCCACTCATTGCTTGGCGCGCGTGATGAGATGCATCTAATACAGAAACACATGCATCAATGTGACATGCGTATGCCAGCGTGCATGCTTGTGAAGACTCTCGCTAGCTTGACACATGGCATTTGGCATACCGCACGGGCTGTCCAGCCTGACGTACTTCCACTTCGCCAGTCTGATCGTAGTGTTTGCCCAAAATCAGCACAATCGGATACCCCATGAGGTCGCTGTCAAACAGGCGGGAGCCCAGTGATTGGTGCGTCCGATCATCAAGTGCAACATCCTCATTTGGGACGTGGAGCAACTCCTGCATTCCATCGGCCCAAGTAACAGCAAGACCGCCATCCAGCTGGGTGCACAAACGCATGGCGATATCCATGTGCTGGGGTGTGGACGGGAGGACCAGAGCACGGAATGGCGCAATTTCACATGGCCAAAAGAATCCCACTCGTTGTGGGCGACGGCGTTGCAATGGCATCGAACTTGTTTGCGCCGTCGCTGCATGCCATGCATCAAATTCACGTGCTGCCCGCTGGGCTAGTGCACCAAGAACGCGCGTAATCCCAATACCGTAGCAGCCCATCTGCAGTGGCACACGCTCTGGTCGCTTTGGGTCTGCATGCCGTGGCACAACGTGATACCCTAGTGCCTCGGAGTAACGTGTACCCAGGAGAAAAGTGTGACCAACTTCGATTGCCTTGTGTTCCCGGAGCGTTCCATGTGTGCACGAAGCACATCGATCGCCCGCCCGAGCAGCATTGGTAACAGTCTCATCTCGGCCGTGCTGATGACCTTGTTCTTCTTGCTTAGTGCCACGACCGAGCGACTTAGCACACTCAACATTGGATGTATACGAGCATTGGTCGCAAGAAAGAAGGGTGTCTTCACCAGCCGGATCAGGCACATGAAATTCGTGAGAGAGCTTACCTCCCATAGTGCCTGAATCTGCTGTAGCTCGCATCCACGTCGTCTCAGACGAGCGGGCTTGGTCCCAGCAGAAGACGCGTTGGAATATGCGTTCATACGCACAAAGCACATCCTCGTATGTTATGCGCGCATCTTCTACAGACACGTCAAACGAATACATATCCTTCATAAGAAACTCTTTCGTGCGCAACAGACCCGCACGAGGCCGTGGTTCGTCACGGAACTTACGGCCAATCTGAAAGACACGTACAGGTAGAGACTTTGCACTGTCGATCTCCATACCTACAAGCTTCGTAATTTCTTCTTCATGAGTAGGGGCGAGAATCATGTCGTTTCCACGACGATCTTTCAGCCGGAAGAGCTCACTGCCCATGGCCTCGAAGCGGCCGGTTTTGTGCCATAGTGCTGGCGATAATAGCTGCGGTAATTCCAGCTGCGATGCACTGATTTGGTGCATTTCATCCTCAATAATCGCTGTAAGCTTCTTGAGCATGCGCAGGCCTATTGGCAGATACGTGTATGTGCCAGATGCTGACTGTCGAATATACCCTCCCCGAAGCAAGCGCCGCACACTCTCCAGCGTGTCAAGAGAGCCCAAAGCATCGGCTGATACAGTCGGTACATACAGACGCGAGAGCCGCTGTGGTGATATGGTTTGGTGGCGTAATGCAGCAACGCCACCAAATCGGTGCATGCCCATCGGACGCATGACGTTTTGTACTTATTTATTTATTTATTTTATCTTGTGATCTGTCAGGATGCGAACAACCTCCGCTGCCCGTCGAAGGAATTGCGGCGTCAAGACACATAAGCGCACAATGCAACTGGCCCACACTTTTTTGACACGATCAACACACCTGATATGCAAGATGATTACGTAAACGCCGAGCATTTCCCAGTTCGTCTGTGCGGCACATAAAATTGAGTACGAGACAGGGTCTATCGACTTTTAGATCTGACAGCCACTCGTCAAGACCCATGTACGTGCGGCTGTTGGTAGTAACATGCTTGTGTGTGATGCATGTACAAGCGCTGAACTACTCTATGTGCCAGGAATGGTCTGGAAGTGACTTTTTCAATCACTTCTACTGGTGGAGCGGCCCCGATCCAACGCACGGACTCGTCGACTACGTGAATCAGGATGTATCACGCCGGTCAAACCTGTCGTACGTGGATCAAAATACTGGAAACTTTGTCCTCAATGTTGACACGGGTGATCCTGTACCGCGGAATGGAAATTGGTCGCATCTCGTCCGACGTAGCAACCGAATCCATTCCAACCACAAGTTCGGCGATGGCTTCTACATCTTAAAGCTCGCTCGTATGCCCACTGGTTGTGGGACATGGCCTGCCTTCTGGACGTCAACAGGAAGCACATGGCCTGATGGTGGCGAAATTGACATTATTGAAAACGCAAATGGTGATGGTCCTAATCTTTCGTCCCTTCACGCGGGCGCAAATTGCAATGTCGATCAAAAATTCAACAATAACCAGCAAGGGTACGTTATCATGGCAAGCTTGCGCTTTTTGGAAACATATGCTTATTCAGAAACCTCGTGCGTACGAACTGCACCGATCAACCGGGATGCGCGAGTGTCTTTAACGACGACAATTCCTTTGGCAAGAGCTTCAACAACGGGTACGTTGTCATTCACAGCCATATCCTCGCCATCGCCCAATATGAAAAAGTTGCTGACGCGCAATTACAGCGGTGGTGGTTGGTTTGCAATGATGCGTGATACGCGTGTGAATGGAACGGGTGTACGTATTGACGCGTCACACTAACCCACAACTCCAGATTGGCGTGTACTTTTGGCACAAAGATACCGACCGAGACCAGATGCCGCCACAGGTGGCAGCTCCCATTCACGAAGCCCCTACTAGTCTAGATGGCGATCATATGGAAAAGTGGGGTAAGCCGCAAGCCTATTTCGGCTACAATGATGGATCCAACATTCAGTGCGATTTTGAGAACAAATTTGGGCTGCATGAAATTATTTTCGATACAACGTACGTTTTTGTGTTGCCCTGGGTCTGTGTAGATTAGCTAACCCTTATTCAGGCTTTGTGGCACATGTACGTGAAGGCACATTGAATGCTGCCAAGACAAAGATGGGATTAGTCGACTAACCCCCCATGCACAGGGACCAATGGGCCCGGTCGTGACACAAGTGGATGCCCGGTGTCTTGCAAAGACTATCTCATAAGTATGTACAGCTTAAAGAGTTGTCAGGTATCCTTGCTAACACAATGCAGACCACGGTGACAAGTTTGCCGACGCTCGGTGGGAAATCGAATTTGTCCGACTCTACTCGAATGGATGTGAGGACGAGCCAGATCAAGACGATGACTCACCGTCTTCTGGTGGCATGCGCATTTACCCAACCAGTCTGACCTGGGGCTTCACTGTTGTAATGTCCACGTTGATGATCTTTTTTGGTTCCATGTTCCTCTAATGACTTGCAACGATATCATATGGTTTCAGAAGAAAGCTAGGATGCACGTTGTTGTCGTCGCTGGCGCATAATGTCGTATATAGCTTGTTGAGACGCGCGGCGCAAATCAACGAAAGCTTGGGCTGATAGTGCATAATGATGCGTGAGGGATGCCATGTCGTCTTGGTCAAGAAAAAATGTCCAACCACTGGGCTGTTTCTGCGCATGTTGCGATTTGTGGCTCTTAGCTTCAGCATAAATAGCACCTAATTGATCATCGGGTTTGCATTCCACTAGTCCATATTGGAGGAGGGACTCCAGCGACTTGGATGCCACGTAAGCGCGCCAATGACTCCATGCACGCCACATAAAGTAGTACGTAAAGACATTGGGGATGACGGGGATAAGGAAAAGTGGGGCCGTCACAGGGATTGCTACCATGTTGTAGAACAGCAAGCGGTAGTGATGTGGGGCACGACGGTGAGCCATATTGCGAAGTGATTCCATCACACTTGTCCTACCCACAACAGACGGGGGATATAGCACTGCCACATGCGTAGGATGCTCTTCTCGCGGCTCGCGTAGGTGCAGGCGAGAAGTCAACAGGGCATGAATCGATGGACCCAGCACCTGATCAATGCTCTTGAGTGCCCACTCTTCGTACTCAATACGGTCCATAATTCGCTCGCCCAAAGCGTGAACACGCCGCTTCCAGTCGAGCAACGACGTTGTTTCAGGCCTACCCCAAGTTGTCCACATGTCGGATGCATATTGAATGGCGCGTTGTGCATAACTTGGCTTGGTTGAGAGCTTGGTAGCGGCCGCCGCCACCGGCTGTGACAGATATGTCAGGTACGGCAATCGTGCAGGATTTGCATGACGTGCAAGCGGCACAGCAATGATGTTCATCCAGATGTTGCCGGCACTATTTCAATTGCGACGCCAAACTTTCTTAGTGTTTCAACTTTGTGGCGCTACTTCTACTTACAACATGTGATCCAGCCAACGAAAAAACTATAGCCAAGGAATGTGACGCAAGCGAATTCGACATTGGACCACTCCAGCGGCCCCCAGTCAGCCTTACTCTTAGCCGACGTGCAGAGTTATCTGACTTGCGTAATTAACCAATCAGCGTGCACATTCGTACACGGAAGCTAACGTAGAGATCGTGAATATGAGCGACAAAGGAAAATTGGGTAGTGGCCATTTTTGCCATTAGGGTGCTTGCAGAGTATCAAGTCTACTGCAGCTGGCTACCGATTCCGACACCTACAATAACCTGTTCATACAGACACACGAACGCCAATAGCTCGTTCCGTCTGGCAGTGAAAGCAGTATCATCTACTCAACGACACGAAATGGCCGCTTGCGCAACTTCACCGCACCAGAGTGCGCATTCTCGATGGGTTGTTCATAACGCAGGTGACTGCGGAAACGACGCAAGTACATGATAGCGACATCTTCGAGAACATCAGGTGCAATGTCCAAGTCAGCAAAGCTCTTCGTTCCCGGGGCAGGCACCTCGTTGATGAAGCGACGCGTCACCTCATCCTGGTTGAACATGGGCCACCAAGCAATCTTCTCACCCAGTTTGGCAATTGCTGAGAACATGAAGCGTGGAATGTTCACATCTGGCGAGACAATCTTCTGGTACGTGATATTCTCGACGATTTGCAAAAGCTCGCGGATCGTGTACGCTTTTGGACCATACAGCGAGAACGTTTCGCCCATAGCCAAGCGGTCCTGCTGCGAAATGACTAACAGAGCCTCTGCCACATCCAACGAGTGCACAGGGCGCAGCACCGTTTGGCCATTGTTCAGCTTCCATGTGATCGGCCACGACGCCATCTTGTTGAGGAAACGGTCCTCATGGCCATAGATCGACGAGGGACGAACGATCGTTGCACTGGGGAACACCTTGCGCACAGCATCCTCACCCAAAGCCTTCGTGCGCATGTATTCGCTTTCAGAATCCACATCAGCCATCAGGTGAGACATGTGGATGAAGCGTGCTACACCCGCCTGGGCAGCGATTTCGGCGATGCGACGAGCACCATCGACGTGGACATCTCGCATGGAAAAGTTCCTGCAGAAGTTCTGTTAGCATTGTTACTCGTAACATATCTTGCTGCTGCTGCTGCTATTGCAGCCATGCATTGAACGTACTTCGTCGCATAGTTGCGGCCAGTCAGATTAAACACAGTGTCCGAGTGGCGCAAGCATTCGTCAATCTGTTGCTCGTTGCGAATATCCCATTCAAGAGGGACGATTTGGCCTAGATCACCTAGGAGCTTCAAGTGCCGCTTTTCGTCCTCGTCGCGGTACGGCACGACGACCTGGGTACCTACTTTCGCCAGTTTGCTGACAAGGTAGCGACCAAGGAATCCGGTCGCACCGAAAACGGTTGCGATGCTGCCTGAGACCGAGTTTCTATAGAAAAACATTGGTCAGAAACTTGTTCGAAGCGATTGCGGCGTGCCCATCGCACACTAGCGTCGCACACAACACGCACCTTCCGAAACCATACGGACCAGCTGCCACCTGAGGCATACCCGTCCGATGCTTTATCGTAAGATCCTGCGAGTACTTCCGGACAAGCAAGGAAACTGGCTTCGCATGGCTCACACCATTGCGCGAAGCGCACAGCACAGAGCGCGACAGGCTCATGGTGATTTGTTACTCCGCTCCTGACAATGGACGACGACGTTCAAAATTCGCTCCAGTCTCGCAGTAGGACTAAGCGCCGTCTACCTGACTTTACTGGACTGCTCAACGATTCCGTGTGCCTCGGCCGGCGCGCATTACAAATTATTACATATATACACTCTTTCCCACCTTTCACTTATTTACACAACACGTTTTCACGGGTCGGACTCGTCCGACTCCAAGAGAAATTCAAGCGCTCCGACATCGATGTGAGGTGGCTCAGAATTGGACTCTGAGTCGGTGACATCGTCTACTTCCGCTTCCGTGCTAGTGACAGTGTATCCATCAAAGCCGTCACCATTTTCATAGTCACTCTCAATTTCACTGTCATCTTCAGAGTCCGAGCTCCGATCAATCCGTGAAAAGATCGAGCGATCTTCTTCTTCACACAACAGCTCGTCAAATAGTGCAATGGCCTCCTCGTCCGCCAGTTCGGCAGACGTCGGCGCATGTGTTGTAGTGGAAATGACACCGGTATTCTCTGCTTCAGGATGCGAAGCCGTGTCTAAATGACCATCCACGTGTAGCGATGGGTTGGATACGCCCCAATCTGTTGCTGCGTCAGAATCCGAGTCCGAGTCTAGAGAAAAGCGTTGTGCACGTCGCATTGCCCGAAGAACAGCGGTCATGTTGGCTGTTCGGACCCTTGGACGTGTGATGGGGCGCAGTTTATGCCAGTCATCACGCATGTGCTGTAAAGACATAGGCGTTGCATAGTGCAAACGCACGAGGCGCTCAATGCCTGCAGTAGCAATCATGGGGAGTGTGGGATGACATAGAGTAGAATTGACAATAGAGCGTGAACCCTCAAGCGTGAATGCTGGTAACCCAAGCTCCGTAGGACGAAGCATCGTAGGCGTCGAGCTACTCGTGCTCTTAAACCATACATCACCTGTACCAACAGAATCGCTGACAAGCCAGTCATTATAAGAAATCGAACGGCGTTCATCGAGAAGTTTTTCGAGCTGGGGAATGCGCCAACCGTAGCCGCGAAAATCGTCTGAACCAGCCACATAATATAACTCACCTGACTGCGCTTCAAATCCAAACGAGCCTCGTTTGACCGTGCAGCTGTTCTTATAGCCGGCTAATGCATTTGTGCGTGGACTTCCCCCAGGTTCATGAGAACTAAGATGGGTACGCAAAGCCTCGGAAGACATTGTCGCTAACGGCTCAGAGTCGTTAACAGCATATAATGTCGGGAGATAAAGAGACATATCAGCAGTCAAGAAACGACCGGAAGGATCAAACTGAGCACCTGTAGGGTCCGGACGTGCCATGGCCAAGCCCGAAGGTAGCTTTGACCGCAGCTGCGTAGCGTACCGTACAAGAGCATCGGATGAGCGGATAAGACGCTCGTTCCTATCAGACAAATTGCGTACATCATACAAAGACACATACGCACTTGGATCGTGAGAGGATGCGACCGCGAATGTCGTCCCATCACCGGGATTGGGATTCCATTGAGACGAAGCCACCTGACCCCGAAAATAGTACGAGTGCGCAGTATGTGGATGGGGCAGTCGCACATCCACAAGATGAACATCGCCACCATCGCTCGATGAAAGAACCAAATTCGTATTAGTTGGATGCGTAGACACCTCGCGAATGCCATATTCGTGCACGGAGTACGTGAGTGTGGGTGTGTGGCGTTCAATCCGGGGTGTAATTTTGTGGATGGGAATGTTGTCGTAATTCAGGTCGTAGCAAAGTACCATTTGGTCATTCCCACCGGAAAACAAGTACTTATTTTGTGCACTCCATGAAAGTGAAAATACGTTGGATGTATGACCAAAGAGGCGAGCGAGCGTCCGATACGTACTGGTTTCTGGCGGCCCTGCACGCTGCTCGTCAAAGTCATACAAGTCGCGTACATGAATACGCATATCATCCCCACCGCTAGCCATCCATTGTCCAGAGCCACGCGAAAATGCCAAAGCATTGATACACGAACGATGTCCCTTCACTTCGTGTAAATAAGTAAAGTTGGATGACTCTATGGCTTGCTGAAGGATCGAGCGGCGCAAATGCATAGCTTGCGTACGGGCCTGAACTGAAGTCCCGGCATGTTTTAGCTGCAAGAGCGCCATGTTATGTTTTGCATTAGGTGATGGTCCCTCCATCGATGACCGCCGCCGTTTGGTAGGCATGGTCGCAAATGCTCTAACACACGTGGGGTGAAAAACGGATGCTTCACGACAAACACGCCGCACGGACTTAGGTGGGGTTGCGAAGATCGGATTAGTGTGGAGTATGAATATATGCAAGGCCTGGAGATTAGTGGGCGCGGCGGCTGTTGCTTCAAAGCTGGCGCTTGGCTCCCCCACAGGGCAACGTCAAGCCCGACTGAAGCGGCAACCCAGGTCCAGTGGCGATAGCATACACGGTCTAGGCCGATGCAATAATATGTGGCTTTAGAAGAGCTCGAAAATATATGCACCAGTTCGTAAATTCGTGAGCCTACACATCCCTATACCGACACACACTCCCCGTAGCTCGGCTTGCACTGAAAACGGACACGGTGCAGACAGATGAAATTGATCCGTAGTTAGTCCATTAGTGTTGTAGTGTCCACGGGTGTGGACACAAGCCAAACGCACATACGCATTGATTCTATGAGATTTCTCCACATCCATTCATCCGCCATGTCGACGCTTTTTCTGGTGCAGACATGTCATGTGTACCGTGTGCCTCCGAGGACTAGTGCAGCCGGATATCGCGCTGCAGAATGGGGAGACACATCGAAACCATTATGGACCGGACGTTTGCGTGTTTTGGAGCACGCAGGTTTGTGTGAGATTCGACTTGAAGACGCATCGTCAGGTATGCGATATTTTGGGTCCCATTCCATACTAAGATAAAATAACAGGCGAATTATTTGCTTCATGTCCATACGATGTAACTGGCAAGAGTGTGGAATCTGTGCTGGACTCTTCCAGATACTACGTGATCCGTGTTGAAAGTAATGAGAATGGCTCAAAACGACATGCATTTATCGGAATAGGCGTAAGTCGACATGCGCGACAATGTGCAGTTGCATCTGACCAAAAAGTTTGTGGAACGAACCGAAAGCTTTGACTTCACTGTCGCATTGCAAGACTGGACTCGGTACGTATGGGATGCGAAACTAATGAAGACGCCGTAAATCTGAGCTTGCTGCGCCTGTGGGTCAGACCAACGATGTACCGTCGCCCCATTTGCCGTCAGGACCTAGGCAGGACTTTTCCTTGCCGGAGGGCGAGACCATCCATATCCGCATGCCCGGCCATGAGCACGCGCAAGTAACGCAAACAGCGACCTCGCGCACGTCCCCTGCAAAGGACGCAACAATCCAGCAAACATCAACACGCCCAGCTATCGGCTTTGTACTTCCGCCTCCGCCTCCGCCTCCATCTAGTAGTCGACCGAAATAACGTATTCCTTACATGTACAATCTATGACGACGGTTTGCTTTCTTTATTGGCCTCTTGAGCTAGTGAGCGCATAATTGTGAGCGGCCCTTTTTGGGCACGATGTGCCATTTCTTTCTCTATGCGCGATGTCGAGGAAGCTGTATTTTTCTTGACATATGTTGGTGATTCACAAAGGCATACGTACGCGTTTCTGGACAGCATCTTGCACTGCTGCCTTTTTTTTCGGCGCAATGCGTTTTCCAACTTTTGGCTTAGGTTGGGCTGGTGCTTTGCGCTTCTGTTTCGTGCCTGGGATAGTAGGCCGCTTGAGTGGCTTGAATCCTTGCGGCATGGTCAAGGACCTTTGAGAACAATCGTGTACCACCAAAAAAAATCACGACGAGGAAAAACGCGCCCAATTCTGACTGGTCTCGGAACTAGGGTCCACGGCCGCCAAATGTCCAACTCGTGCGTCAAAAAATCTTGACTGCGCTCCACATTCATGCTCCAGGTGCTACTAGCGCTGGTCGATCGAGTCATCTCACCTGACCAGTATGGCACACTGCTCGCAGGGGTGATCGTGCTCGCACTTGTGCATAGCTGGGCCAAGGGGCCCTCTTTACTAGGTCGTGAAGAGCGTCTCGAGGCGTACCAATTGCGTGCGCGTGACAAAGATTCTAAGGCCATTGTGACAGCCGGTTTGAATGAAATGGCAGGTCGCGTCGTTCTCGTCGCAACTGGCGGCATGACACCCATGGGGCTTGTCGTGATCGCGATGCTTGCGCAGCAAGGTGCTCACATTGTTGTGCTTGTACCTGATTTAAGTTCCCTCGACGTCATACAAATGGTTGACCTGCTCCGAGAAAGCAGTAGAAACGAGAATATTTTTGCCGAATCGTGTGACATGGGTGATATGGCGTCTATATCTGAGTTTTCGAAACGCTGGTTTACGGGAAAGATGGTCCAAGTACACCCTGAAGGCACATCTACTGCCGCATCTGCTGTTCACTTGCCGGGCATTCCGACAACCGAGGCACACAGGCTTGATACCGTCTTGTTCTTGCCGATGCCCGAGGGATCTACCCCTATGGGCTCGAGTCCAGACCAGTCGTACTTATATAATGTGCTGGGTCCTTTTCACCTGGTTGAATCACTTCTTCCAAGTCTTCAGCAGCAGCCTTTATCACGAGATGTACGGATTGTGAGTGCAATTAGTCCTTGGTATGCCGCGGGCATGGCTCGCTTTGACTCAGTCATGAAGACTAATTCACGAGCCGTCTTCGAACCTTGGACGTTCACTGGTGCATCATCATTGCATTGGATTATTCTTGCCAAGGAATGGCAGCGTCGCTTCGACATGATCGCAAGCGCTGACCAACGACCACGCACGCGTGTCCCAGGGATGGATGCAGAGGAAGATTCAGCACCTGTATCAGCACGGCGAAGCCACATCTCCTCTGTGCTTGTATGTCCTGGCTTTGAGATCTCGTCGCAGCTTTCCGTCTTTTTCGTCACCGATATGCTTTCTTCGCGAGTACATGCGCTAGTCCTGTGGCTACTATGGCTTAGCTTGTATCCATTTTTCTGGGTGATTGGTCGTCCGACCCAGCGTGCAGCAGAGGCTGTCGTCTGGGCTATCTGTGCGCGGCTTGAGTCAGAAATGCATACTTTCATGCGTACACATATGTCGCAGGTGGTACGTACTCCTGCTCGTAACGATGTTGAGGATGCGCGGCGCTGGCCTGGTATTCAGCCAGGACACGTCTACCGTGAAGGACGACGGGTCGATCCGCCCGTTCCAGCCTCGTGCCGTGGCGCTGGCGCTGCGGCATTATGGGCGTCCACTGAGGCCGCGGTTCATGCAAAGCTCAAGTCAGCGTGAGCACTCGGTGGACACTTGCTGCACGAACAGGTCCTGTCATAGCGGGACGCACCAAGACAAGACGCTTGAGCGGCACACGGTTGCGTTTCCACTGACCCCATCGAGGCCGTTGGGATTCTTGCTCGTCCAATATGCGCTGCCGTCGCTCCAGCTCAAGCCATGCATCGAGCTGTAACGCAGCTATGGCACGGCCGTGTCCCGTAGCCAACGCATAGTGACCTGTACTCACTGCTCCAGCCATAGATGCAACCGATACGGGCTGCGCCTCTAGCTGGTGAAGTTGCTCACGTGCCGCAGCTTTGAGTGACGTGGGGGGGTCGAGGGCCCTGTGCCATGCGGGTAGCGCATCCATCGCCGGCATGTGTAATGTCGCATTCTCATCAAATGCACCCCGTCTGCATGCTACGATGAGCACCAATACGAAAGGACGCTGATCTGGAGGTAGCGGCATAGGACGAGAACCCTGCAAAATGCCGTCGACGTACTGCCTGCGAGTCCATGCACGCGTCGGAACCTGCCGTCGTGGTACGGGCGAGCTCGACTCGATTCGACAAAGCGCCTTGTCTAGCTGCTCGGCCGCTTCAGTAGAGAGTGTGGGCACTATCACAGGTCGCTTGGCTACCGCCTCTCCCTGCTTTGCCCACAGATCTATGCCACCAAATGGGTAGGGAAACATGGTTGGATCTAGCTGCACACGCTTGGCAGGCGGTCGAGCAAGCCAATGGGCTTTGCGTTCCTTTTCATCTTGGTCCGTAGCTGAAACATGTGCTGCATGTCCAACCCAGTCGTATGGGAATAACGGAAGCCCCATGTTCAGGTAAATTTCGCGCTGCTGAGCCTGTCCGAGAACTTGCACGCCTGTGCGGGCAAGCGCATTCCAAAATACCGCACCCCAACCGCGCGGTATGAATAGTACGAAACCATACATAGGCCTTGTACCTGGTGATGTTTCAATATGGCGCTGAATCATCATAATCGTTAGGGTATCGTCCACACGGGGGTGTACATCTCCGCGGGCGCGTCGCCGGTCAATCAATGCTGTAGGTGATGGGAGAGTATGGCGTTTTTGAAAGAAACGAGCACTTGTGTACCGAGGCAAATCTTCGTCTTGCAGAGACGCGTCGGTCAGGGCCAAGTGCCTATCACACCCGGACGTCTGCCTCATGACTTTTGAGCTGAGCCGAGGATCAATAACGTCAAACGTAAGAACCATGTCTGATGGAAGCCATGCCGTGGGTTCAGAATCTCCATGTACGATCTGATGCAACACGGTGGATTCGGGCTCCGTCGCATTGACTCTCAGGTGCAACACACGCCCAAGTGCATGGGCGGCATGATCACCAAGCACTTCAAACACGTTCCATCCTTCCTCAAACGCAGAAGCACCAGCAGGACGAGATACTGCGATATCTTTCGGAGGTCGCTTTGTCGCATCTTCGTGCCAAACACCAGCGGCTACTGCTGGTGATGGTGCCATGTCCACCTGTCGGGCCTGGATGTCTACATGCTTCGTCCACCTTTGAGGGACAGCGCAGATATGTCGCGGGCGTTTTTGCTCAGCTCGCAAGGTATCCAACGCATGCTCCAGCGCACACTGGAGATCGCCGACCGCCGCGGGATGGATGAGAAGCACACAGGCCCGTTTCGCGTGTCCTACGACGCGCGGCACCCATAGCACTTGCAACGGCGAAATAACCCGTAAAAACGCAGCCTGTGCTTTTGTGCGCTTCTGCGCACCGTATGGACGATCAAGCAAGGCTGTGCGACAAAGGCGTGATCCTGACGTCCATGAATCTTCCCAGCCATGTGCAGCACCAAGTAACATGAGAAAAAGCTGGAGACGTGTTGTCGCATCCACTAAGCGCTTCGCTCGCGCAGTCACGTAAAAGGCCGATGTATAGCTCGCGTCGTGCATTACTGCGTGCGAAGTCTTGCGCCAAGTCATGCGGAAGCTCTTATGATGGGGCGTCTCTGCGAGACTAAAACCCCAGCGACCAGCGCCTCCATCAGGTGCAGCTTTTTCACCGCTCATGCGAAAACGCTTCGCATGCCACATGTGCGTTTCAAGCCATCGCCGGTCCTTCCGTCCGGCCTTGCTTTCAAAGCAGTTCGGCGGCGTACATAAGCTTTAAGCGTGCGTTCCGGCATGCGGCGTCGCATCTGACTGCGTGTTTTCGCCGCTGTATTTGAGGCACGCAGTTCAGCACGCGCTTTACCTCTCAGTCTGCGAGGAAGCCGTAGCAGGTTGTGGGAAGCAGCACGCCGACGCAAGTGTCGAGGCAACAGTTGCCACGCTCGGGCATTGGTCGAGGCACGGGCCTGCGCCATCGCTCGGTGAAGCGCGAGGATCTCAGTTTTTCGCGCAGCAACCAATTCTTCTACATCCAAATTAGGCCTGACAGGCTCTGTCGGTGATATTGTCGTCGATTTGTTCCTACGCACACGCTTCAGATCGCATACTGGCACTGGTGCGTCCGTGTCGGCGGCTCTTTTCATGAGGTTGGAAGCATTCCATTGCTTAGTCATATACCTAGTCTTATATCACAATTTCTAGGCCCGTGCCCCGTCAATCTATATCTCCTGCCAGGACAATAGATAAACCACACGTAGCCGTTCACCATCATGTTCAAGAAGCTCATTGCCAAAGCGACCAGAGACGAATCATCAAGCTCTACAGGAAGCGATTCAATGACATCCCCAGGGTTTCCGCAAGTGCCACACGGACAGATCAACCATAATACTACGAGCTCAGGCTTCTCCCAACATGGACAACCCAAACCCATGAACCAAGGAATTAACACATCTGCACCCATGGCTCATGCTTCCATGGGAAATGCTGCGACGCATTCTCATTTGAGTATGCACCAATCAAAGCAACATCCTATGTGGGCCCCTCCATTGTACGCTCAGCCCACCACGAAACACAAAGCTCCTAACCCGAGCTGCTCAACCATCGATGTGGCTGGACTTCCTGTCAATATATATGGACTCAATCATCTCACACCTCTTTCCGCTGGAAATGTTCCTGAAGTATGTATCTCCATTCACATGCACGGCCGGACTGGTTCTGCCAAAAATGAAGATGAACTTGTTCGCGAATTATGGCAAAATACTATCGGTGAGCGCCAGGGTCTCCAGGGTACAAATCGCGTGCGTGACTTTTTGATCGCCACGTTCGACCAGCGCAACCACGGCGCTCGCATGACAAACAAGCTGGGTCAGCGGACTTGGAAGGAAGGGAATCCAATGCACGCCGTTGATATGTATGGAATGATTCACGGCACAGCCTTGGATGTGTCGTTCCTTGTCGATATGCTCCCTGCCTATCTTTTTCCCGAGGGCGAACGAGTTGTGTCATTGTTTGCTGTCACGGGCAAGTCTCTAGGTGGTCATGCTGCGTGGCAGGTGCTTGCGCATGAGCCGCGTATTCAAGTGGGTGTACCCTTCATCGGCACTCCAGATTTTCAGAAACTGGTTGCTCAGCGGACGCGCTCTTCTGGTCTCGAAAATGGACCACCACAAGTACCTAACTCCCTCCGTGTGCTAATGAGACAGATTGATCCCGCTATGCAGCCACACAGTGAAGTAACCCCACTCAACCCCTTCTTCGGCAAGAAAATTTGCGTGTGCTCAGGTGAGGATGACAAGCTTGTGCGATGGTCATTTTCCGAAGAATTCGTCAAGAGTTTGGTAGTTGCACCACCAAACTCAGAAATTGCTCGATTGAGCCTGGAAGTTTTTGTGCAGCCTGAGACAGGGCACAAAGTCACTCCGGAAAGTATGTACGATAATGTTGTTATTCAGAATTTTCCACTCACACCTATCTAGTGCTTGCTCGTGGTGGCCGCTGGCTTGCGCAATGGGCTTTAGCGTATTGACTCTCCCAACATTAGCCATTGTGTTTATGGGAAAGTTCGATTTATTTAGTGAAGGCTGGATGTTCAAACCATCCTTTACTCTCTTCCACTGTAAACAATTTCTCTTCTAGTCTCGTATTCTCTTTTTCATTCTATTGTTCCCACTTATTTCTTTTACGCAGCAATATTCGTAGAGAATCCAAGGGTGCTGCTTGTATGTGTGCTTTTTTGAACTATGCGATCTTGGAAGCTGTCACAAACACATTTGCTTAATCAAATCCGTTTTTTATGAATTGAACCTGAGGTACAACTACATTTCTAGGACTCTTGATAAAGTCGATCCGCATAGAATCAAATAACACATTCTTAGAACACTCACAAGTCATGTTGGAACATATACGATAGACCAGACTGGTAACCACTTCCAAGCGTCTAAATTACAAATGCTGAACCCATGTCTAAATAATAATTCAATATCGACTCAAAGTGACTTCTCCGCCTCCATTTCTGAGGTACTGACGCACACGATTTGTTGCCACAAGATCGATGCACAGGCCTAGTCATACATCCAATTAGCGATCAATATGAATCCATCATTCTGCAGGGATTTTTTGGCCATTGCTCTTCCAGGTTTTGAGGATTTTGCCGTTACAACCCATTTGCAACAATTGGTATGCGCAAGCTTAAATGAATACAGAGTTTGCTCGGCCGCACTAAAGAGCTTGAGGCCAATTCAAACTGCAGCTAGGAGAGAAGCTACGTGTATCGGTGATGAATAGGGCAAAGCACGACCCACCCTACCACAAACCACGCTACCTGCAAAATGAATCGAAGCATCGGGCATCTCAAGCATGTGTGGTATCCCATCTCTATTCGTATAAATAACGGAATCATTCATCATATGAAAATGACTTGTTCCGGACAAAAAAAGTTTGGTTTCGATGTAATACATGCGGAAAAGTTGATCGTGACAAAACTTTGTTGAAGTCACACTTTCACACTTTGGTTTACCGGTTCCTCCAGAAACAACGCTACAATCTCAATCGTGTGCATTAAAAACTTGTACTGAATACGCTAATTTTTTTTGCCTGCAATAAAAATCTCAAGCGACTATGTGCTAAAAAACAGTAAATTGATTCCATATCCTAGAGCGTAATTGTCGTTCAGAAACAATGAAATAATAAGCTCAAGTAGGATTCATGGAATGCCGATGTTCTAGGACTTTGACAACGTTGACCCTGTATTATGCTTTGAGGATGACGAAAATAATTTCTATAACATCGTGTTTTCCTTGAACAAAATAGAACTCCTGAGCTACTCAAGCACACTACCTCCTCTCACGTCCGACATAAATCAATAGTATATCAATAGATGGTATGGGCATTGCAGATGTCACTTTGCGTCTGAATCGGCAACTTTATGTTAGTTGCAATAGGGGTCTAAATGCTGCGTTTTGCACGTCGATACAAAGTGTGCTTATTTTCCCAAGCTCTGTCTTAAGGGTGCGTCCTATTACCAGCACTGACTTCTCAACTTGATGCAATGAAACAAGAATAGTAATATGTCACAAGCCCATTTATCCACGGCTCATTAATATGCAATAAAGATTGAACTGGTTATGATGCGAGCGCTTAAAGTTCGTGTTTGGATGGATCGAATGATTCGCGTAACTTGCACACTCCCAGTACTTATTTACATCTCACACGTGAGTAATTTATCAGAGATCAGGGGTCTTAACTTGGCGTACGTGCACCGGATATCACGGAATAGCATGGTTTACGGGAGAGACCACGTGGTCTACGTGCCACGAATTCGTCGACTCAAGTTCCGTGTTGGGTCAAAGTCCACTCGCAACGGACAATCAGTGGAGGGCCTGCATAAGGTTTTTCCAAAATCGGTAAATGAGACAGGATGTTTATTGGCCACGTGGCAGCCCAACATATCTGTTGTTTCCGGGTTGCCCTGGCGTAGTATTTGTCTTTGACCAAACACCATGTCGGAGCTGGTGCACAACTCACGCTCCACGGAAGGGCGTTTTGCGCACCCTTCGTTGGGTCGTTCTCATAAACACATGAATGTATTTCTTCGCCCATTCGGTGAGGACAAGTCTAAGGTACACGATGATGCGGATCTTGCCGCTGCCCGTAAGGCAGTAATGAATGCTGGTCTAGTAACGCCGAAACGTCGGACGAAGGCTAAAGCGACCGAACCATCTGTTCGCACAGTACGAACGACGACTGGATTACGTCGAATCGTTTCCGAGGATGCTCCCGTCCGTCGCACCCCGCGCAAATTCACGAACATGACGGCAGAGGCAATGCTTGGCGAAGTGCCGCACGCACCTGCTTCTGTGTTTGCTGTTGGTGGCCCTGCCGTCCAAGCAGTAGAGTTCAATGAGCGTAGGGACGGTGCGGAAAGTGGATACAAGTCGTCTCGCTCCGAAATTGCTCGTGAAGAGGCGGCCCGCATCCATGCACGTCGCTTCCGTCGTGAGCGTGCAAACGCTGATGCGATCGCTGAAAGAGAGGCCCGACGTCTTGCTGAGGAACAAGAAGAAGAAGAGGAGCCAGAACTGGATGTGGAAAAGGCAAAGCCTAGGGGCAAACGACATGCAGCTGCCTCGAAAGGCAAGTCGATGTTCATCGAAGATGATGCGCCCCCGCCATTGCCTGAGAAGGATCTCCCTAGCATCGAGCCGTCTCGGTCTTACCTGCCTCTGTTATCTACTGGAACGAGTTCCTTCCCTACCTCTGTGAGTCAAGGCTCTCTGGATCACAGCAACTCGAAGCGATACGCGTCTCAGCCATTGAATTACATGTCTGACTACAGCACAACCAAAGTGAACGTGCCTTCGTCTACGAAGGCTTCGAAAGAGACAAAGTCTAGCTTGGCAGGAGCTGCTGAACGCGACAACCTCACTCCTGCGCAGTTCGCTGAAATGGCCATGGCAGACTTTAGCACTGTGCGCACAGGTTCGACTCTTCCGGACTACCTATCTCAGCGTCCAAGCAAGACTTTGTTCGAAGAGAAGCCAGATCTGAAAGAAGCAGGTACTGCTGCACCCATTTCTCAAGAAAATGTTGACGCGCCAAAGCACAGGGAACCTGGACAAGGAGAGGCCGAGGAAGCGACTGAGAGTTCTGGTGATAAAGAGGTTTCATTGCTGCCTGATGTCTCAACTGTGTCTGATGCCGCAAGACTCAAAGAGGAAAATGTGGCTGAGGTTAACCGCAAGGAAGCAGAGCTTGCGCGCCAGGAAGCTATTCTGGCACGCTTAGAGGCCCAGAAAGCTCGCGAACAAGCAGAACAAGTCCGTCGTGAGGCCGAGCAAATACGGCGCGAGGCTGAAGAGGCACGCCAAGCTGCGATGGAAGCGAAACGCTTGGAAGCCAAGCTGCTTGAGGAAGCTAAGCAACGTGAGGAAGCCAGGAAAGCCCAAGAAATCAGCAGGGTAGAAGAGCTGACGAGAATTGACAATGCCAAGAGGGCTGAAGAGACCAGACTGGCAGAAGAGGCCAGGAAACAAGCGGAAGAGGCCAGGAGACAGGCAGAGGAAATCAAGCGCCAAGTTGATGAGGCGAGGAAAGCTGATGAAGCAAGACGAGCTGAAGAGGCTAAAAAGGCAGAGGAGATCCGTAAAGTTGAGCTCGTGAAGCAGCAAGAGGCAAAGAAGGTGGCGGAAGCAAAGAAGTTAGAGGAGTCAAGGAAAGCAGACGCAGAGAAGAAGGCAGTGGAGGCGAAGAAGCTGGAGGAATCGAAGAAAGCTGAAGAGGCAAAGAAAGCAGCGGAAGCAAAGAAGGCAGAAGAGGAGAGGTCAGTGGAAGCGAAGAAGGCGGAAGAGGCAAAGAAAGTAGAACAGGAGAAGGCAGCGGAAGCGAAGAAGCTGGAGGAATCGAAGAAAGCAGAAGAGGCAAAGAAAGCAGCGGAAGTGAAGAAGGTACAAGAGAAGGCAGCAGGAGCGAAGAAGGCAGAGGATGCCAAAATAGCGCAAGAGGCCAAGAAAGCTCAGGATGTCAAGGAGGATCAAACAACCAGGACCCGGTCAACGCCCGGCAAATCAGCTGCCGCAACTAGCTCCGCCGCCGCCAAGGACACAGCTCCGTACATATCTCCTTCAAAGAGCTCGAGGATGCCAGAGTACCTTCGGGTTAGCCTTTCGAGCCTTGTTCGCAAGCCAACGCGTTCGAAGCTAAGCGAGAAGACGCCAGACTCTGCACGTTCTCCGTCTAAGTTTAGCCTGACTTCAGCACGATCGCAGCAAAGTCTTCCGAAAGTTAGCCCTTCGATGTCTGCGCAGACACCTGCTGCTACGAATGATAAAAACACGCCGAAGACGATTGCTTCGCCTGCCGAAACCGGCCCAATGCCTCCAAAGAAGGATGAGGGTCTCACACAGTCACCAACACCCCAAGTTTCCAAGCCTACAAGTCCCATGTCTGCAGTGAATGAACCCAAGGTGCTCAAAACGGACGCGGTGTCTCAACGTGCTGCACCCCAGACGGAGGCTGTGTCTCCCACGAAAGATGTCGTAAGCAAGCCAGTCACGTCTCAAATGGGAGCCGTGCCACCTAAGAAGGACGAGGAACCTGTGTCTCCAACGCAGCCAATTCCAAAAGACACGTCTTCAAGCGCTGGAAAGCCAGAGCCAGTGTCATCTAAGGCGAATGCTGTCTCTTCTCCCGCTCAGCCCCAGCGTGTTTTCCCTAAGCTGGAGATTGTTCATGTGACACCGAAGGGTGCACCAAAACCGGCGTCATCTTCGACAAAGGTTACATCTGCCTCAAATGTGGGACCTGGTGACAAGGTGCCGCTCCCGGGAACTGTGCGCAAGTCTCCCAGCAACTTATCCTCATCGATGTCGATGCCATCGATGTCTTCTCTCCCTAAGGGTGAAATGTCGTCTCGGTATGGTCTGTTTATTGTCGGCGATGCCCTGGGCAAGCCGAAGCTGGCGGAGCCGTCGAAGAAGCAGCAGGAAGAGCAGCAGCCTCAGGCTGCAACGCGCGAGCCATCGGTTGCTAGCGCGTCTGTTAATAATAAGGAGCTTTCGAAGAGTCCACTTGTCAAACCCGAAACGCGTGAATCTTTGTCTTCCGGTGCATCGTCCGCGTCAAAGGCATCCCCCGCTATCCCTAACATTGAGCTTCTTAGGCTTCAGACGGCATCAGACAAGCATGCGGACTCCAAGCCTTCTGGTTCGGAGTCCGAGCCCCCCACGAAATCCGCTATTTCGAAGCCTTCTGACAGGAAGCCTGTTCCCCCAGTCAAGTCGGACGATTTTGAGCGTTCTGACGTCAAGCCAGTGCCTCCGTTTAACATGGACGATAAGAAGCCATCCGAATCCACAGACCGCGCACCGAGCTTTACTTCCGACTCTAAGGCTGCTCCAGCTATTCCGAACATTGATCTGACGAAGCAATTCACAGTGTCAACGGCGGCATCCAGTGAGCGCGCTGATGGACATGCAAATGAATCTCCAATGCTCAAGGCGTCGGAGTCAAAGCCTGTGCCATCAGTTTCCTCACCGTCGAAGTTTTCGGGTCCAGCTTGCACTGAGGAACCGCTGACATTTTCGACGGCGGACTCTAAGCTAGCGCCACCAATTTCGTCGGCGGACTTGTACAACTTGCAACGTCGAGAGACTAATTCAGGTGAGACGAGCGCTGTCCCAGTGACTCGCTCGGTTACTGAGGCTGATCTATCAAAATCGCCGTCTGTGCCTGCGTATTTGTCGAACAACTTGGTCTTGGCTAAGCCTGCAGCTCAATCGGACATCGGTGAAATCGACGCTCGTAAAACACCAACCGCTGATTCAAAGGAGGCCCCGAAGTCACCTTCAGCTGTGCCATTGAATGAAGAGTCCAAGTCGAACAACTTTGCAAGAACGTCATCGCTTACTGAAACGAAAGAACTTGAGAAAGCGCCTGAGCCATTTACAACTTCCTCGGCGAATCCTGCCGGTAAGAAGGCGAGATCGGAAACGGGAACCGAATCGAAGGCGCCAGTACCCCCAGTGAAAGACGAGAGTCCAAAGACAGAAGTCGCCAAGTCGCGCGTGTCTGAAGCAGAAGACAAGAAGAGTACTGAAGACAAGGTGACTGAGTCCATCTCAGAGTCGAAAGAGAAAGGGGAAAAGACTGAAAAGGCGTCGGAATCGGAAGCTCCTGAGGGATTGTTGAAGGATGTCAAGTCAGTGACAAGTAAAGTGTTGTCATAATGCCTATGCTCTTGAAAGTGTTGAATTCGCCTAATCTGCACCCGAAGTTTGCAGCAAGGTCTACTTTAATGAGTACACAGAATTCAGTTCAATCTTTAAGTTCGTTCTAGTTCGTATGAAAAAAATATGATTTCTTGCGCGTACGGAACGACGATCCATGTTTAATTCTCATTTCTGCTTCCTTCCCATAACCCTACATAGTCAATTCCAGCTTCAGCAGGAAGTGGGCCTTCTGCACTGCGGCGGGCTTTAAAGCGCATGCCGCCCTGTTTGCGTGAGGCTACCTCATTACTAGCCCGGCTTTGATGACTGCTGGCGGTAGCCACAGCGTGATGGGCAGATGCGTTCAAGTCGCGTGTCTTTTCCTTTGGTTTCACTGCTGCGCTGCTTCGTGTTTTAGCCGTCTGAACCGTAAGTATATACTATACGTACAGGCTTTTTCTTGTAAAATTTCTTCTCGTCAGTAAAGAAATTGAGAACATACCGCCGATCGACCCATGCTGCCGACACAAACAAACTCGGATTCAGCAGAAAAAACCACGCCAACCTTGACGCCGCGATGTGGGAGGAAATATATTTAGGTTCGCAGTGTGTGCTCCAGTGACGAACGACAGCCTCATGTGGAGAAAACATGTTCGTCACCTCTTTGCTTCGTCCACGACCGTCAATGTGTCTGCCTGGCGTGGCCAGGTCTCGCATGGTGGCCATTGGACACGCAAATCACGCAGTATCCATCCTGTCTTTGAAACGAGTGTGCGGTTCACGTCTAATATCACGCTCATGCATATGGCATCAGCCTATGGAGCAGACATTGCCTGCAACTCCTGATACCTACCTTGCTTTGCGTGCCTCACCTTTCGAGCTTCACACATTACCGGTGACGTCGTTTGAAGCACTTATATATGATGCAGGGCGCTCTGGGTTGTCAGGCCTACTTGGACGCATCATATCCGATGTACTCGAGCATCGTGCCGCTGATGCAGAGACAGGGCGCCAGGATCAGTTGCTACTCGCATTGTTAAATATGGCCAGCACCTTTCAAAAACAAGTGCCAATTGCACCAGATATTATCGTGCAGCTTGCGTCGCAGTATGTGCAAAACGCAGGCGTCAAACACATGCCTGCGCACCTTGCGGCTCATATCATGCGCTGTACGCTCGGACTTCCAGAGCGCACAACCGAGCAGCATGAGCTGGTGTTGAGTTTATTCAAACATCTAGCTAACACAGCTGAATATCCACTGTTGGAAGAGGGGTTACATGTGATTGAATGCGTCATGCGCGATGATACGGTCTGTCTTACGACGGTGATGGGTCTTGTGTCGCAAACCGCGCATGTTGACGGCGAACGGCTCGGCGAACATACTTTAGAACAAGCGCGTGCAGATGGTTTTGCTTGGCGTCGATGGGTGCGTGAGACAAGTGGCTGGGTAGGTGTGAATGACCTTTTGCATGACAAAACAGATCTACAGACTCATGCATTGCGCATTTCAATATGGTCGTTGTGTTGTCGCGCTTGGATTCGACTTAATCGCTCATCGCGTTTTCGTGACTCACTCTGTCACCTTCGCGCTACATTCAGCTGTGCTACGGAGGCAGTCACTGCCGGAGCTGTGTCACAGGCACCACCCAGTATGTTGGTACTAAAGGGTTTGTTGCAGGCACATCTCGTGCAGTTGGCTGGCATGCATACAGCCAATGCTATCAAAACAGCTCTTGTTTCGATTCAGCATGTACCGCCTGAAGAAGTCTCGCAACTTACGCCGCGGGTCATCCAGACCCTTTGCGAACGTGCTATTCAATTGGACGAGACTCGCACTGCTGCGTTCATATTGCAGCATTATGTATCATGCGCTAATCGAGTATTTGGAAACACACAGCTACTGACGCAATTCTTACGCGGTCTGCCTGATCAGCTTATGCTTGCCATTCTGGAGTACCTCGCTCATACAGCAGCCATGACCGAAGCCGCAGAATGGGCGAAGCTTATTGTCGGCCGCATAGACGATTTGCACATGGACGCACGTCCTGAGCCACTGCGCATTCGCTGGCTTGTTTGTTTATGTGCACTTCAATTGTCGGACCAAGCCCGCTGGTTGTATATGCGATGGACTGGCTCCTCAGGGGAACCTCTCGATAACGATATTCGTGCGACTTGCCAGAATCAACATACATGTCAGGCTTCTATGCGCAACGACCATTTTCTTGCTCGTGTGTACGAAGTGCTAGGTCCTGTGGAGTCATATCTATCAAAGGATTCAGAAATACCCCCTCCGCTGGACAGCAGCGTGCCTGGCTCTCCCCCATGCATCTTGGTTTTGGTGCGTCACTTTGCAAATGGCGTGGACGCATCATTTGCCCGTGCTGTTCGCGATGATTTTCTTAAAGTGGTTTACTCAGGACGTAGCAGTCTGCCAGAACATTACCATCTGACTGCTCTCATGCAAGCATCGTTTATGCTCGGTGATACACAGGTGAGTTTGCGTGCCTTGCGAACCTTGCAATCGTGTCAATACGAGTTGGATAGCAAGGATGTATCTGTATTGCTTCGGGGCATAACAGATCTAGCACCTGCTTTGGGCTTGTCATTGCTTGCGGAGGTTCCTCGTCAAATGCGCCAGAACCCCCATCTGTATGCTGTGGTCATGGCGCGATGTATTCGTGCACATAAATTAGACTTGGCTGATCGCGTGTATGACATGGCTTGTGACCTAAACATTGGTCCACAGCTTGCTGCTAGTGCACCTACCGTTTTGCTTTCTTGCTCTAGAGACCGTCCGCCTTCATTCGTGCACCGAACCTTAATGATGTTACGCGATGGTTGGCAACCTGAGTATCATTTTTTGAATTGGATCATTCGCACAGCTGCACGTGGGATGACCCCTCGGGATGCTCGTTCTTCCATCGTACGCTTTCGTGTTTCTCGGGATCAGGACGTTGCTGCAGCTGTCAATTTGTTTTGCCACGTCGCTAAAAAACGCGAATATGTGGACCCACCTACTGCCCGGCTTGTTCTGTTCCAGATCGTGCTGCTAGCTCGGCGCCATGCGCGGCGCGGATCACTGTCTCTAGCATCAACATGGAGATCGCGTTGGATTTCTCATGTTGACAGTGTAATGAAAGCATTGTTCGCATCGCCTATGCGCTTCGACCCATCGAATCCTCCTGATATCCAAAACGAAAGTATGCTGAATTACTATCCTGAAAACACTTTGCCTCTTCCGAGGTCTGTCGTTAAACAAGCAATCCTTGCATATATGAGTCTACACGATCAGCGGGGTGTGCAAGATCTTTTTACTTGGATTAGAAAGCACGGGATTTTGCCGACCGACATTCTTGCGAAAAACGAATATGCAAACTTCAATGCATTGCTGCAAATTCCTTATCCTGAAAATCACGACACGTCAACATCACAGTGGCTTTCCATTTGATACCCCTCTCTTGTATAGTTAAAAAGGCTTTTCCACAAAGCCGTCTTATTCATAACGCAGGTATTTCCTGTGAAGCAGTCTTACGGCTTTGATAGCATAACGAACTGGGGCAGTTCTGTTTCCCAACTACCATTGCCTCAAGGATGGACGAACCTCCACTTCATCAACTACATCTCCACTGCACGTAGATCGCTCCTACCTTACGGACATTGTGTTTTACACTCGTTTGACGACATCAACATGTCTGTATTTTCACGATCAGCCGCACGGGCTCGTGTAGCACAGCGTCGTTTTTATTCAAAAATGACACCTAGGCTTGTGGGTGCGCCACCTATTGCCCAAGCTTCCTCGGTACGTTTGGGACATGCATCGTGTGTAACACATAGCGTCCATTTGCTGGGGGACTCCTTGGTTTTTTTGCAGGGTTAAGTATTGCATCTGTGGCTGGATTGTATTGGCTTCGTCATGAATATTCCATCGCATCTGAGAGTGTAGTAAAAAGCAGTGAGCGACTAGCAGATGTCGCGCACAATGTACGTGGTCAGGGATGAGAGATATCTTCTATCATCGCATGAGCGGACGCGCTTACATGTGCAGGTGACCCATTATTTGCAACGTATCGCTATATTAGAGCAGCGAATGAACCATATAGAAAAAGTCCTTGTCACCCGCGACGAGGTCCATGACGCGTGGGATTCGCACCGAAAATTGTACTCGGACATGTTTGAAGAGACCCTTGCGTTGCGCGAACGTCTATGGAAGCTGGGTACGTTTGTCTTTCCTGCAATCCAAATTGACTCAATTTACAGAACATGACATGTTCGCTACGCGTACGCGGGCAAGGGAGCCACCTAACTGGGACAAACCGTTAGATCAAGTTCCTCCCATGCCTCCTGTGCGACTTGTTTAGTCTCATCCATAGCCATCTTCCGTCATACGCATATTTTTCCATTTATATGGCCTCCGCCGATTTGATTTTGACAGCCAAGATTCAGATGCTTTATAATGCACGTTTGGAAACTCTAAACACTTTTATTCTCTGCTGTCTGTTCCTTTGAACCCCACTGATCCTGGGGTCATATCCCTCAACGATTGCGTCAAATTTAGGCGACCATGTCGCCAGGACCGCGCAATCCGGAGCATCAGCACGACATTTTGCCAAATACATTGCTTGCTCTTGTTCCCGATCGAAAGCAACTCGAGCATGCGCGTTTGCAGCGTGTGGCTGCACGCCATCGCGAATGCTCGACCACAAAACGTCCTCGATTTGACTGCAAGCACGATGATACACTCGCCAGCAGTATGAGTTACGAAGCGCAGGACGAGAATTTCTTGCCGCGAAAACGATTTGCAACTGAGCCGACGCAGCGATATGTGCCAGTCACTCCCAATGACCGCTTCTGGAGTGGTGCTATCAAAGTATGTACCAGTCACACGAAACTCACAAGCACAGGCAACCTATAATCGTTATGCTCGTGCATCTCGCTCTGGGACTCGCCTTGACCAAGTACTCTTGCCAGCAGCACCAAAAAATCCACATGGTTTGCAAAGGGTCGTGATGGCTTCATACGATGTCGAGATCGAATGGCTCGAATCATTGGTTCCTGAATCTGTACCGGTAACATACATTGGAAACCCACCGCGAGGTACTTCTACTGCTACAGTACTACCTGGACTGTATACAAATGATGCAAACATGAATTGGGAGATGTGTGTTCCACACAAACCACACGGACGAGCGTTACAACATATGAAGTTTCTCCTCTTGTTTTTCAATACACACTTGCCAAGTCGTTGTATCTACAGGCAACCTTACGAGGCTGGATTGGTCAAGATATGAAAATGTATGTTTATTACATGCTAATCTCAGATGATGTACATACAAGATTTCCCGCGACAAGGCTTGACTACGGAGGAATTGGATGCTGCACAGCTTAGTGCAAGGGGCAGCGGCGAGGAATTCTATCGGGAGTGGGAGCGTGTGCTTACTTCCCTCAGTATACCCGAATCACATGCCATAAGGCATGCTCTGCAGCAGTACCATTTTCGACGCGCGCGGGCACATTTAGTAGCCAGTTGGCCAATTACATCTGTTGCTCGCGGGTGGCATGACATTGAGCAGGCGGGACTAGGTCGTCTGGGCCGAGTTGCAAGAACTGTTTGTCCAAACGCACCGGTACCTGGAATGCGCATTGAGGCCCAGGGATCTTCTTTGGCCTCGTACGATCGACGATGGCTCGAGCACTTTTACCTCGTGGCTTGCGGGTATAGTCCGTCCAAGGTGGTACCTATAGCTTCGAAGCGCGCTGAACACGCCTCGCCAGAGTTTACACGTGTAACAGGCTTGTCAAACTGGCCGGCCATTCAAGTTTTATTCCCAACGCAGTCGTATGTCGAGCATGTGAGCGTCGAAGGCAGTATGGGTGGCGGCTGCTTTTTTGGCAAGCCCGAGGAGTTTCGTAAGCGTGGTCTTCGTTGCTTGTATGCACAGCCTGTCTCATCTCGAGGTCATTTGTTAATGCATGCAAAAAGTCTTTTGGTTACAAATCATGATAATTCATGCGGCTACGTATACCTTGGTAGCCACAACTTTACTCGTGCTGCTTGGGGCACTATCTCAGGCACACAGGCACAACCAACACAATCACTAAGTAACTGGGAACTCGGCATCGTGCTCCCTCTCACGGAATATGATGCGTGGGATGCTATTCCCTATAACCGACATATCGAGCCATACGGTGCTGACGATATTCCCTGGGATGCAAGTAATTTGTTGACGTGATATGTCCTCCGCTCGCCCACGATTTTATGTCGGTCGTACATTTTGCGTGCTGGAAGAGGGCCACATTTGTGGAGGGCAGGCAGGGTCCTATGCCTTTTCTGGTTGGTAGAAAGAGAGAAAGTTTGGGAGCCAGGCTGCTAACTTGGCTTGGGGGCGAGCCACGAAGAAGCTTGGTCTGAGCTCGCATTTGTGGGTTGGCGACGCCACGTACGCACACTTAGTTGATAGGCGAGCAGATGTCTACGTACGCTATAATGATGCTTGTTGCTTATTCGAAGGAATCTAGCTCTTTCCGAAGGCGAGGTCTACAGCCAGCCAGCAAATACGGGAGTTGGCTCGCATGAGAACACACAACTCGTCGCGGCAATCGACGCCCTAAAGGTATGCTAATCTGGAATCACTCACGAAAAAAAGCGAACAACCCACCCTGTGCGTATTGAGGACTTTGCTCTTGTTCATGGCCTCAATAGCTTGCTTGACCAAAACAGCACTTTGTTCCAAAGGTTTAAGCAGCACCCGAAAGTTCGTTATGATGAAAAGACGGACCTTTGGAGCTACAAGGTATGTATTCCTATTTGTTTTTCGTACAAATGCGTGAGCATGTCAAGAACTTCGCTAACCGTAGCTAGCCCGACTACGAAGTGCACTCAGCGGGCGACATTGTCTCACTTCTCCGCAAAAAGTACTACCATCCGTTTGCTCTTACGTCTGAATCTTCAGCTGCAGGCATGCGTGTGGCTGAACTGCGCGAATCCTATCCACCAGCACGAGAGGCCATTGAAGAGCTTGCAAATGAAAAGCCTGTTGAAAAACGGCAGGTCCTTGTTCTTAGAGGCAAACGCGATGGATCTATCAAGCACGTGTTTTGGAATCCCATCCAAGGTGATCTTGTTAAGCCCATTGACGATGAATTTAAGGAACTATGGCACAGCCTCAATGTTCCGAATGTTGTCGATCTCGCGACAGACCTTGAGAACGAAGGTCTTTCAGCAACCAAGTTGATCGAAACAGCGCCCAAAGCAACTTCACATTCTACTACAGCTGCACAGCGGGGTAAAAAGGGCAAGCGCGGCACAGCTCCACGAAAATTCAAACTACAGAACACCCATTTGAAGGGCGTCGATCTAAGCAGGGATTTCGTCAAGCCCGGCAACAACTAAGCAGCATAAACATTGAACCCATCAGAGAGCATGCTCTTCTTCCCCTTGTGTATTTTTACCTTATAAATACGTGCTTGCTCTTCTCAAGCATCATTTCATTACGACACATGGTGCTGGTTCAATTGACGGCTAAATGCATCTGAGTCGAAGTCAGCAAGCATGTACGCACCATAAGGATATTCGGCTGCGTCATTTTCAGCCACGGCAACGTCACCAACATCCTTTGGCGTACCATCCGCACTCATAGGCTCACCTAGGATATTGTAGGTAGCGTGCTCGCTTGAAGACTTTTGGATCGTTCCGCGTGATGCCGCTCTGCAGTGATGTAAGCGAGCTTGCCTTTGTACTTACACTTGTGCCTCTTCACGACGGCGGATGGCCTCAGCACTAGAGGCAGAGGACGATGCCGAGCTAGAACCCATTTGGTTCGCGTAAAATTGCTGTTGTAGCTGTTGCTGTTGTTGGTGCTGCTCCATCATGGCCAGGCGCTGTTGAGCTTGCAAGCGGACTTCGCGACGAAAGCTGATTACTTCCTGAAGAATGAGCTTCTTCATACCATCAATATCATCGACTTGCTCAAAACTAAAGTCAAACTTGTTCGCACACACTGGCTCATCATTCGGATCATGCCAAACAGCCAGGTACGGATGCTCCAAAGCTTCGTCACAAGTGATACGTTGCTCAGGATCAAAGGAAAGCAGGCGGCGAAGCATGTCGAGTGCAAGCGGTGTTGCCTCCGGGTATAAATGCTCGAAAGGCACAGGCTTCTTGTACGGTAATGAGCGAATGTACTGTTGCGCACGAGGACTAGCTACACGGCACAACATGGGCTCCGGAGGCGTTCCAATATAGTACAAAATTTGGTTCAGCTGATCGACATAATCATGGCCCTTGAAGAGTGGGCGTCGACCTAGAAGCTCAGCGAGAATGCAGCCGACAGACCATAGATCAATCGCCGTCGTATAGTTCTGGTGTGATAACATGATCTCCGGTGCTCGGTACCATCGCGTGGCGACATACTCTGTCATAAATTCCTGCTGGCCTGACATAACGGTGTTTTGCTCTGGGTCGAAGCCACGCGACAAGCCAAAGTCACAAATCTTTAGCTCACAATCTGCATTGACAAGCAGATTGCCCGGCTTCAGATCACGGTGCAGCACATTTGCACTGTGAATGTACTTCAAACCACATAGGGTTTGGTAAATGAAGCTCTGGAAGTGCGCATCACTCAGCGGCTGTCCCGATCGAATCTGTGAAGGTTAGCAACTGCTGTTTGCACATCCGCAGTCTGTGTTTCAACGCACAATCGCATGAAGATCAGCCTCCATAAGCTCCTCGTACAAGTACACCTCATTAAAGGCAGACGGATTAGTGATGTCCAGATCGTACAAGCACGTAATATTTTTATGCCCCCGGAAATGGCGCAAGAGCCTAAAGCTGTTAGCATGAAAAGCGAGCATGGTCATATACACACTTAAGTTCACGAAGAGCACGCTTCGTAAGAATCCGCTTGTTAAATACATTCGATACCTTCTTTATCGCAATGCTTTCGCCAGAAGCAACGTGTACAGCTGAAGCCACACATCCATATGCGCCTTGACCGAGTCCCTTCTTAATTTTGTACGCAGGATCAATCCAAAAGGTTTGTGACAGCACAGAAGCTTCTATGCGGTGTTGTGGCTTATCACTCACGACACTCATGTCTGCGTGAGCGGGTCTTCTGGTTACCGATGGCTTGTCTGACGGCAAAAGCTGCAATGAGGTTCCGGCGTCAGCAATCGCCATTTTGAAGACCTCCACCCTTTGTGCGACGGTGTCGTCATCACACGTTCATTTGATTTCTCGTCTATCGGCCGAATCTGTGCCATATTTGGCTTCCAGTGTGTGTGCGTTGCCTGTCTTGTAAGGTGCACAAGCCACCCATTTGGCTCTATGGCCGCGGAAAGAATTTCTTGGCACAGCATCGCTCTGCGTCAAAAAGCATCCGTGCCGCGCACGTGATGCGACTTAACATGGTGACAGACCCATGAGCTTACACACGTGCACCAAATTTTCGCCAACGTGCCCACGTCGATAAAACTGGTGCACGAATTCGTTTCTGACGTAGGTGGTCATTGGACTATCCTCGCAGCTCCGGCTTTGCTCAAGCCATTGTAATACGAAGTCTTCACGCACATGCCTGCCTTTGTTCGAGATATGTGCTGCGGCCTTTTTTAAGTGTCGTTCAATTTTATTCCACCCAGTCACATCTGAGGCTGCATTCGTGCTACGCTATTCCCCTGGATAATGAAATGCCTCTTTCATTTTGGCGCGCCATTCCCCCTCTCCCCCGGCCGTTGCCTCCCACGCTGCACCGTCCTTGTCGGCATTTCGGCGCCGGTCGAGACGCGCGGTCATATCACGTGACAAGTCCCTGTATTCGCACTTCGTTCCTCGGTATGACTCTTTGGCCCCATCGCCCTTGGTGACGGTTGTGTCATGTCCCATGAATTGGCTAAAGACATAGTCACTACTCTGCGAACGTCGTGGAAGTTTGCTGCTATATGTCAATTCTTGATGACATTCAATGACGCATTGCAGCTGCAAGATTTTCAAACCCACGTACGTATCTGAAAGTACAGGGAGTGACGAGAACTCACACGTCTCTTAGCGTCTAGAGACAGCTTTTGCGCAAGATGATATGTCATATATCTCATGGCTGTTCACGCAACTTCTCCGATTTGTGTCGCAGAATCGCTACATAACGTACGTGCTCAATCTAGCTTCCCCACTCACATGCATGCCAGTCAGGAGCACTGGGAAGATGCCTTCCGCCAATATTGGCACACTTACCGACAACCATCCGAACGTGCGCCGCTTGGCACACAAGATATACCGGTGTCATGGAATGCCCTCGATACATATGAAAAGGTACGTGTCCATCTAGGGGCTCATGGTTTGCAGCTTACGTGTCTACATGAATTGTGCGAGTGGCAACTTGCGTGGCCAGAGCGACTGCGACGTATGAATGATTCTGATGATGATGCGGTCACTTGGGTACGTGAAACGGCTATGCCATCTACTTTTGGTCCTTATATATCTAACCTGTAAGCGTGTTCTACCTGCAGGCTGGGATCGCGAAGGCAATACGTATTGGCTCTTCGATGATAATCGCTTATGGGTTCAGCGTGCTCCTCCTAAGCGCCCTAAAAGGAACCAGTCGCTAAGTTGCCAGGCCTCTTCAACTTCGAAAGCGAAAAGGCGCAAAACGAGCTCGAGACCTCCGCCCCGTCCAGCTGGCCGCCGTTCATCACGTCTGAATCCACATTCAGGAGCAGACCAAAGCGATGTCTCTGCGTCCGAAGCACCCACCCGCAACAGGGAAGAGGGCCTCTTCAATTCTGACTCGGATCTGTCGCCTCCAACAGATCCTGAAAAACCATGGACTGAATTTGAAACAATTTGCGTGACACGCTCTGAGTGGGAGAACTTTGCTGGGCGCTTTGAGCATTCAAAGCATCCAGACGAGCGAAACCTTCATGTTTACATTAGCAAAGAAGTTTTGCCGCCTATTCTTGATATGATTCATGCAGAAGAGAAGAAAGCAGCACTAGAAGCGGCACTCTCGAAGCGGAAACGCAGTAGCCGCATCGCATTGCGTGATAGTGAACGCGAGCAGCGAGAACGCGAGGAGGCGGAGCTCCGTGCACTAAAAGAGCGTGCTGCGGCAGCGCTGAAAGCGGAGCGCGATCATCAGGCGCGCGAAGAAGCTGAATTGCAGGCGCGAAAGAGCCGTGAAGATCGACTACGTGAGCGTGGCGAGCGCTTGCTTGCTAGAGAGCGTATGATAAATGAGCGTCAAAAACGCGCAGAAGAAAGAAGTAGAGATCCATGGCATCTTCGCTGCGATATATGCCTCATGGACGAGCTGAATCCGATTGACTCGCGGCCTGTCGTCGCATGCGAAAAATGTGGCGTCTGGCAACACATGTCTTGCTGGGATGAGCACGATCGAAGTCATCGTCGTCTGCCTCGACGATGGGATAATGTCTCGTTCTGCTGCCAGCATTGTAAAGCATCGCCTATGTTGTCTGCGCATGCGGTGCCCGCGGCTCTTGACCAGACTGATGAAACCGGCGCACATACACTTCCCTCTGAACCACAAGTACCTACTACTCCTCCAATATCACAAACATCCGTATTGCACGGATCCCGTGTTTCGTCACAAGCATCGCCATCCAATGCGTCGCTTGTACGGCCTGCTTCACCAGCGCGTGTGCCTCACCTGAGTCCAAGAGGCTCATTCCCTCTTCGAACACATTTGACAAAGTCGCCATTATCTCGTGCAGTTGAACCTGAAGATGTGCCAACACCCTTGTCTCTGCATCGCGGAGATCCAAACTTGCTCTTGCAAGGGCATCCTGTCTCTCCCGTTTCTAAGGATCAAGAGCCTGCGCCCCAGACCAGGCTTTCTTAGACCCTTTATACCATGTACTACGAATGTGTGTATGTAGTTTGTCACTCAAAAAGATGTGCGAACATATGTGCAATTATTGGATCGATTCTTAGGCTTGGAGTCTGAACGAATCCTCAGGCGCATCGTACTGCAATGTTCTGAAGTCCTTGTCTCGCCGAACTTACCAAGTTGGAGTATGTTCCATTACCATATTCGGCCGAAAATCAGTGTGCGTTAACTCCGTCATCACCGCCAGCCCAGCGATCTACGTGAGCGCAGCGCTTTATTAAGTGTTGCGACTGTGAAGCTGTGTCCGCTCATGGCGACCAACGCGGCGCAGTCGCCGCAGTCAGCGAGGATAGGTCATCTGCACGAAGCTGTGCCCGAAGCTGAGCAGGTTTCGCGCGCTATGAACCTTACAGATTCTACTAGGATGGACGAATTAAGCGAGATTGGAGATGAAGAGGGCGTATACGGTAAGTTGAAAGCATGATTTTGATGCAAATCATGCTTTCTTATTCAGTTGTGCTGACGGTCCAAAGAGTCAGAAACGCCATCAGAGAGTGGAACGGAGGGACTCACATGGATATCTTGGTTCTGTTCGCTTGCCGGGCACCAGTACTTTGCGGAAGTCGCTGAAGACTTCATAGAGGATGATTTTAATTTGACGGGCCTCAACTTCCTCGTGCCATTTTACCGAGAAGCGCTCGAGATGATTCTCGATATTGAGCCACGTACGTGTCATGAAGCATTGTTCTGACTGCTAGAGGATTCACTCAAGATCCCTGATATCTCAATCGTGGAGTCATCCGCTGAACTTCTTTACGGCCTTATCCATCAGCGCTACATTATTACTCGGCAAGGCATGCAACAGATGGTAGAAAAGTTTGAGCAGGGTCACTTCGGCGTTTGTCCGCGCATATTTTGCAATTCGCAATTCACATTGCCATGCGGCCGATCTGATCTCCCTGGACTTGATACCGTCAAGCTCTTCTGTCCTAATTGTCTTGACATCTACACGCCTCCAAGCAGCCGATTTCACGGGATTGATGGTGCATTCTTTGGTACCACTTTTCCTCACCTGCTTCTACAGAGCTACCGCGATCTCGCTCCTTCGATTCTTGCTCCAACAAACCCCTCTTCCCAAACGAGTGAGGATTCTCCTGGCTCATCTATGGACATTTCGGCAACATCCAAAGAGGAGAATGCTACGAATAGTACAAAAACACTCTCACTGGCTCTTCTTGGACGCAAGGTACCACAAACTGGCATTTATACACCACGTATCTACGGTTTCCGCGTCAGCGCTTTTGCACCCAGCGGCCCTCGCATGCAGTGGATGCGAATGCGACCACATTCACTCTCTGAGTTGAGTACTTAGCTTTTTAGTTTGCATGCAATCTAGCGACCTGGACAGCCGAGCCATAGGTACGTTTTGACGTGTGTTCACGCCATTCCCTTGTTTGATCCACATTTTGGTCGCTATGTGCTCCACGTCACGTGGCTAAATCACGATGGTCCTGACGCGTCGCTTCGCTTCACGACAGTCCGTCAGACTCCTCGAGGTGGCAGTTCGTTACTCGTTCGTTGTCGCCGCCATCACGCTCATTCTCTATTCTTCTGCGACTCGATGAAAGTTTCGCGCGCAGAGGCTGGTGAGTCACTTGCTCCGGTACGTGGTCGTTTTCACAAGTATCTGATTCGTAGTACCTGTGCCTGCGGCAATTGTCTAAGGATGTCAATGTGCGTGTCTCTGAGCCATTGGCTAGTACATCGTTGTCACCCACGCACTTGTTTAGTGTAGCATCTTCAAAAGGTTTGGGAGCTGCTGTTACAACAAAGGGTGTCGTTGTGTTTGACTTGCATGCGCTGCGCAAAACGTTCACGCTTGCTGAGCGCAATGCTTCGCCATCTGCCCCTGTCTTGTCTACACTAACTCTACCGCCTGACACTGGTGATGCGAATATTCTCACATTCGCCGCTAATGAATCTCTTCTTCTTGTTGGAACAAGTCATGGCTCTATTTTGATATGGGATGTCTCCTCTCTGCGAACATCCCCGCTTGCCCCGCGCATAATGCCACCACCCAATGGCCTGAATACGGCTCGTATCCACATGCTTGCTCCAAATCCAGGTGACAAAAATGCACTTTGTGTGGCATTGTTGAATGTAGATCCTTCTTCGCGCCAGCATGGTACTGCACATATCTTCGACCTGTGTGAGGCCCAATGGGTCTGCACACTCCCAGCGAACCATGTCACATCGGCTTGCTGGTCAACACGTGGAAAGCAGCTTGTTCTGGGCTTGCAGTCAGGTGAACTTTTGCAACTGACTCCCGAAGGCGAAGTCAAAGCAACGCTACCTCCTTTGCCTGAGAGCGAAAGGTCTTTGTATGTGGAAGATGTTCAGTGGCTCGAAAATCATGCCTTTCTTGTGACCTATAATACTTGTCCTCCAGCCGCGGAGCACAGCCAGGAACCCGTGCATGAATATGAGGTGTTCATGATTCTCCGAGATCCTAAAGCTAACACAATGACCTATTCAGCGTTCCCGTTGGATGTCGCACCACCTTTTGGCGACACGAGTCGCTGGCCATGCCGCTATGCATGCACATTACGTGATTGGATGCCTATGAAGCATATTATATTCATGGCTTGCTCAGCGAGCACTGATGTAGGCGTAATTGGATTCAAACACGCATGGGAAGCACTAGAGCTGGAAGAGACATCTCGCCCTGTTTTGCCGTTTTCATCGCAGGATGAGACCTCGGACACCGCACCCGTTGCCCTTGCACTTGACCTGTCTTCTACAGACTCTGTACCTGATCCGAATGCGGCAGCAAAGGGCGAAGATCCATCTACAACGTTGCCTGCTGTTCCCATTCTTTATGTGTATACGAATGATGGTGTACTTCTTGCTTATCATGTAATTTTTACGGAGGCAGAGGCGCCGTATCCTGGCATGGTTTCTATTGAGTCCAATCCCGCTTTTTCCCCATCTGCGCTGCCAGCCCCAACTATTCCGCAACCATCTTCAACACCAGCCCCAGCATTCGGGAGTACTTCCACACCTGCACCCACATTTGGCTCTACTACTGCTTTCGGCGGCACTTCATCGAAGCCCGCTATCGCCTCAGCTCCTGCATTCGGGCAAACCAGCTCGTTTGGTGCTGCTTCCCTTGGTGGTGGATTTAGTGAATTTGGTGCTAAAGGCACTTCGGCATTTGGCACAGGTTTCGCGCAGCAGAGCCAACATGTATCATTTGGTCAAAAATCGGGTCCATCTTTGAATTTTGCCTCTCAACAGCCAGCGTTTGGGCAAACGCAAAAGCCGGTCTCTGGATCCATCTCTGGCTTTAGCCAGTTCAGCTCCAAAGGCTCAACATCAAACTTTGGCACTTCTGCATTCAGTGCAGCCTCGTCTAAACCAAATGCTTTTAGTAACGTGCCGTCCACGTCGAATGGTTCCGTTTTTGGCTCTGGAGGAGGCTTCCAGACTGGAAAACCTGCATTTTCGGATGCCGCTACGCAACCTAAACTACGACAGCAGGCCACTGAAGAGCAGAATGAAGAAACCAGAGACCAATTATTCACCTTTGGAGGCCTGAGTGATGCATTGTCTCAATCTGAAAAGCCATTTGGACAAGCGTCTAATCTTTCACCCACTAATTTTTCCTTTGGTCAACGCTCTTCGGTTCAGACCGACGGAAGTCCTCCAGCCGGTCAGCCAACACCACAAAGTCTAAAGACCGATCTCAAAGACACAGGCTCGAATGAAACCGCTTCTACTATCTCGAGCATATTCCAGTCTAGCAATAATAAAGCCGGATCTATTGTACATGAAGACAGGAACGTCATGGATCATGCTTCAAAAACGACTCAAAGTCAAGATACCCCTATAACTGAAAAGCCAAATTTGGAGCAATGTGCCGTTCCCCTTATCTCTACTGATGAAACAAAATTGGAAGATTCAAAGGAAAAAGACTCGGGACTTTCTGCCCAGGAGTCTATCGAAAATAAAACAAAACCATGCTTCTCATCCGAGCAGCCTAGTTCTGGCTTAAAACAAGCAAAAGTTGACATGTCGACAAGCTCATTCATAAAGGAAAATCTTAATGGTCAAGGCTCCAAGTTTCCGCAACTAGCTGAAAACGAAACGAAACAAGCACCATCGTCGTTTACCGAGTTTACGAAAGGCGATCCAAAGGAATCTGCATTCTCGTTTGGGAAGCCAGCAGAAGATAAGCCGAAAGAGTCTGCATTCTCGTTTGGAAAACCTGCAGAAGATAAGCCGAAGGAATCTGCATTCTCATTTGCGAAGCCCGCAGAGGACAAGCCGAAGGAGTCTGCATTCTCGTTTGGAAAACCTGCAGAAGATAAGCCGAAGGAGTCTGCGTTCTCGTTTGCGAAGCCCGCAGAGGACAAGCCGAAGGAGTCTGCATTCTCGTTTGGAAAACCTGCGGAGGACAAGCCGAAGGAATCTGCATTCTCGTTTGGGAAGCCAGCAGAAGATAAGCCGAAGGAATCTGCATTCTCGTTTGGGAAGCCAGCAGAAGATAAGCCGAAAGAGTCTGCATTCTCGTTTGGAAAACCTGCAGAAGATAAGCCGAAGGAATCTGCATTCTCATTTGCGAAGCCTGCAGAGGACAAGCCGAAGGAGTCTGCATTCTCGTTTGGAAAACCTGCAGAAGATAAGCCGAAGGAGTCTGCATTCTCGTTTGGAAAACCTGCGGAGGACAAGCCGAAGGAATCTGCATTCTCGTTTGGGAAGCCAGCAGAAGATAAGCCGAAGGAATCTGCATTCTCATTTGCGAAGCCTGCAGAGGACAAGCCGAAGGAGTCTGCATTTTCTTTCTCCAAGCCTGCAGAAGACAAGCCGAAGGAGTCTGCATTTTCTTTCTCCAAGCCTGCAGAAGACAAGCCAAAGGAGTCTGCATTCTCATTTGGAAAATCTTTAACAGAGAAATCAATTGAGGCATCGTCCATCTCTAGCTAAGCTTTTGGATCATAAAACATCTTCACCCAATCATTTCACAAGGATTTAAAACAATTTCAAGATCGGAGTCTGTGCCAACAACTCGAGCATAACTCAAAAGAGTCTCCATCGGTTGCCATAGACCAGGGACATTCGAAGCCGAGTGGCGTTTCTTTGAACGAGAGCGTGCCTAAAATTCACTTGTCGCAAGTGCAGCTTCCAAATATTCCATATGAGCAGAACGAGCTGGCACGTGAGTTTGTCAAGATCTACACACTACTTCAAGAGGAGCTTAATGAGCTTGCACGCCAAACCAAACAATGCACCGACTTTTTCTCTCGATTGAAACAGCCCTCTTTACACAAGAATGCGATGGATTTATCTCAACTAGATACTTGGGTGTTTGGGGATCTGGGTTTGCTACATGGCATCAGTGACGAGCTAGCTAAAGCCGTTGCCTTGTCTCAACCACAGAGATCAGAGGCGTTCAAGCGAATCCTTTCGATTGAAAGTGTTCAGCTGAAGTCAGAGGTGAAGCGCGAAGAAGTAGCTCGTTTTCTTCGTGCGCGACAAGATTCAGACTTTGCGAAAATGGTACGAGTTCGGCATTTAGGACCTGAGCAGATGGAGAATCAAGCCCGACTTCGGCGTGCGTCCCACCTGGTGCGGGAACGCATGAATGAGCTTGGTGAGTACTTTGATGGGCTCAAGAAATCCAAAGCAAATGAAAAGTACGGTCGAACGATGCTACGTGCGCCTGCTCTCGACACGATCTACCGCTCAGTCGACCACATAGATCGACTTGTATCCGAGCGTATTTGGGAACTTGACCAGATCGAGCAGTACCTCCGTGCGTATATTCCACGCTCGTCTTCGCGTGCACACACGTCATATTCGCCAGTTCGGCCATTGGATGATATGACTGAACTAGATGCGATACTCGCTGAGATTACGTATGACGAGCAGAGCGTTCCAAACGCAATGACAGCAGAGGCCATGTGCGGTGCTTTGTGGGAATCAAGAAAGGTGCCTGTCATTACACGGCTAAGCGAAAACGGTTCAGCTTCTCCTTTTCCGTATGACACTGAACCTATCACTATTCGTTGCTCGCCAATAAATTTGTCCGCCGAGGCGCCGGCTCTTTACAAGCAAGAGCAAGATGAACAGTATCAATCAGAGGTCGCACCTTTGCCTGAGCCAGCAGCGGTGAACTTTTTGGCCACAAGCACGCCAAACGGTGTACAAGTCGGCAGTAATCGTCAAGCCAAACCCCTGTTTTCAGCTTTTGCACGTTCATCGAGACTACCAACGCTTACATCTCGGAATGGATCAACTGCGTCTGCTGAATACACCACATTTGAGGGGCTTGTTGGGCCTCGACCCGTGACCAACACTGAACCTGCTAGTCTTACCTTGGAGGAGTTCGTGGCACAGGACAAAGAGGAAAACGAGGATGAGTATAGTGACGACGATTATGATGAGGATGATGAGGATGAAGTTGATGATTGGGAGGATGACGATGATGAGGCGGACGAAGACGACACCGATGAGAATGATGACTAAGTAGAGCTTGATGGGTCGAGAATACTGTAGCAATTGGGTATATAATAAATACAATCCGCGCGGTATCTGTTGCTATATGTCGACAGACATGTGCATGTCGATTTGAACGTGAACCAGCTCTGCCGGATTGATCCAGCGCCATACTTCGTACTTATGATTTAAGCCACTTTGTTCATGAATACAAAAAGGCCCTCCGTCTTGCCCGCCGTCACATATATCGCTGGCATTGGACTGAGCTCCGCAGAATCCGCCGGAACGTGGTGATGGAAACAGGAAAAAAACGGACCGCACCCGCGAATGGATCAGCGCCATTGCACAATAAACGCATGGCTCATGCGTAATAAACATTGTAAGACCCGTGAGCAAATAGTCTTGACCATTTTCCGCCTCCTCATTCGTCGAAGAGCGAGACTGTGAGCGGATGTGAGCAACTCGGCGGACGGCATTCAAAACAGCATGTCGCAGTGGGTGTGCGTCACGAATTCGTGTGTCATGCGCATCAACTGAAATAGCAATGGAACCATCTTGTTCCATGTTCGTGACAAAAACGCCGATACCCAACTCGCCAGCCGCACGTGCTTGCTGCGCTGTGGCAATGCACCGACGGAATGCATGTCGAACACGGTCAACTAGCGATTCATCAGACCACAGTTGAGCATCTGCCTGTCGATCAACAGGAACCATCGCACGAGCAGCATCACTCCCAGGTACACCATCTTTTGCTGGGATACCAGCGCCAGGCGGCAAGAAAACACACGGCCATATGGCCGACCATTCGCTCAAGCGCTCTGGACTAGGTGCAGGGCCTGTGGGGACCCGCACTAGGTATAACCTTATAGGAATATGCAGAGAACCAAAGGCATTTTCCAGGAGAAGGGTGAGATCCTTTGATGAGTGTGCGTCTTCGAGGCACAGGAGCAAGGATAGATCCATTGAATCGGCATCATATTTTTCCTGAGGAAGCTTCAACACATCCTTTGCCTTGCGAAAGCTACGCAAGTATCGGATCGAGTACTTAGGGTGAACATCACCGGCTCGTAAGGAACCATTTTTCACAAGTCTTTTTAGTATTTGGGCAGCTGGCGAGCAAGCTCTTGGGGGGATATCCATCGCCCAGGCACGCGTCGTATGAAGCTGCATAGTTTTAGGGTCTGGTGACGACGTTATGCGCCAGAGTGGTGCCTTATACGAGGCATCAAGCACTGGGGCTTTGGAATGCGAATTCGAAAGCACACGCGATGATGGTGTCTGTGACGCAGTTGAGGATGTAGTCGCGGGCTCGTGCTCGTCATCTTCCAAGCCTATCTGTCCAAATAGAGAGACTTCATGTGTCTCAGACACAGGCGTTGAAGGACGCTCTTCATCAGGTCCTTCCCACCACATCTTGCCACTACCGTAGCATATGCAAAGTTCTTCACCAGTAGAAATTTGTCGAACAGTTCGATAACGGATCGAGCGAGTCGACTTGTCAAGCTCGAATGACACATTTGCTGAGCTGGGATGATGATTAAAAAGTGATCCAAGACCCAAGGCAAGTGCCATTACGCTACCTTCTGTACGTTTTTCCCATACAAATGTGTATGAGTCGAGAATTGTATGCCGTCCATGGGTCATATATTCTTCAGCGTCAATGAGTAAGACGGGACTAATTTCAATCACCGTATTTCCAGCAATGGGGCGTGTAGCAAACACGCTCCGACCTGCATGATCTGTTTCGCAGACACGTAATCCAAACACATTCAGGTGGGGGGTGCAAGCATCCGGTGCTGACATGCAACCATTCTTCTCCATCTGCTAGTTTGTCTGCTCGACCTGCGAGACTGAACAGACAGACGTCGAGGAGTAAAATTAATCCTGAAGTTTAGCCTTCTGCTCGTTTGTAAAACTTTCCTCCACCAGCACATGAACTTGCTACCTATCAACAATTACAAATGATGTTCTATATGTAGGAACTCTGGTAACTTCAAGAAGGCATGTTACTCACGTATACAGTATTTAATAACAAGGCCCTTTCGAAAAGGACTTTATTTATTGCAGGATTGTTCCATCAGGCTTGACAGCGACAACTTCAAGTTCTGACGAGCTGTCATGATTGTTAGGGCGAATAGAATTTGGATGCTGTTGTTGCTGTATGCTAGACGACGAGCCCAAGTCTCTAGAGCCAGTCACAGAGTTTCTTCGTTCCTTTCGAATGTGAGATGTAAATTCCGAAAGTTTCGAAAGCACACGGTGCTGCCTCAGCTGTGAGAGAGGAAGATCAAAGAGTTTCGACTTGCCTTCCCAACCGATGTGCTTCGCAAGCTTGTCTTCATACATCATTAGAGCTGAACGCAAAGGATTCTCTTTCAATTCCAAGTCTTCTCGCATTTCTTCTGTCAAAGGAACAACGACTGTCTCTGGTTCATCAAGAGGCCTTTCTGTGACCTCCACCAAAAGATTATTTCCCTCGACCCATTCACGCATCTTCGGATACTCTTGGTTGTTTTCATCATCTGAGAACATGACAGCTTGCTTCTCCAAATCATGATCATCATTATTTCTTGGCACGTCTGTAATATCCTGCCCTTCGAACATTTCCTTGCGTTTCTCATCTTCCAGCCGCATTCGATGTCTACGCATTTCCACTGTGTCTTCACCCTCCCAGTCATCACCTTCAGACACATTCGCGTCGTCGACGTCATCAATCGTCTGCACGCGGCCGAATCCAACGCTCTTCTCAGGTTTTGTGAACGGTTTTGATTTGGGCATATTTTCATCCGGATTCTCCTCCGGTTCCACGTTGCCGCTTGCTTTGTGTCGCTCATACCCTTCTTGCATGGCTTGGACAACAGAACTGGGTACTTGGTCGGGCTCTGCGCTAGCGGCCGTGGCATTAGTATTGAAACGACGTATCCTGTGAACCCAACTTGGCTCGCTGTTCGGGAAAGTGGAGGGGTAGATACTGAGCGTGCGATTCAAGTTGACTTGCGCACGTTTTCCAAATGCAAAGAAAGGAATTGTGAATCCATGCACAATCACAGATGCGAGTACAAAAAAAAACACGATCGGTTGAATCGTCAGCGAGAGCACTTCATTGGGCGTTTGGGGGGGGATATTCACATTTTCTGGGAGCATTCTTCTGCCATAAGTGCACATAAAAATGGCACCTACACCCATTGGTCCAAAATAACCGGTGAAAATGGCTTCATGGAAAGTTTTGATATCAGGAATGAACTTCCAGCACAGAATCACGATCGGAATCCGTTTCAGTATCAGCACAAGAATACTAAGTCCGATCAAACGCCCAACACTGAGGTTCATTGCGCTGTCGTTAAACTCGCGCCAAGGCATCTCGGCGCCGATGTAGATAAATGTAGCAACATTAAAAATTAAGTCCACAATGCTGGAAAAATTTGAATCAGCTGTTTGTTTTTGGAACCAGCCGTCCCAAGCGAATGCGGTACCACAAGCGAATGCAGCGAGCAAGTCATCACTTCCGAGTAGAACTGTTAATCCCATAACCGCAATGGCAAGACTGAGGTACTGCGCCACAAAGCTTTCACGATCGACAAGCTTGTGTTTCTCACTAAAGCGGATGAATTTGCGAGCCAAAAAACCAACCAAGCCACCGAGAAATGTGCCAAATACAATTTCCCATGCGATGGTCTGATAAAAGAACTTAGCCACAGGGAAACCGACTTCGCGCGATTCACCGTAAGGAAATAGGCAAGAAACAGGAACGGGAATGCTGCACCGTCGTTGCAGCCCGATTCACATTGAAGCATGTGACGAATATGAGCTGGTACATGCTTTTCAGCCCAAGGACCGCCAACTACAGCCTGTGCAAGAATGGGATCTGTCGGAGAAACACACGAAGCAATCATCAAAGCGCTCAGATAATCGATGCCAGGGATCAGAGCCCAAATGAGGAGCCCAGTAATCAGCCATCCCCAAAGCATGACGGGACCAAGCAGCATGATTATCGAGCGCCAGTGCCTCCAAACATATTTTTTGGGCAATTCGACACCCACTGAAAATACTGATAAGGCAATACAAACGCGCATTATTTCCAGTGTGATCTCGTTCGTGGTGCTACTTCCGGGCGCTTCCACATTTTCCGATCCCCAGCTATTGGGATGGAATATATTCGCCGCACTAGGTCCTTGTATGTTAAAAATACTAGTTTATCCGAACACATACCAATAATAATACCAAAAACCAATGCCAAAGGCGCTTCACCAAGATAGAGCCGCTCCTTGACTAACATGGTGAGCATACCAAACTGCGGAGTTAGAAGAGTAAACATACAATTACAATAAAAAACCCTAACGCGACATAGATAATATGAGGCGCAGACACCTCAAATGGTGAGAATTTGTGCTCCTGACCCTCTAAAAGCTCACCCATAACGTATGGAGCACCCCGTTATGGTGTGAGGATTGAAGTTACCCCGATCAAATCTGTCAAAATTTCACGCCTGATTACGTACGTAACTGACGAATTCCGAAAAGGATAATATGCAAATCCTACACTCACACATGAGTATATTTCCTTAGACCGTAAGTAGTGTACGCAGCCCGCTTAGCTCAGCGGTAGAGCGCGTCACTAGTACCTCCCGCGAGTGCGGAACGCCCCACGGGCGATGACGAGGTCGGTTGTTCGATTCAGCCAGTGGGCAGGCTTAGTTTTTTATCTCTCATTCAATTAGAGTTTGTTGATATTGTTCACATCGAAAACGTCACATGTCGGCCCGCTTAGCTCAGCGGTAGAGCGCGTCACTAGTACCTCCCGCGAGTGCGGAACGCCCAACGGGCAATGACGAGGTCGGTTGTTCGATTCAGCCAGTGGGCAGAAGTTTTTGCACTGTCATTTTGTTCAACAAATTTTCTATCTCGATGTGACCCAAGTACAAGCACGTTTGATGAAGAATTTTTGACGAGTCTATTGCGTCTACGAGATAAGGACCCTGGCCAAGAAGAGGTGCTGACTTATAATTGGCTATCAATGTAGTCCGTCTCGGTTTCAGAATCATTTTGCCAACGAGAATTGCCTGAAGAAAAAATGCGATCTGAAATCCACATACCAAGCTGTAGTACCATAGCGAATAAAAGTGGTTAGCGCATTCATCCATGTCGACTTGCAGACCACCGCAAGTCTAATGAGTATTCAAAAAAAAAAAAAAAAAAACACGACATACGTTAGTAAAGCCTTCTTTAAGCCACGCTAATGAAGACCTGTAATTCATGCGAGCCCGCTTTACCATGTTACTCTCCAGTTCATTCCAAAAACACACCTTGGTTGACTGTTCCAAATTCGCATGAACATCAGTATGAACTTGGTCATCTGATTCCGCATCCTTGGCCTTGCGTTTTCCTAGCGTGCTTTTTAGTTCTGTACAGGTATCGATTTGTTCTTTGTTAAGACCCTGAAGTTGCTTCTTTTTTTCAAGAGCCTTGATTTTGCAAAGCATTGCTTGAATTTCTCGTTCTTTCTCAGATAGTGATGACAAAGTTTTCTTTTTGTTCGAATGCTTTCCTTTGGTCAAGCAAGGGGTTGCTGAAGCATTAACAAAACCGATAATGTCGAGATTTTCACGAGACAAACGGACGTCATTAAAGGCATGGATTTTAGCTTCATTGTCAACCTCGCTGGCATCATGGTCTTCGTCGTCAGACCATTCAATAATCATGGGTTGCCGTGGTTTGTATTCAAAGAACGGTGTAGAAGGAGCTCGTACATGTTGTGAGTAATTTCCTGTTATGGATTGCCGCTCTTGCTCAGACATCTTTCGACTATTAGTCCACTGATCACCGTATCCGGTAGTTGAAGATGCACCATGAATGCGGTCGAGCCAAGAAGCACCTCCATCATCACCAGACGGCGCCTCCGGGCGAGAGCTAAACTCATCAGCATATGATATCCGCTTGCGTGAATTTCGCGAATCTTGACGTAGCAAGTTCTCTTCGCATGTGTAAGACAATTCGTTGCCACCGTCAATCTCTGGTGCATCTACGTCAGTATAATCAGGTCTCTTTGGTATAATAGGACGTCTGGAAGGCTTTTTGGAAAATAAAACATCTGAAAAGGAGGGGCAATGTGAGTCATGCTTAATGTGAGAGAAGTTTGAATTTGATTCAACCGTGGCAGGCTGAACATTTTGTGTCTCTGTGTTCGTAAGTGACAGATTACCAGAGATGGTTTTAGGTTCAGAGGAGCGTTGCACCCTTTTAGATAACGTTCGTGACTTCAGAGAGTTCAATGCAGCTAGACGAAGTGCAACGCGCACATCTTCCACTGGCGTCACCGCTGTGGCAGTAGCCTCTGCATTTTGGGCCGAGTGACCTACATCTGAAGTGTTACTCTCAGCATTATGAAGCGTGGATCCCATTCCATTTTGCCCAACGTGTTTAAAAGGAAGCTTTATTTTATCATTCCAACTGGGAAGACCAGCAAGAAGCGCATCATCATCAATCCCCCCAGCATTGTTCATGGCAACCAGCGTCTGAAGCACTTTCTGACGGTGTTTGGCCGAGACTCTTGGAGATTCTCTAAGGCGGCTGCAATCATTTGCACGTGACTAAAGAGTCGGTCTCTTCCGTCACGCCCGTGAAGTGTGATGGCCATCAATCTAACCATCGACCGACCATGGTGCGGATCGAAGAAGTTCAAGACGAGACGGAAAAGCTTCGGCAACAGGGTCTCTCAACTGAGAAGGACGATGATGATGAATGGGAGGCAACGGATGCTGATTCTGATGAAGTATGTTTTTGGTTATGCCAGATGACATTTTATCATTTTGCTCAGACTTATGTGCTAACATGAATAGGATGATCTGTCTGACGATGAGGTCGAAGAGCGAGGCCTCGTTGTTGCTAATGAGAGCTTCTGGGAACGGATCTCTGCTTTGAAGGATATGCTCTCACCGGGTCTTAGGGCCAAGATCTCAAGGACTTGGCAATTGACCTCTGCTTATGGCTTTTTCGGTGGATGGGTAGCTGGCAAGCTTATTTGGATTGGTGTTACGTCTGCTCTCCTCGTAGGATTGCCGTTTGCTCTGGCTGTTGAAGATGAGAGTCGCTTTGCAGTGCAGGAGAAAGAAATTGCAGCACAACAGCAAGGCAGCAGCAGCGGCGCACCAGGCACCCCATTGGCACCGCCGGCTGGTGTATCCGGCCAGTCACAAGGGTTGCGTCCTCCAGGCTTTTAAGCAAGAATTTTTTTTTTTTGAATATCCCGTAACTTTTTACGTTACTCATAAAATTCGTAGACCTGGATGGTCTGATCATAGTCTTGTGGCGATGAAATTACACCAATTCCTGATGGAGCTCACTATCTAACTGTTTCGGACTAGTAGCTAATGATTCGGGTATCGGTTAGAGTTCTGACGCCCCAAAATTTCGCAGCCCTCATCTTGCCTGGCTCGCGCACCGTAATTCCCTCGACTTTGATATATTTTCTTCTTCAAGCTATGGTTTGTTCCAACCATAATATACAGAAAGTTCACTATAGATACAAAAAGAGAGGGTAAGCTAATGAGCTTAGCCCATTTTTACCGATGACATTCGGCCGTGTAAGACTCATTCTAACTGTTGAATAACCAAAAAAGACCCTTACTTCAAGATCCATTCGTGAAGAGTAGCAACTTCAGTTCGATTTAGTTGAAGTTTCTTTGGTGTCGGAAGATAATGGACTTGCAGCATTCATGGACTCAGACATGCGCCCGGTAGGTGCTTCTGCTGAGTTCGCGTTCTTTGCATTATCTGTACCCACTGCAATGGTTGGCTTTGATTGAGCGTTCGAAGAAGCAGCAATCAAAGCTTGTCGCATATATGTCCAATCTGTTGAAAGTTTAAGCAAATTTGTCTCATCTAGCAGAGACATGCGGTAACGAATAAAGCGCTGATCATAGTCATCCAGGACTGCCTCTTCATCACCCTCCATCCCGCCTAGGCCAAGCAAGCCAAGACCCGCGTAACGTCCTCCATCTTCGTTGTAGCGCCATCGCTCAGCTAATTTTTGGGCGCGCTCCATTTGTTCTTCCACAGACTCTTCCTCCACATTCAGGTCTCGTTTGCGAGCCACATATGCACCGTCTTTGTCTTCCTTCATGGCTTCCTCGTCTTGATCCAAATCCGTCGCCTGCGTACTTTGCCCGTCTGCAGTATCATCAGTCATGTGAGTATGATCAGTAGAGTCGGATGACACGCTGGCATCGTCAGTACCTTGCGGCACGTGATAGGCGCCATTTTTACTTAGACACTTGAATTGCAAGTCTGGATTATGTGTCAATGGAGCACGCGGGTCTTTGGAATTCAAAGGATCCCAAGATAAGTCAGGTGTGGGTAGAAGCATGGGTGCCACACGAGCTGAGTGAATGAGAGGTGTATGATAACGGAATGAATCCGTCGCTCCCAAGATGCGACCTGTGGCATCTGCGCGCTTCATTGGATCAAACGAACGATCAAACCCAAACGTAGCAAGAGGAAATCCATTCTGGCGCTGCCGAGGCCAAGCGCCTATATTTGCTGGTGCAGGACTTACAGCAATAGGCCGACGGTCAAGGAAAATACGCCCACCGCGCCCTATGCGGCGACGAAAACAGGACTGTCTGCCAGGGCGAGCAAATGGGTGGTTCGACCAGAAGTGGGTATCATGATTGTCCGACTGAATAGGTCGAAACGCACGCAACGCAGGAGGAGCCACAACAGGCTGGAAGGCTGTATCCGTTAGATCCTCCACACCCGCATCGACTTGTTGTCTTAGTGTGCATTCGCGGTCGATATATTGTTGCATAGCAGTAGTACGTTCCATGAGTGACGAGCTTTTTAACGCAGAATTGTCAGAAACAGCTTTAGCATTTGATGTGCTTTCCGTTTCAGACTTGGGGCGACGAAGCTTTAGCGTTGTCGAGGTGACCGCTGAGGGTGATGAAATTTCATCAGCCTTGCGTTTCTTCTTCATCAACTGAGTATTTTGTAACGCTGCGGAAGAATGAATTGGAGCCGTTGGGTCCGGCTGGATTCCAAAGAAGAGGCTTTCATCCTCATGTCCCTTATCTGGGCCAATAATGCTCCAGCGTCGTTTCAAGGTCATGAGCTCATGGGCATGAGCCCAACACTCCTTTGCTTCAGATATTTCGCGTTCTTTCAAACGTTCTCGCTGAGCAACCATGAAAAAGAGCGACTTTGCTTGTCCGAGTTCTGACTCAAGACGCACCAGCTTTTCAAGTTGAAGGGTATCAGTTTTACGCGTCTTACGGGCACTCTTGACCTCGCGGCGTCGAAAGCAAACATAGGGGTCATTCTCATTACTTTCATCCGAGTTCAGAGAGGGAACGATGGGCCTTCCTTCGCGCGCCTGACGCCTAAGCTTCCACCAGTCGTACACAGCATATGCACAAGGCTTAAGTAAAAACAAGTGTCGGAAAGGATTTTCGGCAGACCATTTCAACTCTTGAGATGACATGTTCACAGTAGGCGATGGTTTGTTATAATTATGAGGTTTTGATGTTAAGTTACTTGTAATGATAGAAAGGTCGTTCGGTTGTACGGGGAGTTCGGGTAGTGCAAGGGTGGAACACAAGGAGTCAGGCTCAAATTGTGGTAACAACTCGGAAAGGGGGGGAAGTTTGGATAGATCGAGTTCCAAAAGGGGATGGCGATCGCAGGTGGTTCGCTCAAACACGTACATGATTGTTTCAAACTCGTCTTCGGAGATGAAACGATACTTTGATGGATCTTTTATCAGTAAGGCTTCAATTTGAGCAGAGTCAGGCCGACCGGCATCAGAGGCAATTTCCTTCAATGCATTGGCAAGGTTGTCCTGGGCCTTTTCATTGCGCTTATCGAGCCATCCTTTATCATCTTCATCCATGCAATACGGAGATCCTCGGTTGCAATATTCGACGGTATCTGAAAAGCGAACGTACGTAACAGGATCCGAATATACATTCGACGGATATTGCTCGTTGTATTGTGACTGGGACAAAACCTCCACACTCTTGGGTGTTGGAATATGGTACTTTTGAGCGGAAGCTTGTCCTGCGCTCCCTACCTGGTGAGAAGAAAGGGCCGCTTGCAAATGGTGCTCCGTAATTTCATGTGAATCAACACCAAAGGTAGAGTCTTGTTGTTGTTCACTGGATTCAAATTCAGGCGCAACACCCCTCACAAGTGCGTTGGCAGCCTCGTTGAGAAACTCACCACGCTGCACGGCAACTGTCTCGTGTTAGCGATTGTCCTCAACAGAATTGTTTGGCTCACACGCTCCACCTGATGCGACAGGAAATAATTTTTTTTTCGACGCTAGTGAAAAAAATTATATCCCAATATCACTCGAGGTATGGTAGAGGTACGATGCCGCGCTGCCGCCGAGCAGAGTACGTACTTTTTTGTTTGAAAGAGAGCTTCTTATTTCGCATTCGACTGCTTGTCATATGTATGGATGAGAATGGAGAACCAGCAAGTCCGACGCCGCCACCACGAGGAGTAGTGGCGGTCGCCGTAGATACCTGAGCTGTCATAGCCAGGCTAAAACGGTTACCCAACAGTACTTCAGACCAATGAAGGACTGAAAGTACTGAGTGTCGAGTACCGGTATATGTGTGAAAGTCGGGAAGGACTCTTGGTTGACCAGGTCCCTTGAGCCCTACTCTTAGCCTTCACGGTTCGTTGCTCCTGAGCGGGGCGGGTAGTCACAGGCGGGCCCGCTGCTTGTCTGTCCGCGCGGAAACTAAACGCCACAGGCCTAAAAAAAAGACCCATCCACCAAATAGGGATGTGAAGCCAGTGAACCTAATAGGCATCATAACGGCCCGGGGAACATCATATTTCCCAGTATACCCAGTGACACCGCCGCTTTTTCACGTGAAATGAAGGCACGTGAAGGGGCAAAGCAGTGCGTTTGCGTGTGTGCAGGTGTGACACTATGTGCGCCGCCGACGTTTGCCATGCTGCCCTTGGGCACGATTTTGGTTCGCGTTGGCCATGCGTTTTTGCTGAAGCTAATAACATCATGTGAATAGCCGCCGGATTCAACATACCTCTCCGAACTTTCGTTTGGAATACGAAACAGAAGCTGAGTCTCGAATAAGCTCCCCAACCACAGAGTCTGAGCGTTGTTTCCGAGTGAGCATAGACGATGGTTCCAAACCCCCACCAACGATTTTCCCAAGCTGGGCATATGCTGGCATCGATCCATCAGAGCCTGTGCCACCACTTCCGCGGTAGAATCTCTTCGGATCTAGTGCATTTCGTAGTCGAATCGCTGTGACCTGACGGCGCATTTCCTTTTCAGTAGCCGCTCTTGCATCGCCACCCGTGAAACTGCCTCTTCCACCTTCGACACGGGCATCTGTGTTCTTGTGGTGAGATGCTGAGCCGGGGAATCCTGGCATACCAAACCATTTAGGCCCGGCATCCTTTGCTCTAAGCTGTAGATAAGATGTAAGAACAGATATCTATAGACGTACCTCACGGATTTCACGTTTGGTTGGCTTTCTCGGAGCAGAAAAACCGCCAAATTGTTCAAGTGCATCAAGAGAGGTATTGTGTATTAAAACGTTAGATTCACGTCGTTTTCCTAGCCTCTTTGCACTGTGTCCTGTTTCTGAATGAACCGTGTTCGGCGCTGGTGTTGATGATGGATCGGCCTCGTCCAGAACAATAAGATCTGACCCATCGTTAAACGGTGCACTTGATGTATTGGAGGAGCCTGCCAACTGTGATACTGTTTGGTATGCCTTGCAGGATGCTGCTATCAAGGCTTCCTCATCTTCATACATGTTCGGAGACGGCAACTAGTAATAGTGGGGCGTTAGAAATTTTAACAGTGCGCGGCATGGACATTTTTCCGCAGGAACCGAAATTTTTTTTGAAATCTCACGTGGCCCAATCGACACTTGCTTCGTCCAGATAGGATGGGAGAATCGAGTTGTCTTACGGCACTATGGCAAAGAGACCTGGGCGCCGTAGTAGCCGGCAAATTTCTCCAGGGACACGCAGTTTAGAAACGAGGGACGATATACCTAAGAGTGATGTGGATGCATTTGATGCATCACGCGATGAAATTCTTCTAGATGACAATGCGGAAGAGGATCCGAGACTAGATGAATTTGACGGCGACACGCAAGAAGTGCTCGGAATGAATTTGGACGACGAGGACGATGATAGTAACGATGAAAGTGACCATAATGTCGGGGATGAACAAGACGATGAGAAAGAGGAAGATGATGACCTTGGTCGATACAGGACGATGATTTTGCCTTCATCCGTGACTGAATCAAGCTTGCGAAGACGGGCTGCTCGCGATGATGCTCACAAAGAGCAGGAAGAAGAAGACATACTAGATAACGATGGAGATGATGATGAGAATGAATATCTAGGATGGGGTAAGGACAAGCGGTCCTATTACAGCAGCAATACTATGGAAGATTTTGAGTCGGATTCTGAAGTTGACGAAGAGAAGGCGCACGAATTGGAAACAAACGAGGCGGTCCGACTTCAGCGCATGAGCCGTTCAGGAATGCACGATGAAGACTTTGGGCTTGATTCGATTCATGCGGAGGAAGCTCAGGTTGCTGCAGACGAACAAAGCGAAGCTGCAAGGGTTAAGAGACGACATGAATTCGATATGGACAGTGGTGCAGAATCAAAGGCGCAGTCTATGCAGCGGCCTGATGAACTGCTTGCATCATTACAAGTCCGTGCACCGATTGTATTGGCGCTGATTGACGAATACAATGATGCCTTGCATCAACTGAAAGAAGAGTGTAAGACTGTTGATGCGTACGTATAAAGCAGCTAACAATGTCTTCAGCATGTCACAACATGGCGAGACACAGATTGTGGAAATTGCACATTTATATATTCAGTCACTGTCCTCATACACCATGTTACTGGCATTTTTCTTCCAGCTTGCATCCTCACCCAACATGCTTGCTGATCCCAGTGCTCTTCTAGCTCATCCAGTTATCGAGCGTTTGTCGCAGCTTAAGCAGGCGCTTGTCGAGATGAAAAACCTTGGGCTTTTTGAGCCGCACTTGGAGGAAGCAGATGTGGATGATTCAAATCGTGTAATGGGTAAACCCACAGAGGAAGATGCGGCTTATGAAGAGCTGGGCGATCTGGAGCCGAATGAATTACAGGATTTGATTTTCGATGAAAAAGAAAATCAAGCCGAATCTCAGAGACAAAGCCAGCGCTCCGTCTCAGCTTCTGCAACAAAGCCTGCAAGGGGATCGTCCTCGGAGATGTCGAAGAAGACGAAAAAGCAGTCGAGTCCACGTGCGTCTGTGCCAACCCAACCCACTGTGCTGGCTGATGTCGCAGACGTAGATGTGAAAGACGATGACGGCTTTCCTCAACTTCAGCGTGCGAAACGACCATCGAGCCACCAGGTGCTTGAAAGTGAGGACGCATTTGGTGAACCGTCGCAAATGAGAGATGCCGAGCTGCATGACAAAGCACAGCGGAAACGTGCCGTGCAATTCCATGCGACAGGGCTCGAGGCGAAACCAACAACGTCGTCAACAAAGAAGACATTGTTGGAAGGCGATGCAGATATTCCTTACCGAGACAAGAAACAGATTCGGGATGCCGTATCTACCGCCAAAGCGAATCGGCTTGCTAAAGGGATGGAAAAAGCTGATACGTCTCTTTCTGAAACTGATTGGGGCGAAAGCGACTGGCGAACACGGGACGAAGTTATGAGGGACGATGCCGTTCGTGGTGAGGACGAGGACGATGAAACTGATGGAGACGACTCAGAGTCAGGCAAGAGCAATGGCGCAGCGGCATATTATGATCTTGTGTCAAGTCGCAAGCGCGCACGGAAAGCTGAAAAGAAGGACGAATACGATCGCCAGCGACTCGCGAATCGTGTCTATGACGATGATGTCCTTGGCCCCGGCGAGCATCGCTCAATCGACTATGCGATCGAAAAGAACAAGGGTCTCACAGCAAACCGGCCCAACAGTGTGCGTAATCCAAGAGTGAAGAGACGGTTGCGGTATGACCGAGCCAAGAAGCGCTTGTCTAGCACACGCGCCGTGTATAAGGGAGGACAGAGTGCGCTGCAGGGTGGCTACGCAGGAGAAAAATCAGGCATCTCTACGAACCTGGTCAAGAGCCGCAAGCTTGGGGGCTAGATTTCATAGCATTCTGCCGGATTACCTCTCTCACACATTTACTCATATACATCGATTTGTGTTTAGAAACACTCTACACGATCTGCATACTCTGAATGCCTCGGAGAATGGGAGCAATGGCTGTGCTACCTTTGTTTGTCTCGAATGTGCACAAACGACCGTCAACGCCACTTGTACTGATACTTTCGACGTGATCACGAGCACCAGAGTAGATGCGAATGTCAGTAATCGTATTTTGATGAGTCGTGTGAAGCTCGCCATCGTCGGCAATGCTAGCGCCGGCCACGGCTCCAAATGATTGGGGCGTACTGTCAGTGGAAAGAGTTGAAGGAGCAGCTGCTTTTCCACGGGAGTCTGCTTCGCGGAAGCGAGCAAATGCTTCATTGTTAAGCCGACCAACACCACCAGATGATGCGGTGGCTGCAGGGGCACCAAGTCCTGGCTTTTTAGGCGGCGGCGGCGGCGGCTTTGGTTTTGACGCGGCAGTGCCAACAGTATCGAGGCTGCGGGTGAGTTTCCAGCCGTTGTCAATCGAGCCTTCAAATACCATCGGCTGGCAGTCGTGCCCAGCAGCAACAAGAGCCGTCTCGCTAATGAAAAGAAGCGTCATATACGGAAGACTTGGGAGACGGATGACATGCATGGCCTGTGGCGGTGACTCCGGCGCTGCAGGGTACACAACTGTAAGAGACGCATCATGTCCCACATAAGCAAGCGCATCACCACTAGGACTAAAAGCAACGCCGTGAACCCAGCCGCCGGATGGTGTCGGGAACTCCCCACACACCGTGCCAAATGGCAGACGTTCGCCCCACACGCTGGGAGGCGGCTTTGTATCGACGCCCTTAATATAGGCACTGAATACACGAGCATGAAAGTCGGCACAGCCTGCAGGCCAAAGTACATTGTTTGGGTGCCAATCGATTGATGTAACGGTAGAACGAAGCGGACGCTTGATGTGCTTAGCGACCCACCAATCGTTATCCTCTTCGAAAGAGCACACCGAAATAATGCGCGCACTACTAGCAACAGCAAATTTGTCTTCATTTGGACTCCAGCGCACAGCTGTAGCTCCACGGTGCAAGCGGAGGAGAACCAGCGTGGGCTTCCACACTGAACCGCTAAGAGTCCAAACATAGGCATTACGATCTTGCGAACAGCTAACGATGCGGTTCGTGTGCGGTGCCCAGTCAATGCCTGTAACTACTTTGTCATGTTCTGAGAGTGTGTGCTCAAGGACCCAGCCTTGAGGTGACTGAGAAAAAATGAAAATCTCATTTGTATTAGGCGAAACAGCAACCTTGGAGCGATCGGCATTAAATGCGTGCGCCGACAAGGGGCTGTACGAGAGCTGATGTACTTGATTTACCATCGGAGGACGAGCAGTCGACTCCGGCACTTCCAAAGAGAGCGAGCAGTCGAGGCAAGGCAAGTGAGCGAAAACTGACCCAAACGAGCTAATGTCACCAAACCAAGCAGCTCAGGCGGGAGCGATTTTCTTGTCTGATGAAAGTGTGGCGGCGCCCGCTCGGACGAGCGTGGAGGACAACAGGGGCTGTTTCCCAAGGCCAGGGGCTGGTCAAATGCTGACTCAGCCCGTAACGCAACGCGCTCGACCTAGTAGTCGCACACTTGTTCATAATGAGCGCGAATGGGCACAAAACAATGCCACGTGCGATTGACCGCAACCAGAAGGACAAGCAAGCAAGCGAAAAAGACACATGGAACATCCTTTATCACACACTCTTGCATTTAAGAGCCAGGCAAGATGAACGCCGCTGTGACAAACATGGCCGTGATGTTCGGCGCCATGCAGCTATCGAAGCGGATTCCATTTGATGACAAGCCGGAATACGTGAGGTACGCCCAGATGGCCTATCTGGCATCGCAGCTCTTGTGTCTGGCGGTGTTCTATTTCTGCAGTCTTCAGGTACGCGCGTAGTACGCGTTTGTTTTGTCTAACAAAGCGATCAGATCAAGAGAAAGAATGATTTGACTGTGCTCAAGTATGTGAATGCCAAAAACCCCATGGTACGTTCGACATTTGGTTTCAGTCACGCGCTTGCTGACATGTTTGTGTGTGTGTGATGGCAGTCGCAAGACCCTGGTGAACTTGTGACAACGACACATCGCGACTATGATCTGTCAGAGATCAGCAAGAGTGTGCGAGGCATTCTGATGGGATGCCTCTTTGTTGGTTTCATGCACCTCTACTTCGGCTACACGAACCCGTATGTACATAAAAAGTGTCACTGACCATAATCAGGCTCGTAATTCAGAGCATTATTCCTTTGAAAAATGCACTTGAATCCAACATGGCGAAAATCTGGATCTGGGGCATGCCTGCGACAGGTGACCTGAAGCGCCCATTCAAGCCACCAGCGGGTTTGTTTTCAGGGATGCAACAACAAAATGGCCCGCAAACCGATAAGGTATGTATGTTGGAGGTTGGTGGGCCTGGGAGAGGCTGATCCCCGTCTCTTCCATCCTACCCCCTCGTATGCGCTCTCAGTTCACTTACATGATAGGCATCCGTCAAGGAGGCTGAACATGTGGCTGCGTCGATCCGAGCCAAGGCCGAATAATGTGATTTTTTTTTCCGTATGTAGTGGATGTGTTTGTCGGCAAGCATGCGTTCACACACACACTCAGCTGTTGTGCGTGAAAGACCTGGAGACAGCATGACACCGCTACTTCCTCATCGAATGGAGGTGTGGAGCGTTGGGTAACATGTCTCGATCACAGATCAATCCAATGAAATACGTTGCATGACCTTTTCCGTACGCCACTGAGGCGCGTGTTGTGTTGCTGTGTCGAAACCGCAAAGCACCGATCGGATGCATGCCGGTATGTGTCCACTGTGGTCGACCTGTCCCGGCAGTCGTAGCCAAATTTGGTTCTGGCCATGTCGTGCTCGCCCGCTGCGTGTATGATGATTGCGGTCACGTAGTCGATCCATACTTGGAGTATGGGCTGGCCGTCCTGGTGATTGACTTGGTACGTTTGTCTTGATTCTGCATCTCACATGCCATCACAAGATTCTTACCAAACCACGCGTGTATCGACACATCCTTTATAACATGTCGATGCACCAAGTATTACCTTCGCGTGAGTATGGACCCCGGAGCCTTGCGCCGCGAATTGTTCCCATCAGCATGCATATAAGGCGCTTCCTCGCACTCGTGCTGATCGAAAGCTATCTCACTTGGTTTTCCTTATGTGTGCATCCTTTTGCAAGGGCAGGCGTCAGCCTTTGGCCGTCCCAATTGCATAGTGTCACCGCACACCTAACGAGCCCCGCTGCGTTGGGTGCGTTGCGGGTCTTTCTTTCTACACTCGTCCACATGCTCAGTCTTCATCTTACGCTTGTGCTTGGCTGCACAATCGTTCAGACCATATGGCGCAGACGCATGAATTCGACTATGTATTGGGACATGTATGCATGGCATTTGCCGTCCGTGGCAATGCTATATGCAAGCCTCAGTACTGTATTTTTACTCGTGCTGCGTGTGATTTGGGCATCAAAAGAACCAGTGAATCTAGGACTCGACAGTCGTAGCCGCTCGGCAATAAACAACCAAGCCGGCCAGCTTCTACCCATGCATCTAACGCAAATCACGTCTGCTTGGAATCCTTTAGCCGGACACACTGGACTGACGGAATGGATCATCCGTCATATCATGGGCGGCATGAGCGCCGGCGTCGCTCTAGCAGGTATGTACGACTTCTTCGCACCGACAAACCCATCCTTTATCTTTCTCTCTTTTGCTTGCTCGCACGTTCAAATTCTCATGCTGATCTAGCGGTTTTGCCTATGCACCCAATATTCGGTGCACTTGTCATACTTTGTGGATTGAGTGTTCAGGCATTCGTGCGTGAGCAACTGGGAATGCCATGGGATGCGACCTTCCTGTCATGGGACGCAACATCGCGCTACTGTCACGCGTAGTAGGTGTGCGCTCAGAGTTATCAAGTGTTCTTTCACAAACACACACGCACAAGATACCCGAAAGACATCGCTCGCATCCCACGCATGGACGATAGTTTATGCAACGTACGAATACGTGTCCTTCTCGCCCTCGACACGTTGCAAATACTCCTTCTCAATGAGGGTATCGATAGCCTTTTTAATGTCGGGCACCTTGGGGTGGAATCGCGACTGCAGTTGCAGGATCACCTCATTTAACAATAGATTGTGCTTGTACGTCTTTCGTGCTTTCATAATACGTACAATAGTCGCTTGTAGCAGCACTTTGCGATCTTCGTGAACTGTACGTGCGACCTCAGCAGACTCGACTTTCTGCTCGGCACGCACGGGAATGTGCAGATTGATGCGCACCTTCTTAGCCTTAAAGTCCATGTTCAGTGAGTATGAGTCGTCCAGCAAGTGAAGCACTTTCAACTTCACTAAAGGCACCAGCGCTGCATGCAGCGTTGATTTGTCGAGCCGCGTTGCAGCCGCAATTTCATCAAACGTGAGCACTGTCTCTGAGTTGAACAGGAGCAGCACAGCCGTCTGGTATGTCGACGTCGTGAAGATGTACTTGCGGGACAAATAGTTGGTATGTAGTTCGTTTGTCGACAAGTGCCAGAGCCAAGCAAGCTGCCGATGCGTGTGTTGTTTGTGATAGAAGCGTGTGAATTCGTCGTATGTCGACTGCAACTCAGCCGGCACAAGAAAGTCCGTTTGTGGCGCCTGTAACGGCCATACACCGGACGTAAGCACGAAGGAGTAAAAGCTGAGCTCCTTGTTCTGTAGCATGCCAGACTCTTGGAAGCGGTCATTCAGCTCCTTACTAAGACCTGCCTCTGTGAACATGCGCTGGATCTTGCTTGTGTATTCGAAACCACATGCCTCTTTGAGCCGAGCAATCATGCTTTCTTCAGCATCGGTTGATGCCGACGCGAAGGACACTAGTCGACGCGACAAGAACTTGGCATAGAACTTCTGGAAATAGTCGCGGTCCTCAATGTACTTGAACACGATCATCGCTGCATCAAGCGACTCATCCAAAGAACTTTCCTCGTCACCGCCACGGCTGTGCTTTTTCAGCAACGCATCGATGAACTTGGCCAGGAGCTCTGGACTGCGACTCGCTGATACGCCTGTCGCCTGATTCCGGTTCATATACACACGGCACGCTTTGTCGAGAGACGCAAAGAAGCCAGCTTCCGAATCAAACGACTTGGTTATAATGCGTACACTGTCATGATACACACGGAGGAGTGCATGGACGTATGTGGTGGGTTCAATGACATCGGAATTCTCCTCCATGTCGCGACTCACAGAATCAAGGCCACTCGCCTTGACATGCGCCTCGAACTGCACACGCAAGGGATCCAAATCACCAGGCAACTGCGACAAGAGAGTGTACATGCGCGCCAAATCCTCCGTCATGTCGTTCTCCAACAGTGTCTTGAACTCCTGCCAGAAAAGATCTTGGTGCGCTGAAACGAGCTCAGCTCGACACACTTCCATCAACGGCGCACGCGTGCTGGAATGCATGTACATCTCCACACGATTTTCCTCCTCTTCCAGGCGAAGCTCAGCCTTTTTCATGTAGTCGGTCATTGAGTTGTGGGCTAAGAATTCAGCACTCTCAGCCTTGTAAAAAGACGCCGTCGCCGCAAGGAATGCCTGCTGGAACTCTCGCAGGTATACATCTAGGTTCAGCCGCACCGCATCTACATCATCGATACCCAGCGATACGCAGCTGTCCAGCACGCACTTCAGCAATGCCGTGGGCACTAGCTCCCCGTGTCGCTGCTTCTCGATTTGGTATAGTACTGCATCCATCAATGCATGCCCTCGTTGAATCGGCACAAATATATGTTTCATCCATTGTACCAGCGCTAGCGTATACACAGTGTGAATGTCGGTTCGCCCCTCTTCCCTCTCATGCTTGACCCAGTGCCGATTTAGGTATATCAGCATTCGGTGCACGAAATTCGCCCCATTGGTGTACCGTTCCCATTCCGCCGAGTATGCGCGCAACAGTTCCTCGCCAGACAAAGGCGCTAGACGTGTATATATCCCTTGCAAATGTTGCAGGAAATAGTTCGCCACTCGCATGTACAGCTCACCACCAACGAGATGCGCTCCTGTTGCCATACCGCTTGTCCCACCCATCCCGCTACTGATGCAGTAATTGTACGCTGCTGTATACAGCTGCATATAGCGCTCGTACGACATTCCCTCAGTAAGACGCGTCATCTAAGATAGGTCAGTATGGCAAACAAGACTCCCTTGTATGACGTACGTACCATGACGTCAATCCCACTCTCGAGAAAGTTCCATGTGGCAACAATGCTGTACAACGTTAGATAGTTCATACATACTCATTGGATGGCGGAAGGTTAGTGCCATCCGCGGCTCGAGTCGCCATTGTAATGCCACCTCCCTAGACCAGCTTTCTACACGTTGATCGGATGGGATGGGATGGGACGGAGTAGGCGTTGGCTCACCGACTCAAGCGGAGAGAGGTTGAGTGAACCACGTGCTGATTAAACATGGTTCCTTTCTTCCACATCGCGAGCGCCTAGGCCTAAGAGGACACCCAAAGGACTAGTTGGCTGCCTGGCCGAGTAGGCTGACGCGGTCATATCGCGAGCTGGCCTTACCGCCACCCAGGCTTTCACCGTCGCGTTGGAGCAAGCATACCATGGATCCTGGAGCACGCGGAGGCGTATGGGGGTGTGTAAGAGAGCACGACAACTCTGACGCAGCATGTTCGGTGAGGCAGCAGGTGTGGAAGGCGTGCCGGCATGGATGAAAGGCGCAGACACTATGTGGCATGATCCCGGTGGGTCAGGGCCTTCTGACATGGGCCGCGCATTAGACTTGGTGTTTGTACGTATGATCGATGTCTTCTTACGTTAGATCATCGATGCAACAGGTTCGATGGGTTCTTAGTACGTGGCCCTCTTGATCTCACAACCAGCATCAATGTAAGCAAGGACCATGGATGTCGTAAGTGGTAATGAGCAGCATCTTACTCACTAGTCGGCTACCCGAAACATTGAGATGATTTGTGATCAGGTACGTATATGCACCCCAGAACTTTGCGTGCTTACGTGCGCGCACCATAGATCACTCAGTCTGAATACCTTGCATCAGAGGGCGCGTTGCGTGTAGGCCTCATCGCGTACCGTGACCATCCACCGCAAGATCATGTGTACATTGTGAAAAACTGTAAGTGAAACTCGCAAACATTTGATTTGGTGCAGGCATTGTGCTCATCCTGGGACAATCTATGCACGCATTCACGCATGCACACACACACACACACACACACACTCTCTCTCTCTCTCTCTCTCTCTCTCTCTCTCTCTCTCTCTCTCTCTCTCTCTGTCTCCCTCTCTTCCTCTCCGTTCGAATTGTTTTAGCTAACACGAATCAAGTTGGTTTTACGACTTCAGTATTGGAAATGAAAGAGAACCTCAATGGCCTATTTGCGGCAGGTGGCGGAGATGGTCCGGAAGCTATGACTGCAGCGCTCAAAGCTGCAGCTGATCTCGACTGGCGCCCTCACGCTGCAAAAATGGCCATCCTAATTACCGATGCTCCGCCGCATGGTATTGGCGAATATGGTGACGGATTTCCCAATGGGTCGCCAGATGGACAAGACCCGATTGTGCTGGCTCGCAAAATGTCGGCGATGGGCATTTCAATTTTCGTCGTGGCTTGCGAGCCTGCTTTGTCAGGATACCAGCACGCAGTGGACTTTTACCAGGGCCTCGTCAGCATCACAAGCGGCCTACTAGTTCCACTAACGACAGCCTCGCTCCTAAGTCACGTCGTTATTGCTGCGGCTGGAGAAGTCATGGACCTTGATCGGCTGCACCGCGAAGTCGGCGATTCAGTTCTAGAACGCATGAAGGGACTCAGTCTCAGTCTAGGTAATGAGGCAACTGACTCGACATCCGCGATATCCAGGCTCGTTGATCAAGTCGCAACCGAGCTGCACGAAAAGCTTCTTCTCCGGCAAGAAAATACTAAGCAACTCATTATTGAAAGCATATACCGCGAAAGTGAAGAATCTACCCACAATATTCGAGTTTGGTCACACGCTCCTGACATCTTCACAGCTCGTCCCCATATTCGCAAAGTCATTGGCTCGCGGCTCAGTCAAAAATACTTGGATATGCGCCGCGCAAGCCAGCAAGCAAGGTTGTGGCGGCCTACACCTACCCCGCTCAGCGGCGCACTAAATGACGAGCCTACCAGCACTCCAAAGCGGCAAATTGTCTCGCAATTTGCTGCATTTGAAGCAAAGCCTGGGCTGCGAGTCCAAGCCTCCCCGAACCCGCCCACCAATGTAACGAATCTCAGCACTGGCACATACCGATCATCAGGCATGGACATGGATGACGACGGTGATGATGCTTTCATCGCTGACAGTGGTATTGATGATCGCACGGGCACCTCTCATGATAATGAAGTACGCGTCGAAGGTGACGATGGCCAGATGCTCGCATACCGACATGATGCCATTTCTCTATCTCAGGCACGCCGTCTGGCCATGCAGAGTCTCTCGCGAGCTTCGTAGATATTTAGTAAGCAATACGACGCTTGGACTATCTCGCCGGCTTTCCTATCCTCCTGGAGTCTTTGGTCTGTGGGATAGTCGGTATCTCTGTGGATCTTGGTAAACCTCGTGACTGCCGAACGAAACTCAGTGCACCCGCACGTCATCTTGGACCGACATGAGTTCCGAGGCCATGGAGACGGATGTGCCGCTCCCAGATTACAACGTACCTGCGAAGACATTCGCTACATCGACCCTTGACCCTTGGGAATACAATACTTGGCTCCGATCAATCGAACGGAAAATGCTTGCGAGTGACGAGGATGCAATGACCGACCATTCCTCATACATAACTGAACTATGTCAAGCATGTTCAGCAATGTCCTCTGTAATGGCTTTGCGTCCTGTACAATGGCACATTTACCTGAGTCTTGCGATATTAAATGGCACATATAGTGGTCACGACCTTGCAGTGCTGCATGAACGCAGTACACATGATTCTCTAGATATGAGTCTTTTCGTCCGCTGTGCAAGCTTTTGGATTTGTGCATGGACACGTCACAGCGGCATAAAGGTACCGTTGCAAAATCTTGGTACAACTTATGACGAGCATGGGCATGCATCTCAAGTTTCTAAAATTCTACCTACGTGGACGGGCCTGACTGGTCCCACACTGTATGATAATGGCATATACGATGTTGATGCACATGACATACAGTGGGACATATCCGAAGATGACGCACGAAACGCACTCCGCGAACTCTATGGTCGATGTGCTTGGCATACAATCGAGAGTCAAGTAATGTGGAACATGTATGTGGCATTTGAGTATGCGCTTCTTGAAAAGGATCCAAGCGATTTGCGCGTTGATCTTGTGAAGCAAGTGTACACGGCACGGCTCCAAGTGCCTCACAAGCAGCTGGAGACTACATTCCAGCGTTTTTCCAGCTTTGTATCTACTCATTTGCCTGCATCAGAATACGAGTCAGTCATGACAAGTGCAAATAAATTATACAGTGATGCTTTGCGGCAATGGCGTGAGCGGGAAGCTTATGATGAATCTATCAGCAATGCAAACAGCACCTTGCAAGCTCACTGGAGTCCGTTTCTTTCTTGGCAAGTACACCGAATCAAGCAACTCCGCACTTCCAAAGACAAGACACATCTCGCAACGGAAGAGGAACTGGGCCTGACACTCTACCGGCGTGCTCTTCATCGTTTTGGTATGTATCCGGCGGCGCGAAACGATACCGAGGCGTCTGAGTACGCGGATGTACCCCCTACACCTAGCGTGGAAAAGGTTCACAAGCAGAGGCATGGCCGAAAGAGTCACAAGATGCAAGAACGTGACCAGGCTCAGGCACGTATTGAGGCGCGCCCAAGCATTGCTGCTGCCGAGAGTATTTGGCTTGATATGATCGCAATGGTGAACACGCCTCAAGTCGAAGCTGCATCCCTGCTCCCGATTTGTGAGCAAGCAACTCGGGTTTTACCGGTCTGTGGACGCCTGTGGGCAGTCTACCTTCGCTCTATTACGCGTTTCCACCGGCCCAAATCTCAGGTGCTTGAAATCTTTGACCTTGTCATGAAGTCTGATTGTGTGGGCCGGATCGCCGGTGGCACCTCACTCCTAGCCCTTTTACAAGCACGTATTGACTGTGAACGAACTTATGCGGTGCTTGAGCTCGCCTCTTCTCAAAACATAGCCCCAGAGCAAGTCGTTCTTGTGGCTGACGTGGACCGATTCATGCACATATACGAACTTCTCTTACAGTCGATCTCGGCCATGAGCAAACTCCCCGAACCCGAACAAGACGCAAGTTTGGCACTTGAGACCTATGCAATTGATTGGATCGAACGTGCGGCACGCACGTTGGCTGCCAGCGCAGGCGCTGATGCGGCAGCCGGACTGAATCCATTGGCTGATGAGCTGTGGACACATACGTTGCAGTTGCATTCAACGCATGCGCAAGCCTACGTCCAGGCAGGACAATATTACCAACGACATGACGATGACAAACGCGCACGGCAGATCTTCAAGAGTGGCGTCGCGAAGGCTCAGCTGGACAACAAAGCAGCCGTGCTTTCAGCTTGGGTGGCGTTTGAGCATGCTCGTGGCTCGCCTGCTGAAATAGAACACGCCGAGGCGAAAGCGAAAGTGGAGCACGATCGTATGTGGCGCCAATGGTACTCGTATCAAGCACAGCAGGCGAGCACCTCGTGTGTGACTTCGAACACCAATGCTGCGGTTGTGGCTGCGGCTGCTGATGCTGATGCTGACGAGCGCGCATCGCTTCCTGAAACAGACGTGCTGAAGCGCAAAGCCGATGACAACAAGGAGGGTGACTGCAACGATGTTATTGCCAGTGAAGTTGAAAGCGCGTCGCTTGCAAAGCGTCAAGAAACGCAACATACACAACCGGCACGCGATCGTGAATTCTCGTCGGTTATGGTGTCGGGTTTGCCGCCAAATACGACGGAGGCCGAAGTGCGCACATTCTTTCGTGACTGTGGCATTATCTTCGACATGGTCGGACCGAAACAGATTGCAACTACGTCGTCCGACACACAGCCCATGAGCGCAGTTCTCGTGGAGTTCACAGATCGTGAGGGCGCAAGCGCAGCACGCACCCGCGACATGAAGCGAATTGGTGAAAATGAGGTGCGTGTTTCGCTCTCATATGCATGCACGCTCTACGTGACAAATTTTCCCCCAGATACTTCGGACCTAATGGTGCGTGAACGCTTTCAGAAGTATGGACCTATCTTTGATATCCGATGGCCAAGTCGCCGCTTCGTGCAGTCGCGTCGGTTTTGCTACATCCAGTATATGACAGAGTCATCTGCGCATGCGGCTCTTGCTGAGCATGGCGTACATTGGCAGCCACACCATGCTTTGCAAGTGTACCTTTCAAATCCCATGCTCAAAAAGCAGCGCTCAGATGCGAATGCAAATGACAAAGAGCTTTACATGACAGGTTTGCCTCGTTCTGCAACAGTAGAGCAAGTACGGCAGTTTTTCGAGCCACATGCACCAATTGACGATGTGCGAATGCCACTTCGTCCTGACGGCAAGTCACGCGGTATTGCATTTATTCAGTGTCGAACGCCACTCGATGCGCGCCGGGCAATGCAAGCCACAAATAGCACGAAATTCCACAACCGTCTTGTTGCTGTCACTCTTGCTGACGCTGGGCGCCAGATGCGTTCGAAAGACACTCTACACGCTTCAAACGATGCATGGCGTGCCAAGTCCATTCATGTTGCAGGCTTGCCGCCTGATGCACAGGAACCATTGATTCAGCAGGCCGTAGAAGCAGCAGTCGGACCCCGAACTGAGCGGCAGGTCTTTTGGACGCCTGGTCGTCCGCCCAATGCCCACGGTACATGTGACAGCATAGTCGAAATGGCCGATGAAGAGGTCGCGGGACGTGCTGCCCTTGTTGCTGATGCTTTTTATGGTACTTTGCCACTGACCTTCACCATGTATCAAAACTTACCTCCGTCTTCTTCTGCCGCTGGATCAGTCACGCCAGCATACTCGGTCGCTCGTCGCGGCAACCATGGACGCGGACCTCGAGGCGCCTTTGAATTTTCTCGAGTGCACAATCCGGAGAATCAACCTGATACTGCAACGCCCAAAGGACAAGATGCGTTCCGTCAAATGCTTCATGAGCGTTAAAAACAAGAAAAAAAAAAAAACTACGAATCTTCATCCACGGCATGGATCCAGTCAAGCAGCTGTGTGGCTCGTGTCTTTCGCAGGGAGAACCAAGACTGCACTAATGTTGTTGCGGACAATGCTGTTTCTGAGGACTGTTCGCCGTCCGTCTGTTCTGCAGAATCTCCGTGAGACGACTGCGCTTCCACTGATATAGTCGCTTTGTTCGTCGAATTCGACATGTCCGTGTCCTTTTGGGAGGATGTTTCAGATGTTGTTGTTGGGGCCAAAGGAGGATTTGTCGCAGATTCCAACGCATGCAACATTCGCTGTGTACAAGTTAGTATTCATTGCATTGAAAACAAAAATAAAAATAACGCACGTACCTGTTTGGCGAGACCCATCATACTTGCGAGGTAGAAGGCTACAACAGACACGTACTCATCAGCGATCCACGAGCCATTGTCTGGTAGAGGAAGCGAAGGAGGTATAAGGAGCTTTTCCTGTTCATCAATCTCCTCTTGTGGGACTTCAGTGAGCTGACGACCGAGTTCATAAATGCGGGGCGACCACAAAACATGGCGCAAAAGCCAATTTTGCCGCTGTTTTGAAAACTTCCACGCTTCCTTATCGCAGAGATATTGTTGGGTATAGGCTATCGCTTTCTTTGCAGAATCGCTAAGGTCCTCGATGAACTCTGTGTCTGGCCCGGGATGCGGCACATTCGAACGTTTGCGTTTGCGCGAGCGTTTGCGCTTCTTTTTCATATCGCCAGCGACCGCTACATCAGGCTCATGATCTGCATCGTTGTGATGCACTTGTTCTAGCGCAGGTTCTGACTCGGTACTCGCTTCGTGCGCAGAAGTTGTATGCACGACCTCGTCGTTCACAGATTCTTGATGTTCATATTCACCACTATCGTGCTTGCTCGCATGATCCAATTCATCTTTCTGAGGAGCGGTACTGCCAGCTCCATCAACATCGGCGTCTGTCTGTGCCCGCGCCTTCTTGGACGAACGCCTTCGAAGTCGCTTGCCCATACAGCGTCGTGATCCTTACGAAATAATACACGCCTTTCGATTTATCTGAGGTGAAGCGACAAGAATCAAAGAAAAATCGGACTACTTTTAGGGTGTGGAGGCCAAATCGGGTCCATTAGAGAAGTCAACCAGGGAATACGTACGAATAGGTAGCCAGCTGAGATGGAACTGGGATCCTACTTAGCAAGCCAAGTTTGGAGCCATGCAGGCTCCATTCTCGAGACGGTGCGAGCAAAAGTCTGGGACGTGAGGACCAACTCTTCAAACACAATCACCTGAACGGATTCGTCGGATGTGCCACGCGCGCCGTGCCGAGATGGATGTAACACACAGGAAGGGTGTAGCTTGAAGGTCTGGCCTCCCGCAACGCGACGAAAGCTCCCGTCCGGCTGCCGCAAAGCCGTATGGCTCAGACGACCGGTGCCGAGGCATTGCATCAGCTCCATATAGTTTTCTCCCGCGTTCTGTGGCAGAATGGACGCCCCCTTTGTCACGACCAACGCATCGGGATCATTCTCCGAGTCGGACGCCTCTGACTCTATTTTGTGCGATGCATTATGATGCGAGGTCTCTTCGCACACAATCCCATGCTGTGAACATATGCGCGATAGCTGTTTCCGGATAGCAAGGATATTTTTCACCGTCCGCTCGTGGACAAAGTGCGTTTGACACCACATGCGAACTTCTTGGCGCGCGGCGGCTGCAGATACGTGAGACGCATACGCATGGTCGTGTGCAGCTATGTATGCCCGGAAAGCATTCAGCATTGTTGCATGATCACCAGTCACATCGTAAAACACTTCTCGTGCCTGTTCAGCAAGCTCGCGCTTGTCTGGCTGCGTCGGTTCCACAAAGATGCTCCGGTCTGCTGACAAGATCGACACAAGATCACGAGCTTGGCTCGCAACACGAGTACCTTGCTCTGCGGCTGCCAGGAGAAGACGCGCATAGGATGGGGTAACAGGGAGAGAAGCAAGCTGATAGCCCAATTCTGTGAGGAAGATGCCGTCTTTCCGTGTTTGAATGGCGCCCAATTCAGCGAGGTGAAGGACGGCTTCTTGAAGAAGCGCGGTATCTGGTGGATCTATCCACTCGAATGTAAATGGATTCAGGTCCATCGCGTACAGTTGAAGTGCAGCGCCAGACAGTTCGGTGCGATGGATTTCCGCGACGGGCATCGGGCGCAATTGGTGGAAGGCATCGCGCGTATACAGCCGATAGCATTCGCCCGGCGCTTCACGACCTGCTCGTCCTGCGCGCTGTACGCTGGATGACTGTGAAATAGGTAGGACCTGGAGTGTCTCAATGCTGGTGTGAGGAGAAAATACTTTCTCTTTGACAAGCCCCGAGTCCACGACGTAGCGAACGCCCGGGATTGTGATACTTGTTTCAGCAATATTCGTCGCAAGTACTATTTTTCTTGTGTGCGCAGGCGTCGGAGTAAAGACGGCAGCAGATGCAGCGGGACCCAACGCCGCATAGAGCGGCCGCACAAGGAGTGCAGGTACATCATCGCGTCCTTCCTCCCGCGCCCAAGGCTCTAGCTGCGACTGAAATAGCTCGAGTGATTGCACCATGGATTCAATTTCCTCCTGCCCCGTAGCAAAGACGAGAACATCGCCAAGCGGCTTCGACACGTGTATCTGCATCACTGTGCGAACGGCCGCATCTGTCCAGTCCTGACAGCTATGCTCCGTATGATACAACCGTACCCGATGCTGTCGACCTGCCACATACAATATAGGTATTGGTTTGATCGAATTCGAGAAAAAGCGCGCGAATGCGTCCGCATCTATTGTAGCGCTCATGATGATGATTTTTAGAGGCGCAAGGGTCGTGTTGCCAGCATCGATGAGCTTTTTTCGTTCCTTCTGAATCTGCTTCATAAGTCCCAGCAGCATATCTGTGCGCAGCGAGCGCTCATGCGCTTCGTCAATGATCATAACTCTGTACCGTTTCAGCAGAAAGTTCCGTGCGTTCTTCTTGCGCGACATTCCCACCTTCGAAATACTAGGGCCCAAGGCCTCTCGAATCAGCATTCCATCCGTTAAAAACTTGATGCGCGTTTGCGGGGTGGTCCGATCGTCGAATCGAACCGAGTATCCAACGTATGCCGGTTTGTCAGTCTTAACGTCGGATCGTGGCCGTAATGTTGCAGGATCTTCGCATCCCAATTCATCGGCCACTCGGCGCGCAAGTGACGTTGCTGCCACTCTTCGTGGCTGTGTGATCCCAATCATACCTTGGCTGCTCTGACTCTCTTCGAGCAAGAACTGAGGGATTTGAGTCGTTTTACCACTTCCTGTCTCACCAACTATAATGACTGTATCGTTCTCTCTGATCCGTGCCAAAATTGTGTCCTTTCCCTCCCAAACTGGCAAAGATCTCACTGCATTGATTGCAGCAGCTTCCTTCATTTGCATGGGTCTATGGCGCTCTGCCCACTAACGAGAGAATGGCAAGTATACGTGTACGTTAGCCTGTATCGTGAGATGGTGGAGTACTTGTCCTTGCGTGTACCCTACTACAGAACTCCACATTTTGACGTCATCTCCCAATCTCCGACTCAAGAAAAATTAGGGCAAGTGGCGGCACCTGCGCTTGCGTCATCCGATCAAAGTTGCATATTATAAATTGGCTAGGGGTACTTCGTGTGACTTTCTAAAGCTGCCAGAGAGAGGTTGTGTGTGTGTGTGTGGCGTCGTCCACCATGGATTTTAATTTCACAGGGTCATCACGGCCTAAACGAACTATCAATCTTGGCAGACAGCCTGGTCCAAAGTCTGTTGCTGATGTAGCAGCCCAAGTTCGTGCGCAACGTGAGGATCGGAGAATGCACAAAGTCCGTGTAGCTGCCGCGACTCGCATCCAGGCTGCATATCGTCAATATACCACCTGCAAAGCGCTTCGTCAACAGTGCGCACAAGAATTTGATCATATACTAAATACCAGCGTATCACCCACCGCGGATACTTGGATCCACCTCACCCGCCTTCTAGTGTTTTCGCAGGGTCGGAACGTCTCATGCGCCGAAGCACGTCGTTTAGCGCTTTGGGCTGAGGAGTTTCTGTCTGCATCAACATGGCCTAAGCCTGCATTAAGCTCTTGGGTCTCGCTTCTTGCGATGGTACTTGAATGCATGTTACGTTGCATGCAGCGTGCGCAAGCACTTGAAGCGTCTTACACGCGAGCGATGCTTACCTTCATGCTGGGCCTTCTTTGCAAAGAACACGAGAACATGGACTTAGCAAAGCAAATGGCATCCTTTCTACTCTCCCATGGAATGCACAGCTCACTAAGAAACTACCTCGTCGCGCTTCCGAAGGACGCAATATCTGAGCAGGCCGACTGTGTGTCATTGATGCTTCGGCCACTGGCTCTTTTCGATGAACCGACGACCGAGTTTGTTCAAGCTGGTGCCGCTGACGCATCTTCATATGCACCACGAGCCGTGTTCCTCCGAACATTTACCAGTGAGATCCTGACGATTCCTCACCTCTTGCATCACATGCCGATTCCGTCTGTCAGCGCCCTTTCCTCCGCTTTTCCCATGTCGGAATTTATGCACCACGTACAGTCTCTGGGTGCTTACTACGATGTGACGTCTGGTGACAGCGCACTAGCCAACAATCCCATTCACTGCCCGTATCTGCTGGCGAATGTCATCATACTCACAGCTGTGCGTGTCAAGGCAATGCAGAATGGTTCCGAGATAAGCCAATATCTGATGATGCTGGCAACTTTGCAAAACGCTTTACCCAAGTCTGTGTTTGCCGATGAGGATGCTTCTGTTGATCAGAAAACGAAAAATGAGCTACTCACTCTTGTATCCTTTGCCCACATCCGGTCAGTACTTGCGGCCAGTATGCGATCCCCACACAATACGCGCCCAGCTCTGTGTGCATTTCTTGTGGCGACGCTGTACACATGGCCTGCGTCCGCACGCGATTCAGTTCTTACGGCCATGCTGTACGGATATGATAAAGACGGTGTCACTCGCTCAGTGTACATGGGTATTTTAGCGCGTGAGTTGTGGCGTGGCTGGGTCCGTTCCTGCTCACTTGTTCGTTGTGTTGCAACGAAACATCGCGGACTAGCAGCAAACGCATCAAACGTGCGTGCAGTTGTTACAGACCCAACATATGCAAGTGATTGGCCGCTCTTCCTGGTCTTGTGCATTGAATATTCACGGTGTCTGATGATTTTGGGCGATGACGAATTTTATCCTTCGAGTGCCATCGATACCCACGTGCCTAGTAGAAATCCACTCACTCTTGACGAGCTTGATACACTCAGTGGCCTGCTCCGGAATATTACCTTCGCTATGTACTGGAACAGTGTGGACATGCCCCCAGAACATGCTCATGTGCCAGGAACCCGTGTGCAGCTTGCACAAGTCCGTGAGTTATGTACACGGCTCCTTCAGCAGCTCCATACACGTGATTCTCGCCGCTCCTTTGTGCGTGAGGGCCATTGGCACATGCTTGGACAGAATGACCTAGGCTCATTTATCCACGCAGTTGTCCTTGAAGAAAGGGAACTCGCCTCTGCAATCTCGCATGATGAAGATGCAACAAATGCACGCGCAACAATTTCGGCACTGTCACAACGCACGCGTGCATTCATGACGCCGCGGCTAGAGGTGCTCAGTTACATTCCATTTGTCATTCCCTTTGATGTCCGGGTGGAGATCTTTCGGCAGTTCGTGCGGAACGATGCTGAGCGTTTAGGGATTTCGCGCGACATATTTTCGCCCACACGCCGGCATCGCGCGACGATCCGCCGTGGACACATTGCTGAAGATGGTATGGCGAAGCTCAACGGACTTGGACCGAGCTTGAAAGAACCACTGGAAATTGTATTTATTGACCAGTGGGGTATGCCGGAGGCAGGTATCGATGGCAGTGGCCTGTTTAAGGAGTTCCTTGTCTCGATTATCCGCGAGGTATTCGACACAGATCGCGGCCTGTGGTGTGCAAATGAGCGACAAGAGTTGTATCCGAATCCGCACTCTTATGCTCACGGCGAAGAGCAGTTGACGTGGTACACATTTTTAGGTCGGATTTTGGGGAAGGCATTGTATGAAGGGATTCTAGTGGATGTCAAGTTTGCTGACTTTTTCTTAACTAAATGGTTGGGGCCAAAGGGATACATCGACGACCTTGCCAGTCTCGAGAGCCTGGACAGTGATTTGTATCGGGGTCTCATTGCGCTCAAGAACTATACAGGCAATGTGGAAAATGATTTTGCATTGAATTTCACAGTGACCGACGAAGAGTTTGGTGTGCGAATGAATCGGGAGCTCATTCCTGGTGGGAATGATGTCCCCGTGACGCGCGAAAACCGGCTCTCCTACATCTATTGTATGACCAGGTATCGGCTCAGCACACAAATTGAGGACCAATGCAATGCGTTCTTCCAGGGCCTAAGTGAAATGATTGACCCGCGATGGCTTCGTCTTTTCAACCGGGAAGAACTGCGAGTGCTCGTTTCAGGCGCAGAGAGTCCCATCGACGTTGATGATCTCAGGCGCAACACAATATATGGTGGCTATCACGAGAAAGACATGGCCGTACAGTACTTCTGGGAAGCCTTGTCACACTTTGATCAAAGTTCTCTGAAAGCATTTCTGCGTTTCGTCACATCATCGCCGAATCCTCCACTATTGGGCTTTGGTGAACTAAATCCGAAATTTGCCATCCGACATGCTGGTGACGACGTGACGCGGCTTCCTACAGCAAGCACGTGTGTAAATCTACTCAAGCTTCCCGCCTACGAGTCAGTCGCACAATGTGCAGACAAGCTTCGGTATGCTATTTATGCAGGCGCTGGCTTCGACTTGTCTTAGACAACCCGTGCTGCTTTGCATCGGGATTGCAGCCGACTTTGGCTGAGTTCGAAAGGCAGCTAAGACGCATGCATAATGGATAAAACATTGGGTGCTGAGAAAGTGTTGCGGCCGACGCAAATGTACGCACGTGCTCGCTATGGGTGGAGTGCTGCGTCAGAAACAAGCACGAGGCGTGGCTGGGCGCTGCGCAGCTGGCTGCGCATACATGAGTGTGTTTGAGATGTGGGGTTTCACGCGACGTTTCTCCGCCCCAGGACATAACATTGAGTTCCTTCCAGATGTAGCCTATGAAGAGTCTTTTTTTCTCGCGAGTTGAGAAAATCCTATGTAATGTCCAGTTTATTCCCACGAGAGTTCATGCGGAGAAAATGGAGCCGACTCCGGCTAGCGTGCTAGATGTCGAGTAACCGTACCTGCTCGCATACATTTTTTTTTCCAGAGTCGATCAAAGACCCTACGGCCCATCCCATCAGCTTGTATATACGATCTCCTGAATGGACATGGCTTGGCATTGACCAACGCATTGAAATCAGAGATGATGCAAGAATTCTATTCAAGCATGTTGGCCTTTTCACCTGACAGGCTTGAACAGGTCGCTACGAAGGATACCTTGGAAATGGCACACATTCTTCATGGTACGTACTAAACTTGATCCGGCTTTTGGACATGAGCTGGATATGAAAAAAAGGCAGACGCTGACTCCTTATGTCTTTCCTCTTCACAGTATCTTCTAAATGCAAGTCATTCGTTCAAAATGGTGAGCGCTTCGAAAATTTATCCTGGCGTATTTGGGCGCAGCAGAATCAACGTACCAAGGTGCCTCCAGCCGAATCTGTTATTTCTTCGGTGACACCGTACATGCAAAAATGTTATCCTATGTTGACACCATCAGCACCAGCCCCGTTGTCTGAGCCTGAGCTTTCGACGGACGAATCTGTGACGAGCGAAGAGGGCGATGCGGACGATCGTCAGAGGGCGGACCGCACATCTTGTCTGAATGAATTCAGTATTCTTACCAAGCATCATACTGATAGCACCGTTCCAACAGCGCAGTTCTTTCAGAAACTCGCAGATGATGTCGAACAGTGCTGGTTACATTCATCTTATTCGTCAATCGGCTGTAACCCTACGCGCTGGAAGCGAGGGTCTGACGATATCCATGAAGAGGAAGATGAAACTGTCCAAGGGTCTGAGTCTCGCAGCACGGGTACACCCATTTCTACAACAGGTACAGTCACTCCTAATGTTATTCGTTCGCGAGCAAATTCAACAACGCAGTCTCCACGAACTCAAGCACTTGGGCCCAAGGTAACAGAAGCGCTTGTTCCACCCAAGTCGCAAGATTTGTTAACTCATAACTGTGTAACAGCATTGAGGCCAGACGCCATGAAAAGCGCGATGCTCTTTGAAGAAGGAGCCGCTGCAACGAATTCGGCTCTTCCTGTGTCGTCTTTCCCTAATCCCCAGATGTTGTCAGTGCCTGCGGCCACTTCCTCTGTATCCTCGAGTCCACTAGTGTCCGACGTCTCCGCCTCTGGCAGCACATCCAAGTCCACTAGTCCACGACCCCCTGGAGCAGCAAGCAGTGTGGCACTGGCAGGTGCCAGGAACGCAGGCATCCAGGCACCACCAGCACCATCTGTCGCATCTGGGATCCCCTCTCGTATGCGGCGTCAGCAACGCATCCAGAAAAGTACAGAAAACCTACCAGCGCTGCGTGCGACGAAGTCCTATTTGACGAGGACGAATGCAGCGAACGTGACACCTGGACATGTGTTCGACGGGAAGCCAAAGCAAGATAAGGCAAAGAAAAAGCAAAGCAAAATCCTCTTCACCATTGGTGGCGATTCTGAGGAGGACGAGCTGCCAACCGAAGGCGACAACGAGGATGACTGGTCAAGCGAGGATGACGAAGCCAATGGCGGGGATGCTGGAAAGGATACAAATACGCACGAAAGTGCGCGGCTAGAGACAGAACGAGCGCGGAGAGAACTAGATGAAGAGTGCGAACGAATGGAAATGTTCAAGAAACGGCCGATCCGCTCGGCCAGCTTGGCCGACCTACCGCATGCATCCAATGCAATGGCACCGCCTACTGAGTTAGGCCCTACTCGCGGCCTCTTGTCAACGATGCTTAAACCGTCAGAAGTGTCAAAGCAGTATCCGCATCGGCCCCGTGCAGGCCAAACGCTCCATCTCTCACCCATGCCGAATCGGGCTCACTGCACCAGGACACATGCAAGCGCGCGGAACCCTTCGACTCCCACACATCTTCCACGTGCGCCCAGCTTCCAGACTATTCGATGTAATCCCACTTCAGGCGCCGACAAGAACGACGTCATAAACCGCAGTAAGAGTGCACTGGCGCTTCCGCTGTTGAATCTAACGTCTTTGCGCTCAAGTACATCGTCCGGCCGGATTGTATCGCCGTCTCCGAAGCATGCGGTAGGGGCTACGTCGCCAGAGCCTGGGCGTGCAGTGTCGAATCACGGTAGTGAGTCAGACGAAAGTTCAGCACCTCCGCGTACACGCAGTAATCTTGCACTCAGTCGGCTTTCCGCGATTGCGCAGCGTGAGACGTCCTCGACAATAACGACGCCAACGACTTTGTCATCAGATACTGGTGATGGACGTAGGCTTTCATCGCTTGTGCGTTCCTGTAACTCCATTGGCAATTTGATGACCGCGACGAAGCCGGACTCTGCGCATACTGCTGTGCATTCCATTCCATCGCCAGCATCCCAGCATGCGCCAGCTGAGGGAGAAGAAGATGGTCTTTGCCTCGGAGTTGAAGCTGATGAGCGCGCCCCCCTACGCGTTCAGCGAGTGCTTGAGGCGACTCCACAGACGACGGATGTGCCACAGTTGTCCCAAGCATGTCTTATGTCTGATACAATGACTGAGTCGCCTGTTCCTCAGCATGCCACTGAGTGTTCAGGAACGATGCCACCACTTGTGGATACTGTGTGTGAGAAAGAGCAGTCCCAGCCGACAGAAGCGCTTGTGCCAACGCCTTGCGTGCATACAGATGCGCTGTCTGATCCACTGCATCGCCGTATCAGCACGCCCAACCCGTTGTCCGCGCGTGCTACTGTAGCGCGGCAAAACATTTTGGACGAAGAACTCTCACAAAGCGTCCGAGAGAACTTGCAATGGGAACGTGAATCGCGGGCTCGCTTGCTCGGGATCGGTTTAATGGGCACGGTGTCTTCTCAGCGGCCTCGACGAACGACGGACTCTAGGGTTGTGGGTCTTGATCAGTCTCGACCCCATACTGATGAGGGGTCATTCCATCACAAGGGATGGTAAAACTGCTGCTTTGGTCTTGTTTTTATGCTATAAGAGACTGCAGTTTACTACCTGGCCTGGTGAAGAGAGAGAGAGAGAGAGAAAGAGAGAGAGAAAGAGAGAGATACAACACATTCATTCATATACTATGAGCTGATTGATTACTTGTACATTGTCATACATCTAATAATTAGAGTTCACTTTTAAGGATGGATGTCACCGAAGCAGATGAAGGCGTTGCAGAAGGCGTGGAACGGAAGCCAACATCGTTGCCGCTGCTCACGCCCGGAGCCGTCTTCCACCATGAGCTCCACCATAAAGACCAGGAACGAGCTGCATGGCTACTGCTACTGCCACTGCCGTTAACAGTGCCACCACTACTCCCGAGCCCTACGGCCGCCGTCGTTTGGGAAGAAAAGACAAGTCGCCAGACAGTCCATAGTACTGCTGTCGAACCAGATACAGCAACAAGCCACAACGCCACCGTTCGCCAGCGCAGACGAACTGTGCCGAGTGAGCGGCCGTGTGCAGGGACAGCGCCACGTGCGTCCATCGCAATGCTCAGGATGATATTGTACAGCTCAGCCATTTCGCCTAGCTGCGCACTCACATTCAACGGCCCTGCACCAAGATGCGGGATGTTGAGGCCAAGTTTCCGACAATACATGTCCGGCTGGACTTCATGTCGCTGACGAGCGAGATCCAAGTCCGATTTCGTTGCGACAAAGAGTGTGGGGAATGAGGCAAGGTGTGGGTATTGCTGCCTCAAATTCGACACGTATGAGAACGAGTGTGTATCGCTAGAGTCGTACACAAATACAATCACACTCACACGCTCCAGCTTGGCCGGATTTCGCAATGCCTCTGCCTCGTTGTGTGAGCCATATTCTTGCAATACGAGGTAGCGTTCAGCTCCATCTTGCTCCACAGCAGCGACGGCGCGTTGGAGGCGGTGCGTAGGAGCATACTTTCCACGGAACGGTTTGCCGACAAGTTGTCGAAGCAGTGCGGACTTCCCACTTCCATGTGCACCAAGCACAAGGGCAAGAAACACGCTGCACTGTTCAGCATGAGAGCGTCGGCGCTCGCCCAGTCGCCGCGGCCGTACGAGCTTGAGAGCGGATGTCGTTAGGGCTGAGCGAGCGTGGCATCCAGATCGATTTCCCACAGCTGTGCCATCAAGCCACGCATACGATGCTGGCGCTGCACTCACATAACACGGTGATGACGTGCCAGACGAGGGTGGCGAGCCAGATGCACGCATCCCGTGTGCAAAGTATGGATATCCGAGGTAGGCAAGGTATGCCAGTGTCGTGCGCGGTTCAAGAAGAGTGGTCATGCTCCACTGAGCCAGCCATCCCTGCAGCGTGACGGCACCGGATTCGTCTGTTACTGTGCCTGAGGGAAAGTTGAGCGCGCCCCAAGGATGCTGGCCACCAGGCGCCGTTTGAAACAGCTGCTCAAGCTCGCTGGCACTCAGCGCACCGTCATGATCTTTGTCATGGGCTTTGAACAATTCGGTGAAGAATTGGTAGCCCAACGGCGAGAGCTCGACGCCCATGCCATGCGGCACGTCGAAGCGTGGATATACATATGTGTTGGTGAGCGCAAGATCCATGCCATACCCAAATGTCCAGAGAACTGTCCATGTAGTCTCAAGGCGTCCGCGCTGGATAAACAACGTGTGAAGATACAGGAACCCAGCGAGCGTCAGTCCATCGTCGCGCAAATGCATCGATGCGTCGGAATGCGTGCCTTGCATGACCAGTTGCTTGATCCCCACAAGCTCCTGCAGCTGCAATGGCGCATCAAAGCACTCAAACTGAAAGTTGTTGATCTCTTCGTCGCTCAAGATGCCATCCTTGTCAGAATCGCACAAGTGGAAGATGTTCCGTAATGCGTCTACACAAGCAGGCTTAAGAGTATGCGAACGTGAATCATACAGCGGCGCTGTTGGGTACAGAACGGCCTTTTGTGCGTAGAAGAAAATCTCGCCGACATTCAGGGTCAAACTTGCGCTGCATTCGATGCAAGTCTCGACTTCTTTGAACTCGGCCATGACCGGTGCGATTTCATCCTCCAGCGCATCCTCCTCGATGTCGGCTGGTCGCTGATCGACCTTGTTGCCAACAAGAATGACAGGCACATTTATGCCTAGGGAGCGCATCATTGGTAGCCAGTACGACGAGATCCGCTCGAATGATTCTTGGTCGACAACGCTGTACACCAGCACAACTACGTGCGCACGACGAAGCTCCGTTTCGAGCCGCTCCTGAAATGCAGCACCTGAACCAGAGTCAAGAATTTTAGTTGTAACACCGGCCGGTGATGCTTCCGACGGTAGTGTAATTTCCGGCACCACATTCTGCACATGCTCGACGAAGCCCTCCTTCACGAGCGACATGATCAACGACGATTTTCCCACACCCACATCGCCAGCTAACACAATCCGGATTTCTGTGTGCGAGTGTGACATTGGTACGATTCGTCACGCAAGCCCCACCACAAGCGCGCGCGCGTGTGTGTGTGTTGTTCGTTGTTCGTTGTCCACGATGTGGTTGTTCGCTTGGATGATGACAAAAACACACGCCACCGTCGTTCCAAATCCATGTCGGCCTGTAATATCCTGGAGAAAGAGAAAAAAAAGACTTAATTCCCAGACTGCTTCTCGTCTCTCTGGACACCGCAACGCGCATAGGGACAAGAAACCCAAGTCCTGCCCAACAGCGGTCATGCGGACTCCGTCCAGACCTGTGCCTGAATAGAGGATACGCGACTCCATCGTCTCCATGCGTGGATTGCTCGCGCAACAATGCCTACGAAAAAATTTCGTACGCTGATCAACACTCACTGGTGGGGCAGACGTGGTTTGCTTGGCATCCGTCCCTGATGAGTCATCCTGCTGAAGCTCCACTTGAGAGCCACACCAAGGTACAAAAGCTACGACGACGTTAACAACAACAACAATAGCCGTAGCGACAGCGAAGTATCTCGTGTCAAGCGCGTGCTTCATTCATGCATGTCTCTTGGTATGATGGAAACATTGCCTGATGATGCGCTGCCACCACAGCCTCCCTCATCATCTTCGCGTCCACAACCCCACGGCATCCTCTCGTGGCTTGCGCGTACGAAAAATTTGCGCGCGCGTTCTCGGCCCATGAAGCCCCAAATTTTATCGGGATCGAAACCATTCAAGCTAGCTTATGCCGCTATTCTGTTAGGAGCTTTAATGAATATCCTGGATGCAGCGTCCATGGGTCTGCTCGTGTTTCCTGCAGATGGAGACATGTTTCATGGCCTGCAGGCTCAGAGCATCGCGATGTTCCTGGCATCCACCGTGTTGAATGAGCTTGTTTTTGTGCTGGGAGGAACAAACTTTGTCCAAGCGCAAGGGGAAATGCTGGTGGAAATCCTTCCATTCATGCAAAACATTGCGAACAAGCTTGCTGCCGTCATCAACGACGACCGAGACGCTCTATTGGCGACAACTGTCACGACGTATGTGCTATCTTCTTTAATACTAGGCGTGCTTCTTCTTGCACTCGGCTTCTTCCAGATTGATCGCTGGATCGCCTACTTTCCACAGGCCGTGCTGGATGGCGCACTTGGAGCCATTGGACTCTCACTCTTTATCTCTGGCTTCGAAGTCGCACAGCGCTCTTCATTCGAATGGTCCGCAAGCTATTTTCATGACCTATTTACGTCGAACAGTATGCCTGTATGTGTGTCGGCCATTGTTCTGACGATTCTGTTGTGCACGGGAGTGCGAGTGAAAAAAAAGTCTGCTACGGCACGTCCTCGCTGGGGTGCTTCTTTCTTTCGTCGAGTCGAGTGGGAGGTGCGACAAATTTGCTCAAACTCATTCTTCACTCCAGGATTCGTGTTATTATCTGGTGGCGCTTTTTGGGTCGCAGCGCTCGCAAGTAAACGAACAATGGCTGATCTCGTCGAACATCACTGGCTCTTCATGGAAGTCCCACCCGGTGCTACAGTCGGTACGCGCATGCGCTTCTTCGAATTTTGGCAGCTTTTTAATTTCCATCTCGTCCGCTGGGGTGCCATCAAGCAAGTGGCCGTCGAAATGGTTGTGCTGATAGTCATTGGCGCTCTCAATCTGCCAATTTACTACCCGACACTGCGTGATAACCTACCCAATGTGCCGCGCTCTGCTTCGATTAAAAAAGAGTTTATTGGCCATGGGATCGCGAATATCATCACAGGTCTCTGTGGCACATTGCCTTGCCTTGTTGTCATGTCCAACACGCTCTTTTTCTCTCGTGCGGGAGGCCAGCGCATCGAGTCAGCGTGTGTTATGGTTTTGACGTTCCTCTTCTTTATTTTTTCGAAGCTGCTCCTGCCTTATATTCCCGTGTTGTGTGCTGCACTCATGGTGTTTTTCTTCGGCATCGAGCTCATGGCTGAGGCGCTTGTGCCGACTTGGACGAAAAAGTCGCTCCTCGAATACTTCGTTATCCTCGGTACCATGGCCACCTGTACGGCGCTTGGATTCGCACAGGGCGTTGGCATTGGCCTTGCTGCAACGCTCGCGGTTCTCGGCTTCGAGCATCTTGCCGACTACGAGATCCGCACGTGCTTTGTCCCCCTTGCTATGCTGGCTGATGCTCAGGGCCTTTCTCCCAAAATTGTTGCTCGGCTGAAGCAAGAGTCGATGGAACAGCAGCAGCAGCAGCTCGATGTGGGGGTCATTTCGCTGGCTGGCACCGCCGGGTACACCACAGCCACCAAGCTCAAGCAGGCGATCCATGCAGTGCAGCAACGAGGATGTGCTGCACTTGTCATCGACTTGACATATACCGTTCGCATTGATCGTGTAGCAGCGTCGGCCATTTTTGACGAGAGGTCAAATCCACAGCCCGGGACGAAACATCCACCTGGCTTCTTGCTTGGTGTACCGCTGGGATCACCGCGTTATGACATCCTTGCTCAGGTGGGCAGTGTGTGTGCTGATCCCTCTACGATGGATACAGTCGCTGCACATGACCAAATGATGCACGCTCTGTGGCCTATGGCTGAATTCACTGATGTTCTCAGTTGGCTCTCGTCTCGTGCTGCCGTGTCAGATCCCGGTCTCCCGCTGTGGGCGCGCAATTCCAGTCTTTCCTCTCTTGAACATCCACATCAACCAAATCCACATCACCGCGATCATTTCTGCTACCCCGAATCATTAATGCCTGCACATTCTCCTTCCAACGAGATACCCATGGAAGCTCCGATGTCGTTGTCTTCTTGTGGACCCAGTATAGTGCCCACGATTGACCCGACACTCCCAATAGAAGCACAATGGAGTGCGTGCTGGGACCAACTATGTTGTAATCTTTCAACTGACGACGACAATGCATGGCTCTCAAAGTCGTACGTCCAAGACCACCAGAACTTATCGGATGCGTCTGACTCGCTCGAAAAACAGAAAAACAGCATCGATACACCATTTCTAGCACCGAAACGGCGTGGAGAAAATCTTGCATACTCAGGCTCGTCTTCGCCCAGGTGGCGAAACTCATTTGTCTCTGTGTTAGAGCGATACGGCCACATCCGGTTCCATGAGCCGCATACGCTGCTTGCGAGTGCAGGTGATCCGATGCCAGATGTGCGTATCATTGTCGTCGGTGCACTTGTATCGAGACGCCAGCTTGCAGCGGCCTCTCCTGCCGAACATGCAGATGCATCGAGTCCTGCAAGCAAGGTCGATCGCACACCAGCCGACTGGATCCAAGCACGCCCTCGACTTCGTCTCCGCCGCCGTTCCGCCGATCCCACTGTCCATACGTCTGTCCGTACGATTGTGGAACACCTGGGGCAAGGCGATATTTATGGCCTAGCTGAGTTCATGTTTGGAGAGACCTGGTCAGCCGATGTTACGACGGCTGGCCAGCTATTTAGCTCTTATGTGACCATTGACTTTTCAGCGCATGACGTGCGTGCGAACGCAGAGCTCGCTTTAGCTCTTAATGCGTACTATTCGCACCACCAATTCCGTATGCACAGGCTTCAGGAGCTATACAACCGAGCATTGAGTCAGGGTGAGCGCTACAAATGGTGAAAGTCTCATCCATACCTGATGCGTAGTTGGTTGACTATATCCCAACAAAGCAGGGCAGATCGCCAACCCTGTGATCATCTTGTTGTTGTTATGTCGTGATTCTATAGATGTAGACCGTGCTCTTACATGCCCTTGATCTCTAAGATTTTCGTAATATCAGCAACGATATCAACCCAATCGTTCATATTCTCAGTTTATCGTGGGGCTCTTCTTGCAGGTTCGTCTGAGGCTGAGACCCTACCGGACCCGATTTGAGTGGTCCCCGCCCGATTCAAACAAGTCGGACGCATTGCCCACCCACCCCTTTCTTCCCTTTGCTGCTCAAATTTTCTTTACACATCTTGAGTCTATATTCGATCCATTCATCCAGGTCCTTTGAAAGCGACAATGGCTTTCGAGGCAACGGACGAGTCCGTGAACCAACAACATGTTTGGTCTTGTCCGTGCTTGAATGTTCGCATGTATGGGAAAGCATGCCTTGATAAACACACATCATCACAGCTACAAATCCTGCTTGACCAAGATCATGGCGTTTCCATGGTACGTTCCTGCATAGAGTACTCAGAGCCAATCTTACCAGTACCAAAGTCACTTCCACAACTCGTGTCACGAGCTTCCATCACTTCAAAAGGATCCCTGCTGAAGCACCCTGATTCAAATGTCTGTGTTCAGTGCAACTTGTGCCATGAGCCTGTATATACCATGCACGAGTCGACGACGCCTCCTGCGTTCAAGCACCAAAATACTATCCAGCTCGGTCAATCGGTTTCACGTTTTGTCCCCATGGATGGAATGATCACTTTGACCCAAGCCTGCTTGAGCGAGGAGGTGATACGTGCCAAAGAGCGAGAAGCGTCATACTCACAAATCTATGGCGTTATTCTTCCGCCACCTGCGGACGATGAAAGCAACCCCTTGATGATGGCGATCCCTCATCTTAAAGATCCAAACGATGTCTCCTCGTTTTTTTCTATGATCTCACGAGCATCCTTCGACAACCCAAGCTTATCTGTCACGTCAGATGCGTCAGCCGAGTCGCTAGATGAGCACGCTTGGCACCTGTTGGAACAATACCGCGCATCTCTTGTATCAGAGATGGCTGCCATCATTCGAAACAAGCAAGAAGAATGGCTTGAGCATGTTCAAAAAGCTCGCTCGCAACTCCTTCTGCTTGCGCAGCACATAGGACCGTCCAAACCGGCTGTGAGCACCGGATCCTCTACGCCGCAGTCAGACGTGGAGCATCCAAAGTCGGACTTGTTCGCCAAGCGATTTTTGGAAGAGACTCTTGTACCACCGCAGCGCTCTACTGGGACACTTGGTGCTTCACTCGCACGGTATAGTGAAACGCACACTGGCGCAAAGAGTGAAAGCCCAGTGGAACATGCACCCTCACCGTCTCCACCATACGTCAATCAGTCTGGTGCGCGTTTGATGGATGGTGGCAATAGCAGCGATCACAGCGTGGCCGTTAATGCCGCTAGCACGGCGGCTGCTGCGGCTGCCGCGGCTGCTACCTCATCGTCCGCTGCTGTGTTGGAGAGCTCGGCCGTGTCGCCCTTGACCCTCAGCATGTCAGGAGGGCTAAAGGACGCCGCACCTCAGGAGGACATGGGAGAACAAGACGATGGATCTGGCAAAGAAGACCAAATGTTTCAAACGGACGAAGACATGACCGCTGCTCGTCCGGTCTCACAAACAGGGCGAGGCGAACATGAGCCATTTGCGCGGCATGTTCCAGAACGTACGGTGACCGACGAGAAAGTCGCCGAGCTTCTGAGCAGTGGGCTTGCCACCTCTTTCTCTGCCATTTCTGTTGCGCAACAAGCAGTTAATTTTCCTCGCTCCCGCTTGGAACAACTTGGCTTGAAGGGCGCTTATGACGTGCCGGACAACCATCATGTTCGTCGACTGCCGCCGGTGCCGCGTAAGAAACGCAGTTTCCTTCAGAATATGCACGATCATGATGAGGACCTTGCTTTAGCTGGTGCTGTCGCTGCACACGCGCCGTCACATCGTCATAACAACGCAGCTGTAGCGTCGAATGATGCGGGTCATCATCCTCCTACTTCAAAGCGCGCGACAGAACCAGATACCCAGCTCTCCCTCGCAACTTCTGTCCCATACCATCCCCTAATCCCAGTTCGCAATCTAAGGCGACGGGAAATGACGGAAGGAATCGATCATGAGCCCAAAACCAGCTTGCCATGCAACGAGAACCGGATGGTGCCATCACTTCTCCAGGCGTTGCGTGAAAAGAATAGTATGTCACCTGTGTCAAAGCGTACGACTGGCTTCCAACTGCCCTCGGCGCGCCCGATACCGTTAACGCCCAAGCCACGCTCAGTGTTTCATGTGACGGTAAACGATGAGCTGCCACCAATTCCACAAGCGCCTAGTAGGCATCTTCGTCTGGACCCATCATCTGGCGGCTCACCGCGCGCTTTGAACAATGTGAATCTAGAGGCAATGAAAGATTCTGAAGTTTTTGATGAATCTATGAACAAGGCTTTATACTTCATGCACTATCTGCAGAACCTCAAGCTGGCGAAACGCACAGGCTGGTATCACCACAATGTGCCGGAGCCGGAGTCTATATCAGACCACATGTATCGTATGGGTGTCCTGGCAATGCTCATTAAAGATGACAAGATCGATATCCGCAAGAGCGTCATGATGGCCTTGGTCCATGACATTTCGGAAGCACTGGTTGGCGACTTGACACCGCACTGCCAAGTGGACAAAGACGAGAAATCTCGCCGCGAGCACGAGGCAATTCACATCCTCACCCATGATCTTCTTGGTGATACGGATGCATCGCACACAATTTTTCAGCTGTGGCGCGAATATGAAGAACGACAAACTCGTGAGGCCGTGCTAGTCAAGGACTTGGATTGCTTTGAACTGTGTCTTCAAGCGTTCGAGTATGAAAAACTACACGACATCCAGGACTTACAGCAGTTCTGGCTCGGCGCTGCCCACAAAATCAAACATCCGCAGGTCCAGGCGTGGCTCGCCGCTCTGCTACGTAAGCGCCGTGTCCTGTGGGAAAGCCGCGGTTTTTCATATGATGACGCTACGCAATAGTGGTTAGGAGGAGCTTGTCTCTAGCCTGTTTCCGCTCGCCGGTCTCGGGTGCTATGGTTGTTCGCTGTACGACAGATATCTGTCGTACACAGCCAATATTATAGAATAGCAATGTAAGGCAACCTTGAAAACATTGTATGTGTTTTTCTCCAACATCAACTTGTTGGATGGCTGTGGCGTCTTATTGCACGTGCTTTGAAGAAATTGGATAGGCCTTCCACGACGCATCCATTTGCCTTGGCGGTGGATGGAACGTCAGGGCTTGTACTCTGAGAGGCGTGCAGCGCACGTCCAACACGTCATGGGAGCATCATCGCCTAAGCGGCGAGCGATAGAAGAGAAACCTCTTCGCCCGCTACCGAGCTCGGCGATGGCATCGCCATACCGGATCCCCATTTCACCAGCATCCTTTTACGCAAGTCCAACACATTCGACGCAACAGTCACATTCACAAGATACCCTCTCCCATGACGCACAGCCAAAGCAGACTTCGCCAAATCTGCATAACAAGACCGGGGATGACAGTCGGGATGAGATTGATTTTCTAACACCGGCTACAAGCTTGCACGATCGCATGCGTGGCAAAGCTCCGTCGAACTCTTCGCAAGCTCATATGGGACCGACCGCAGCAATGGGTCGCACCTCTGCATTGACAAAGTGCGTAAATGTACGATTGCGCGCTGTGTTTGTCGGACAAGAGTATGCAAGTAGGAACGAGGGCGTTGAAGTCGCTGCCTTTCAGACACATCTCACCCTATTTCACCGCACAACAGCGTGTGCTAAGGTGGCATTTCGTGATGTGTTAGACACGCAACTAGGCGGTAAAGAGCATGCACTCATCGCCATGTCGATCAAGCAAAAATGCTCGTCGGCACGCGCTATTGCATCGTTATGTGGCGAGGCAGCTTTGGATCCGTGCTGCCTATATATGTTTGTTGAACCAAACGACACTTCATGGCCACTGCTTTTTGATCAAGTGTGCACCTATACACATGCAGAGAAGCTGACAGAGTCTGCTTGTATGGCATTGTTTGAGGCATCGCTTCGATCAAACACCAAGACTTTACGAATCCCCAGCAGCCCCTCAGCGCATGTTAGAAAACCAACGCCCATTGTTATTGGTGAACGGCGAACTGCAGCACTGGAGAAAGCAAGATCAGACGAATCAACCAAACCAACGTGTGCGACAGGCGCTGCAGAGCTGGTAAGGTCGTCAACTTTGACGGATTCGATCACGGCAGAGTCGGCGCGCCCAATAAGATACACACGCGAACGCACACGGCTTGAGGAACAGCAAAGGAAGGCGAGCCAGAGTAAACCAATCCTCAGATACCCAGCATCTGGTCCATTCGCCGTTACGCTATTGCAGTCTGACGTGGAGCGTCTTCAAGAAGGTGAATACCTGAACGATACCTTGATCGAGTTTGGACTGCGATTTCTGCTGGAGCGAATCAAGCAAAGAGAACCAAACCTGGCGCAGCAAATCCATGTTTTCAATACGTTCTTTTATCATAAACTGACAGAATCACGCGATCGGTCCAAAACGTACGAACACGTCCGCAAATGGACAAACAAAGTGAACATGTACGTGTTTATAACATACTCTCGTGTGTACTAATATCACTAGTTTTGACAAAACCTACGTGGTTGTGCCCATCAATGAATATATGCATTGGTACATGGCCATAATTGTGAATCCCCGCGGCATTCTCTCAGAGCATATGACACCTGTATCCCATGGACTTGGGCGGCGCTCCACACACTCTTTGAAAGAAACAACTTTACATGCATCGTCTCCGACGATGCGTCCGACTTCCGACACTGGAACAAGTCCTACCCCACCCGACAGCAACGTTGCTACTCACATCGAAGTAGCGCCAATTCAACTTGTCGAGAAAGACAGTAATCACGCCGATTTGGAGCGGCCGAACCCATCACGCTCGTCCTCACCAACACATTCATTTCAATCTGCTCCAAAGCAAAATCAAGAAACGTATGTAATTGTGCTGGATAGCCTAGGGAGTACACATGGCCCTGTGAAAACTGCCCTTCGTGACTATCTACGGCTCGAGGCTCATGACAAAGGTAAAGTCGATGCAGACGTGGATATAAAGCGTCTGGGTGATCCTACTCATATTGATGTCCGTGTGCCCGTGCAGTCGAATTTCAGTGACTGTGGGGTATATTTGTTACACTACTTTGACCGTTTTTTTTCTCAGCCGGAGCATTTTTTCGAGATTGCGCTTTCATCGAGACGCGGATCTCGGACTTATACCACGGTGCATCAGGACTGGCGAAGTGAAGACGTGGACTCAAAGCGTGCTTGGTGGGCGTCCGTCATTCAGGACCTGGCTCGTGATTGGATCCCCGATCCTGATCCACATATGGAACCGTGTGGAGAAGGCGATATAGAGGACGTTTGCCCCTTATAACTGCAGACCACGCAAGCTAGGGGATCTGTATGTTTTTTCTCGGCCACTGTATATGATCATAGACCCCTTTTGGTTTGAACCCGGCGATAAGTGCACATGTTCCTAGGACCAACGGTGATAAAGAGTCATGTCAAAAAAGGTTGTGTGGAGGAGTATGAGCCAAGGCTTCCAGCAGCGCCCGCTTGAGCTCTTATTGGACTCACCGCGGGTACGTCTGTCATGTTCCCGCTGATAGAAAGGATTCAAAAACATACTGCTAGTTGTGCAGCGCAATAGAACGAACCAGATGGTCCCGCCAGCAAAAGGCTGAGATGGTTATTTCCTGTTTCAATGCCATGTGTGCAGCAGCAGAGAGGAAAGCTGTTGCTGCCGACTCTTCATCATAGGTGCGGTTGGCGTATTAGACGAGCAACGACTTGTGCCTCGCCAAGAAGATGGGTTTTCTTCGCACCTGTATCTCATTAAGCTGCTTCGATTATTTGCTGGTATTGCAGAACAACTGAGCAGATGTAATTGGGAAGGTTCATGAACGTGATCTGGCTGCTCGTTAGAATTTGGCAGAGCTGTGCGCAGGCGTGCACCAAAACTCTGGATGCGACTACTTCTTGAGCGGAAAAGCTGCTATCAAGCCACGCGAAGCCTTTGGAAGTATCCAGATGCTTGGATGTGTGGTGATGCTATGGTCATCTTGGACTTTAGCTGCGAGCATCGATACGGCGTTAGACGATGAGGATCTGGACGATCGCAAAGTCGTACTCAGACAGCTTCTGCGCGAGCTTGACGCCGGAAATTAAGCATACGCGAATGAAGAAATGCGAGAAGATAACTCGCTAGCCTTGTACATGGAGCATCGATACGAGCTTCAACATGCCGGGACTAAGACACCGAGTTTGATCAGCCGGGGCAACATTGCCGTGCCCTCACACGCTGCTGTAACTGACGCTCGAGAATACTTGACAATTGCTCATTGATGAAACGCATGATTGAACAAATGCTATATATATCTTTGAACGTGCACGGATCATTGAGCGACCTGCACAAGGCCCATGAGACCTGGCATTTCTCGTTGATCGTGACAAACGCGATTGCTATAGCGCATAACTCATGTAAAAGAACTAATTAACATGGGCTCGCTGGCTGTAGCTCAAGAGGTACCACGTAGCAACCGTAGTGACCAAGCATCAATAAACCTATGTGCACCCAAATTTAGCACAATGCCCTCAAAGCAAAAACGAAGCGCACGTTTCAAGAGATTCCACCGAATCTTCACTCAAGAACCTATGCTAGTACTATTTAGCGATTCAGGGGGTCTTACCTTGCGTCGAGTCCATCTATCATTTAAGGATTCTCGGCAGCCCAGTTCACACCCTTCGAAATGTTCTTGGCAAGGTCCGTGAGACAGTTGTCAAGAAGCTTCTGTTCCTCAGCCGTGATTTGAGGAAGGGCAGGGATGTTTTCAACACCGTTAGGGCCGAGTTCAACAGGGCTCGCGAAGAACTGCACCTGATCCTTGAATAGTGGGCTCTCGACGAAAGCGCACTGCTTCACCCCCTTTTCGCCATGCATAGCACGCAGAAGAGCGTCAGCGAACACGGCACCAGCGTACGCCATCGAGAGCGTAGCAGAACCAGCACCGTCCTTTGCCTTCACAACCTCATCACCGCCGAACTGGATACGGTGCACGAGCTTTTCGTACTGCTCGCCAGGCGAGACGGACGAGCCCTGCTGGGCCTGTGACAAGAGGGGTACAATCGTCACACCCGAATGGCCGCCGATGACGGGCACGTTTGTGTCGGCTGGCTTCGAGCCAGCAATACCAGAGAGGAACGTCGAGGCACGCACAATGTCAAGCGCGGTCACACCAAAGAGGCGCTTGGGGTCATACACACCAGCACGCTTGAAGACTTCGGCAACGATCGGCACGGTCGAGTTTACCGGGTTAGAGATGATGAGCATGTGGGCCTTTGGCGACACCTTCGCGGCGGCCTTGGCAAGGTCGCGCACAATAGAGGCATTCGTGTTGAAGAGGTCGTCACGAGTCATACCCGGCTTACGTGGCACACCAGCAGGGATGACAATGACCTCAGCACCTTCGAGCGCCTGCTCAAGGTTCTCCTGCGCGTAACCAGTGCACTGGCTCGGCGTGTTGATGTGCCCAAGGTCAGCAGCCACACCAGGAGCGAGACGGATGTCATACAGACGGAGGTCCGTGACATTCGGGTTGAGCTTGAGGAGAAGCGAGAGCTGCACGTCGCGTCAGTAAGCATTCGATAAATTGCATGGCGTCGACGACGCAATATGACGACGACGATATCCATGAAGCTACATACCGGTTGGCCAATACCGCCCGAGGCACCGAGGACAGCCACCTTGCTGTTTGCCGATGCGGTCTGCGAAAACAGACGGGACGCAGCAGGCACGCGGACAGCCTGGGCAGGGGTACGAAGAGCAGCACGAGCGAACATGATGGTCGTAGTTATTCTGATAGATACTGTTCGGACGTCCGAACCACAACCGACTTCACTCGCCCGCCGATTGCCGCCGCCAGCCCCTCCCCCCCCGACCCTGGCCTTGCTTTCCTCTCGGCCGGGCCACCCAGCAGCCCGCCAGCACATGCGTTGAGAGATAGCAGCTGACACATGAGTAGATTGCTGACTCAGCCGGAACGGCCCGAGGGTATGACTCCACGTGCCCATATAAACGGCGCACAGACGTTGGTCCAAACTTACGCACGATGCTTTGGAAGTTCGCATCGGAGACGCAAGGTCAATTTGCAGTGGCAACACGAGCCATTTGCAGAGCTAAAAACGCGATAGGGTTGAGATTTCAATCCTCATCCTCCGCTGCGACTATGTCAGATATAAAGGTGTGTTAGCTGAAGCCGCGGACAAATATTGATGATACTCCGAGGTATTCTAATGCGGAACACAGTGCTAACTTAATCGTCCACCATACGGGGTTTTGGGGGCATTCCTCTCAATTCTTTGCCCTATTCCCCCCCCCTTAATCGTCGATGTTGTCTCATTTTTCTTGATTCGTGGAATAAAGCGAACTCTTTACACGCCTAAGGACACTGTGCAGTATGCTATGCAGCAGCACGAACACGGTGGCGCTGCTAGATTGCGCGACCTGTATTCGAACAAAGGTGCGTACAGGTTTCCGCCATTTTCGTCTTGATGAAGCGTCTAGATCGACAGACTAACACTTGTGCCCTCTTTCCCTATAGGCACTGGCTTCACGATGGAGGAGCGCGAGAAATACGGTCTCAAGGGACTGCTTCCGCCGACAGTACACTCACTTGAGGAGCAATTCCAACGTGTCAAATTTTATGTCGATTCTCTTCCGGATGACTATCATAAGCACATTGAGCTAGCTAATTTGAGGCAACGAAATGAACGGCTGTTCTTCTATTACGTTCTGTCGGACATCATGAAGACGGTGCCACTTGTCTACACACCGACAGTCGGTGATGCATGCCTGAACTTCTCTCGGATGTTCCGTCGTCCTGAAGGACTTACCTTGTCGATTGATGACAAGGGCGCTATCGAAAAATGCATCGAAAACTGGCCACGTCCAGCTGATGCACCACGTGTGGCCGTCATCACAGATGGCTCGCGAATTCTTGGTCTTGGCGACCTTGGCTGGAACGGTATGGGTATTGCCATTGGCAAGCTGTCCTTGTATGTGGCAGGTGCTGGCGTGCACCCCCAGTCGGTCATGCCCATTGCTGTTGATGTTGGTACAGACAATGAAGAATTGCTGAACGACCCGATGTACTTAGGACTTCGTCGCCGACGTCCCAGCACTGAGGAATTAGTCGAGTTCGTCGACGAGATTATGGAGAAGCTTCATGCTCACTACCCGAGTCTGATCATTCAGTTTGAGGACTGGAGCAGTGAACATGCCTTCATGTTCCTCGACCGGTATAAGGACAAGTACCCTATGTTCAACGACGACATCCAAGGCACGGGTGCTGTGATTTTGGCTGGTCTCATAAGTGCCACACGTCTCGTGGAGAAGGAAACAAAGAAGTCATCGGACCATCGCATTTTGATGGTGGGCGCTGGCTCAGCATCTGTGGGTGTGGCGAAGCAACTGATGTCGTTCTTCACTCTGAATGGCATGTCGGTAAGAGGAGGCACGCCTGCGGATTTGGACAACTGACTCCAAGGGCCTTGTGACCATGAACCGCGGTGACAAGCTCCCTGACTACAAGCAATACTTTGCGCGCCGCGACAATGGTGACATGCAACTGAAGGAATTGTCCGACATTATCGACTATGTGAAGCCAACTGTATTGCTCGGATTGTCGACGATACATGGCCTTTTCGATGAAAAGATCCTTCGTAAGATGGCCGATCTGAACGAACGACCCATCATATTCCCACTTAGTAACCCAACGAGCAAGTCCGAGTGCACGTTTGAAGAAGCACTCACACACACAGATGGCCGTTGTGTATTTGCTGCTGGTTCGCCATTTGGCACTGTCAACTTCCACGGCAAACAGCGCTTTGCGGATCAGGGTAACAACTTCTACATCTTCCCTGGTCTCGGTCTGGCAGGCGCTCTGGTCAAGGCAAAGCATATGGATCATAAGGTCATTACGGAGGCGGCTGTTGCGCTGGCAGACTCCATGACCAAAGACGAGGTTGACGAAGGCCGTCTGTACCCCAAGCTAGGACGTGTGCGAGAAATCTCGCAGTATGTCGCGTTCCGCTGCATTAAAGTGCTCAACAAAGATGGCCTTTGCCGAGACGACGGTATCACGGCTTCCATGAGCGATGACGAGCTCTTCCGTTATGTCGGCGATCACATGTGGGAACCACATTATGAGCACTAAGAGTTTTATTGTTGGCCCGATGCCCATTCGTGCCTAGTTCATATCTTAATCACTACTCTCCTTTCGCTTATAGAAATTCGAAATGAGAATATCGTGTTGAAATCATGGCGTTTTTTTTGCGGCTTTAAAATTCATCCTAGATTTCTAGCTGCGTTACCCCAATTGGATCGAGACCACCTCCACCAAGTAGATGTTCGCTCCTTTCAAATGACCACGCGTTTAGAGCAACGTCAGAGGCGATGGGCAGCACCACTGGCTGCAGTTGCTGGTGCCATTGCGCTGAGTATTACTGTGTGGATATGGGCGTCCAAGAAATATGATTCTGGAAAAGGCGAAGGTTCTGCATCATCTCCCGCACGAAAAAAGCGTGGGCCTGTACGTTGATCGTAGCGTACTTCTCCAAAGCGTTTCTTACAGTAACAGAATCCAACTTTATGCTTGTCATTCGCGTGTGATCCAGTGTGGACGCGGCACTTGCAAAATTCATCGGAAAAAGTTGACAGCTTGATTCAAGTTCTTGAGCATGACTATGTCGTCCATGCACTCGTCTGTGCGCCCGAAGATGTGGCGCCACCGTTAGCTTGTGATCGGCTTCTATTATATTCCACACCCCAGGGCCGTGCCATGCTCGCACGAGCTCTAGTGCCTCATTGTCACGTTGAAATTGTCTTTGTCGATAAACAATTCCGTATTTCATGGGGTGCCGAAGACAGTATCCCTTCATACTTGACACGTCTTGATCAGCTTGCGCAAGTCGTCCATTTATTGATGATCGCTGTGATACCTGTCGCACACACATGCCCATTATTTACAGAACTAAATGACTTAAAAACGGCATTCCGAGATCATCCACTCTCGAAGCGTGGGAGCGTGCATTGGATGCACATTTCCCCTGGACTTGCGTGGGAACAACATTTGGCAGGCGTGCTAAGAGAAGAGCGAGACCAAACTTGGGCATAGCTATTTTTCAAGACTCGTTGAAGAACAGTGACGAACATTGTTCGTACGGCCTGCCTTTTGTCGCAGCAGAATTCTGCACATTTAAAAGTATCATATCGTGTGAAGGCGCTGGATCTTCAATAATATGCTCCAGCCTGGCGTCATCGCGTTGAGGAACAGGGTTTGGTGCACAGAGAGTGTGTAGAAGCACGTTTTTATCTTTTGTGGCAGAAACTTCATTACATCTATCCCAAACATCGAACATAGGACGATGCAGTAAACCGCGCAGAACTGCCATAGCGCCACGCTTGGATGATACCTGGTTTTCATGCAAGCAATGAGGCGTCTCAATACACCTGGGGCATCCATCCGAACATTCGCATGTTTCCAGCACATGAAGCGCAATACACAATAACGCATCGAGGTGCTCAAAGACTTGCGTGCATATTCCGGCATTCTGGCCTGGTTTGTCGTAGAATATAAGGCGCGATGGTCGCTTCCGCTGCGTTGGTCGTCCGCTAAGTTCACGCATAGGCACCTTGCACTCTGTCCGCACATCGTCTGCAGCGCTCGCGACGAATAAGGGCGTGAGACTAAGAACCGCATGCTCGGTTGCATGGATCGCCGCCGATGCAAGGATCTCATGCGACGTGAGTGCCTCAACGATTTTCCATGGCACATCGAGCCAGACACCGTGCGTGTGACGGATCAGAGGAGCCGTCTCAATGTCGACCACGTCAAGGATATTCGCTCGCCGGTCAACTTTGAAATAACCCCACACACGAAAAATGATGTCTACACGTCCATAACAGGCACGTGCCGAAGAATGCGATAGTGTTCGCATTCGCCACGTTTCGCAGGCATCTACGTCCACCAAGTCGCGCGGCCGAGTGTGGTACAAGACGTGTGAGCGAACCAGGAGTACGAGACGAGCATCATGATGAACACTTTGGCAAACATACGTTGCCCCTTGATGAAGAAACACAGCTCCTTCGTACGCCTCAAAGTACACACGCTCGACCTCAACCTCTTCCAGAAGCTGAGCACTAGTTGCATCCACGTATCGATACGTCTCTTGACGAGCGCCACGAATCGGTATATTGGTCGCAGGCGAAATCAGATCCGACTTACCCAGGTGATAAAACCCATCTTGGTCACGCACACAAAGTCGCTGTACAATCGACAACGCCCGCTCGCCGAAATACTTCGTATCTTCGGAAGACCAAGGCATTTCATATGCGGCACACTGCACGTGTGCTTCTAGAAGCAATTCATTGCTCGGATCAACCCACAAGTTGATCAAAGGTGGAGCGAATACCAGCTCGGGATGTCGCATGTAGTACTGATCCACGGGAAACGGCTCGCCTAGTAGCACAACGAGCGCATCCTTCTGTCGACGACCGGCGCGACCAGCTTGCTGCCACATGCTCGCTGAAGTGTATGGCATGCCGAAAAGAATCACAGCATCTAGCACACCGATATCGATGCCAAGCTCAAGGGCACTTGTGGCAATAAGGCCCAGGACATGTCCATGCGCCATATCATGTTCTAATTTGCGTCGGTCCGAGGGCGCATACCCTGATCGATATGCGTGCACACGATCAGCAAGGTGGGTATGACCTTCGTGCAGGAAATCCTCGCGAATCTGTCGGATAATTATCTCGCATGTTCTTCGGACTTTGGCAAAAACAATTGTACGAATGCCCATGACTCACAAGATGGCGGAATAGCTGAGACACTTCTTTATATGAAGAAACCCGCCCTTGCCCGGGCTCTTCAACGTCGATGAGGGGCGGATTCCAGACAATCCATTCTTTTTTGCCACACGGTGCACCATCATCGGCAATCAACTCAATCTGCTGCGTATCGATCCCAAGGAGCAGACTCATGTGCTCGGTGGGAGACGCAATTGTCGCACTACAGCTCACAAACTGAATCGAATGATTCCCCATGGCTGCACAGAGTCGACGGAGCCGCCGAAGTATCAAAGCCACATGCGTCCCAAATGTGCCCGTATACACATGAAGTTCGTCGAGTACAACGACGCGCAGACCTTGCAAAAATCGGCGCCACCTATCTTCATGCGGCAGAATAGCCTGGTGTAGCATGTCCGGGTTGGTGAACAAGACGCCTGCCTGCTCGCGGATGGAACGCCGATAGTCGGCCGGTGTATCCCCATCATACGCGTCCACAGCTACGCCAAGTGTACTAGGATGATGATGCAGTAGACGACGCAGAGAACCAAGTTGGTCCTGAGTCAGCGCCTTGGTTGGAAAAATGCACATGGCCGTAGCGCTGGGGATAGTGGCAAGCACATGCATGATGGGAATCTGGTACACGAGTGACTTTCCGGATGAGGTGCCAGTGCTCACTACGACGTGACGACCATGCTGAAAGAGAGTAAGCGCTAATGCCTGGTGGGTATACAGTTGCTGGATGCCATGCGCAGCTGCAAGGGCGTCTCTAATGTCGGAATCAAGGGGAGGTTCAACGAACCCAAACTTGGGCTCCCTGGCGGGAAATGTGCGTCGGCCACCAGGCACAATCTGCTCGCGCCACCAAGGCATGTCAGGAAGACGTGCCAAAATTTCTGCAATGGACGATCGGGTAAGGGCTGAGGAAATCGACGGTGTCTCTTCCGGGGGCTTTGGCACAGCCGCGATACTAGCTTCTTTCAGCAGCTCGATCGGATCTTCTTGTGTAGTTTCACAGGCAGAAAGCAGCTCTTGCACGGCCCGTGTAAAAGTGGCATTACGGCGTGAAACCAGCTGCACGGTGGCCTCTTGAGATGGCTTCGATGATCGAACATATCGTCGCGACGTGGCCTTGTCGGTCGCCAAGTCGCGATCTAGAAACTCGAACAAGAGGGTATGCGTGTTTTCATCCCGTGCAGGAGGGGTGTACATGTCATCGCGATCATCCATTCGAGTCCTGCGCCGTTTTCCAGCACGCTCTGTGCGGAGTGCCGCTGTAGGCACATATGCGAGATGAACCATATCTGGACACAATGCTTTGATGCGCGCAAGGTCCTGCACGTCAAGTGAGCGCGCCGTCATAGATCGAACACTGGCCTGCAGCATGTCGACAGTAGGGACGACTTGTTTGTGAGTCATGATAAACGTGTATACCGTAGATAGAGCCTGCCTATACGTGTGAGTATGTGGGGTGGGAGGACGAAAGTTCTGCAGGTACGCACCTTGAACGTTTGGTAGAGCACGAGAAATTCAGCTGGCCATGTCGTCGTGGGAGGCAGCGAGCCTTGTGTGCTTTCCTGTGCACATGACAAGGGCTTTGGTGGCATGCAATGCGAACAACAACTGACGAGGACTTGAAGGCGAAACAATGCTCGAAAGCTAAGCACAGAGTTTAAGAACTGTGTCACGGCTGAATCAAAACCGTGTCACAACACGATTGTTCTCTTTTTCTTTCACCATGTCTGTCACGCGCCAAAAGAACGCGTGTTGCCTCCACGGCCAAGGATCGCGCTCGCACGAGCCCATCACGTGCGATTGTCAATGGCAGAGAGCACACTAGTTTTTGTCTCCAATTTTTGACGCGCCTGGCATTACCTGCTGACGACGACGGTTCGGGGCTACAAGAGTTACGAAGCTTGCGTCATGGCGAGTGGCAGGCCGAACAAGCTGGCGTTCTTGTCTATGCAGGCGCCAGCTGGCTACGTGGCTGGTTTGGGACGTGGGGCGAGTGGCTTCACGACGCGCTCCGACATTGGACCTGCACGTGAAGGGCCCTCGGCAGAAACGGTGGCGGCGGCGCGCGCACGACGAGGGGAAGATGAGGGAGAAGACGATGATGATCCCGAAAGATTTCAGGACCCAGAAGAAGAAACAGGTCTGTTCGCCACGGCCGTGTACGAAAAAGACGATGAAGAAGCTGATCGAATTTGGGACAGCGTCGACAGACACATGGACGAGCGAAGACGAAAGCAACGCGAAATACGTGAAGCAGTCGAGCGCGAGGCCATACGGCAGTCACAGCCAAAAATCCAGGCGCAATTTGCTGATTTGAAGCGGAACTTGGCGAGTGTAAGCGAGTCTGAGTGGGCGAGTTTGCCAGAGCCAGGCAACATGACGGGCAAACGACGCAAGGCTGCATCGCTCCGTGAGAGCCGCGATAATCGCACCTATGCTATGCCTGATAGCATGCTAGCCTCTGCCCGAGATCGAAATCAGATTCAAAACACAGCTGCCGATGTAGATGGAACTGTGAGCTCACTTACGGAGATTGGTGAGGCACGAAATAAGGTGTTTTCCCACCAGCTCGACCAAGTATCGACACAAAGCCAGATGGCATCATCGGGCACATCTTCGACCATCGATCCGACGGGCTACCTAACAGAGCTGTCAAGCGTGCATGTCAAGTCGGACGTTGAGATTGGTGATATCAAAAAGGCTCGGAGCCTGCTTGACTCAGTCATCAAGACCAACCCGAAGCATGCACCTGGCTGGATTGCAGCGGCACGCCTCGAAGAGGTCGCTGGCAAGATGACGATGGCACGCAAAGTCATCGCGCAGGGTTGTGAGCTGTGTCCTCGCAGCGAAGATGTGTGGCTCGAAAGTGCTCGGCTCAATTCACGAGACAACGCAAAAATGGTCCTCGCTCGTGCAATCCAGTTCCAGAGCCAGTCCGTTGCTATCTGGCTGCGTGCGATGTCGCTTGAGACGGATCTCGAGAGCAAGAAACGCGTGGTCCGGAAGGCTCTGGAACACATTCCACACTCCGTCAAGCTCTGGAAAGAGTTGGTCAACTTGGAGGAAAGGCCTGAGGATGCACGCGTGCTGCTGGCTGGCGCCGTCGAAGCCGTGCCCATGAGTGTAGAGCTATGGCTAGCTCTTGCGCGTCTGTCATCGCCGAGCGATGCCAAGAGTGTACTGAATCGCGCACGCCGCACCATTCCGACGTCGCATGAGATTTGGATCGCGGCTGCGCGCCTGCTTGAAGAGAGTGGCGAGGCGGCTGAGCGCATTGACAAGACGATGAAGGCAGCAGTGGCATCGCTTCACAAGGCCGGTGCACTCCTTAGTCGTGATCAGTGGCTGCGTGAGGCTGAGCAAGTCGATAAAGAGGGTAGCCCGTTGACGTGCGCTGCCATTGTACGCGCGACCATGCATTTGGACATCGATGACGAAGATCGGCAGCGCGTGTGGACGGAAGACGCAGATACATGCTTGGAGCATGGACGCATTGCCACGGCGCGTGCGATCCTGAGCTGTGCCCTAGACGAGTTTCCAGATGTACTTGATATCTGGCAGCAAGCAGCTCGACTTGAGCGCATGCACGGCACGCATGAGCTGTTCACAGCGCTGCTGGAACGGGGTGTTGAACAATGTCCTCAGGCCGAGTCTCTCTGGCTCTTGTACGCGGATGACCGTCGGCGTGCTGGCGATGTGTCAGGAGCACGTACGATTCTTGCGCGTGCGTTCGATGCGAACCTCGGCTCAGAGTCGATTTCACTTGCTGCTGCGACACTTGAATCGGATCTGGGCGATATGCATGCAGCTGCCAAGCTGCTGATGCGAGCGCGTGAAGAAGTGCGGACAGAACGCGTCTGGATCACCAGTGTCCAAGTGGCATGGCGGCAGGGAGCCTACGACGATGCGCTGACGCTTGCCAAGAATGCCCTTGAGCGTTTCCCAGCACTGGAGGCCGTATACACGATGCAAGCACGTCTGTATGAAACGAAAGGCGATCTCGGAGCTGCACGCGAGGCTCTAGCTGCTGGACGGCGCGCGTGCCCAACGTCGATCATGCTGTGGCTACTAAGCAGTCGGCTCGAGGAAAGAACAGGAGCCCTGATCCGTGCGCGAGCCCTTTTAGAAAAGGGACGCCAGGCACACCCAACGAGCGATGAGCTGTGGGCCGAATCAGCCGCAGTGGAGCTGCGCGCTAATAGTGCAGCACAGGCCAAGACACTACTGAGTCGTGGACTGCAGGCGTGTCCGTCGAGTGGGCGCTTGCTAAGTGCAGCCATTTGGCTCGAGCCACGACCAGCGCGCAAAAGCCGGGCAGCCGATGCTTTGCGAAGGTCGGCAGACAGTCCGTATGTCATATGCACGGTAGCGCGCCTATTCTGGGACGAGGGTCGGTATACACAGGCACGCGATTGGTTCACCAAGACCGTACAAGCAGCGCGGACATGGGGCGATGGATGGGCATGGTGGTATGCGTTTGAGGGAACGCAGCCGGATGGCGATGCACAACGGCGTCAGCTGCTCGACAAGATTGAACTGGCAGAGCCGAAAGAGGGCGACGTTTGGACACATCTACGAGAGAAGCCAGAATTCGCTGCGTGCTCCTTGCGAACTTTATTGCCAGTGGCGGCTGATGAGGTTATAAAGCAAGAGAGCGACTGAATGGATTAGGCTGCATTTTCTAGATGGTCTGGCAGTTCAGACTATGTGTCTGTGTATTTGAGATTGATGGTACTTCACATTCAAAACCAGTTAAATACATGCTCTCATCTCATTTCTACATATATTCCATTCCTTTTGCACCGGGATGGTCGTACACTTGTATCAATTACACTCAATCTATGATAATAACCGACCGTCTCACTAACGTCCAGGTGAACTTGTCGAGCCATGCATCACGAGGTCTTTGTGTCTTCGCTCGAGGTTTTTTTGGATTTCTTCGACGAGCGGGGCTTCATGCTCACAAGCCATGCCTCATGACCACGCCGGAAGCGAGGGTGTGCAAAGCTGGAATGTGCGCCATATAGCTCCATCGCCGTATTAAACGGCGGAGGTGCACCAAACCAATTTGAACCGCTTGTCCGTGCTGCGACAGCGCGCATCTCGGCAGCATCCAAAAGCCGAGAAGAGGACACGCGCTGGAATCCATACAAGTTAAGCTGACGTATAAACGAGGCGTTATTACCGTGCTTGAACAACCTGGGCAGCACCTCCGCAGCAAACTCTGCGGCCACTTCTGGCTCGCTATTGATAATGATGGCATCGCCAGCTTCATTCCAGCGGATATACTTGCCGTACAGGTCGGGGTTGATCATGAGGTGCCATAACTTTGAGATGAATGCCGAGCAATGGGCAGCGCCACCCAACCGGTCACGAATAGCTGCAACGCCATCGCTTTCATCATGGAACGGAACGCGCATACATCGCTTCTCGTCTTCTTGTGATGCGGGTGCCATTGACAGCCGATCAAGAGCAGCTGCTGCCAATTGCACTTGAGCAGGGGACGTGTCATCTGGCGATCGAGGCGCGGATGGAAATGGAAACGCATGCTGTTTTGTTGGTAATGATCGCGTCATGCGGTGTTTGATGGCCATGTCCGATATGAGAAAGTTTAGTTGATGTCATGTCTGCTTCATCGTCCGTATCATCATCTTGGACGCCACGACCAGTGATCTCGTCATCGGTCTCGTCATCGTCATACATCGCATACGCTGCAGCTTGGGAACTCACAGCGGGCAACGAAGAGCTGGGCTGTGCCTTCATGAGCGGACGCGTGTACATCGACCAGGGGTGCATGCGTGCCGAACGCGCACTTGACGACGGCGTCATACTGATCGCGTATGACTGGCCCAGCGTACCCATAGACCCCGGGGATCGCGATGGGACATTGTACGGCACGCGCCGAGAGCTTGTCGACGGCGTATGCACAAGTGATCCACTCTCAATGCCTCGCAAAGACGATCGCTTGGCTGACGGGGAACGTCCGTACGAATCAGGCATAGATCGGGCAAGACTGTGGTCAAGACTCGGCACGGCGTCGTCGTTTTCTAGAAGTGGGACAAGTCCAGGGCTTATGAAAGCATCCTCAACCCCCAGTGCATAGGTTTGTGCCGCTCGTCTCTGCCGGTAATCACTGTTCCCGGACACCGCAAATACGTCGTCAACAGACATGTCGGCGTCGTAAGAAGAGGATGGGTCGGACACATGCTGACGCTCTGCGGACAATTGGAATGATGACGACACACTGCCGATGCCGTACGAACGTGTGTTTGAGTATGAGAGTGGTGTGTACCGAGGGAACTCGGCTCTGTATGCTGGTGTATATAGAAGTGGACTCTTCCGTGATGCAAACAGAGACCCATCGCGCAGACCCGGCATCTTAGCACCTAGTCCCACATCGTCTGGCGGCGTCGGCAGCTCCACTGGGGAGTGGGATTGGTTTTTCTCCATGGGAGGAGCTGGGTTGCCTGGTATGGGTAACGGCTTCTGTGTCGACGTGCTCATAGCAATGGATGTACAAGCTTGAGCTCGGCAAGAAGAAACGAATGACGCCTTCTTGCTCGAAGAAGACTTATGGATCGGGTCCCACAATCCCTCGGCTGCCCACAATGAATCGCCTCTCGCACGCGCACCACCTATGTGTCTCCCCATAGGCCCCCCGGTTGGCGCGTGTGAAAAGATGAGTGTGTATCTGCATTCTCTGATTGGTTCACTTCGTGCACGGACTCGTGATTTTTTTCCTCTTCGGGCAGGCGCACGGCCTATCTAAATGTTTAGTTTGCCACACATGCACAAAAACGCGCCCGTGGCCCACGCGCGAAGTGACCTTGTCGAGTCACTGGAGAGGCATAGCCCCCCATATGCACGTCATGCACGTCATCATGACCTCCCACAAACGAAGAAATAGTACTCTTGTTCTCAACTGATCCATTGGTCCCCTTTCGACAAGCTTATGACACATACAATCACCCTGCGGATGTAATCCCTAACAGGCATCCCACGTGCCCTCCACGATAAGTCCGATCCGTACCGTATGTCGGCGTGAGTGAAAAATCGCGCTCAACTCCTCTGACAACGATGCTAAACTACAGAAAGAGAATATTTCTATAGACATTAATCGGCTTTAGCTTGGTATCGGTTGTACAATGTCTGTATGCACAATGCCGTGTGTACAAAAATGTACGTATCGATAGCACGTTATGAAGTGAAAAGCAGCCTATTCGTGCATTCGGAATGGCGCACAGCCAGAGCTGGCCCCTCTATGCGGACTTGATCAAGCCAGTTTAACATCCTGCTGTAGAGAAACGCATACACAGAATTGGAGCGGGTAGCAAAATGAAAAAAAAAAACCTTGTCCGCGATATCATTCAAACTAGTCGGTCTCCTGCTGGCAGTACAGCTGGAGGCACCGACGGCACGCTACTTGGCTCCTCAAACAAAGAGGCTTCCGACGCTTTTGACCGCCCATCTGTTGCAGCCTTCTCCTTCGCATTCGCCTCAACGAGAGGCAAGCCCGCCGCCTTCCAGCGCGCAATGTAATCGAGGACTTTGTCGCGCACCTCTTCCATTGTAGAGCTCTTTCCAAATGCATCGATGAACTTGCCTTCAGGGTCCATCAAGTAGAAGAAGATCGAATGATCCACAAGATAGTCACTCGTTGGATCAGCCCCTGGAGGTGTGCTGAAATAGACACGGTACGACTTGCATGCCTGCTTGATAGCGTCATATGTTCCGGTGAGCCCGATCATACGAGGATGGAAGTCGGCAATGTATTCGGCCACATAAGGCACACGATCCCGAGCGGGATCACACGTTATAAACACAGGATTGATGACAGTTCCATGTGTCTTGGCCACCTCGTTCACGACAGAGGACATTTTGTCAAGCTCCTCTGGACAAATATCCGGGCAGTTTGTAAAGCCAAAGTATATAAGACTGAAGCTGCCAAGCAGGTCCTTATCTGTGAATGGATGGCCTGTCGAAGAGACAAGGCTAAAGGGACCACCGATCCGTGGTCGTCCAATGACTTGGTCCTCTTGTTTTTTCTTCTTGGACTCAGCCAACTTGGCTTTTTCGTGCTGGAAGTAATAGTAAAGTGCAAAGCCTGTGGCAAGAAAGAGCGCAGCAGCAGGCATATTGAATGGCTGTTGTCAATAATACTTTTGGTACGTACACTCGTACTAGTTTGTTGTGACACATAGGCTTCTGGTCGCTTCGGAGGCTCTGATGGATGTGGCTGCTCAGGATGGCTACTACGCCTGCTATTGGTCGGCGTACAGAGTCCACGTACAGAGCGTGGGCTTGTACGAGACAAGAAAGTGTAAGTTTCTTTCGGAACAAGCGCTCGAAATAATCCTTGGCGCTGGCCCACAAGTGTTCGACCCAGCATAGGAATTGGATACATCATGAGATCAACCGATATTCTTAGGATGGTCCCAAAATGTGTCATTGCCCTCAGGAACCAAACGATTCAGGGTTTTCCTGTTTCGGCCGAGCTCACTGTTATACCAATACCTGTCTTGCTACTTCACTGGCTGCAGCCATGAGCCGCCGAGTAAATCGTAGGCAGCAACGGCAGCAGGATGAGCTGGATGAGCTGCAGGCTCTTTCAGAAAGTCAAGGTGAACCACAGTTGGAGAAAAAGGATTCACCTAGTACAAAAATGACGTCATCTTTCTCTGCGCTCGAACTCGACGAGCCAGAAGAACCAGCAGTTGACTACGAAAATGCAGACATCAAAGCGACTTCATCGTTGGGCGATATACCTTCCAACAACTCGAAGAAGACAAACAAATCTAAAAAAAAGAAAAAGAAAGGCCCAAAAGCACAGGAGCTGGCGTCTACGAATGTCGACGACATGTCACTCGAGCAAATGTCAGCGCTCCTCGCAACTGCGCCGAAACAGCCAAAGAAAACGTCACTTGCACGCGATGATGGCAAAAATCATGACGCAGTCACTTCCACAGATGACCCTTCCTTTGCATCCAAAACGCCATTCTCCGTTCTTCGTACGCAATTGTGCCTTGATGCATCCCACATGGATCCGGCAAATGAGCTGCGACGTCAGTTCGGTGCAGCGGCCATCAAGGCGTCGGAGCGAGAAAAGGGTGGCGGTTTGCCATCTCGAGCTGGCTCACGTAGTCGAGAGAATCGCGGAGCGAATCTAAATTCGAATATGCGCGTGCGCACAGTCCTTTGCACGCCCAAGCCGACATGGCCAGACTTGAATCGCTCGTTTGTCGGTATGTCGATGACCACAGATGATATGCCTGGCGGAGCACGCGTATGCAACTGGGTACATAGCCGTGCTTACAAACAGGCACAATTCCAGTTTGCACAAGCTGTCAGCTCATACGATACCCAGTCTCTCGTGGCGCTCATGCGTGTATTTCCTTGGCATGTCGATACGCTGCTGCAGTTATCTGCTGTGTCGCGGTACCAGGGTGATCTGGGACAAGCCGGTGACTTTTTGGACCGCGCTTTGTTTGCCATGGAGCGTTCAGCAGTGCCGACGTTTGTGTCCGGTCTGACATCGAGCTCTGGTCCTCCGATGTGCGACTTTCAGCGTGCGGAAAACCGCGCTTTCTGGCTTGCTGTTCACCGCAATATCGACTTATTTGGCCGCCGCGGAACATGGCGAACGTCGCTTGAATGGTGCAAATTACTTTTTGCACTGGACATGACAGATCCGCACGGCATCTTGCTCTGGATCGACTTTCTTGCTATCAAAAGTCGTCAGCTAGATTGGTTCTTGGCCTTCATTGATGCACTAGATGCGTATCGAAATGCCAATAAGGTCGCCGTTGAAACGCCCTCCTCGTCGTCTCTTGACAAGCTCAAAAGTGCGGCCCACGATACCACGCATGGATCCCTCGACTGGAGTGTGGGCCTGTCATTTGCTCGCGCCTTGGCACTGCGCGGCACCAAAGCTCCATCAAGCGATGCTGCATTGTCGCTTGCGATCGTACGGCATCCACGTGCAGCCATTCTTTTGGCAGACAAACTGGATGTGAGCGTCCCCGCTGAGGTAGTGCGTGCTTATCCCATCCGTGGCGCCTACAGCTCGTCAGACCCAGCATTTGACGAGCTCCTGTCGCATATTTATGTACACCGCTCATTGAATCTGTGGAAAGAGGCAGCGAATCTCAATTGGTTCCGAGCACGCGCGGCAGAGACCTGGCCTGTTCTGATGGACCTATCCAAAACGACCGGACCTGCGATACAAAAGTTTGCCCAGGCAGACGGCACGATCCGTATGGGTGTGTACCGCCATATCGTTGTAGCGGATGTGCCCGAGGCATTGCACCAACAGCTGGTGCGATATCTTCCACCGGATGTGAGGAACCCACCCGGCGGCATGGACACATTTGATCCATTACCGCCCCAGAATGGCACGCGCTTCGATGAGTCGTACTTTGGCGTTATCCCTGGTGTGACACAGCGTGCATCACATACAGGATTGTGGGAATTGCTGCAGCGACTGCAGAATCTGGGCGTTCATGATGTGGCACAGCTTTTGGAACATGTGGATGATCGCACACGCGACCTGCTTCTTCAAGTCATGGATCCAGCCTTGGCAGGTGGCGTGCGGCCTAGCGAGGATGATGACGTCGAGAGCCATGATGACGAGGCCGAAGCTGCTGGAGAGACTAATACATATAATGACCGTGCTACGGAAGGAGGCGAAGACAATGACCATGGACATGAGCTGGACCACCAGCATGTATCGGCGGAATCGCATACGACCGCCCATTCACAGTCAGAGCCGAGTCTATTACAACGTGCATGGAATGCCCTGTGGGGCGCATAATCTACGCAGCTATACATGAGCCCATAAAGAAAGCCTTCTGTGGACCACACTCCTCATTCGTGCAGCCAGGGCACCGGAGAGACAATTGGTGGCTCGCCTTGCCCTGAGCCCAGGGACGTGTGCCGCGCGAGTCAGAAGAGAGATGTTCACTGACCATGTCAGCTAAGGCGCGCAAAAACACGGGTTCATCATTCAGAGAAGGGGCGCGGACCAATTGAACACCCGCTTCTTTCGCATCTTCCTGCAGTTCAATGTCTAGCTCATACAGCGTCTCGATGTGATCGCTCGTGAATGCCACAGGCACCACAATAGCATGCTTATGACCCTGTTTAGCCCAGCCTTGCAGAGTTTCGGCTGTTTGAGGACCAAGCCACGCCGCTGGACCTACCTTGCTTTGCCAAGTGACACGGTACGGGTTTGACCAACCAAGCTTTTGCATCACATTCGCAACTGTTGCAGCGACTTCAGGCGGATAAGGATCGCCACGTCCAGAGACGACCTGCATCGGAAGCGAGTGTGCACTGAACATGATAGGCGCCTTGTGTGCGACGTCCGGCGGTAACGTTGAAACTGCCTCGAGAATGCGATTCACGATCGCCTGGGCGAGCCCATCATGTGTTGGCCACCGGTCGATGACGGACCATTCGATTTGTCCACCTGGCGAATGACGTGCCTTCCGGCGTTGAATCTCTCGGTACAATTCATTCAGGCTGCTGCCTGTCGTGCTGCATGAGTATTGCGGGTACTGTGAGAATGCAACGGCACGCTTCACTCCGTCAGCTTCTAGCTCATCCATACACTCATCTGTAAGCGGCGACGCATAGCGGAATGCCACGTATGCTTTGTGGGGCGCGGTAGCTGGACTCAGTTCATCCAGCATACGCGACATAGCCTCGCCTTGTGTGCGTGTCCACCGGAGAATTGGCGAGCCACCGCCGATTGTCGCATATTGATCGCGGACTTTGGGCGTCCGACGGCGGGCAATCATAGGAGCGAGTCGCGATTGCAAAGGCAAACGCATCAGATCACGGTCCAAGAAGAGGCGCGTGAGAAATGGCTGGACTTCATCGAGAGTGGACGGCCCACCCATGTTCATCATGACTACAGCTGTAGGCGCGCGTCTACACGAACGCGACGTTGAAAATGCTCTTACACCTTGCCGACAAAAATACATCGTGGAAGCTGCTCGCTGCTACGTTACGGCAAGGAGTAGACGTAGTGGATTGAATGTTGAGCTGGGAAGGCCCATCCACCACGCTCCTCACCTGCTGGTCAGCGCCCAAATCTGCCAACCAGTCACGCCCATAGGCTAGGCTCTTCAAATTGCAAATATTTCGCTTCTGATTCGTCATCATACAGACGGTTGAGTCATTATGCGACAGGTCCTCCGCACACCAAGCGTAGTACGTGCGCTAGGACATGCATAAGTCCCCTTACCTTACTTCCCCCGCCCTTTCTCCATCTTCCACTCGAGCGTGGTTGACTGCAGTCGCTTGATCATGGTGATCATGTCCACGTGAATGTGTATCACGTGAAAAACACGTTGCTGAGTCATGACCCACTCTGTTTCTTTCTCAACCGATCCAACATCGTTAGTATTTCTCAGGAGTGACGTACGTCCTTCTTCCGACGTTCCCTGGCAGTATTGCACGCCCGCTGAGCAAGGCTGCTAGCGCTACTTTTGAATGGCTTCGACGCCCGAGGAACAGCTTGTTAAGGCTGTGGAGATAGCATCCAATGCGGCGGCGGTATCAGACGCAGATCTCGTCGCCCAGGCACTCGCGTTCCTTGAGCAGCTGAAGCAGGTTACGCACGAGAGCTGGAGCGTCGGCTGGACTATCTGGACTGCACGCACGGAAGACGGAAGTGCACCTAAGTATGAGCATGCGCCACGTCTTTTTGGCCTCAATCTCGTCGACGAGTTTCTCGACAAACAGTATGTGTTGAGCATTCTAGACGCCTGCCTCTTGAGCGGCGAGCGAATGAGCGAGACGGTGCGCTAATACATTCACAGCATTCATTCAGTGTCTGAAGCAGTCAATGCTTTAGCATTTCTGCAGGAAAGCGCTCTGGCATACCTGCAGAGCGAATTTGTTCACGGTCACGGCGAGCAGGGCATTGTGTTTATGAAAAACAAGCTTGCGCAAACGTTGTCTCTGCTTATGGTTCAAACATACAGTCTTTCCTCATCGTACTCATTTCTCTCTGCTGCTCTATCTCTTTGCACAACGCATCCCTCGGCTGATACTGACTCAGGACTCAATGTCATGGCGACAGATCTAATGATGCGTGTGTTGCATGACTTGTCGCTGAGCCTTGGTTCAGATGCTACACTGCGCTCCGTTCGTGGAAAAGACCGTCTTCAACGGGATGCACTCGTTCGGGACGAAATCCGCACACACCATGCTGCAAGCATGGCCGAGCTCATGTGGCGTGTGATTCAGGACTCGTTGCGTACGTTGCAGATCCCCGATGCTGGTGGCACGACGACCGCTTCTTCACCGCAACAGCTGACAGCTGGCAATGCTGGTCCCTTGGCCTCCGTGGCGATGGCTGTCGTCGGCGACTATGCCTCTTGGATTGATATTTCGCTTGTCGTGACAATCGACACGGTGCAAATATTGTACAATGCGCTCGATGCACAGCACATGCCACTCCGCTATGCCACAGCTGATACATTGTGTGAGATTGTGTCGAAAGGCATGAAGCCGGCAGACAAGCTGGGGCTTATCGAATGCCTTCGCCTCGACACAGTGCTTACACAGCTGGAATTGTCAACACGTGGACAGGGCGAAGCACAAACAGAGCTGCGAGAGCACCTGGCGCGTCTTGTAAATGCCTTGTGTACAGAGCTCTGCAAGATCGCTGAGGATACCACCGGTGCCCAGGCTGATACACGCGACGCCGCGCATACTAAGCTGCTCGTCTTTCTTCAGCCAGCACTCTCGTTCCTGGCAGATGAATACGATGAGCCGGCTGAGCAGGTCTTGCCATGCCTGCATCTCGTGCTGAGTCTGTACAAGAAGACGAAGCGGCAAAACGAGAACATGGGCCTGCCCTCACTCAGTGCGCCAACATTGGAATTCGTGACTCAGCTTATCGCATTGGCACTACAGAAACTCAAGTTCGATGCAGACATTGATTGGCAGGATTCGTCCCTTGTCGGTGGACCTGCTGATGCGGACGCAGACGAGTCGGAAGATGACGACGAACAGCTCGTTCGTTTCTATGAACTGCGGAAGCAGCTGCAAGTGATCCTTGGGGCAATTGCAGCGATTGATGAGCCACTTGTCTCTAACACGATCCAGACACTTGTCGCCAACACACTCGGCTCCGTTGCTTCTCCCACAGAGCTACCCTGGGAACAGGCGGAAGTGTGTTTGTATGCAGCCTTTTCTTGCGGCGAAATTCTTTCGTCTATACGAGGCAACAAAATTGGACTCGGTGCACATTCGTATGTACAAATCCCGTCGGAACCTGGCAAGGCGCCTGCACGCAACGTGCGGCAGTCACTGAGCGTGTACCAGGCGCTGCCACCTAACACACTAGGCGAGATTCTCCAGCTGCTCTTCCGCTCCCGTATCGGGGATCATGCACACCCTGTTGTACAGCTGCAGTATTTTGAATGCGTGGTGCGGTATGCATCGTGTTTCGTCTTATGGTCCGACCTGCTGCCCAATGCTTTGGAAGCATTCTTGGACCAGCGCGGTTTGTGTCAGCCACATTTGGGCATGCGCCGGCGGCTGAATTACTTGTTTTATCGCTTCGTTCGCGACACTCGCACAGCTATACCGTCGGAGATCGTGCCGCGACTGCTCGAGAGCTTGCCGCTTGCTGTGAATGCCGTGCTACCGGAAGTGCCACCAGAGGAAGATGTGCTTGTGAAAGCGACGGAAAAGGCATCGGCATTCGACAGCCAGCTCTACCTGTTCGAGTCATGTGGATTGCTTATGTCGCAACTTGGCCATGTGCCTGAAACGCAAGTGATGCTCTTCAAAGCCATGACCCAGCCCCTGGTTGAGCAGCTGCTACAGGTCGTGCAGGCGTTTGGCGGAGATCCAGACAACTTGCAGCTTGTGCTGCAAGTGCACCACTTGATCCTTGCTTTAAGCACCATCACCAAAGGATTCCCGGATTACGACATGAACCGGCCGACTGAACCTGCATGGATTGAGGAGCTCAAGCCTATCACGGAGCAGATTCTTCTGGCCCTGACGGCACTCAATCGGTTCAGCATTGTGCGTGAAGCAGCTCGTGGTGCGTTCGCACGGATCGTGACGTCCGCAGGTCCTGCCGTCCTGCCATACATACCCACCCTGATTCATGCACTTGTGCATCAAGTGACAGAAGCCGAGCTTGTAGACTTGCTCAACTTCTTTGGGCTCATCACGCACAAGTACAAGGACAATGTTCGCAGTGTGATGGATGATGTGTTTGGCGTGCTTGTCACGCGCATCTTTTCGTTCCTGAACCAGGGGATCCAAGGAACCGATGATATGGTGCGCCGCTCTGATACCGAGCGCGCGTACTTTGGCCTCGTACACGCGCTCCTGTCTGCCGGGTTGGACGATGTGCTTGTGTCAGAAAAGAACCAGGGACAACTTGAGTCAGTACTGCAGAGCCACGTGTACTATGCGAGTCATGGCGAGCCAGTCACTCAGCGCGCTGCTATCAGTGCACTTGCCTGGCTTGTGCAGCTGTGGGCGCGTCCGAGCGAGAAGGCGATTCCTGGGTTCGAGCAGTTCGTGTACGATGCCATCCTGCCGTTGGTGTTCCAAGTGCCTACCAAGCCCTCGTTCGATCAGTCGGACGCACAGGCCCAGCTCGTTCTTTCAGAGTTGGCTGGCTTGCTCAAATCGCTACACACCGCTCGCGGCGACGAATTTCTTCATTATCTCTCCTCTATATACCTGCCGGGTGTGCAGTGCCCGCCTGAGCTTGCAGTGGAGCTCACCAAAAATATCCAATCTCTGGATGTCAAGCCGCTCAAACGCTACCTGGACACGTTCATTGCTCAGTCTCGAGGCGGTGCGTAAGTCGCTTCCTTCCCACTTTGCCACGAAAATGTAGAAGACAGAAAGTAGTCGGATGAGCCGAGGAACTCTGGTTGCCGAGATCGGACTATGTTCAGATAATACAAGGTGCCTGTCTGTCAAGCAAACTAGACGTGAATAGTGACAAACAGCCCAACGAACAGACAGATCGCCATTCCACCACATTCGTCCATCAACATCTCTAGGAGACAATCAGCATGGAAGCTCGTCGCTCATCAGCGGGGCTCAGCAAGATCGGTGAGCCAAGTGGCGACGCTATGACAGATGTTGACGCTGCAGAGTATGAGTCATAGTCGGCCATACTGGTCGCTTCTTGGAGCTGCGCCATGGGAAGTGTCGGCAGCTCCCACGATCTGAATAACGCTGCATGTCCAGACACTTCGGGTGTCCAGGTCGGAGACATCGGTACATCCACTCGAGAGTGTGTTGTGGCAGCATCGGGTAATCTCGCCGCACACCTAGGACTGGATTCAATCAATACCGGACAGTCAGACTGCATGAGCCAGTCAACATGGCTTTTGTACGGAGATGTCCGCACCTTGGAGCTGTCGCACAGCCGCTTGGATTCTCCATGTTCCAGTTCGTGGTCTAGCCGCGACAGACGTCTCACACAATTCTGGCATAAGCATCTGGACAATTTGGAAAACTGCAGAATATGTCCACACGTACCTGGAGCACTCGATAGCACAGGCGCGCTTGGTTCTCATCCCCACATAGACGCACAACCCATTCGACATGACTGTCACGTTCATCTGTGCCTGTGATGCTTAGGTTCCATGGCATGATATCATTGGACGATGCTTTCCATAGTTCTAGCAATGAATTTTTATGCAACACAATGCTCCCATGAACGGCACTTGGTTCCTTGATGGCATACAAGCGCGTATAAAATTTGAGAGGCGCATCAGAATGGATTAATGCGTATTGCCATCCACCTTGAGCATGAAATCGCTTGACCGACCAAGACGTGGGCCATGAGCGCCAGCTCTTCCATCCATTGTACATGGATTCTGCTGTAGGATTCGAAGCAACGTTGATGAGAGGTTTTTTTCCCTCAAACATCCACACGCACTGCTCACGAATCCAAGCGGCGCTTGTCATCGCCATGAACAGCAACACCCCTTTCCGTGACAGCACACTTCGTTCTATGGTGTCCATTCTGCACTGTCTGTTGGTCGTCCTTTATGCATTTCATTGCGGGTCATCCGCACACACAATGCTCATTGTCCTTGCCCCACACTACAAGCATAGATTTTGTAGTAAATCCGTCTTTGTATAACGAAATTTTGTTTGTACACAAATGAATGCGTTCATGCATGAGTAAGTATGCACGGCTCCACAATAACACATTGGCATAGTCGCACAATCGGCGCACGTGATCACGATAAGGGCGGCATCGATCGCCCCACGCGCGCGCGCGTGTTCTCTGACACAAAGGCGCTGTTTGTCCTGCGTCAGACAGGGTAGGTAGCGCGAGCCCTGTCTATTTGGCCATGTCAGATCCAACCTTGTAGCTAACAATCTTGCTCCAATCAATCTTCTGGCGAGTGATAGGCAGTGTGCGTCGAAGTGCCTTAAAGGCATGCTCGCGCAGCGTGTCAGTGGCGTCGAAGAGTTTTGCTTGGTACACTTGTTCGTGGTGCTCGATGGCCTGAATAACGTCCTTCGCAAGAGATTCCGGCTTCGTCGAGACAAAATCAGGTAATGCCATAGAGTGCTGCGCTTGCAACTGTACATTGCCATTTTCAAAATAGTGTGTTTGGACTTGAATGTCGGCGTGCTTGAATGCCTGCGTCGACACGTCGAACTTGTATGTTGAGCGCCATCGGCCTGTCCAAAAGTTGCGTAAATTGTATTTGTTGCCGACGATGTGCAGTGTCAGTATGCATGGTTGAGACGTGATAGCGGGAGGCGTGTCATTCTCACTCGTGACTTGGGAATCGCAGTTATCGACACGACCTTGCATTTGTTGGACCGGTTGCTCTTGGTTAGCTTCATCCCATAGCTCCAAATTGTTTTCTTTTTCTTTTTGTTTATCCTGCATCGCATTGATTGTGACAGTTTCAGCATTGGCATCGGAGGTCGCTTGAGGCACAAGACGCGGTAAATATGCGCAAGAGACACCCGTATGATAGTGGTTCAATACGTATTTAGACAGCTGCTGATCCACTTCTGCTCGCAGGGTCTCTATGTCACCTGTTGAACGCGGTACAGACGACACTTCGCTAACACTCTCATGGATAGGATCATACGAGAAGGAGCATGAAAGACGAGGATGATAGTACTTATCATCCATTTTTGCAGCATCACACACGATAGCTGAATCTTGCTTTCCTTCATGTTCAATTGTGACGTGCAGGAGTTGCTCATGTGTATATTGCAACAGGATAGACCGAACGCGTTCCATCCATTCTGTGTCTGGGACTGCACCTGCCAGCATGCCCTTGAGGTCACTGACAATATGACTTTGTTGCCCTGGAGGGGACTGAAGAATCAGTTCCAAGCATGCCTGTATTGCATCGTTATTGACACCGGACATGTTCCCGGGATTGAGTCAGATAGTCATGCGCAAAGTCCCACAAATCCCCCCGCAGCGGGAGAGAATGGAGGGCATTTGGGACATATGCTACTTAGAGACAGCCCAAATGGCACGAATGTGGAGAAGAAACTCAACGACCATCTCACGACGAGCGGACGCTGCCTGTCTTCGGACACGATAAGCTCGACACTGACGCCTGGCGATTGTCTTCTTTACACGCCGTTATCATATTTTGAAAGCGCTTGAAAATAATTGCTTGGTCCCGCTATGGATCTAGAGCACCTTTCCCCGTTCACGACAGTGTGGATCGCGGGATCCGTGTGCCTGACATTGCTCGAACACCTAGGCTTTGTCTCTGAGCATCAACTCTTTTTTTCGACTTACTACATATTCAAAAGACACCAGTATTGGCGATTTATTACCACATTCATGTACTTTGGACGGTTTGGGCTCATGTTTGCACTTCGAATGCTCGACCTTGTGCGTTTTGCATATCCCCTTGAGGCGCAAACATTTGGACCGACTCGTCAAGCGCAGTTCGCGTGGCTCCTGCTTTGTGCATCGATTGTGCTTCTTCTTCTCAGCCCGGTCTTGTCAATTCACTACCTGTCTGTTCCCTTGTCGTGGACGATGGTCTATATATGGAGTCGAAAAAACCGCCATATTAGGGTGAGTTTTTTTGGTCTTGTCGTCATGAATGCGCCTTATATGCCCTACTTTGAGCTCCTGTTTACTCTTCTGCAAAAAAGCCAGGAGGTAAAAGACATAGTCCTGGGTCTTTCTCTTGGACATTTGTGTACGTCGATGCCTCTTCTTCACTTTTGCTGACAGATGCACTTTAGACTATTTCTTCGACGAACTATGGCCTCGCGAATATCCAGCTCACGGACACCATTGGCTCGGTCCCCCACAAAGCTGGTACGTGTGCGAGTGTGATCCACGACTATGACACTAACCCCGCATGCAGGGTCGACATGTTCGGGCCGCAACCGAATTCATGACCATGTCTGTACATTTTGATACATTTCCGCCACATTATACATACCCTGCTCGTGTCAACATCCTGCGGTCTATATTTGCCCCCACGAGTCGTTCGCTTGCTTGAGCTCAAACTTCTTTGGCCGCTGGCCCTTCATTAGACAGCTTTGTGTGTTGAAACGGCTTAGTAAGCAGTCAGAAACAAACGCCTGCATGATGCAGTTTCGTACTCACAGACGTTCGCTATACGTGTGAAGGAGTGTTGCTACGTTTGACACTAGCACTTGCATGCCGATACTGAGGCACGCAACGCTCCGACCATGGAGATGGACCAAATTATCATTCTTCTCTTTGGAAGATGTGCAATGTTTTCATTCTTCGCCCTGTCACTCGAAAAAACGCCACAAGATAAAAGCTCGAGCAACACACAGATCTCGAGCGACTCCAGTTCCTTCAAGACACATTGGGCTGAAACACCATGATTCAGTCTATCCTTCAATTGATGGAAATAACAATGACAGTAGCAATGGTAGTGATACCCGTTCCAAGACGAATATACCGACTTCAAATGAATTCCAAGCTCGTAAGGCAAGACTCCGGTGGGGTGCTACAAATGATTCGACTCCAAGGCTCTCTCACGACGATGAGCCAAGCACACGATTCACATTGGATACAGAAAAGTCGGAAGAGCCTATAAAACGTAATACTGATAAGCTGCGCTCAAGTCCATCTTATGTCACAAACTCATCAACTGACAGGCCAACTACAGCCGCAGAGACAACGGGAACAATATCCGGTCGGCCCACATCATTCCTTTACGGCGAAGAAGCACGAAAAGCCCGTCTCGTTCGCCTCGAACAATGTGAGCGTGAAAAAGACATCGGTCATCGCTTTGGTTCCCTACGTGACTCGGATGTCAAGATTGAGCCAGTCGAACCACTTCGTCACATGCATGTGGCAAAGCTTGCCCACGGACTTGACCGAGTCTTGTTCAATTCAGGTGTTCATTGGCTCCGAGATAGCCGTACTGGCATTTACAACTTTGACCCACATTTGCGAGATGTGCTAGACGTCGATTTGTTCGACTATGGCACTTTGCCGCCGTACTTGACATCAAGTCGCGACCCAGAGCTCTTGGAAATCACACGACGACAAAAGAAAAAGTATTGCGGCAGTACCAGTAGTATGACAGGTCTATTAAGCCACTGCTATTTCTTGCTAAGCCGATGGAAGGAGCCTGAACTTATTGGCTTCAGTCCAAGCTTTTGTGAGTTGCCGACCGGTTTCAGTGAAGGTGCGAAGTTGCCTGTTTCGATTACATTACAGCATCAGCCGGGAGGTTTCTATGCTATTGATGCCGATAAGAATTCAGCTGGTGAAGTCGACAACACCAACTACGTTCTGACATCGCTCGGAAAGAGTCTAGAGAAGTTTCTCACATCAACGCCCGACGAGTATGCAAATCACAAACGAGAGAACAGCTGGAGGCGGGACTCTGCCATGCAAGAACCACAAGAAGCGTACCACTATGCGCAGACATCCAAGCTCATGCTCCGATCACAGCTGGACTGTCACGATCCGCGACTACCGAACGGCACATTTGACCTCAAGACGCGAGCTGTGGTTGCGATCCGTAATGATCGAGCCAACTATACGGAAGGGTGCGGGTATCAAATTCGTTTTTCTCATGGTCTTTGGGAGTCTTTTGAACGCGAATACTGGGACATGGTGCGTGCTGCATTCCTTAAATACAATTTCCAAGCGCGCATTGGACATATGGATGGGATTTTCGTTGCCTACCACAATACGGCTCAAATCTTCGGGTTTCAATATATCAGCTTAGAGGAGATGAACCTTCGTCTATTTGGCAGCAATGAAATGGGCAACAAAGCATATCGAATGAGTCTCGGTTTGCTTGAGCAAATTCTCGATACAGCGACTGATTTCATGCCAAACGAGACACTGAGCATCACTATGGAAACACGTCCAGGCGCTTCTTCCATGTGCGTAATTGTTCAGTCAGTTGCATCCTCCGCGATTGTACAGTTCGAGGTGACCATGGACCGCTACCTTAATCAGGCTCTGGTGCGTGGTCCAGTCAATTTCTCGATGTTGAATGGTCCTTTAACCCACGCCCAGCTCGAGGACGTTCGCTGTGGTCGGCTCGAGAATATCGCGAATGTTGACTGGCATGTTCAATACTGCATTACACCGCGAAAAGATCTCTCTGAAGGCAAGGTTCGCGAGAACTTGCAAGAGATCCGTCAACGTCAAAGACTCATGCGCTCGCTTTGTATGCCGAACATTGACTTGCTTAATGCGCGTGAATCGGCCCGGATTGACACGCTTGCCAAGCACCCAGAGGCGCTTGAAAGGTTTTTAAAGGAGCGCGAAAATGGACCCGCGTATGGAATGCCTCTTGCTCCTGGTCAGCGGACGACTCGCCAACTCATACGCAGCAAGGCGCTCATGGACATCCAAGAGCATAGCAGCAACAAGCTACCTACTGCCCCGATCCGATGGATTCGACAACCGGACCCAATGACAGCCCGCTTACGAGAACTTAGTCGAAGTGGCCTTGCAAGGATGCGACAGGAGGCTAAGGCAACAACCAATAAAACTAAGCGCGTTAAAGCAGACGTGGCTAACGATCAAGACCTCACCTCTGCCACAGAGCCATTGACGTAACGACAAGAATACTATTTATCGACATAGATACCAAAGAACAAAAAAAAGTTTCTCATAGAAAGAGAGTCTATTTCAGATGTATGCAGGGAATGGCTCTCTAGTCGCCGCAGATCTGCACCCTCCATAGTCGACCGCTAAATTCCAGACGTACTACACGTACTGACTGTACCATCTTGCAGGACCAACCAAACAATCAATCAAGTCATCGGCTGTGGCGGCAGCGGCTCGTATTTGGATTCAGCCTATTTTGGGAAACATGACTACAAGTGGGCGAACCATGTACAGACACATACCATAGGTCCTAAGAGCTCCTCGAGTTAACGACCACTCATATCAAGAAGAACGCTACTGTGGTTGCATCAGTAAGAACCACACATGCATGGATTACCATGCAAATACATCAAATGCTTAGAAGCGGAGCGCGTGAGGCTTGTCACCCTTCGAGAGAGAGAAAGTGGCAGCGAGGTACTTAGCAAGGAGAGGACCCTCGTTCTTGATGGCAGCAAGGACATCCTTGTCCAGCGCCTTCTGGTCAGCGACCTTGCTTTCAGCAAGCGGCGCCTTGTTGGCTGGGTCAGCAAAGAAAGACGCCTCAGCCTTGACCTTGGCAGCCTTTTCACGGCGGAAGTATGCATCGTTCAACTTGTCGTCCACCTTGATGTTGCTAATGTCGATCTTCGTGCTAGTAGCAATCACATATGCCTGGTTCACACGGCGGATCGGCACACCGTTCAGCTTGAATGGACCCGTCACAAGCAGAAGACCACTCTCAAGCTGTTTCAGGAACACAACACGCTTTCCACGGAAGCGACCAGCGAGGAGGATGAGTACAGTGCCGGGAGTGATGCTTTCACGCAGCTTCGTTGGCTTTGGCGTCTTGCGGTTAACCTTCTTAGCGCGCACATCGTCGGCTGGGTAGAAGCGTGGAGCCTTGTTTGTGGGAAGCACACGCTTGCCCGCGTTCTTAGCGCCGCCGACTGCCTTCTCCTTGGTGGCGACTGGCGCCTCTTCCGCGGCCGGAGCTGGCTTGCGGCCAGCGTGCTTGTAGCCACCCTTCTTCGAGTACAGCTGGCTACGGCCAAGACGACCGACGTACGGGCTAACTGTGCTGTTACGGGCCATGGTACGCTGTAAATGAGTGTTAATACTGACTGATTCACGAACCCAACAACGTCGCACACTATTAACGCGCGCAACACTTTCATGACGTTGCGCAGCCGTCCTTTTGTGCTGCGCGCGCTCTTGTATGCGCGCCATGTACGTACCTTAGCGATAATCCACTAGAGATCGGCCTTGATGGTGAGAGGTAGAAATCGAGCGCTGGTGTCACACTTTCTCACGAGCAGCGTCAGGCGTCCATCGAAGAAGCCCATACCTAGCGCTTAATGCACACCACGTCACGTGAAAAACTTCAAAACTATAAGCAGGCGCTTAGGAACCGAGGGTGAGGGAACGGTCCACCGAGCTCGATGGAGAGCATGGAGCAGCACGTGGCATAATTGTGTATCTCAGTGCCAGACCAAGTGGAGAATCGAAAGAACAACTGGCGACTCCAATCCGTTGTGCTTGTTCGGCCGGATGGTGGCCGACGAGGATTTTCTAATGTGTTAGAGGTCGAGAAGTAGGTGCGGCACAAATCATCCTCCACTTTCTCATATGCAGCGAGCAGCAGTGACGCGTCTTTGGCCGACAGCTGCTCGACTGCACGCAGCACCATATTCGACAATGGCAACGCGCAGCTATGCAGCGGCGATTGATGCTTTGAATTCACTGCAGTCAAATGCAGCAACGATAGAGGCTATTAGAAAGAGTGGAAAAACTGTCAATGAGCTTAACGAGCCGGAAATGACAGAGTACCTCGAACGCATTGGCCACTCGCGCGACGAGCTGGATCGAATCCATGTTGTGCATATAACGGGGACGAAGGGGAAAGGTTCAACGGCTGCATTTTGTGATGCACTTTTTCAGAAAATTAAAGGTCTCCTCTCGTATTCGTCCGGGGATCGCCGTATTGGCTTATATACGTCCCCACATATGGTCGCTGCGCGTGAGAGGATTCGAATCGATGGTGCACCTTTATCGGAAGCAGACTTTGCCAAGTTTTTCTGGGAAGTCTGGGATCGGCTTGAGAATAATCCGCACCGGGCGCTGGCGTCCACACCCATACGACCTGTTTACTTTCGTTTTATGACGCTACTTGCTTTTCATGTGTTCATTTCTCTCAAAGTGTCGGCAACGCTCCTTGAGGTCGGTATCGGAGGCATGTATGACTCGACCAACATTGTGAGGTGTCCTATCGTGACGGGTGTCACAGCTCTAGGCCTTGACCATACCGCCATTCTTGGGCATGAACTTAAGGATATTGCCTGGCAAAAAGCCGGCATCTACAAAACAGGTGTGCCGGCATTGAGTGTCGAACAACCTGTAGAAGCTTTGGACGTACTCAGGAAGTATGCTGAGGAGAAAGTCCATGCATCGACATTCCACGTCGTACACACGTACCGCGAGCTGCAGCAAGTCCGCTTGGGCCTAGCAGGCGATCACCAATACTCGAACGCAAGCTTAGCACTGGAGCTCGTACGTTCGTTTGTTGCATCTGGTATTGGAAAAGAGTGCTTTCCGGGTGCCCTCGATATCCTAGGGCCTGTAGGTGAACGTGTTCCAAAAGCAGCGCAAGAAGCACTAGCATCTACATTCTGGCCCGGACGATGTCAAATAGTACCTGCAAAAGAGGCCTTTCACGCAACCTACTTTGTGGATGGCGCACACACCGTTGAGAGCGTGCGTGCATGTGTTCAATGGTTCGTACGCGAGACGGCAGGCAATACAAGGCCGAAGGTGCTTGCGTTCAACTGCACGAATGGGCGGTCAGCACACACTCTTGTGCAGGCAATGCTTGATGAGCTGCGTCAATGCGATGAGGACTCATGCACATTTTTCCAGCGCATATTTTTCTGTACGAATAATACATATGCGGATGGTGGTTCAGCGAGTGATTTGACGTCACGCGCTATAGATCCCAAAGATCTTGAGAGCATGGCTGTTCAGCGGGAGCTCCTGCATGCGTGGTGTGATCTGCAGGGCATAACGCAGCGTGATGCTCTGTCTGCTTTCGGTGGGAATACTAGTATGAGGGATATTCGAGTACATGTGATGCCTACTATTGAGCATGTAATGAACGCTGTGCGGGAATATGCTCAGTCAACACATACTGTGCCAGATGTTTTTGTCGCAGGCAGTCTTCATTTGGTCGGTGGTTTTATGGCACATTTGCAAGCTAAGGGCGCTCTCGACGAGCGCCTACGGAGTACGCAAAACCTTGACCCTGCCACGAAGCTCGTGTCTTAACGAGATGTAGCAATTGTTTGGTTAGGAAACCATAGCCCTGTCGCGGCAAGCCGCGTGTGTTGGTACTTGATGACTACTCCACAATGTCGGTCAGTCGGCGCACAGAAGTTTAGACTGACCACATGGAGGATCGGGGGATGGCGCGCTTGACGTAATTATGCCTGCTTCCCCATATTCTTCCTCCACGACCATGACGCAAATGACAGTGGTACCACGACTAAAGTATATGACGGCATGTGGCATACAAGCAAAGTTGATGGTAGCACCGGTGCGAAGACGTGCATTCCATACGCCTTGTGCGTTGCATGAAGAGATGAAGAATGTGGTATCACATGCAAAGCAATTCCCTGCGTCATTCGTTGTGCCAACGGCCATGCCGGACATGTCGAAACGGACAGCTGAGGAAGCGGCTCATCGGCGCCACATATTGCACATACTGCAGAGCATGAATCTTCCTATGGTGCAGTATGCGTTTGCATATGGCTCTGGTGTATTTAGTCAAGCACCAGTGTCCCAAAAGGTTGGTAATACGCCGCCAATGATTGATATGGTGATTGCGGTGAAAGATCCTATTCACTGGCATGCCGCGAATATGCTAAGGAACAAGTCACATTATCCCTGGTGGACAAGGTGGTGTGGACTTTGGGCCATAAAAGCAGCGCAGAGAATGGGAGCTGGGCTTTGGTATGTGCCGTACGTCAATGTGCAGGACGAGATTGTCAAATATGGCATTGTCTCTGTGGAAGATATGTGCAAAGACTTGCTCTATTGGAACACGCTGTACGTCGGTGGTCGTATGCACAAGCCTATTGCATGCTTGTTTGATGCGACCAACGATCGTGTCCCCAACGCACAACAAGCGAATTTGACGTCGGCACTGAGGGTCGCGTTGCTGATGCTCCCAACCTCATTCACAGAAATGGATTTGTATCGTATGCTTGCTTCTCTTAGCTATATGGGTGACTTTCGGATGAAAGTGCCTGGTGGTGAGAACCAGAACAAGGTCAACAACATTGTCCAGCACCAGCTTCCATGGTTCCGAATCATGTATTCTTCGTTGCTATCGCGATTGCACTTCGTGCATGTGGTGCGTGGTGATGACGTATGTTTCAGTATGAGGCAAGATAAGCGCCCAGCTACCATGGCACTTGTCGCGATCCTCTTGCCACAGAATGTGCGTTTGCGGTTGATACAGCACTATCAGCGCGAGTATCATTTACACCCGGTTTTCGAAAAGTGCAAAAACATGTCTCCTGAGGAACTGATTCCTGCTGCTTTAGCAAATATCCGGAAACTCCGTGATGAGCCAGACATCATTGCTAAGCTGCAAACGGACGATGACTGTGAGGAGGCGGCAGAATGGCCAATTTCCACCCGTTTCTGGCTAGCCGTAGCTCATCAGTCAACGTTCCAAGATGTATTGCGCCAACAAATCGTGGACATTGTAGCTAATCCAGCCCGTGTTCAGTCGCTAAAGGGTTTGTATACCGCTGGCATTGGTCGTTCAGTGCGATATTTGTGGTCCAAGATGCGGAAATATCAAAAAGGTCGAACTTTCACATCGATCAACTCAAAATAGGGTCCTATTTATCTCCACACACAAGAATGCTATGATCGTTGTCTTGAGTTGGGACAAGCGACGCGCAGTGATGAGCAACGTACCCCAGTGTACGACTCGGTTTCTCGAGATACTCGTACACAAAACGAAACAGCTGTATCGATTGTCTTATCCAGACTCCTTGTCATCTTTAAATGATGGCTCCCGATATTCTTAGCTACATACAAGACTATGCGGATGTCGGCTATTATTTATATGTTAACCCATGCGAACTGAACAAAGTTTTGCATGTTTTAGAATTATTAGCGCACATCGAAGATGGTTAACAGAAAATGCCCAGTAAATATACCTCAATCAACGCATTCTGACGCGATGGCGCTCAAGGAAACTAAGACGGAAGCGAGAAAGTAGAGACGTCTTCCGTAGCAGATACATTTGTATGACGAATTTCATGAGAACTTTTCCAACCTACACTTGTACAGAGTGCGACATTTAATCTGATCATTGTATTCGTTTGAGGTCAATTGAATCTTAAGCCAAACGCCGCATCATAGGAAAACCGTGTCATGCGGCACAAAGGGTGAGTTGAATTGGCTTCTCCACGATCGAGGGATAAGCTGGGGTTGGCCGCTGTGGAGGACGCACTCATGCTGCCAATGGCAAGTCTGCAAGTCTGGAAGCGCACGGACGAAACCCGAGGCTGTGGTCGGGCTCGATATAACACGCATTTTTTTTGTTCTGCTTTGTTAGTTCCCCTTCTATTGGTCGCGATCATGAGCTCAACAGTGAGAACTGAGGAAACGAACGTGACATCGACGAATCTGGCGCCTACGAAGGCCGAAAAAGATGAACAGGTATCATCTGTGAAAGCAGGAAAATCGCGAGCAACGGATGAGAATGTCGACGGTGACAACGAAGAGGAGGAGGAGGAGTACAATGAAGAAGAAGACGAAGACTTTGTACGTGACGTGATGCTCTAATGAAATAGGTGGAAGATGAGGAAGAAGAAGACGACGATGATTTTGACGATGATGAAGAGGATGATGATGAAGAGGATGACGATGATGATGATGATGATGACGACGACGACGACGATGAGAATGTCGGTGACAGCGGCGAGGGGCACGATGAAAAGAAGACACCCGCTGCCGACCAAAATAGCAGGTACGTTTATGCTTGTGTGCCTAACTCAGTGAACCGATGAGGGGTGATAAGCGCAAAGCCAACGATAATGGGGGCGACGATAGCAAAGATGAAAAAGATGATTCGGATCACAGCGTGATCAAGGGTGATCAAGGTCAAGCCCGTGGGTCTGAGCCTGCCAAGCATGCACGTAAAGAGTAGGTTGTAGGGTATACGTTTCGTTTATTGAGATTACAAGCGATATGATGTTTGCATAGTGTGCTATGAGGAATTACGGCGCGCATGAAGTTCGGTTTCAAGGGAATAAAGACGGTTTTGGAGGCGCCATACGTTGTGCGATAGAGGCTCAACAGGTTTCGTCGATGCATTGGTATCTAGAAGGAGACCGAGGGCACGTTGGAACTCGCGTTGGGCAGCTTTGAGTGAGCGTGGAGGAAGTCCGCTGAACTGGAATAAGGGATCGAAGCCCTGAGGGTGGCGTGTGGTGGGGTGTTCGTCATGGTCGGGGTCGTCTTCTCTAGAGCTAGAACAGCCTGGTTTGGTATCAGGATGCTTCACATCATGTGGTTCTTTTTCTCGGATGAGTCGGCGCCTGAGAGTCGCTGGGTTGGACTCGGTGCTTGCCGACTCACGCGCGAGAGGTTGGGCGATAGAGGGTGTGGCGCCGGGCGTCTCAGGCTGTATGCGGATACGCGCCGACATACGCTCATCATACAGATCACGACCAAGTCGCTGGCCAAAGACCCCCCCGTTCAAGGCCATCTTGGCCCGTGTGAGCTGCGCAAACCCTTGCTTCATTGCCTGCTCTGCCTGTGCTCGAGCGTGCATGTAGGCATCAAGTGTGTCGAGGTACTCTTCCCACAAGTGGTCGGTGTGATCGCCAGGAGGTCTCAAGACAGTAGGACATGCGGCGTCTTTGTTGAGAAGTGAGGCTGGGACATTCAGGCGCGATGTGCCGTTCATGGGGATCGCCTCGGGCTTCGGCGGCCTCATGTACAGGGGTGCGATCCTAGCGATAAGCTCGTACAAGACTGTGACGACGAATGCGTCTAAAACAAAGTAACCGTATCGCACGCCATATAAAAGCGCACATAGTGACATGGTCCCATACACGACATGGCGTGCATGCTCAAACCCTAGGGAGTGAAATGCTGGAGGCGATAGTGTCCATGGAACCCAGAACAGGTAGATGAGCCACAACAGTGGCGCAACGGCCCACATCTTGTACTGGATGCTGGTGAAGCCCATGGTGAGGCCGGCATTCACATTGCGTACCCAGACGACGAGCATAGGCGCTTGAAGTGGCAGGAGCCATAGCAAGAAGTGCAAGAGCCACAGATGCTCAGCATGTCGAGCACGAAGCACACCAGCGGTATCGTTGAGTGATGCATGCCGTTCAGCTTCTCGAAATGCCATGTAGGAGCTGCAAGTGGCAGCCATGTGGACTATCGTACACAAAAGAATCAACACCTGGTACGGCATGAACACAAGAAACGCGGTAAGCACACATGCGGCGAGCCAAGTCGATGGCTGCCTTGTCCAAGCGAGCCATGTATGCAACCGAGGCGCTTGCTTGAGCTGCGTGGGCTGCGTAGGCAGTGGCAGGTATCGCGGTGCAAGGCGACGAACCAAGATGTACCAGGCACACAGAAGGCTCTCGACGACCACGTGCATGAGCATAGCAAGACTCAAGGCCGTCATGGCTAGCACGGGACCGAGCCACCAAAAGTGCAGCGAGGTAATTCCGATGCCGAGTGTATGCCGTGGCACGCCGAGCGATGCGCCAAAAAATACACACACATGCAGCGCAATAGGAGCGAGAAGCACGATAAGAAGACCGCGTCCATGCGTGAGGGATGCAAGAGCTGCAGAAGGAGAATGCGATGACTGTATGCGAGCAAGTGCCAAGATACCTAGTGGCCATACGAGCAAGGCCAGGCGGTACCGGAGAACAAGCAGCGCAATACTGGCGCGCCAGTGGATCGAGGCATGGATCGATGCGTACGGCAAAGGACATGTACTGTCGAACGTGCCGCTAAATGGAGTACCGATGTATTCGTCGAGGAGCCAGAACTGCAGCCGAGTGCCACGGTGCTTGGGCTCCTGCATAAAGGGAGCCACGCCATGCAATGCGACATGCAAGTGGTTCGACTCATGCAAGCGCAAAGAAGGGAAAATGCGTACATCGCCCGTCGATGCACTAATGAAACGGACCATAGGCGCCATGACCGGCGGTGGCGGATGGAAGCGCGAGGCACAGGGCGCTGGAACGAGCGTGAATGTGTAGGCGAGGAGTGCCGAATCGATGTCGGGAAGGTCCCACTCCCAGAGTGGTCCATGTTCCACATACGAGCTCAGGAGCGAAGAGACATTGAGCCCCGGGAGCTCCCAGGTCCGCGAGCGAAACCAGCCAGGGGTGCCGCGCAGCACGAGTGGCTTGTCCTCGGTCCAGCCATACGTGAGGATCGACGATACATTCTCGCTCGTTGGGAACTCGGCAGGATTCACGGTGTACTCGATGCGCACGCTGTCGATCTCGTACTTGTGTAGGAACGCCGCACTCAGGTGCAAGCGAGATAGCGAGATACTCGGCACATCATACTGGAGGTGTGCATCTGGGAACTTGGTGCCTGGTTCTCGTTCCTTCGCGGGCGAATAAGGAAGGTATTCGAGCCCATTTGTCCAAATCGGATGGCACCAAGCAGGATCGACCATGGTCCGGGTGCGACTGCGGAATTGACGCCTACACACGGACACGAAGAGCTCGTGGTTCTGCGGGACGTACATGCCGCGGTTCGACGTCGATCCGTATGACAAGTTGGACACAAGCTCGAAAGCCAGGCCTCATCGGTGTCATTCGTCATACCCCCGTACTGTTGCCTGGGGCCAGGCGGCGTAATCAAGCGCAGCACATGTACATGTACATTCGTCACATTTAGGTGCGTAAGGATCATGCTTTGCCGCGACGCGAGGTCCGTTGGCATGATTCTAGATCTCATAAATACCATCAATGTTGGCATCAAGTCCGCCGTCGCGAGCGCTAGGCTCTTGTCCTGCGGACTCGCAGCGTCATCGACAATGCCTAGCACCCTGCGCCATAGCTCACGCCGCTGTTTCCGCACGTCAGGCAATGCCCTTGCCTCGGCTATGCGATGGAAAAAAGCATAGTCGCGCAGAAACGCACGAGCGATGCGATAGCGCAGCTGGTCGCACCACACAATTGCCAGATGATCTGTTGAGCTCCAGAGCGATGCTGCCGATGTCGTGAAGGAAGAAAGATGTGACATAGGTGAGCCATGGCCATCGAGTGTGAGCGACGTTGCGTCCGATGACAGCTGCGTATCGAGCAAGCCGCCAGCCAAAGAGATGATAAGCGGCTCATCACGCATGTGACGATGGATTCGGTCGTACACGCGATCCATCGAGCGCTCAAACGGAACAGGCGGGTACGCATGTGGCGTCGAGAGCGTGACGATAGTATCGACAGACGAAACAGGGTAGTTCGGCAGCGTCATAGCCAATCGCGCAACAATGCCGCCCATACTGTGGCCCACAATCCCGATTGTGGTGTTCCGATCATCGCTAAAGCGTCGCGAAGAGGCAGCATCATCTTCCGGTGGGACACTGTCATACTGTGCGCGCAAATAACGCAGCACTTCGTTCACAAAGAAAGCCTGATCTTCCAAGGTGCCACCATGAAACGCAGAAAAGTCTTCGTTAAAGTCCACTGTATACCAGACGGTGGGGCCTAGCACATCCTCCATATCGGGGCGAGGATCATGGCCATTTCTCGTCCAGTATTGATAAAATGCACTCGATGCAAGGCTACGCACCTGCGCGAAACTGCCGGCGTTTCCGGGAATGAACAGCACAGGCATACTGTACAATGGCTGCTCTTTCCACTTGTTCGGCATATGGTAGCCCATTTCTCTGTACTCGCGCAGCGAATACTTTTTCATCACTGGCGAGTCTGACCGTGAATACTGCTGAAGTTGCTCGTCGTGGACCACATATGACGGTAGCATACGTGCCATGCGGCACTCCATACGCATGTCGAGCATGCGCGGAAGATATGCAAACGAGAGTAGCGATATACATAGACAGACGATCCATATTGCACAGCACAGTGCGGGCCGCAACCGCTGACCATTGCGGGTGCGAATCTCGCCGCCCATGTTGTCCACACACTCCTCGACAACGGACCTTCCTTGTTCTATCCTCCGATCGGCGATACTACCTCAAACACCTTGTCTTGTCCTCACCCTACGCGCTGAGCCATGCAAGGCTCGTGCATTGATGTGATGGAACGTCACGTGAAGAAAGATTGGCCCATGGCGACACCTGGGCGGGCTACGTCCCTTGGTGCCATTGCCCGATTGGTCCGATGGCGCTGCGTCCACATTCAAAGTAGGTTTACCGCGCGCCCTTGGCATTGTGGCACGATCAACTACCGACACTTAATTGTAACGAACTTGATCCGGGCGCAGACTTTCTCCCTATAACCATGTCGTATATGGACCGAATCAAAACTGCCGCACGAAAGGCGGGCTCACAAGCTTCTATGTATGCACAAAAGGGATATACGCAGCTTGAATCGCATGCGAGGAACGTGCAGGCAGGATTTAGTCTGCCAGCCGAATGTCAGCGGGCTGCGAAGATTCTCGAGGGTTTCCTTGCAGACCCGAACAACCCAGAAACGGCGCTCAACTCTATTCCCAAGGCTGTGCTTTTGCAGGCAAAGGGTCTCGCTATATTTACTGTTGTGAAAGCTGGGTTTGTCTGGTCGGGCAAAGCAGGTAGTGGTGTTGTCATTGCTCGCTTGCCGGACGGATCATGGTCAGCACCCAGCTGCATTGTTACGGCCGGCGTCGGCTTTGGGTTCCAGATTGGTGCTGACCTAGTCGAATATGTTATTGTAATGAACAGTGAAGAAGCCGTCCGCTCGTTCGGTCTCGCTGGTAACCTGACATTTGGGGGCAACCTAAGCGCTGCAGCTGGGCCCATTGGCTCAGGCGGCGCCATCTCGTCCGCACTCGTGCATGCTGCTCCCATGTTCACGTACAGCCGCAGTAAAGGTTTATACGGCGGCGCATCGTTGGAGGGCACTGCACTCTTGGAGCGGAAAGATGCCAACGCCCAGTTCTATGGCCAATCGATCCCAGCTATGGACCTTTTGCTTGGCAAAGTGCCTGCACCAGAAGTTGCATCGGTCATGTATGAAGTTGTTGAAGCGGCTGAACAGGTCGATGAAACTGGTCTCCCGGAGCAGGCATATGTGCCTCAAGAACATTTCGGCCAGGCCACTACATTGAACCAGAGCGGCGAGGCTACGGGTACGCAATCGGTCGCTGCCTCTGCCGGCGAACCGACATCCTCACAACCGACTGCATCGAAGCCATTCCAGACCAACGAGCCTGGAGTAGATTCTTCTGCTCCTTCAACTCCGTCTGTACCAGGGAAAGCTGCGGATGCCGCGGCAAGCGCCACAAAGCCGTGAGTGTATCAGGCTCGTTGGGTCCTTGCCGGTTGTAGAATCAAACACACACACACACACACACACTATTTCCACGCACCAATCCACTCCTCTTCGATTGCCTGCGTTTATTGCCTACTATGATCTTAACCGAGAGGCTCTTTCCTTATACGCGGCCTTTATGCTTGCTCCCTCTTGGAGCTCAAACTTGCTTTATGGTCGCCCGTTCTCCTCCGCAATCCCGTGTATTCACTGCTTCCGCTACATCCCTGCTCGCGTACTATTTTCGGACTTGCTATGTACACATAGGGGGCCGTGGTGTAGGTCTTTTAAATGATTTCGATGATAATGTGGACCCCAGCATACTGTCATTTGTGGCTTTGACTCGATGAATCAACGATGGTTCGTCGGTGGCATGACATGCAGTGGGCTCATCCGTCGCATGCAAAATGACGCCAGGTACGTCGTTTACTGCGTCTTCTGGCGAGAGCAGCATGGATATCCGCCGCTGCTCAGAATAGTCACATTCTCCACTGGGCTCGTGACAAGAGCGATGTTCGTGCTCCAACACAGGTTTTGTTTCTGCCGTTGTAGACAGTTTCTGGAGTGCTTCAATCAGGTCTTGCGCCAATGTATCGGTGTTAGGGCGACCTTCCACTTGCTGCTCCCAGCCGACTGGCGGACTGCCCGGCGGGCTAATCAGAAAGTCTCGCTCCGGCACAGGTGGCTCCAAAAACGTTGTTGATCCATCTAGTGTTCGCGCGACAACATACTCACCCGAAGGAAGCAGAACAAGTGGTGTTTCATGATCATAATACACGCGTAGCATAGAACTAGACCGTGTCAGTGAGATAGTCTTGGACCATATCCGGGAAGGCACGTACGTTTCTGACGATCCTTCATCGTCATCATCGTCATGAGGTATAAGCAGCCGATCAAGGACTTGCTTGATGCGCTGTGCCTCCGACACCTCTTCGAACACAGCCATCGCTTGACGAAATGCCGGCATGGGTGTCCAATCTACAACATGACCATACGCATGCAGCACATCGAGAAACAGAGATACAGCATTCTCAGAAGCAAAAAACGTCGGCGGAAAATGAACGAACATCAACGTATTGGTTGGTTTGACACTCTGCGCCTGTGCATCCTACCGTTAATATGGTCGATAGCGCGCGTCGGGACTTTGGACTTCCGAACGCACCCTTCCTCCAGCACATTTCTGGTTATCAGCTGAACGGTCATGGTCATCGTTGTCGTCATGATCATCAAATTCAGACGTGAGATTCGCGAGACCAGCCAATGGGTGATGATTTAATCCCTCTTCATCCACGATTCCGGCGGAAGGATGCAAAGACGCACAATACGAAAGAGAGTCATACAGCGAATTCACTGCTAAATGAGTTCACCAGATCCTGCACATGCATAAACGTACTGATTGAGCTGTCCTGTACAAGTATCCACATCTCTTTTACTTCGCCGTTTTCCTCCTCATTCTCTTTCTCATCATCACGCTCGGGATGATCGTCTAGTTGACAGTACAAACATGTATCCAACAAGAACATGTCCGAACCACGTAGCTCTTCGGGCACAAAACGCGAAATCGCATGCAAAGCTATAGATGGATAATCGAGATGAAAACCGTTGCTAGTTTCATTCGTCTCTTGTGGAAAGAATGTTAGGCGCGTTTCTGTGAGCCACAGCTGACCAGTCATGTCAATCATATTCGATTTGCGTGATTTGTCGCCTTGGCACAAATCAAGCGGCGCAGGTCGTATCCCTACACGAGTTGATGGTATGTGTAGTATGATCTTTGAACCCTGTTGCCCAGGTGCCGCCGCTGGCACCGTAGGCATTGGCCGCTCAGACGTTGCCACCAAAGGCATGAGGAAGTCAATTAACGTGGAGGAATACGCATGAGCGTGTGAGTGGTGTCGATGCGCACAGATGGTGCTGAGTCAGCCGGAGCATGCTCCGTCTAATGGAGGAGCACGCTGTGTGGAGGTGTCAAGGACGAGAGCGGCTTCTTGATCGAATGGGCGGTCTCTACGGTGGTGTAGTATTTCACGTGACATTTTTCTACATGGCCGGGCGGAGGCGAGGGGTCCAGAAAGGGGACTCCAAAGAGTTGTGGCCGTCGAGCTGCACGACTTGATCACCTTACGTCAAGAAGCCAACTATGGGCAGCTCATCGAACCCGGCTCACAAGGCAGGCGTGCCGCGCACTGGTACGTGATATGCGGTGCACCATGAGAAGCGTTCTAACAAGCATAGGTCTCGTTTGGGGTATCAACCGTGGTCACCCGACTAACCGCCGTGTCCTGGCTCCCCGACGTGTGCAAAGCAAGGGTGTGTCTAGCGAGCGTGTGAAGACAATCCGGAGCATCATTCGTGAGGTGACGGGCTTTGCTCCTTACGAGCGTCGTGCTATGGAATTGATCCGTAACTCGAAGGTATGTAAATTGGATTGGGTTGTGCCATTCTGCGCCTTTTATCGACGGTTTCCTACATGCTTGTTTAGGGGCATACTGAGCGACATGGCACTGTGGTCAATGACGTGTGGTAACATTGCTCGGCCTGCTTGGCATGTTGATCTAGGAGAGGTATCGCACAACCTACCAGTTTCTCGACTCATCTGAACGCGCGTTCTAACCAACCAGGACAAGCGTGCACGCAAGTTCATCAAGCGTCGCATTGGTACAATCGGCCGTGCTAAGCGGTACGTATGACAGACAAATATCGAATGACGGTCGACTAACCCCGATAGTAAGATGGAAATTCTCACGACGGCCATTGCTGAGCAGCGCCGCTCTGGTCACTAAATGCGTCTGTCTGTTTCTGCCCATATACTACAACCACATAGTGGTCCAAAATACAACCGCTTCGCCTAGGCCAGGCATGTGTTCCATTCGAAATGCGAATAGCGCCCGCTTGTTTGCTACTTGAGTGAGATTACATAGACAGTCAGTGGAATAATGGCGCATCGGTTGGCTTTGTGACATCGTCATGAGTTCATTTATCTGGCCTCATCATTAAGTATGGTTTTGCACAAAGATCATAGCAATATTGTACCATTGGATTGGTACTAAAGCGAAGCCCTACTATAAGTGAACATGACTGCTCGAAATCAGTCACGTATGCATATAAGCTGGCAGGCCTCTAGGCCCTCTCTAGACGCCCCTGTCGCTCGATCCTTTTCCACATTTCAGAACGCCCGAATGAGCGTGTGTTAGAAGCTCCTACTAGGCTAGTTTGACAGGGTTTACGAAAATCAGCGTCCAGCAAGAATTTTCGTCCACATACATCATACTTGTGTGCCGCTTGATCAATCATGGCCGAGTATGATCTAACGCAGACGCTTCTGGCGTACATGGACCCGCATCTGGGCTTGCCTCTGCTATCGCATCTGCGCTCTTTGAGCATTTTTGATGCGAAAGATCTCGCGAAAGCCCAGTACGAGCTGGGCAAGAAGACCAATATGGTCGATTACACAATGCAGTTCTTTCGGGAGGCTTACCCAGGAGAAGACGAGCCAAAAGATGTAGCTGAACGTGCGAATCAGCTGGAGGCCAAGAACAACCATCTTGCAAAAGAGGCAGAACATGTACTGACGGTCATCGAAGACCCCAACGTGGCCGGTGCTCTCAAGCAGGACAAGGCACAAAATCTCGAATGGTTAAAGCAGCAGTACAAGCTTACAACGGATCAGATCAATGTTTTATACGAATACGGACGCTTCCTTTTCTCTTGCGGAAAGTACAGTGAAGCCTCGTCGTATCTATACCATTTCTGCATCCTATCTCCGGACACGAAGCTGTACGAGTCCGTGCTCTGGGGCAAGCTGGCCTGCGATACGCTCACTGGTGATTGGGATCGTGCTATGGATGATGTTCGCGTGCTTCGTGAATACATTGATGCACAGCGTGCAACGACCTCGGTTGTTTCAGCAAGCGAAGAACGTCGGATTTCACATGAAGACATTCTACAGAAACGTGTGTGGCTATTGCACTGGAGCCTGTTTGTCTTTTTCAATCACCCAAATGGACGCTTTAAGCTTGTCGAGATGTTCCTTAGTCCGACGTACTTGAGCACGATCCAAATGTCATGCTGGTGGCTTCTTCGCTACTTGGTGATTGCGCTCGTCGTCACACGACGACAGGCAACTCGTGGCTACCTGATCGAAGGCACAGGTTACTCACAGACAACGAAGCTGACGGCTCAGGCGGCGCTGCGCGAGGTATCGAAAGACATCCAGATGGAGGCTTATCGTCTCCAGCCGGATCCGTTCATCGACTTTTTCCGCCAGCTATATGTGGAACTGGACTTTGAGTGTGCACAAGCCGAACTGGCAAAGGCTGAGTCAGTTGTCCGACATGACTTTTTCCTCCAAGATGTCGCTGACCCATTTATCGAGCATGCTCGCCTCCTTGTCAGCGAGGTGTACTGCCGAATTCACCAAAAGGTTGATATCGTCGATCTGTCGAAGCGGCTCAACATGTCCAAGGAAGATGGCGAGAAATGGATTGTCAAACTCATTTGCGACACTAAGATGGATGCGAAAATCGATCTGAAGGAAGGCGTTGTTCGTATGAACCAGCCACGTCCCATCGTGTATCAGTCGGTCATTGATAAAACACGAGGAATCACATTCCGCACATCGGCTCTTGCTCAGGCTATGGATCGTCGTGCGCATCCACCAGCTGCAACTAGTGATGCAGCCCAGCGGCGGCCACGTAAGAATGAGACACGCAGTGATGCAGACTCCCATGCGGATGCTGATGGTAATGCAACCAACGCACAGGCACAGTCTCGGACACTAGCTGCAGGCGCGACAAGTGCTCCAGCAGCGACTGCTGAATCGGCCTAACCTTTCTAGATAAATGGATAGACTTCTTCTGGCTCGCCTTCGGGGGCGGTGGCCCGATGGGGTGATGAAATTCCCATGACTTGGTACTGCGTGCCCATACCGTTCGTCTCAATCAGACGATTCGCAGCTCGTTGGATTTCGGCTTGACGATCAGCCCTGTTCGACTCCACTAGGTTTTTGACCCGCAACGACAGGCCAAGGGCTGTCAAAAAGTCCTGCTGAGACAGTGGCCCGTATGTGTAGGCATTGGTGGTGTGTATTGCATGCATAAGGAACGTGAAGTCGACGTTGGCCGTGAGGTCGGATTGGCCTGGCATCTCGAGCGGATCCACAAGCTTGTGTGCACGGAAAGCTCGGAAACTATCACTGAAAAAGCGCATACCACCATAGTCGATAACGAGTCCACAGCCACCAAGTGATGGCTTCGAACGTTTGTCGATCACGTCTGGCGGGGGTGCTTGGGCTTGATCGGGGCGGAGTGCCGGATAGCCCGACACCCATTCGCCGATCTTTCGGGCCACGGTCCAGCTGGCAGGGCTAATTTCGACCCGCTGGCCAGGCTGAAGTGCTTTAAAGCGCTCAGACTTGGCGGCGAGCAGTTGCGTCCACGCAGTGGGACCGGGCGAGAGGACGTATCGAAGTCCAGGCTCTGGGCGAGGTTTACCAAGGTCTGAAGCCTTGATCACATTGACCGGCTTGCTCTCATCGTTGACGTCGACCATGACTTCCCGCCAACCATCAATATGCTTTTCAAATATGTGGATTGGAAGCGCATCAAAAAATTCGTGTGCCACAACGATGGTCCACGCATTTGGCTCTGTAGGCACCTGCTCGTACGACGCAAACCATTCCACACGCAAATCATTAGGCGCCAGCTGGTCAACAGGGGTGTCTGCATTTGCGATCGAGCGACCAAAGCGGCTTAGGGTAGCACTCAAGTTCGCTTCCTGCTGTTCAATAAACAGTGGTGAGGACTCGATCAGCTCGATCGAGCGGATCGCCGATATCATATCAGGGAATGCAGAAAACGTTCGCAGCATATCACACAGCAACGTGCCACGTCCAGGACCCAGTTCGACAATGCGTACGTTTTTCGGAGCGCCAGCCGATTGCCAGCGCGAAATGAAGAACACAGCGAGCAACTCACCAAACACTTGGCTAATTTCTGGACTTGTGATGAAGTCTCCTCGAGTGCCGAGAATCCTAGAATTTTCCTGCTGGCTCTTGCTTGCATAATATCCATAGTCAGGATTCGTCAGGCATGCTTGCATGTAGGCAGGTATCGTCAAGGGACCACGCGCCTTATGTTAGTGAATGCTGCATGGTACATACCTTGATGGCATCGATCAGCACACGTTTCAGAGTTCCTTGATTCAAATTGGCATCAGTCGACAAAGAGCGCCGAATTTGCGCTTGGGAGACCGCGCGTATAGCGCGAACAGCGCAATGACGCCACCACATCCTGTTCCGGGCGTCGATCTATTATCTGGCACGTTAGTGTGAGACTTGGTAAGGCTCCATATCGGCTTACGAAGTGAAATGTGGAGGCACAATCTTGGTCGCTCGAACATTTGTGCAGGCGCTGGGGAAAGTAAAAAATTTGTTCGTGCGGGTGGCAGATTCAAGTGAAATTCTGTGTCGACGTTGTACGTAACGAACGACTAGACGACATTCCCCCTTGTTTAAGTTTGCAAGCGTAAGCATGTCGTCGTCGTCAAGTACGCGTACAACAAAACGCCAAGTCGATGCTGAAGGAGAGCATGCGTCGCGGACGAAAAAAAGCAAAAGCGGTAGCGTGACTCTGCATGCAGATTCGTCGTCGGCTGCGATTGGACCCATGTTACGTACGTACGCCTGTGTTGCTTGTTGAATTCTGACACATGCATGAAGTCTCCCTTTCCGATTTCATGCCGGACAAACATGCCAATTTTCAACTGTACCGCGCTCCTAGTGATGCTATTGAGCCAAGTGAAAGTGCGTCGGGCTCGACTTCAACTTCCGTACCCCTTGCTACACTTGATGACCGATTGCTTTTAGCTGGCGATACGAACGCAATTCAGTACACGAGCACGAATTGGGGCTGGGGGGCTTCGGCGCGTGCTGCGCCTGAACTGCGTCGAGAGACGCGCGGATACTCTGGCGACTACTTGATGGGCATATATGACAAGACAAAGAAGCAGGTGACTCTTCGTGCTGTGCCTTTGTTTACGCTGAATCGATCAATCAAAGCCCTTGCGAATCTTAGCTCAGCAGCGACGGAGCGTGGTATGCACAACGATTTCGACTACACAAGAGCACGTCGTGATCTCGGCGAGGCATTCGGTAACAAGAAGCAGAAGCAAGCCGCGCGCAACATGGACCGCATGAAAGTTAATACAGAAAACATGGACAACATTCTCGAGCATGTGGCTTCTGGCATTGGCGAATCTGCCTCGACATTGCCAACAGAAAAGGAACTTACTGCATCGCTCAATACAAGTCGCGCCCTTCCGCAAGCGCATCTCGATGCGACTGAGCCAGCTGGCGTGTACCCACTTGAGTCGCTTGTGCCTATGACTGTACTGAATGCCTTGCACACACGACACTTGCTCAAATGCACAACGCAGGCCGAGCTAGGAAAGGCTCTACGCGTACTGCCGCAGCCGTCGCCGTGGCTCTTGCCACGCCTATGGCAGATCGTGCAGACTGCACAAAATGACGCGGGAAATACTTCGCGTGCAATGGAATTGATCAGGATTGGATACTATGTGGCGATTCTGCTGGCGTTCCGCAAATATGCGCGTGGGCTGAGCCGGCATGGTGAGGACGGCGTGTCGAGCATTTCGCAAAAGATGCGACTACCAGATCATGAAAGGGATATTGTCATGGAGCATCTCGTGTCTCATTTTGCTGAGCAATCGCGTGGCTCTCAACGATACGCAATGACAGCTACAGGCGATACTCGTTTGTTTGCAAGTATTCTTGTTGTTGGACTGCACTTGGAAGACTTCAGCATCGCGCCTGAAGCACCCGCGCAAGAACTCAGCGTGACGACCCAAAGGTTCGTTGATACCTAGTTTGTACGACATATTCCTAACGTGACACAGGGTGAATGAAATGTTGAAATCGCTAGGCTGTTCTAGCACGCAGAGCACACGTCGTGGCGTCGATGAAGACGGCGCCATTACACAACAACAACAGCAGCAGCGTCGGTGGTATTTGCGTCTACCGCTCTCATTCCCAAGCCAGCGCAAGCGTGGTCCTTCACGTCGTTAATGATGGATCTGGTAGAGTAGCCATAGCCAATGGTGGAATATGTCTTCCACGCTCCGCTGCTGCAGGACTTGCATGCATATCGTAGTACTCTTGCAGTGTGATGTGCCGCACGTCATGAGGAATCTTGTGGATCCTTGCCTCCATCTGTGCCTTGGCCGCCTCCCAATGGCGATAAGCACTCCGTTCTAGGCGGGCCATTAACTTGTCGCCTGCGTCAGACGCACATCTATGCATACTTACATTCCATGTCGTAGTTCTCTAGCACCTCTTTGATCTGCTCATCAGATAATATGCGTGCTTGAGTGCCGCGCGTACGCTTTCGTCCCATTCCAAACAAGCAATGGATACGCCCACCAACAACACTCTTTTCGCGCTGTAAATGCAACGTTGCGTCACTGCTTCACCCCGCGAGGCACAAGACCCAACACACACGCGAGTCATGTCACGTGACCAGGCATATGAACAGCAAGCAAGAGTCAGAGACCATCGATTACTACTAGAAAATCATGTGGCGTACGTCACGGTCAGTGCCAGTGCGTCCGCACGCGTCGCACATGCAGGTATGGTCACTATCGGCGCTCTCGAGCGAGGGTTTCCGTGGCCTAGATACCTTGGGACTGGCGCCTATCTTGCAAGAAACACACTCTGGCTACCTACAAATTCATTCGAACGGGTCACTAACAGTTGCATGGCAAAATTCTACAGAGGGCGACAGAAACATGTGGCAATACTGGCACATTTTGCCCGAGGACCAAATAGCGATACTTACACGATCCAAACAGATACCCACCAACTACGACAGGAACGCATTGACGAAAAGACATATCTCCTCTGACGCTTGGGAAGCATTGCAACTTGCCACAAGATGGTTGCATCGCGTGCATGCCCACACACCTATAGTAAAATGGTACGACGTATACGCAAGTGAACAAGTAAAGCAAACGTATAGCACGACATACAGTCACGTCATGGGCATAGTATACTCAACAACGCGAGACGGCGTGCCAGACATAGAATTACGTCTCCACTGCATGCATACGAAACATGAGTATATCAGCGTGCGAGTGAGCCGAGAACGCCGTCAGGTCACACTGCAGCAATATGCAGATACCGCACAAATGAAACATGAAGCGACTACACTGAAGACCATGTCTCTGGAAGCCGCACAGGAAATACATCATCAAGCTAAAGACTCGAGTCTTCAACACTGGGCTATAAGAAAAGCCCTCGCGATGCAAGCCTCTGCCGATCTGATGCGCGCGTACACTCAGCCATCCGTTACACCCGTATCTCCCAAACCACTTACGCATCAACGACGTCATGATTTACAAGTAAAAGAACGAGCATGGTATGAGAGAAGGAATGCAGCGTGGCCGTTCGACAATGCAAGCCGACGATGTCGTCGACGACAACAATGACCAGCAGACTTATGTATGTGGGGAGGCTGCGAAGCAGCTCCGACCATTGAAACTCACGAGCTCCTTGTCGGCACGCATTAGAAGCCTCCCATCCGATCTAGATCCGCGTCCATGTCAATGAGCCATAAATCATTGACACATCAACTTGGTATGGCGGGCCTTGCGGAAAGAGGAACGCGTATTAGGCTTCGACTATTTAACGAGATTTTTCTAGGGGGGGGAATTTGATTTTCTCGCATTTTTCGACACAGGGTCGAAAATAGTGTGCGGGCGGCATTGACTACCATGTGTCTCGGTCGATGTAGTCACATGAATCGGGTCAATCTGGCATCCGTATGGGGGGAGGGAGAGGTGCATTTGGCATACAAACTAGAGAAAACCAGCAAATTTGGACAAGAATGCAAACGAATTGAAGCCAGAGAGTGATACGAACAGCTACATACTGAGATGGAGAGACAACCTTGATCCATCTTCGAACACCATTATGGTTACAAGCGCTGTGGGTGCATGCATGGCTCGAGCGAAACATGCAAGACCCGATCGTGGGTGTGACTTTCTCACATAAGCGGGCTGCGGCACGCGCGCCAGCAAAAAACAAGCCAACATGCCACCGGGTGAATGACAAATAATCCTAGTAGGCACTAAGGGTTTGTTTGTGGGCACACAAGAAAAGAGTGGGTCTTTTCTGACCTCCGTCTACGTTGGTATACTAGCACCATGGGATTGTCTGTTTCGCGACTGCTGTCTGGCCTCTTTGGCAAGAAGGAAATGCGTATGTACATGGATGCAATCGCGCTCAAAAGACTCATACGATGAATAGGTATCCTGATGGTCGGTCTTGATGCCGCTGGTAAGACCACCATTTTGTACAAACTGAAGCTGGGTGAAATTGTCACCACGATCCCCACAATCGGTGAGTATTGATCACACACCCAGCTCGTTTGCACCATGATGCACTTGGGCAATAGTAAGACGTGTCTAGGATAGCACTTACACTGTGAACAGGTTTCAACGTCGAGACCGTGGAATACAAGAACATCTCATTCACTGTGTGGGATGTTGGTGGTCAGGACAAGATCCGTCCTCTGTGGCGCCACTGTACGTACTTACTGATGGTCGGATGGGCTCATATGCAGACTTCCAAAACACACAGGGCATCATCTTCGTTGTCGACTCGAATGACCGCGAACGTATTCCTGAGGCCCGCGAAGAACTCCAGCGTATGCTGAACGAGGATGAACTTCGTGATGCTCTCTTGCTGGTGTTCGCCAACAAGCAGGACTTGCCAAATGCGATGAATGCCGCTGAAATCACTGATAAGCTCGGATTGCACAGTCTTCGTCAACGTCAATGGTATGTACACATGAGTCGGACAGCTACTGTCCCACTGTTCACCCCCTTTTTCCCCTGGGCCTATCCTACGTTTATACAGAGGCAGTAGGCTGTCGTTTTCCTTCTTATGTTCTATTTCTAACACTTTCAGGTTCATCCAGGCAACATGCGCCACGAGCGGTGACGGTCTGTACGAAGGTCTTGAATGGGTATGTATACGACAAATAAGGGCGAGTGACTAACGGGTCCGCAGCTGAGCACAAACCTGAAGCGCCGCTCGTAATGTGTTCCTATCCTTCCCGTTGTGATCTAAGCGAGAGAACCATCTCCTCATGTTGACTAGTTTTATTTCGTATGTATGGTGCTTCTAGTGAGCTACAATGGAAATCATCATTGGCGAACTATGAGTATTTGCGCCAGATGAGCTCTTCTACCTCTGTGATGACGTCTGTCCCGCGTTTTGAGGCGGGTCGCCTGGTCACGTCCAAGACAAGAGAGTGTGCATAGCATGTGAGGACATGTCCACCTTACTATTGTCCACAATCTACTCGAAGCAGTTCGTCTTATGGATAGAGAACACTGCGTATGGTTTCTCTCTCTTGTCCATAAAATCATGCCGATTCCTCAGGGACCAACGCAGCCGATATCATGGGGCTTATGAGTGTCTTGCCCGGGACATGTAGTGCGGACATGAAAAGAGGTACAATGATTTCGTAAGCAAGCACCAACCACCCGTCAGTCTGTGGAACAGACGCCCTACAATTTTTTTCAGTGCTTATGTATATGACGTGCATCCGTGCGTGGTGCGTGTAGAAGCCATCGCGACCGCGAAATCGACGGAGCACGCCACCTGTGCGGCAGTTGGCAACGACTGGATCGGCTCCAGGCAGTAGAATGGAGAGTCGGCAAACAAAGCGCAAGCTCCCCAAAGGGCTGGTCGACACGTTCAGGCGCGTTGTGCCCAAGAATCCTGGCCGCGCGAAGTCAACGAGTCAGTCAAAGAGTGCGTTGGAGCCAGAACTATCGCGCGTTTCAACACGTAATAGCTTTCATTCCATCTTAGATCCTCTTTCTAGGCGAAAAAGTGTCGCAAACATCTCGGAACGGAAATCCGTTGTACCAGGTGACCAAGAGCTCCAAGCCAATGAGCAAGCACCTGCATTGCCACCAGTGCTTGACACAGTTCCAGCCCCATCTATGCAGGAATCCAACCAGGATGAGAATTCTGATGCGATGCCAGATGTACAAGCGGATGAAATGACCACTCCAGGGCAGTTTCCAGATCGCGAGGGGACGACAGACGGACCGAATCTGTTGCTCGCATCACTGCACCTGCCAGCTTTGCTGGGCCTCAACTACCATCCGCAGGAGGGGTATACGCCTATTGAAGATGAGCCTGTCTTGGGACATACGAGCAACAGGGTGCAGAATCATTCGCACTCGCATAGTCGTGACCCACATGATCATGCTGAGACCGACACTGAAACGGCAAGTGAGTCGCAGTTTGAGACGCATGTGATGGAAGAGCTCGGCAGCAAAGATGACTACTTTACATACCCAGAGCGCAGGTCTTCCAAGAAAGGGTGGCCAAAGAAGATGTTCAAAGGCACATCGAAATTATCATCACCAGGAGGATCTTCATCGCACGTGCCGGCCTCGCCGACGGACGTCGATGACGATGCATGGAGCATAATTGATGAATATGAACTCGAGTCGCTCAAGGACATGAACGAGTCGCATCCAACTGCGCCATTGCTGTCGGAACTCAACAGACCACTGCACGAGCTGGATGAAGTGGAAGTGAACGAGTTCCTCAGCCACTTTAGCAGACACACGCGAGAAGTCCACTTGCCGCATGCGATGCGCCACTTTACGCGGATGCCCCAGTGGTCTGATTTTGCCTACTCGTCCGACGGTGATGAGGAAAACATCATGCCATTCGCACCGAACGAGACACTTGCACGGCGACACAGGCGATCGCGATTCCTCATGCATGTGGACCGTGGCTTGTATTTACTAGAGGGGCATGATGCACCGGAACAGCACCATTCTGCGCCGTCGGATGCATGTGCATCACTTGGTGAAGACGCAGCGTTGGATTGGCACCCCAGCACCTCGAGCCCCTCGGTTATGCAGGGTGGGAGCGACACAAGTTCTGCGCAAGCCGCCGCGAAATGTTTGACAACACATATTGGCAAGCTTGACTCGAAAGCATCTTCGGCTCTTCCCACAGACACTGCTAGAGCGCCAACGGCTGGTGCAGCGACCAGAGGCCAACTTCTCGATGCAGCGCCATATGAGGTTGAAAAAGCCATGAAGTCACCCGACTCTGACATCGAAATGCAGACAGGCGTCTCAACAGGTAGTGCGGGACCTTCTACGCCAGCGCAAAAACCTGTGAAGCGGCTGCGCATGACAGAAGAATGCACAGAAACCCCGCCTACGCTCAACGATGAACATGTTGATGGCGTGGCTTTTTGCGTCGCCTACATCCTAGCCCTGGTCGAGCAGTACGCGCCGAACGACTTGGACGAGGCGCCGATCACAGAGTACCGCGAGAGCCGCGCTCGTTCGCACATTGAACGTCTGTACATTATTGCGCCGTTCTGGGAGCAGCTCGTCGCTTATTTGCGCGCTTTGTATTGCTGGGAAGAGCCGCGACGAACAGCCGCAGCGGCCATGATCTACTTCGTCCTATGGTACACAGATATGCTGCCGACGGCGTTCTTCACGCTGCTTCTGTACTATGTGTTGCAGTTCCGCTACTTTCCACAAGACGAGTCCCTCTTGCATCGGCGTGTGCACGACCGCATGGTGCGTGGCCAGCATGCGAACCGGCTTGCTGAGCGTCTGAAGCGACGCAGTCGACTGGACATATTGGACTTGTACAAGCGATGGGCGCGCACGTACGGCGTCGTGAGCCAGGTGGCCGCGGGTGACGTGGCTGACTTCCACGAGAAGATCAAAAACTTGCTCCTGTGGCGCAATCCCAAGGCCAGCCGGCGCACGGCCATCCTGCTGGCGGTGCTTGTCTTGTTCGTCACTGTGTCGAGTCCAGCCCTTGTACAGAAAGTATTTTTGCTTGGCTGCGGCATCACTTTCTTTGGTCTCATGCCGCTGCAAACGCTCTACCCCCGGTACCGACGAGCACTCAACCCCTTGTGGTGGGCGGTGCTTGGGGCACCTACAGATGCGCAATGGGCGATCCAGCTGCTCCGCTCACGGCATTCTCGGTACCAGGAATGGCTACAGAGTGGGGGTGAGCCGTCGGCTGGCAAGCATCCTCGGTCGATGCCGTCCGACATGCCGCCGCCATTCACACTAGGCGACATGAAGATGACGCAGCTGCATCAGAAAGACGGACTGAAAGGCCCCGAGCATGCAGCGCCCGCAGCGCGAGCGTCGGAACGTTCGCTGATGGACAAACGCAAGCTGGACAGCTTTTTGTGCCAGCACTTTGGTGTGCCAGGCCACTTGAATGTGACGCCGACACACCTGTATTTCTCGCCCTTACGCGTTGTGGGGTCTGGCAGCAAACACTATCTGACCAACTTGCAAGACATGGAGGGTCTGCGCAAGACACATACGACTCGCTTATGGCTTTGGGACTCGCACGGCCTGAAAATCTCGCGCCGAGGCAAAAACACACTGTACCTGTCGAATATGGCTCGTCGCGATGAGGCGTTTAATTTGCTCTTGACGCTTGCGTCGCATCTCATGCAAGATATGTAGTTGTAGAGTTTTCATGGTTGTTACGAACAGATCGATAAAACGGGCTGGTATGGAAAGTGGGGTTGGGACGGTCAGGCCAACGAACGCCCAGTGCATCCGGTCTGCGCGGGCCGCACATGCACAGTGACTGAACGTGACGGACGCTCCGATCCACGCGAGACGCGCAGCAGAATGCACACACATACGAAGAAAAGAATGGTGGATAGAATTCATGCTTGTCTATGATGTGATCAAAGGTGTGGTAAGACCGCGTCCTACCAGTCCGTGCGGCGCTCGCCATTGACCCATGCATCGTTTCGGATAAGCTCAGCGCCTCGTTCCGCGACCATTAGAATCGTCAACATCGGGTTCACTGACGGCAGTGTGGGAAGCACACTAGCATCACACACACGCAAGCCCTTCATGCCAACGACCTTGAGATCGCGCTGGTCGACGACAACTGTGCGTGCATCCTCCGAGGCAGGAGCATGGCTCGAAGGCGGTGTGCCCATGCGGCACGTTCCTGCTGGGTGGTACACGGTATGAGCGACAGAGCGGGCGTAGGCACTGATATCGGCATCCGATTGACACGCAGGCCCAGGAGCCACTTCTCGGACGAGGTGCTGGCGGAAGAGCTGGTGCTCAGCGACTTTGCGAGCAATCTTGATACCTTCGACCATGAGGCGTTCATCGTAATGATCTTCATCCTGGAAGTACTTGAAGTCAATAAGCGGCTTCGTAGTGGGATCGGCATTGGCCAGCGAGACTTTGCCGCGACCACGCGAGCGCATCGCGTTGGGCGTCATGCAAATCGCATGCTTTGGCACAGGGTAGCCCTGTCGAGCGGTATTCTCCGTGAATGGCACCTGGTAGATGTGGAACATGAGGTCAGGGCCGGGATGTGGCACAGGCTCGGCGTCCCTCGGCTGGGTGCGGAGGAACAGGCATGCATCGGACGACATGACCGTTTCAGAGGGCGTGTCGCGCGTTTCCCAGATGATAATGGACTCTGGATGGTCATTCAGGTTCAGGCCCACACCAGGCAAATCGTGGCGGCAGGGAATACCAATGGCCTCAAGTTCGCTCTTGGGACCAATGCCCGAGAGAAGCAGTAGGCGCGGCGAGTCAAATGCACCCGCACAAAGAATCACCTCGCGCCGCGCCCGAATGACGCTGGACGTACCATTCTTCTGCTCAGCCCGCACACCACGCACACGAAGAGGATCGTGTGCATCAAACTCCAGCGCACGCACCCATGTCTCGAGGAACAGATGCAGATTCTTGCGGGGCGTCGCGCCGTGCGGCATGATCGGGTGCATGTAAGCAGTGCTCGCACTGCTACGGTGGCCATTGTATGGGTCGTACGAGATGTTGAAGAAGCCCACCGCCTGGTCAAAGCCGCCGCGGTACGCGATTTGAGCATTCATATCTTCCATCACTGGCGCGCCCGTAGCCTCGGCACTTGCCTTTACCCAGTCACGCACGACATGGTTGCGCTGCTGAGGTGCAATCGGCACGATGTTCATCTTCAGGCGCGAGCCGTATGGCTGGATCGCCTTGGCGCCCCAGTCGGGACAGCCATGGTAGTCGCGCCAGTTGTCCAAGTCCGCATCGAATGGGAAGAACGAGATCAGCGTGTTGTGCGACGAGCATCCACCCAGCACACGTGCGCGCGAATGCAGGATGTGCGAGTTGCCTCGCGGCTGCTCAGTGGTTGTATAGCCGTAGTCAAGTTCGCTACCGAGAAGTTCGAGCCACCTACGCAAGTTGAGGACGCTGTGGGCAGAAGAGGGTGTGAGCACGACATCTTCGTCCCTAGGCGCGTACGTACCGATCCTCATGCTCGTCACTGGGACCACCTTCGATCACGGCGACTGAAACGTCCGCATCTTCGGTGAGACGATTCGCGAGCACACACCCTGTGGTGCCGCCCCCGACAATCACATAATCGAACTCAGACTCGCCCTGAGGAAGAAAATGCGAGGCCAGAGAGGAAAGCCGTTGGAATGCTTGGACAGGCATGCGGTGCAGCTCGTCGGGTATGGGTGCAAAGAAAGAATTCTGCTATGCAGTCAAAACCACAGACACTCAGGCCCAGGAGGAAGATGCTACGACAGTAAGAGGCTTCAATGAAGGAACGGCCCAGTGAAGGCAATTGATCGATAGATCGGGCAGAGGGGTCTATTTCGCCGTCGAGATTGGTTGGTTTCAGATTCCCCTTTCTCAAATTCTACGACTCCCTACGCTAGTGCATGGGATGAAAAAAAAATCCTGATTCGCTACAAGCGACACGAGTCGATTGTGCCTGCCAAGAAGCTGTTGTGTGTACAAAAGCAAAGCATCAAGCAACGAAACCCTGATCTCACGGCCTTCAACCGGCCAATCCATACGTAGCCCATGCGCTTCCCACGTAGCCACAATCAGCCGAACTTTGTCAAAAGTAAAAAAAAAAAAAAATAAGATCGACTGCGTACGTAGCCAGCTGCGGATCCTTCTCTGACGCAAATACGTAGTGGGGCTAGGCGGGTGTAACAGAGTAAGCGTAGCTGCTTCGCCTCAAGCGACAGTATGAGGTTGGCCGTACTGCCAGCCCTGGTCAGCGAGGCGCTCGACCTTCTCCATCACACCCATTTCCATATCGTACATGTACCGCTCCATTTTGTCCGCATACAACGGAATGTTCGTTCCCAAGATCCGAATGGCTAGTAACGCGGCATTCACACTGTTGTTGATCGCGACAGTGGCTACCGGCACGCCTCGTGGCATCTGCACAATACTATGCAGCGAGTCAACCCCATCGAGCGTGCGCCCCTTCACCGGCACACCAATCACTGGTAGACATGTTTGCGCTGCCACCATGCCGGGCAAATGCGCCGCACCACCTGCACCGGCAATGATCACTCGAAGGCCCCGAGAACGAGCACTTCGAGCATACTCGCGCATGCGGTCAGGCGTGCGGTGTGCGCTTACAATGGTAAGTTCGAATGGCACCTCAAAGTCCTTCAGTATCTGTGCTGCCGACATCATCACGCTCAGATCAGAGTCAGAGCCCATGATGATGCCGACCAGCGGCTGAGGATGCGAGAAGTCTTGCGGTGCCTGGGGCTTTCCTGGCACAGGCATCGCTGCACGCTGCTTCGCACTGGCAAAGTCCCACGGCTGCTGCTGCTTCACAGCTTCTTTCGCTCGCGATAGCTCGTCAAGCAAAAGAGACATTCGTTCGTGCACTTGTTCATCGCTAAGGCCCACCACATTGATATGGCCCATCTTGCGGCCAGGACGACATCCACTCTTGCCATACAGGTGCACCGTAGTGCCGGGTACCGATAGACTGCGCACCGCAGGCGCCAAGGTCTTGGCCACAGCTTCACTATCGTTCCGCACATCAGCAAGACCCAATATGTTGAGCATCGCAGCAGCAGGCACCTTGAGTGCCGTACTGCCGAGGGGCAAACCAAGAATCGCTCGTAGATGGTTTTCAAACTGACTCGTTTCGCATGCGTCGATGGTATAGTGTCCGCTGTTATGAGGTCGCGGCGCAATTTCATTCAGCAGAATCGTGCCATCACGAAGCAGGAAAAGCTCAACGCCAAAAATACCCGCACCTTCGAACGTGGCGACCGCCTTCTCTGCAATTCGCTGTGCGCGCTCCGACAGCTCAGGTTTCGAAGTACGCAGCGGCGCGTACACCCTGTGGCACACGCTGTGCTCATGCACTGTCTCTACCGCCGTATACGAGGAGACGGTCCCTGTCGAACTGCGTACCACCATCACGGCAATCTCCTTCTCGAACGGTGCCCACTTCTCCGCATACAAGGGGCGCGATCCGCCACCCAAAGCATCGATCGCGGTATGCACCTGGTCGATACTTGTAAGGACAAAGTTGCCTCGTCCATCATATGCCTCTGTGCGAGACTTGAGCATGAGGGGCAGGCCAAATTGCTGCGCTACCTGCTGCACATTGGCGATCATGTCGCTGCCGGCATCGATGGCAACTGACTCAACAACCGGGATATTGTGCTGCATCAGATGCTTCTTCTGCAGGTATTTGTCTTGGATGAGCCGCACAGTCGATGGCGCCGGATGCACAGCTTGGACAAGGCCTTCATCCAGCACAGCTTGCAGCTGGTCCGCATCCACATGTTCAATTTCCACAGTCAGTATGTCCACTTGCTTGGCGAGCTCGCGAATCTTTGCCTTATCAACAAAGCTCCCATCTACATGCTGTGGACCTGGCATGGACGCCGGCACACTCACCAGCTGCTTAGCTGGGCTGTGCTCGCCCACATCGAGGAATCGTATTGGCACATTCAGGCGCGATGCCGCCTCCGACAGCATGCGACCAAGCTGTCCGCCACCTAGCACACCAATGCAACGTCCTCCGTCCATAGTTCGTATCGTGAGCGCTTTGAGCCTGTTATGTGTCTCCTCTGGTCCCTGACTTTTCTCCGTTCGGGCTGGCGGAAGCACAAAGTGACAAAGACCAAATGGGGTTGCTCACACGCAATTTTTTTTTTTTTGTCCTACGCCTGTTTGGCTTGTCTGCCCGGCAGCCTCACTTTTCTCCCACAAGCGCGTCACCCCGAATCGGGCGAGGGCCAGAGTGAAGGCGGGGTGGGAAGCAGGTTGAGAAAGACGTCCATTGATTATATATGCTTAGTCAGTCTCCAGAATGGCGCACGGACAGCCCTAAACACATGTGTGACAGCGCCCAACGCCGACCGTCGGAGCTGCAAGAAGCATGCGGCATTATTCGTACGACTCGGAGCATGAGACGTACGCCCGGTTTCTTGAAAGTGTGCGGCGTTTCGGTGCAGAACTAAATCGGGTGACAGTGCAGTTTTCCGAGTTAAGCGATCAGCGATGCAGCGCCTTGCTGGAGGTGTTGGAAAACGAATGGCAGAGAATCGGCCAGAATCCTTCGGCTTTTGGAAAGGGGAGACAGGGTGTGCGACATCTAGATCTGTCATCGAATCAACTCCAGTCTTTTAAAAACTCAGGTCTGATAAACATGATCAGAGGTAATCACATACTCATGTCGCTTGAAGTCCAGGCGAACGGGTTAGGACTGAGCCACGAGCAAGACATACAAGCCCTTTGCCAACGCGCTGGGAACGTGCGCGCTACGCCGTCTGAATATGACGGCGAATAAGCTGGGAGATGTAGGGCTTTCCTCGTTTTTCGATGCCTTGCCGCCCACGGGCACGCCATTGAGCGAGCTATACTTGTCCGTTAATACTGTCGCTTCGGAATCAGGCTCATGGCGTGCGGCCCGGAGTATAGCCAATTTTTTAAGCTCCCCCAAAAAGTGTCGCCACATCAAATACTTCCACCTGAGCGGCAATCACTTTGGGTGGGCCGGTGTGCGAGCCATTGTGCATGCCATCCTTGGGTCGCGTCGCGCTTGCACCTTGAATGGCACCATCGCTGCCAACAATATTCCTACTGACATGCTCGATGCTGTAGCTCCAAATACAAACCTAGTGGCCATGGACTTGTTTTCTACAGGCATCGATACCCTCATGACATCTACGCAGGAGCCTCTTCCGCCAGAGCTCGAATGGGAAACATACTCCGCCGTGACCCCTGATAATTGGTCGGATGTGCTCACAGAACACTTGTGCCGAAATCAAGACCACGCGCGCGCGTGCCAGTCGGCCTCTGTACAGTTGCTCGCTGTTGCCCGAACGATCGGGTGTAAGTCAAGAGAAGCTAATGTGCCCAGCACCAAAGTCTTCCCATTTCTGCGCCTCCCGACGGAGCTACGTGTCTTCATCATGCAATTCATTGATACAGACAACGTGCTGAGTCATGAGCAATTCATCAATATCCTCCGGTGGGCAAGTGAACCCAGCACCATTCAGTTTATCCGCGAGTTCGGCGCATGGCCACCGCAGCATTCATCTGTACCCACGGAAAACATTTGGGGCCTGCCTCCTTGGTCCTGGGAAGAAGCGTATACATGGCGCTCAGTGCCGCGAAACTGGTACAGCGAAGCGATGGAGTACGATGAGTGGCACCGATGGCAGCCAGAAAAGCTGGCATTCTGGGAAAACACCGGCATCAGTACACCCGTCTATTAGTGGATAAGACTTCATAGACTTTTGGTTGAAAACAGACCACCCAACCATGTTCGAATCGTCGACCAAGGTCGGATTGGCAGCGCAGGTACATCGGCCGGCGATGCAGAGAACCGGTTCATGGAAACAGGCGGCGCTAAACCCAAACAGGGTGCAATGAATGCACGAGCAAATATCTCGCCGAATCCAAGCATGATACCGTTGATAAATGGTAAGCCAATGTTGATCGCTAACACGGCTGAAATCAGAAAAGCGCGTCGGTGCCACGCCACGCCTGGTGCTAGTATGGATGCAATTGTGAGTTCTCCCGTCGGTGCAGGTGGCAAAGGTGCATCATCCGAAATTGGTAGGGAAATACTGTCATCGACAGACGATTTGGACCATGTATCATCGTCATCACCGTCATCGTCGTCATCTGAGACCGGTGCCGTCATTGTCTCCGACTCGCATCCTTCGTCTATACTCTCGTTTTGTTGAAGTTGGGGGTGTTTTTCGATACCAGGCCACTCTTTGGAGGACCAGTCGCTTCCAAGCGACATGATCCGCACACCGACTCACGATCACTCAGTCGCGTTGTCTCAAAAGTGAGCCCAGCCACCAACCTGTGGAAAGACGTAACAGGAGCTGCTCCTCTTACATCGGCCGAGCATGAATCTTCGGAGTCTATGTGCCACTGTGGTCCGTGCGAGTCGTCCCACACCCAACGCAAGCCAGCTTCAAACGCGCCAAGGCTGCTGCATACTTGACAGCATGGACGTGAGCCGAATTTCAAAATGTACCACTTTTCATACCTACCGGGAATCATGATGTATGGAGAGTACCTCAGCTAGACAAGACGAAGTGAGTACGGCTTCTGTTCACATGCGTCAAAAGCTCCACACTTCCTGGACGCCGAGCAAAGCAGAGCATCAATGTCGCTCGCACGTCCGGATCAGGATGAAACGAGACAACAACACATGCGATTCATCACTCCGCGACAAATTTAAACTTTGCTTATTCGAAAACGATCGCATGCCGACTTTTCCGTCCTATCACGATCGTGCAAGTGCATGATGTTTGTCTAGATTGCAACGGGCAATTTTTTTGATGGCGCTAAGTGCCTGCTCGTTTTCTTGGAGTGCGGGCTGTCGTCAAAGACATACGGGCACTAGTCAATTTCGTGCCATTGTATCTAACTTGGACAAAGCGGTTGAATGTGCGCCTATACATAAAAAATGTTTTTTTTTTATTTAGAAATTCTGAAAAACAGCTCGCTACATATAAGGTGGATGCGTCGACGAGCATAATCAACCAAGCACTTCTCTTCTGATGCTCGATATCCACGCTTGGAAGGTCTGGGTGTTCGAAAACTCTCGCTGATTCCGACATCAATGAAGAACTCTCTATTTTCCAAGTGCGCCGTCTTCACGGTACTACGCATTCACACCAGCATCATGCTCCTAGCCCGAACACTTGGACGACAAAAGCGTCAGTCACTAAAGGCCGGAGGTCAATATAGTCATTCAATTCCCATACGCCATGATGAGTTTATCACAATGTCGCGCTAGAGCTGAGACCAAAAATTCAAGTTCAGCGAGTGCCTAATCAACCGCGCATTTACTTAAACTACGTAGCATAACCTTGCAATAAAAAACACCAGAATGAAGTCACGATGAGAAAAAAAAAAAAAAAGGGGGGAAGGAGGATAAAACTGCGAATATTGATACATGCGAAAACGAGAGAAGTGTTGCGAAGAGTTAATCTTCACCAGGCGATGGGAGAATCAGTTCAACTTGGGGACCAAATAGCCGCCTGCACGGTGGACGCCAGAGGAGCCCTGAATAGCCTCACAGCGCTTCTTGAACCACTGGACATCGAATGGCTGCATGACACAGGCATTGTGGTCTGCTGGGACGATCGAGCCACTGCTCAGCGTCTTGCACACGTTGATGGTGCCGAGCAAATCAATCCTCCATTGAAGATCAGGCGACTTGTCTGTGTCCCTGTGGAAGCAGTACAGCCAGCGGTCATCGTGGCCAAGTACGAAAGGCACGAGAGCAAGAGCGAGAACGAAAAGGAAACGGAACATCTTGTAGAAGAAGGCTGGAAGACGGATTGAGGGAGTATACCAACCTTAAGCTTTATACCTTATTCTCAAGGTCAATTACTGCCCATGTGCGCCTTCTTTCGCAATGTGGATACGCAGTAGGATTGGCTATACCTGTGCACATTCCTGGGCGTTCCTGCATAGACACTCCTGGTATTAGTAATCATGTACGACCTAGGAATGCATAAGTGTCGCAAGGGCGCGGCGTTCGCATATGAACGCACCGATAAGATTTGTGACACCGCACGAAACGTCGAGGCAGACTTGCAAAACACCGGAATTGAGTTTACTAAGCCTCCAGTGAGCACAAGCGCAGCAAGACGAATGTTGGAGTGAATTGGCGTCGATCCTACTAGCTAAAGTACATTTCTCAGCGTTTCATTGCAAGGTTACCGTGCTACGAGTTGAAATGTTTACACCCTATGAAATATGGACAATTCATGTAAGAATGATTTCATAGTTTGCAGTTGACAGGAAAGGTATCGACTACACTGTACGCACCGGTCCCACTTCGGAACTGGGCCTGAGCACGTTCTCCTGTCCTGATTCTTAAGATTGACCAGTTCTGTAGGGACCAAGGTGGGCAGGTAGTACAGCATCGTGCGTCGCTTATCACCATGGCTGATATACCTGTGGAGGTTTCGCTCTTTACAAACCTCCCAGACAGGCCCGAGCACCCATGATGTCAACTCTGCCAAGTTGTTGGTACACATAAGCGCTTGTTCTGCTGTCGGCCGACAGAGTACCAGGGATGGGGAGTTTCTTTTTTTTCTTCGCCAAGTCAACGCAAACGCACCGTATCATACTCTAACAAGCACATCATGCCTCCTAAGAAGAAAGGTGGTGGCGGCAATAGCGGCGGAGCGCCGAAAGTGACGGTCGACAAGACCTTTGGTATGAAGAATAAGAAGGGTGCCAAGGCACAGCAACAAATCAAAGTTATCCAGCAGCAGCAAAGCCAGACCGGCAAGTCGCGTGAAGCACTAGCGAAAGAGAAGCGACGCGAAGAGGAAAAACGCGTGAAAGCCGAGGCCGAGAAGCGCATGAAAGTCGAAGGTCCGCCGATTGTGCAGCCACATGTCCCATTCGGCGTTGATCCAAAGAGCTTGACCTGTGCATTCTGGAAAGCGGGCCGTTGTGACAAAGGATCGCGGTGCAAGTTCTCGCACTCAAGTGATGCGCAGCGCAAAACCCAAAAGAAAGACTTGTACACTGACACGCGAGACCAAAAGGATGACGACGATAAGAAGAACGATACCATGGATAAGTGGGATCAAGATCGTCTGAACAAGGTCATAAACATGAAGCACGGTAACCCCCGCACAACCACGGACAAAGTGTGCAAATACTTTTTGCAGGCTGTCGAAGACGGCAAGTATGGATGGTTTTGGGAGTGCCCGAATGGAGGCGAAAAGTGCATGTATCGACATGCCCTGCCGCCAGGCTTTGTACTGAAGTCTGAGCGCAAAGAGCGTGAGGCTCTTGAAAAGGCCAATGAAATCTCGCTAGAGGAATTCTTGGAAAGTGCACGGCACAAGCTTGGATCCAACCTGACGCCTGTGACGCCAGAATCGTTTGCCAAATGGAAGAAGGAGCGCCTGGACAAGAAGGCAGCTGAGGAAGAAGCGATGCGTCTCAAGAAGGCCACGCAAGCACAGGCCAACAAGATGGCTGGTCTAAGCGGTCGTGAGATGTTTGCTCTTAACCCTGAGATGTTCGCTGATGAGGATGATGACGATGACGATGGCGCTTTGGACATGACGACGTATATGCCCGCTGGCTGGGAGCAAGGTCGGCAGGAAGATGATGTTCCGTCAGAAGGAGTGGCAAACCTCCGAGTCCAAGACTAAAGTTGCTTTTCAATGCAGATGCTGGAAAACATCTTCCAAAAAGTATGAAAAAAAAAAAACTCTGTGTGTGTGCCCGGCTTTTCCTCATGCCCGCTCAGTCTCGATCATCTGTTTTAGCCATATGTGATTCTCCGTCGGCACCTTGATCTTTCGCTCACGAACTACACCCTTGTACAACAGCCCTCTGCCATACGTGAGCAGGAAGTGAGGCTGCGAGATACATTTTCTTTCTCTATATATACATACATACAGAGCTAGTTTGCAGTCTAGCTATGCGTCGCGACGCCATCCGGCTGCGCCTAGGTAGTTTTGTGCGCTCTGCGCTAATGCGCTCCAAGTATCGCCATCTGGGCCTGCATGCCAGTTTGAGAACAGATTGGAGAAGGCGGAAGCCTGTGTTTGGGACACGGCACTCATGATGGTCGGGCCTCCCTCGGGTACGTCAGGCAAGTTTTCTTGTCGGATCTTGCGCTTGGCACTTTCTAGCACGGCTGTAACGTCGTTCTTGTCCATATCGTCACGAGCACGCAGGACTGCCTCGATGAATGCTAGGTTCGGCCCATGTGCCTTGGCAAAAGTCCAGTATGGTAGGAAGACCATCGACGAAGACGAGCTCAGGATCGCATGGATCATGTGCAGCACTTCGACGCGTGAAGTGGCTTCATCACCCGGACGCATGAAGGAGATGAGATTGCTTAGCTCGCTTATATCAACACCGAAGCGTTCGGCTGCCTTTGGCATGCGCAGACGCGCTGAGCGACGCAGCGCCGTCAAATACGCTGCGAGCAAGCGCATCAACAAGTCATCAGAGAGCACATCATACAGGTTGGGATCTAATCGTGCAGCGTAATCGCCTGCATAGTCGCGGACCGTCTCGGTGATCATAGCCGTAGTGCCTTCAATGTACCAAGCGGGGAACGTAAACATGTCCTTGAAGGCCGGTCGTAGGTCAAATAGCACAATGTCAACTAGCAGCTGCAAACAGTGTTTGCTGATATCCAAGAAGCCGTTCAGTGCATTGTCCAGGAGCTCCCGAACACGACCTCGGTTCTCGGACGGAACCTGGTTCACAAGACGGTGTAAAAGCTGCTCACATTGGTCAGCGCTAGCGAGCTGGTCATTCGCAAGCGCAATCAGGTACTCAACAAGGCCACCATTGACCTCTTCCGGTTGCTTGGCCGTTGTCTGCTTCTTAAATTCCTGCTGGGCTGTGCGCATCCAAGTTGCCTGTGTCTGGTGCATAACACCACATGCATGGTCCACGACGCGCAACAGAAGGTCGGCGTTCTTGGTTTCGGCAGCAAGATCGAGCTGCTGATTCATCATACGGAAGAAAATCACACAGCACGACAGCTGGTACATACCCTCGCTCGTTTCCTCGGGCGCTTTTTCTCGATGCACAAATGCATTTACTTCGTCGTACATCAGCGTCGCCGTCCAGTCGTCCATTTTGCGCGTTATTAGCCCGGTATAGTCGTCCATGATATTCTGCTCACGACCACCCAACAGCGAAGGCTCGAGCCAGCTGGCGTCGATGCCGTGCTTCTTCTTGAGCAAACGAGTCTCGTGCTCTTGAGCCACATGATACAACTCGAGCAGTGAGGCTGCATCTACTTCATCCAAGGGCATTTGCGCTTGCAGCAGCTCGCCAAGAGCACGATGATGCGCTTGCACATACATCTTGAAGACGTTGCATGTCGGGGGGAAGAGAGGCACAAGCCATGCTCGAGCCTGGTCCAGTTCGTCATACAGCCAGTCGATCTGTGAATACAACTCAGCAGGGCTTGGCTCTCGCAAACTGGTCCACGCTTTGAGCAGCCGCTGCAGAGCAGATACACGAAGTGTGTCCTGAAACTTGTGCCAATACAGCTTGATGCTGTGACCGTAAGTGGCAATCCCATGAAAGCGTGCAGCACCGTCGATCTTGGCATGCTTGGCGAAGCGGATAGCGGCAGTGCGTTCATCTTCTTGGTTCTCACGCTCCATGATCTTCACAAGACATACAACGACACTCTGATGTCCACATCGCGCAAGATTCAGTGTGTGAGCAAACAAAGAGATGATATAATACTCGAACGCATCTAGCAAATCTTCCAGGGGCGCTAGCATAGCAATCAATTGCTCTCGCGTATCACGCGCACTCGTGCCAGCTAGGTGCAAAGCCTCATTGCGAAACGTTTCCCAGCGCGAGATTTTATAGTGCAGGGCCAATAGCTCGGGAGCCGGGCCCATGATATCGCGCTGATACTGACGCAAGACTTTGCTGAGCATCTGCACGTCTTGGGACATGGCTTCAAACTTTTGGTGGATCTCTTCTGTCTGCACCAGCGCACGCCGGAGTTGCGACAGCTCGCTGATCAGACGGAAGCTCTGCGTTCCATCCGGTCTATTGCCGTCACGGGGATCCTGACATAGACCTTCAATCTGGGAAAAAATCTCTTGGATCCCAGCAATTTCACGGCGTGTCGACTGCAGTTGCAAGAGCCCTTCGCGCGTCGCTTCGAGCTGATCTTTAGCGCCCATTTTCAGCTTCGCTGAGAGCGAGGCGTGCTCCTGCACGAGTTTGCGTCGAAGCGATGGGATCTTGGCCAGATCGTCTGGCGACTTCAGGTACTCAGCCAGCAGACCACCATAGTTGTTTGTCATCCGCGACATGTGCGCGCAGATTGGGTGTCAATACCTTTTCTCACGCTAGCGATGGAGCCGCACAGAATGCAATCGACCCACACTACGACGATGACGTGGCCCGATCGGAATCGAGTAGTGCAAGGCACGCCCACGCTATGAGTAGGAACCACACGCGTACGTGGGAGGCAAACGAAACCAAGCTACAACAACCAACCACCGGCAGCCAAGCTTTCTCAGCCCCGATCGACGCCCACCCCGCTGCCCCTCTCCCGCAAGGGCCCCCAACTCCACTTTTCCATGGAAGATCATGTGCCACAGCAACAACGCTCATTGGCACGTATCTAAGTAGATCTTGGACAGCGGGGCTCTCTGGGCTCCGCACACTTGCATTTTACATAGGTACACATACATATATTACAAACGAAGGAACTTTGGCGACTTGTCTCGTGGTGATGCCCCTGGTCCTGGCGACACACGACCGCGGAATTCCGCCTGATTAGGCGTGGTGCTCAAATGCGAAGGGCTCGTGCGTGTGCTGGCCACCGGCGACGGACGCGGATCGATAGGCACTGGTATATGTGTAGCCGAGGAGGGTGCTGGACTTCGGGCTCGGCTAGGGGCAACAGCAGTCGCAATCACATACGAGTCCGAGGTGGAATCTTTTTCGTGCGTGGACGCAAGGGGCGACAATAGGACGGACGGATCGATGCGTGAATTAGGACGTATCCAATGACTGCTCCGTGGACTCAAGCGTGGAGACGCGGTCAATGGCACTCCTGGTGTTCGCACGCGCGGTGGCAAAGATCCTCGGCGACCTGGCAAAGGGCTGGACGGATCAGATAGCTCGAGGTCATCGTTTCCCAACCGAGCCTGCTTTGGTATCGCACGCACAGTGCTAGACCGGCGCGATGAGGAAGCGGGTTGAGATACAAACAGAGTGGTTTCGTCGAGCGAATGTGGCGTAAACTGTCCATGCTCGTTGTCGTCACACCGATCGATTTCATACACATTTTCTGGGCCAAGCGAACCAAAACCTTGAGGAGCGCCGCCTGAGCCAGCCTTGGTGCCGGCAGCGCTACCGCCACCTACACATGTTTGTTCTTCTGCCACATGTGAGTCCTCCGGCATTGTTACGACCAAGCTGTGCTCTTCAGCGCGATCATCGTCGTCTCCCCCTTTGGTAGACAGAGGCGTCCAGCGGCCATGGCGGCGATACATGCGGCGCCAAACCACGCAAATGGCGATACATACCATCACAAGGAGCACAATTGTTATGGCATTCGATACAACTGCTTTTCTGGATGACACAGGCGGAAACTGCGACATTTCGACGTCTCGACTGGCTTCCTGCAGTGCCTTGCCCAGAGTCCAGCTCACGCTGAGGCCACGTACATGATTGATGCTCTGGAACGACGACGTATTCGACACTCGCGGAAGCCGAAGACCCTCGTGAAGAATCGTCGACATCCATGCAGCCTTAAAGCATTGCATCTGGAGTCGACTCAGTGTCAGCTGCTCAGGGTACTGATGACGCTGCAGTTTCGACTCGAGGTCGCGCCAATCAGAAGCGCAGAACTCCGTGGCAGCTGAATGAAACTGGTCGTGGTCATACATACCGCCCAAACGAAACACATCATCCGAACTGTACCAGTACTCGGACACGCCCACGAATGAGCTTGACTGAAAATCAATTGGCGGAACATGCACACCATGAAATAGGCAGGGTGGTTCTCTGCATTCAGCGTGCCGATCTAGTAATGGCAGCTGCTCCGAAAGGCATTCTGCATACGACCCAGTCCCCATAGCAACCCTAGTGCCATCTTGGAGAGGCAAATGCAGCCCTTTGGGGAGACATGGGTCTTCGTACGTTGGATGTAGACCGAGACGTTCCGTCAGAGCGTATAGGTACCGCGTACGTGCAGCGTTCGTTCCAAATCCCAGAAAGGTCGTGACAAAAACACGATGTGTGTCCACAGACGAGTCCAGTCGATGCAGTGGAACTTCAAACAAATTTTGTTGCATGCTAGATTGTATTGGCGGCTCAAATGCTATTTGTGCGCTTGCGCCACCCATATCAAGGAAGCCGTATGTCCTCTCGCTTGGCCGGAACTCGTTCATCAGGTAATTCACCGCAAGCCATCCCAAGAGCCCCTCTTCCTCGCCAGATATCACCCTTACATACCCGTCACATGCCGAGTTCGTGTCAGCTCCGAGGAAATCGTGTGAAGAAGGCTCAAAATAGAATGGCTGCTCTCGTATAATGCGGCATGTCTCAAGAAGGATAGCCTGCTGAGCCTCTGGCTTAAGGAGTCGCATCCCAGCTGTAGCGAGGATATAGATAGGCGTTTGAGGAAGGGCTTCAGTCGGCACAATCTTGCGTACATGTGCGAGAAGTTTGTCCAAGTAAGCACGCAACTCGTGCGTTCGTCCTTCAAAGGCCGAAAGCCCTGGTTCAATTTTAATTTGCGATAGAGCTGCATGAGTATGACTAGGTCCAGCGCCAAGCTCGACTCGAGGCAAGACATCTAGTGGCCATCCATAAGCGAGTCTCGTCGCACGCTCTTGTGCAACATTCTCCCACGAGTAGACCGTTAGGCGCGATCCCGAAGATCCCGCGTCGACTATAACAGCATATTTCCGTTCGTGGTGTCCATCGAATGCATCGTTCATGTCAGATGTCATAAATGTTGCAGGACGTCGGCGCCACCATTCCCATCGAGGTTTCCAAGATGAAGAACGCGGTGATGCCAGATCGAGTAACATTCGTTCTTCTTCAAAGCGCGTGCTCTTTTGTGCCCTGCGCGACCAATACAACAGTACTACACTTTCCGACCTGCCCTTCTCTTTCACCCCCACTCGTCCAAATCCACAACTTCCAACACCTCACGCTCGTAACGGTAGCTGATCTTTTTGTAAAAGTCCTATTTTTATTGCATTCCCACATTTGAGCCTCTCACTCACACACTCACCATCCGCGCCACCGCGAGCCGTACCCCACTTCTTAGTCACGTGGGACAAGGATCGCTCTATGATCGCTCCACACGTAGTCATATCCGAGCGACTTCAGACAATTGACCGCGCGTCACATCGAGGCCAATACATACTCCCTTGGCAATATATCACTGGTGCTTGGACCACGTTAGTTTGAGAAAGCTCAGGTTGGGATATTGCATTGCTTGAAACTAGCACTATGTCCAAAGTATGTGGCGTTTGACGTGCTCTTGACATGTGTGCGTGTGTCGCTAACACCCCAGGCCAAGTTTCTGCGTGAATACAAACTTGTGGTCGTCGGAGGCGGCGGCGTCGGAAAGTCTGCTTTGACAATCCAATTCAGTCAGAATCACTTTGTTGATGAATATGATCCAACCATTGAAGGTACGTGTGTGTGAACGTCTGTTCCTTACGAAAAGACTCGTATCGCAAACAGTGCATGATTGATAATGAAGTCGCACTCCTAGACGTGTTAGACACAGCTGGTCAAGAAGAGTATTCGTATGTATACATGTATGCTTGACTGACTATGCACAAGTGCAATGCGAGAACAGTATATGCGCTCAGGCGAGGGCTTCTTGCTTGTGTACAGCATTACAAGTCGAAGTTCTTTTGCAGAAATCGCCACGTTTCACCGCCAAGTCTTACGTGTGAAAGATAGAGACTATTTCCCCATGGTCATGGTGGCAAATAAGTGCGACTTGGAGAGTGAAAGACAAGTTAGTACAGCAGGTATGTACACTCTAACCTACGCTGCCTCTCGTTTGTGTGTGTTACTGACGCTCTCTACAGAAGGTTATGCGATGGCTAGGTCCATTGGCTGTCCTTTTGTTGAAACATCCGCAAAGCAGCGAGTAAACGTTGACGAGGCTTTCAATGACCTTGTCCGGGAAATCCGTCGGTTTATGAGAGAAGAAACAAGCTATCGTGGAGTATCGTCCCAGGAAGTACCTGGCGAGAATGGTATACTAGCGGCAGATTCTTTACGTGATAGTGGCGTGGATAAGAGCTGCTGCAAGGGGTGTGTCACGATGTAAAGACACTGTCTGTGTTGCACAAAGTTATCTGGTTTTTACGTCAGTTACTCCTCTCTTTCTTCTCTCTCTCTCTCTCTCTCTATCTCTCACTCGCTCGCTCGCTCTCCTATTCCATCATACTTGTTTTCCTCGCCCTTCTTTTGACATCCCAAAAATCCATGGTTCTCGAATGGCGTTCTATTCATCTCATCATGTGTAGCCTATGACATAGGGATTGGAACTGCGTCTTGTGTCAAGTGTTCTCTTGCACGTTTCGCATGTGTGCGTTTCTTGACAACAATCATGCATGTCCAGTGTGCGGTGGCGTATAGGATTGTGTGTCTACATCCAATATCGATAAATAGGCGGGTCCCATGTTGCGCTGATTTAGTGGCTTTTTCGGCTGCCTTTATCCCCGTGTCGTACCGCCCAATCTTTTGTGTTTGAAACATTGTACCTTGCGAGGTCGAGCGACAGCTGCCGCATGATTCAACAACATCGTGATGACAAAAATGCCCCATTTTGAGGTAGGCACGTCCAACAGGGTTAGCCCCCCGCATCATTCGATACAAAATGGTCAGCTACATTTCGTCATCCTAAATAAGACCTAAATACAAACGATTCCATCGCACATTCATACAAACTTGATTGGCCTCCCATCGAAAAACTATCACAACCCACAAAACGATGTTATCAAGCACTTCACTCCTCAACTACTAATATTATGAACGAGAAAAATTTCACAAAATAGATATACTAGCAAAAGACTTTCAAACTAATGACTAATACCAAGATGTAGTTCTTAGATCAGGGCAGCCACAACAACGCCGACAACACCAGCGACAACGGCCGGAACACCGCTGAACGACATGGAACCGCTATCATCACCCTTCTTCTCGCCACCGTTGTTGTCGCTGCCATCTTCCTTGTTGTCTTGACCGCTCTTGTCGTCAGAGCCACCACCCATACCAGTCGAGCTTGGCTGGGCAGACGAGCTACCGCCGCCGCTTCCGCCGCCCGTGCTCGACTGGCCGCTGCTGCTCGACGACTTGCCACCGCTAGAGCTGGAAGACTTGTTGTCGCTAGAGCTCGAGCTCTTCTTGTCGTCACCGCCGCTCTTCTTGTCGTCGCCATCGCCGCTCTTCTTGTCATCACCGCCGCTGCTACCACCGCTGCTACCGCCGCCGCCAGCAGCAGCAGCGCCACCGCCGCCACCGCTGCTGCCACCTTTGTTACCGCCACCGTTTATGCAGCTGTCATCACCCTTGCCTACCGGGCCAGCCTCACCAGAAGCCTGGCACTGACCAGAGTTGTCACAAATATTGATGGTGAACTTCTGGCCTTGTGGAATCGTCACCTTCCAAGTAGTCGAGGTGTCACTTGTCTCGTCAAGGTTCTCTTTCACATCATCAATTTTGCCTGGGGCCGTGATGAATGGCCTGTACGGAGGTTCACCTCCCTTCCAGGTAATCTTCAATGGGGAGCACTGTTGGACATAAGGTGGTGTGGCCACCGTGAAGTCTTCGGCTGCCACAAGAGAGGCAGCAGCAAGAGCGAGAATCGAGAATGACTTTGCGTACATTTCGGAAGAGTTGTGGTTGAGAGGTAACAGTTGGATTTGGGGCGCGCAATTTGAATGATCGCACAGGCCGCCGGACGATCGAACTGCGGCTGTGAATACCCGTTGGAACGGGCCAGAACATGTCCGTGTTGATTCTAGTGTGTGATTGCACCAACGATGTTTTAGAATATGTGTTACGTGGCATGGGGCATAGTGCTTTTTTTGAACATGCGCATGTGACCGAGCCAATCAATGTGGCGACTGACACGTAATAGTGTTACATGGCATAGATACATTTCAGCTAAGTTGTCCGAAATGACCAGGGCTCTGGTTGCGATTCGTGCAATCCGCATGGCTGTGTGCCTCTCCACAAAAACAAACTGCCAAATTGCGCAAGATTTACAGCAATCAACATGTCACAAGTGGTCCAAACGTCACAGCCATATCCGTCTTCGAATGCGCATGTGCACGTGACAATCACGGCTTCGAGGTGTCTGCGTTATCTCTTAGCCCTACATTCCAGTGGCGGGCTGGGGTAGGATGAGAGAGGAGAAAGTTACGAGCCTCAGCACGCCTGCTAGATACAGGTATCCACGCTCGGCACAGGCCGAAATCGTGCGATTGCACCAGAAGGACACATACTACCGTGACGCATTTCATGAGCAACTCAAGGAATTTGCGATCAATGTGTTTGGGTCGCGCGCTACTCACAAATATGAAAATCTACTGATCCTCGGCTCAAGTCTAGTGTACTTTGGCCTTTGCACATTGAATGGGGCACAGTCGTTAGGCGAAGAGTATGTTAATGCGATGATGCGGCACCGTAAGACGGGTCACATCGTGAGTGCCAAGCGCCGTGCTGCATTTCTTCTACTGTACGTTGTTGCCCCCTACATAGTAGCGCGGTCGTACAGCGCAGTACGTGCGTGGGTCGTTCGGGTGGGTGCATTGAACGATGAGAAACGCGAGGAAGAGAAGCAGCTAGAAAGTATGGGCATCGTTGGCATGGAGAATCCAACGTTATGTTCTCGCATTTGGTCGCGGTGGAAAGTCGATGAGCTTATCCACTGGCTTTCGAGACATTTGCCGGGCGCGCATGAACTCGCAGGATCACATGGATTCTTTGCCTACGTATCTGCAGCGCAGCTCGCCATGTTCTACCTTTGGGGTCGGTATTATACCCTAGCTCACCGATTCGTTGGTGCGGACTACATGTATGCAAGTGCGCGTCGGCCGGGCTCTCCACCAATGTCCTATGAGGTACTAGGTGTACTTCTAACGATTCAATTTCTTGTCAAGCTCGGCTTGATGTGGCGGAACCGGCTACTTCGAGCGAACGGGGGAGTAGCCGTGAGAGATGTCATATTTGCCTCTCGCTCTAGAAATCCGAATCAAAAACCACACTTGAAGCTTGATGACAAGGAAGTATTCCCTCACGACGGTACTGTCGTAACAAGGGAGCCTGGTATGTTTATGCCGCAGCCATACACGTTTCCGCTGATATACCCATGCGCCGATGGTGAAGTCAAGCCGGCGGATCTAGGAATGGAGCAAGTCAGCACGGAGGAAGAAAGCCGCGACTTTGATGCAGCACAGGCGGCCATTCGAACGAGGACAGCACAATTGGAAGCGATCTCTAGCCAGATTCTTCGCTGTACACTGTGTATGGATCGACGTGAACCTCAGAAAGGGGATAGTGCCGTCACGGAGTGCGGCCATGTGTTTTGTTGGGCATGTATTGAAGAGTGGCTAAGCGAGAAGCCGGAGTGTCCATTGTGTCGTCAAGGCGTGAGCATCACACAACTGATGCCGATCTATAACTTGTAGTAGTATTGAACAGCAGCTTCTTTTAAAGTGCTTCTTGACAAACGAACGATTTCTGAATGCATTATGCTAGCAAACTACGCAAGGCACACCATTGCACTTGGTATGCGGACGTCATAGCCTATGAAGCAGAGCCTGTATATATATTGAATCTGGCTACAGCTTCCTTCATGCCAGGAATGTGAAAAAGTGTTGCCGTTGACCATCATAATCCATTTGCGGATCTACATGCCATAGTTGTATACATGTTGTACGTACTTAGCCAGTCACTCTACGAGAATGTCATTTTGCTGAGCTCAAAGTTCGTCGTGGTAGTTCAGGGGCTCATCCGAGCCGGCACCACTGCCGCCACCGGCGCCATACACCTTAGCAGTGATAGGCGAGACGGCCGCCTGGAGCTCTGAGAGCTGCTCCTCGATGTCCTGAGCCTCGGCAGACTCGCCGTTCTCTTCCATCCACTTTTCAGCATCCTTGATGTGCTGCTGGATAGTAGTCTTGTCACTCGACTCGAGCTTACCGCCCAGGCCTTCCTTGTCGGTGATCTGGGTGCGCAGCATCGAGATGAAGTTCTGGAAGTTGTTCACGGCCTCGACACGCTTCCGAATAGCCTCGTCCTGTTCCGCGAACTCCTCTGCCTCAGCGACCATACGGTCAATCTCTTCCTTCGAGAGACGACCCTTGTCATTCGTGATTGTGATCGATTCGCTACGTCCGGTGCCCTTGTCGGCTGCCGACACCTTCATGATGCCGTTCGCGTCAACCTCGAAGGTAACCTCAATTTGAGGAACACCACGTGGAGCTGGAGGAATGTTGTTCAATTCAAACTTGCCAAGCAGGTTGTTGTCCTTCGTCATCGAGCGCTCACCCTCGAACACCTGAATCAGCACAGTGTTCTGGTTGTCAGCAGCCGTGCTGAAAATTTGGCTCTTTTTGGTCGGCACGACTGTGTTACGTGGAATCAACTTGGTCATCACACCGCCGGTTGTCTCGATACCGAGCGTGAGCGGGTTCACATCAATCAGCACGACACCACCGAGCGACTCATCACCCGACAGAACACCGCCCTGGACAGCCGCACCCCATGCGACGGCTTCATCTGGGTTAATACCCTTCGATGGTTCTTTGCCGTTAAAGAACTCCTTCAGCATTTGCTGCACCTTCGGGATACGGGTAGAGCCACCGACCAAGACAACATCGTCGACCTCGTCCTTCTTCACACCGGCATCCTTGAGCACCTGCTCAACAGGCTTGAGTGTGCGGCGGAAGAGGTCTGCATTCAGTTCCTCGAACTTAGCACGCGTCAGTGTCTCAGACAAGTCCTTGCCTTCGAAGAAGCTCTCGATTTCGATCTTTGTGCTCATCTGGCTCGAGAGCGTACGCTTGGCACGCTCGACCTCACGCCTGAGCTTACCAACACTGCGCTTGTTCTTAGACGCATCAAGGTCTTCCTTCTTCTTGAATTGCTTGAGCAAGTACTCCGACACACGGTTGTCAAAGTCCTCACCACCCAAGTGCGTGTCACCAGCGGTGGCAAGCACTTCGAACACACCAGAGTCGATGGATAAGAGCGAAACATCAAAGGTACCACCACCCAGATCGTACACGATGATCTGGGACTCGCCCTCCTTCTTGTCGAGACCATATGCGATGGCAGCCGCTGTCGGCTCATTTACAATACGCAGGACTTCCAGACCCGCAATCGTGCCGGCATCCTTCGTCGCGGTACGCTGCGCATCGTTGAAGTAAGCAGGCACCGTAACAACAGCGTGGGTGACCTTGTGGCCAAGGTACGACTCGGCTGTGTCCTTCATCTTCTGCAGCACCATAGCGCTGATTTCTTCGGGCGTGAATACTTTCTCTTTGCCATGAACAGTCACCTGAATCGCTGGCTTGCCCTTCTTCTCAACGAGCTTGAAGGGAAGGTGCTTGATATCCTTCTTAATATCGGCCTCACCCCACTTGCGACCAATCAGACGCTTCGCATCAAAGATTGTGTTCTCGGGGTTTTGAGCAGCCTGGTTCTTAGCTGCGTCACCGATCAGACGTTCATCATCCTTCGAGAATGCCACATACGATGGCGTAATGCGGTTACCTTGATCGTTGGCAATAATTTCGACACGGCCCTGACGTTGGACACCTACACACGAGTAGGTCGTACCCAAGTCAATACCGATGACCGTGCCATATTCGCTACGCTTGTCCTGTGCGGCTACAGCCGAGCCCGCATATGGGGTCGACGATAGCAGCAGGGAGAGGGACAGGAGCGAAAGAAGTCCAAATAGGACGCTCATCATCGTCATCCTCGCCTGAACCAACATCTTCAGGGTGGGTGAGGAAGCTAAGATGTGAGGGGCGCGCGGCTCATTAATAGGTCCACGCTCTCGGATTGCCTTGCAGATTCCACGTTGGCACTGGGACTAATAGCAGCTGGGACACGTAAGCTTCCAATCTTCTATCGTGTTCGCCGCCCTCCACGTGGCCTGCATAGGCTGACATCAGCACTCTCTCCAAGTTTGAGCGAAGCACGCGCACGCACACGCGTACTGGGAGTAGGATCAAGCGCGACGGGGAAGTGCCTGCGCACAGGTCTCTTACGGACGTTAGTACCGTACCCCACCTCCGATCCGACCGGTGGTTGTCTAGGCACCAAGGGAGTGTGGATGTGGAGAGGTCGATATTCGAGTGGAATAGGTCATTTTTTCAACTACATTGACCAGTACACACACAAGCAATTGGTCTGTATTGCGTGTGTGTGCGCTGGGACATCTGGCGAAAGCGGAGTAGAACTTGAACATTTTTTTCGTCGTCATATAAGTGAATTGCCTATGCCATCACGACTATGGCAACGATCGTTGGATGGTGTAAGGAGATCGCGTCATGCCCGCTCTGCTCCGTATGAAACAACACGAAAACGGCATGCCGAAGAAAGTGATGAGGCGTGGACACATGATAAGTTTGATGAAGACTCATTGGGACGAGACCCTTCAACAAGGCGTCGCCGAACTGCTTGGTCGGGTGATGTAGGCTATAGCAAAGACCACGGTCGTGGCGATAGAGAGATGAAAGGTATACGCTATGGCACCAAAGTTACGATTGAAGGCTTGCACTATGACGTATCTGAAGCTGAGCTGCATGATTTGCTAGTGCAAGTAGGTCCGGTAGCAAAAGGACCTCTCCTTCAGGTACGTTCCACGCTGTGGTCAGGGATTCATGTCTAATACGATTTAAGTATGACGCTTCTGGCCGGTCCACGGGGCGTGCATCTGTATGGTATGAGAACGAGGCTGATGCACACACGGCACACAACGAGTTTGACGGTGCACAGGCAAAAGGTGAAACAATCATAGTTACCGTGGGCGATACGAGACCGCTACCCGATTCTCGTGGTGCACAACATCAGCAACAACGTCCGCGCCGAACCTTATCCTTGGCTGATCGCCTTGCTTTGCGACGAGAGCCATGTACGGAAGGGCGCATGCAAAAAAGCGACAATGCACGCCGTCGGACTAATAAGCGAGCATCACGCGCATCTATCTCAGCGGCAGAGCTGGATGCAGAGCTTGATGCATTTATGAAAGCGCCGGCGCAAGAGCCGAACGACACAGGTGCTGACTCTATGGTGACAGATCCATAAAGCATTTGACATTTGCAATGCATAGCAGAGACAACGAAATTAAAAAGCTTCTTCCATAGCTTCTTCTCGATCACGGCGCTTTTTCACCAGGCCATCTGGACCTTCGTCAGCACATTGGCACAACGAGCATGAAGACGTACACTCTCGTGACACATGTGTCGTATTGACCCAGCCGTCCTGAGGGAACAAGTCGGCAATCTGGATAAGTAGAAGGCCTTGTATACGTACGCGTTTGTAGATCGCCTTACGGGCATTGATCTCGCTGTATGAGTCGGGCGAGTTCTCCAGTTTCCTTGACATTAGTGATTCACAGGGCCTCAGCTATTGCCACCGACGAGAAACGTACAACTTCTCATTCCGGATTTCGCTCATGGCATTCTCCACTGTCACTATTGTAAACAATGTGTCACGCATGTCATCCGACCAGCGGAACCGCTTCACTAGATCGTCAGCCTCTGGCTGTATTATGCTAGTCCGTGACTCATCAGGTGCCGCCTCCGTGTCATCATCGGCGCCATGGTCAGTGTTATCCTTCCCTTCGACGCCTCGTTCTCGACATAACGCCTCGTATTCCGCTGCTTGTGAAGGAAAATGCACTTCTATTAGCTGCGAAAGCTTCTCGATATGCTCCTCCTGCAATTCCTTAAAATACGCCATGTGCTTGTGAAAGAATTCACGCTTCGTCAGCTTCATCATGGTGAAACGATTGTATGGAAAGATAGATGGAAGGTAGTTGAAAAAGTTCTCATTATACTCGTCCAATTCAACTGCAACCTTAGCGGTCTCAATCAATGGTGGCTTGAGCTCTGGAGGAAATTTGGTCTTGACCGCAAAACTAGCCTTGCTAACTAATGCTTTAAGTTGATCGAACATGGCTTGCAGTTGCGGATGTACTGGTCTTTTTGGGTACTTGTCTTTCTTCTTGTCGATTATATCAGTCGATGAGGCAAGTCCAGGCGCACAAACTGAAGCCGAGGGCGAGGCCGAAGACAAAGACGAAGAGGGTGCTGTTAGAGACATGGCGGAGGATCCCCCTGCTAGAGGCGCTGCTGAAGACGAACTGGCTACAGGACCAGGAGCAGGACCCGACGTCAACGAAGCTGCAGATCCTGACCTTGTCTCTGGTCCCAGTGAGGCCGTAGTGCTGTCGGAAATTTCACCCGGCACACCCTGTCTAGCATTCTGGCTCGGCTGCTGCGACTGTGGCTGTGGTTGCTGATCATGTCGAGGTTGTTGCTGTTGCGAACGAGATGCAGCACGTTTTGCCAAGAGCTTGTTCGTGCGCCCAGCAGCCCATCCACGGCCCAGGCTGGCTCCGAAACTTGAGCGAAACGAGGAGGCAGATCGGGATGACGGAACTGAGCTAGACTTGGCTCGTGCCAACTCTACAGGGCCTCGGGCCACGTAGAAACCATCAGCTCGTGTACGTACAATGTGCGTAGGCTCATCAACACCGAGCTCTGAGTCATCAACGAATGGATCCTTTGTGTCGTAAGAGCCGACGTCATATTCGTCCACTCGTCTTTTTCTTGCAGGTTGTGAGGATGAGGTTGCCGACGGATATTTGTGCAAAAGCTTTGCGAGTCCACCAAGATCGTGGAGCTCCTGTGCTGATAAGCCGACCTCGTGCGATGCGGAAACGTGGCTCTGATCCAAATAAGTCGTCTTGTACCACGCAGTCCACTCAGGATGTTGGTCCTGTAGCTGGTCCACGGCCAAATTTGGGATCTGGAAGATATAGTCGCTTTTGCTTGTAGGTTTATGTGTAAGCGCCAATTCCAGACGGATTGTCGGTCGTGCTGGTGGTGGTGTTGGAGCAGGTTCAACGGGACTAGGGCTCCGCGCTCGTTTACGACTTGGTTGCTGTGCCGATTTAGATGTAGCCGTCTGCTTTGGTTCAATCTCGTGATGATGGGCTTGATGCTGAGGCAAAGAAATGCGAGATAAAGGCGACTTATCAGAAGACTGTATTTTGTTCGCTGGCGCATTCTCTTTCGCATCTTCAGACGCAGTTGATGCTGCTTCACTGACGACCGTAGGTGAAATACGCTTTTTTGGTTTGTCGTGAGAGGGCGCGTCGATCTGCATAGAATGTGTCGTGCCTGAAGCTGATGAAGTAGCATCCGAAGGGCGGTACGGCACCAAAGATCCAGGAGATGGCTCAGTCTCCTTGCTAGTGTTCTCGTTCGAGACTGACGCTCCTTGTAGACTTCGTGACGCTGACGCCGACGTAGTCGCGATTTGTGCCATATCTTTTTGTGTCGGACTAATATCAGAACAAGTCGTCGTGTCTTTACAGCGTTGAGGGGAGGTGAGTGGCTGAGTTGTTGACACTGCAGGGGGGGTTGACGGAGCTTTGTCCATGCCTAAAGCACGTTCCTGGATCCCGCTTGTCGTCTCTTCCCTGAGCGAAGCAGCGGAATCACCACTCGTACCATCTTTTTGTACACTTGAACCCTCTTGCAACTTGTCCATTTGGTCTTGGCGGCTCGTGCCGTGGGAACGCTGAGCCTGAGGTCGAGGCTCAGCCCCAGCTATATGCTGCCGCTAGCTGTGGAGCTATTCGTCCGTTAGTAGGATCCATGCATGTGTCAAGAACAGATTCTATTAGTCATCGTCAAATTGAAGATTCGACAGTGTAGCTTGGGGTGTCTCCCCACGGCTTGGGTCCCGATATGTGGATAGATACCTTGGTCGCGATAGAATATGTCGTAATCGATATTAGGAATTATGGCCCGAAGAAAATTCGTGTATCAGCGACGGTAGTCATACCGAACGAATAGGGGCATCATGGATTACGTCACATGTGCTAGCTGTTGATCAGGACCAAGTCCTCATTCTCGCTCTTGAGCTCGCACAAGAAGAAATGAGCGCGTTTGGACATGTCTTGATCGTTGGTGCAGGTATTTTTGGGGCATCAACCGCGTTAGAATTAGCGAGACTAGGTCATCGCGTTACCATTGTTGACCGTTCACAAGACGGATACGCGTGTGAGAATGCGTCGTCGCATGACCTTAACAAGATCGTCCGTTCTGACTATATGGATGCGCATTACCGCGATCTAGGGAAGAAAGCGATTGAACTATGGCGCTCGCACCCACTGTACGCGCCTTATTTTCATGAAGTAGGAATTTTCTTTTACTCTGGCGTGCCTGCCTCGAACGAAGAACCTTGGCTACGAAACGGGGTAGAAAATGCTATCAAGCCAATTCAGGGCGCCTATGAATTTGGCAATCATACTGAACGGCCCATGGCACGCACTATCAAGTCGCCTCTTGAGGCTATGCACGTGTTTCCTGAGCGATTGCGCCCCCACCTAGGCGAGGCACTCACTTCCTTTGATAAGCAGGTCGGGTACTTAAATCCGCAGGCCGGCTGGGTCGAGGCGCGCAATGCAACTTTTGCCGTGCTGGATGAAGCGAAGCGGCTAGGTGTCGAGGTTGTGTCCGATGCTACGATCGTTGAGCTGGTGTTCGCGTCATCGTCGTCCTCCTCCAGCTCGACACAGGCAAAACCACGTGTCTGTGGAGCTGTGACTTCAAACGGACGAACAATACATGCTGACCGAGTCGTACTTGCGGCTGGGTGCTGGACACCGTCTCTGCTCGAGACGCTGCATGTACCACTGAAGAAGCCAATCCTTAGGCCATCCGCTCACTGCGTGTTGACCCTCAAGATTCAACCAGACGTGGCGCGCCTTTTCCATGGCTCACCAGTGACGTTCAACATGGACACAGGCATGTACACTTTCGAGCCGAATCCAGACGGGATCTTGAAGTGTGCGATTCACGGACTGGGCTCTTCTTCGCCTGATCCACGCGATTCCACTACACCAGCGTTCCCTCATGCAAACACGAATCCGCATGTGTCTCAGATGCTGAAGCATATTCAAGCCATGTTCCCTGTGTTGCAAATGGACGGACCAAATAAAAACATGGACGTCTATTATACTCGCTTTTGTTGGTACTGTGACACGGCGGATGAAAATTTCTTGATTGACTTTCACCCCGATGTTGATAATCTTCTTGTGGCCTCGGGCGACTCAGGACATGCGCTCAAATTCCTACCGCTTATGGGCCGACTGATAACTTCGAAACTTTTACACATCGAAAACGATTCAGCACTCGCACCGGACATGGGTTTGTCGGCATACCAGCGTCGCGTCTTTTCATTTGAGCACCACATGCACGCCGACAAGACTGTGAACACGAGTATGCCCATAGATTACATTCGAATCAGCGGCATTCCCCCAGCTCATGTACCTCAACCAAAGTTGTAGTTGATATAACCAGAAAAAGTTTTGCGAAGTCAGCGGCCGCTTCCTGGCAACATCCAACCGAGCAATGGAGCCAGAACGCAAAGACAAGGGCGCAGTCCTCACTCAAGTTGATAGTTGCTGGAATTCGTCCAGCGTTTCAGACAGCTGAGCGCGTGGTGCTCGGGTGCGCTTGATGCTTGCAAATGTTCCCGTTGATGAATTCTTCGGTTGCTGCTGTGTTCGCAACGTGCTTAGTGCATCATCCAGCTCAGCACGCGCTTCATCATCGCGAATCTTTGATACGTGCCGGTATTTGCTTAAGCGTGCGGCTTGTGATGAAGAAGAAGACGACGAGCGTAATTTCCTTGTATCTTTTTTGACATGCTTCGATTTCTGGACGCGACTCATCACTAACCTGTGCCACTCAAGTACAAACAGAGAAAATCAACCTTGAACGCACCAGAAGTGCCGAGTCCTTCACACGCGACGTGGAGCAGCGAGTTGCTGGCAAAAAGTAAAATTACCAAAAAAAAATGACATCTATGTGAGAATTCTGCTGCATAAAGCATTTGTTCAATGACGATACCAAGCTATGGAATGTGTCATTTTGACTGGCAATTGGAAGAACCACTCCTCACTTCAGACTCCTTCGCTTCTTAGTCGATCCAAGCTTTAACAGGAGTGGTACATCATGGCATAGATGATATATGCATGCTATTGACACAGAAGCAACACATGGCACGCGTCAGCGTGGAAGCCATAGAGCGAAAAGAGGAGTCATTCTATTTACGTACAGAAAAACGTACGGCAAGCCACTTTACAATTTGTGGTCTTTGGGGAAGAATCGGAATGCCTGGCGGATACCCAAATCAGCAAGCACCTCTTCTGTGCCACCCAGTACGGCGTCGTACTTGTAGCCACGGTTGTAGTTTTCGATCTTTCTGCCCATGCCGGTACGTGTCAGACCACGACCACCCATGATTTGCACAGCACTATCAGCTGTCTCATGGCTCACACGGGTCGACCACGCCTTGAGCAAAGCAATAGGACCAGCAAGGAATCGCGCTTGTTGCTTGTACGACATCTTATTCATTTGGAGCGTAATCTGTTCCAGGTACGCTTGCGCAGCTTCGGCCTGTGCAATGAGAAACGCAAGCTTCTGCCGCACAACCGGCTGTGACGTGAGCGGACGACCGAACACCTTGCGCTGATGGATCCATTTCATCAAGATTTCACATATGCCACGAACGCCGCGCACGGTTCCACAAACCATGACCCAACGTTCATGGTTGAAGTTTGAGAGCACGATTGGAATACCCATGCCATCCTGACCGATGAGGTTCTTTGCTGGCACCTTGATGTTATTGAACATGACAAAAGCCGTGCCAGCTGTTGGCGAGTAGGAAGTGTGAATCAGGCGCGTCTCGACACCGAGCTCACGAGGAATCAGAATCACACCGAAGCCTTCATCTGTGCGCACGGCCGTTGTGAAGTAGTCAGCAAAGTTGCCATTGGTGATCCACTTCTTCGTTCCATTCACAATGTAGTGCTGGCCATCCTCCGTCTTTCGCGCATACGTTCGCAGACCCATGACATCGCTTCCAGCGAATGCCTCCGTCACAGCAAGCGCAATAAACTTCTCACCCCTGAAAACAGGCTCGACAATGTCTTTCTTCATTTCATCGGAGCCGAAGTTCAGAACCGGCGGAAGACCGATCACCATACCACCTTGCAAAGCGTCCATAAACCCACGGCATCCACAGCGCGAAAGCTCCTGAGTAATGATCATTTCATGGAAGTAGTCGAACTCCTCCGGCTTGATGTCTGCGAAAAGTTTCCGTCCGGCCAGGTGTTTGCCTGGTCCCAGACGCATGGGATTCAAGCCATTCGCACCCATGCGCTTAACGAGATCCACGTCTGGGCGCTCTCCAGTTGCTTCGCACTTTTCAGCCACTGGCATAACGTATTTGTCGGTAAACTCACGCATCTCGCGAGCTAACCGACGATGAGAGTCCGAGTAGTACGGCGAAGCAAACGGCTCGACCAGCCATGTTGGCTCTGCGTATGGAACCTTGGAGAAGTCACCAGGCTTTGGATACTGGAGAGTGTCAGTCTATTCACAATTTCATATGGGGAAACTCCCCGCCTCCCTCTTCTCTCCTCACGTACATGCACTTGAGGTTGCTGGTCCTCGACCTGACCGATTACAAGTTTCTTTGTGCTTTCGCGCGTTAGCACTTCAATCGAATGTAGACCACTAGAAGCATCGTGAGTTAGAACAGTTTCTGAACCATGTGCATGAAGGAACATACAAGAATGTCTCTGTAGCATCCTGGCCAGCAATGTCCTCCATCAGGAGTACAGCTGGACCCCCGGGGTGTGCGTCCATAAAGTCGCTCAAGTCGTACACGTAGGAGTCGATGATGATCCACAGATCACCTTCCTTGTTATGCTACATACATTAGTCCTTGTCAAAAGCATTCCTCCGTACCTTAGCCACTTCCTCGCGCGACAAACGCTTCAGTTCCTGGGTCATGGTTGGAGTTAATGATCACGGTGAGTCCCCCCACGTTTTGGAAATCTTATGGAGCAGAAGCAGGCTGGACTATTTAACCGAACCAAGTTGCACGTATTACGTGATTGGCTAACAGGCCGGCCGTCCACAGTCCGGTGTCGCCGGCGACGGACCGGGGGTGGATGATTGGGTCCCAAAGAATCGTTCCACAATTCACAACTGTGTGGAGGAAAGCAGCCTTGTCTCCGCATGCACACTGAAGGAAAATGAGCTCGAGATGCAGGGACAGAAGTCGCCAAATCCGATTGCAGGTCACCGCTGGCCAGCTTCATGGGAAGTCTGCTATGGGGCTTCTGACGATCCTACAAAAGAACAAATGTAGGTTAATACTGGGTGAAGGAATGCTCACACGCACATAGACAAGGATCGTGAAGTGCGACTTCTGTTCCTTGGCCTAGATAATGCTGGGAAAACAACCACACTCAAACACTTGCTGGGAGAACCCATAGACACTATCAGTCCAACATTTGGATTTTCTATCCGCACGTTTGTGCGTCATTCGTGAGTTTTCTCTATATCTGCACGAGACTGCGCGTGATACTAACGTTTTGGTGCACGGACATTTCTAGATTCACTGTGAACATTTGTTTGTATGCTCAACATGCACTAACGTGATGCAGGGGATGTTGGTGGACAACGCACACTGCGGCCTTATTGGCGCAATTACTTCGAAAAAACAGATGGAATTGTTTGGGTTGTCGATAGTTGTGATGCGGTTCGGATGCAAGACTGTCGCGCGGAGTTGTGGGCACTTCTTGGCGAAGAGGTATGTGTCTTGAGAGAGCATTTTTTTGCTTTTGCACATGCATATATGAGTACTAATGCGCGGTCATAGCGCCTAGCCGGAGCCAGCATATTGATTCTTGCTAACAAGCAAGACCTTCCCGGCGCTCTACCACCGGAAGAGATTCGAAAGGTTCGTTGAGCACACGGCGTTCAGTCAGATGGTACCTAACACTGGCCAATTTTTTTTCGCACATATGTTCCAGCTTCTGAGTCTCCATGATATTGCTACACACTCGTGGCGCATTCAATCAACCAGTGCCTATACCGGAGAAAATTTATTCGATGCATTTGACTGGCTCTTAGAGGACATCCGCGCCCGTCTATATTATCATCATAGAGAAGACACGAAAGTGTGACTTGACACTCCAGATGTGGAGCACGACAATCAGATTCACGCTAGAAATTTGACTGGCTAGACGACTGACGTTCGTTGGAGGGGCGTCGTTGCGGACTTGCCACGATAAAGTCATCCCTTAGATCATCCCAACCAGCTCATTAACGTTGGTTTTGCTGGGCAAGAGTCGTGTGGTCGTGTGCATGGATTTTAGCTAGTAGGCGGCAGTGAGAACATACAGCACTTATGCTAGCCACTTGAACATGACGATCCGTGCGGTACTTATTTTTAACAATTATGGACGAACAAGATTAACCAAGTTTTATTCTCATCTCCCTACAGACCGACAACAAGCTTTAATCCAGCTGATATTCCAGATCGTCAGTCGACGTGATGAAACTTCCATGTGCAATTTTTTGGATGCACCAGAACTTACTCCGTTTCTTCCCCCGACGACTGAGAATGCATGGACCAAAGTGAAGGACCCAACTTTACCGAATCGTGATGTAGATGGGGAAAATGCCAGCATAAATGATGACGCCGAGCTAGACCCTTGGCTAGATTATATGGACGAAAAAGCACCGAAACCTGAACAGAATCTAGCTCGAAGGTGGCGACCAGACGATGAACTTCGCGTGATCTATCGTCATTATGCAACGCTCTATTTTGTTCTTGTGGTTGACCAGAGTGAAAATGAATTGGGGATTTTGGACTTGATTCAAGTACTGGTTGAAGCTTTAGACCAGTCATTCGAGAATGTTTGTGAATTGGACTTGATCTTCCACTTCGACGAAGTACATGCGATAGTGGATCAAATCGTACAAGGTGGCCTTGTCCTCGAAACCAATCTCAGTCAGATTGTCTCAGCCGCCCAATCGGTTCAACAAGCGCGTGCATCATCAACCAACGCAGGCACACCTAGTACAGGTGCATCGCCTTCGCACAGCGCATCATCAACGTACTTACCCATGGCTTGGGGTCCTTTGTCTTTCAGCGCTTTGGCTGAACAGAGCTCTGACGCGCTAGGTGTAATCCAACAGTTTGGCTCCCAGTATTGGCAAGCCATCCAATCCAACTCTTCGCGCCCCTCACCGATGCGTTCGCGGTTTCTGTAACTTATGATAGTCCCACAGTCAATTTGCTCATGGGACCAAATGCCCTGTTTTTGCTACCTACACCATTCGCGACATCACTGACAGACGCACGTCTGCTGTGCGACCGTTCGCAAGGTTAAAGGGGCCGTCACGATTTCTACTCACGCACACTTCGCACCCGCACCTTCTGTGAAAACCAACACAACAACCTAGAATGTAGTAGCGTGGATATTTTATCAAAAGAGAAAAAAAAAAAGAACAACAAAATTCATTCAACAAAGGGAAGTCATAGCCGACCGGCGTCTATGACATCAACTGAACTGAATACGTAATGAAACAAAATGATGCTTAAAAATAAACGCAAGCCGTTACGTGTACTCGGACTCTTCCATCGAGACACGAGACTTTTGAGCCAGCGCGAACATAAGAAAAAGGTTAGCTGAAAGTCCGCGAAAGACAATGCGCTCCGTGGCAAAGTAAAGTGAACCTAGACACACGCATTTACACCGTGAAATCATCACCAATCCGTTACACAAAATCCCAAGTTCCAATTGCAAGCTCGGACCTGAGCCTTGCACCCATAACAAATGATACCCTTAAAGAAGCTCGAAGTCAACGCCGGTCAGGATGCCCTGTTCGAGCCCAGCAAAGTGACGGAACAGTCCCTTTGTTCCGTCAAAGTGGCCGAACTGGCAGTCCTCACAGTAGTCACGCACAGTTGCCTCCAGGTGCTTGCCTTGGTAGTGCAGGCGAACCTTTTGGTTGCACGAGCCGTATCCGCCATCCTTAGCGACAGCCACAATCAAGTCGTCGTCGCCTGGGCGTGGACCACCGCAGGCTGGGGAATCTAGCATGCCACCGGCGTACCAAGTAAGCTTACCGCTTCCGCGCTTCTTGATACCATTTTCCAAATTCACACGAGCCTTGGCTTCGTGTGCACGCTCAGCCGGCGCTGCCGTGACAGCGCATGCGGCGAGAAGGGATGCAAGAGAAAACACCACAGAGAACTTCATTTTAGTGTGTTGTAAGAAACTTGAGGAGAATGTGTCTTGAGTGTGTTGAGGAGTCGGTCACGACCAGTCGTGATGAGCAGGTGTGGGGTGATGGAAGGGTGCGTTTGGAGCGCTACAGGAGAAGATAGAAAGGGAGGTATAGATCCGTTCTGTTAGCGCTCGTGTGCCTTTTTTATCCGCGTATCGCTTAGCCCCCCAAACATCCACTACGCCGAGGCAAAATGCCTCCAGTTCGAAGAAACCAATTTGCCGTCGCGCGTAGAACACTAGACATCCATCCACATGGTGTAGACGCCAATCAGAGAGCGGTGCCTTTTTAGGGTAGTCAACTCAATTCTAACAGCGCATGCCTATCAAACCATACATAGTGACATGCCAAAAAAATTATGCATGCCTTAAGTGTGTGCCACGTGGTAAGTAAACATGGACAAGCCGTGGCTGTGACGCCAGACTCCATCAATTCTATGTTTGTTGAACTAGAGACCAACATCGCCGCAGTCCCGTACCCATAGATGCAGCCTCAACCTCATGTGCTGTCCTCCACTGTTGTGTGTGGCCATCCATTTCTGCGCCGTTGTTGGTCGATGAACATGTTCCTTGCCCTTCAACAGTGACATCCACAAGTAGCACATGCATGTGCCAATGAAGGTGACTGAATTCGTGTCGCACAAAGCCTAATGGCTGGATATGATCGACTTGTAAACGAGCAGTTATAGTAACATGCTTGTTGTCACTGGGATCTGGCGCAGACTTAGCAGCGGGTGGTCGTAGTGACGCCACAAATGATAAAGCTTGTTGTTTGTATACTTCGATGTCACCCTGCGTGTGATTCACGCGATTGTCGCAATAGTCTCCTTCCCCTTCTTTTGCATTGTCAGTACTTTGGTCACCAGGCGGAGAGACAACCACTGTAGGAAACTCCCAGAGCTTGGCCAGCAAGCCTGTGTCAGGGCGTTGATGGAGCAGAAAGACTGGCGTGGCACTTGATAGGGACGTTGTGCGAACGATGCACACGACGCGCGATTCGACACGCGGTGCCTGCTTGGCGGCACGCATCGGGAATAGCTGTATGTACTTTGCACGCAACAAAGCCGACGATGAAGAAAGGGTTGCGTCACTTTCACGGCTCCTGTCGAGCTTGTCGTCCGCTGGACAGCCCCAGAGTGTAGTTTGAGTGAGCGCCCGTTTCGGTGTTGATTTGGGGCTTGACTTCAGTTTCGATTTAGTGCTGCGTGGATTTTTTGTCGGTGCAACTTGCGGATCTGTCGCACTGTTCGGCGAGTCAGCCGGATCTGGGACAGCTTGGCACCAAGAGCATGTGTCCTCGATATCAGAGGGATCTGATCGCATCGTGGTCGATTGTGCAACAGGGGAAGAAACCGGCGCGCGCTCATACAGAATGCTTTCGGCATACACGGCGCACGTTGACTGGATAGGGCAAGTGTCGCACGCAGGCCGCGTAGGAGTGCACAGTGTGCTTCCAAGCTCCATGAGGCCCTGGTTCCATCGGCCGGGCACGTCGCTCCGGTGGTTCGGAGCCACATGCTCGACGAGCATGCGAGCCATATACCACAGGAGATCATTCGTACTTTTCGAGCGCGGATCGGCATACAGGCCTGTCTGTCGGCTCAGCACGCGAGCAACATTTCCGTCGAGAATCGGCACAGCATGTCCAAACACGATGGAGGAGATAGCACCGGCCGTGTAAGGACCGACACCGGGGATCTTTTCGCAGAGCTCATGTGCGTACTCGGGCCATTGCCCTTTCATGCTAGGGTCGTGCATGATCTTTTGAGCAGCTTCGTGAATGCGCCGCGCCCTTCCATAGTAGCCAAGACCACGCCATGCTGCGAGTACGTCGTCGACCGAGGCATCTGCAAGTGCGTCGATACTGGGCCACGCCTCGATCCATTTGAGCCAGTAGCTGCGCGCAGTCTCTACACGCGTCTGCTGGAGCATGATCTCTGAGATCCAAACTTCGTAGGCGCGTCGTTGGATTTGTTCCTGCACGATATTGTGCGCGCTTCGATGTGTGCCTGTCTCGTGGGCCCGCGCACGTTTGACGCGCGTAGACTCTGGTGCATCTTCATTTGGATCAATCCAAGCTTGGCGCCATGGCATCAATCGATCATGCTGCTTGTGATCAAACCAAGCTAGGAGGCGTTGTACGGCGTCAGGTTGATCGAGCAAATACGGACGGTGGTACGATGGTCCATGCATGCGGGGAAGGGGTTGTGCAGCTTGAACAGCTGAATCCGCAGCTCGACGGTCATGTAATGCGGACCATGGCAATGTTGGCGACTGTCTTGCTCGTGTCGCCGTTACGCGTGACGGTGCCATGTCCGCATTCTTTTCAAGGTTCGCACCAACTCACCTTGGCCTACCTACCTACCAGACCTCGTGGGCCAGTCGCAGATGACACACGCTGATAGGTAGGCACGTGTGGAGGTGAACATGCGTGACGCGTGCCTAGTCACATGCAGACATGTTTGCATACCGCGTGAGTGCAGCGCAAGATTAGCTGTGTGTGTGCGCGCAACGGCCGTTGTGTGTCCGAGAAAGTCATGTCGGTCGTGGCGTGCGTGCCTCTAGTGAAGGCACGTTCCGGCGCATCATGGCTTGAAAACTTGCATGTAATAGCTTGAAGCCAAGTACATCATCATGTGGCGTCCATGTATGGGTAGCCTGTGTTTGGGCATGTATGGACGTGTGTGAATAGGGATACGTGAGGGTGTGGTGCTCTATTCCTGCATCGTATGTACCTCTATAGCTATGATGTGAATTGGTTAGTATGCGTCACAGCCATGACACGATGTGTGTCCGTGTAGGCGAATTTACGTCATGGCTATCATGTGTTGTTGTCTGTGGCGTTGAAAGAAGCGCAGTGCCTCTTACCTAACAAAGAATTCGACGTTGCCGCTAGTCTCATGAGCGTTCCCATGTAGGCTAATGCGCACGGTACGCAGTTCCGCGCGATAGAGTGGATGTGTAAATGTATGTTAGTGTGGAGGGTTGCTCTCATTCAGGCTAATTCTGGGTGGGGTGTGAATGTACGGCCATCCAAGATGCGCAAAATGTGGCCACATTTCGACCATAGTGGACATTGCACGACTTCACCGCGATGCCGCCACGCCAGACGGCCGCACGCAAAAACCCTGCTCCAGACACAGATACCCCTCTTCGCCTGCGCACACGCCCACTTGTCAATGCGGACGGCAGCATGAATGTGGTGCGCCAAGATGATGATGCTAGTAATAGCGGCTTGCTCGACTTGGCACCCACCATGCTACGCTTGCACACGCCTGTGCTTGGCGGCGACGACAATAGCAGCCATGGCCATGCAGCAGTAGCAGCAGAAACGGCAGCACCAGCGTGTGTACATACACCTGTCCTTGACGGGGATACTGTGCGAATGCCACCTCCGTTGCAGGGAAAGCAGCGGGCACGAAAAGTGTCCAAGAACGACGCGCCATGGAACCGGACGCGCCCGACGCGATCATCCACAAGCAACGTGTCGATATCGTCAGACGAATCGCACGGCAGTGTCATTGTGCACGACACTCACCAGGCGCAAGTACGTGGGCGGGAGTGGGACGCGGAGCCGTTTGCGATGCCAGTGCCGACGGCGACGTCGTCAAACCACGTGTCGTCACAGCCGACAGCATCGGCATCAGCATCGGCATCAGCGTCGGCATCAGCGTCGGCATCGTCATCCCATACGCTGCCAGCGCGACTTCGCCGCTGGATGCACGATGCCATGAAGCAGCATCTGTACGAGACGGCCATCTTCTGGGGACAACAAGTGGTTGCACTCGAGACATCAGAAGCCGCCTACAACGACGCGTACTGGCTAGCACAGGCATACTTTCTCACGCACCAATATGAGCGCGCAGAACAACTTCTCACTACGCCATTGCGCTGCGGTGCTTTTCCGCTCAAGCCCAACATGAGGGGGGAAACACCCGTTGGCACGCGTGGCGATGCTTTGCTCGCAGCGCTTGCAGCGACACGCGCCTCGAGCGAGCTGCCGCTATCGATGCAGGCACGTCGACGACATGCTGATACGTATGCGAGTGTATCCGACACACCGGCTGGTGCAGACGACGACGAAGCCCACGTTGATCGTTCGCTGGACGGCGCGACTGACAGCGTGCGAGGTACACGCGCACACGTCGCGTCCAGCACAGGCACAAATACATCGCGTCGACGGAAGCGCTCTGTATCACCCAGTGATCCATTCCAGGCGCCGCATGGGTTGCATAGGTCCGTGGACGAGGAGTTTACGCAGCTCGTGGTGCGACAAGACGAGGACGAAAGCCAGGGGCCATGCCTTGTAAATTGGAGTTCGCCGTGCCGATACTTAGCGGCGCAATGCCAAGTCCGTATCGGCAAGCTGCACGAGGCACTGGAACTGACGGGTGAGGATCACACTCGGTGGACGGGACGTGCATCGGCCAAGACACCCGCGCTGGACGGTGGACTGAAACTCGGGTCGAGCGTGTGTCATTTGCGCGGACAAATCTACCTGCGCCTAGACGAGCCAGGCAAAGCGAAAGAGGCATTTATGTTGGCCCTCGCCCTGGACGTGAAGAACTACGACAGTTTCTCTGCACTGATTCACGGAAGTCTACTGGGCTCGGATGAGCAGTGGGGCTTTGTGCAGGCGCTGGAGTACACAGCGCAAGCAGGCACCGAGCGCGACGCACAGGACGACATGGAGTGGGTGCGACTCATGTACACGTCGCAGCTATCGCAGCGGACGCCATTGCACGCGACGCAAGCCGCTCTCGCACGGCAAAAAATGGTGGCTCGGTATGCCCGCATGCGTGCCCAGCCGCCCGTGCTCCAGAGTCTTGCAGAGAGTCTGTGGCAGGCGATGCGCTATGAAGATGCCTACGCCGTCACACAGCATATCCTGGCACTGGACCCTGGGTTTTTCCTGGCATTGCCAATCCACACGGCCTGCATGTACTACCTTCCCAGGCTCCGCCCGGCTCTCTTTTTGCTTGCGCACAAGCTGACCGAGGCGCACCCAGACACCTGTGAGGCCTGGTACGCCGTCGGCATCTGGTACGCGTCGGCGAAGCGCTGGAGCGATGCACGCCGCTACTTCAGCAAAGCATCACTGCTGGACCCCCGGTTCGTGCCGTCGTGGATCGCATTTGGCCACAGTTTTGCGCTAGAGGGCGAATCGGACCAGGCCATCACGGCGTACTCGACGGCGGCCCGCAAGTTTCCGCAGGCCGGGCTCCCACGCCTGTTTATTGGCATGGAACACCTCGCACAGGGCAACCGCAGCCTCGCACAGCTGTTTCTCCAGAGTGCCGCCGAGGAACTCGTGAACGATCCCCTCTGTGCGAACGAGCGGGGCGTTGCACTCTTCCAGGGCGGCCAGATCGATGAGGCACTGTCTCTTTTCCGCCAGGCCATCCAAGCGGCGTCCGAGACACAGCATCCCGCGTCAGCTTGGTCAGCCGTGCATCTGAATCTCGGTCTGGCATACCGGCGACTGCACTGTGACAATGAAGCGCGCGAATGTTTCTTGCACGTCATTGAACTAGATGCGTCCTGTGCGCCTGCTTACATTGCACTCGGCATGTGCGCGCACCGGCAAGGCGACTTAGCCGACGCCGTCGGTTGGTACCATGAGGGACTGGGCATCGACCCACGCGACCCTATCGGCACAGACTTGCTTGCGATGGCACTTGACGCACGCGCCGCGCAGGGTCTTCCACAAGCTCTGTGCATGCCATCTATAGCGTCCTCGTCCATGGCCGCTGACGAGACGAGCGCGTCAATGGACGAGTCGTCCGTGGGTCTGGCGCCTGCCTAAAGCCGACACTGCGACGCGTCACGCACCCAAGTATGCCTTGAGTGGACGCATGTCCAGGCCAAGTGTCGCTTCGCGTGGCGCCTCGGGCGCAGGTCTGCTCAAGTACTGCTGCAGTTCAACCAGGCGGTCGTTCGGCAGGGGCGACGGCCGCGGGTGCACGGTCAGTAGGGTTAGAATGACTTGCACAGCCTTCTCCATGTAATCATCGTCATCACACACAAGGGTGCCTGCACAGATAGCCGCGGTATGTCTTGTTGATGTGGCGGACGATGCATCAGCTCCTGGCCGCGGCACGATCGAGTCAAGCAACGTGGATACAATGCCAGTATCTACCAGGAGTTGCGCGACGGCTGGATAGTCCGAATCATGACGCATGGTCGCTGGCGTCTCGTCCACAGGCGCAGGCAAATGCAACGACGCCGTCGGCAGATCCTTAGCAGCGACAGGGCCAGTCGTATGCTTAGCTTCCTGGGCATCGCGCGCCTGAAGTAGCAGCTGGTTCAGAAGGAACGCCACTTTGCGTCGCACGCCTAGACTCGGGACGTGTACAAGGAGCGCCTGCAGTTTGGACCACCCGTGAAGCGAGGTAAACTGCTGCACAGCTGCCGGATAATGCTTCAACATAGCGCTCAGTGCATATACAGCCTTGCTACACAACGCTTCTTTCGACACATCGTCAAGGAGCGCAAGTATGCGGGGCAGTGCATTTTTCGATAGGGCCACTGCCTGCGCCTTGTCATTGTTCTGCACGGCTGTACCAACGACCCACGCGGCTGCGACTAGGATCCGGTTCGTCTGATGCTACGTGCGGCTCCAGCAGCGACAGCACAGGTGGCCACATGCCCAGCGGCTCCATATTATTCGCATTGTCGACCTGCTCAACAAGCATTTCAAAGTTATCGAGCGCCGTACAGCGATCTTCCACAGTCCTTGCCGCATTCACAGCGACACTCAGCTCCTCTTGCATCATTTGCGCCTCGCTCTTACCCATAATGGCGTCATATAGACCTGGGTCCGTCAGGTCCGGTCGTCGCCCGGCTGCAACATCGGCCGCTACTTGCGTCAAGGACGATGTGCCATCTTCATTCATGGGCGCATTTCGTAGTCCCCACTTTAGCAACTCGTCAGCTGTTCGGTTGGACATGGTTCTGTGTGTCTCTGTGCGTATATGTCTTGGGCACAAATATCTACAATCCAGCGCGACGCGCGTCGAGTCCGTGTGTTTTTGTACGTACTCTCAACTGGCGCCGTACTAGGCCCCGTACCAAGCTGGAAATTTCACGCGCCTTCGCATGGGTTCTCCTGTCACGTGACACAACAACATGTGGAGGAGAAGGCTTTGTCCTAATTAGGGAGGTTGGTAAGGGAGGTGTGTGTTTTTTTTTGCGTAATACACAGGTCGAACGAATCTGCATCCATCCACCGAACCAACAACAATGGTATGTATTCGAAAATATGAATGTTCTTCTGGCAGAAGTCATGCTATTAGGGGCTGGACTCACATGTATCAGGGATCTTGCTTCTCTTCGCTCGGCGGCGGTAACAAGGACAAGTCTCTGAACCGCACAGAAACTAGCCGTGGTAATGAGCTTCATCGCACGACCTCTTCATACCAAGGCTCGGTGGCCGATGGTATGCGCTACTCGGACAACCACAGGGCGCAGGACCGTGAACATCTGACCGCCTCCCAAGCGTACAAGTCAAAGACGCTAGAGGAGCGGATCAAGCAAGCCGAGCGTGAGAACCGCTCTCGCATGTAAATGACAACACCGCTTACTATCACTAGCTGCGAGGTTGAGGCGAGTTGACACGCCACCGCCATACGACAGACATAATTGCATGGTGCATAAAATCCGTTCTCAGGGACATACTGTACGCTTTCGTGTATGCTCTTGCCCTGCATTCGCTGCGTTCGGATGCATGGAGGCCCGTCTTTTTCTCTCTCTTCACTTCAAGTAGCTAGCTCAAGATTAGCAAATCATCTAGTTCTATGCTAAGCGTTGAGTGCTTCCATACGTTTGAGATCTGCCTATTGTTATATGGGATACTGTTTGCAAGCGGGTCTACTCAATATACGCTGAGTGCTGCCAACCATACTCTGCCTTGCAGTGCTGATCTCAGTGTATGTGCTCGACAAGAATTGCGATAATCGGTTTCCGCTCTTTTAGTTGAGGCGCCAGGCAGAGGTGTTCTGTTCGTACAATCAGGTATCACTCACGCTATTTTTCGATAATTTCCCAAGTCTATGCCCCTAGTGAGTGATTATGCGCGAAAATATGCGCAACTCTGCGCCAAACTATAGCCTTGTGACAAAAGTTCCCGAAGCGCATTCTTTCGTGCCGAAAGTTAATGCGTCGTCTCAAATGTCTGCTGCTTCTGACTAACTCAACAACAGCTGATGTGAACGTGTCATATTACGTTTTGATTGGCGATTTTATCGAGCGTCTTTGGGTCTGTAGCGAATCAAAAGAACACATTATTGACGAGACAAGATCATATCAAAATGTTGTCAGGCTCAATGTTCCGCACGTGGTAGGGTTGTACCTAACCCGGCGTACATATCCAAGCACATCAACGAGGAGAAGCGTCTTTTTTCACATTATCTGTATTTGACTCCTCCCTTCTTTTGGCGGGACGAATTTCAAGCCGTCGGCTGTCGGTGCACCTCAACAGGTGACTAGTCTTCGTCTCTTCCATCATTATTATTCCCGGTGCCTTTGGATCTGCCCGTGCACGCGATCCATCAGCGCACTTTGCCCAACACGTTCGACTGTACCGCTTCGTGATCGGGTGCGTATTTATGCGGACGTAAGAAGATATCAACCTTTCATTTCCCTGCATTGTGTCTCTACTGTAACTTGTGTCATTTCTGTCTGTTTTTCTGTGTACCTTTTATGGTCACACTGTCTTTTCTTGCTGTTGTTGAATAAAGCAGTTGTTTACGTGCAGACACCATGGCCGTTTCTGGCCTTGACAGGCATGTTCTAGAATCCAACTCTACAGCAGACGTCGCCAGATATGATCTTCACCATACACATGAAAGCAAAGAACTCCCCCCTTTACTATCCGCGGGCGTTCCAATCCAGCGTTCTTCGAGCCAAGTGGCCAGACCACTATGGCATCATCAAATGAAAAAGCCGCGCCTATCCGACCCTACTGGCGCAAATACATCTACATCTGTGGAAGCCGCGCCCTCAATGCGATCGGCTTCGACAAATGTGCCGCTTTCCGATGCTAGCGCAAATACGTCAGCAACAGCTTGTACCATCGATGATCCCGTGGCTGGCTCATGCCCAGGCCATGGTCTGTGCAATGGAACGGGTGGATCATCTGAGTGCTCCGGATGCCCCACATACAACAACGTGAAGGCTGAAGTTGTGGAAGCACCAACATCTTCCTCATATACGGACTCGTCCTTGCCGACGCCGTCGTCCACGTCCAGTAAGACCTTGGCCGATGCCAAGTCGGGACCTATTGAGGCTTTGCGATGCACGAATTGCCAAACCACGACAACACCACTCTGGCGCCGAGATGAGGATGGAAATAACATTTGCAATGCTTGTGGGCTGTATCATAAACTCCACGGAACTCACCGACCCATCGGCATGCGCAAAACAGTCATTAAGCGCCGAAAGCGACTCATGGGCTCAGGCTCGTCTTCGAACCAGCTTCAGGCTCAACAACAGAAGCAGGCGTCATTGCAGAACAGCAAGCCCATGTCTCATGCCAAGTGTTCAGATGCCGAGGCGCCTGTACGTCCTGAGCGCGAACGAGAGGCGGCCATGGTGCTCATGGAAGTGGGCTCGTCACGATGGCCGCGTGCTCCGAGCATGTCGCCGCCGCGCTCTAGTGATGAGGCAGTGGAATGGCCGTATGCCCCATCGCACGAGGTCCCTCTGTCCACCCATTCGGCCCGGCCGTTCCCGCCAATGACGTATGCACCACGGGTCTCGTTCGGTTCGCGCTTCAAAGAGCTGGAACGTCTCCGTGATGAGCTTTACATGGAAAGAACGCGAATCAATGAGCTTCTGGAGCACACGGAGCAAACGCTTTTGGAATGGCGTCATTCGCGCTTCAATGTCATGAACTACACTTCTCCATACTCGGTTCCCAGCCTCCACACCTCGGCGTTGGAGGAGGCACCTCGCCGTCCTCGTATACCTTACAGTCCTGCGGCGCGCGCCATGGATCATGGTGCCGATGATGTACCAGAAATATCACGACTTACGCCTCCCCCACCGTCATGGCGCGCTTGTGAGCGAATGGTATGACATGTCTTTACGCGATACCCCATCGTTATGCAAAAGGAGCATGGGCAGGGAAAGTTCCGGTTATTTTGATTTGATTATCTTGCCCTATGCTTGTTGACTCTTGATCAAACCTCACCAATTTGTTTGACGTTCGATCCCATAGATTCCATCTTTCTCTCTTCTCCATTTCATCTTATTGCGAGCATTCTATAGCGACATTTTATCTACACGATTACGCAAGTTGCCCAGGTCCTTCTCCAAGCCTGATACATGCTTTTCGATATGAGATTGTTCGTTGTGTAATCGTTGGAATGTATCACGCATTGTCGACCATGGAGGCGGCGGTGCTGTGCTGCTTTCGGGAACACTTGCCATCCCCTGCCGCCCTTGTCGATACAATCCACTCAAGCCTAGGGTCGATTGCATTCGTCGAGTTATCGGGGGCCGTTTCGAAAGACATGTGCGACGTCCGAACGCGTCTTCCGACTCGTTTCGCAGAGTGCGTGGTGCACGTCGGTATTCTGAAAGCATACGATGACTGTCCATGGACGTGCGTGTCGGAGCAGCAACAGATTCTTTCGCCGGTGCTGATGGTGTAGGAAGGACATAGTTGTCTTCTTCCAAGCGCATGTACTCCGTGCGGAAGTCCCGCACAGACGCGCTCCCACGAAGTGTTCGTAGAGTGTGTCCTCGGGGTGGCGATGCCTCATTCATGGACCCCACTGGCATAAGCGACATGCTGCGAGCTGCACGTGTCGGCGTCGAGGTGACTTGAGCGTCGAGGAGAAGCTGTCGCGTGCTGCGCTTGTGGCGCAGATCGCCACGGGTATCATCACACGACGCACGCCGTGCTTCCATCAGTGATGAGTGACTTCGAAGGATTTGAGAGGAGGGGCTTGAGTCTGAGGACGATGCATTTGAATCTGGTGATGAGAATGGCGGCGGTCGATGTAGAGGTCCCGGCCCAGCGTTTGCACCTAGTGCAGGACCAAGGGCTATGCCGGCGGATGCAGACGTCTGGTTCGGTCCAAGGTGGGATGATGAGGAGGAGGAAGAAGGAGGTGCAGGTGAGGGGGACGACAAAGCGACCGGAGGCGCCAGTGGTGATGGGATCGATGTGGGCGATTCCTCGTCAAATACATGCCGCAGTGACGTGGGTCTTTGCATGCTGGGCTTACGTGCACTGCGCTCAACAGCGCGCATAAGTTCGGACCATGCCTGTCGCTCCGAGACATTTCGTTTCCATGTACTTCCGCCCGAATGACGAGAATCGGCGCCCATCGTGTCTGCCATTACGGCCGCTGGTGTACGCGGTGTTTGCTTCATGCGCGGCGGAGGTGGAAAAGGGTACGGGGAATGCGGGGGTGCCGCTAGCATCGATGCTTGCTCATTGGCAGGTCGGAATGGCGTATGCATGTCTTGTCGCGTTAGGTATGCGCGCTCCAACGCGGTTCGCTGCAGGGACGATGAGGCATCAGGCGACAAGGCAATCGCAGGGGTTAATGGTGTAGGCTTGGATTTGCCGAAGGGGGTCGATGCTGCTGGTGGTGATGCCACGGGTTTTGGCGAAGGTGCATGGAATGCGTCAGGGTTGGGTACAAAGCTAAATGCACAAAAGTGGGTATCGATGTCTGTGCAGGCTGACATGCTCAATGGCGAGGGCGGAGGACCTGGGACACCCTCAGACGGCGAAGCCAGCGGAACTGGGGATGACGACGTCGGTAGTTGAGAGGGTGTTGGTGGCGTTGGTGGCATTGGCGAAGGAATATGCAGATCGGCGCCCCAAGAAGCATCGATCGATTGGCCTTCAAGCGAATCAAAAGCGGGGAATTGGTCCAGAGGACCCTGGAACATAGCAGAAAAGCTGGGAGGTGTATCCATCGTAAGCGAATCCCATCCAACACCTGCAGGACTATGCAAAATGCTCATTTGCACGTCGGGGTCTTGCTGCAACTCGGGTACAAACGGAGGTGGAAGCTCCGTGACATTGTCCCATGCCACATTATGAAAGACGCGGTGGGCCTGAACGTCGGCGGTGCACCGGCGGCCAAGTCGGTGCTCTTCGGTACAGATGAAGACACGTATGAGAGAAGCCAGGTCGGGTGAACAAGGCACATCTTCGCTCATAGAGAAATAGTCTTCGTGGTGCGTAATGCGCTCGTACACATCGGCGGCTTGAGAAGCCCAGAAGGGCAACGTGCCAAACAACATTTCATACAGCACGACTCCCAAGCTCCACCAGTCAACAGCAGGGCCATAGCCACCGGGTATCATGGTGTCTGGCTGCCATTCTCCGGATCGGCTGGACGGTGAGGCGCTGTTGTCTGCGGGAGAAGGCCACTCGCGCTGAATGCGGGTCTGCTCGCAAAGCAGTATCTCTGGTGCGATATAGTCGCATGTGCCCGCGGGTCGTTGGGTGTAATAAGCTAGCACGCGGCGCTCACCAAGCTCATGGAAATAGGCGTACGGTGCGCAAGTGGCAAAATCACACAGCTTGAGACGGCCACTCTTGTCCAAGAGGAAATTGGACGGCTTAATATCTCTGTGGACGAAGTGCAATGAATGAAGCCAGCCCACCGCAGAGACCATGTCGACAGCATAGCGCACAACCCAAGCTTCTTGCAGGAGACCACGCTCGCTCTTGCCTGGATACCCGGGTCCAGCCTGCGCGGCTGCTTGAAGGAGTGAGTCGAGATCACCTGCAGGAAAGTACTCCATTAACAAATGCAGAGAACGAGCACTTTGGAAAGCGGCATGCAGCCGCGGTGTCCAAATGATGTCATCGCTACTGCTGTGTCCCTCAGCAAGGAGCTGACTCTCATAGACGGGCGAAAATCGATAGGCTTCTCGACGCGCAACGCCCTTGAGTGTGCTTTTCAGCACATAAAGTTTTCGATCCAATCGGCAACGAACGATCTCTACCATACCAGAGGCTCCATGCTGTAATGTACATTGTGATGAAAAGTCGCCTGGATGAAGCGACGCTCGGAGCACGTCGTCTAGACGCGCACGAGCACGGCCTCGAACACGTTCAATGGAAAGCACACGTGATGGCGATGGCGATATAGCTGTTTGTGATCCTGGGGTGCTCCATAGCAAGGCAAGTGCACAATCAAGTTCATGGCCCATGCGGCATTCTTCGCGAAGACGATGTCGAAGCTGCGACAACAACACACGCACAAATGCCGCGTGCCGAGCGGTGTACACGGCTAGGGGCGATACGGCAGCCATGAGTTCGGAGGTATGTAGGGAAGCACTGATTCTCGCATGTCGTACGTCCCATGGCTCTGTTTTATCTGTTGCATCCAACTTACTGCTGAGGCCCAACATGCTACCAAAGCCCCATGTGTCACACTTCCACGTCCACACACAGGCACACAGGCACAGACACAAACACGCCGCACGCTTTCAAACGCGTTGGGCGATCGCCACAAGACCAACACCCATGTATCACGTGATCCACCAGGCTGACGAGGGCGGGGTGGCCTGGTCGCATTTACGCTCGTTAGCAGTCGAATAACCAACCGCGCGACTCACGCAAGCAAACTAGTAGTAGGAGGGGACACAAGGGCCGGCAGAGAGCCAGCGGAGAAAAACGCCACTTTCAAAGAGATTCCAACTGAACCCGTCCTGTGTTCAGGCTTCGTGCGATCGCGATATTCGTTGGGAGGCGATACAAGCGCGTTTAATAGCAAAGCACACTTAGCTATGTCGTCCGGAGCACCGCGCCGCGTTGGCGCACGTCACCACAAACTCCGTGCGCCACGTACACATGGCCTTTCCGTGTCTGTGGATGAAATGTGGTCGCGTCTATCATCGGCCATCGCACAGATTCAACACCACAACATATCCAAGCTGAGCTATGAGGAACATTATCGCTATGCATACAACTTGATTCTCGTACGTATGTGGTGACACCGCCGGCACTGACACCTTTTTTTTTTTTTTTTTTGCTTTGCCTTGCAGAATCAACAGGGTGACATGCTTTATGGAGGCGTACGTCGTCAGGTACATGAACATCTCGTACACCAGAGTGATCAGCGGCTCGTGCCGCTATTTCTATTGTCTACCGAAGATGCTGTTGCTGTGACTGAAGCGCTCTCGAGCAAAGGAAAGCGTCGTGAGGATGCGGCACGAGAGGAAGCACGCGTATTTGCATGGCTTCCTGGCCAAGCTGACGAGCTCTTGCCCTCTATTCCGGCAGGTGAGCGCTTCCTTGGCGCTGTCACCGACGTGTGGGAGGACCATTGCTCGTGCATGAGCAAAATTCGCGATGTACTCAAGTATGTTGATCGCGTGTATGTCCCCAACCATCATCGTGCTCCGATCTGGGACCTGGGTCTTGAGCTATTTCGTGACTCGGTCGTGCGGTCAGCGCGCGTGCCATGTCGTGCGAACTTGATCGTTGCCATGCTTCGTCAGGTGTACTGTGAGCGCGAGGGCGCAACGGTAGAGCGACGGACGATGAAGGCCGCTGCCGATATGCTGCTTTCTCTGTCGCATGATGCCCATTCTAGCGTGTACGCACAGGACTTTGAACCTGTCTTCCTTGCAACGACGTCGCAGTACTATGCGGCAGAAGCTGCACGGCTCCTGAGCGTTCAGCAGGCTACATACTATCTGCAGGCTGTGGAGCGGCGCTTTGCCGACGAGCGTGTGCGGGTCGAAGCATGTTTCAGCCCCGCGACTCTTGCGCCTCTGAAGGATCTTGTTGAACGACATCTGTTATCAGAGCAATTAGATGCCATCCTGGACATGGAAGACGGTGGTCTTGTGTCGTTGTTGGATGCAGATGCACGTGCCGATATTGAACGCATGTACCGCTTGTTCCGTCTCGTGCCACCTGGTCTGGATGCGTTGAACAAGGTGCTTCGAATGTATGTGACGAACCGAGGCAAGACGATCAACGAGACAACGCTGGCCGGTCAGGATGGCGCACCAAGTGCTGAGGTTGCGCTGTCGTGGGTAAATCAAGTGCTTGATGCCAAGAACCGGCTCGATGGCATTCTTCATACGAGTTTCCACAGCGACAAGAGCTGTGAGGCTGCTATTAACGAGGCGATGGACGCCTTTATCAACATGAACGTGCGTGCGCCCGAATACATCTCGTTGTTCATCGATGAGCACCTGCGCAAAGGCACGCGTGCAGCCGATGATACCACACTCGAGCAGATGCTCGATAAAACCATCACTATCTTCAGGTACATCCACGAAAAGGACGTGTTTGAGCGCTACTATAAAATGCACCTGACCCGGCGTCTTTTGCACAACCGCAGCGTGTCTGATGACGCTGAGCGCAGCATGATTGCTAAGCTGAAAGTCGAGTGTGGACATGGCTATGTGCAGAAGCTGCAGGGCATGCTGAATGACATGAAGCTAAGTGAGGAGGTCCTGGCCGCTTTCCACCGTGCGCAGGAGCGCGAGCAGCGGCAACTTCCTTTGCAAATGAACGTGCATGTACTTACAGCGACGTACTGGCCCATTTCGTCACCAACAGAGCCATGCACGCTGCCTCCTGCCTTGTTGGAGGCGTGTGAGTCGTTTGAAAAATTTTACGGCACGAGGCATCGTGGCCGCGTCTTGACATGGCAGCCGACGCTGGGGACTGCGGAGGTGCGTGTGCGCTTCAAAACACGCACGCATGAGCTGGTCGTCTCGACGTACGCGCTCATGGTGCTTCTGCTTTTTGAGCACAGCGATACTCTTTCATACCGAGACATTCGTGCAGCTACACGAATGCCCGATGTCGACCTACAGCGCACATTGCAGAGTCTAGCTTGTGCGAAGTACAAGGTGCTTCAGAAAGAACCCAAGGGTCGCGATGTGCATGAAACTGACTTGTTCTCGTTCCATGCAGACTTTACTTGTCCACTAGCGCGCGTGAAGATCGCTCAGATCGCGGCGAAAGTGGAATCGCCTCAAGAGCGCAAGGAAACCACCGCTAAAGTCGAGGAAGAACGCAAGAACCAAGTTGAGGTGCGTGTGTCTGTCCACCAGCGCGTCCGCGCGTGTTTTTCTATTATTTCGTCTTGCTCACACCTCATTTGTCTTGGCTTTTCTCTATATACAGGCCTGTATTGTACGGATTATGAAAAGTCGGAAAACGCTGGCACACAACGACCTCGTTCACGAGGTCGTGCACCAGCTTCTGCCGCGTTTTCAGCCGTCGCCCGCGCTGATCAAGAAACGCATTGAATCACTTTTAGATCGAGGTTCGTACATGCGGCTCTCTCTCCATGAAGCCTTTATCCGATTCGCTTGCATACTGACACGCACACACACGCCAGAATATATCGAGGTATGCTACATCGCCAACCCGCAGCCCTATCGTGTCCTACAATGTTTCGTCCTTATCACTAACCTCACACCGACTTTAGCGAACCGAAGCGCGTCATGTATATCAATATGTAGCTTAACTGTCGACGAAAAAAATTACGTGCCTAACGACCCGCCTCGCACTAGCCGCGCTTGGGCCAGTCAGGTCTTGTGCAGTCATTGCGCTGTGTCAGCTGCCAATAGTCCGCCGTGCATGAAGAATGTGCGCGTGAGGCTCAGACATTGCTATGCGTCACGTGGTCACACGCGTCGTCGTAGCCATTTGTGTGTTGTTTGGCCAATCCGAGCGTCGGGCGCGTGCGACAACGACGCGCTTGTGTGGAGTGGCAAAAGTGGAATGGCACGAAGTCCAGTTGTCGAACGCGCCGTCAAGTTTCAAGGCAAATTAGGTCGTGCGCTTCTGGGAACTTGGGTCATTCCATTACAGCCAGCGGCTTCGTGTCTTGTTCTCTCTGCCCACCCGTTGGCTGCCGTCCTTGTTTCACACGTCTCATCGTCACCTCAATATCACTCACCCATTCTTCTCTCTAGCGCGCGCACACACACTCGCATCCGCCGATGACGGTCGTGAGCGACCATCATTTGGACTCACACCCAGCAGAAGACCAGAATGGGAGGACTGCATCGCTCGTGACGGCCCCTACCTCGTCGGGCCAAGCACCATCGTCTTCCGACAATGCTGACGATTTTCTCGCTCGGGCGCAGGCGCTGGGTCTTAGGCTCAGTCGCTCTGACTACGAACGCACACGAGCTGGCGTGACAGCTTTTTTGAAAGCCGAGCGATTACCGCCTGCATCTCCATACAAGTCAGAGACGTCCGATGATAGGGCTTCTGGCTCTATTGAGCATGAGCATGCGCGCGATGTGGCACCGCAACTCGCTCGATGGTTGCGTACCACAAGTGGACAGCTGAGCTTCTTCACGGCTGTCGTGCATCCTACTCAGACAACGCAAACTAGTGATGAGCACCGCACCAGACTGAGTCTCGACGAAGTCGGTAGTGCAGAAGAGAAGCGCCGTCGTCGAATGCGGCGTCGTCGCTTGCTTGAAAAGCATATGCTTCAGGAAAGCGGTGCTCGGTCGCCCTCTGGCTCTGCCTCCATATCGGGATCAGGCACAGCGCCCGTTCCCATCGCTGGATCTTCCGACGATTCTGCGTCCAGATCAAGAACTGGCTCTCCACAGAGGCCAGCTCGTGCAGGCTCGTCGTTCAGTCACGCACAACAGCACGCACACCAGCACCAGCACCAGCACGAGCCCCCTGTCTCACTGACCACCCAGCCGCTTGGACCTTCTCTGAACGAAGATGGTCCGCGTGTGTCACCACCTGGCAGTCCGGATGTGAAAATTCTAAACCGCATAGCTCGCGTTGATCCTGCTGGAAAGCTGTGGCTTGCACCTCAAGATCCGTCTCATGAACTTTTGAGCGAAGACTCATCTACACATGCGTTTGACGAGCAGCAGAGTGTAGCTGATACGTCTGATGATACTTCATCCCATGCTATGCACAGTGGGGGGCAGCGCTCTTTCTCGCGCACGTCATCTGGTACGACAGAGCAGTTGAATGCGTGCATGAAGAATATGAGTTTGTTGGACCGGATTATGATGAGCAAGACCAGTCCACGTCGTATGCGACGCGAAGCCAAAGCTCGCGAGCGGGAACGTACACAACATGAAGCTATCGCGGAAGCTAGTGGCGGTAATCCAGGCGTATCAAATGTGCCAGGATCGCACGAAGTAGAGCCGGCTCCCGACACCAGTCTGTCCAGCTGGGCCGACGTGTCGACATTGGATTCTCCTCCCTCCAAGTTACCGTGTACATCTGAGCCGCATCTTATTGCTCCGACACCAACTACATCAGCTGTAGCATCCCGAGTGTCGCATGCGCGGCATACAAGTCTTTCATCGTCCTCTTCGTCGTCGCTTCGTCGCTCGCACCATCATTTACAGACGCCTTCGCATGATCATCGATACGCCAGGGCAGACGCTCTTTGTGAAATGTCGCCCGTCGTCTCCTTGACGCCTCTCTCTCGTTTCGATCCCGGCACACAAATCACTCCCATGCGATACTCACCTGGCGGTGGCGTTGACTACTCATACTCTCGCTCGACGCTTGCATTTTCTCCGCATATGCTCACGCCTTGGACGCACCAAGGTCGTCTCATGTCCAATGCAGGCTTGTCGAATGTACCAAGCTCTCCATTCGTTTCAGGTGAATGGAGTTCCGCACAACCCATGATGTCATCGTCTACAGCTACTCTCCGTGGCAACTTTGCCTTCTCGTCGACACCGCTGTCGCATCTGCCCTCACATGATCCAGATCTTAGTGTGCCTTTCGCGTCGTCTCCCTCGCGCCTGCAGTGTATCGAGTCATTCCCTGGTCGTTCGCCGCAAGGGCGCGACATGATGATCTCACCGACAAGAAAGGCCCTCGTGTTGAGTCCTTTGGCCAGTAAGGGCCATTCTCGTCCTGCTTCGCGCTCCCCATTGGCCCGCAGGGCCAGTCCCACGACTCCCATACCAGCTGCGAGCAGTTTGTCCCCTCTATGGAGGCAGCTGTCTTCTATGGATGAGCGCTCACCGCGTCGGCGTACAGACACGATCCGTCCCACTGATGTTTTTAGCTCAGCAGTGCCTTCTATGGCACAATCGTCTGAGCCCTCCGGATCATCGCCCGCCATCGTCTCAACAAGCACCCCTGTCAAGGCCCCACTCGAACGTTCCAGGTCGTCTCAGGCTGGAATCGGAGCCGTAGTGACAGCCACAGTGCAAGCATCACAGACGTCCGAGGCATCGGACGCTTCCTTCCCTCATAATGAATCCCCCAAAGCTGGCTCCGATGATGTGGCGGATATATCGCAGGCTTCAGCCTCATCTCCTGAACTGCGTACGCGGCATGGCCTTCCTCGAGTACGACTTCCTCGGAGGAAGAGTGCTAGTTCTCGCTCGTCTACCGCTGCTTCGTCCATGACACCGATGCATAGTGACGACGTATTTGCGAAAGATCGCACACCCATGGAAGCTTCATTCAATGACGTGTTCTATGAAGCTGTCTCAACATCTGACCCCAGTAAGACAGAATGGGACCTGCCTGATGGTCGACGAATCGTCAAGCTCGTGTCCGAAGAATTGCAAGCTGCGCTGGACTCTGGGTCACTCAAGCAAGAGCCTAAGCCGCGCTACTTTTGCTTGCCGCCTGGTTATGGCAAGTCGAGAACAAAGCCGTCGTCGGTATCGTATGCAGGGCTTATTGGCCAAGCAATTCTGTCATCGTCGGATGGACGTCTCAGTCTTGCGGAGATTTACTTGTGGATCAGCTCTGTGTACCCGTATTATGAGCGCGGCGACCGTGGATGGCAAAACAGTATTCGGCATAATCTAAGTCTGAATAAAAGTTTCGTAAAGCTTGAGCGTGAACTGACCATGCCTGGTAAGGGTGGCTGGTGGGCTATTCAGCCTGGTCATGAACACAGATTCCAGCAAGGAATGTATCTTGCACATGGAGGCCGATTGGACACGGCCCCGACCCGCTCGTTCCGGCCCAGTCCTTCTGTTACTCTGTCAGACATGGTGGAGGACAGCAACCGAAAGAAGCGTCTGCCATTGGCACCCTGTGACACGAATGTAATGTCGTCAACCAATACTAGAGACACGCCTAGACTTCCGACGGTGAAGCGACCCAAAACGGCACGTCCAACGAAATTTATTCCCACACGCTCGGGTGCGGAAGCTCAGCAACAGATGCAACAACAGCCGCAGCAGCAACGCTCGGCTTCCGAGACCTCTTTTGTCATGCGAGATGGCATGCATACGCCTCTCGCTACGAGTCCCGCAAATGAAAAGCTTGATGCGGATAGTTTCGATACATCTACGTCACGCTCGTTGCTCGCTACGCCGGGCAATCCAGCTGCAACGGCCCCTCTGATGTCTGTTTCGCATGCGTTCCGATCCAGTCCGTCCATGCAGATCCGTCACGCACCTATGGCGCCGCCAATGCCACTCATGGGAATGCCTACTGTCTCTAATGCGCCAAACGATCTGTATGCTCGCACGTTTACAAACATGCCCGATTGTGGAATGATGTACATGAATCAAGAGATGCCCTACGGCGAGTATCCTGTCCCTATGACGTCGTCACCTCAGAAACAAGCTCACTTTCATCCTACTACCCTAAGTCAGCCGCCACCTATGACTCCGATGCACATGCACAGTATGCAACCACCTTTCACTCATCTTCAAGCTCATGTCCCCGTTGTTCCCGCTGGCTACACCCGGTACGTGCCTGACCAAGGTGGTGGTGGCATTCCATCATCATGGCCGGACGCCTTGCAAATGGGTTTGAAAGGTGACGCAACTTGGTAATGATACACTGTGTATATGTACCTCACTATCTTTGGCTTTCCCCTAATACACCATTGATGAACATTGTAGAGCCTAGTGCCTATATAGTCTGAAAGAATTGACATGTCGCAACGAGGGAGAGTGGTATGTGGTCCGTGCGGTATATGTGGATGGGACTGATGCCCGTGCTTTTTGGCTATTGGCCCAACGTCAATCTAAAATTCCGACCGGCGCCCCGCGGTCAGCTGGTGGGATTTCACAGCCTGGGCTACTGGCATCTTCAGCCTTTCTGTTCTCACACTCCCTGCAGTAGTAGACTATGAGCCAGGCTGCAAGATTCGGCGCGAGACATATTACCCGTGGCATTGGTCGCATGTCACAGCATGTTCTGAAGTCAGGCAGAGGCGCGTTTGTTATGACAGATGAGGGCAAGCGGCTTCTTGACATGACATCGTACGTCGAAGTATCATGATGCTGATTTATGTCCAGAGGTATTGGTGTGGTGAATCTTGGACATTGCCATCCAGCAGTAACAAAAGCGGCACAAGAACAATGTGCCACGATCACACATGCCCAGGTAAACATTGGCTACAGTGTTGCGCAACTTGACCTTGTCAAAGAGCTTCTGACTATCATGCCACACCCGTCACTCGATACGTTTTTCCTCTGGAACTCTGGTTCTGAGGCCGTTGAGGCTGCCATCAAGGTAGCTCGTATGGTCACAGGTCGACCTAATCTCATTGTCGTTCAAGGTACGTTTTCAAGAGATGCACGACGGGATAACTCACCTCATTTTCTTTCGCTCCCAATCAGGCTCATACCATGGTCGCACGAATGCAACTGCTTCTATGACACGTAGCAAGACCGTGTACAGTGAGGGGGTGAGCCCTTTCATGCCCGGGGTCTACACGACGGATTTCCCGTATTACGCTCACATGTTCAAGCCAGTGAACACACCGACTGACGAGCTTGTGGACTTTTGTCTGAAGCGTCTTGAGCTTATGCTTAAGCAAGAAACATCGCCTCGTGACACAGCTGCTTTTATTCTGGAGCCTGTGCTGGGAGAGGGTGGCTATGTTCCTGCGCCATCGGCATATCTGCACGGTTTGCGGTCCATTTGTGATAAGCATGGCATCATGCTTGTCGCCGACGAAGTCCAGTCCGGATTTGGCCGCACTGGCAAGATGTTTGCAGTGGAACACTCGGGAGTGCGACCGGATATGATGACATTTGCCAAGGGTCTTGCCAATGGATACCCTTTGAGTGGCCTGGTTGCTAGCAAGGCTGTCATGGATGTGATGCCACCAGGCTCGATGGGTGGCACGTATGCGGGCAATGCTGTAGCTTGCGCTGCTTCTCGCGCTACCATTGAGACATTCAGGAGGGAGCGCGTGCTGGAAAATGTGGCTGCTCGAAGTGAGCAGCTGATGAAAGCCCTAACAAACATGCGGCAACAGCCCTTTGGCCATGTCATTGAGGATATTCGGGGCTTGGGGTTGATGATAGGTGTGCAGTTCCAATCGAACTCGTCCGAGCCGATTGCGCCTAGGCTGTCGCAGGCATGCTTGAAGCGTGGCATGCTATTGATGAGCACAAGCTCATTTGATGTGATACGCTGGATTCCTCCACTCACGGTGTCGGAGGAGGAGTTGGCACAAGCAGTCGAGATTTTCCAAGCGTCTCTGGAGGAAGTTGTGTCGCAGCAGTCATAGACGATATAAATGAGAACTTACAAGGCTGACTGACTCGTTGAGGTAAAAATTTCGCGGGAATGAACATGCATTCTCCCTGAGCCACGTTAGCATATCGGATGAGCCATGGGTGTATGGCAAGCGTGTGTGTATATTGTGCGCCTGTGAGTTGTGCTTGGTGGGGGATTCAGCAACACATGCGCGCCCTCGATTAAGTGGAGGAGGATGAGCCCAGGTCCTCCTCGAGGCTAGAGGGCGGTTGGAAGGCGGACCAAAGTAGATGTTACTTTCCATTAGCTCGAATGACAGCGATTCATTGGCCCGCCTAGATATATGGCGCCAGGGATCTATGAGAATAGACTTTTGGACAGGACAAAGACATTAGTGTCGATCAGCCGGTGGGGGGGGGGGGATTGACACTGGTTGTCACGGCTTTGCACTATTCCTTAGCATCTGGACTGTCGACCAGGCCAAGCGCAGCTGGAAGAAAAGGACGAGACTCGCGTCGATCACGCATTTCAGTCGACAAAGGCCCCATTCACTGTTCTCTAACGTCGCGTATCGCTGCTATATACGTGTGATGCTGTGGCTGCTCCTGACCATTGTCTGGGCACTGGCGAATGCTGTATTAGGCATGGGACAACATGCTCGGATGGTCAAACATCACGAGAAATATAGTGCACAGGTGTCATCGGACGTGGTGTCTTCGTTAAAGCCCACGACAACTAAGAAGCTGGGCGCGCGATCGGTGCCGCAATCTACACTTTCACCTACTTCCCTCTTCATTCCATCTCTACCAGGGGATGAAAGTGCCAACGATCCAACATCCGTTTACTATTACGGCGAGGGGTTCATTTCTTATACGTCTGTGTATGCGCTCATCACTGGCAGGCCTAGTAAGGATGGCGGGCTGAAAACGAATTATATGTACCAAGGTCCCACAGAAATCAAGATCCCACACGTCATGCGCACAGCCGTCGTGGGTGATAAGACGCTTTCAGGCTTGTTTGATGTCGACTGCAGTGTCAAGACTGGAAAGAAGAGTGGCTGGCAGTGTCAATATGGATACGAAACGTCAGGCGCCACGTCGTCATACAGTGTTGTGCCCACGAATACCCAGCCCAATACATTTATCACACCTATCGTTGGAAAACTTGATCAAGCGCAGAAACAGTCTGCGGATGGCATCTCGGATGTTCCCTCGTTCTCAGATGGCAAAGTTGTGCATGTCCACCCATCGAATCGCGCCCAAAGGCTCACGTCTATATTCTCGACATTGCCATCGTCTTTCACCATTCCTTGTGTCTTGTTTAGTGCTGCTCTCGTCGCGCTGTGTGCGATGGTGCTATAATGTAATGAATTCTTGTAGATGATCAACGTACATACAAACACATTCAAGTTCAAATGAGCCAGGCACGCACGCGCATGCGTGTACTGATGCTCCTTGTTCTTGGCGCCACACACGATCCAAGACCATTGCCAGAAGCAGTGACGCTGGACGCTCATGTGACAATCTTTTTTGGTGGTGGGAACGACCTTTAAGTCTCTACACAAGTTTAGGTACTGCTGATCTCACAAAGCAGGTCATTTTGTGACAGGGAGTCGTTGAGCTTCACAGCCAGCCGAGACACCTTGCCATCGATAGGCGCTGACACGATGGTCTCCATCTTCATGGCACTCATGACGAACAACGCATCCCCGCGCTTCACTGCATCACCCTCTTTCACCTTGACGTCAACAACCACACCAGCCAGTGGCGAGCCGACACTACCGGGATCGGACGTAGCCTTGTCGTGGTGCACCTCTTCGACATCGGCACTGTGGTCTTTCACGCACACGCTGCGAGGACCGAAGTTGAGCTCGAACAGTACTTCACGCATACCTGTGGAGTCGTTCATAGGTCCGAGACCCAAGAGCTTCACAATAAGAACTTTGCCTTGTTCGATAGGGATATGCATTTCCTCACCGACCTTTGGCTTGCCCAGGAAGTAGCGTGTAGGCATGCGGCTGAGGTCACCGTGAGCATCGACAAAGTCCTGGAACTCTTCAAACACCTTCGGGTACATGGCCCAACTGACGGCATCGCAGTCCGACATCACACGACGGTATTTGACGGTAAGATCATCCTTGATCTTCTGGAAGTCCAGTGGAGGAAGTGACGCTCCTCGACGGCCATCAATACGCTCCTTGTTCCGGATAATATGCGAGCGCAGAGGCTCAGGGAAGCCACCAGGCGGTGTACCAAGGAAGCCCTGGAAGAACTCTATCACTGACACAGGGAAGTCAAGCTCCGACGCTTTCGCTTCCACATCCTTGGCCGACAGCTTGTTAGCTACCATGAACTGAGCCAGGTCACCCACGACCTTCGACGATGGTGTCACCTTCACAATGTCGCCACACAGCATATTTGCCTCCATGTAGGCATGCTTAATCTCACTCCATTGAGAGCCAAGACCCAGCTGCTGCGATTGGAACATGAGGTTGGTGTACTGGCCGCCAGGCATCTCGTGGTCGAATACGGACGAGTCTGAGGCCTTCACATTCTGCTCGAAGCATTGGTAAAGCTGGCGCACCTCACTCCAGTACAGATTGAGCCGCTGAATGTTTTCGTGAGAGATGCCGGTGCCCAGCTCCATCTGCTCAAGCGAGCTCACGACGGCTCCCATCGACGGCTGCGACGTCAGACCCGACATGCTGTCGACTGCAACGTCGACGACATCAGCCCCGGCCTCCGCACACGCCAGCATGCTGGAGACGGCAATGCCTGCCGTGTCGTGCGAGTGTACATGGATAGGCAAGTCCGGGTACTTGGCGCGAATGGCACCGACCAAGAGACGCGCAGCCACTGGCTTCAGCAGGCCTGCCATGTCTTTGATACCCAACACGTGCAGGTTGCCAGTGGCGACAAGCTCGTCGACAAGCTTCAAATAGTACTCAAGCGTGTACTTTGGATGGCGCGATGGGTCTGCGACGTCGCCCGTATAGCAGATGGTGCCCTCAACCACACCACCAGCAACCTTGGCAGCGTGCATACCGAGCTTGAGCGAATCCAGATTGTTGAGCGAGTCAAAGACACGGAAAATGTCCAGACCATTCTCCACGGCACGCTTGCTAAACTCGTAGATGGCATTGTCTGGGTACGACGTGTAGCCAACGGCATTCGCACCGCGAATCAGAGCCTGGAAGGGAATGTTTGGCACGAGTTCCCTCATCGCACGCAGACGCTCCCACGGGTCTTCGTACAGGAAGCGCATCGCTACATCGAATGTGGCACCACCCCAGCACTCCAGACTGTACGCATTGTGGAGCGCATGCGATGTCTCACGTGCAATGTTAAGAATATCAATCGTACGCAGTCGCGTCGCAAACAGACTTTGGTGTGCGTCGCGCCATGTCGTGTCCATGATTAGAGTGCCCTTGTAGGCCCGCACCTTCCTTGCGAAGGCTTCAGGACCTTCGTTGACAATGATGTTGCGCCAGCCTTGCAGCATGGGCTTGCTCGTGTCCACAGGCTTGCCATCCTTAAAGATGGTAGGACGGTGGGCCTCTCTCCATAGACCAGGCTCACCGACCTGGCCCTTGATGCTGCTGCCATTGACGTACAGATCGGCCAGGTACATCAGCAACTTCTGCGCACGATTCGCCGAGTGCCACAAGATGAAAAGCTCCGGCGTGTCGTCGATCATCGTCGTCCACGTTCGTGCCTCGACGAAGTAGTGGTGGCGAAGCAGACGCACCAAGTAAGGGATGTTGGTCTTCACGCCTCGGATTCGGAACTCGACAAGCGCGCGAATCATCTTGCGGCGAGCCATCTCGTACGTCGCGGCACGGCACGTCACCTTCACAAGCAGAGAGTCGAAGTGTGGCGTGATCTGAGCGCCCACGAAGCCAGAGCCGGCATCCAGTCGCACACCGGTACCACCTGCTGCACGGTACACCTGGATCCGGCCTGTGTCTGGCTGGAAGCCGGCTTCTGGATCCTCCGTTGTGATACGGCACTGGATCGCACAACCACGCACCGCCAATTTCTCTTGCGACAGACCAAGGTCCTTGAGTGTGGCTCCACTAGCAATTTGAATTTGGCTGCCAACAATATCCACGCCCGTGACCTCTTCGGTGATCGTGTGCTCCACCTGGAGACGTGGGTTGATCTCAATGAAGTAGTGCCGGTTTTGCTGGTCCACGAGGAACTCGGCTGTGCCAGCATTGCGGTACTGAGCTGTCCGCGCAATCTTGACGGCATCCTCAAGGATCGCCTGTCGTACACTGTCATCAAGCTGGGTTGCGGGGGCCACCTCGACGACCTTCTGGTGCCGGCGCTGCACGGAGCAGTCGCGCTCGAACAGATGAATACAGTTGCCCTGGCCATCGGAAAGGAGCTGGACCTCGATGTGGCGCGGCTTGTCAAGGAACCGCTCAATAAACACCGTCGGGTCACCAAATGCAGAACGCGCTTCCGACACGGCCCGCTCAAATGATGCTTGGAAGTCATTCATACTCCAAACGACTCGCATACCACGACCACCGCCGCCCATGGCAGCCTTGATAATCACAGGGAAACCGACTTCTTTGATGAATGGCTCCGCTGCCTCATAGCTTGAAATCGGGCCTGGTGTACCTGGCACAATCGGCACATTCGCAGCTCGCGCAAGATCACGGGCTTTCGTCTTGTCGCCCAAAGCATCGATGGTTTCTGGCCGTGGCCCAATGAATGCGATGCCCGCGTCTTCCACTTTCCGTGCAAATTCCGGGTTCTCCGCGAGAAATCCATATCCTGGATGAATCATATCGACCTCGTTCTCTTTTGCGATACGAATGATGTCGTCGATCGCGAGGTACGCTGCCACCGGCGCAAGGCCCTTGCCCACTTCATACGCAAAGTCGGCCTATTTCTGTTAGTGAACTGTATTGAAGTGAAGCATAGAAAGCTCCGCCTGACACACAGCTGGGCTTGGCTGCTACAATGCCCGTCTCTCATGGGTGCCATCGTCTTTGCCGAACATACCTTGTAGCGATGTCCACACATGCGGTCTTCATAACTGTAGATGGCCACAGTCTGCAAACCAAGCTCATGAGCCGTGCGGAATATACGAATTGCGATTTCCTGCAGAGTAAGTCTTTGCCCCGAAGCTAACGCGTACATACACCTCGATTGGCCACCATCAGACGACGGCAATTGATTCCCGACAGTTCGCGAAGATCATCGCGAAGGTGCTCGACAGAGGGAAACTCATGAGATACCACTTGCTCCTTATTAATTGACACTGCCATGCTACACCACGAGCACCGGGCGCGGACTCTACAGAACCAAGTGGTATGTGGTTGTGGATGCGTACGGATGGAACTGCTCGGGCTCGCACATGCACACTTCAACTGTGAAGCCCGGTACTCTGGTTCTGTGGAGGCGCACCTCTATGTCATTGGCCTTACGAGATGCTCAGCAAGTCAGTCTACCGCACGTAAGCCCTATATTTTGCCACCAATCTCTTATCGACACCTCTGATTTTTTGAATAATCAATCCTTATTCTAGTCCCGAAAATAGATCGACACTCCTTACATCGTCCATTCATGTAAAAGCTGCCTTTATTCACAAATGGTTCCACATCTTACTAGTTCTGGCACAGAAAGGGCCCCCCTACCTCAATCTATATAGTACAATTACACGCGAACCTGCTATTGAAAGAACATAATCAAGTGATAAGCCTTTCCGAACACTCGAATCCTAGCATCGACATGTCAACAACCGTACGAACATCCCGACGGGATCAAGCTCCCTCGGCACAATCACCTGATGAAAAGGAAAAAATTGCTGATTCGTTTAGATAACGAGTCAGACGGTGTGGTTCGTTTAGTTTGCGATAAGCAAAAATCTACGTCTCGGTAGGTACCTCAGTGACCGTAGAGTCTGTCCATGCAGAAAGATGGCGAACAACGAGTAGCATGGTGCGGACTTTTTATAGCTGCTGCCCCAACCTCACGTGCGCTGGCGGCCTCACGCCAAAATGGCCGTTCTCTCACGTGAGATTTTCGTACAACTTATAGTGAATCACATGACCTGTGACTGACCGCACTCCAGCCAGGCTATCCTCGGTGTGACGACGCCTTCTGCCCGCAGGCTAGACACATCTCCAACTCACCATGTCGCTCGCGCCTCCTGACCCTTCGCAAAACTTTGCTCACATTCTTCGGTATGTTGGAGCGGATGTAGCTGGTGTAACAGAGTACTAACGCTGGCAATTAGTTTGCTTAACACTAACGTGGATGGCAAGCGTAAGATTCAGTACGCCTTGACTGAAATCAAGGGTGTGGGTCGCCGTTATGCCAACATTGTGTGCAAGAAGGCCGATATTGATCTGACCAAGCGGTATGTATGCTTATGGGTGTTTCGTTACGCTTGCTGGCGATTGCGCTTCGGAGACTCGGCGTCAAAGGAGCAAGTCACCGGTCGTTTTCCGAAAGAGATGTGCTTTTCAACGGTACTCTCCAAAGCACATATGCACGCGCGCTCTGCGAAATGCCATTTGAAGAGTTGAGTTGTGCTGACACGATACAGTGCTGGTGAGCTAAACTCTGATGAGTTGGAGCGTATTGTCAACATTCTCCAGTCGCCACAGGAATTCAAGATTCCCACATGGTTCTTGAATCGGCAAAAGGACTTCACGACTGGCAAGGATGCGCAAGTCTTGTCGAACAACGTTGAGGCCAAGCTGCGTGATGACCTCGAGCGTTTGAAGAAGATCCGTGCCCACCGCGGTCTTCGTCACTACTGGGAGCTCCGTGCTCGTGGTCAACACACTCGTACGACGGGCCGTCGTGGTCGCACTGTGGCGAACAAGAAGAAGTAAAAGTCGAGTTAACTCGAAATCAAAAAGAAGAGGGTTTTGTACGCATGTTGCCGGACCCTTGCTGGGCGCCGCGCTGGCTATGTTATTTTGGAACAATGCTTGCTACTCGGCGTCTTGATACTGTTTTTCTTTGCGCTTGTATGTATGTTCAAGCTGCCTATTTACCCTATTTGGAGGGGATGCGCGTTTGATAGTCTTCTGCTTTATACGGGTGAATATATCCGATTCCTCTGGCATATGTGTTTGTGGATCTGTTCTTTTTGCGCGACAGTGAGTAGGCTTTTACATGTATGTCATTCGTGACCTGTTGATATCCATTCAGCGTGCAGCTGCTTGCTTTGCCAGTGTCTCTAATGACAAAGTCTATTCTCCCGCGCCAGTCTACATCGTGCGAAGATTGTGTGCGCTGGCAATTGGAGAAATCTATACTCGACAATTGATCTCTTCGGATTTTCTTTAGTCAGGGCTGCAGAGCGGCGTCTTTTTATCAACCATCTCCGTGGAGCCAGTAATATTTTTTGTAAGAATCGTCTTGGCCGCGCGACACCAGACGGATTCTGTGCATATTCACAGAAAAGCATAATTCGAATAATTCGTGACTCGTAAGACCATTAGAGACTTGCTCTATTGTGTCTTACACCTCGACCTACACCACTCTTTTCATCAGTATGAATAAGGAGCACGATACAGCTCAAATCTACATCGCACCTGACATGCCCATTCAGGAGGCGATGGAACCCGAGATAGATTACGAAGGTCTGGGGGGAAACTATCCTATTCATATCAACATGCTTGCTGGCTCGCTCGCAGGGATCACTGAGCATTCCGTTATGTTTCCTGTGGACCTTGTACGGACCCGCATGCAAGTATTGACAACCTCACCTTCCACATCATACACAGGCATCTTGAACGCATTCTCTCGTATCAGTTCTGCAGAAGGTTTTCGTGCACTTTGGAAAGGTGTTGCATCAGTTGTTCTGGGTGCAGGACCGGCTCATGCCCTATACTTTGGAACGTACGAATTTATGAAGGACGTCATGGGTGGCAATGAAGCTGGCTTCCAGTTTCTTAGTACGTCTGTCGCCGGTGCCTCTGCAACCATTGTCTCCGATGCATTCATGAATCCATTTGATGTGATCAAACAGCGGATGCAGCTCTTTGGAAGCTCGTACAGGTCCGTCGCTCATTGTGCTCGCTCGCTGTACCGTGCTGAAGGACTTCGTGCTTTCTATCTATCATATCCCACTACACTTACCATGACGGTTCCATTCACGGCAATTCAATTTGTTGCGTATGAATGGGCCCAAAGTCTCATGAATCCGTCAAGTACTTACTCGCCTCTCTCGCATGCCGTATCAGGTGGGTTTGCTGGTGCAATGGCTGCAGCTTGTACGACTCCTCTGGATGTGGCCAAGACCATGCTTCAAACGAGCGGAAGCAGCTCAGATCCGGAGATTCGCAGAGTGACGACCATGGGCAGTGCATTCAAGACTATTTATGCACGCGAGGGTTTACGTGGATTCGCTCGTGGACTATCACCACGAATCTTCACGCATATGCCCTCCAATGCATTGTGCTGGCTCTCGTACGAAGGGTTCCGGTTCGCAATACAGGAGTATCGTGGGTAGGATTACGGGGTTTTGAAACTAGTTTCTGTCGGGTGCCGGAAGCTTACGCTTCACATTCAGCAACTATGACAGCAGAGAGAGCATTCACACATACGCTTCCATACCTATAAAATACCGCTGTAAAGAGCTTTCGGTTTTTCATACATACCATTTGTCACTGGATTTCGTCAAATCTGTCCACTAGCCTAGGGCACAACTTGTACTCCGCTTCTTTTGAAGACTACTAACTCTTCTACATGAAATGGTGACGGGGTCTTTACGTTGTATAATGAGTTATTGACGTGGTGCCTAGTTTTGCGATGGTCAACACAGCGGAAAAGGCTAAAGGACAGGAGTTAATTGCGACCGATGAATTGATAGATAATCAACGATACCAGCTTGGATAGGTTGTCTGGATTCTGAGCATAAGAACCCATTAGCATGGACAAGCCTGTCGCCGCCATAATATACTCTCCTAATGGAACGTGAGGAATATAACCAACAATGCGGCCAGTTGCCCAAAATGACTCGAGAGCTTTGGGAAGCACATAGAGTGTTAGCTCCTTCCGGCGGCGGCGATCTTCAATGAAGAGCGAGAGACATGACAGAAAGCCACCCAACCCCTTCATGCGGTTGTCAATAAGCAGCTCCGACACACGGCGCATGAAAGGAATGTCATTAAGCCGGCTGTATGAGATTCCATCCGCCAACACGTGCACAAGGCAGAACATGGACTTGACAATGAACACATACACGGCTAAGAAAGACGATGAGCGGGATGCGCCGAGCAAACTGCGCATGATTGTTTCTGCTGGTGCTTTCCTGAGAGCCTTTGGTCGCAAAAAGACTGTAGGAACAACATAAAGAGTTAGATACACTGGCATGACAAATTTCCATGTTGCAACAAAATTGCGCACGGATGCAAACAAGTGATTTGTCGTTTGGGGATGCTGGATAGCGCATGTTGCATAACGTGGCGGATTTCCGTGCTCAATCCATCGATGCACTTTTGCCAGCACGTCGCCCGACACTCCGTATAAAGCATATTTGTTGGGTGGGAGGTCTGCGAACTTGACTGGATTCGTGCTAACGGGCTCGGGAACCACTCCGCCGAATAGAGTCACCATGTCCCAAGGGCTCATTCCTCCATTCACTGACTGTCGATAAAGCTCCAAAGCTGGTTTTGGTACACTAGAAGCCTTGTCAATCCAGTTTTTATACGAGCGCTCGAGAAGATGAGGTGAGCCGAGCCATGCAATCATAATCTGTACATTGGCCAGACCAAAAATAAGAATTGACGCATAGGGAATGTTAATGTAACCCGCCCGGCTCGCCAATTGACACACGCCTTCCATACCACGCACGAAAACCTGAAGACCAAAAGAACGCGTGAATTCGCGGCTTTCTATAAGTAGTGCCAACGACGATACAGCTCCAGCAAGGTATGCATGCCACTTACGGGCGCGGGGGTCATAAGCAGAGATATGCTTCCATACCGCCTTCTTCTTTTGAACGTTCGATTTCTCTTTTGTCATAAGTGTCAGTTCGCCATTGTCATCGACTTTCATTGAGCCCTCAGGGACAGACCGTGAGCGACGTGCACCCAATGGACGAGCACTACGCGTCGGGGTTGTTAAAAGACGCAAAGCATTGTTTGTAAACTTGTATATGGCAGCCCAAGCGCCGAACGTGAGGGCAAATCGCACTGTCCGTTCCCCGACAAAGGCGGCCTTGAGATCACTCTTCTTGATGGGCTTGCGCGAACGAAGCACCTTGATGAACACAAACAAAAACTCCAAAGAGCTTCGAATACCATATGCAAGCGTAAATGCACGGCTTGCAGCGCGAATGACATGGACCATCAAGCGCTCCCAGTCATTAGGAATTTTGGTTTCATCGTCATGAGGCCGCCACAGCTTTTTTTGAATCTGACGACGCACTTCTCCCGGTGGCTTCGAAGATATTTGCTGAAACGTAGTGAAACTCATTGAACGCTTGATGTTCTCCATGGCTTCCGACAAGTTGGGAGTACTCGAGTTGGACGGCAACTCAAACTCCTCACTGCTGTCTTCATCGTCCGGACAAGCAACAGGTTCCAGTGTCGTAAGAGCACCAGGCATGACTTGTTGAGACTTCTTAGGGTGTTGACTCGGCTGCTGCCTGCTCATATCTGTCATTACATGCAACCCCGGATATCGGTGGGGACTGGTTCTGTGCTGCTCGGATTGGGGGACCCAACAAGATGGTACATGTCAATTACCATTGGGCCGTGCGTGTCACTCATAGCCGGACGTAGCCGTTAATATTTCATAACCAATCATTCGATGTGATTACGTAATCAATGGGAGCTAAAAAGATAAGAAGGCAAGCCCTGCCCCGGAGGGCTAGCTTGCCCGATCTAAAGATTTGAACGTACTGCCACCTGAAGAGGTAGCAGCGAGGGGGGAATGCTCATGTATGGACAATGGGTCGCCGTGCAATGAGAGACTCCCCCCCTCCCGCATCACATGCTTGAGCGTGCTACGGAACGTCAAGGTCTAAGTCAGGTTAGCAACCAAGTAGTGCGCTTTGCAGGTACGTACAAGTATGAGGTTCAATTGTAGGCCCATTGTCTGCTTTATATAATTTTTCCCAACCGGCCTGGAATGCCGCAGCTTTCGCGTATAATGTGTCCCTTTTTGGCCGCTACTCCTCCACCACAACCGCTTATTTCCTTCTCACATACAGTTCACTGAACGATACCTCTCGCGTGTCGTGTCCAAAACGCTTGACGTCATCACCTATTCTCGTTGCACCTACGTTTAAGCTACATGTGCAATTGCACTTTTTATAGATTTTGCGGGTTTGCGCTGTGCATGTGTCAACTTACGCAAATCTTTTTTCTTGCTATGGTGACTGTGCGAGAGCATCTGACGCCTCCCGGCTGGCAAGGGCAGCTCTTTCGCGCACGAGAGGTGGCGCTTTCGGCATGTATGCTTCTGTTAAAGGCAACAAGATCCGAGAGAGGAAAAACTGCTGCGCGACTTGCGCACCTTTATAGTGGTAGATAGCGCCGATCAAACCCTCAACACAAGAGCCACGCACTTTGAAAAGGCCGCTCTCTTGTGGACCAGAGACAGGGTCCATACGCACAGTGGAATGCCAACGCATAACCTTTTCAAGACACAAGTTCGCGGCCGACACGATCCCAAGGTGGTGTGTAGACGCGATATCATCTACATGTTGTTGAGACGAAAGGAGATTCTGAAGATATTCAACATCTGAGACAGATGAGTTAGTGCGCCTCGCATGCTCGAGGATATCGAAGAAAAAGAGAGAGAGATACGTCTTGAGGGCACGTCGACCAATAAAGGCAAGCCGACGGTTATGACCTTGCATTCCATGCATCCAGCTCTCATGCGTCAGCGCATGAGATACAAGTGTCTCTTCAGATCCAAGAAGCGCTTTGGAAGGATTCGACTTTGACTGGTAAGAACAAAAACTGGCACTGTTAACAAACGAAAGCATATCGGAGGGTTGTATATGCGAGTTGAATGCGCCACCTGGCACAACGGGAGGTATCTGGCTTTTTTCTATTGCGCCGGGTTGCTCACGAACATTCGCGGCGGCCCACTGTTGCGACAAGAAAGAACTGAAGGATCTAGCGTTGTTGCTAAGAAGCCATGGCGTCTTATGTTGCAAAGGTCGCGCATTCTGGGAAACGCGTACACATCCGACAATCCTTGCAGGACTAAACTTGCTTTGCAAAATACGATGTCCTGAGCGCCACATTCTGAGCAAGTGGCTGACCCAACACGCCTTGAGAAGCTAGGATTGTATGTCAGAGACGACGATGTGAGCGGAGGAACAGAAAATCCATTTGCTTGTTGTGCAATCCTTGGTTCCTAGTAGGCCCATGTTTTTGGGTGGACTCTTGAGCGCGATGACCGACAGGCTGGCTTCCCTCGCACTCGCAGGTCGACCTTATGCTTACGTACATGGGAGTTATGCGAGGAGGAAGATTTCACGTCGTCTTTTTACGGCATTCATCGAGGCTGGTTTTGAGCCACATTATGTCTGCTGCAACGACGTATGTGTACGAGAAATGTCAGGGCAGAACTAACGTGCAGACTTCCGTCTGAGAGTGTGAACAAGGTGAATTGGGCAGACGACGATGGAGATACTAGCGGTATGTGTGTGAACATCGCTGGAATTAGCGATGACGAATGTGCGCCTTGGGGGAGGCGGATCAGTTCTGTAATGGATCCGGTTGGCTAACAAACGAGCAGTGAACGGAGCACCTCGTATTGAGCAGCATGATGAGGGAAATGGCGTGCATGTGATTGTAGAGTACCGACGCAATGCGGATGGAAAACAAGTGAAAGTGACCCGCCGTATCAAGCGTACACTCATCAACACCAAGGTGAATCATAACGTCGCGGAGCGAAAAACATGGCCCAAGTTTGGACTGGAGAAGAACTCACAGCCGGGTCCCAACTCTGGAACGACATCGATTGGTGCAAATGTCCAAGTGAAGCTGGTGGCTGGCGCCTCGAAGGAGCCTGAGCCGGATCCAACGGAGGCTATGCGTGAGAAGCTTGCGAATAAACGTGTGCAGTGCCGTCTTTGTAAGGGAGACCACTACACTGCGCGCTGTCCTTATCGAGACACACTTGAAGCTATTCCCGGCGCTGGTGGCGACGTGCCAGACAGCGACACAGTCGCCGCTGCGGCTGCTGCCGGCGTTTCCCTCACGAGCGAGGGAGCTGCAGCGGCAGGCAAGATGAATCCTGTATCAGCTGCGCTAGGAGCTGCCGTTGCGAATGCGCCCGGCAAGTACAAGCCGCCCAGTTTGCGCTCTGGTGCCATGCCATCGCATGGCATGGGTGGTCCAACCCAGCGCGATGAGTCTGCTACACTCCGTGTGACGAACTTGAGCGAAGATGTTGAAGAAGAGGATCTGCGTGATCTATTCCGTCGGTATGGCCGTGTGACACGGATCTTTGTGGGACGTGATCGTGAAACTGGTCTGTGCAAGGGCTTTGCGTATGTCAACTTTGAGTGACCTGCGCGTCTGCAGACCAGGCGCGACAGAAGCTCGACGGATACCCATACAGCAACCTCATTCTCAGCTGCCAATGGTCGCAGCCTCGCGGTGAGCGCCCGCATTAGAGCATAGACTGGATACGTGGGGGGGGGGGGGCTGTAGGAGAGAGAGAGAGAGAGAGAGAGAGAGAGAGAGAGAAAGAAGGAAAGTGAGAGTGCAAGTGTGAGTGGAAGCGAAAGTGGGAGATGTAGAAGAGAATGGGCCAAGATACTTGAGGGCCTGCTTCCAGAGCATTGCCACGTTGCTTATGTATTGTTGAAAATGACGTTATGCTAGCTTCCTCTCTATCATAGTGAATGGAATACAGAGCTCAGACGACATGTTGCGCTACGTGAAAAATCTAAGGCAAGAGTAAGTACACAAGCATAGGAAATGGCATCTCACACGTACTTGCGATGCTTGTTTGGACCAAACAAGGCAAATCGGATTTCCGGTAACATCTGCCAAATTAGCTGTGCGCACAAAGATATACACAAGAAAGAAAAAAAAAGTATGAATCTCAATACGTACCTGTTCCTCCAGAAGTTTCAGCCGTTGCTCAAGCGTGTTGTCTAGACGAATCTTGCCGTTCTTTGCCGTCATGACAAAGCCACCGGCACAGTCCTTGGAGAGGCCATCACTGACGTGGACACGAGTGTCACGACCAGTTGTATCCTTGTATTGCTTGATGGCATCGTCAAGAAGACCTTGGATCGTCTGCACATCGCCTGAGCGAGCTTCGACTTCGACGGCATTTTCATGTAAAATCAATAGACCCTCAACCAGGAGCTTGCAGAGGAGTTTCTTGTATGTCTTTTCATTGCTACTCAGCTTCGTGAGCTGGTCCTGTGCGCTTGTGAACAAGTTTTGGAGGTGTTCTTCTCGGGACTTGAGCACCTGCAGCCTGGCCTTATTGCTCTGATTCGACTTGGTACTGACCTGTTAGCAACTAGAGATAGGAGAGCACGCTCTTATCGCCTCGTACTCACATTCTTTGCGATACTTCGACCTGTTTCATCTTCTTTTCATACTGCGAGTCCAGATTCATGCCTTCCTGGCGCACAATCTTGGCCTTTTCAATGGCAAATTCTTCATCTGCCTTGACCTGGATTTCACGTGCTTTCTCAACAGCCTCCTGGCGAATAAACGCCACCATCTTTTTCAGCTCGGTAATGACTTCATCATCGTTCATGGCGTGTGACATGGCGAACGTAGAACGAGCGCAGATACGATTTTGTGCCTAAGTTGTGGTCGGTGCGATCTGAGGGGCCCGGTCGGGGTGACGGGGGCGTTGATGTGCCTAGTAGGCCAACTTGACGGCGCACGTTTCAACGTCACCTCCACCGAACAAAGTGCACTGTCCCATGTCCGAGAGTCGGCCGCCGCCTTAATCTGGAGCACTGAGAACTTGACATGCTCTCGCCCCACAGACACTGACACATAAGAGAGACTCGAAGCAACGCGTGTATCACCGTCCCAAGACACCCGCCAGCCCCTTCGGCTCGTCTACCGGATTTTCGAGGGACTCTTTTTACGTTCATATGACTGGTTGTTCGTACATGTCACATAGCTCTTGGTATAGTATATTGGACTCGTTTCTATATGACTCGAGGGGGCTGTGGCTAGTACGTCCGTACTGTTGAAATAAGTACGTTTTTTTTATGATGACGCGATCATGCAGCGCGCACAAAGTTGCTGGACTTGATAGAATCTCGTCGTTGTTTGCGAAGTGCGCGGCGCTGAGCAAGCTCTTTTTCCTCCGCTTCTGCCAAGGACTTGGGCTTCGCATCTTCGCGGGCCTTCGCATCAGCCTCGGCCGTCGCAGCGGCGCGTTGGGAATCTGTCATGCGCTCTAGACGAGCCTTTTCTTTTGCCTCAGCGGCAGCTTGTTGGCGAGCAGCGGCGCGGGCCATTTTGGCACCACGCTTCAATGCAGCACGCGCTTCACCCTTGGACATGCCTGTGGTATCAACGTCTCCGACGACCAATGCCTTTTTTGGCTTGATTGCTGGATCATCAAGTAGCTCCCAGAGCCAGTCGGGGTACTCATGATCAGGCTTGGCGACAGGGTCTGGCTTGTCTTTATAGATCGACAAACCTGTGAAAACGGTTCCTGCTGGAGCCGCTGATGGCGCATCTTATCGTGTCAGATTCCAGTACGGTGATATGTGGCGTACCTTGGATGGCATCAGGTGTAGCTGTGTCTGAATGTGCCTCAGTGTGGGCGAGCCGCGCTGCCAATCCATTCACACGGCACGCATATGTGAGATTCATGCTTGCACCTACGGTGCGTCCACTCATGGCACGAAAGGACCCCAAAAGCAGCGGCGACATGTTGGCGACCAACGTCCTTGGCGTGAGTGACATTTGGGCAGGCGCTCAGGATCTTGTTGTCGTTGGACGACGTACAGCATAGGCACTTGGGAACGAGGGAGCGTTGGATAATCACGTGATAACAACTGCGACTTCCACCCACCTCCCCACTCCACGCCCCTCATGGTCAACGACAAAGCTACTATGCCCGTGACGCCATGGAGCTGTGGATGATTTATCGCGTGGCTGTGGACACTACGTTGGAGAAGGGGGGATGGGGGACATGTTGAAGTTAATTTACATGATACTTTATTAGAAGCTGTGAGGCTTTTGAGATGCCATGGCGGCGGCACGCGCAAGTTTCGACACGTAGATTTCTAGAGGTACATCCACCACATTCAGTGCTCACTCACACGGTGGACAAGAGGCCGCTCATGAACGGGCTGCGACAAGTTTGCGCAATTCTTTGGCACGACGAGCAGCAATGTCATTTGCACGAATCTTGTCACGCAGGTTGATACAAATGAGCAAAAGTTCGTCAGCATCATACAGGTGTGATGCAGCCAAATGAAGATGCTGGTAGAACGAAGCTGCCGTGGGGGTATCAAGGAGAGATTTTGATTTGAGTGCGAGTATGGCATAGGCGATACGGAAAAGCGTGGAGCTCCCGTCAAGAAATAGGACATCCCAAACACGAAAGAGAGTTTCGATAGGCAAGCATGCTGTAAAAAGAGATAAGAACCATGCATACGTAACGGCGGGCAGCTCCACACCCAACTTTTTCATGTGCGAGGCGAGTTTCGGGAGACCAGATTGGACCAGGTGAACGAGGACTTGTTGATCAGCCTGTGGCACAAGCATGTCAGACGCATAGTAAGCGGGTGGCAATATGGTGTGGATAAGACCGACCAATGCCCAGAAGGCGTCTTCTTCGTTTGTGTATGTGAGCAAAAGAACTGCAGCGAGATTGTTCATGCCCTGGCAGTAGCCAGAACCAGCATCGTATCGAGCATAGGCAGAAAGCAAGCGATGAAGTTTCGGGACGCCTGGACCACATCCACCAAAGTACAAGTTGGCCGGCATCGTCCGACGCACATCCAGGGCAATTTGTCGCTCGTACGTCGACGATTCATACAAGTGTTGGTAGATGCCCGGCTCTGCGCACATGTGGGCCTGAACGAACTGAGACCATACGGCTGGACGGTAGTGCATGGGTATGCCTCGCTCACATAGAGCATGGAACCGACGTGTTTCGCTACTGCTGGTGGTGCTGGTGCTGGTGCTGGTGCGCATGGAGGCAAAGATGCGGCTCCATACGGTATCAGACTCATGTGGATCCAATTCATCCATTTTATCGAGAAAAAAAGCATCCCATTCTGCTTTTCGGATACGCTCCTGTTTTTCATATGCATCATGCACATGTCGGACAAGGCGCGGCACTGTGAAGGATGCATGTGATGCCGAGGAGACTTTGTGTTCATCGAAAGCAGATAATGCTGATACAACGGACGTCTCGATAGAGGGCGGTGCAACAGGTAGCACGCTCAGAGCTGGGAAAGAAGCAACGAAAGAAGCATCGGCCGTGCGCTGCGCAGGAGAGGAATGCATGCTGATTGGTGCCTTGGTGGAAGGAGCGGAAGAGGAGGAGGCTTGGTCCGTGTCGGGAGGAGGAGCCGCTGCAGAGACGCAGGCTGATCCGGACGTCGTGTTTGGCGTTGGGGGTGGCGCTAGGTTTGCTCCTTCAGAAGTGCCTTGCTCTACGATGTCCAGTGGCAGCGACGGGTTTGCACCACACACAAGGCGCCAGTATTCCGGCACTGATATGCCATACAAAAATCCATAGTGGTCCACATACAAGGAATCATCATGTTGCCAGTGTTGCATAGGTACAAGTTGTTGGCGAGGAACGAATGGCGGAGGACGTGTAGCACGAGGTGTCATGGGCTCTAGCTCGACGACCCTGGCCAGGGCCAACGGATCGGGAGTCCGTCCGGGAGAGGTAGGTTCACTCGTGTTGTGCTGAGTTGAATTGGACGACACAGATGGCAGTGTCGATGTCGATGCCGATGTCGATGCCGATGCCGAAGAGGATGGTGATCCATGCTCTAGGCCATTTTTCGTTGGTGATTCGCACGTGGATGATGCTGTTGATACACACGCATGAGCGATGGCAACCACCCATTCAAGCACAGCTGTGCTGGCTGACGACGGCACCTTGTGTGGGGAAGAGGGTGTGGATGCTAACTGGGGATGTGAATGGTCTGTATGCTGGAAGGAATCAAGTTCGTCGTGCATTGCTTCATGCAGCGTCAATTCAACATTGCCGTTCGGTTCGTGTAGCAAGTGCAGAATGGCCTGTGACAGAGCTTGGAGCATTGCCTGGCATGTGCTGTCCTGTGCGTGGAGCCATGCATTCACAGCGTGTGAGTCGTTTCGGATGTCCGACGCGGCCACCCATGTAGGCAGGGCAACCTGCTCAAAGGCTTGGCGTACGTGCGCTGACGGTTGCGGAAGAGGCGCTTCCTTTGGTGCTGTAGGTATGGCAAGCAAGGGCTCGTGTTCGGTAGCAGTTGACGTCAGGGGATGATGCACTGCCACCACAGGCGCTTGACCTCGGTCGGCTGCGTGAGCCACACGCGGCATATCTTTGGCACACACCGAAGTGCTCGCCCCCGGCAATGTGCGGTGGTGTGGAGTGGATGAGAAAAACAGGTCAAGGAAAGGATCAACTTTTGCGTGCCAAGCAGTGAAAAGAAGAAACACGCGTTGTGTTCGTCAGGCGCGAGGTGTCAACAGGGAGTGTCGAGGGGGTTATGCCGGAACCATGGTTCAGCAAGAGGCGCGACTATGGGAATAGGGACAAATTTCGACTCCACGAGCTGACGCCTATCTCCACACGCTCTCTCTCACTCTCTGATTGTTTCTTCCCACCTTATTCGGCGTGTGTCGACGCGGCCTTCAGTTGCGGTGCGACCCCCGTATTCCGCCACCCTTATCGCGAAAACTGCTGCTGGCGCGAGTATGACGAGCGGCGTGCATAATCTGTCGGCGTCGGCAACGTCTTCGTCGTCCTCTTCATCGCCCCTGGGCGAAGACAAGCTGAGTATTGAGATGCTCGGCGCTGGGCAGGAAGTGGGGCGCAGTTGTTGTGTTCTCACATTTAAAGGTGCGTATGGATCGGTGCGAGTATGCCGAGGCGCAAGCGAACTCGCATGGGAGCGCGATTGCGCGTGTGAGTGAGTCGGGGCTCAGCTAACCAAGGCAGGGTTTACCATTGTATGTGATGCCGGAGGTATGTTCCGCGTGCATGCACGCCGACTGAACTAACATGCGCGGCAGTTCATCCAGCCTACACAGGTCTCACGGCACTACCGTTTATCGATAATCTTGACTGGAGCACTGTCGATGCGCTCCTCATCACGCACTTTCACCTGGATCATGCTGCCGCACTCACATACATCATGGAAAAGACGAACTTTTGCGAGGGCAAAGGCAAAGTATACATGACGCACCCGACAAAGGCGATCTATCGCTTCCTGATGTCGGACTTTGTGCGTATCTCGAATGCAGGATCGGACCGCATGTTGTTTGACGAGGCAGAAATGCTGGCGTCCTGGCGGCAGATCGAGGCGGTGGACTACCACCAGGAGGTGGTTCTGGGCGGCGGTCTGCGGTTTACGCCGTACCATGCGGGGCATGTGCTGGGTGCCTGCATGTTTATGATCGATATGGCAGGACTGCGTGTATTGTATACGGGGGACTACAGCCGTGAGGAGGACCGGCATCTTGTGCAGGCGGAAGTGCCGCCGATGCGGCCGGATGTCCTGATCTGTGAAAGCACTTACGGAACACAGAGTCTGGAGCCGCGGCTCGACAAAGAGATGCGCTTCACGTCGCTGATTCACAGTATCATCCGGCGCGGTGGACGTGTGTTGTTGCCCGTGTTTGTGCTGGGCCGCGCGCAGGAGCTGCTGCTGCTTCTCGACGAGTACTGGGAAGCGCACCCGGAGCTCCATTCTGTTCCGATCTACTATGCGTCTTCGCTCGCGCGCAAATGCATGTCGATCTACCAGACGTATATCCATACGATGAACCAGCACATTCGCGCGCGTTTCCACCGGCGAGACAATCCGTTCGTGTTCAAGCATGTGAGCAACCTGCGCAGCCTAGACAAGTTCGACGACAAGGGCCCTTGTGTAATGATGGCGAGTCCTGGGTTTATGCAGAGCGGGATATCGCGTGAGCTGCTGGAGCGCTGGGCGCCTGATAAGCGCAATGGCGTGATTGTGAGCGGTTATTCGGTGGAAGGCACCATGGCACGCGACATTCTGAGCGACCCTGACGACATTGTCGCACTGAACGGGCAGCGCATCCCTCGTCGCATGTCGGTCGACTACATCTCGTTCTCGGCCCATGTCGACTATACGCAGAATTCGCGCTTCATCGATCAGGTCAAAGCGAAGCATGTCGTGCTGGTACACGGCGAGTTGAAGAACATGAGTGGGCTTCGTGCAGCCCTGCAAAGCCGGTACTCGGATCGCGAGGAAGAGATCCACATCTACATGCCGCGCAATTGTGAGCCACTGACGCTGTCGTTCCGTGCGGACCGCACGGCCAAAGTGATCGGCTCACTCGCGGCTCATGCGCCCAAGCCAAGTGACACGATCGATGGTCTGTTGGTCGCCAAGGACTTTTCGTATACGGTGCTAGCGCCCGAAGACCTGACGGAGTTTACGGGACTCGGCACAAGCACGATCGTGCAGCGGCAACGAGTCGCCCTGAACGTCGGCTGGGACCTGGCTCGCTGGCACTTGCAGGGCATGTATGGCCATCTAGACGAAGGCGTAGACGAGCAGGGATTGAGATGCATGCGCATCATGAATGTCGTCGACATCAAGCTTGCTCGCCCTGGAATGCTTGTGGTCGAGTGGGAGTCTAGTGTGTCGAATGATATGGTGGCTGACTCGGCCATGGCTCTGCTGCTTGGAATCGACAGCTGTCCAGCTACGGTGAAGATGACCATGAATGAGCATGCATGTTCTCATGCACCCACGGCTCGTGGTGCATCTGCATCCCATGTCGACACGGTCGAGTCCCTCCTGGCTTTGCTAGAGGCGCATTTTGGCGACCTCGAGATGATGGACATTGGGGGCGGCGTCCGTGTGACAGATGTTCATGCTGAGCCGAGTACCCACTCAGCGAAGGAGCAAATGCTTGGTGGCATGCCCGAGCATGGGTCAGATGCTCGTGAGACGCATGAGACTGGGGCGACTGATGCCAGTGCCCATGCTAGCGACGCGGCAGAGGCTCATGCCGATGCCGATCAAGGCGAGGCCGACTCGCCGCTCGATCGCCTGTGTGCCTCGATCCCAGGTCCTGTGCGTGTCGGTGTGAAGGTCGAGCTGGATGCCGAGCCCATCATCATTTCGCTCGATGATCTCTCTGTGTTTTGTGATGCCGAAGCCTTGCGGCATCGAGCTGAGCGCCTCGTTGCGATGGCGCTTTCTACGAGTCAGTCCCTTGCTGACACATTCCACCTCACACCTGCATGCTCGTCGATGCTCTTCCAAGGCAAGCACAGCCATGAAATGCAGGACCAGGACCACGATGACCAAGACGGCGCTCATCACGACCATGCGGAGCTCCCTGTTCATCCCAAGACCCCGATCAAGGCTTTGGCAGACTGACATTTGCACCCGCACAATTCCCCCCATTCCCATCTCCATCTCCATCTCCATCTCCATCTCCATCCCCATCCCCGAGTATGGAGCGCGCACAGATACCCTATCTCATAGCATCCACGGCCCTTGATCCAATACAGACATGTATCGTTTCGCACCGCATCGCACCGCATCGCACTGCATCGCACTGCACCGCATTCCTCTTGTCTTGTACAAATCCTACCGTTGTTACTACCGTCGCAGCGCAGCTCTCGATCCACATACCTACAAAAGACGTACCGTACGTCGGTCTCGCTCACCAGCAAGTTGGAGGGTGCCTTCTGCCTCCAAAGAGCGAATGGCATCATGCAGCTCGTTCGTATCGATTGTAACAGAGCTTTGCTCACGGAACGCTCGTACTAGTTCTGTCACCCGGACAGGCCGCGACGTCGATCCACTGCCGCCATGACCCATCTTCTCGTGCGCTAGTTTCTGTATCATGCTCAGCAACTCATTCTTCATGTCGCCAGCAAGGCGCCTTTGATGCAAGGAGCGTCCTGTCGTCAGCAGGTCAAGATCAATTAAGCCGGTCGTAGGATCTGTTGCACTCGACTTGGCCGCCTCTCGGATCAGCCGATTGGCCTCGTCGACATCGTCAGCCGTCACGACCGTCGACAGACGCATTCGTGCATGCGCCTCCGACAAGCGGATCATACTCTCCAGCTGCCGAGTCGTGGCGGTGATGCGGCGCTCTGTGCTGCGTGGATCTTCCCCAGCCTTGCGCAGCTCAACATACCGTCTCGCCAGCAAGTCGCTCGCCTCGGCCGTCAGCACGGGTGCCACATTCGCTCGAGCGTACGAAATATACGCCGTCAGCAGCTCAATTGGCACCACGTTGGTCGCGGCCGTCTCGGGTGCATCCTCCAAGTACATGCCGACAAGATGGCGCGCCAAACGCCGGTCTGTCGCCTCATGGATCTGGTCAAGCACGAGATACACAAGATCAAAGCGGCTCAGCAGCGTCGGCGCAGTCGATGTTTTTCGTGATGGGCATGTGGATATCGTACTTCGACCCAATTGGGTTCGCAGCGGCCAGTACCGAAGTGCGTGCATTGAGTGTCGTAATGATCCCGGCTTTCGCCACCGACACTGTCTGCTGCTCCATGACCTCATGCAGCACACTCCGTGTGGCGTCGGACATCTTGTCAAACTCGTCGATGCAACACACACCGCCATCCGACAGGACCAGCGCACCACTCTCCAGGACCAGCTGCCTTGTCTCGGGATCCCGCGTGACATACGCGGTCAATCCGACAGCGGACGATCCTTTGCCCGATACATACATGCCTCGCGGCGCGATCTTGTGCACGTACTGGAGCATCTGGCTCTTGGACGTGCCGGGATCTCCCACGATCAGCACATTGATGTCGCCTCGGTACCGGGGCCCCCCGAGACCGCCACCTGTCGTGATAGACTTGTTCGTCCCGCCAAACAGCTGCAGCAGCACACCCTTTTTCATGTCTTCCATCTCATAGATACTAGGTGCTAGGCTGTGAGCCAGCATCTCGTACACATCAGGCCGCTCTGCAAGGCGCTGGATCTGATCCTGCATCTCCTCACTCGGCATGAGCGCCATACGCCCGCTCGCTGGCGGCGGCGCCGACGGTGCATCGCCCGAACGGAGGCCGTGGGCATCAAACAGCTCGCCCTCTTCATCGCCGCCGATGCCAATCGACTGGGCCTGCATCGCATCGCGCGTCGTTAGATCCAGATCCACTCGTCGCGTGCTGTTCAGTCGCACGTGCACAACGTCGACATACGTCTTGAACAGGCTCTTGAGCGTCCGCTGTCTAGGGCTCACACGCACAGGCACACTGCGGAAGATGCCCGTCACTTCAACACGGTCACCCGGCTTGCACACATCGACCAGCTCATCGTACACACACAGACTCAGCGAGTGCGGCGTTTGCCCATCCGGCACGACGTCAGGCGTCTCTTGCAGTCGAACAACCTGGCGATCAGCAAACTCACAGCGGTTGTGGATCAGCGACAGTGAGCCCAGCTGATTGCACATGTCTCGCGGGCATCGCTGTGGTTCCATGATGCGCCCACGGTCAATTTCCACCTGCACCGTGTGATGACACACCAAGCAGCGGAAGAAGGCCACTTTCATATCGGGGATGATCGGCGTCACGCGGATCACCAGACCACGTACCGTCGTAAGCTTGTCAATGTCAGACGGATTCAGATCACGCATGTTCGTCGATGTGCCGCCGTACGGCCGGACCTTGTACAGCAGGCTCTCAATCAGGTCCATCTGCTCACGCAGCATCTCGACCTCGTAGCTCGAAACGCTGGACCGCAGATCCTCTTCCGCCAGAATCAGCATTTGGTCCTTCAGCACCGTGTCCATGATCGGCACGACCTCCTGCGGGTATCGTACGAGCTGAAGCGCCAGCTTTTTCGATGGTGGAAACGCCGCCAAATCACGGATACGCAGGTTCAAATTCGTTTGATGCGTCTGCCGCATCTGCCGCATATAATCTTCATATAGCAGCAGCTCCCCGTCGGCGTTCGGCAGTCGCGCATGCGGCAGGCCATGCGTACGCGCATACGCCCAGCGATACTTCAGTCGGAATCCACGAAGAAACGTCTGAAAAAGCTGCATGGTCTCTCCCACCGACACGCTTGTTCCCCAGATCACCTTGAGCATGTGATTCGGCGGATGGCCTGCCCCATGCTGGTCGTCCGATGTCGCGTGAGAAAACACCAGGTCTTCACTCGCTGCTTCAGATGAGTGCCCTGCGCCTGCCCCCGACGCTGGCCCACTACTGCTGGATGCAGGTGGTCGCGAATGCATCCTCCGTGCCAGCACGGATGGTGAACTCACGAAACTGTGGGAGGATGAGTGAATATCGCCACGTCGACTGTGTCGTGGCGTTGAGCTCGTGGATCTAAGCGTGTGAGTGAAGGTTCGCGCACATTTGTGGATAGATCGGCAGCTTGGCTGTCAGAAGACGTACGGTGGAAAAAAGAGCGGCTCACGATAGTCGCCTGACCCGCTGAATGACGACAAAGAAGCGTGTGGTCTTCGCGGGGTTGGTGTATGTTGCGATCCCAGCGACGCCGCCGGTGACGACGTGGGAAACTGCAGCGGCGATGCATCATCCCACACCACTGATCATGAGCCGAACCAAGATGCATGACGTACCAGATGGCGATCTCGATGCAAACCTTCTTCCATGTGAGCTTAGACGGCCTGGACTACTCGACGGAAGACCTAACGACGACCCATCTCGCCCATCTTGTGATGCCGGCGTTCCTTCCTCCGGTCGAGACATGATGCGTTCAGATATGCTCTACGACAGGTATGGGCGTTGTCACTACCAAGTAAGCTGGCCAACACACACCGTTTCGCTGCGCAAGACACCGCGTATGCCACAGCCTCCCTCTCACCGACAAGACGACTTGAACTCAGTATGCGTCGTGCGCTGATCATACATCACGTGATGTATTCGCTAGAGCCAGCGTCAGGGCCAGGGCCAGGCCAAGCCAAGGCCCTGTACGCACTTTGCCTTCGATCACGCGCATCGCACATTGCTCGGCGGCGCAAGTCACGCGTGGAGTACGTCACTTTCGTTGGACGGACCCGGTGGAGAATCAAGATGGAGGTCTATAATGGGCGCGCATGTGTTGGGTGCTGAAAAAACAAGTCCAGGGCGCCCGGCAAAAGCGTTGTGTTGTTGTTACTGTTGTTGCCAACAGGCAAGCATTTTCCAAGTACACACAGGCTTTTCCGACTGAACGACAACCTGGTCGATCAACATGGCCACCGCTCAAGCCGTAGGACTGCAAGCGCCTACGCGGACGCACTTGACATTGAAGGGATCAACGGCACTCGTGCATGAGTTTTTCAACTACTCGGTCCAAAGCATCCTATACCAACGATCCATTTATCCGTCGGAAGATTTTCGCACGGTCAAAAAATTCGGACTTCAAATGCTTGCCACGACCGATGACGACCTGGCTGACTATTTGGATCGAGCAATGCAACAATTGAAAAAGTGGCTCGAGCAGGGCAAGGTTCGTCGGCTCGTGGTAGCCATCGTCGAAAAAGAGTCACAGGAAACGGTCGAACGGTGGCAATTTGATATCGAGGTGATGAATGAGGGACTCACAGAGTCTCAGGTCCCCAAGGAGGGTGATCAGATACCCAAGTCATTGCAAAAGACAGATGCGCAAGTAAAGGCAGAAATTGCTGCTATCATCAAGCAGATTACAGCGAGCTGTACTTTCCTGCCGGTCTTGGAAGAGCCATGTGCGTTCCAAATTCTTGCTTACACGGATCGTGATGTAGAAGTGCCAATGGAATGGTCTGATTCAAATGCACGACTGATTGCGGAAGGCAAAGCTGAGCAAGTGAAGCTGCGCAGCTTTTCTACACATGTTCATCGTGTTGATGCAATGGTTGCTTATAAACGTGAAGAAGAAGATCTATAGATGTACAGTATAGAAGGAAAAAAAATAAAAGGAAGGGATTGGTAGCGAGGCATTGTAAGTGCAGGAACCATCTTTGGCGGCACGGCACCGTGCGATCGACGTGTGAATCACACATGGACTTTTGCAGACAGCGATCAAAAACCCATCCAATGTGATGATCTCATGGAAAGACCATAACTACATACCGCGGACCTCGTCATCTCCATCATTCTTGTTTTCTGTCGACGCATCGTTCTTTTCCCAAATCACGCGCGACAAAATCTCACGGCGGCCTAGAACCGTCCATTTAGGCAGCCATTCCGGCTGGATCTGCGGCCACACAGCCTGCTCCGAGTACAGCTCGATAAATTCCTGATCCATGCTACGCGATTTTGGGAAACTGAAGCGGCGATACTCATCAAAAATGGTGGTGAGCGACCATTGCTGTAGTTTGCGCAGGCAGCCAATGAGGCAGCCTGTGCGGTGCTTGCCTTTGTTGCAGTGGATCAGCATGGGGTGGTTGCGTCGATCCAAAATAGTAGCAAGTGCCGCGGTGATGGTCTCACTTGGGATTTGTACGAACGGTTCTTTGTTTCCGGGAATGCCGTATTGAAAGAACCGAATCCCATTCTCGTCAAGAAACTGGATATTTTGCTCAGGATAGTCCTCGAGAATCAACGTCAACACACTTCGCAGTCCTAGTGTTTTGAGGAACTGGAAATGTTTCTTCTTGGGAAAACTGCTCCGATACACCCATGAATTGACCATGGCAAAATTGTCAGGGGGAATCAACTCTTTGTCGTGGCTTTCGTCGACCTGTGCACTTGCGTTGCTGATAGCCGCCGCATCATGCTCGTCGCGCGTGCTCGAATCTTGTGACCGGCGGCTTTCTGCTTCGCACTTGTGCGCATTTCGTGCTTCATTCTCACGGAGGATCCGACGTAGGAATTCTAGGCGCACCGGGGGATCTGGCACACTCACATGATCCTCGGGCTTCCGGCATAAGAGCGCCGTGTAGTCTATCGGCACATCCGGTAGCGCCGTCTCAATGGCACTTGCCATGACGTACTCCTCCAGTGCCACCAATCCTCTCCGTCTTTGCGCAAAATAGTCCGCGTCGCCGTACTCTCCTCAACACACCAGCGATAGAGAATGGAGCCACCACCGAGCAATGGTGGAAGTGCTGCCGGCTTCACGTGCATGTCGGCCGAGCTCACTGACTCTGTGTTTTACACATAGGCCCTGTAGGACCAATGTCCATGTCACAGGACTTGGACGTCTACGTCCCCGGCCAGATTCGGAGGTATCTCCAACTTATTTTTTCTAGTCCTGACGGCACCAGCGGCGGCGGCGGTAACGACGACGACGACAACAACAACAACAACAGCCAACCTTTCCATTCGCACAAATTTGTGAACTAGAGAACCTCTTGTCACGAAAATGTTCCCTATGTACCGCCAGATGATGTCGCAGGCGACCCGTCGCATGCAGGCTCAAGGTGCTCGTGGCTACGCTAGTGCCTCGGGTGACTTCGCCAAGAACATGACGCAGCGTGCGCAGGCTCTTGGTACATCTGTATTCCAGGCTGCTGAACGTGCGCTTGGGTCGTATGCTGAACCGATCATCTACAACTTGCGCGTCGCTGGCTCGCTTGCGAAGCAAGTGTACATTGCAGAGAAGCTCGCTCCGCCGACTAGCGTCAGTCAAGTTACATCTGCCTACCAGCAGATCTGGTCATCCATTTCCAAGGCTTCATGGTGGACACACTCCCTCCCTGCTGGTGAATGGCGCAAGATTGCTGTGTATGGCGTCGAGGCCGTCGGTATCTTTTCTATCGGTGAAATTGTACGTAAGGCTGCGTTCGCGGTCATATGGCATGCAAATAACTTACACCTGTGCAGATCGGCAAGCGCAGTCTTGTTGGATACAAGATCAAGGAGCACGCCGGTGCCCACGGTCACCACCACTAATCGTGGCTAATATGTTCTAATGGCAGCTTATATAGTGACTGGATCCTAGCACGAAAGAAGAAAAAGAAAAAAACAACTTTCACTCCCCCTCTTCAGCTTTGTGCAGCTTTACGTCACATACCAGCACTTTTACAGTGTTTTTCTATGCTCGTTTGTTATTCTGTGGCTGGTGTGGATTCTGCGTGTTGTCCGCACCATCATATCAATCATCAACACGCCAGGAATCATCATGAAGGGAATGTAGTTCCTGTCGCTTGTAAGATGCGTGCCGACGGTGCGCTAACGTACTGCAAAATAAACAATAAGTTCGCTTCGGATAAATGAACACGCTCCTCGCCGATTGTAACCATGGCAATGCATTGTAGTGTAGTGAAGCAAGCTGAGCATAAGCAGCGCAAAGCCAGAGACGTACCAATAGCGCCGTACGCGATTAAAAATGGATAGGCTCGTGCGTCATCTTTCGTGGTCAGTGATGCAAAGACAAACGTACTGTACCAAAACGCATACAATCCGACGAGAAACGCCGGTACTTGCAACATGAATTCACTGAGAAGCGACATTCGGAACCACGCATATCTAGGCAGCCATGTGTTCGGCACAAGTGGGTCACGACTCTTTGTCAAGTAATCTGCATCAGTGTATCCATTGTGTCGGCACGCATACCTGCTAAGACATTTCGGAACACCTTCGGAATGTAGGTGGCAGGAACAAGGCCTTGTACTGTGTGTTGTTGAAGTAGGTGAGCTATGACCAGCACGTACTATCCACACAGAAACTCGCAAACAGGTGCATTGCAAAAAAGAGAAAATAGAACAAGTCAGCTGGACGTTTCCATATTGCTAGCCGGTGCGGAGACGTAGCAGATGTTCCTACGGATGCTGCTGCCGTCATGGTAGTAGTCGCCGTTTTCTTAACCACGGTAGAAAGAATCTGCGGTCGCTCCGCATCCACCAAAACATGTCTACTACCTGGTCGCAGCAATTGAAGCGGCACCTCCACATCATTTGGCCCAACACAGACATCTACAGGCGGCGCCTCCGTCGTCCTGTCGTTTGCTGGGCTATTGAGTACCTAAGCTTTGAGACCCGGAGCTGACGCGGCTAGGCGGTCCGTTCGGGAAGCCATGATAAAGTCGTTATCGTGAAGCTGCGTAAGTATGCCGCCGTCGATGATACGTACGCCTTCTAGTGCATGACTCCACCACCACACACCAACGCTGCCCCATTCGAGCAAGATAGCTGGGTGATGACCTTGTGCATCAGCTTCCTTGCCAATGGCACTGGCGAACTCAGAGGCTGTTGCAAAGTTTCGGAACTTGTAAACTTTTTGCAAAGCATTCGGAAGCATGGTGGTTGCGCTGCCAATTTGTGGCTGAGGCATAAGTGTCCAGCCAGGCTCGAGCTGCTGCAGCTTGGTCTGGGTTTCGTCAGGAGTGAGGCGTTGCAGTCCCAGCTCACGAATCGCTTTTTTCGAACACGGAACGCAGTTCTGGTCAGCCCACTGCGTTGTCATGCTGCGAAAAGACACTGTGTAGAAAGGAGAAGGAGCTCGGACAATAGGACGTGGTAGGCACAGGCGCCACAAGGCCATTGAAGTACTGAAAGAAAGCCCTGCCGGTGGTGTGGTCAGTGCTGACAAGGAGCTAGGCGGGCGCTCCACCTATGAGGGGAAGGAGCATTTTGCATTGCCCCTCGGACCTGAGTGGAGAATTTGACACATAGTAAGATTTATCAAGGGGAAGGGGGTCAGTCCCAGGCATAACAGCCACTCGTCAGCTCCGCTAGGCGAGTTCTCAACTCCACTTTTGTACCATGTCATATTTTCTAACGCATTTGCCAACGGGTACGTGGTGGAAAGAAAAATCGCACGTATGATTGCAACTGTCGTACTGATTTAGCAGGATGGCATGTGGACCAAGCTATATTATCAGAAGAGGACCGTGTTGTGGTGCTGCGCTTCGGTCATGATTGGGTACGTGAGTGTGCAAGCTGAGTCCGTGTCAGGACGAGACATGTATGATGATGGACGAGACGCTGTTTGGTGTGGCAGAGCGAGTAAAAAACTTTGCTGTTGTGTACTTGGTCGACACAACACAGGTCCCTGACTTTAACAAGATGTATGAGCTGTATGATCCTTGCACCGTCATGTTCTTCTTCCGAAACAAACATATCATGATTGATCTTGGTACCGGCAATAACAATAAAATGTACGTCAGGCATATGTGCGATGGCCGGGCCGCCGTCACGCTATTGAGATCCTGCCTATCTGGCGCATGATATGGGGGTCTGACTCGCAAATCTGTGCGGTATACTTACGCTGTTCTAGCAATTGGGCCATTGATAACAAGCAAGAAATGATCGATATTATCGAAACCGTCTACCGTGGGGCCTCAAAAGGTCGTGGTCTAGTCATCAGTCCCAAAGACTACTCCACACGCTACAAGTACTAAACTTCCCAAGCATCCGTGTCCCACTCTTCATCAGTGGCGGGGCCGCCGTCATCGTTCCCACATTCATTCTCTGTGCCTCCGTATGCATCACATAGTGACTCGAACGTTTCTCGAACGTCACCGAGCAAATCGCGCTCCGATGCATCCACGCCATACATGCTCAGAGGCTCATGCCCCTGCAAGACACGCACGATGAACTGGCGCGCTCCATGCGCGAGTCGTCCAATATCGGGTGATGTCTGTAGCGATGCAACACATGGCGTGGATGTCACGCGTGGCGCATGATTACCATCGTTGTTGTATGGCCAGGGCCGTCCATCCGACGTTGTTCCGTGGAACATGGCTGCAAATTTCGAATCAACAGGGTAGGCCAACGGAACAAAGGCTCTGCAATTAGGGTTAGTGAGACGAAATTTTCCGCGATTACATACCGAGTAACCAGGGGTTCTGGCAGCTGCTCGTCGTATGCGAGTGCATCTATGGTAGGTTTCTCCGCATTAGCATCAGCATCGCGCGCAACAAAGCATTCAGCGTATGGTATAGTGGAGGCGACTGGATTTGACGCAGGGTTCGCCGCGAGTGTATCCGCTGACGACGCCCTGCATTTGCTTTGGTAGAAAGTGGCCACAGGCAAAGACGCATCCCACCAAGCAGCATCCAATCGCTTGGATGCTTCCTCTGCTGTGTCTTTGTGTATGATGGACTCTTTTCCATGGCGCCGTGCCAGCATCGACTGCATGAGGATATCCAGAGGATCAGTGTGGCGTTCATCAGCCAGGAGCGGCGTCGGCAAACACCCGCCAAGTTGGGATATAGGCGTATCGCCACGCCAATTTAGGCGGGTTCGAAACGAATACATCGACTCTGTCCGTCGTGCAAGGCGCAATGGCAGTGTGGCCGTCTCATACAGCGCCGCCACAATAGCGCTTGTCTCGCTCATACACGTTGGCTCCGCACGTACGTGCGGCCATCTCGAAGAGGGAGGTGCCTCGAGTCCTATAGGCGTTAGCAAATGTGCATAGTCCAAAGCGTGTGCAAGACTGAGGGCTTGGTTCATCATGGTATAGGGTGTAAGCTTCTCATTATGTTCCATCCTTTGAGACAGCAAGGTCAGGTGCCTTTCTGTCTTGGGGTACTCGTCCGCGAGCATGTCGAGGTAAGTGCATACAATGCCCCCATATGCATCATGCATCGATGCACTGAGCTGGAAGCCCTGCATGAGATCTGTGTCTTCTGTCCACCAGCGAAGAGTGTCCTCGAACATGCCGTGGTCCTGTTCCATTGCACGAGCAATCGCTTGGCCTTGAGCGAAGGTATCAAGAGTAGGGTTTTGTGTATCGGTACCCATATTCGAAAGAAATGTATGGCCATATATCGATGGCGCACTCACAGGCAGCAGGGATTTTGGATGAAAGAGCGTCTGCGCTATATCTGTCCAAAATCTAGGCGCTGCTTGCTCGTCTGCCGCCGATAAGGGACTCACGCGCGGCTCTGTCTGTATGACTGGCCCATCGAATTCAGCATCTTCATCCGTCTCATACAAAGCGTTAATTCGGCGCAGCGCTCCGAACTCCTCTCGAACGTCGAAGAGCATTGCACGTGGCGAATACGTGTCGAGTCCATCAGCGCCGATCCCTGCCTTGAACGACACATCATGCTCGACAAGTGGTGGTGGTGCATCGGACCGGTAGTCAAAGTAAGATTGCTGCGTATTCCAGAAATGCGCTGCAACATAATTAGCAGGCGTCCCGAATGACAAGTACACAGTTTCTTGTGCACGATGCATGTATGATGGACGAGGCACACTGCACTGCGGCGGTCAGACAGGAGGTGCTAGAGAGAAAGCGAGGAAGGCAAGAGAATAGCAGGCACAGAGACCTACCGCCGGAATTGGCCTGTGTCGACGACAGTGCCAGCGTTTGTTCGAGCAAGATTGAAGGGCACAGAGGTGTGGTCCGTAGACGGCTCTGCGTGTCCAATTGTCGTAATGTGATCGACCTTGCGCGAGAATTGTGGAGGTAACAAGTGGTGCGAGCGCTCGCTGGTGGGCGTCTGATCGAGCCTTGACACTGCCGCTCAGTTCGTCCGTCGTGATGGCGGCTCAATGGCAAAAGCTTGGCGACGCTTACTACCGCCGCACCATCCAGTATGAGCTGGGTTGGTCTGTGCAGCGTCTAGATGAGTTTCTGGTCGCGTCATCTGCCGATATGGGATGGATCGCGCTGACTCGCGACCCTGAACAGCTGGTAGCACTTGGTGACACGTCGGCCATGGAGCCGAAGATTCAAGTCTATACAGGAGCAGGTCAGCTATTTGAGACACTGCCGTGGGATGCTCATGCTCGGATCGTAGGTCTCGGGTTCACGTGGCGTGATGAACTCGTCGTTGTTGCAGATGACGGGCATGTACGCTTCTATTCGTGGCTAGTTCCGTACCATCATCCACAGCAACACAGCGGTGGCATGTCTTGTATTGAGGCAACGCCAACCTCATACTACCAGGTGCACACACTTGGGAAAGAAGCGACAGAGCTGGGCGTCGCTGGTGTACTCATAGAGCCAAAGCACATATGGGTCCTCCTGCGGAATGGCTCCCTGATTGATGCGCCTTTGACGAGCGACGACATGTCTGTGTGGTCTGAGATGCCGCTTACTATAGACACGCATGTGTTGCCTCCCCTCAGCACGCCGAGGCCGAGTCTGTATGCATGGACCCCATTCACTCGACACGGAGATGCGCGACTTTTCCTCTCGACCGACACAAGCGCATGGTCCGTCCATCGTTTCGACGGGTATGCTAAGGAGGCGTATGAAGATGGTCCAATGTGCGCAGTGAGTTTCAGTCCGAATGGAAAGCTCGTTGCTTGGATCAATGAGCGACAGGAACTGATCGTCGATACGGTCGGTCCTTCTCGACGCCGCTTGCGGACGTGGGACATTACGAGCGCTCATGCGTACCAAGTAGCACCACTTGCATTCCGCACACGAAAACTACTTGAGGATGCAGATCTGGTCGCAACGCCCACTGACAAAGGGGGATTCGCTGCGTCGGGCGTGCACGCCATGACATGGTGTGGCGATAATGCCGTGGCTCTTGCCATCTGTGATCATGTGCTGTTGGTGGGCCCGCATGGCGAGCCGATGGACTTTCCCGTGCGAGGGATCCCGTACTTATTTGGCAGTCACGATGGGCTACATATCGTGCACCGTGATGCACATGAGCACATCGGGAAGGTGGAAGCGCCAACGCTGCGTGCGTTGCGTCCAGGATCCACGCATATTGCAGCGATTCTTCTGGATGCATCACGCCTTGCTCAGCGGCACCGTCCCCAAGCGTATGAAGCTGTACGAACGATCCAGCACGAGTTGGCATCCGCTGTGGACACGTGCATTGAAGCGGCCACGTATGAATGGCTCGTCGATACCCAAACAGCTCTGTTGCAAGCGGCGCTATTCGGTAAAACATTCATCGACACGTACGAACCAACGCGGTTCCTGCATGTGGCGCGCTTGATGCGCGTGCTGAACGCTGTGCGCACACCGTGGATTGGGATCCCAGCGAGCTTCGACGAGACACATGTCCCGAACCTCTTATACCGTCTTGCTTCCCGCGGCCAGCACAAACTTGCTGTACGCATGTGCGAGCATATGGGTGTGCGGCCAGATGCCGTACTAAAGCATTGGGCACGGGCGAAGGTTGCGCGTGCACGTCCCGTGGGTTTGCATGGAGACACGGCTCGTGACGAAAGACTTGCGCATCTTATCATCGACAAGTTTCAGACTGCTGGCACACTCAGATACGCTGATATTGCGATGAACGCATGGCATGCAGGTCATCCACGCATTGCGACACTGCTGCTGGACAAGGAGGTGCGCGCCTGTGATCAGATTCCACTGCTTATGCACATGCAAGAATACCGCCTTGCACTCATGAAAGCTGTTGAAAGTGGCGATACAGATCTCATTTTGCATGTAATACTGGCACTGCAGAGTAGTCTTGCACGAGGTGCATTTTTCCGCATCGTGCAGTCGCTGGACTGGCCGTCATTGCCACCGCCAAGTCAAGACGCACAGAAAGTGGCAGCAGCTGCAGCGGCAACAACAACAACAACAACATCTGCATCAGCAACAGCAGTAAAGGCCGAGCCTACCGACGTGGTGGGACTGCGACCGACGTCTCTACCGACGTACACGACACTCGCGCCGCGTCTGCTTGTTTCGTATGGTCGTGACTACGATCGGCCGTTGGCGCACGACTTTTTCTACCAAGATGATCGACATGCCGACATGGCTCTTCTTTGCATCGATGATGCCCTGCAGATGGATGCATCGGTGCGTGCGGGTGCATTGCGCCGTGCGCAGCGGCATTTTGGCGAAGATCGGACGTGTGCAAGCGAAGCAAGACTCACAGACGAGACATGCTCGTTGCTTGGTGTTCAAGTAGCCATCCAGGCTGAGCTGAACATCGCGGATACCACTGGCAGACCGCCGTCACAGGTCCAAGGCATGTCGTTGTTCGACACCATTCTCACCTGTTTGAAGCATCCGAAACTGGAAAAACGTGCTGAAAAGCTCAAACACGATTTCCACGTGCCCGAAGCACGCTACTATGCATTGCGTGTGCGCGCATACATTGCAACCCAAGATTTCCACTCTTTGTGGCGGCACGTCACGTCGCGTCGACCGCCTCATGGCTATGTGACAATTGTCCAAGCACTCGTGCATGCAGGTCATGTCGACGAGGCATCTAGGTACATGAATCGTGGCGTTACGATGGACAAGGCGAATCGAGCCAAGCTTATGTACGTGTGTGAAAATGGCGGGCAGAAGCATGGCGGAAACTAACAAGCGACAGGGCCTTTTTGGACCGATGTCCGAATGAGGCAGTACAAACGAAGTTGCGCGCTGCGATGCCGTAACGCAATACCCAAAAAAGGGAAAGGGCATGGAAGGCTCTAGGTACATACAAAGGAAAGCACAAAGATAAGGCGATGTTCATGCACATGGACGGTGTCACAAATGCACATGAGAAGCTGTAGCGATTGCGACGAGCAACAGTGCCGAATGAAATCCAAAAAAAGGAAAAGAAAAAAAAAAATAAACATGGTCCTCATGTACCGAAAAACCAGTTCGTTGGAAATGCACCCCTCGACACAAGGCTGTGTACCTCTGCGTCTACGTGTATACATGAGCCCATGTCCACGCACCTATTTTGGTACGCAAGTTACGATATGGATGATACTGGGAGTCACATACCTCCGGCATGACGACGTCGGTCTGCATACCATGACGGCAGCAAGGTCGGAGCTTCTTGCGTACCACGCTCAATGGCATCCAAGACACACAGCAAATCGTAGTTGATCTCGTCGTGAATGACCGAATCGCGTTGGTAGGCGTGGTGCTGCGTCACAAAGTCCCGGACAAACGTCGCCATCGTCACGAGACGGCCATCCGCGCGCATGGCGACAAAGTCCAAGTATTCGTCCAGTCGACGGCGTGTGTCGCTGTCCAGGTCGAGCGAATCAAGGTATGTGCGTGTTAATGGCACAAGGCCCGGCATCGTGGGTGTACCAAGAAACAGCTCAGCCAAGGTGTATTCGCGTGTCTCCTTCGTCTGGGCGCTCGTGCGGAAATGAAAGCGCTGCGTATGCACGGCATTGCGCTGCTGTGCACGCTGCATATTTACATCGACAAGCGAGATAGGCATGCAGAAGTCCACGGGCATCGTCATGATCACTTGCGTCAGGAGCACCAGGAAGATCGAGTACGCTGCATTTTCAAAGTCCGTTAGCTGGATCTCCATAGGCCGGAATTCCACACGCCAACCGACGTGCGCGCCATGCGGCGGCGGTTTGAACCGCATCGTCTGCCAGTTTGTCGATTGGATATTCTCAAAATGGTCCATTGAACGTTCATCGTCCAAGTCAATGTTCTCGGAGAACACGACCAGTGGGTCGCGAACAAAAAGATGCGCCATATGCTCGGCAAGAAGCTCGTCCACGCCGCACTCCATAAGCCGCTGCTTGACAGGCATGTTCATCTCAAGGTCTACATCGTTCCACTCACGTGCATCCAGGTACGAATCGACGGAGTCGTAGCGGCTCTTTCGCAGCGTCCGCGGACCCGTGTCAGAATTGTGCATAGGCTCAGCAGGCTTCAGTGGGTGCTCCGCACGCTCGGCGGGCGTCCGGTCATCCACAGCCGCACTGATGATGTTCCAGCGACAATCGACATCCGCTAAGTATCCACGATACACAGGACTTGCAGCCGTCGCTGCAAGAAGAAGAGGCGTGATAGGAACGAGTTGGTCATACATACGGCGTGCATCGGCCAAGCAGCGTGCCTGGAACGTCACTTGCAGGCAGCTACAGCCCATGCCAAAGCCCATGGCATCCATGTATATGTGATCCGCATATGCCGCGCCCAGCTTCGCTTCAGGATCTTCGGCGAATTCAGCTCGTTCCCAAGGAATGCTGGGATCGATAAAGGGTGTCGGGGTATGTGCATCACGGAATATCGGCACATTGATCCGCACTTTCGAACCACGCCGCTTGCGGATATTCGCTGTCAGGGTGGGGAAACGCACATGCTGGTTAATGATCTCGTCTGGGAGAAAAAGGGAATGACTCGCCACACCACGCGGTGGCAACTCACACACAGGCTCCGTGAAAGGCGTATCGAGGACGCCAAGTCGCGGATACGATGCAAGAGCCATCAGCACCTCGTTGTCCCGCAAGTGTTGCCGCGTAATGTCGCGCCGTAGCAGCATGTTTGGCTCAACACGCAGAAGCTCTGACGCACTGATACCGAACGGGCTGCCGGGCGTGCTCTCGATCATATAACGACCATACTCGGGATGGAACTTGGGCCGGTCTTCTGGTGCGAGATTTTGAAGCTCTTTCATGCAGCATGTGTTGAGGCGCTCAAGAATCTCGCCTTGGCGCAACGACAGGCGTGCCGTCTTGTGTGCGTGATCAAGCACGACGACCATATATTCGAGCTCATCGCCCCACAGCAGCGGATCGTTCTGCCGATCGCGCGACTCGCGCCAAACAGACAAGAACTGCTCAATTCCATGCTTCCGTACATGCTCCGACAGCTCTCGGGCATCTTCCCATGCGAGTGGCGTCCCTAGTGATAAGAGTCCCATGAATCGCGCGGCCTAGGCTCTTTGGCTACAAGCGACGACTAGAGGCAAACACTCAGAGCGCGTTTATCGCCAAAGAAAAGAAAAGAGAAACAAATAACAACAGGTGAATATGGGGTCAAAATGTGAGAGGGAGAAAACAAATTGATACACCTCCGGGACCTTTTGCTCGTGTATTTCTCGAGCTTGTGTGTGCTGCTATTCGACTTGGACCAGCCTCTGTAGGGCCTGTTTTCTTGCCTGCTTATCGACAGGGCCACAGTGGCGTCGGTGCCTAGCACGCCATTGCTGGAAATGACGATCGTGCTTATGTAAACTATTGCTCGCATAGTCGCATCCTATGTGGGGGTTGGGTTGGATTGGGCATTGAAGAGGTGGGTGGAGGGGAAGACAAAGGACGCAGGCGCGTGTGTAGCTCGGCCTTTCGTTGAGAAAGGGAGAGGGAGATGGGGGGCGCTCAAGAACCTGGCCGGCTGTCTGGCGCTTTTGGTCCTCCACGCGAGGTAGTTTGGCTGATCGGCTGGCTGACAGACAGGGATTGTTGGCTGCTGCGTGATTATTTGCTGCCCAGCCATTGTTGTTGGGATTGTGGCATTGTCCTATCCTACTCTGTTCACACCCTTGCCTCCCCACCCCAACCGTGTTTCCGGCTTCTCTGGCTCCTTTGGATTGTACGAGCATTTTTGTCTTCATCAGTGTGCACTAGGGTCACCTTGAATTCTACTTCGACTTACCGTCCTTGTATAGCCAGTGGCGTGTCATTCACCTGTTTCTTTCACGCCCGCGCTGTCCGTCCTCTTGCTTCTAGGGTCGCCAGGTGACTGTTTCTGCTTCACGCACGTCCTATTCTTTGTATGACGACGTGGAGCGCTGCATGCATCGCTCTGGCAGTGAAAGCAGTGTATTGCACCGCGCGCACTGTGGATCATAACGCATCGCTTCCCGTCGACACCCGCGTGGCTCTGTGCCTTTTTATTGCTGCCTCTCTGATTCTTGCAGCCTGCATAACATTTTTATTCATGACCTGGTCGCCACAAAGTCTGGATCCACTTCGCTTCTTCCCTCCCCTGACGCAGCCAGCGCCACCACTCGATACGCATGCAAGCACCTCGGCTCTCCAACTGACTTTGTCTGACAAGAAGCGCTTCTACGTTGGTTTGTCGAATCCCAGCATAGATTGCTACTTTAACAGTGTTGTACAGAGTCTCGCAAGTCTCGTACACCTTGCGCAGTACCTTGACGACGTCACTGTCATGTCACGTCGATGGCATGTTGCCACGCCCGTAACTGATGCCCTACGCTCTCTTCTCGTCTTGCTGAACACGCCACAGTCGCATCGCATGACAGTCGCACCACGCGACCTTCGCCGAGCCCTACAACATCGCGCTTCTCACTCTCAAGGTATTCGCACACTCCTCTCTGCTCAGCAGCAGCAAGATGCACACGAGCTTTGTGTTTTGCTCGTCGAAGCGCTTGATGCCGAACTTGGCACTGTTCAACAAGCTCGCTCAGATGCATTGCGTGCAGCATGCGTGGGGTTGCAAGTGCTCACGGCCCCGTCACATATTGTACATGGCCGCTTGCGGACGCAACTTGGGTTTGATGGTGACCACAGCTCGAATCCTTTCCGTGGCACTCTCGCACAACGTACTTCGTGTGGCCAGTGTGGCTATATGGAAGCTATCCGCCATTTCTCCTTTACCGACATTGACCTCGTGGTACCAGGCGCCGCGTGCACGCTGGAGTACTGCCTCAGTGCTTGGATGCAGCTCGAGGGCATTGAATGGGTTTGTCATCGGTGCAGTCTTCTAGCGACAATGAAGCGCATCGAGCTCGAGCGGATTGCTAGGGATGCTCAGGCCATCGATCACCGTCAGTCAGCTCGGCAGCTGAAGAAGATACGTCTTCTTGATGCACAGCTCGACAGAGTTGCGAAGGTGATTCGCAGCGGTGTGCATGAGTCAGAGCTAGAGGCATCCCATGCTCTGGACGGTATCGTGCAGGAGCGCGTGCTGAGTACGTCTGCGACGAAGCAAATCATGCTCGCAAAAGCCCCACGGATCCTGCTTCTTCACGTCAACCGCTCGTCTTTCTCTCTCGGTCAATTCGGCGCTAGCAAGAATCACGCACGAGTCCTGTTTTCTGAACGTCTGAATTTAGCTCCGTTTATTACAGGGTCGTCACTTTCGTCCCATCCCATGAAACGCTTGTCTACATCGCATACGCCGACATGGTACGTGCTTCGTGCTATCGTGACGCACTACGGCACACACAACTATGGTCATTACGTGTCATATCGACGGCGTCCTAATGGTGTATGGACACGAGTATCGGATGAAAACGTACAGCTATGCGCGTGGGACGATGTGCAAGCTCAGAATCCCTACTTGCTCATGTACGAGCGCGTTGACGGTTACGACGACAACGGGTGCTCTGAGTCCGTCAATGATATTGGCAATCCCCATGGAGGCGACCATGGCGAGCCCCGCATATTCCATTCAGCACCGCGCACCATGATACCCCCCCTACACAAGACGCACTTGCAGCCGCGTACGCTGCATCGCTGGGATGCTTATGCATTCTTGTCACGAAACCACGCAACTCCAGCCGCGTAGTTATGCGTGCCAAGCACGCTCCATAGCCGTATGTATATCGCGCTGTTCACCAGATACTTGAGCTGCGGATGAATGCGTTAGTTTTTAGTGCTTATCATCCAAGTACTCGTCACACGTACAGGGTAGAAAGTCAACCGGTTCAATGGCTTCGTCACGTCCATCAAGTACATCTAAATGCAGATTCGCGACACGACGACCAGGCATGGGTGGGATCTACTCATAAGATAAAAGAAAAACCATGTCAGTTGGATGCTCTTCTCTCCTTCCTTTTTGCTAGGTCATTTTGTACGTACACTCGACACAAACTTGCGTTCCATCATCATGCGCATCGGCATGCCCATACCGAACGTGTTCCTGTTCATAGTCATTTTCCAGTTTCTTTGCGTCTCATCCCAGTTTTCAAGACGATGCTGAATTGGATGAAATGCAGAGGCAGCCGTTTCGTCACGCATACTCCGCAATCCATGCCGCATGGCATCATGCACTCCCGTCTCTGGATGCAAAGTCGAATGTGCATCTGTCTGTGTGCGTGGAAGGTGCGCAGGCGGCACAATGGCCATAGATGGCCGACTTTCTGATGGCATGGCTTCCCCACAAATAAGACAGCGACGGATGAATCTGGGCTTTGTTGAGAGGAAAGGGGTCTTCGTCACTTGCAACTGCCTGTCGCAAGTTGACGCGTCGTCAGCTTTGAGCGAGAATGCCACGTGGTCTCGCTTTATCGTCATAAGCACAGACGCGCGATGTACAACAATTTTTTTTTTTTCGCGTTCGTCAGTCATTGCTTCGCGCAGCAGGCAGCGACAAGACAACATTGCGTTACACGACAGAGCATTGGATTCGCGTCGTGAGTGCATTGTTACCTCATGGGTAAGCGTGGCGTTGATTCAGCGTCAAAAGCTCCTCTTGCATCAGGGAGCAAACCGGACGCGAAGAAAGTTCGCACGACGGAGCCAGCGGCTGTTGTGACCGATGAGTTCACGGCTGAAGCCACTAGGAAAGTGCCTTCTCTCCATGATACGGAAATAAATTCTAAATCTACAAAGGATTCTACCAAGTCTGAGGGAGACGGGACCGAATCTTCGATACCTGCTGAAGCGGCAGAAACTCTGCAACTCTCGCACTCAGTGCGCCACCAAGTAGCCATTCCAGCCGGCTACGACTACTTGCCGCTTTCAAAACATGTCCCGCGCGATCCACCATCACGCTCGTGGCCATTCGAGCTGGATCCATTCCAGCGCACGTCTGTCTATTGTATTGAGCGAAGTGAGAGTGTTCTAGTTTCGGCACACACGTCAGCTGGTAAGACGATCGTCGCCGAGTATGCGATTGCGCAGGCGCTGCGTGATGGTCAGCGTGTTGTTTACACGTCGCCAATCAAGGCTCTATCAAATCAAAAGTATCGTGAGTTTTCCGCCGAGTTCGGCGACGTAGGGCTTATGACCGGCGATGTCACGATCAATCCTAGTGCATCATGCCTTGTGATGACGACAGAGATTCTCCGCTCCATGCTATACCGTGGCTCTGAAATCATGCGTGAAGTGGCCTGGGTTGTGTTTGATGAAATCCACTACATGCGCGATAAGGAGCGAGGTGTCGTCTGGGAAGAGACTATCATTTTGCTTCCACGCAAAGTGCACTACGTATTTCTGTCCGCCACCATCCCAAATGCAATGCAATTTGCCGAGTGGATTGCACACATTCATGCACAACCATGCCATGTCGTGTATACCGATTTTCGGCCTACACCACTGCAGCACTACTTGTTCCCCGAGGGTGGCCAGGGAATCCACCTTGTGGTTGATGAAAAAGGTGTGTTCCGTGAAGACAACTTCCAAAAGGCGATGGGTGCCCTTTCCGAAGTTCGGGGTGATGATCCTGCTAGCACAGAATCCGGAAAAGGCCGCAAAGGCCAATCAAAGAAGGGCGGCGGTACGTCTGGTCCATCGGACATCTACAAGATCATCAAAATGATCATGCTCAAGCAGTACAATCCTGTGATTGTGTTTGCATTCAGCAAGCGGCAATGTGAGGCCCTCGCTTTGCAGATGTGCAAGCTTGAGTTTAACACAGATGACGAGAAGGAGATGGTATCGACCGTGTTTCGCAATGCGATTGACGCTTTGAGCGAGGATGATCGCAACCTGCCTCAGATTGAGCAGATCCTGCCGTTACTTCGCCGAGGTATTGGAATCCATCATGGTGGTCTGCTTCCCATTCTCAAAGAGGTGATTGAAATCTTGTTTCAGGAGGGACTCCTCAAGGTGCTTTTTGCCACAGAGACTTTTAGTATTGGACTCAACATGCCTGCCAAAACCGTTGTATTTACGGCTGTACGTAAATGGGACGGCAATGAGTTCCGTAACTTGTCATCGGGTGAGTTTATTCAAATGAGTGGGCGTGCCGGACGTCGTGGCCTGGACGATCGTGGCATTGTGATCATGATGTTTGACGAAAAACTCGAACCATCAGCGGCGAAACTCATGGTCAAAGGTGAGGCTGATCGGTTGAACAGTGCCTTCCATCTCGGCTACAACATGATTCTGAACCTTATGCGTGTAGAAGGCATTTCGCCCGAGTACATGTTGACGAATTGTTTTTTCCAATTCCAACAGGCCGCATCTGTACCGGAACTTGAATCCAAGCTCGCCGATGCCGAGGAACGCCGCGACGCTATCCACGTGCCGGACGAGGACGACATCGCCGCCTACTATACTATGCACAAGACACTCGCACAGCTGGACGATGATCGGCGCGAAGTTCTTCGACACCCGAGTTATGCGCTGCCATTCCTTCAAGCTGGTCGTCTTGTGAATGTGCGGCATGAAGACGTCGATTTTGGCTGGGCCATTGTTGTCGCGTACCACAAACGCATGCCTCCCAAGGGTCAGGAATTTGATCCCCGTGCGCCGCCACACAGCCTATACGTTTTGGATGTATTACTCCATTGTGCTGCTGGGACTATCGTGCCGAAGCAGCGGGAATCTGCGCCGTCATTTTCAGGCATAGAGCCGCCTGCGAAAGGCAGCCATGGAAACGGGGAATGGCTTGTTGTGCCAATCCTTTTGTCACACGTCGAGGAACTCAGTGGGATCCGCGTGTTTTTGCCGAAGGACCTTCGACTTCGCGATGCGCGCGCTCAGGTCGGGAAGAACCTTGCCGAGGTCTGCCGACGCTTCCCGTCAGGTCTGCCGCTCTTGGATCCTGTCAAGGACATGAAGATTGATGACGTGTCGTTCCAGCAACTTCTTGGCAAGATGGAGATCCTGCAGTCGAAAATGAAACAGGCTCCGATTACTCAGGACAAGCCACGCTTTGAGGAGTTGTTTGCGCTATACAAGACAAAGCAGGCAGCTGCCGACCAGGTCAAGTCGATTCAGGACCAAATTCATGTTGCTCACAATGTGCTTCAGCTTGACGAGCTAAAGTGCCGTCGACGTGTGCTTCGTCGCTTGGGCTTTACATCGTCCGAGGATATTGTGGAGAAGAAAGGCCGCGTCGCCTGTGAAATTAGCACAGGTGACGAGCTGTTGCTAACGGAGCTCATGTTTAACGGCACTTTCAACGAACTTTTGCCTGAACACTGTGCGGCGCTTCTTTCCTGCTTCGTATTTGGCGAGCGCAGCGAGCACCCTGTTCGTCTCAAGGAGGACCTTGCTGCGCCCTTGCGCATCTTGCAGGATACTGCGCGGCGTATTGCAAAAGTGTCGGTAGAATGCCGCCTTCCAGTGGTCGAGCAGGAGTATGTGCAAAGTTTCAAGGTTGAGTTGATGGATGCTGTTCTTCAATGGTGTCAAGGTGCACGCTTCGCAGACATTTGCAAAATGACAGATGTGTTTGAGGGCTCCATTATCCGAGCTTTTCGGCGTCTGCAAGAACTGCTGCGCCAAATGGCCATGGCGGCCAAGGCTATTGGGAATGACGAGCTTGTTCACAAGTTTGAGCAGGCCCTCGTCAAGCTGGAGCGCCCGAACTCGATCATCTTCAGTCCCTCGCTCTATCTGTAGACTCTATGGACGCTCATTTGCGGCCATGGTAGCGTCTATGTATCGGATAGGGTTTCCCTGGGCTTACGTGTATAGTAGGACACACTTGACGCCGATTAGACTTGAGGCATACGCGATTATGAGGAGGACATCGAGGCGGCAAGGTCGTCAAGACCGCCGAGTGACTGCCAAAATGGCACAGCTTCAGGGGATTTTGCGCATGCGAATGGTAGGCAGAGAGTCCGGCATCACAGTAGACATGCGCTCTAAGTGATCAGCCACCGCTCAGGCCAGGTCCCATATTTTTTTGACAATAACTATGACGCGGTGAGCCATGGTAACAAGTTTGTTAGATTCGTGCACCCCTGCTCCCTCTGCTCTTACGAGCTGTACACAGACCAAGTAAAATAAAATGACTTGCATTCATATACTTTGGCAGATCTTAGTCTTCCTCAATGGCCATTTCATCCATGTCGTCGAGCAGCTCATCCAGCTGCACACGTGGCAGTTCGCTATCGGAGCCATATTCACTGTCATTGTCAGTCGTCGCACCGCCATCATCCATCGAGTCCATAGCAGATGAGGAGTCGCGAGGCGGCTGTTGGTCGTCCTCATCGTCCTCCATAGCTTGTGGATCACGATACCGAGTTTCACGACGACGACGGCGCTCTTCGTCACGTGCAATGCGTTCCTTGTCCTTGTACATATTGACATTCGCGCGCATCTCTTCGTCCTCCTCCAAGTCACGCAGGAACTGCTCGTAGTCACGCTCAACACGCTGTGAATCTAGACCACCTCGGCGACCAAGCGCACCACGACCCACAACATGCTCGCCAGCGCTGGGGTCCTCGGCTTCTTTGGCGATACTCTTGAGTTTCCAATTGCGTTTCGAGCGGCGCTTGCGCTCTGGGTAACTCTTCTTTACCAGCACCACGTCTGGCCGTCGCTCTTCTGGAATGGCATCCCATTCGTCGGAATTGAAGTTGGCCGTCGCTAGATAGTATCCCATGACAGTGTCGCCAGGGTTCAAGATATGGCCCAAATGTGTGCGTACATGGTACACAGCATCTGACTCGCCAAACGTGCTCGCATGTAGCGGCGAGACTTGCGCATCAGCTGCCATAAACTTGCTCATGCTTTGCCCATGGGGTCCATGAGCAATTGTACCTGTCGTCTCGATGTCCAGCACAAGGAACTCGACCATTTCTGGTATGGAGCACAGTGCAGGGAATGGATCGCGCCAATACTTTTCTGCCGTCAAGTCAGCCATTTGAAGCGTCACAGGATCAATGAGCTTGATGACGTTGCTTATACGGTAGGGAAGCACAAACTGTCCAATGTTGCCAAGAGAGCGCGCCACATGAAGTGGCAAGCAGATCAAGTCGTCTTTACACAACGGCACGATCTCTACGCTGTATGTGAATTTGTAGTTGCTCTGACTCGTGTGCACATCCATACTGATCAGTTGTTCGGACTTGTTCATCCTCACTGGCACAACACTCGCAAGGAACTCGCACATGCGAATCGCATGTGCACGCTGAACATAGAAAAAGTCGAGACCATCTTTCTTTTCTTGGACAGATACAGTCTCGCGGTGTGCATTGTACTTCAGGATCAGCTGTTCTAGGTATAAGAAGGTACGTTTGTGTGCCACTTTCTGCCGTACTTGCACGGCGGCCTTCCACATATTTTTGGCCGCAAGTCGCGTGCAGTCAGGACACTGTCCATACTGGACGAGAATTTCCACTTCGAAACACCGTTCGAGAATTGTCGACGTGTATACCTCTTTCTGCACCGTGAGTTTTACGCGCAAGCGCTTACTGTGCGGCTCAGTCCATACAAAGTTAGCATCGACGAGACGCACAGACTTGAGGCCACGGAGCTTCTTGAGACAAATAGCAAGAAGCTCACGACTCTCAAGTTGCGCAATGACCCAGGTATTAGGCGGATTCAAGTACCGCTCACAGTTACGGCAAAAGTTGATGGTCGCTTGCCTTGGAATCGACTCTGTGATGTCAATGCTGTTCCGCAGGCAATTCACACATCGATTTGCATTGTTGGGCTCAATAGGAATCCCGCAATCGGCACATAGCACCATGCGCTGTGGTGCAGAAGCATGATATTCCATGACGATGTTGAATGTTTGCGTTTGTCGCGGTGATGCAGGAGAAAGATGCTCGGCCTGTGGTCTGCTTGTCACAACGCCACCCAAGCTTCCTGGGCTCAAAGAAGCTTGGCCTGAAGAAAAAAAATTAGAAATCCTGTGCGCCGCACGAAAAAAAAAGTATTGCCTAAGAAAGTTGCCCGCCAAAATCCGTGCGCGCTGCCCTATGGAGGCTGACATATCACATGCAAACACCGCGATCGCGCGTGTGGAGTGGGTCTCTTGCTCCACAGTTTCGGCATAGATGAATTGCCTCCCGACGCCACACAGGAGATCCTGTGCGCTAGTAGTGTATTTTAAGTATGTGGCGGACCAGGCACAATGTATTCAGATGGCCAAGGTTTACTGTACCGGATCTTGAGAACCAATCTGAGAATCATACCATCGAAATGCATCCTGCACGGGCAGCACCGCCCGTGACGGCGTCCATGCTGCGCGAGCCGGAGCACGGCGACTTCCAGCTGCCTGAGCACCCCGAGACCAGTGCAGCTAACACAAAGAATGTGTCTAAAGATCCGCTTATCCGCCTAGTCGGGCCTAACGTTGGTGATTTAACCGACACATCAGCATACGACGAGCATGTCGTCATGACCAATACGCTCGAGCATTGGATCGATGGGGCTGCACGCCAAGAAAGCCTCTCATATTATCAGTTGTATGTGAATCTGCATCGTGATTGTACTACCTTGTACGAGCACGATCCTTCTCAGTCGCCATCTCTCAACATAGATTTCGCGCCTGACGTGAAATCCATGCTCGCACTTGATGTGCCGACGCACACGCTGTCGATCTCGTGTGATTGTGTCGCGCCTCAAGCACGCATTGACCTCTTTCTCCATGCTTCATCACGCCGGGTCGGCCCAAATGTATGCAAACCCCCTACCTTGACGACACATTCGCATGGTTGGAGGTTAGCGTCTTGTTTTATTCACACAGGCTACGATGTGGTTATTAGATTCCCTCTGTCGCTGGACGATGCATGGGATTTGACCACTCCTATGCAAATGACAGTCTCCGTGGAAGCGCTTGACGAGGATGGCCTATCACTCTTGCCGGGGCGCAATGCAATCACGACGGTGTGGGAGGTTCGGCAAACAGGGTCGTCCTGGCATGCTGCACCGATTGCGCAGTACGCATGTTTGAATTCCATGCGTCTTCAGATGCACGAAATGTTTGGCCTTGCACCTTTGTCGACGGAGCAGGTGGCACCGCGACCGAGCAATACGGCAGGCGGAGAAAACTCGTATCAAGAACCACTTGTGGTCAATGCCACGCTTCTTCATAATGCAACCATGTTGGCTGATGCTGAGCGCGAAGATGGCGCTGAGTGTCCCATTTGTATGTCGAATCCTGCGATGACGATTCTTTTCCCCTGCACGCACGCATTATGTTTGGAATGTGCAGTGCACTTGCGCGATAGTGTGCAAAAGTCCCGGCAGCAAGACCGCCGACACGGTCGGGCGCCAAGGCGGCAGTATGTGTGTCATATTTGTCGGAATGAGATTGAGTCTATGTTGGCACTATCGAAGCAGCCATTGCAAGCTCATTCACCCAAATCGCCACTACCACAAGACGTCTCACCAACAACTTAGATGACGTCCTCCATATCGTCCATCTCATCTTCGCCATCATCACCCACGTCATCAGTCTCCCTATTTGGACGACTTTGGTCGATTGGGACGTGGTTTTCCGTTCGCTGTGTGTCCTTGTCTCCATCATCATACCTCGGACGTTTTGACATGAGATCATTGGTATCATCCACGTCTACTGTTCCCATGCTTCCATCGATCTCGCGCTTAGTGCTTGTCTTTGCGTTGACAGCTGCTTCCTGGGCCTGTGATGCATAGCGTGCATAATAGTCCACATCATCATCCTGAGCAGTGCCCGTGTCTTGCACCACCTCCTTCACATCATCCCATTCGTTGGAACTGGCATTTGCGCGTCGGAGTGACTCGGATGCACCGAGGCCGGTCCGCTCCCCGCTCACGGTAGATGCAAGGTGCCAAGAGGGCAGCGTGTTTTGCACACGCTGCCGCTCTTCTTCAAGTGTGCGCAGTTTCTCCTTTTCCACCTCTTCGTGTGCAACATCATGCTCCATTTCTATACGCACAGCTGGCGCTTTGGGTGCTGGCGTAGACACGGAGCCTGGTGCGAGTGCAGCATCGTTGCGAACCATCTCATGCTGCCACGGAGGGGATGTGCTATTTTTCGCTAGCCATGCGTGAATATCGAGCGAAGGAAGTGCAACACCCTCGACACTGCGCAAAGACCGCTGTACAACGCTTAGCTGCTCATTGAAGCGTGTGAGTGTGTCTTTGGAATTGCGCACATCTTCTGCGTCTTCATTATCGACAAGCTCCGTGCCACAGCCCGGCACTTCGCATACGAACATGTTTCGCGTCAGGTCTAGGAGATGCGCTACCTCCAGTGTTGAATATGAATGCCGGCACCGCGGGCACACGTATCCCTTGTTGTCAAGTCCATTCCTCAATTTTGTGTCGATATGTCGACGCATGGCCATCATGCGCCATTTTGTGACGTCTAGAAAATGTTTGTAGTCCATGTAAAAATATGTACGTGTGATGGGCCGCTGGAACGGGCCTTCGCGAGTTTCTTGGTTCCGATGCACACTGATCATGCGGTCTTGCACGAGTTTCGTTGCCAGCGACGTCAAGTCACGCGTCTGCATGCCAATACGGCGAGCGAGCACTTCTGCGGGAATCGCAGCGATACTAACGAGCTGGTCCATCACGAGAATATGTCCGTCTTCGTAGAACAGACGCGCAATCACTTGTGCAAGCCGTCGAATCTCGGCCATCTGTTCGGGTGTAGCCTGCTGTGCTTCGACAGTGCCAGCCTGCGAATGTCCAGCGGCATGCCCAGCCGGCGTGACCGATGCCATGGGACGTGAACGAAGATGTTCAGGTATGAGGGACTGTTGTGGGATAGGTGGGAATGTGTGCCAACGTGGGCCCTTTTGTCAACACGCCTATGTTGTCGTCCCTGGAGCCTGGCGCTTCGCGCCTGTTGCTTGGAGCAGAAGACCTGTGCTGTTGCCTTGATTCGCCACACCAGCGATCTGTGTTTCTTGTGCGAGCAAAGCACAATATCCTACTAGGCTGAGGAACCAAATCGTGTACTCCACCGTGTTGTGTGTCATTGCCTCTTCCGCGCACCTGTCACACGCACGTAGGCGGACAAATCCTGCTATCCCTCCACCTATCCAAGCGAGGATTTTGGGCCGACACATGCGCGTAGCTGCTGGGGGGGGGGGGTGGAGGCAGGGCAGGGCAGAGGGATGGGGGGACAGGCAAACAACACTTAAAGCATTCGCGTGCGTCCGGCACGACAGCTTTTTGTGTCGGGTTCGGGTTTTGTCGCCACGCGTTCTTGTGCTTGCTTCAAAGCTGCCAGCCTGATCCATTACTGTCCGATGCACGGTGCTCTCAACAATGAGCATGGCGAGCATGGAGTCAACGGCTCATTCGATGCAGCACTCGCTCGTCAAGTCCCCTCTCGCCTAACAACTGGAGAAAGCAGTCGAAACGATGAGCTGCATCTACCCTCAACTGGTTCAGCTGCCGCCGACACGGCCGGTTCGAGAATGGGGTCATTTTCGTTCAAGCAGAGACCGCGCGATGTCTCGACAGGACTCAGCAGTATGCGCCGTTGGCTTGGTCGTGAGTCATACCGGAATAGCTCGACGTTTTCGGCGCGGTATCGGGGAAGTGGCATGCCAGAGGGCTGGGAACACCCGGCACGGTACTTGAATGTATCGCAAATAACTGTGCCATCGATTTTGCCTGCCGTACAACCTGTACCGCAGTCGACACCTATACCAATGCTCCCGTATACGGTGCTATGTCTATTAATTTTTGGCGAATTCAGCTCATCAGGTGTGGCTGGACCGTTTTTGTTTTTCATGCTGAATGATTTTCAGCTGGGTGATGAAAGTCGCGTCGGATTTTGGGCTGGTATTCTGTCGTCGATTTTTTTCTTCGCCCAGTTCCTGACGTCGCTCATGTGGTCGTCTGTAGCTGACAAACACGGACGCAAGTATGTTTTGCAGATGTCACTTATCGGCAACTCACTCTCGCTTATTGCGTTTGGTCTTGCGCCGAATCTCCAACTCGCTATTCTTTTTCGACTTGCCCAGGGCTTCTTTAATGGTGCCGTCGGCGTTGCCCGAGGTGCCGTGCGATCACTCACTGATGAGACAAACGAAGGTCGCGCATACGCTCAAATGGGTTTTTGGTGGGGTATGGGTGGTATTGTCGGCCCCATTCTGGGCGGTGTCCTAGAGCATCCAGCTATCAAGTTTCCCTGGCTGTTTGGGCGTAGTGCGTTTCTACATGCGCATCCGTATGCCCTCCCGTGTATGTTTGCGGCGTCAAGCACTATTCTCGGTGCCATTCTGAGTTTCTTTCTCGAGTCCGATGCACCGACCGCCACGGGTAGGATTCGACTTATGAGTGACCATGAAGTTGGGCACGAACATGAGCACGAGACCGATCCGAATCGTAGTGCTTGGTCACTTGCTAGCTCAACATGGAGCCGGAGTCGCAGGTCGCATCATTGGCCCCAGGCGTTTGGTCCGCGGACGCGTCCCATCTCGTCTGGCTCAGCGTACGGGTACCAGGGGGAGCCAGCGCGTGCGCATCGTGAATCGATGCTGCGCCGCATGTCTGTCGTATCATCAGCAGCACATCCCAGCTCGTACTTTGCAGTTCCTCATGATGCCGGACATCATGATGTGCCTCACGCTGAACTCGACCATGAGAATGCGAACCCACGCGCATCACTTGTTGAGCGTTTTGTACTTGCTAATGACGACACTGTTCTTTCGATTACCGATCTTTGGGTGGCTGCAGCAGCCAACACAGAGGACGTGCCGGAAGACGATGATCGGAACACGATTGCAGAGGCCGACGAAGCTGAAGAAGAGGACGACGAAGGGCAACATCATTCTGATGCAGAACACAGTGCACCTGCTGATTTGCCGACGACATCGAGCAGCGAAACACGACCTACGTCGACACTCTCATCGACATACGTGCCGCCCATGCATTTTACTCGATCCAACAAGCTGCACCGGATGAATGGCCATGACACATCTGCTGCGTATAGGCGCCCATCATCTGCTGTGAACGCAGCGGAGGCTGACGAGGATGTCAACAGCCATGCGCAGAGTGGTGCTCTCGACAGCGTGGACAGCACAACGGCGGATGTGTCCGCGCCAAATGTCTCACCATCGCCAATCTGGCTCTTGCCTCTGGTGGTGATTGGCCACTATGGTGTGCTGTCGTTCCATTCGTCCATGTTTGACCAGGTGTTTATGGCATTTCTCGTGACGCCAGAGCCAAGTGGTGGCTTGGGCCTCACAGCGTCACATTACGCGGGACTCATCGCTGCTATGACGTTCTGCCAATTGTTGTTCCAGTTCCAAGTATACCCGAATTTTGGTCCGCCCAACGGCTCTCTTTCACACCTGGCCGTACTGCAGTGGGGCGTGTTGCTTTACCTGCCGTGCTACGTGCTATTTCCGTTCCTCCGCACATTCCTGTTACCTAATACTGATGTGGCTGTGATGCTTGGTATGATCCTATTTGCCGCGATTAGATGGCTTGCCAACATTCTCTCCTTCACGGCCGTCATGGTCCTGCTGAATGCTTGGACACCTGCACACCTTGTGCCACTCGCGAATGGACTTGCACAGACCATGAGCAGTTTTGCACGATGTGTTGGCCCGATTATCGGTGGTATCATATGGGCGAAGAGTATCGAAGGAGGACCCAACGCACATGCATGGCCGTTCAATTTCCACTTCGGATTCTGGGTCGTTGGTTTGGTTGCTTTAGCCGGTGCTATTCATACGCGGTGGATGCGGGATGTCATCATGATATCCTGAAGCTGTGAACTTGATGCTAGTCAAGTACAATCACATCCGTTGCTGGCGGCACAGTGGGTCGGCGTGCCCGCTTGGATGGATGGTCCTCATTTTCCTTGGTTGTGTCGCGTGAACGCTTCGCTCGCGCTTGTTTTGATGCCGTGTCGGGTGCAGGCTCGCTGGGTGCTTCAACGACACAGACGTCATCCTCGTCCTTATTTGCACCTGGATCTGGCGCGTGGTCGCTGTTTCCCGGCACGGCAGGCGGTGGTACTTCGATCCTAACGCGCTTGCTCAGCTTCACGGGCGTTCGAAGCACGAACAATCCATTCTTATGGCCATGCGTTTCGGCCTTTTCCAGGACAAACTGGACTGTCGGCCATGCTCCGTTGTCATCCACCACAGATAATACATCACCCACGTGCACGTTAAGATCACGCAATAGTTTGTGGGTATTCTCGTCCAAGTCTGCATCATACAAGATGCGTGTGCCAGCCGCAAGCGAAATCTCGGCATCGGCGTCGTATCCTAGATCTTTGCGAGCAGCATCGATCGCATGCTGCAGTGTCGTTTGCTCTGGATCTATGCCTGCGCGGCAATAGACATCTTGGCATACGCCACATCGAGGATTTGGCTGGCCGCATGCAAATGTCGTGAATAGACGCGTCGATCGACGAGCCAGGCCAACGACACGTAGCTCGGCCCACCGAGCCGACAGCATATGCAGGGCTTGCACAACCACGAGTCCGGCCACAATAGCATTTGTTGTTGCGATCGCCGGAATGATATTGCCTGCAATCTGCTTAGTATCGAAGCGTGTCTGCTCGGGGATGTGGTATACATGGGCGCGAAGATTTGATGCGGCAGTGACAAAACCTAAAGCTTCGTCATCGTCCTTGTCAAATGAAATAGGCACATCCGAAGATAAAGAACGCCTCGCAAGTGCAATAGTGGTCTCTGTAAACAAAGCGGCATTCTCTGCGACGGTGAGATGACGTCGATCCCGGAGTGTATGGTCGTCCGATGGCACCGTATGCATCGCGTGACGAGCATCACTATACGTGAGCGGCTTTGGCCGCGTGCGGTTTTGCCACATCTCATCCATCGCCAGAAGACGCTCAATATCGACTTGGTACAGCTTGTTAAAAATGCGCTGACACACGGCGTGCGGAGCATCACTTTCATGCGATATGCCTGAGGATGCACGTAACGAAGCGACGAGCTCATCACGTAGCACTAGCATTTGGCGGGCTTCATTTCGCAGGCGCTGAAGCTCCACTGCATCTTCACCGCGCTTAGCAGCCTCTGTTAGCTCATGCTCGTCCGACTGGTCGACTTCGCCGAACAGCTGCGGGAAAAGCCAATTCTTTGCCCATACGATGCAGTGAACGGGTGTCGATGGCGTTGAGCGGATCGTGCAGACTGGATATGTTGTTGGCATGGGATGTTCTGTGCAGTCATAGCACTCGGTGAAGGAAGGTCGAATTGGCTGCACCTGACCGAGGAAACCTGCTGTGCCACTCTCAATCAGCGGCACACGCGCCATAACGCACATACGATTCACCCACCTTCGTGTCTCCAGATTGTCGAGTGCACTTAATACCACGTCGAAAGATGCATAGTACGACACATCGAACTCAGGCGACTTGATATTGGCCTGGTGCGCAATGATCGTGACGTCCGGATTCATCGCAGATGCAGCGTCGCGAGCAACCTTTGCTTTCGATTGGTTGATGTGCTGTTTTTGGAAAAGAAACTGACGGTTCAAGTTCGACAACTCAATAGTATCTAGATCAATCTGCGCACGTTAGTTACGACGTGCTTGCGATGGCGAATGATACGTACAATATCCAGATGGCCCACGCCAGCCAATACTAGGTCCTTTAGGAGCTCACACCCAATTCCACCCGCACCCACAACGAGCATTCTAGCCTGTTGAATACGCTCGACTTCATGCTTTTCGAGCGTCGCACACGCAGGTGCATATCGCGCAGCGGCTGTCTGGTGCATGTTGCAACGCAATCCGAATCCATCTCACGACAAGGGTACGTAGCCAGGGTAGCATCAAAGATATTTTAGGCATGCATACGTAAGCCAGTCGCCATAACACAGGCAGCGTGCTTGGCCTGACCGCAGACCTGATCTCCACATCGACATGACGGCGTGCACTCTCCCCCCCTCTGCCGAGCTGCCGCTCGCATGCTTGATTGGGTGGGTTGCAAGCGCGGCGTTCTCTCCACACTCAAAAGTGGACGCACCTGCTTGCAAACGACACACGCCTCGCTAACCCTATCTAAACGGCCTCCGAGCCTCGAGAGCGCACGAAACACTAACACATTGGGCTACGCCGCGCAACACCCTCAGACATTGTCACATGCGGCAATTTTATGGTGCTAACTCATCGAAGCTCTTCCATAAAGTTTCTGAGAGACACTTGCTTGCATTCTCACCAACACAAACTACGAAACAGTCAGGACCCCTGCCTGAGCACGAGTACCAAGTGCGTCTCGGCGCAGCGATTCGAGTCTTGCGCGAGACCCTTCCACAGTTTATGGAACGAGGTCTTGTGGATCGCATGGATGTGAATCCATCGAACCCATTCATGCAGGTTCTCAAGTGCGGGATACCCAAGTCGCCAGCACAGCCAGAACATGTTTACCACTCGCAAATCCAGTTCACATTCCGACCGGGACCAGAACCAGCCGCGCCATTACGACTTATGTCTTTTAAAAGAAACACTGATGATCCCAGTGCATGGACCCCATCGATTTCGCTTCATGGAAGGCGTACATACTTGTTTAGTGCCAGTGCACTCCGACATGCATTGCATGCATGTTTTGCTGAACCGGAGATCTTGCTCGAGAACATGTCATTTTTACGCCGACCTGCAACAATGCGAATAAATGAAGCATTGCCAAATCCAGGCGATGAACTTCTCACAAGAATCCGCTTTACTGGTGTGAATCGTCTGGCGAATACACAGCAGAGCTATACAATTGTCTCGAGTTACCGCTTCGATCGGGCCACGGGCACCATTTGTGAGCATCGCGTTGATAAAATGATGCCCCTTCCAGGACAGCGTACATGGCAAACGATGGTGAATGTAGGTTCATCATGACAAGTCGTGTCTACCAATGTGAAAGAAGTGCGCCTACGAATGCGACCACGCCTCGCGCGACATACGAAATGCCGTTCGCAAAGTGTAGTCGTACAGCCCCTCTGTCTCATCAGGGTCACGGAATGGCGGACCCAGTGGGACAGCGAGTATCGAGCGGTCGGCTCGTTGTATGTATCGAAAGAACGGTTGGGGATGATTCGCAGCCATATCACGAGGCTTTTTCGCAGCCGACTCTTCTTGAGTATCTCCTTCAGATTTGTCGCGACCACGCACCTTGCCTGCTTGTTTCTTAAGCAGACGGTTAATTGTCTCGATCTTATCGTCTTCGAGCTTCTTTTCACTTTGATTTCGTCGTCGACGCGCCGTTTCAGAGCGACGGAGTGCCAGCTCCGTCTCTGAAAGCTTCTTCTTGCGCGACGAATCCTCCATAGGCAGCTCAATGAGCTCTTCATTAGCAATTCCGCGAGCCCGGTTCGCTCTGGCGATTTGCCGTGCCGTCATGGGCATATCACTAGTTGTCTCTTCATCTTCATCCTCGTCGTCATCCTCATTCTCATCAAGAAGGTCTCCCTCCTCTTCCTCGTCATTCATATTATCTTCATTGACCTCTTCTTCATCTTCGTCTCCAACAAGCTCGTCGTCCTCGTCGCGCTCCTCAGTATAGACATCACGCTGTTTGCGACTGGCATTTTTATGGGAGCTTCGAGTGGATTTCGTGCGAGACGAGCGACGTGGAGCACTTGTTGATGCTCGTCGAGATGGAGTCGACTGTGGGGTACTCTTGCGAGTCAACCTGACTCGGAGTGGTTGCCGACGAGCCCGTCGATTTGTCTCTGGTGGCGAATCGGACTCGTCAATTTCATCCACGAGTTCGTCGAATTCTTCCGAGTCTGACATATACTCGCCTTCCGACTCAGGTTCACCCTCTTCATAATCGATCTCCTCATCTTGCTGCTCATATTCGTTATTTTGTGCATCCACCTCGTCTTGCTGCATGGCTTCCGTCTCGTCTTCAACCGCGGCTGCAGTGCGAGACATCAACGAAACGAGTGTGGAGCGCTTGTGATCGCTGTGGTTCTACAGTCGCAGCCCAGTCACAGACCCACGTGGACGACGCAGGGACTCTCAAGTGAGGACGTCGATTCTCACATCCCACCTATCCTTGGCCGCTCTTTTCCTCCACTTGCCAACGAATTCATGTATCTCCTCCACAGGGATAGCTTTCAGGTTTACTTGAGGTGCCGGGCCGCTCCTATGTGAAAGCACGTATGTTGGATGTCGCTATGAAAATGTTTGTGACTGCAAGACCCTTGCAACACGTTGTTGCTTGGATAGACGCCAATCGTCTTGGTCTTTTGCATACTTGTCGAAGAGAGGCTGGATTTTTTCCTGTCGCTTCCGTTTCGACATATTCGCCTGGTCGGCCATCCGGAAGAAGCGAGGCGCCACTTCGACAAGCCATTTGGGTTCAATGGCCGTCACCTCGCGCATATACTCCTTCGACGTCATTACCACTTCATGGTACACCACGTACTCGGGTGGTCGGTGGAACAGGCTGCTCGACGGGTGTAGGTAGACATTGCCGCCGCTCTCCGCAAGTGTTCGATATCCTTCTTGTGGATCACGCTTTGCGGCATTGCGGAAGTAGCCTGAACATATAGCACGCCGAATGCGTGTGTAGTTGGGGCCACAAGATAAGATATCATGATGATAGCGATCCATAATACCCACGAGTTGTTTGCGTACGTCCTGTGCACGGCGCAGAGCGCGTCCTTGAATAAAATTGTCCATACACCAAGGCATAGAGAATCGGCTAGACACCCATGCATTGTAAACAGTCAGCAGCGTGAGATGATCGCCTTCCGGCTGAAAAAACTTGGCTCGCTTCGCATCGGCTTGGGCCTGCTTGTCTTTGGGTCGGTAGAATACATTCGGGATACTCAGCATAGCCACAATGCTGAGCATCTCTTCACTGCAGCCCATATCCACACTGGCAATCAGCATTTTTGCCATTGGCGGGTCCATGGGAAAATCAGCCATCTTCCGACCCAGACGGGTCAGCAAACCTTCATCATCGAGAGCCGAGAGCGCATAGAGAGACTCAAGTGCCGTGAGCATTGTCTGGGCTGGCGGTGGATCCATAAAGTCAAAGTGCAGAAGATCATTGATGCCCATGGCCTTAAGCGCGAGAATAGTCGAGGCAAGATTCTGCCGCTGAATGTCGGGGATGGGATTCGGCAGCATTTCATTCCGGAACGCCGCCTCCGTGTAGAGACGGTAGCACTTGCCAGGCCCCGTTCTCCCAGCGCGTCCCGCTCGCTGACGGGCCTGAGCTTGTGAAATGGGCGTCACCACGAGCGAATCCATGCCGAGACGTGCATCGTACGCATTTTGCTTCACGAACCCAGGATCTACCACATAGTATACACCGTCGATCGTCACACTTGTCTCGGCGATGTTGGTCGCAAGAACAACTTTCCTCGCACCTGGCGGGGCGGGCTCGAAGATTCTCGATTGCATTTCACTCGGCAGTGCCGAATAAACCGGCAAGATTATCAGCTCAGGGACACTGGGACCCAAAGCACGCATGCGCTCATAAAGGATTTCACAGCTAGTATCGATTTCCTCTTGACCAGTAAGAAACACCAGGATGTCACCGGGCGGTTCAGATAAATGGATCTGCATTACTGTGATGAGACTTGCATCCAAGTAGTCTGGCTCTGGCTCTTTGGTATATAGAATCTCGACTGGGTATGTCCGGCCAGGAATTGTAAAAATGGGGCATTCGAAGAAGTATGTGCTGAACTTCTCAGCATCGAGTGTCGCTGATGTGACGATAAGCTTCAAGTCTGGCCGGCGCTTCAGCGCCTTTTTCAGCAGGCCAAAAAGCACATCCGTCGCAATGGTGCGTTCATGCGCTTCATCAAGCATGATGACAGAGTAGGCCTTGACGTCGGGATCGACAAGACACTCGCGCTGTAGCATACCATCCGTCATGTACTTAATGTGCGTGTCTGGACTCGTGCAGTCCTCGAACCGTATCGTATACCCAACTTCTTGCCCAATGCGACAGCCGACTTCCTCAGCTACACGCTTTGCAACACTTACAGCAGCTACACGCCGTGGCTGTGTGCAGCCAATTTTCCCATGGTCAGCAAATCCTTCTTCTGCGAGGTACTGAGTCACTTGCGTTGTTTTGCCAGAGCCTGTCTCGCCAACAATTACGAGCACCTGATTGTCTCGAATGGCCTGGACCAACGGCTCCCGCAGCTTGAAAATTGGCAGGCTCTCACGCTGCTCTTTCATACTCAGAGTGGTAATCTTGCCAAACGTCGTTGCTTTGTTGAAGGCATGCTTCTTCCATTCCGACTGCTGCTGTGCTTGTTGGATGCGCGATTGACCTCGCACATCTTGAGCAAACATCTTTTCACTTGCCTGAGCCATGGGATCAAGCCAGCCCGTCGACATGTCGCGTGACTTTTTATCGGCTTCTTCGTTCTGCTCTTGCTGGCGAAGTTCGCGCCTTTCCTTTGCGAGAGATGTACCTGCCTGAGCAGCTCGGTTGAGCGAGCCGTCGGGTGCCTTTACGACCTTGACGGGTGACAGTTCCAGAGAAGCAGCTGTCTGACCAGCAAGAAAGGGAGCCTCTTTCTCATTCACTTCAATTTCAATGTCTTCATCTGCATCGTCACCAGCAAGTCGAGACGCTGGTGTAGAGTGCTCTTCTTCCATAAGTTCAGGGTAGTCAGTGGCTTTGGCAACGCCACTAGCGATCAATTGCTTGATTTCCCAGCGCTCCGGGCTTGTCAGCCGCTTCGCACCTCGACCCCGCCGTTCTTCTGTTGCTGTCGATGATGTTGATGCAACAGAACGGCTTGCTACGCTGGAACGACCACCAAGGGGTTCATGATTCGCGCCTGTCAAGAAATTCGGCGGATGCTCCATCGCCATGCGGCCACGAGGCTGTGGCACTAAATCGCGGCCTGTGACCTGGTCAACATCGCGCATAGACAAGCCTATGCGTTGACCCGCGATGGAAATGACTTTTACTTTGACATGGTCACCTCGAGATACCACATCAGATGGATGAGATATGCGGCCAGTGTTGCCTCCACGGGCGGTATTGCTACACAGCGCACTTATATGCACAAGACCATCGCGCCGACCGGCGACACCATCAAGCGTCACAAAGGCGCCAAAGTCCTTGACACCTGATACACGTCCATAGTAAACCTTATTGAGCACTGGTTGCTCGTCTGGGACAGAGGGCGGTAGAGACGGAGGTGGAGACGCACGTCCATCCACACGGTCCCAGCGGGACCTACGCTGTGGTTCTTCGAGGGATTCATGCATGCGCCTGCGTCTAGACGGCTCGTCGCGATAATAGTCAGGTTCTTCCCACGCCTGGTCCTGGATCGCGAGGCCCGGAAGCATTTGTGCTTTTTGCTCGAGCTTTGTGTCCGGTGTATGTTTAGCTTCATCAACAGAGTTTGTCCCCTTCTTTTTCCTTGGGTGCAATGTTACAATGAGCCTATCGAGATTTTCGACAAAGGCAGCAGTAAATTCAGCGCCAACATCATCCAGCTTTTTCTGGAATGCCGGTAATGAGCCCGCCTGTTCATGCAGTGAAATAATGAACTCAGCTAAAACACGATCATTGATTCCTAAATGATTCTCAAGCTCTGTCGCGATTTTCGATACGAGCGACAAGAACTCGAGTTTGTATAGCGGGTCGTCCATGAATCCATATAGGCACGATCCACTCGCCTGAGAGCGTAAGCCAAACGCGCAGGATACGATGGCGACATCCTGCACCAGACACGATGGGACGAATCACAGCCACGCGTACTATGTCACGTGTGTGCATGTTGTATCCCAGCCTCTTCAAGCCATGTGGCTAACCCCCTGCTGCCTTACCCAACCCCGTGATGTCCGAAATTTTTATAAATCTCATGCACCCCCTTATCCCCCAATAACCTGGAATGCGCGCGCGCGCGCGCGTGTCGGGCGTCGCGTGTCGGTCCGTGGGCGGCGTACGTCGCGTGTAAATTTTAGGCGGTGGATGCGTCACGCGTATCTCTATCTACGCAGACCAAACTAGGGTAGTGGCAAGACGCTGACTACGATATCTTTTTCCTGGTCCCATTCACTTTGCCACCCACGAGGAAGAAACGCGAGAACGACTAAACGATAGAAAAGTGGCAGCGCCGCCTTAGTTTGTAACTAACAAAGAGCGACCATGTCATCCTCCGGGAGACATAGAAGTCAGCACCACAAGATGGATGGTACGTACGAATGCTTGATAACCGTTGCAGTCAAAGTCGTCTATACCCTTGATACAAGTCCACACACTATGATATCTCGTGTGGCACGACGCGTACCCGTGCGTATCGCACGTAAACAAGGATCCAATTCACTTCTTGGTCGTGTCTCGTTAAAGACATGCCTGAATGCCATCTGCCTAGCCAGTCCGGAGCTTCTGCTCGACAAGAGCAACGACTATATTGTGTATGCAGTCGACCCAGAAGAGTCTGCTCCTCGGCCCGTATCGACCATGTCGAGTCCATCGAAATGTGACATGTCTCTGCAAGTGTTTGTCGGCAAAGGCTTCTTTAGCAATGGGATTGCAGAGCCTGGCGACGGTACGTCGTATGTGACGGGACAAGTGCGTCTGGAGTCTCGGAACAGCTCGGCATTTAGCTCTGATGAAGAAGACACTCCAGGTACACAAGTGTTGGAGGTTGTGCTGCGCATGAAAGAGGCATCGCAGCGTGGACGTGAGCAATACCAAAGTAGGATGCGCGGGATCGCATCATCATCGACATCGTTACACATGCCGACGCCGGCGTCGGCCCCTGTGTCTATATCGGAATCCTCGCTGACGCCCACAGTAGCGGCAGGCGTTCATGAGCCTGACCTACATGCCGTCGCCATCGATTCTGCACCGGAGTCCTCCGCCCCGACGCCCACGACGCAGGTCTTACAGGTATTGCACGCAATGCAGGCACACCAAGGCTCTCTTTCCCAAGAGCAAAAGTCGCATTTAATGGGGCTCTTGGGCATGGTTGCCGGTGCCGTGCAGAGTGGCGCATTGCCCGCACCGAAAGACACGACGCAGGCCATCTCTTCATCAGACACGCCGGGCGATCGACAAAGTTGGCATTCAACGCCGTCGCCAGGACCTGCTGCAGCGACGCCCTCATGTGCACGAAATGAAGTCAGAAATACGCGCACAAGCCGGCCAGGCTTAGGCGACATCCGGACTGAGCTACCGCGCATCTGCTACAACTGTGGAACAACGCAGGCGACGACATGGCGGATCCTCACGCTGCCATCAGGCATTACCATTAATTATCCTGCTAGTGAAAGGCCTCCGTCGGACGTTGTGCCACTTACCTGGACATCAAAGCATCCGAACAAAGGGCCGATCCAATCCAACTGTGAGGCTCGTTGGCAAGCTTGCAATCCGTGCGGGCTCTACTTTGCTAAGTACGGCGTCGCAAGACCTGAGTATGTGCGTAATTTTGTCGCGCGCCCTGGCAAAGAAGACAAAAAGCGAGATGTGGCACATCCGTCTCCGCCTGTCCAAACAAAGCGCGCAGAGCGTGCAGAACGCGCTGAGCGATCGAAGCGTGCCAAGGGAATGCCTATGATGCCTTCGTCGCGCACGGGCTTTACGCGCACACTAAGTGCTGTTGCCAACCGTGAGGCTGAGCGGCTCCAAAAACAGCGTCGACACGACGAAAATATGCCTCCATGGTCGATACCCCTCGAATCGACGTTGAAAAGCCCAACACAGAGCAGGTCTTCCCGGACGGGAACAAGCGATACCACGGTCGAACGGCTTCCGGGAGGCATGGAGTCAAGTCCTTGCACGGTGTTGCAATCGCTCTTGTCTGAGACAGAGCCGTCGCGGACGTCTGTAGCGCCAGTATTGCCGCCGCCACAGTCGCCATGCAGGAATGCATCGACGCTCGATGATGCCCAGCTGCCTCCCATGACGAGCCCTGTGCGCCGAAGTCCACGAAAGCAGCCGCCTGGCACTATGGCGGATGTGAACCCGTATGCAACGATGCTTCGTTCAGCGTCGTCACCAGTTTCAAAGAAAGTGGGCAGCAGTGCACAGATTGCTGCTCCGCGAGAGGCGCTCACGTCACCCTCGGATCGTGCAGCTCACATGCTACCACCGGTGAATCCTTTCATGGGCCTCGCTATGCTAGACGATGATATTGACACATTCGGAGGGCCTCCGAGCCCCAGTGCAGGTCGCACCTCGCGTGCCAAGCCTGCTCCGAAACGCGAAATACGCACGCCAAGCCGACTTCCTAGAGAAGACTCGTGGCCGTCACACTTGCATACTAGTCCAACGGCCTTGGGCCTAGCTGAGCCTCTTCCTCTTGCAGAGCAAAGCACGTTCAAGGATCTGTTTGCCGAACATACGCATGACCACTGGCTCGGTGCATGGAATGCGCCAACGTCGTTGACACCTGCGCCGTCGACAGGTGCACTAAAATTCGGCGCGCCTGAGCCTACGCCCGAGAACACATTTCCCGTCAGCGCATCTGCACATGCGGGGGGTAAGCCGACAACCGAATCGACGGCACTTGCATCACCAACAGCAGACGACCAAGCAACATCGCCCGCACCTGAATCTGTACCGTTATTGTCGGCAACGTCATCCTCATCGTCTCTTGTAAAACGACCGCCGCGACGACCGATGCCTGCTACTGTGGAAGATGCATCATCATCCCATTCAGGCTCGCCGCCTGCCACATCGCCAGATGTGGATGACTCGCTAGTGGATCTCATTGAAGACCCATACGGCTTGCTTTCTACATGTGGCATAGGCGTGCTGCAACCAGACCGGATCGCGGAGGAGAACGACCATACCCACAATGAGCGCCAGGGGACTACTGGCCTGGTCTTGGGCCATCCAGACATAAGCGGATGCAGTGTAGACGCATTCCAAGGAATTGAACTGTACAACGCACCAAGCTTTTCTCAGCAGCTGGATGCATTCACACAGAGTGGCCATCTTGGCATCGCCGCACACATGAATGCAGGTCAAGACATGAGCACGGCGCTAACGACAGCTGAACCGCAGGTGTTCACGTTTGGTCATCCATCATCATCTACACAACCGGCCTCTTCACACGCGTCTGCGTTTGCGGGACAGACTGAGACGACAAACCTCGAATCCTTGCTAGATGATCCCACTGTACAAGCCATGCTACATTCGTCCAACGCGGGACTGGCGCCTTCTCTTTCACATAGTGCCGCTGCAGCGACATCGGCGCCAACGACGCCAACAGCCATCACATCGTAGGAATGAAACTCAATGCATATCAAACACACACATGTTACATAACTACACAATCGGCATCAGGTACTTTTAAGGGTGCACGCCCATTACTGGCCTTAAGGTCTTGGACACGTTGGATAGCACGGGGATGTTGCTTGGCAGCTGCACGGGTGTACCAGCGAAGCGCCTCATCCAGGTTAACAGGTGTGCCGATCCCGACTTCAGAATAGTGGCCGACAGCGTATTCAGCATTCGCTATGCCTTTGTTCGCCGCACGTCGGGCCCAGGTATATGCTTCAGAATCGGACTGCATCAACACACCCTCTGCACCGGTTAAATACCATCCACTCAGGGCCAGTTCAGCTTGGCCTTCGCCCTTGTTGGCGGCCTTGTTGAACCAAGCCACACTGCTGCGCGGATCAACGGGACAGGCGAGTGTACCATTAGCATATGCATCGCCGAGCTTGCACTGACTGGGCGCATGGCCGAGCCGGGCGGCCTGGGTATAAAGATCGCGAGCAAGTGCTTCGTTGTACGGCACGAACCGATTCGATGGATCAGCATGGTGAGTCGCAAGTTCATACAAAGCATGTGGGTTGTCCTCATCTGCCTGACTCGCCGCACGTCGGAGCCATACAATAGCTTCACGAGGATTCGCAGGTTGGTCCAGCAGTCCATACAGCAGGACCATGCCCAGCTTATACATGCCGGCTGTGTCTCCCAGCGATGCTGCCTTTCGGTAAAAGAGAACGCCGCGTTGGAAATTCCGTTTCGGCCCGGCACCAACCTCGTTACAGACGGCCGTGCGGTACGTCGCGGCTGGGTGATTCTGCTTCGAAGCTTGAACGTAGAGTCGGTATGACTTTGCATGGTCAATAGGCATGCCCAGTGTGCCATTTCCATAGCAATTCGCAAGAAAGAATTGGGCATCTGCATATGGCGGCTTTCCAGGTCCGCTGCCGGACGTAGCGAGTTTTTTGATCAGACGAAGTCCCTCAGCCACCAGAGCATCCCGCTGTTTACGAGCTTGCTTCGACTGAGAGTCTGCCTCACATATGCGCTTTCCAGCATCAATTAAATACGTGGCAAACTCCATCTGAGGTTCTGGATCCGTTACATTTTGCACCCGCCTGCGGTAGTCATCTAGAAACTCTTTCGTGTAAGGGAGCGAGGGCTGTACAAGTGAGTCGCGGCTAAGCCGCCAATCTGTGCGAGGAGAACTTATACCAGACAATGGTGGTGAGCGCAAGCGTGGTGTTGTCACATCCATAGGCATGAATGTGGCGGGTATCGCGGGTGTTCTTTCAAGCGACGGCGTATACGAGACAAATGATGGCGACGATATCATGCCTTGAGGCATGTTGGGTGGTACATATGCACCCACGTCGTCTCCTACAGGGAAGCCCTGCATTAGCGAAGAAAGGAACAAGCGCTATCGCTCGCTCGGTGGCACCAAGTGTGCAGCACAGTCTCGCTTAGACAGAAGTGTCCTAGCGCCCACTTGACCGTTAGCCTACGTCTTGCTCTGTGCGGAGGAAGTGTATCGGTTGGCCTGCTTTGCCCCTGCAGATAGGCCACGAGGCCGCCCTTTTGTTGACAACACCACGTGGCCAATTCGCCCGGTCCAGTCTACACCTACCTTTTGTCGCGCCTCATTCGCGCACATTGCGTGACGGCGGACCGTGCGGAGGTAAACGTCTCATACACAGAAACCGAGATATTGTTCAGCCGCCCCAAAAAACGTATGGCATACGGAGGAAATGGTACTTCGTACTGGCGAAGGCTGTATGAGAGAATGCTACTGAGTACGTTGGTTCTAAATTAGGTGCATGCTATGGAGATAATGAACATGAGTGAAATAAGCAGACATGATCTTCCTTTACTGTACAAGGGTTAGTGGCTATGCACCGACAGGGGAAGGCGGCGCAGAAAGCAGGACGCCAATCATACCTTGTTCATCATCATCTGGATTGCGTCAGCACATAGACAAAATACGTACCCGAACAAATTCGTCATAGTTGATTTGGCCATCACCGTCGGTGTCAGCCTCGCCGATCATCTCCTCAACCTCCTGATCCGACAATTTTTCACCTTGCACATGTCAGCAATGAACGAAAAAACTAGATCTTCGTCAAGGCGAACGAGCACCTACCCAGATTCGTCATGCTGGTCAAGTGTTAGTCTTGCACACAGTGAACCTTGAAATCGATCACATTGCTGTGTCCCCATACGTACACATGACGCAGCTCTGCTGCACTGATGAAGCCATTACCATCCTTGTCAAATACGCGAAAAGCCTCCTTGATTTCCTCTTCACTATCTGTGTCCTTCATCTTGCGAGCCATCATCGTGAGAAACTCAGGAAAGTCAATGGTGCCGTCGCCATCAGCATCAATTTCATTCACCATGTCTTGCAATTCTGCCTCAGTTGGGTTTTGACCCAGTGAACGCATCACAGTGCCTAGTTCTTTCGTTGTGATGCTTCCATCCCCGTCTATACACCGTAAGCATGCCATCCTATGCCGTGATGCATGATTCCGCGCGACGTACCTTTGTCAAACAAGGAGAAGGCCTCCTTAAATTCTGCAGACCTGTTAGCACATGTCTCCGAACAACATGAGCGTGCATTCGAAGGTGTGTAGGTATGTGTATATACAGGCACATACGCACATCCATATGCACATACACGCATCATTCGAGCTGTTGGGCCTTGTGCCCTACATACCAGCAATCTGCTCTATTCCCCAGTTAGTACGATGAATTTGACGCGTGCATACAACGTACCCTCAGACTGCACAGCCAAACACAAAACAAAGCAATACGTTAGCACGTTGGTCTTGGGAAGGTATACATTTGACTTTTAGCACGCACCAAATGTTCCGCCATGACAGATACGCTCGTGATAGTGAGACGCAGTTGGTTTCGGGAGTCTGTCTGCCACAGGGCAGGCAGACTTGCATCACGCGCAGAGTGGGGATTCTGAAATATAAATAGGCCCACCACAGCCATACACGCGCGATGAATCACGTGGAGTGGCCGATGTGTCATCGAAGATGAAAATTGCGTTACGATTTCTTGCCCCACACTTGAAAGCGTTGGGTAGGGGGGCATTTTGGGGTTCACAAAGTTATCGACTATGAGCGAAGGGTGGCGTTTCCACATGAGCACGGCGTTAACTGCGGAATACGTGGAAGCTGCATGACACCGGCTCCAACAGGGCACCACCTAGGATCATTAGGTTGAGGACAAAGTCGCTGCGACTCGTGCGTAGGATGCAGATAAAATCGAGTTTCCGACAAACGCTGGACTGTTTGCATAAGTCGGTGCCGTGAGATCTCGTGATCCATCATACATAGAATATCATCTAACTGTAGAGAATGTGTTAGTACATCAGGGAAACATGCAAATAAGAAACCAGGTCAGGGATGAGAAGGCAGATGGTACATACATGGGCAACGAGAATATCCCATACGTCCAAGAGAATAGGCGCCGAATGGGTATAGTCATAGATTCGATTTCTTAAAATCCGCTCAATTAGCGGAGAAAATGCAGCCGGCGTGCGTCCAAGACGCTGCATATCGTGTAACATGGAGCGCCTCCGGTACCACTCTTGCTGCAGAAGCGATAGAGAGCCTTCTAATTCGGCACCATGTGAATCATCAGGTGCATTAAGACAGCCATGGAGCCACATAAGCCACAAATCCACGCGCAACCGGTCTACAAGGCACAGACGCATCAGGTTCATGACCATGGCAAAGTTGTGTTCGACAACGGCTTGTCGCACAATAGATGGACGCACATTGCAGCAGCCGCGACTTGAAAGAAGAAGACATTCACTCGGCGTAAATGGCGACGAAGGGCGGTGTGGATAAAACTCATCCACATCCACTGTCGGCTTCGTCGGCAGTGATAAGGTCGTGGACATTGACAGGCACTGTTCGCATTGGAGCATTTTTTCCTTCATGAGCTGCTGGTCTGTGCGGTCATTTCGTTGAGCAGATGAAACGTATGTTTTTTGGTACGTGCGTTCCTGCTGCCGGAGTCGACGCGTAAGATCTTTCAGATCAGGTCTTGCAAGCCAGCGCTGAATCCAGCCCAATGCAAAGAATGGATTCTGGAGGTACGTCTCTTCCTCTAGAATGAAACGAAAATGCCGACTCCATTTCTCGAGTTCAGATGCCATAAGCGGTTGCGTTGGTGGCAATGCCTCGGCTAAATGCGATGACGGGATCATGAAAAATGGTAGCAAATGGTGCAGACGCTCGATGGCAACGAGCAAATGTTGCTTTTCGGTGAGGTTTTGTTCGTCATTGTCAACATCGTCTTCAATGGCACTTTCAAAGCCGAGCAGTACTTGGTCATTCGTGCTCGCATTGTCAGATGTGGCACACGTCTCAGACACAAGCACCAAGGAACCATCGGCTGTTGGAATCCCGAGTCCCTTCGACAAGTGGGCGTTGCCGATGCGACGACGCATACGAACCCAGCGCCTTCGACGCACAAACGTCCAGATGCCGGGCTTGCTCGTCCACTTTTCAGAACGCGAACGTACAGAGCGCATGAATGCCTCCATTCCTTCGTCGGGACGCGACGCCTCCTTGGATTCGCGTCGAGCCATCAGATTTGCATCGATCGACTGTGCAAACTTGTGAAGTGTCTGCCACCAGTGGCGAGGCCCTGACTTGGCCGCACTTTGAATGGGCTTGCGCCAAAAACGCAGTCCCGTGAAACTGCCGCTGTACTGCCAACCATCCTCGTCGGTGTTGCCAGTCATGTCTACGAGCCAAGTGGGATGAACCCACTCCCATGTCGAGTCAGGCAACTGCATGGTCGAGGTGTCGAGTGCTGTATTGCAGCCGTCGGCATCGGTCCATGGCGACGGATCCCACACGAAAAGGACATTTGAGCTGAATCGCTTCGATACACCAAAAAGCACAATGCCGCGCTGATTTTCATGCAGCATATCATACACGAGTTCAGGTGTGTCGGATTGGACAGGTGAAACAAACACGTGCGAGCTACGATGCACAGGCCGTGGTTGCGGCTGTTCATCGTCGTCGATTTCTTCTTCAACTGATGCTTGGTTCCATGCTCGTCGCTCGCGTCGGCGCCACATATGTGGCCGGTTGGAGCCAGCAGATGAGGCGGGAGGCGTCACGACGGATTCGCGTTCAGGTGCTACATTCTCGTCCGACCAACTGCCTCCGGTCGAGCGCTGAGGTGTGCGGAGCGCTGGGCGCAGCCTAGTGCCAACACCACCCTCCATAAAAGGCGACGGCGTTCGATTCGGCGTCGTCGCACGGGAACTACCGACCTCATCAGGCGTGTGACGCACCCGGCTAGACCGAACGACTTGGGCGGAAGTCGAGTCGGGGCGTGAGGCATTTTCATCGCGAAGTTCAGCCGGTAATTTGCGCATTTTTCGCCTGCTCGCATGCAGTTCTTTATTCGTCAGCACGTTGCAGTGAGAAAGACTCAGCGTTTGTATTGACTCATTTGCGTCGTTGTCCATGGGATCGGACGTGTCCGATGTATCATCGCCTTGACTTGATGTGCTCGAGTCTTGGCCCGACCAACGGCGATCCAGTAATGCTGAGGGAACGCGGGGCTGGGGCTGTACAATAAGAGGCGCTTTCCCTGCAGCAGAGCTAATAGGTACTGCTCGCCGAGATAGAGACGAGACTTGTTTTGCATGAATGGCGCCTGGATCCTCCGTGCTCAGAGAAGATCTTCTGCCCGCATGCTGTGACCTTGTCTCGTCAGGACCAAGAGACGCCTGGTCTTCAGACATGGGCGGACGTGCAAACGAGACGGCTTGGCCGCGAGGAAAGGAGTCAGGCGAAGGATTTCGCGTCGTAGGAATCGACAACGATCGACGGTGTGAGGTCGTGCGCGACGCTGTCGGTGTCAGTGAGGCAGATTCACGATGCAACACCCCAATCGTGTCAAGGGGATGGTCCGAGCAAGCACTCTCCGCACGAGCTTCACGTGTAGGAACGATGCTCGGCGGCTCATCATTGCTGGAAGAGCGCAGACGTAGCGATGGAAGCGAAGAGACAGACTTGAGTGTGTTAATGCCCATCCAGCGGCGCCAGTTGTGTGGTTTAAAAACGTCTGTCTCGTATCGCAGCAGCTTTGCCTGAACCCCTTCTAGAGGTCCACAAGGTTGAGGCAAGCTAGGAAGGGGGGAGGATGAACGGTTCTGTGGCACGCCTGACGATCCCGTGCGTGCATGTGTGCGATTCGAGCGACGCTCACGAGAAAATGATGGCTCAGGTGCAGGGGTCCAACGTTCCAAGTCTTGGACGTATGGCGACGTCACATCAGCTACCGAGGGCGACAGAAGCAAGTCCTGGCCCTGTGGTGGTTCAGCAGAAGCTGTACCTTGTGATTCGGCAGGTGTAATGACGAATAATGGCAGCGACGAGTCATGGCGCACCGACCGTGAACGCAAGCGGCCTGAGGCCATGACACTCGGGTCGTTCGACTAAGATGGAGTGAGTGGGTCCAAGTTCACCTGTAGAACGTGAAAAGGCCCCAGATCAGCGCAATCCAATGGTGAAACAGACCCTAACTTGCATACACACGCACACAAGTGGGTCACAGTCCGGCCGGCCGGAGCAGGCAACGAGATGCCCTCGGGTTGGGGAAGGGTTTAAAAATAAATAATCTCTATACAACACGAGCGAATCTGGTCTACGTGTGGGTATATGCGATAGGTGTCAATCTCAATAAAGACTCGCAGACAAAAATTTAGTGTGGGCCAATCAGCCAGTCATCAGGCGCGGCTCGCTACCTGCCCGACTTTATCTACTCACGCACAACCTAGTCCGTCAGCGACAGGGACAGATGACAAATCATCCATCAACAGATATTCTCTCGAGAAGTATTAGCCTAGGTGAGAGGACCTATTGACTTGGATGAGGGGAAAAAATGGATGCAACAACTAGAGCCACGTTCCACACTCACTGACTTGATTTTCCTCGACAAGCCCATTTGTGCAATACCAAACTTTTCCGTCGGGCAAACGAACAGTGCCAACACGCCGACGGATTCTGCTAAAATAGAAACACTTGGTGTCGCAGTGACCAACAATATGCTACTATTAAAGCACCTGACGAGCTATGACATTCGTAGAACCAGCCACGGGTCTCACTAGCCGAACCACGAGGCTATGCCCCAATTTTGTATGTTCTGCTGGATCATTTGCAGTGCACTCGAATAATCAACGTGCTGCAACTGCTCGAAGACATGTGGCACTGAAGCCGGCAGATTAATGGAACCTGTGTACACAGCCATAGCGCCAATCCCCATCGCACCGGCGGCCGTCAGCATACCAGCGGCTCTTGCAAGAGGACGACGACGGCGCAACACCTGGCTAGAGGCTTGAGGAGCCACTGTGACAGATTGTGGGTCTTCTGGCTCGTCGTCTTCAGCGAGCCGCTTTGTAGGCCGTGAATGCGTTTCATCTTGCTCCACAGATTCCCTTTGAATCTTCGCTGCGAAGTCCTGAGCCTCGCGGATCTGTGCATCGATCTGCGCAGCCGTCAGAGGGACGGAGGGCGCTGGGACATCAGTAGAGGCTGCAGCGGGAGCCGTGCGTCCGGACCGACGAGCTGCTTGTGATCTCGCAAGAACCGCCTCAGCATTTGTTGCCACGTCAGATTGACTGTCGTTAGACGATAACGCACTTGATGCCTGCAGCTCCTCTCCCACACGAGCACGCTTTTTCTGACGAGTGGGGACAACAAGGTCTGCCTGTTGAGGTGGTGTTTCGCCATGCTCGGTAACATCCGAAACCGCTGATCGATTTGTGTCGTCTTTCTCAGCGACCTGAAGCGGCTCACGCATAGGCGAGTCCGCTGCACCAAGTGCAGCCTCGTTGGAGAGGGTGTTCGACGAGACAACGTCTAATGAGGATGTGAGTGCGGGGGGGGACGTGTCGTCGGAAGGCGTCGGAGCCCCGGTCGTCTCTACAACAGCTGAGCCCGACGCCGCCGCAGCTGTGGCCAGAGTCTCTGCATCAGGGTTAAGCACAGGAGCGTCTTCATCTGGGAGCAGAATGGCCGTGGCCTCAATGAGAGGCTGCGCATATTCGACCAGACCATAGTCACTCGCAATTGACATCGCATGTTCACAAGGGATCCAGACACCTTGAAGACGCACGCCGGTTGATCCTGGTGGTAGTGTTCCGGCAGCCTTCGCTGTTGTATCTGATGTCAGCTTCCGCGACGACCGCGAACGAGGGGGAGGAATGACTCCGCCATTCGCAACGTCTGTATCGAAGCGCGATTCCAAATACGTCATCTCAGCACTTTCCTCTTCAGCGTCGGCATAGGGAAATGCGAGACGAAACATAGACGATCCCGCAATCGCATTTGTGTCGAAACGTTTGAGAAGGAAACCATGTTCGGCACCATTCACAGTCGGCAACTTGATACGTCCAATGATGATTTCTCTAGCACACACGTTAGTTTCGCATACGTACTTGTCTTCACGACGAATGACCTGCAGTTTGACCTGACGTGACTTGACCTCGTGCAAGCGCGGATTAGTCCGCTTCGGAAGTTCATGCACACGCTCGGCAGGTTCAGTCCGCTGGGAAGAAGGAGTCGCTTTGGATGCACGCGCCTTTTGAGGCGTCTTGCTAGGTGACGACGACAACGAAGAGGATGGGATCGTTGTAGACACAGTAGACTTGGCTGTAGATGTAGAAGGCGCGCCTTCTGACTTAGATGACGTCGCGGCACTAGATGCGTCAGACGCTGACCCGGTCGCCTTCGTTGTCGCACGGCGCGCCCGAGTTGTCCGGCGAGGCGGTGTGCTTACCAGCGATTCAGCCGCCGGCAGCTCATGTGCACCTGCCGAGCCAGCCATACTTGTACTGGGGCTCTCACCACGGCCCTTGCGTGGCGTGTTGCGGCGTGGAGGCATATGTGATGAGGCGCAGATAGGGAAGCAGCAGCAATCAGGGCGATCCACTTGTCTGCGGTGTTGATAGATTGTCCTCCATAATGGCAGGGGTGCGTTCCTTGGTACCGCAACACGCGTGAAGCAAACTGTGCACGTGATAATCCATAAACACGTGGTCTATGCAGCGTCGCGTCATGCTCTGATCGCCGTGCAACGCGCGATCCCGGGCGCTTTCCCAATGCGCCGCATTCGATGCGGGGATGTCGGTGGAGGAGGGCACATGCATAAATCATAATTGCGGTCGACGCCACCCGACGCACCCGAGACCGAGCTTGGCGTGCTCGTGCAGGGTGAAGTACGTGCAAGTTGAGCGGCTCCGACGATCCATCCTACATATTGCCAGTTGTGTGCGAGGTCCTTGCGTTGGAAGAACTAAAGACATTCCTATTACCAGCATCGTATCTCTGCTGTTGATTTATTGCCCACGCAAGACAGTGCAGTGCAATGAAATACCTAGAGTACCCTGAGCTCGAGGTGCTATCACGCGCACTGACATTTGAAATGTCAGAATGCAGGGTATTTACGCGAATCGAGGCCTATTCCTGCAAGGCTGTGAACAAGGAAAAACGCCTGTTCAAGTCCCTTGAATCATCATATTTGTTGTCTGCATCGACGTCTCCGCCTGCGTATTTGGATGAGGCTCTCGCGTCGCCCTTTGGACGGCTTGATCAGCCGTCCGCACGCAAGACCCTCTTTCTTCTAATAGCGACGCTGAATGGCGCATTTCCTGACCATGATTTCAGTGAAGTCAATCCTGCAGACTTTGTGCGCGAATCCAGTCCCACGGTTGTGCTGAACAGCCTGACATCAACGCTCCTAAGCCTGCGCAACGGTGGAGGCTCGCCATCATCGCTTGGCGGATCTTTGGACGAGTCGCCGTTGCTCAGCTCCTTGGCTCGTTCGCCACTTGCTTCTGATCCGAGGCCAACATCAGGCGGCGGTCTGGGCACGAGTGCGTCCAGCACGTCACCTTCAGCACGTCCCACATTTGCATCGCTGCCCTCGGTGATTGACGAGATCATCCACACAGCAGACTGCGAAGTGTACACATTCCACCCAGACATGGACTCGGATCCACATGCTAGTGCAGAGCCTGATGAAGAAGGTGGTGGCGACATGTACGAAATGGATCCTTACGACGAAGGCTATTCGGCTGATCAGGACCAGGCTCTCGGCAGTCATGGTGCGAGATTTGCAGAAGGTGTCGGTCGCGACGGGGGCCTCAGTGGTGGGGATCATCGTGATAGAGTGTTTTCCTTGAATGTGCGGGACAGTTTCGGTGGCACAGAAAGAACAGCCTTGTCAATGGCGCATGAATCGCGCATGGACCTGGACACACACTTGGCAGCCGATACACCCATGTTTGACGAAGACATGGACACAGGCACAGTGGCGTCTTCGTCATCACTCACGACACCTACGACGTTTTTCAGTGGTGCTAGTGGGCTAGAATCGCCCTCACTGACTGTAGACGAAGATGACTTGGCGGGCGCGGGCGCCGGCCTCTTGTGGTCGACATTTGCGTTTTTCTACAATAAGCGCATGAAGCGGATCTTGTTTGTGAGTGTATGGAGTCGAAAGAACTCGCCCCTGGGAACCACTCCTACCATGTGGAGCAGTCCCTCCTTGGCACCTGCTCGGATAACGACAGAGGACGTCCCAGCACTCGGCTCCAACACGCAGTCGCTGCACGACCGCTTGTCGGAAAGATCCAATGAGTCTCGCCCTGCTGTGTCAACACAATCCTCAACAGCACGGCCGTTTCGAGCACGCCGAGCAGCTCCGTACTCAGTTGTCGAACGGCGTACTCCACACCAATCACGCGGACGCTCGGCGTCGAGTAGTCCTGCGCCCAGTGCTCTGTCGCCATTCCCGCATGTACAAGTGCCACATGCTGGCACCAAGACGCTTGTGCCCAATGCTTCGGCCACAGGTGGCGCCGCTACACGTACTCCAAGGACTCGTTCGTCATCGACATACGCGTCTCTTGATGCCGCCATGTGCAGTGTGAGTGCGCCAGGACCTCGTGCGCTGGAGCCTCTTAGTGGACTTGCCTCGAGCAAGCAACAACATCGACGATCAGATGGAGCAGCGCACCCGCCGATGTGAACAACACGTATTATGGACCTGATTCAGCTGATCAGAGTCGATGAGCGATTGATGACATGCGTTGAGGGATGGAAATGCAAAGCGCAGGCACAAACCAGATCGTACTTCTCCCCCCCACCCCCCTCCCTTTTTGTTCGCGTTATCTTCACATGTGCTATTTTTTGTTCTGTCATTATGGCATTGTGAGAGGCACAAGCAAGGTCTCATTTCGTATTACTTTGGATAGATATATTGCAACTTAGATGGCATGTAATTGTACTGGATCAAGTCGACCAATAGACCCTGGGGCAGGATGAATCCAGCGTTGAAACATCGCAAGTAAAGAAGCGGGTTGGTCTAGTGGTGCAAAGTGACCAGCTTCTTCGACGACCACGTATGTCAGATTGCCATAATGACGGAATTGGCCCGCACGCTCGCGCCTGCCAGGGATAAACCAGTCTTCGAGTGGTGCCTGCTTGCGAAACCCTTGTTCCGAGCTCCAAACCAGTTCGTCGATCCAAGCAGCATTCCCAAGAAAGTTGCAGATAAAGTCGCGACGACCAGAATAAGATAGAACACGGATGCCAGAGGCAAGCACATGTTGCACAGCCCATGTGCTATCACGCGCGCCATCACCCGTCGACTGGAAGTCCGCAAAGACTCGATCGGACCAAGCAGCAAATCGACCATCATGATGATCGCCGATCGGAAACGGATCAATGCCAAGCATACGCCGCGTTTCGTTATGGTTCAGGTACGCCTCCATGTATGTTTCTTCCTCATAATCCACGGGATGCTTCCAATCGTAGAAAGACGCATTGGTCTGACGCCAAGGCTCAGAGAGCGCTCCTTTACAGAACGTAAGCGCCGTCTGGCAAGCTGTCTTGCTGTACGGCACATTGCCACGGTGCCGGTTGCATTTGGCCAGTAGGTCCATGCATACAGGCAGTTTGGCTTTCATTGTCTCACATGTGTGCTCGGGAAGGAATGGCACATGACCCGACTTGTCTGTACACGCGAAATCGTAGTATGCAGCATTTTGGTGACGAGGCGATGTCATACCATTGCCGATGAGAATCGAGCGAAGTGGCAGGGGCATGATGCCTTCTTCAGGATGCATCAGATAGTGCTCGTTGTCGTTAACGATCCGGCTTGCCATGAGCGGCAAGTATCTGCCAGCATACGACTCACCGGCCATATGGAAATCACGCAGGTGGATACGCCCATTTTCGTCTACTCGTTGAGTGAACGGGCCAATGGGCTGGGTCGCGAGTAAGTGCAGAAATGCACTCACATCACGGGCGCCGTCCGCGGACGTCAGTGTTCGTGAGGGCGGCACACCGGAGCGCGACGCATTTTTCCAGGACACATACGAGAACCCGACACCCATAGGCTGATCTAAAAAGATCATGGACGAATTCGATACCAGGCATAAGGATTCCATTTCGTGCGCGGGATGATACGGCCATCTTGATGCGTCTCTGGCTTAATAGCATTGCAAGGCCCCAGTTCCATTAGCAGACCAGTCATCGACGAGCACCCAGGCCCTCCGTTAAGCCAGAGCGTCAAGGGATCGCGCTCGCGGTCGTTTCGTGACTCGAACGCCCAGAAGTAAAAGTGCTCGATGACACCGTGCTTTCCCGCAACACTTGCATAATCATCAGTTCCGTCAGCATGGTTCGCACCAACCTCGTGAGCGTAAGCATGCCCACGCTCACGCTCTTGCTCGTAGAGCACATCCAAGTCGACATCCAGGTACCCCGACCAAGAGGCGGCACTGTCACATACGCCGTCAGGCACTCGCCGCAACCGAAGGCGGTACGCAGGCAAGGATGGATGCGTCAATACATGGAATCCTTCGGAAGTATCGAGTTGATAAGGCGCTTGCGTTGCCGACACAGACCAACAGAGCAGCGCCACAAGCAATGGCAGCACACATGGCAAATAATACGTTATCATGATGCTGAGAACGTAGATGAGGTTGATGTCAGCAAAGAGAAGAGCTCTAGCACGTAAGGCCACGACTTTGCCGTACGATCTGCTGCCACTGACGAAGAAGGCCTTTTCTCCAGTCTCGACGAGTCTTATAACGCCGCACCTGAAGATGGTTCAGTTCTATGACGGCCATACTACTACGACCTGCTTCTCTACTGCGGCTTCTCGCCCAATCTTAGCTCATGCATGCATGCCTAGCTGCATGTGTGTGCACCTACTCGACGTGAATCGAAAATTCACGTGACGAACGAGACACAACCAGCTACCTCACTCTCCCTGCGGCCCCCTACCTACCTCTTAGGCCCATTCCATTGGGCTCCGGCCGCTCGTTAGGTTGGTGAAGTGTTTCGTGGAGAAGTGCAAACGGCGCTTAAAGACCCATCAATTCCTGATGCGCACCGGAATGAGTCAGAAGCGCGCACAGCACATACATTGATTGAGGCGGCGAACCTTACGTCTGAAGCAATCAGAAGTAGGCTTTTGTTCTTTCCATCGTTCGGTGCTTATCGATCGCATTTTCTTTCATGCTGCAGCAGTCGACGCCTCTGGTGCCGTGCTTGAGTGCAGCGCAAGCGGCGGACCTAGTTTCCTGGACGTCCACAGATGTTGCAAGGGCTATTAAGTACACAGCGCCCCTCATTGTGCCGATGGATGTGGCATCAAAAGTGACATGTACTCACGCGACAATTGTTGAGTGCACGGACGCTACAACCTATGATCAAGCCATCGACGCATTGAATGGCGGTGCGGAAGGTGTGGTGATTCGGACCGACCAAGCGCCTCTTCTCGCCGAACTAGGCGCAGATATGGTTGCATCCCGCGCGATTGTCGCCGTCGCCGATGGCCAGGATGTGCCAGCACATCTTCAACCGGCCGGTGTTCTTGTCGAATGTGAGCATATTCCCTCAGAAAAGTCACTCCAAAAGTATCTTAAGTCGATGGAAACGAGTGTAAGCGGGCGAAACGTGTACGTGCGTGCACCTTTCGAGACGCTCGAACACATTCGTGGAGTGGCCCAACAGGGTGCGACAGCTGTTGTTGGTACGAGCCAGCTATGTATGGACCAGAGCCGTGACTTGGACTATGTTGATGCCCTTTTGTGCATGATCCAGAGCGACCGTGCTGATGGCCTGTATCCGACGCTCGTTGTGTCTGACACTTGCTCAGCGTCGCTGGGCCTGGTGTACTCCTCGGTTGAGTCTGTGCGTGCATCGCTTACCACCGGCTCCGCCCATTACCAGTCTCGTAAACGCGGACTCTGGCATAAGGGGGCAACAAGTGGCGCAACACAACGCGTTGTGCAGATCCGTTTGGACTGTGATCAGGACGCTCTGGAATACCGCGTGGAACAGCATGCGGGCGAGCGGTCAGTTGGGTTTTGCCACTTGGTCGACCGCGACTCATGCTTTGGCGGTCTTGGTGGTCTTGCAAAGCTGGAAAAAACCCTGCGTGCGCGCAAGCAGTCGGCGCCCCCTGGCTCGTACACGGCGCGTCTCTTCGGTGATCCGAAGCTGCTTAGCGCCAAGATCCGTGAGGAAGCCCAGGAACTGATTGATGCCCAGGAACATGAGCATATCGCGTTTGAGGCAGCGGACCTCTTGTACTTTGTGCTCGCACGATGCATTGGCGCAGGTGTAGGCCTCGCAGACATTGAGCGGTCGTTGGATGCTAAGAGCAAAAAAGTGACACGACGCAAGGGTGACGCAAAGCCAGCGTACTCGCAAGCAATGCCAGCCAAGGCCCCACCTGCGCCTGCAACACAGCTTGACGCATCTGCCCCCATTTGCTTGCCAGTGCACAAGCTTAGCGAAACATCCGCTGACAAACAGAGCGAGCTCCTGCGTCGTCCGGCCATACGTACGAATGAGGTGATGGATCGTGTGCGTCCGATCCTTGCTGCTGTGAAAGAGCGTGGCGACGACGCCGTCCTGTCGTACACTGCGCAGTTCGACCGTGTACAGCTGTCAAGCGCAGTACGTCTTCCGCCGTTCCAAAGCAGCAGTGATCGGCAGGCAATGGATCCACGTGTGCGAGAGGCTATCGATGTCGCTTACGCAAACATCCGGCGCTTCCATGAGGCACAAAAGGCTCCTGTCAAGACTACGTCGCGTTCATCGCACGCGGCGTGGGCACCTGGTGAAGACGTGATGGAAATTACATCCATGCCAGGCGTCGTCTGCACACGCTTTCCACGTGCCATTGAGCGTGTAGGCATATACGTGCCAGGTGGCAGCGCGGTGCTACCCTCGACGGCATTGATGCTGGGAGTGCCTGCGCAGGTCGCTGGTTGCTCAACGATTGTGCTGGCAACGCCGCCTCGGTCTGACGGCTCCATTGCGCCGGAGGTATTGTACGTCGCTGACAAGGTGCAAGCATCGTGTATTGTGTGTGCTGGTGGCGCACAGGCCGTGGGTGCCATGGCGTATGGCACAGAGAGCGTGCCTAAAGTGGACAAAATTGCAGGACCTGGCAACCAGTATGTGACGGCAGCAAAGATGCTTGTGCAAAACGAAGTTGATGCGCAAGTTTCTATTGACATGCCGGCAGGGCCATCAGAAGTGCTAGTCGTCGCGGATGAGAGCGCAGAACCCGTGTTCGTTGCGTCAGATTTGCTATCGCAGGCAGAGCATGGACCCGACTCGCAGGTGGTCCTGGTGGGCATTGATCTGAGCGACGCCAAGCTCCAGGCCATTGAGACCGAGGTCGACCGACAAGCGCGTGCATTACCACGAGTCGATGTCGTGCGCCAAGCCATTGACAAGAGTGTCACGATGTTGGTCAACACGCGTGAAGAGGCCATCACGTGGAGCAATCGGTACGCACCTGAGCACCTGATCTTGCACACGACAGAGCCCGAGCAACTCGTGCCGCTAGTCCAGCATGCAGGCAGCGTTTTCGTGGGGGCATGGAGTCCCGAGAGCTGCGGTGACTATGCATCAGGCACCAATCACACACTACCGACGTATGGCTTTGCTCGGCAGTACGGCGGCGTGTCGACGTCGACCTTCCAAAAATACATCACCGCTCAGACTCTCGACGCCGATGGCTTGCGGAAACTTGGACCCCATGTTATTGCACTGGCTGAGTGTGAGGGTCTTGAGGCGCATGCGAATGCCGTGCGCGTGCGTTTGCAGCAGCTTTCGCCGTCGTCGTTGCCGTCCACATCTTCCTCATCATGATGCCAACGGTGATGAGGGTGCTGTTGGACCTGATTCGTAACGGAGACTCTAGGACTTTGTGCATATAGAATAGGGAATCAGTTCGTGGCGAATTGCTCCAGGCGAACAACAAATGCTATCGATACAGTGTATGTTTCGGCCCACTCGCGAGTGACAGCGTATGTGTCTCTTCAGTACCTCCGCTTCCATGCGCAGGTCCATAAGTAGGTATAGCTCTTTCCACCCACCATCTGCATATGAACGCGTATCCGCCGACGTCGGTTAGCGCGACTGGCAATGCTTCCTGCCACCCTCGCATGCCGGATGAGACACCGCTCGATGAGGCTGCTACTCTGTATGCACAGTCGCCGCATGCCAAGGTGGATGCGCATCAGCGGGCACGACGTGCGCGGCGTGCTCAGTATGGCGAGCGTCACATTTTCCTCTTTGGGCGTTCGTCCAAGATCCGAGAACCTATGTACCTGGTATGGGCAGTCCTAGTACTAGGTTTAGTATGGATATGCCTGCAGTCCTGGAATGCAGCGCGATCACCTGGGTGGTCACCATGGATGGTCCCTAATGTGCCTGGATTTATGATCCCCTTCATGCCCATGGCACCGCCACAGACGTCACAGTCGCCTGCTCCAGCCCCGGCCTCGGCCTCAAGAGGGACTTTCACCACCTCCACCCTAGCTGATAGTTCCACCACTACGACTTCCCCTGTCGTAACTCAACGGGTCATGCCAGCACAAAAGACATTCACTTTGGCATCGCGTGGAAAGGGATGCCACCTAGTGCAGTCAGAAGTAGAGCGTGAGATCGGCGATATGCTGCGGGGTGTGCAGGTGGGCATTCTTACGCTTTTCATCCAGCACACAAGCGCAGCGCTCTCACTGAATGAGAACTTCGATCGCGACGTGCGCACGGATATGGACATGGTACGTAGGCGGGTGCTTTTTTTGTGTGCGCGCAAGTCCAGGATTACATGCTAACATACTGCCCTGCTCATAGGCTCTTGACCATGCTGTGCCGGAGTCATTGCCATGGCGCCACACAGACGAAGGCCCCGATGACTCCGCTTCACACACGAAGGCGTCGTTGATCGGGCCGAGTCTTACGATCCCTATCACTCAAGGTCATATGAATCTTGGCACTTGGCAAGGCATTGTATGTTTATCGCTAGTATGTGCACTAACATCCGTTCTAGTACCTGTGCGAATTCCGCCGTGCCAAGCATGCGCGTCGCCTTGTTGCCACAGTGTTGCCATAATAGGCTACAAAGCGGGATGGATCCATTCACAGACGTGCGCATATAGACCGGATGCGCATGTTCATAGTACTACGTATCCTTCTAGACGATCCCAGCAATAACGCAACGCGTGTGGTGGCCATTGCACGCTCGACTCGGAACGGCCCACAGACGGCGAATCAGATGCAGTGAACACATCCACCTCTGTAACACATGCGTCACCATTACATGATGCACTTATTTGCTAGCTACAACCCCAGCCTGCAATTCGACAACCTCCATGGTGCATCTAGATATCTATGACACGTCTCTACAGCTTGGCCTCTAGCGGCGGCGCTCCCTGCTCAACAATGGTGCGCATGATCCGCAGCGCATTGGCGATGCTCTCTTTGTACATGTGAATAGGGTGGCCCTGGCCCTCTGGGTTCGAGCGCTTCGACTCCAGACCGAACTTGAGCGTTTTGCTGCCGGCCAGGTAGTTTACGCCAAACCCATCTGGGAAGCCACAACCAAAGCCTGTGCCTACAAACTTGTCACCTGCACTCAGACCACTCGTGCTCAACTTCCATGAGGCCGACTCGCCCAAGAGTGGGTCACTAAACAGCTTGGGCACTTCGCCGTCGTCTTCAGGGCGGAACGAAAGACGCAGTCCCATCAAATGCCGATCAAAGCCCTTGCCAAATGAATGGTCACGTGTCTGGCGTGTGTGTGATGTTGTAGCGTCCGTTAGTAGCTTGTAAAGCTCAGCCGCTGGCTTGTTCATCCGCACTCCCTGCACGAAGTTGAACGCCTCGTTGCTGAAGGAGCGAATCACATCCGTGCGACCGTGCCTGAAGAGGCGCGTGCTCGCTGTTTCATACGTCGCCGTCTGTCGGCCATGCACGGACGCGTAAGCGAGCTGCAGGGCCATTTGAATGTACGCATCAGGCGCTTGTCTCGCGACCTTCTTGATCCAGTCTGCACCGTATTCACTGTACCACAACACGCCGATGTCCGAGTCGGACGTAATGGCCTTGGCCGTGTCCTCAGCAGCGGCAATGGATGCACGAACCTGGTCGTCCACAAGCCACGAAAGCTTGTGCCACGTCGGGGAAGTCTCAAGAAGCGACACGCCTTCCAGCTTCTCGGGGAAGTTTTCCGTGGGCGGCGGCATCGGCGCAGCAAGCACTGTTTCAGAGAGGAACGATGGGATAAGTGCATCTACGGGCGAGTGCTCGCCACTCAGACCCGCACGGCCCGTGGGCTCGACGACAAAGCTGATCGCCTTGTCGAACCAGCGGTTGTGGCCAAGGCGACCAGCACCAGCCGTATTGATGCCCACGGCAGACGAATAGCTCGGCTCAGAGCCGACATTTGGCTTGGCGCCCAACGGTGCGCCGATGTTGTTGCAGTCGAGAGCCAGGACAAACAGACTCGTCTGAATAGACTGCAAGCTTTGACGGTTTTGTGGGCCAAGAGACAACAGATGCTCGCGCGCCTTGGTCCATGCATCGCGGTCATCGCATGTCATGACAGGGATGCCGTCGCCTTTTGCCTGTTTGGCATCGGCAATGATGTCTTGTAGAGCCTTTTCAATCGCCGTGAGCGGGAAGATCTCGCCATGCTCGTCTATGACTGGCAACTCATACACATTGTCACGCACAAGCACAGTGACGTGGCGCGATGCAGCTGAAATGGATGTGGCCGTGTTGTGGTCCGCAGGACGGTTCGGAATGCGTGTCACGCCAAACATGCGACTGTACTGGTGCATACAGAAGGCCCCGGCACGCGAAGCATCGGGCTTGATGGTCTGCCGGTCAAGCGCAATCTTGTATAACGTAGCACGATACGTAATCCAGGTTGCGCGACGCAATCCATATTCGATGCCGTCCCAGTTCTGAAGGTCAATCGCTTCCTGTGTGTAAGCAGGGGCATCAACACGTTCACTGAGCTCAGCAGGCATGCAGGGATCCGGCAGGAACATGTTCCACCAGTTACTGTTCACCAAAAGAGGCGCGCGCCATTCATGATATGCTTTCAAGAGCCAGAAACGGTCGTCAAACCAGTTGTTTTCCGTCGTTTGATCCACGTCCACCAGGCGCTCATTGAGACGCGGACCCACACCGCTTTCGATCAGCTCTTTTGCCCATGTACGACGCTGCTGCATCTCACTTTCAGCCGTGGAACCCGAGGGAAGCTCGCCCAGTACCTCTTTCTGCCGCAGAATTGGCTCCAGACTCCGCAGGTAGCGTTCCAAGCTATCTTCCAGTCTCGGCACTGGCAGGCGCGGCAGTGCCGATTGCATTTGGAACGTCGTAGGACTAATACGCGCAAGCATGGAAGGCATGAATCTTGATACACTCGACGTCGAGAGTGTACGCTTTGATATACTCACAACGGGGGTGCGGCCTATTACTCGAAATGCCATGCCGGGGAGAAAATGGCTTGCAGACCCTGGTTTTCAATTCGGGGCACCGGTTCCACTTTGGCTTACTTCCAAATTTCGTTTGGTTTTTTGCCTCTGTTGCACAAATGAACGTGCTGCACGCCCGTCCCACAACTCGGCGCGTGTGTGTGCATGTTATTGCGTGCCTGTGCATCCAACACAAACCCCAAATCAAAGAGGGGCAGGACCAGCGTGTAATCACGTGATGCGGGGTAAGGGTCGCCCCATCGCCGCGAACCGACAAACGCCCCCCCTCCGTCCGATCAACTGCTGAGTCAGCGGTGTGTCTGGTTCACAAGCAGCTTTGCATTATCTTCGTACAGCTTCAGGTGATTGTCTTGGATCTCGTGCACGGTTATCATCCGTCCTCAGCGCTAGTGTGCTGACTGTCACTGTCGTTGATACCAGCCGGTGAAAACGATCATCTCTGATCGTGCTTTTGTTTGCATATATATATATATATATATATATATTTGTATGTGTGTGTGTGGGTTAATCGGTGTGATACCAGTAGTAATAATACATGAAGCACGTTCGTGAGACACGCACTCTCACACTCGACTACGACACCGAGACAGGGCACCGCATGATCAACCAGTATGTTGTCGACTCAGAGCTAGGCCGCGGCGTATTTGGAAGCGTGAAACTTGCGCATGACGTATACTCACGCGCGAATGTCGCCATCAAAATCGTGCAGCGAGAGGCCCCACGAAAGCTTGGCGTGCCTTATACCCCGCGGCAGACAGATGAGCGAGTGGTGCGTGAGATTCGTGCTATGTCACTATGCCTGCATCCAAATGTTGTACAGCTGTTTGAGGTGATTGATGATCCTATGAGCCGCAAACTCTTCCTCATCACAGAATACATGCAGGGTGGTGAACTTGTGTGGCGCGATGAGCTAGAACAACCCACACTATCGCTTACTGATGCCAGGCGTGTGTTTCGAGATATTTTGCACGGTTTGAATGCACTGCACGAGAATGGTATCATCCATCGCGACCTCAAGCCAGCCAACATCCTATGGACACGCGATCGGACCATGGCTAAAATCAGTGACTTTGGCAGTGCTTACGTGCGCATGACGCCATCCTCTGTTGATGAGCTTTCGAGTGCAACGGATCCTGTTCTTGCTCGTACTGCCGGCTCACCAGCGTTCTTTGCGCCTGAGCTGTGTTATGGTGCCTCTGATGGACCGCCTATCACGAAGGCCATCGATGTATGGGCACTGGGTGTCACGTTGTATTGCATGTTATTTGGACACGTACCTTTTGATGCTGAAACGGAGTATCTACTTCTGGAGTGCATTGTGCATGACGATTATGCCGTTCCGACCTGTATGTGCTGTGATCGTGTAATTGTGGGGCCACGAGCTCCCCGCTGGGCTCCGTTGTACCCGAATAGCCAGGATCTCTGCGGCAGTGGAAGCGGTAACACATACAGCAAAAGTGCAGGCACAGATTCGCGCAATGAGTCTACAAAGCCTGCTGAAACCAATCGATCCCACTCGCTCTCGAATGAAGCGCATGCAGTTCGTCACTTGCTTGATGCCCTGCTTGACAAAGATCCAGCGACACGCATGACGCTCGATCGTGCCATGACACATCCATGGCTCGTGGCAGTTTCATGGTAATTTGGTCTATGGGAGACATGGTTCAAGGTAAGAAGTCGGGGTTGGGCTGTTTGGTGGCTTGTTGGTGAATTGGAAGCAAAGACAAGCAGATTCGTGCAGTATAAGGTGGCCGTAGTCTAGTTATTGGAGTGTATGATACCCCATGTCATGGGTGCTTGACAAGATTTGTTGCAATACCCAGACCTAATGACGAAAAAAAAAAATAAATAAAATAAATGCATAAATATGATAAATTGTCCAAATGGTAAGGGACCATAGAACTCGCATTCATTCGCCAAGTCGGCTTATCGACGACGAGGTTGCTTCACTCCCTCGCGGAGCGAACTTGTCTACGCAAGCCACATGGGCTTCAGAAGCTCGTCAGTGGCGTGGAACTCGGCGTGCAAAGAAGCGTCTATAGCTTGTTCAGACGCAAGGACATCGACAGCAGCTACAAGTGCCGTCCAGAAGCGACATGCTCGACGCAATTCCGTCGCGACATCGCGCACGTTTTCAAACGTATCTACGAGCATTTCAACAACAGTGGACTTGGCCTCGACAATGTCAGGGAGCATACTCTCCTCTGGCTGAATCATACCATTGTGCAGCGTGTACAATGCATCCACATAGCACTTGATCAGGATGCCCATACCCGTATTGGCATCAGACTGGAAGGGCAAACTCAGACTTATGTCAAGATAGTCGTCTCGTTGCTGCCGAGTCTCTGTGCGCAGCAAGAGCGTAAGTGTCACCATTTCGACCAGTGAGCGAAGCGAGCGCGACAAGCCTTTCACAAACGAGTTAAATACCAGCATTTCTCGAGATAGCGGTGCATCCCATGGCTGGGCCTGGAACAGGATAGGCAATAGACTCAATGTGCGCATAGCGAGGAGCATGCGCCGCTTTTCTTCGTCCGTACCAAATGACGGCCCACCGCTGTAAATCGATTCGCTATACGGATTCGCATGGAGCACACCAGCACGAAGCAGCTCCAGTGCCAAGTACAGCGGCTCTTGAAGCCGGTCATTCACACGTACATGCTGTATCGCCGTGTGCAAAGCACGGCCGTATGTTGTAAGGGTATGCTCAGCGTTCAAGAAGCCACGTAGCTCGAGAAAGCGCCAAAGCGAATTGGCGACAAGTTCATCTTTTTTTTCAAGTCGCATCGACGAGTCCTTGGGCAAGATAGTCCGCGCAGCGCGCGCCGCATCGGTGGCCGTATTCAGGCACAGGGGAATGTCGATCGTAGACGAGTTTTGCCGACGCAGCTCAGCATCGAGCAACGAAGCGGGAACGTACCAGCGATCGACCTGAGCAAGAAGTTTCTGTGTAGCACTCGCATCGTGCGGCACCGGCACATCCATGTGCGGCTGGAACCAATACACGGCTGAAACTTTGCGCTGGCGCCAGAAGGGATGCATCGCCGCACACACCAGGGCAATCGCGACGCACCGGAGGCTCGTGGGACTTTCCGTCAAGTACCCTCGCACAAATTGGTGGTATTCATCTGAGTCGCCATTGTCGAGTGGAGCCGACTCAATCACAAAGCCACTCAGCAGACTGCCAAGCACGCTCGTGCTCACGAGACCTCGCGACAAGTACAAAAGCACCTGCTCCGGCAAACGGAACGAAAAAATCTCGTGCAAGTCGCTGGGAATTTCCAGTTTGATACCTCTGTCGAACAAAGCAAGGGGCAGCGGTATCACCGAGCCGCTGCTTGGACTTAACACGACGCTGTATTTGATCATCGCACGCGCGTGGCAGAATTGGTCCAAGTACGCGCTGCGAGCCACCATGGGGTGGTCTGCAAACTGTGTGCAGAGTACAAAGCCGCTGCGATTCTGCCGCACAAGCTGTGCGACTGAACGAAAGTCGGGTGCGCCAGCCGAGTGCACAAGCCCTGTCGATTCGTCTTGCAGCGCCGGGAACGTTGAGCAGTATTCCATCCCAACAAGAAGAGCGACATCAAGAAATTCAGCTTCATTACACTGCAATTCACGCATCATCGCAAGCTTGGATGCAAATTGGAATTTGCCATGCCGCAAATTCAAGTGTAGAATCACCTTGTCGACACCATCGAAAGCAAAGAGCTCCGTCGGTCCATACATCGCATGCACATACTGCTTCGAATGCCGCTCCATCAAAACGAGCTGCCCAGTCGCTTGGTACGGTGCCACAACATACTCAATATGATGGTGTCGACACATGCGCAAGACGGAACGATACAGGTCTGGCAGGTGCAAGCTGTTGCTCGATGCAAACAACTGCGTCGCTAGGGCTACATTATCATCTTCATAAGACTCCCATGCACGTTTCCTTAGACCTGGACGGCGGTCCTCATAGCTGAAAGGACGCGTACGCTTTGCTGGTGACAGACCGTGCAAGACAAACACGGGCTTGATGCGGTGCTGCTCGAGGACGCGGATGTCACTCTCGATCCGCGACATGAGAGCAATAGGTTGACCACCAATGGCCGTGACAAGTGGCTCTGCTGACTCCGGTGCCGACAGCACCTGTCGAAGATAATACGACAAATCAATGCCTAGTCGAGTATTTTTAAGAACATTCAGTGACTCTTCTTGCAATAAGTGTGCATCGTGCAAGAATCCCTCAAGCCCGCGAATCATCACGTAGACCTCACCTCAGTTTGATTTCTTCTATGCACAAGCCCTAGCTTATGAGCTTTCCCACTTGTTGGTCTGGTTCTTCTTGCTGTGGCCGTGGCCTGAACTCAGATCAACTAGCTGCCTCGATCGTGCCTCTAATCACACATACATACACGCCCACGCCCACACCCACACCCAAGCGCACGCCCACATGCGTCATGGATATACACGCCTCCATCACCACATTCAACGCATCGGTATGGCAAGATGTGTGTGTCTCGGCCGGACCTTCGACCCCAAGGTCTCCGCACTGGCCTTCGGCCCACGAACATGAAGAGGCTTTCATGTATACGCGCTTAGTAGTTCCGCGTGAAACGGCTGTTTGTTGCAACCCTAGGACAGTAAGACCTGGCAACAAAGCCGTAAGCCGATATGGGTGGCTAATGTGACGACGCACTCAAATATAGCTGCCCCGTCCATAAGGCGCCAAGATCTCAAGCACGTTCATAGAATCGACGTGTTCGACGTGCACATAGCCCCCACCCCCATGCTATCAAAACACTCACTCATTTTTTTCAATAAACATGCATGGAATCCATGTCTTCTTTTTGGTGAGTCTAAACACACCTTCCTATGGCTCAAAGGATAGGTATGACTGGGTACGTATGCACTAGACAAGACAGAGAAAAAGACACATGACTGCCTATCGCAGACACAGGACTCAATATCCGTGCATGTGATGAAACAAGTAGAAACAACATCATCACAAACACTGTCGCATCATAAAGCCATGCAGCAAAGCGATATGCAAATGTGCGTGTGTGTATGTGTGTGCATGCGCGCATGCGTGCACGTATAGGTCACAGGTACCGCTTACTGCAGAATGATACCATCGAAGCGCTGCTTGAACCAAGCAGCCGTCTCCTCCTTACGCACACGGTGTGGAGCACCAACACGAGACTGGCGGTTCTTGCGGCGGGACACACGCACACCTGGACGAGTCATGCAGACATAAAAGTCCATACCGAAAATACCAATACCTGGGTCGTACTTGATACCCAAGTCAATGTGCTCCGTAATACCGAAACCAAAGTTACCCGTGTCGGAGAAGTTGCGCTTCTGCAACTCGTACTCCTTAACCTTCAGACCGCGCTCAAGAATTTCCTCGGCCTTGGCACCGCGAACAGTGACGTGGCAGGCAATCTTTTCGTTACGACGGATACCGAAGCCACGCAGCGTGTAGCGGGCCTTAGTCGTAACAGGCGTCTGACCCGTCAGCTGTTCCAACACCTTGGTGGCACGAGTGAGACGGTCACCCGACTCACCGACCGAGATGTTGATGACGAGCTTGTCAACCTTGAGCTCCTGTTCCTGTTAGCATGCCCAGAATCCTAACACAGGTTTGCCCGCCCTTGATGCCCAATTTAGCATACTCACACACACACACGCAGACATACAGGCGTTGAGATGCAGCTTGTTCAGGCAATTGTCACTAAGCACATAGCCTGTCGCTGTCCACAACATTTTGTGTTTGTGAGTGTGCGAGAATGTAAACGGACTCACAGACGAGCACTGCATTAACGTACCCTCATGGGGTTGCTGACAATGTTAGTATATTGTGTACTTTCGAGCGATGCACAACTAACTACCACACTTACATCGCCTTGCTCGATTCCGCCATGATCTTATTCAGTCGCAGTCGACGTGAAGAAGTGTGGCCAGCAGTGCTTTCCTTGCTGTAGCCAAACGACCTGAGGCCAGCTTGCTCATGTCTGAATCATGTGATGTAGGTCACATGACATGTACAGTTTTGCGACTTCGAGCAGGAGGCGCCTTCATAAAAGAGTTATTATGATTGGGCAAAGGGGGTGTTTGTGAAGTGACCAATCATCACATCGTACAGCACAATGTCGCGTAGCCTGCATGATATTGGCTCCAGCTTACGTGTGCACCACCCTTGTTGGGCCACGTCCGTTCTCGCGCTGTACGATGGACCTCTCAGATCGCAGGTACACGCACAGTAACGGAGCAATTACACACACCGTGCACAATGCGAGTTCAACATTTCTCGAGCTCATCATACGCCTTCCTGACTCGCACTGTTCGTTTACTACCGCACCAGGTGTAAGACCAGCGGAAGGACCCCAGTTTGGTCCGTAGAGGCATTTTGCAGTTCGGAAATACAAGCTTTGCCTCAAGTCGCCTCACAGTCTACGCGTTTGGCCGTCTCACCGTTTCGACATCTTGGACCTGACCACAGAGGCTCAGTTCGTTTTCCCTCCTCACCATTGAAGAACACTTCGCTTCCTGTCATCGAAGAGCAAGGACCGCTTCTTCGTCATCGGCTTTTGTTTCTTTTGCTATCGAATTAAGGATAGTGGGAATGGTCATTTTCTCTAAAGATGATACGTCCATGTGCACCGCCACAGATGAGCCGCCGGATATGTCTCCCCATGAACACCGCCATTTGTCAAGCGCGCGATCGCAGTCAGTTTCTGTGCCTTCGACGGCACGTCCTACGTTGATAAAGAAGCGGGAGTCACCATGCTTCACAACTACTGCGCAATTTGTGTCGCCATCGATCCATGCCTCTTACGCCCGCTCACCAATGTCCCCCTCCGCACTAGAAGCAGCGACACCCAAGCTTGGACACAGCCCTGCTCACACAGATTCATTGCCAGGCAGTCCAAGCAGTGTGTCAAGCACTGTGAGCGGTGTATCATTGCGTCGTGGCGATACAGCAGATACTGAAGACGAGCCTGAAGCAGAGCTCGAAGCTGTTGACGAAACGGATGAGCTGGACTTGGATGAACCAACTCTTGCGACGCTCGACCTCAGTGATGATTCTCATGAGCACACGTCTTCCATCTCGCATATCACCAACATGTACCCACTGCCGCCGAAGCTCGTGGCTATCCATCCAAAGACAAACACTAAAGATCGTGTACCCTCAAATGAAGCACAAGCGGAGGACAACGATTCTCGAACCAGGTTTCTTCAGAAAGGTCGCGTGTCCGAGTTAGCAGCTATGACAAACGATGCTACGCGAGCACATCCACAGCAAAACCACTCTTGTGAAACGGAAAACAAAAATCCACCATTGCCGTCGCCACGTGGATGGTCTGGAGAAGTTGTCGAGCCACCTCCCCCACACCCAACGGTTCTTCCACAAGACACTGTGCCAGCGGTGTCCTCGCCGCTGTGCGTGAGTTGTGATTCGAATAACATGCATGATGGACAGGTTGGGCAGCAGCGAGCAGTGTCAGAATCTAGAAGTGAACCAAAGAACAACTGCACTCAAAACAAAGGTGTTAGTGCTGCTGTCGACGACACGAATGCCGTTGAAGCCCCTGAACCTCAGGATGACTCGACCGTCACCTCTAAGACATCCACTGCAGGCGAGGATATGCCACGCCCTGGATCGATGCCCGTGCGTCGACGTTCACGTCGTTCGTCCCGAGCCAAAAAACCTTTGAAGTCTGTCTTATCATCCTCGGAAGATGAACCGTCGGGCCGGTCCCGCCGGCTTGAACGCAAGAAACATTCCGTGCGATTTTGTGTGGATCCGCCAGAGGAGCGGCGTACACACAGTCCCGTTGATTATGATCGAAAAGCACACCCAGTGCACAATCACTTGTGCGGTGACGACCTGCGTGAAATGCGGGATCTTCACATGTCAATGGATCTGCTACAGTCTCGTTGCCGGTCCATGCACTTGCAACAACAACAACAGACCAAAGAAGGGGCGCCTGTCGACATGCCTGCTTATGATGTATGGCACACGACGGCCATGCATTCGCACACACCGAAGACGCCACTGCCACCATCCGGTCCCACCTCACTTTCTGCATGGGAACGAAATAAAACGGATGGCGCGCCGAGCATACCATGTCGAAGGAACAACAGTGGCGGGGACACAGGCTCTGAAGTAAGGAAGGATGATGCAAAATCTAACGATCCGCTTGCTGATCTAGAAGCTGTTCGCGAGCAGCAGCGCCGTCATACCAATGGTGTCATGCCTTATGGTAGTGGTGCCACTACTGGGACTGGTCGATTCCTTAGAAGTGCATCGCCTCATGACAGCTCAGCGGCATCTGGATTATCGTTACCAGCACACAATGAGTCCAGACTAGCATCAACGCTCGCAGCAAGATTTGGACTTAACAAGCCACCACCACCGCTTCCAGGCATGGAGCCGAGTGGTCCGGTGCGGTCGGCCGCGAGCAGCCCTGAACCGGCCACTTCTTTACGATCCTCGGCGAGATCGACATCTCCTATTGGCTCAACACTAACAGCACAAAAGCGGGCATCGAGGTCGGTGTCACCGCATTCAGGCTATGAAAGTCCCATGCAAGACTTTGGCGATTATGGGAGTGAATATGACATGATGGATGCCCAATAATGACAATGAAATGGCGAACTCTGATAGTTGTACATAGGTTTTCAGGTTGATAGCGCTTCTTAGATTATATATTGTATATATGTTGTACGTGGTCAGCTGAATAATGTGTTCCATTCTTCGTGCCGGAGGGGGAAGGGGGTGGCGGAAAATGGTATTTGGCGCGCGTATGACAGGCCATCGTTTGTCTTGCCTGACTGAGCCCACACGGACAATAGTACAAGAAGGGGGCTCATCAGTGTAATGTGATTGGTTCCATGTCGTCCATGTGCCAAAAAAAAAATAAAGCAAGCAGCCCATTCGTACGGGGCACAAGCGGGCGGGGGATTTCTAAAGTGATCAGGTTTGAAAAAAAAATTGCGCTTCAATGCGAGTGTCGAAGCGAGGAGAGGAAGAGAGGGAGAAGGAAAAAAATTCAAGACGAAGAAAGGTTTTTTTCCTCAACTTTATCGAACATGTCTAATGATGCTCAGACAAATGTGCCGAGTTCTACTGGACTCGAGTCGTCGCTCTCGAACATGAGCGTACAGGGATCAGCACCAGCTCCAACGAAGAGCGAAAGCGCTTCAGGCGCGGGCGCTCCTAGGAAGCGGTATGTGCCACCGCACATGCGTCATCAACAAGATGCTGGTAGTGGGCCAGGTGCGCGTGGCTCGATGGGTGGCTCGCGCGGTCCACCAGCTCTTCCACCAGCCTTTAGTGGTGGACGCCGTGGATTTGGTGGTAGCGACTCGTCGTCGGGTGCCGGCGGCGGTGGCGGCGGCCGATGGAGTAGTCTCAGCGGTGGCGGTGGCTGGAACGATCGTGGCTCACGCCGCAACGATGGCTTCGGTTCATGGCGGGACAACAAGCACATTATTGGCCCAGTAAACGAGCGTCTGGAGCGGGACCTGTTTGGTGTGCCGGATGATGGCATGCACCAAAGCACGGGCATCAATTTTGACAAATATGGCGACATTCCCGTCGAGGCAACAGGACGTGATGTACCAGAGGCCATTACTGAATTCACGCACCCGCCTGTTGACGAGCACCTGATTTCTAATATCAGACTGGCGCGTTATTCTACACCGACGCCAGTGCAAAAGTACTCGATTCCAATCGTCGGCGCCGGTCGCGATTTGATGGGATGTGCGCAGACCGGCTCGGGCAAGACAGGTGGTTTCTTGTTTCCCATCCTGTCGGCTCTATTCACGCATGGTCCTCCTCCGATGCCGCCGCAGCCACCCATGTATGGCCGCCAAAAGGCATTCCCGTCCGTGTTGATTCTTGCCCCAACGCGTGAGCTGGTATCGCAAATTCACGAAGAGGCACGAAAGTTCACTTACCGCTCATGGGTACGACCGGCTGTGGTGTATGGTGGAGCTGAAATGGGTGCGCAGCTGCGCCAGATTGAGCGCGGCTGTGATATGCTCTCAGCGACGCCCGGCCGTCTGGTCGACCTGATTGAACGTGGACGAATTAGTCTGGCGAATGTGCGCTTCCTGGTGCTTGATGAAGCTGACCGTATGCTGGACATGGGTTTCGAGCCGCAGATCCGCCGGATCGTGTTGGGAGAAGACATGCCAGGCGTTATGGACCGCCAGACCCTCATGTTCTCGGCCACGTTCCCGCAAAATATCCAGATGCTTGCCAAGGACTTTTTGAAGGAGTATGTGTTTCTGTCAGTCGGTCGCGTCGGCTCGACTTCCGAGAACATTACTCAAAAGATCGAGTACGTGGAGGACCGCGATAAACAATCGATGCTTCTCGATGTACTTGCAGCCATGCCAACGAGTGGCTTGACGCTCATCTTCGTCGAGACGAAGCGCATGGCCGATATGCTGTCGGACTTTTTGATCTATTCGAACATTGCTGCGACATCTATTCATGGCGACCGCACGCAGCGCGAGCGTGAGTATGCACTGGACCTCTTCCGCTCGGGCCGCACGCCCATCCTTGTTGCCACAGCTGTGGCTGCTCGTGGACTGGATATTCCCAATGTCACACACGTTGTGAACTACGACCTGCCTTCGGACATTGATGACTACGTTCACCGCATTGGTCGTACGGGACGTGCTGGTAACATTGGCCATGCCACCGCGTTCTTTAACCGCAACAACCGAAATATCGTGCGTGACTTGGTCAAATTGCTTCAGGAAGCGAACCAAGAAGTGCCCTCATGGCTTGAGAATGTCGCATCGGAAAGCGCGTTCTCAACTGGCAGCCGCGGTGGCCGTGGTGGTGGTCGAATGGGCGGTGGCCGCTTCGGTGGTGGCCGCTTTGGCGGTATGGGTGGTCGAGACTTCCGCTCAGGTATGGGCGGCAGCGCATTTGGACCACGCAGCGGTGGCTATGGCGGTGGCTACAATGCTGGTGGGGGCTTCTACAATGGACCACCGGCGCCCGACCATTCTAGCAGCGGGCAGTCGTGGTGGTAAGCGGCGAGCAGGAGTCATATCGCCCTCTTTTTCTTTTGCTGTCACATTTGCGCAAGCAATGGCATTCCCGGCAGCTACCTGCTCACCTCATTCACATTTCTTGAGAAGAAAAACATAACAAAAAAAAAATCTGGCTTGACGTTATTTGGGCACACAACGGCATTGGATTCCGGACAATTTTTTCGCGCCAGTCTTCATGACGAGGATGTACTTGTGCAGACTCGCCGCAAATGTCACAAAAGCCCTCGCTATGATTCCTTCGTTGTGTCAACATGCGCTGCAGTTTGTGCATATACCAGTCCAAGCTCGATGCCGCGGCAGGCGCAACGAAGAACCCGTATTTTGTGGATCTCTCCTTCTTCCCTTTATATTTCCACATGTGTAGCTAGCATGTAATGATATCGTCTTGATTTTGACTTTAACGCGTGCAGCGATCACATATCACAGGCCTCGGTCGGTTCGCGGCATGTATTAGAGCGGCTCACCCTGCCCATTCCTATAGCATGCGATGACTCATGCCCTTCATATACACTTTGGGGCCTCCACCGACGACTGTACATGGGGGTCTTGTGTCGAGACTTGTTGAGCCTCGCAACTTGACGGCAGCATGCTGGTGGCAGTGACGCAAATGACTAGTGGCGGCATAATCCGAGAGAATCTCGCGATAGCGCAGAATCTTGTCCGCTGCGCTGCAAATGCAGGCGCCAAAGTACGTACAGCAGATGCGATACGCCTCACAACCTGACATAGGAGGCAGTCTTTCTTCCCGAGGGTGCGTGCATGCTCTCTCAAAGGGCTTGCCGGGCAGGCTCACGCCAATTGCAGCGACAGATTTTATTTCCCCACCTACGTCAGTGCCTTCATTGACGCGGTCATCTGAGAACAGGGCCTTTGTTACGAGTCTATGTACGATGGCGAACGAGTTAGGCGTTTGGATCAGTGTGGGCGTACATGAACCGCCCCCACCTGAAGAGACAACTCGCTGCTTCAATACGCAGCTCCTTATTGATGACAAAGGACAAATTCAGGCGAGGTACCGCAAAGTATGTGTGCATGGAGACGTGCATGCTCCAAGCTAACAGACATCTAGATGCATCTGTACGACGTTCAAGTTCAGCATGGTATGTCCATATGTGAGAGCAATACAACCATCCCTGGTACAGAGCTAGTACCGCCAGTATCTACGCCTTTTGGGCGTACAGGTGTACGTTCTTTCGATGTATCATACTTACATGTAGCTGTTGACGTGCTACGACATGCGATTTCCTGAAGTAGCACTCTCGCTGCGTCGGAGCGGCGCGCAGATCCTTACTTTTCCATCCGCTTTTGCTGTGCGAACAGGTGCAGCGCACTGGAGCACATTGCTCCAAGCACGAGCAATTGATACACAGTGCTGGGTCGTCGCTGCTGCACAAGTTGGTACGTATCGCGCGTGAATAACACGATAGGCACACATCCGGGGACAACGCGCACATCGTATGTGAAAGCAGTAGCCTTTTCCGTGCTCGCTCACACATCAGCTGGGGACATGCCATGATCGTGGATCCATGGGGCTCTATTGTTGCTCAATGCAGGTATGGCGCTGCTTGTATGACTAGTCCACGTATTTCTGACACATGTGCAGCGACATGCCGCCATTTGAGGCTGCATTTGGATTGGCCGATATTGTACGTGCATAACCGACCCCATTCTTACCCCACTTTTAGGCACTCGACTCGGTCGACAAGGTGCGCCAGGATATGCCCCTTTGGGAGCAGCGTCGTAATGATATATATCCGGAGGTGTGACGTACTTCGATAAAGGATGCATCAGAACGTTTCTCCTGGCACCCTTCATAGTATCACATTGGAGTCGTGCGCCTCTTCCAATGCTGGAGGTTGCGTGCTGAAAATGTGTGTGTTACTCTCAAAATTGGTCCACATTGTTACAACATTTGGCCTGTCTTCTACGCACATAACCTAGTCTCCACCCACGAGTCGGTGCAGCAATTAGCCTGTTACGACATCCGTAGACACTGACGAGACGACGATGACATCGACTGTGCCATTGATTATCGAGTACGTGCGTAGTCAGCGAGCCTACTAATACGTAAACAGCACAGATCCAGGTGTTGACGATCTTCTTGCGATCCTTCTCGTACGTACTTGTTGTCCGACAACTGACATCCGCACCAGGCGCTTGCATCGCCAGAAGTGACGCTAGAAGCCATCACACTCACATTCGGAAATACAACCCTTGACTATGCACACAGCAACATTCTGCGATTGGCGCATGCACTGGAAGTCGCGAACAAGGATGGTGCCATCAAGAATGCGACGCTACGTGAGCGAATTGAGCACGGGTTCAATGGTAAGCCCGTACCGATTGCCCTGGGTGCTGAGAAACCATTAGGTGGTCGCTTATTCACGGCGAGCTATTTCCATGGTCGTGACGGCATGTCAGGCGTCTCTTTTATCGAGGGGAATCCATATCCAGCCACTAAGTCGTCAGTTCTCTTCGGTTCCAGGCCGGCGAACTTGCCAGCGGATGAATGCATTCTCGACATTCTTCGGCGCCATCCGCCGCACACTGTACGAATTGCGGCCGTTGCTCCGCTAAGCAACCTGGCAAGTGCTTATCTGAAGGACCCTGAGACTTTCTGTCGCGTGGGCTCCATTAGTGTCATGGGTGGCGCTCTCGACGTGCCTGGCAACACATCTCCCACCGCCGAGTTCAACTTTTTCGCTGACCCTTGGGCTGCCAAAGTTTTGTTGGAAGATGCGGTGCATGATGGACGTCCACTTCCGATCCAGCTTCTCCCTCTGGATACGACATCGCGTCACACTGTGCCGTATGAACTTCTGGTGCTTGACGAATCGTCGGAGCTGTACAAAACAAACTACTTGTTCCGCTTAATTTCATTGTTCCTCCGCAAGCCGCGTGCAGTAACCAACTCATTTGCACTAAAGGTGTTTCGTTCGATGCGGCGAAATACGACTTGTTTGAGGCACACGATCCTTTGGCCGTCGCGCATGCGATCTTTTGTACAGACACCAAGCTCTGGTCTTGCACAAGTCGACCATTCCTCATTGAGACAGAAGGTCGCTTAACTCGTGGGTTCTGTGTAGTGGACCGTCGCCAGCATGGCGAAGAGTATGGTGGACGGAACAAGGCAGACGTTGAGGCGGCTCGTGGTCCTCAGGACGAACATGCTTTGCCTACAACAACAACGACGCCTTCAAAACGCAAAGCCGATGCTGATGATGGGGAGCAGGGCGCCAAAGAGCAAAAGAATCGTGATGCCCCACTGCCTTTGCCGCATATTGACGTAGTGACTCAAACACCAGGCTCTGCGTGGTTTGAAGATCTCATGCTGGGGCGTCTTGGACTCAAGAATGTTAATGCGCCTTCGTCAAGCACCCGCAGTTAGGTACGGGGGCGTAGTGTTGACAAGGCTTGTACCCATACAAATCTGACGGGAATCGTATCCGCCTACATCGCCGAATAGGTTTTTATACATCTTACTATCATATACGAACAACTCGGAGCATCTTACGTACACTATTACGCGCCGGGAGGTCGAAAACCTGGTGGTGGACGTGCAAATCCAGGAGGCGGTCCGCCAAATCCTGGCGGGGGGCCCATTGGTGGTGGGCCACCAAAGCCTGGCGGAGGACCAAATGGCGGGCGAACCATTGGCACTGCACCCATCGCAGCGCCTCGTCCGGTTGGTACGCCTCGTCCTGGGCCCGGCGCCATCTATTCGTTGTTAGCTCACACGTATGAAAAGAGAAGAAAAGAGAAGCAGTGATCAAAGCGATACATACAACCGGCATATCTCGTTTCGATTCAGGTGGTGGTGCGTCCACACTGATACTGATGATGGTCTCACCACGAAGGATAATCAGGCCCAATGTCCGCTTCTGCTCTTGTACAGGCGGGAGCGGTTCGTCGTCGTCGTCCTCCTCTTCATCAATGTGGGCCTGCCCGGCGGCCGTATCTCCATGCGATACCTTTTGCTTCTTGTTTGCCTTTTGTGTCTTCTTTTTCTTTGGCTTGATTCGTCGGAATTCTTCCGCTGCACGCATGTTAGTAGGATAGGAAAGGGACGACACTGCATTTCACATACCATTAGACAACACAAGATTCATGTGGGTATCGAATGCGAGCAATTGTCCAGTCATTTGACGACCATCGTTTAGTGTAACACGCAGGCGGTAGTCAATCAGGGCCATCATGCGCCCACCCTTAGCTTTGACAGGGGGCTTTCACCCCGTTAGGACCAGCACATCTAAAATCGCCCATACGTACCATTCTGATGAAATTCAACGCGAAGCACTAGTCGAGAAAGTGCGAAATCAACGCTACCACGCGCTTGACACAAGCTGATGACAGAGTGACTTCTGCACCGATGGAAGCGATGCTTTCGACAACGACGTGGACGATGAGCGATTATCACGTGATCTCACATGGAGTTGGTGGAGGTTGTCATGCAGAACGTCGGTGATGCGCCTTCGCAGATAAGACTGCGTCGAGACAGTGCGGTGTCAATCTGTCAGATAGTTCGTGTGGCGGACCATTGTTGTAACTTGTGGCGAATAGACACGGCGGCAAGGACTTTTTTTTTTTGCACGATGCCATTGAACTATGAACAACTGCTATCACGGGAATACACCCGTCGTCCTACGCCTGCGATTCGCGGATTGCTCGCACACGAGTCTAGACCGGGAATGATCTCGTTTCTCGCTGGCAAGCCAAATCCCAGTGGGTTTCCTTTTCAGTCGATCTCTGTGACATTGAAGCCAGATGCCATCATGTCGAAAAACTCGGACACGGATGATGCGACAGAACTCGTCATTGAAGGAGAGGATCTCGAGCGTGCATTGCAATACGGGTCGTCAAGCAGTGATAAGATGTTTTCAGACTGCATGGATACCATTGTGTCTACAGTGCACGGTCGCAAGCGTGGTGATGGATCGCCTGCAGGTGACTATGAGCTAGCTGTTGGGACAGGATCGCAAGATCTGCTTGCCAAGGTACGTTTGTTTGCTGTGCTATGTGCTTTTGTCTCTCCCCGCTGACACAGTGACACAGACGAGTCTAGCACTGTTCGACGAGGGTGATACTGTACTTGTCGAGTCACCCATGTACCCAGGCCTCCTTCCGGACCTAGCATCCCGCGGAATCCATACAGTCAACATTGCGACAGACGAGGAGGGCTTGTCCGATTCGGCACTGGCGTCCGTGCTGGAGAATTGGACATCACACGAGCAGACGTCTAAGATGCGCTTTCCCAAGGCCATATACACGGTACCGACAGGCAGTAACCCAGCCGGGACAACGGCTTCGGCGGATCGCAAGCGTAAGATCCTTGCACTTGCACGTCGACACCAGGTGCTTATTATGGAGGACGACCCCTATTATTACATTGGCTTTGACGGGCTCGGGGAAGATCCTGTAACGCGTGAACGTATCCCCAGTTACTTTGCCCTGGAAAGAGAACAGGCTGATGAATATGGGTATGGATATGTATTACGCTTTGAAAGCTTTTCGAAAATCATGTCGGCTGGTATGCGACTGGGCTACGTTGTGGGGCCGAAGCCTATCGTCACGGCCATCGTCGCTTATACGGCGACGAGCAGTATTCATGCATCATCACCAATCCAAGTGATTGTGGCACATCTGCTCAGACACTGGGGTGTGAATGGGTTCCTCCAACACGTGGACAAGGTCGCAAGCATGTATCGGGAGCGTCGTGATGTCTTTGCGTCCAGTCTCGAAAAGATATTGGGCAGTGGTCCTACTCCTGTAGCCACATGGACGACGCCCGTGTCAGGCATGTTTTTCTGGCTGAAGTTGCACTTGCCGCCGACGCCTGAAGCGCCAGAGGGCGACTCGTTCCAGGTTATTGCGGAAAAGGCGCTCGATGAAGGTGTGCTTGTTGTTCCAGGATCTTCGTTTTATGCGGGTGGGTGTAAGACGCCATACGCTCGTGTCAGCTTCAGTGTCATTCCCGAGAATGACATAGCCGAGGGTCTGCATCGCTTGCGCCGCGCGATTGAATCTGCATGGAAGGATGCAGGATACAGCACAATCCCACCAATGTAAAGGAATGAAGAAAAAAGACCAGGTCCGTGTGCTGCAGCTTTATCACCCGAACCATAGAAGATCTGTGCCTCAGACAATCCAACAATAACATCGTGACGCAATCTAGTTTGTAGGATCATGGCAGCACTTCTGCCGGCTCTCAAGGTGGCTTGCGTGTACACTAGCCGGATGCATTGGCCGCTGCTGATGCACTGTCATTCTCACGGTCCACTTGGTCAAGTGCTGCCATAAACATCGCCGCCTGCCCCACGCCCAAGTCTTTCATGTAAGCTGCCTGTTCGCTTGCAATGGACATGTGGTGTTGAGTGTGCTGCATCGTCGCTGCCAGCGCATCCAGACGAGATGCAAGGTATGCATAGTGACGTTCCTTGGCCGAATTCAGTGCCGCGCCAGCGACAGGAATATTATTTTGAGACATTGCACAAGATCAGATCGTCTACGATATGGTGTGTCGACACGCAGTGGTTAACCAGTCCGCTTATAACACGTAAGCAACAGCTTGCAGATTAACAGTGCGACCCAAGGTCGGTAGTCCAGGCTACAACAAAACATGCGCACGGTTTTCGTGCGTCTTCTGCATAAGTATGCAAAATGAGTAATCACACAGCCATTTGTGAGCGCGGGGCATGCGCTTCGCAGCGTACGTGTGGAGACAGGCGAAAGCCTGGAAGGCAAGAAGCGCATGTGCGTGTGAAAGGACTACCTTTTGTGGAACAAAGCATGCTACGAAGTCAGTGTTAGTAGATGATGCATTGAAAAGAAAGTGGCGAAGGAATGAAAACATACCTTGAACTTGGACATGTCGCGGCCCCAGCGGTTTCTACTGGTGGAGATGGGTGGATCAGGTGCCGCGACCGATGTGGGCGCAGCAGGCACGGCACCCGCCGCGGCGTTGGATGGATCTGGAGAATCGGAGTTTGGAGGCGCACTGTCGTACTTCGCGGGCGAAGATGCACTAGCACCCATCGAAACATCCTTGCCACCCTTCTTAAGCCTCGCGAGGCGATTCGCACTCTTTTCAGGCATGGGCGGGGGAGCAGCAGGAGTATCAGCAGGAGTAGCAGTAGCAGCAGTAGCAGAGGGTACTTCGTCTTCTGTAGTAAAACGCAAGTCATACCGCGCTTGTGGCCAGAGTTCCTGGGGGTATTGGGGCTTCTTGAGCGGTGGTGCATTCTTCACTTTCTTGCCCTGTTGTTGTGCCAAGAGTTGCTCTCGCTCCGCCTCCTGGGCACGCCGACGTGCCTCGACATGTAGATCAGGCGGCACGGGTTGCCGAGGTGTGCCTATTACACGTAATGAGTCCATATAGGAAAGAGGCGTGAATACATGAGAGGAACCAAGGTATACTTCAGCGTTGTTGCGTTTGCCGACCTGATAGGCCGTGCGCATCTCAGAATACGTGACACCGCCGACCATAAATACAATGAGACGCTGAGCAGATGGATTGCTCATTTCTTCTAAAACGGTGGATGGTGCACGCTGTGATCCCAACGTGCCGCCAGCGCCAGCAGCTGTGCTGCTGCCGGCACCAGCAGGCGCTGCGATACTCGCTGCCGATTGCGAGCGACCCTTTTGATGCCATGTGGGCCGTGCACTTCGCAGACTCGTTGTGCCGCCGCCACGTAGCGTTTGTGCGCGTGTTGAGCTGGACTGATCGAAGCCAAAGCCGGCGCCTACGCGCGCGAGTGGCGAGTCTTTGCCACCGGTAGCATTGATCGCCGAGTGCAGCATAGATGTGGCCATATCAGACGCACTAGCACTGAACGACATGGACCGCTGCTGCAGCTGTGCAGAGAATGGCTGCTCGGGCGGCGCATCACGCACATAAGGAAACATGGCTTGCTCGAGACGGCCCAACAGATGGTCTTCAAGCATCGTGCGGAGAAGGGGCTGCCATCGACTCAGTTCATACTCTGACTGACCAGCGGCAGGCAAGCGGGGCGCGAGAGTTTTCCGGCGCTTGCGAAAGATGGCATCGAGGCTCGACGTCGAGGGCTCCCGAGTCACGCGCGCACCGAGAAGCGAAAGATTCGTAATGGACGCCGTTTCTCCGCCTGTGAGTCGTGCATGCTGGAACAATCGGCGGCGGTCTTCGTCCTGCACACCATCGCTATACAAAATATACAAAGCAATGATGCGCACCTTGTCTGAGTTTGTGATAGAGGGGTCATCGAGAATCGGGACCATTTCCTCAACGAGGGAGCGAGGGCGCGAGCCCTCAGGCGTCTGGCCCGTCGCTGCATTCTGCTCGACCATGGCCTGGGCAGAAAGCTTGCTGCGCTCAAACTTGTCCATGCACAACTGTGCAAGTGCCAGATGCACCGACAGTTTCTCTTTCGTCTGCTGCATGTGGGGGAGAGCCGTAAGCATATCCCGCATGCCGCTGATTGACATGCTGTCGGAGAACTGGCTTGCCTCTCCCATATGTTGTTGGAACTCTCGGGTCAGGTACACGATCGCTTCGGCGATGTGTAGGTGGCGAATGGATGTCCAGATCTCGTCTTCATCATTCAGCTCAACGACAAGCTCTTCACGCGCGCCCTCTGAGTTCACATAAGTGTGCTTGTATGTGTTGTCGTGAATTTGAACGAGATCGTACACCATCGCTTGGTAGGTGAACTCGTGCAGGTACGGCGAGACGAGATCCATCGTGCGGTCCGTGATAAACAGGACGCCGCGTGGACGGCCGGGATCACCGAGCATCTGGTTCTTTGAATAGTCGTCCAGCGCTGCCTGAACGCGATGAGCAAGCTGTTGCGTGAATGGTACACCAATCTGGATGCGGCCTGGCACATCGGAGATGCGTGCGTCATCAGCGGCAAACGTGCCCTCAATGGTGTCGGAGAGTGCCTCAGGGGAAAGGGGTCCGAGGATCTTGCCGGGCGTGTGCAAGTATCTAATCAAGGGATTTTCATTCAAAGTAACACAAACATTTAGGATGGCTTGCGTCGACATATCGAGCTCGTCTTGCATCAAGGCGAGAGCTTCGTCCATCGATGGCGAAAATTTGGTATCCATTGGCTGAAACACGGTGAAGAACGAGCTTGGATGCTTTAGCATGAACGTCTGTGACTCGGTCGCTGTGGATGTGTGTAAGCGAGAACATTAGAAGAGACATAGCAGGTCGAGTACATACGCCACATGTTGATAAATAGCTCAACTAGCTGCTTTAGCTTGGGTCCTGCCTTTGAACGCGTGAGCTTCTCGACGAGCTCGTCCGATACTGCATCTACAAAGAACACATGGGCTGCATCATACAAAGGCGGCCTGGTACGTGTGGGCGTCATATCTTCAATGATTCGCTCGACATTGTGCGTGGTTGCACATAGTAAATAGGCAGTCTCCATCCCAGGCTCTGGCTCGCGTGGCTTTTCGATCTTGTCGACCTTGGTGACATTTTGCTCGAGAATATCAAACATGCGCATGACAGCAGCCATGTACTGCATTGTATACGCATCGACAACGAGGTTCTTCCATCGTGTGGCTGGCTGTACAGTTCGTAATGCATTCAAGTACCCTTCGCACGAAGTTAGTCACGCCACGATGCGCCGCAATAGCACGTACGTTGCTTTACGAGTGTTTGAAGGCTCTTCGCCGGCATGGCGTGTTCTGTCAACTACCTGGCGGCTGACCGCAACAGACAACGTTCACGAGCAACCGTTCTCACCCACGGTCAATGTTGACACATCCACTTGCGCATTCAGCTTCCATTCATCTCTGTCCTCTGCTTGGTCCCTGCGTTCGTGGCGCGGCACGTGTCTCGGCCGACATCAGCCAAATGATCGGTGCGTCAGTGTTGGTTGCAGCTCGGTCATCCTCCACGTTTTCATGGCCTGCCGAGCTCGGGGGTGTCCGCTACGAACTGCATAGATGGGTTAGTGTTCCGATGTCGACTTTGTAGCAAGATCTGTGGAACATCCTAACAGAGATGTCCGTAGCTACGCTATGTAGAAGCTGAAGCACAGCCAAATCTACGTCGCACACACGAATGTATCCCACACTCTACGCCTGGGAAGCTTTCATGGCGACGAAAACGTAGGTGGCTGACGGCAGCAACTATACCAAGCAAGGATGTATTCCAGATCTCGTCGATATTCCATGATGCAGCACAGATATCATGGCCGCAGCTGTATCTAACTTGCCCAGCGGAGCTGGATTGTGATCTCGGTACACGGGCACGCAGGCATTCAACCGGCGCCTGCAATGGTGCTGACGCCGCGCATTTCTATCACGTGATTATCCCTCTCCGTAACGTTGCGAGCTTCGGTGCTGGCCGCGCGGCTTTTGTGTGCGACAGACCATGTCGTTCTTCGGCTTCGACACGAGTCTGCCGGCTGAAGACAAAGCCGCAGCTCTTTCGAATGACGAAGAGCGGTCTCTCAATGACAAGATTCAGCGCGCGCTAGAAGCCAGTGCACAAGAGGATGTAGAAGTCTACACGTGGGGACAGGACGGTTACGATGGGCTGGGCGATCAACTTGTGGAAACGAATGACGATGTGAATGAAGACACGTTCGGGGCATTGCCCGAAGATATCAAAGATGATTTCAACTTTGGTCATAATGCTGCAGCACCAGTGAAGGGCACGTCTACGAAGAGCGATCGCAATGCCTCGGGCCTTTGCCCGCGTCGTTGGACGATTTCTGGGGTACACCTTCGCTCTCTCGCACATCTGCGAAGACGAGCATGTCTGCTGTGCCTACGCCTACGACTGCTGCGCCTGCACCTGCGCCTGCGCCCGCACCCGCACCCGCAACTCAACAGAAAACATTGAAGGAGGTCGAGTCTGAACTCGTGGCCAAGCGCGCACCTCCTGCGGTGTCCTCCGACGCCATGGCGGCAGCAGCAGCCCAAACTGAGATGCCTCGTCCGTTAACCTTGGGAGAAGTCGAAGCACAGCTGTTGAAGCAGCGTCGCTCCGCTTCTGCATTGCAGTCGCAGGCACAGTCCCAAGCGCCTCAGCACCCACCAGCGTCCGTTCCACCTGGCGTTCCTCATGCGCACTCGCCACGTGTACGGCCACAGGTGGCGATGCCTCTTCAGGCGGTGGTGCATCCCCCTGTCAGTGGTGCGCCCCTGAGTGTGCCGCCACCAGGAATTCCGCTGCCAGGTATGCCTCCGATGAACGGAGTGGGAATGCCCGTGGCAGCCGTGGCAGGCGCTGGGCCCGGCACCGGCGTAGGCGGTGTGGCGCCACAGATGCACCCTGCACCGCCAGCGCCTCAGCCAGCCGAAGTGCAGGCAGCACACCTGGCACGAATGCGTGCCATGCTCGAAGCATGTCCGCCGAACGTGCAGACGGCCATTCTAAGCTTGCCGCCGCCGATCCAATTCGATTCGTTGGAAGAGATTGTGCGTCGGTATCCATCGCTGCTGCGGGGCGAGACAGGCGACGCCGAGACAGCGGCACACGTCCTTACAAGTGAGGCACCCTCACGGATGGAAGAGTGGAGGAAGACCGAAGAGAAGCGGCGTTCCAAGGCTGCGAAGCTCGCTCAACTTACAAAGCACAATGGCGTCATGTCTGGCGCCGACAAAGATTTCATTACACGAATCCAGATCAGTCATCTCGTGACGTCCGATCCATACACGGACGACTTTTACGCGCATGTGTTCTTTGCCCTTGCGTGGCGGCGCACGTAAAGTGATGGTGCCTGATGGGTCCGTCGAGGCGATTCAGCAGCACAAGAATGCAGAGTCGACAGGCAAAACGACCCGGCGCAAGCTCACGCGGCATGAGAATGCCATGCTCCGCATGCAGCAGCAGGTCGAGCGACTTGTAGACAACCGCAAAAAGCGCGAGGCAAAAGGCACAACGGTGTCGTCATTGGCCGGCACACTGGGTCGAGTGAGTCTGGTTTCAGCGACAAAGCCACGGCAGATGCTGCAGCTGATCAACGAGCCGAGTACAGAGGGTGCGGCACCGAAGCCTGGCGACGAGCCGGCGACGCAGCATCAAGAAGATGCAATGCGCTCTGCACTGAAAGGGGCAGCTTTCGGCGACGTCACACGAGAGCCACCTAGTGCGACCAGCAAAGCGGCACTGTCACGGCGCGAGTCCCTCGCTGTTCTTGAGCGTTTGTACCACATTGTGTTGCAGCTGGAGCAGATGCGTCGAGAGCCAGCGGCCACCGACTCCGCAGCCCAGAAGCAGCTGGCCGATACGCTTTGGGAGGAGCTGCGTGTGCTGGAGCCGCTGGGCATTTCTGATCCACATCCTTTCGTGTCGCTATTAAACCATGTAAAGGGAAAGCGGTTGATTCCTCGTGTATTCCGTCTGCTGAGTGCCGAGCAGGCGCTGACGATGCTGACGATGCTTGTGGCTTCGTTTGAGTCGCTCGATGCTGTACATGAATATGCTGCTTGGGAGCAGTATCGCGCGACACAGGCCATTCGGCATGTCCGCTCGCCCTTGACGTCGCAGCAGGCGGCCGATCTCGGCCGCAGTATCGACGCATTCTCCAACTCGGTTCTATTCCAGATGATGGCTCTCATCAACACGCTTTCACTCCGGATTATCAGTGGCATGCTCGCGCTACTCATGGAGCGGAACCAGGTGCTCGTATGCGCCAAGACACGCCCCGGTGTGTCGCTTCTCTCTGCACTGTTATCGCGTGCCGAAGCACTTCGTCAAGCGGCAGCTGCAGCAGCCCCTGATGCCCCTGATGCTGACGAGCTGACGCAATGGCACAATGTGCTGGGCGTGCTGTTCAACCGGCTAACGGCTGACGGCCAGCTGCCCTCACTGTTCTACTCGACTCGACTGACGACGTACCTGCCCTTCGGTATCGATTGGCACGCGCACAAAAGTGCGACGGCGCCCGATGCAAACCTGGAAGATGAGCCTGTATGGAACTTGATGGCCCTGCTCGCCATCCATGCTGATCTGTCGCAGCAGCAGGTCCTGGTGCAGGAGCTACGTGACAAGATCCTGACGAACATCATGACCGCAAAGGAAGCGAAAATGCATGCCGGCAGCACGCCATCGTCACTCCCGCCCGGCGCTGAGGACGTACGCATTCGGAATGTCAACCTCCTTGTACGTATACGGAACGGGACAGTCTTGCTCCCATCCCAGACGATCCTGGTGCACATGATATGCTAACGGTGCTCAGCTACATGCCCTAAATCTTGATGCAGCACAAATCACGCTCTAGTGAGCGGGAAAAGACACGCGGGTCTCGTATGACAGATAAAAGAACTATATCATAGGTGTGCTATTGGCTGTGCCCGCATTTTTCTTCGCGTATCAATCAAGCCAAGCCTGTGTGACATAGTTGAACGTCTTGGGTATCATATGAACACGAACCAACCCTAGACAGGAGCTTCGCTACGATTCAGTCGCAGACAGCTCGTACGTGGCTGACCAATCTACGTGCTGCCGAAGAATGCCGGACAGAACAAGTTCAGGGGTGTACACGCGCCACGGGACCGGGGCCGTTGGATCCTTGCTGCTGTGGCGCTTCTCATGCTGCGCACGAAGCGATGAGAGCGTCGCCTGATCAGACCGCGATCCAATCACATGCACTTGGTCCATGGCCAAGACGTCGGCATTCGTCTTGGCAGTCACATATTCGACATGAGCACCAGCAGCCTCCATCACATGCCGCAAAATTTCGCGCGATGGCTGGACATGCTTCGAGACATAAAATGTATGGCCCCGTAAGAGGCTCGATGGTGCCTGCCGACTGCGCTCAAGCACATCAGCAAGCGACATGGACCATTGCTTCTCTTTGTCCTTGTCACGTAGGGTATAAGAAGACGCATCGATCAATGTCTGCTTGCGAGTCATGTCCCTAATCCAGCTCATACCAACGATGTAAAGACCACGTGCAATGGCACAAAGCATCTTCTCTGTGCGTGTGAGGTTCTTGGCCACGAGATGCGTTGCTTTTGACATGTCGTCAGTGCGTTGAATGCCAAGAGCTTGGAGCGTGCGTTGCTCGGTTGCTGACAAGTCGACGGATGTCGTCGCAACGACGATGTTCGCCGGCGATGATGCTCTTGCCCGCTTCAGTGGCGCCGTGGCTTTACTGACTGTCGCTCGTTTCCGATGGGACGGTGCTGCTGTGCGTTCAGAGTCGGCCTCCATCGGCGTCGACGCTGATCGTGAAGAAGGATGAGTATGTACAGAGGGGGATGCCATCTCGGCGGGCTCGTTCGTCACAGGAGAAGCGCTTCCACTTCTCTCAGAGACGTTGGATTCGACCATCTGCTCGACATGTGCATCAGTGGAGGCTCTTTCCTGAACTGACAGTGGCGTTGATGAACCAGGTTTCGACGCTTGATCATGTGCCTCTGGCCCAGACCCGCTTGCTTCTTCAGATGAAGCACTGTGCCGTGGACTGGATTCATCAAAGCCCGATGTTGGTACATGGACATGCAAAGAGTCTTCTCGAGGCTCTGGACCGGTCGTTGTTTCGTATGGCTCGAGGATGCGCTTTGACTCGTCGACGTGTGCCGATTCCTGTCGAGCCTCTGGTGCCGGTGGAGGATCTCGCTCACTAACAGACTGAATCGCTTCTTCACGCCGTTCATCACTGACCATCGAGCTGGCCGTGTGTCGTGCCTCGGCACCCGCCTGCTCGATCGACTCTGGCTCGGCCTTGAAAGATCGAGCAGAGTCTAGAGGACCTACATCTTGATGCGTCGCATCAGCGGCAGCATCGGTAGGAGCGGAAGGAGCGGTAGGAGCGGTAAGAGCGGTGATACTTGTCGCTATAGCGCGGTGAGTGTCGTCGTTGCCGTGACTCATGTCAGTAGAGTCAGACCAACTTGATTCGGGCGCAGCACCCAGCACACGCTCAGGCACGCGGCTCGGCGTATTTTGCACGACAGAATGCGATACACTGTTGGAATGGGTGTCGATAGGCCCCGAGTCATCCATGGAAGGGCTGTCCATCGTCATGAACGGTGCGATGCTCTCGTCACTCACGCCGACCTGACCAAGAACCGCCGTCAGCTGCGCGGCACCGGGAAACGTGATAAAGGAACGCTGTGCCAAGTTTTGGTTCTTCCATGTAGCAAAGCAATTTTCCAGCCAGATGTGATTCACGATAGGAATATTCCACTCCCGCGCCTTCGTGACTTTTTCCCCATGCAGGTCCAAAGCCACGCAAATGCTACTGGTCTGACACATTTCGGGAGTAAAAATGCCCCCCATCTTGGCGATAAGTTCCTTCAAGTACGTGCGAGCGGTGCCGCGGTAGTTGGTGATGGTGATGGTCAGCGACGGGAAGCCTGCGACCGGCGTGTGTGGGTAGGGAAAGTGTAAGATTCGATCACGCGGTGACGTCAGCCTGCCTGAAGACAGCACCTTGACGAGCCAGCCCAGGGTGCCGACGACTTTATCGTGGCGGAGCGCTTGGATGCATTCTACACTTTCGCGGTGCCGAGCCACAACGATATCAGCGCTTTGTACAGCCGCACGCACTTGTGCGGGCGACGCGTCCGACTTGAGAATCGGTGCACATTGTCCGCCTGCCTGGACAATGCGATCACGCACCGAATGCAGATGCGGCAACGACTCTAATGTACCGCCATGAATATCACGCGCAAGAAGCACCGTCTTGCCAGCAAGCACGGTGTGATCATCGTGGTGTGGGGGGACTTGCTCAGACAGTAAAGACACAGGTGCACTGCCTGAAAACTCCTTCGACGTCGGCGACATGGGCGGTGGCGCACATAGACACGGCGGCAGGGCGCCAGGTGTCCTCATATCGAACACGTAGCCGTCGAGAGGTAGCAGTCGTCGCACACTGTACGAGTCGTTGATCCAATGCGGTGCAACTGCTATGATGGGCAGGTTCGTATGCAATTCTAGAGCCATCATCTTGCCCGAGTCACGACTCGTTGCGACCACATGTGTCACTTCCTCACACAGTGTCTGACGGACACCACCGCCCAAGGATGTTACTGCGGACGACAGCATCTCCGTGTCATGGGGTGAGAGATGTGCGCAGCAAATGACAATGCCGGAAAATATACATGATGGGTCTGGCGAATAGATGTGTACCGGCTGTGGCATCCGCAACGCAATCGAGCGATGGGCCCATTTGGGCGTCACAGCATAGGGGCCTAAGTCATTAGGCTCTGCGACTGAGTCGTATTCCACACTCTTGCACCAGGATGCATATTCACAATGGATGGTATCGGTGATGAAATGCGTCACCTTGGCCTGGAACCAGCCCAGGCGATCCGTCATTGATAATGACGCCACCTCAGCAGCGAGATCTGCATCTTTCGCGCCAAGGTCCACGAGCTTTGACGCTATCTACGTCAAGTATGGGCAAGTCATGTATGAATGACGTACCTCTTCTCTTTCTGCCGGGTCCACATTGTCCGCAATGACGAAACGCACAGCTTCCATGCCTGGTGTCGGTGTGCGTGTGCGTGTGCGTGTGTGGATGTGCAAGGACGGCGAGCGCTCGAACACGTAGTATGCGCGCGGCGCACGCGAGCGCGGCCTGTCAGATCACGTATCACACGCTCAATTTTTTTTTTTTTCGTCTCACACGCGCGAGCAGCGCGTGGAGGCGCTCGACATGGCTAAAGTAGCCAGAAAGTGGAGGAACTAGGCGCATATGAGCACGTGCGTCTACCCCCTTCGCTTGGCGCCCTCTCGGCAAACCTTGATAAACCCAATCGGCCGGGGCGGACGAAGCGGACGAAGCGGCGAATGTGCACCTGCAGCGATGGCGTGCTCTGAAGTCATATTTCTCCACCTCTACAACAGATGAGGTGATTGCTCTGACGGCATGCGTATGGGGAAGCGAAAAAAATGGCCAGGCGTTGTGTGCAAGCTAGCACGGGTCTGACGTGACGCACGCTCGACTTGTTCTATACTTACCACAGTCGTCCGGCCACTGATACCACGCACCGAACACATTTGAGTCCGCAGGTTTGGCTGCTGAATCCCCCATCGCACGCTAATCTCTTTAAGTGCTCATAAATACACTGCCTTTACAACATGGCGCCACCCAAGGCATCCCAGACGCTATGGGGGCGAACCAAGGCATTGGCCAAGTATATTGTGGGGTATGACAATACGGATGCAAATCGGCTCGGTGTGCCGATGGTTGGTGTTCAAGACTATGTGCGTGAACACTGCCAGCATCCAGGGACAGCGCTGCTCAATTACTTGGACTCGCTGTTCCCTATGCGCCGCTGGATTCTTTCCTACAACTTGTCGTGGTTGTATGGCGACCTAATTGCAGGCATCACAGTTGGTCTCGTGCTCGTTCCACAGTCGATGTCCTACGCCAATGTCGCTGGGCTTCAGCCGCAGTTTGGTTTGTACTCGTCGTTCATTGGTGTGGTCATTTACGCGTTGTTCGCTACGTCCAAAGACGTCACGATCGGTCCTGTCGCCGTCATGTCTCTGCAAACGAATACCGTGATCCAAAAGATCCGCGAGGAGCTGCCGGACCACCATTACCCACCGGAGGTCATTGCATCCGCCCTTGCTTTCCTGTGTGGTATCATCACACTGGGCGTTGGTCTTTTGCGACTTGGCTGGCTCGTCGAGTTCATTCCCGCACCTGCTGTGAGTGGATTCATGACCGGCTCGGCGCTCACTATCCTGGTTGGCCAGTTGCCGGGTCTTCTGGGCGTCAAAAACGTGAATGGTCAGGACCCCATGTACAAGATTGTCATCAACTTTTTCAAGCAGCTTCCCACGGCCGGCATGGATGCTGCCTTTGGTGTTCCTGCCCTGGTGTTCTTATACCTTGTGCGCAGCACATGCAACTATATCGCACGGCGGTACCCGAAATATGCACGCATCGCTTTCTTCGCCTCGGTGATGCGCAGCGCTCTAGTGATCATTGTACTGACTGTTGCGAGTCGCATCTGGGTCGGTACGTACGACCAAAAGCAAGACTACCCAATCAAGCTGATCCTCGATGTGCCGCGTGGGTTCCAGCACATGGGCCAGCCGGAGCTGCCGACGCCTGTTCTATCGAAAATTGGGCCCAACTTGCCGGCATCGGTGATCCTTCTTCTTCTCGAGCACATTGCTATCTCAAAGTCATTCGGTCGACTGAACAACTACAAGATCAATCCGAACCAGGAGCTTGTGGCCATCGGTGTGACCAACTTGGTCGGCCCGTGCTTTGGTGGCTACGCTGCGACAGGTTCGTTCTCTCGCTCGGCCATCAAATCGAAGTCGGGTGTACGCAGTCCGCTTGCCGGCTGGGTCACGGCTATCGTCGTGCTGATTGCCATTTATGCACTCTCTGGTGTATTCTATTGGATCCCTAAAGCATCGCTATCTGCTGTGATTATCCACGCGGTGTCAGACCTGGTTGCACCGCCCTCTCTGCTGTACAAGTTCTGGCTTATGAACCCCCTCGAGCTGTTTATCTGGATTGCGTCGGTGGTTGTCACAATTTTCACGAGTGTGGACTATGGTGTGTACACAGCCGTCGCTGCATCTGTCGCACTCCTGCTGATCCGGATCGCTCGTCCACGTGGACATTGGCTGGGTGTCGTGCGAGTTGAGCACCACGATCACACCGTCGCTGGCGGCGCGCAGCAGCGAAATGTATTTATGCCGATGGACGTACAAGACGGACTGCGCGACCCATCCGTGCATGTTGAGCCGCCACCGCCCGGCGTGTTTGTGTACCGGGTGGAAGAGTCGTTCACGTATCCGAATGCCTCGCATATGGCCGAGCTCATCACCGACAAGATCAAAGCATGCACGCGCCCAGGCTTTTCACAGGCCGTCAAGCCGGGGCAGCGACCATGGAATGATCCAGGGCCGCCCAATGCTGCATTGATCCGCGCTTGGCGCGCATGTACGTTTTTCTATCACCGTCACAAGGATGCGCCATCGCTCGAGCAGGAGCTAGAGGAGGAAATGCGCTCCAAGGAAAGTGACCCTCGTCCGCTGCTGCACGCGCTGATCCTGGACTTTGGATCTGTCTCGAATGTCGACTCGACGTCTGTGCAAGTGCTGGTCGACTTGCGCAATGCATTGGAACGATACCGGGCCGGACCTGTGCAGTTCCACTTTGCACATATTCTGAGCCCGTGGATTCGACGTGCTCTGCTGGCTGGAGGATTCGGCACAGGGCGGATTCACCGTCATGTTACAGAGATTGCATCGGTCGTGGAGCAAGGTGATGCACGGGCTGTTGGTCAGCACTCACCAACGCCAGAGGATCCCAAGCCACACGACGAAACTGACTCAAAAACAACTGACTCTGTGCATGAACAAGATGTGCCGAGGGACCTTGAATCGCAGGTCGGCTCGATGGCTGCCGATATGGACAAACTGGACTTTGAGATCCGCAATTTGGACGCCAAGTATGCAGAGGATTTGAGACACGAGTCCATTTCATCGCCACCAGGCATCAGTGTGCCGATCATGTGGAACAATGAGCTAACGCCATATTTCCACCTGGATTTGGCGGCTGCCATGTCGGCTGCCACAGACAACATGTCCATCGCTTGATGTGGTGTGCATGCGTAGGCATCGCGCCGATCTGATACCGGCTAGTATCTTGTTTTGCACCTACGCTTGACTTGCCTTCGGGATTTCAACACCCGCAGCGCGCAACCTCTGCGTGTGCACACGGCTTCGTGTCATCTGGCCGTCTCATGCTGATCGCGCAGGCAGCGCGCCGAGCCTTGTATAGTAGTCAACTTTCCGTTTCTTTCCATTTACAGTCTTGTACAGTAGGAGTCAAACGTTTGATCTGCATCGGAACCCCGCTTCCCACCCATTCGTAACGCCTCCACTTAAACGTGTTCGTATGTCGGTGTCCAATCCGGCCACGTACGTCTTCTCCAACCAAAGCCGCGTGGTCATTACGAACCATCGGCCTGCAACCTGATCCTTGTCGGCACCCCGACTCTATCAAACCGTGTCTCAGGTCCCCTGCTTCCTCCCTACTTGGGCTCACAGATCAGACCACGCTGGGCTTGAGCATGCAGCTGACATCATGAACCCATTTGTGCGTACAGAGCATGCACTGGCATCGTCGCCGTCGTCCACAGAGACCTCGTCCATCGATGCTCTTGTTGATGAAATTCAGCAGGCTTTGGGCACATCCACTTCATCAATATCATCAAATGCGCTCGCGTCGCGGTCATCTTCGATTAGCAGTGTGCGTCGCCGACCCTTGCCGCAGACACCGCACCCGAACGAAAAAACGCGACATTCCTTCAGCGTGCCATCGCCACCGCAGTCTTCCTTTTCGCGCATTCCACGGCCTCAGACGGCACAGCATATTTCAATGGAGGAAACGTCGATATCGACGCCACCATTGTCACCACGTGCGACTGTGAAAAATGCGTATTCTTTGGCAACGGCTCAAGCACATGCAGAAGCGATCGCGAAGGCGGCTAATCCATCGGCTGCTGCTGCTCCTACGGCTCCTGATGATTTTGCTGCGGTTGCATCTTCGCCTCAGAGAATTCCTCTTGACGTACGGCCGGAGGGATCATGTTCACAGCGGCGCGATTCCCAAAGCTCACAGAGCGTTTGGGAGCAGATACAGCGTCGCTCATTTAGTCGCCGTGATAGTCAAGACTCGATCCTACCAGAGTACTCACATCACACGGACTCACACGCATATGCGCACGTCATGTCTTTGCAGGGCACGTGTGTCGACTTGTCAAGCTTGTCGCAAGTAGCGCATTTGCTGAGCTCGATCATTGAGCGCAAGCCGCTAATCAAAGGTTCGGTCGTATACCCGCTAAGTTTCACGGGGCGTACGCTGATCACGACGCTGGCATCCATGATCACTCAATATGTGCAAGTCTCGCCGCGTCTCCATGTCGAGACGGGCATGCTGGATCCTGTGGCACAGCGCATCGCACTAGATATTGCGCGCACGCTAAAGACGCAACTGTTCATTCACGAGGCCGACTGGGAAGAGCACGAGATCACAAACGATGTCGCTGGCGTATATATGTTGTACTCAGACTCGTTGAGCGGGAACAAGGAGTCATCACATGCGTCGACTCTGCGCGGTGTGTCTACCCATTTGTTTGTGCGGAGCGATGCGGTCCACGTCGCTCTGAGTGCTACAGCGGCCGTGGCTTGTGCATCGGTGGCTGAAAGGGATCTGCCATCTGGTATACTGACGCCCTTGACACAATGCTATAGCCCGACATGTTTGTGGAGCAACGGCCGCGCTTGCTACTCACCAAGTTGTCCTCGCCGTGGACGTGGCTTCCCAAGCATGATCCAGGACCATGAGCAGCCTATCGAGACGGTGGGCGCAAAGGCGTGGGTCGAGCTTATGCCGAAAGACATCGTACTCACGCTGCCTCGGGAGGAGGTGAAGCGGCAGAATGCGATCCACGAATTCGTTCAGAAAGAAGAAGTGTTTTTGCATGACCTCCAGCTGCTCAGAATGTTTGCTGACCGACTCCGCAGCCTGGCTAACCCTATGCAACCAGGTCTTCCTGGCGATGCGCCGCTGGTCGGCGCAGCACTCGATGTATTTATCCATGAAGTCTTCGGCAACTTGGACCAGCTCCTGCCATTGATTGCGCAGTTTGTCGATGAGTTGCACGAGCGGCAGCGGGAGCAGGGTCCTGTCGTCCAGACCATTGGGGATGTCGTAACGCGCGCTGCGCTTGACTGGAGCTGCGAGTACACTGCATACGTAGCCCACTATCCCGCGGCGCTCGGGCGCCTCAAATCTGAGGCTGAGTCGAATGCGCGCATGCAGCGCTTCATCGACGACTGCCGGCGGCACCCAGCTGCCGCTCGACTGCCGCTCGACACATTCCTGTTCCGCCCGCCAGCCCGGCTTCAGCGTTATCACTTGCATTTGGAGTCGGTGCTAAAGTACACGTCCGAATACAGTGACGACCGAGATGCGCTCAAGCTAGCGATCGAAGTATTGGATGAGCAGTGTCTCATTGCTCAGTCGCAAGTGAAGCAGACAGAAGACCATCTACAGGTTCGTGACTATGCTCGGGTACTTGCAACGAAACGCTACGACGACAATGTCGACATGGACCTCACGGACCCTCGGCGGCAGCTTGTGCATCATTCGCGCGTGTTCCGGCGTCCGGACAATTTTGAGTTCGAGTGGACAGAGCTGGTTGCCATCCTTTTTGACAATTACTTCGTTCTCGCAAAGCGCAAGCCCAACCTTGACTGCTCTAACGCATCATCATCGCTCCGCACGAAGCTCGTGATCAACCGAAAGCCGATCCCTACCTTCTGCTTAGATATGAGCGGCTTCGATATGGTGCCAGTGAGCCGTAGCTCAGTGAACCGATACCTGCTGCCGTCGCAAGTGAACGAAATGTTTCCGTTTGTCGTGACGCACCGCTTCCACACGAATCAGCAGCCGATGACTCTCTACGCTACCAGCAGTGAAGAGCGCGACAAGTGGCGCACGGCGCTGCAGGTGCTCCGATGCGATCGACTGCCCCCACTGTACAATCAGTGTGACTTAAGCGGCACTGCGTTCTCAACGAAGCTCGAACCAAGCGAGACGTACGCGTTCGTGAAGGATGCACCTTGGACACGATCTCACGTCACGTGTGCAACGACCTGGCTTTGGCGTGATCACATCAAACTGTTGGCCATAGGCACAACGGACGGCGTGTGGATCGGACGGTATGCAGAGCCACGCACGCTGCGCAAAGTCCTGCATATGAAGGGCGTTATGCAGTGTGCGGTGCTGACACCGTACCGCCGGTTCCTTGTGCTCGCAGACAAGACTCTGATCGCGTACGATCTCGAAGCACTTGTGCCTAGTGGCCAAGCCGTGCCGAGTGTGGCGCCGATCCGTTTGGACGGGGCACGTGATGTGTCGTTCTTCTCCCTCGGCTATGTTTGGGGCGCCCTGCACCTGGTGTATGCGAAGCGCAAGACGACCGAGACAAGTGTGCGGATTCTGGCACTCCAGACGTCGACGAAGTCGGATTCGTCAGGGCATGCGTCGTTGAAGGGGTTCCACTTGGTGCACAAATTCTACGTGTACCCAGAAGCGACGCAGATCCAGTGCATTTCCGACGGCTTCATCGTATCGGCGCCACGTGCCGTCTACACGTATCGCCTTGGCAGTACATCTTTAACGCCGTTGCTTGCCCAGCGCCAACGCGATGAGCGCGCGCATAGCCTTTTGAAGCAATGGGAGGGATCCCAGCCTTTGGGCGTGTTCCATGTGCCTGAGCTGAACTGCTGGCTAGCTTGTTTTGATCGCGGCGCGTGCTTCGTCAATGAAGCGGGCCTAATTGTTTGTCCAGATCGCTCATTCCTGTGGGAAGTGACCATGGACAGCGCCGCGTACTATAAAGGCCATGTGTTCGCTTGTTCACCGACGCTTCTCGAAGTGCATGAGGCCAAATCGGGTCGCCTTGTCCATCTGTCAGAAGGCCATCACATGCGCTTACTCCTCCACACATCGACCGACCAGACACTTCCTATCCCGCCGATTCTCCTTGAAACTATACCAACAGCGACACCGCTCGTTGACGTACAGCGTGTTGTGGCATTACATCGCCTAGCAGAAAACAAAGCATCGCAAGTCCAGCAAGACATACCTGGCGACAGTGCAGAAGAAGGCAGATCAACATCGAACTTGGTGTAAGTGTATGCGGACCCAACGGGGTCCCTGTAATAAGAAGATACCCCTAATTTGCTTTCATTACACACCTACCAATGTACAGAGAAAGCTGCGAACCTGTGAGGCAAGGCGGCAAGCAGCCCTGGCCTGCCCAGCACAGACCGTTGTCTATCCACGTATTCCTACATTATCGAGACCCTTGAGACGGCGACATTTGGCCATCCGTTAAAGCTTGTGTGGCTTCTCGGGAACACGGAAGCATGGCTTTCCTGTGACCTGTGTTATGGTCAAGATGACATCGTACACAAAGTATGCGTACAAAACAGCACAGATGCCTACTACGCCATACACAAGTTGCTGCGTTGCAGCCACAGACGTCTGCAGTATGGGCTGCGGCAAATGTGCATCGACTGCCAACACAATGCTAGGAACAAGGAGTGCATTCCAGTACGGGTATGCCCTCTTGCACACGTGCGCAAGGATCACAAGTCCCACCAGGTAGGCAAAGCTTAGGCCCCAGCTCAGAAGGAACGGTACAAAAAGAGAGCCCTCCACCATGATGCGCGCGTCATTCCCAAGCGCCCAAGCGATATGGGCACACACCTGCACCACAAAAGGCATGAGACCCACCAATGGCATTAAGGCAGACCGCTGCTCTCGCTCGCACTGCACACGTACATTTTGGTAAGCCTGCCAAGCATTGACAGAGAGGCCCAAACTCGCGAGCGACATAAGCACGTCGCCGAGGGGGAAGTTCGCCCAGGCGAGATGTGTGCGGACCCAATCATTCTCAGCGACGTGGAAAAGATCGAGAAGACCGCGCACCACTATCATAGGACCACCAAGAGCCATAGCCGTGTATAGCACACAAAGAAGAAGAATGCCTTCCACAGGTCCAGAGAACTGTGACAAGAATAGCACGTGCGTGTGGTACTCTTCCCATGTCGTTAGGAAAAAGCTCGCGAGCGACGACACCATGCTAACAAGCGTCCAGTATGAGCGGCCGTACCCGCACGCTGTCGATGCAAGAATCACCTCCAAGGTCGTGTTCAGCGCGTCACAACCATGATCGAACAGCTCGCCAAGGGGACCAGACATGCCTGTACGCCTCGCTTGCTTGCCATCAATAGCATCAAAGCTCTGATACATAAAGAGACAGATAGCCCAGACAAGCAGCATCCACGACGGCACACCCGACGTCGTCGACGGCTCAAGCCCTTGCTGGAGCAGGCGCTCTGGCATACCACCATTAGGTAGAATCGGTACCTTTGGTACTGCACCATCATTTTGCATCACATTCATCCGCACACGTGTAGCAAGTTCCATATCGCCGTCCAAATACATCATAGTACCAAGATTTGCGACCACAAGGAGCAGGCCACAAAGTGTGAGTGTGTTGGGCGCGACAGACAAAGGAACAAGCGTGACAAGCCAATTCCAATACGGTCCAAGTACATATGTTGACACTATTGATGATCCGCCACTAGCATACTTGTATTGCGCAAGATTCGCACGGTGCTGTGCCCCCAAGTAGTGGAACATGGTCAAGTCCCAGCATGTTAGGATGGTCCGTGGCACGTGTGTCCAGGTCGGAGCGCCGACGCGCCGCTGTGCTTATGTCATCCATATGTTGCAGATCTGACGCGCGCGTGCACAAATGAAAACTATACCTGCGCTGCTTGGCAGGGTCACCCTCCACGCAGGACCACTAGTTGCATGGCACGTGCATCATTGGTATCAATTAAGCTACTTCTACATGAGGATCTCGGCGGACTTGCAAAGAACCTAGATCGCAGACGTGCGCAGAATCTTCTTCCATGTTGTCGCCATCTTCATCATCGTCCGTCACCACACGTCCAGCGCGAGCAGCCGCTGCAAGGACTGCACCAGGCGACGAAACCGTGGTGTCACCGTCTGTACCAGGTATTGTTTTGGCTGACGACGGCGCCACAATCTCCAGACCCTCTTCGTTCGCTAGGTGCAATAGACATATAAAGCAGAACGAAGTGCTAATTTCATTGTACTTTGCCGGTGTGTACATGGACTCAAGCTCGTCCAAAGCTGTGTCCAGCGTCCTGGGTTCGTGTTCATCCAAATCAAGGGATTTCCATAGGTTGTCTTTGAGTCGCTTGACATCGACTTGCTTTGCACGCTTTGCATGATCGACAAACTCCGGTCGCACACGACGGAGAGCTGCTTCATTGGCCCATGCCTCTTCGTCAATATCGCTATCGGCATCGAACGCATCCGCCGGCGCAGGCTCCGCCGGTGGCACAAGCACGTCGTCATATGGATCATGATCTTCAAACAGCCCCGTATCGAAACCACCGTCTTCAGCAGGCATCGACTCGACATGATTCTCGCTCCACATGCCATCTTCATCATTCCATGGATCTAGGGGACCAGCCGGCGATGACGCAGCTGTACGTCGTTGCAAGAGAATCGTCGCTTTTGGCTTCAAAAAGAGGCGCAGCAAGCGCTTTGAATTAAAGTGGTGGTCTTCAGGTAGGAGGTGAGCGTCTGACGCGGATTGCGCCGATTTGGTCAGCTTGATGGCACTTGGTGTCGCACTGGGAGCGAAAAGTTCCTTGGCTGGCGGCGGTGGCTCTGCACTGAGAAAGTCGATCGCCTGCTCTTCTTTCGAACGGCGATATTTCGCCTTGACGCCGCTATCTGTCGCGACAACAGACGATGCCTCGTCCGTCGTCGTGGCACCGGCTACAAGGCCAGGCTTCTTCATGTGTATTCGTGTCATCTTCCAATGTTCTGGCCCAGCCCAGTTTTTTTGCATCTTTTGGTCAAAGTAATCAAAAAGTCGCTCGTGTTCGTCCGTGTCGCGCCGTCCATTGTGCGCGACTGCAACATCAAAAGCAAGTTCTTCGTTCGTAGGAGCAACATCATCACCAACTTGACCGTCAAAAAAGTCAAGCCCATCTACGCCATCAGCGCCATCCAAGTCTTCAGGCATATCTTCAACATCCATGCTCGCCCCGTCGATACCGTCCAACTCAGGCAGCTGCATCGTTGGTGGTGCGGCCTCATTCCCCTCTGCAAACGTAAAATTGGCTGTCGAGGGGCAAATGGTGCGCGTGTCCAGGAGCGACGCTAGTGGCTCCATCTGTATCGGCACGCTTGGGTTGGTCTGTGCAGCCGCTGCATAGATCCGTGCACGGAGCTTCTCCATGTCCATAGATGGGGTATCTGAAGACGGAGGCGTGAGTGTTTGTTGATTCGCAGAGACAGCATCCGTACTATTATTTTGATCCATGTCATGATCGTCCGCCTCCGTCGTCGCTGCCACGTCTGATGCATCAAACACAACTTTCATATGGTCATCGACATGTAAGTGATTCATCAAAAGACCACCAGCGCCATCTTCATCGAAATCTGCACTTGTTTTTTTAAACAAAGGATCGACAGAAAACTCCAGATCAAAGCGCTTCACTTGCAACTGAGCAAAGCTCTTGGCAAGCGTGGCTTCCTGTGCGCGATGGCGACGTTTACCACGACGCTGATCTTCTGCATCCACACCTGCGCGGTCCACAGCAGATGAAGCATCATCGGCACCGCTGTACGAACGGTCACCTACTTCCGCCGCGGACGAGTCGCCGATGCCGTGCGCCGTTGCATCTTCGTCTTGTAGACCACTGAGCAGCCGACCAGTTTCAGCCATTACACTGTCGACGCGACTGGTCCACACTTTGACACAGCCATCAAGTGTGCACGATGCTTTCTGGAAGTTGATGGAGCCATCGCCAGAATCCGAGCGCAATAGCGACATATCGTGGAAGTAGTCAATGAGTGCAAATGACCATGTGTTGGTCGCGTTGATCTTGTTATCCGTTGCCATCTTCATCCACTCTTCGAAGCTCGTATTATCTACTTGGAGGGCCGCAGGCACAGTAGACGTACCCAGTTCGCCTGACCGCTGCTGCGTCCGTGCAAGGCCCTGTGATACAATGCGTCGGCCCATGTTGGGTGCCACAGCGCCGCCTCCGGATGGCATGCGCTTTTCAGCCAGACCGGCAGTTGCAACGGCCGCACCGCCTCTCCCAGATGCATCGCGACGCGAACGTAACGCACTGGTGCTGGGAGCACGGAACGGCTGCATGATGCAGAGCGCCTCGCGTTAGTCAATTCAAGAGGCCTGCCAGTGTTGGAAACGAAACACACACAACGATCGCGTCATCGCATCGGCGCCACACGTCGCCGATGACTTGTTGATCGGTGAGATGATCACGTGGATCATGCACGTGTCAAATGCCTGACAGTGTCCGTGCAGGATGATGCGGAGACACGCACCAACTTCGTCCGGTTTACGGGCCAAAGTTTGGTCGTGGCTCCGGTGGAGAAGGAGTTTTGACCCGAGCTGCTTCTGCACAGGCGTTTGGGCAGAGCAACCATGGCTACAGCACATTCAGAAGCCAAGGACCATGTACGCGCAAGCATGACGGAAGAAGAGCTGCGCACGAAAGTGAATCGTGTGACTCATTTCTATGAGCAAAAGCCGATGAAGGAGCCGCATGTGCTGAGCGTACTACTGTGGCTCTTTGTGCCACTAGTGGCTCTTGGCATTTCATTTTGGGCCGTGTACGTCTCAGTGATAACGCAGCATGATGAATGACATGTTTCTAACATTCCTGCAGCACCATTCCAATGCTTTGGCCACTCTTGATAGCCTATGCCACATACCTTTCCTTTACCAAGACACACGAGCGGGGAGGTCGCGCCCCCAACTGGGCGCGAGACTGCTTCTTGTTCCACTGGTTTGCAAAGTATTTCCCGATACAATTGCACAAAACCGCGGACCTAGATCCAACGAAGAATTATCTGTTTGGCTATCATCCTCATGGCATCTTTGGTCTCGGTTCTGTGGCATCTTTTGGTTCAGAGGCTTGTGGTTTTTCCAAAAAATTCCCAGGACTCATTCCGCATGTCCTTACGCTGCAAAACAACTTCTACACGCCTATCTATCGTGAATGGCTTATGCTGTTGGGATACAGGTCTGTTTCGCGGTCCAGTTGCGAGTCGATTCTACGCTCGGGTCCAGGCGAGTCGATCCTCATCGTCGTCGGTGGCGCGCAAGAAAGTCTGGCTGCTCATGCAGGCTTCATGGATCTTACGTTAAAGTGCCGCCTAGGTTTCATCAAGGTCGCATTGCGAACGGGTGCAAGTCTAGTTCCTGTGGTCTCTTTCGGCGAGAATGAGATGTATTACCAGGTTGAAAACGATCGCAAATCCACTTTGTACAAGATTCAACAAAAAATCAAAGCTGCATGTGGCTTCACTATGCCCATCCTTGTTGGCCGCGGATTTTTCCATCGGTACTATGGCTGGCTTCCCTACCAGCGGCCAATTAATGTCGTGGGTATGTATACAAGTTGAGAGACTGCAACGCTTACACTGGGCAGTTGGTGCGCCGATTCATGTGGAAAAGAATCCTAATCCGACTCCGGAGCAAGTCCAAACGCTCCAGCAGGAATACATTCAAGCCCTTACCAGGTATGTGGAAGTGCTCATTTTGGGGCATCGACTCACCATCACGACAGACTTTGGGATGAGCACAAAGACCAGTTCGCACCAGATCGAATTGGCGACCTTCGATTGGTAGAGTAAGGTTAAATCGGCTACCTTCATGCTGCAACATCCGCCCATGAATCACGCAGACATACCACGAGTGTTTATTTTGACACGAGAAACTAAGCAAGATTTTGCATTCTATATGCATAACTTGGGTACTTTGTCGGTGCTCTGATATCACCCATCGCCTGCACATTTCATTGCGTGAAGATGGCACATAGACTTTCGCGTAGTAGTACGTCTATTGTCAAGAAACGATGTGTGGGGAATGACCTGTATGGCGCCTCCACTTGTTTTCCCGTCAAAAATGGTGGAGAAGCAGCCAAGAATTCTCCCTTGCAGCCAGGAGCTCTATCATGAGCGTCCTGCACGCGGGTGTTATATGTGTTTTCTCTTGGGCAAATTTATATACGTGTGTGTGCATGTTTGTGGTTGTTCCCACGTTTTGCATCACTTCGTCAATAGCTACAAGCTATACGATTCATCCCCCTTGTCAAAATATAGTTTCCTTTGTCGGAGCAGATCCTTTTGTTCTTCACCATTCGTACTCGACACCATGCGCTCGAATACGCAGGACAAATGATGCCAGTACATTTTTTACACAAAGTACTCCTTATAGTTCATTGAATATCCGAACTTTGTACGACAGTGATGATGAACGCTCATCTGCATGTTGAGCTAGAAAAAATCGTATTCTAGTGCCGTTTCTCATCTGAATGAGTAGGGTTGCTCGAAGCAACACACATGCGAAAATAAGTCCTTGTACAGCTCTGATCTTCAATGCTTTTGTTGATGAATATAGACTGTTGCGAACTTTTTTGGGGGCTACGAGTTCTCGAGAGAGGTGGACGTATCATACATGTTCGCTATCTCTCAAAGCTATCGTGTGTGACACTTACGTCAACAATGTCACATCGAATACTGAGGACCAAATATGTGCCGAATTCTAGCGGAGTGGAGGTAGGTTCCGTGCTACATTAACGCACGACGTCAGACACAGCAGTCGAATGTGTCGTGCGAACGACGAAGCGGCTCAACCTATCGCTCTTCTTACTCTCGTGCGACACGCAGAATCCATAGCAAATGCGAAAAGAGTTCTCCAAGGAGTCTGTGATGCACCACTCTCGCCCAAAGGCGTATTCCAACTCGACAAGCTGAGAGCTGCCTGGACACCCGAGACTGACTCGGATTGGGAGAATTCGCTTGATTTGCCAAAGCCCTCATTGATTGTGACAAGTCCCATAGGTCGTGCGAAAAAGACAGCCGCAGCTATTGCTCGCGGATGCGGCGTGCAAGACCTGACCGAAGAAGATCCTACGACATTTCGCACTCCGCCTTGTGAGCCACCGTTCGTCACTCGGCACAATGTTGTGTACATTGATTCAGGTTTGTCTGAGCGTAACTTTGGTCGTTCAGAATGCACAAAGGAAAAAAAAGCAGTACCAGGATTTGCACGCCTACCCCAGTCGGAGCTTGGTCGTGCTGAGACAGATCGAGAGTTCTATGCACGTGTGGCGAAAGCGGGCCAAAAATGGCTCGATTGGCTCCGAGAATTCGCACATAGGGATCAGCCTCAGAGCAAAATCAGCGAGAAAGAAGAAGCGCAACTGCAGAAAATGGCGGAAACGGCCAAGATGGATGGCGGTGAAGATGAAAAGGAAGAGAAGAATGGCGTGAAGAACGAAGAAGAACACGCTACGGCCGATACAAAAGATCAGAAGATTAAGAGGGGTCTTGAAAGTGTACAGCACAGAAACGACACGTTTTTTGGAAACGAGGGGCATGCTACCAACGACCAAGCATTGTCATCCAGCACAGATGTATTTCCACATCTGGTGCTTGTGTCGCATGGCCTATGGATCAATGCCTTTCTACGGACTTATCTCCCTTCTATATGCCATGGCGCCAAATCTTACTATATTCGCAGTAACAACACCGGCATGTTCACGGTAGGTCTGTATGGGGAGTTAGCCAATACGCGACTCCAACTCTTGAGAGATAATGACACACGTCATCTAGGCGAAACGCTGCAACCGGCGCCAAAGCGGCGCGCCAAAATTCAGCAGCGAACTACCCTGACATCTATTTGGCGTTAAGTTAGGCATATTATATAATCACGTGGCGCGCTGTTTCGACTCAAATACATCCGTCAGTCACGAACCAACGTTTGTCACCGACGATGAAGTTTTCTTCCGTGGCGACATGGTTCGCAGCTGGCTTGCTAATGAGTGCACAGCAAGCCAGCGCGGTGCATAAGGATGAAAATGGAGTGAATGTTTACACGGAGCAAGATATGAATGCAATGTTGTCTCCTGCAGAACGCGAGAAGCTGATTGAAACTATGGCACGCGCGCGTAACGTGGTCCGGGCTGAGCACCGACGGCAGCGTCGCATGTCGCCGAAGGACTCGTATGCTCCAGCCAAAGTTCCTTGTCCGAAGAAGCCTGAGGGGAACAACTACGTGAATTACGTGCGCAATGCATCGGACCACCGGATGAATGAACTCGAGCAAGGTTACATGCAGCGCCACCGCGATAATACGCGGTCATTGTGGGTTGACTGGCTGAAGAGTGTGGGGCTGGATGGTGATGGTGGACTTCCTGGCGGTGCGGAGCAGTTTGTGAGCGAGAACCAGCCAAAAGTCGGCATTTCCGTGAGTGGCGGTGGTTACCGAGCCATGCTGGTGGCTTTGGGCGTGTCGCAGGGCTTTGATTCGCGAAACGAGACGTCCAAGAATGAAGGGGTTGGCGGCTTTTTACAACTTGCCGACTATTACGCAGGCTTGTCCGGAGGATCATGGGCAACGGGAGCGCAAGCCATCAATGGATGGCCAACGGCGCAGTCTCTGGTTGATGACATCATGGAATTGTCGTCGAACCTGGTGAATCCCAATCATGACTCACTTTCATTCTACGAAGACTTGTTCAAAGATGTCAGCGCTAAGAAGCATGCCGACTTCCCAATTTCAATCAGCGACTATTGGGGGCGCGCACTGTCGTACCAGCTGATGAACGACACGCAGTACTCTGATCATGGCCAGCGCATCACATACTCTGACATTGTGAACCAAACGGGCTTCAGGGATGCGACTTATCCATTCCCTATTGTGCTGAGTATCGGTCGACAGCCTGATCAGATCATGATTAACCCGAATGCAACCTACTTTGAGTTTACGCCGTATGAGTTCGGCACATGGCAACCAACACTGGAGGCATTCTTCCCCGTGGGTTACCTTGGTACGGACGTGGTTGACGGAAATCCCAAAGATGGGTCTTCATGTATTGCGAACTATGAAAACTTTGGCTACACGGTCGGCACGTCCAGTACGCTGTTTAATGGTGCCTATAACAAGCTTTTGGAGAGCAATTCCACAGGGTTCCTGAATGATGTGCTGAAAACGATTCTTGAGGATGTGGATAAGGGCTACAATGACGTGGCGCCTGTTCCTAACCCATTTAAGGGCTATCGTCAGAGCTCAAACCACTTTGTTGACGCGAAGTACATTGATCTGGTTGACGGTGGTGAGGCGAATCAGAACATTCCTTTGGAGCCACTGTTGCAGCCTGCCCGTGGCTTGGACTTAATTGTGGCCGTCGATGCAAGCTCGGACCAGGTTAACTGGCCCAATGGTACGGCTCTTATTGAGGTCGAGAAGCGGTCTAACTTGTCGGACTTCTCATACATGGCGTTCCCACGCGTACCCGACGCCAGGACGTTTGTGAATCGCGGATTTAACACACGGCCAACATTCTTTGGTTGTGACCCTAACGATGCCACGAATGCGAAGACGTCTGTCGGGAATTCGACGGCCCCTGTCCTCATTTACCTGCCGAACTACCCGTACTCGGGCTTCTCGAATTCTAGTACGTTTGAGCTTGCGTACAATGTCCATCATCAGCATGACATGCTCGACAATGCTCGTAACGTTGCAACAATGGGTGGCCAAATGGATAACTGGCCTCTATGTCTAGCATGTGCGAGCGCATTGCGTCCGATGCAGCGGAGCGGTGCCAAGATTCCGGACAAGTGCCAGCAATGCATGGATATGTACTGCTGGGATGGCAAGTACGATACAAGTCCAACGCGCAACTACACGCCGCCTGTGGGTCCTCCGCCGTTTGTTACCTCCCACGGTCAGAAGTCGGTCGAGCCGCCTACGACAGGGTCCAATGATTCCACTGACACCGACTATGGCAAAATTATCTCATCGAAGGACAAAAGTGCCGCCGCGCCCATGGGCGTGTCATCCGCGGTATTCACAAGTTTGTTCTTAGCTTCTCTTCTGGCTATGTTCATGAACTAGTGTTAGGAGTCCAACAAGTGGACCACTGATGCTTAGTGACGTGGCAGCATCCATAGCAGAGTATTATGGGTGCATATGCGTAGGAAGTGTTTTTTTAATGCACCAAGAAGTTGATCATGATGAGCGTTTCGAACGTGTGTCGAGGATATCCATGAAGGCATTGTGCGGAACCTGGACCCTGCCGAGCGACATGGCCTTGAGTCGTTTTTTACCCTCCTTTTGCTTGTTGAGATGTTTGAGCTTTCTTTCAAAGTGGCCGCCATAAAGACCAGCTGTCACGTCTTTGCGATACGCACGGATCGTCTCGCTTGCGAGAACCTTGCTTCCCACACATGCTTGGACTTTGATTTCAAATTGCTGCCGGGGGATGGCCTCTTTCAATCGTTTAGCAAATGCACGACCAACCAAAGAAGCTTTCGAACGATGCAGCACCGTCTCGAGTGCATCGACGGGTGTGCCACCAACAAGGTACGAGAGTTTCACGAGATCTGACGACACATACTCGTCTTCCTCGTAGTCAAACGAGGCAAAGCCTGAACTGCGTGACTTGAGTTTGTCAAAAAACTGCCGTAGGAGGAGAAGGCGCGTTAGTCATATTCGAGCATGTCAAGATGCGGTTCGCTTTGGGACGTACGTCTGTGACAATTTCCGCCAGTGGTAGTCGGTATTGCATATATACTTGAGACAGGCCTGCGGTCGAAAATTCAATGTCGAGCTGTTCACCACGGTGCTCGGCACATAGATCCATCATCGCACCAGTGTATTCTTCTGGGCACACAAGAGAGCCAATGACTGTGGGCTCTTCTAGGCATGCGACGTGCGTCTTTTTCGTAGCTTCATCCGGAAAATCAGCGGGATTCGAGCAAAGTACTTGCGTCTCATCGTTGTACGTGATACGGAATGGCACCGTCGGCGTTGTCACGAGAATTTCATGGCCGTATTCGTCTTCAAGGCGCTGGCGAAACACATCGAGATGCAACGTGCCAAGAAAACCCAGCCTGTATCCTTGGCCCAAAGCAGACATGGTCTCTTTCTGTAGCGTAATGGAGCGGTCATTGATGCACAGTCGTTGGATCGCGTCTTCCAACTTGAGAAACTCACTCTTATCTGTGGGGAAAATGCCAGCAAAAACGGTTGGCAAAGCTGGTCGAAATCCAGGCAGCGGCTGCACACGCTCGCCAGCACGGTAGAATGTATCACCGATGCTCGCCTCTTCCGTTTCTTTCATTGTCGTAATAAGCCAGCCAACTTGGCCTTTCCGCAAAATCGGCACAGAAACAGGCTCCGGGTTGTTGATTCCCAGATCGAGTACATCATACCTCTTGCCACTGTGAAAAGCCACCACACTATCACCTTTGCGGATGGCACCGTCCATTACGCTTACAAGCGCAATGACGCCGCGGTACTGGTCGTACCAGCTGTCAAAAATCAGCGCGCGAAGACCACGCGGCTGTCGGTTTTCAGAGGACATATTCTGAGCACCCCCGAGTGGCTCTGTACGCTCGACCAATGCCTGCAGCACTTGATCGACTCCTTTCCCTGTCTTGGCACTCACAAGAAGTGGTTTGTGGACGGAGGTATCGAGTGAAAGGATATCTTGAAGCTGCGAAAAACACCGCTCTGGGTCTGATGCAGGCAAGTCGACCTTGTTAAGCACAGGGATGATCGTCAGACCACACTGCTGTGCAATTTTGTAGACGGAAATGGTTTGTGCCTGTACTCCTTGCGTTGCATCGATCACAAGAAGTGCAGATTGACACACCGAAAGACTACGGCGCACTTCATACGCAAAGTCGACGTGACCTGGTGTATCGATCAAATTAAGTAGAAGCGGTTGTCGCTGGCCTGCTGGTTGATACAACATACTCACTGCCTGAGACTTGACAGTAATGCCTCGTTCACGCTCGACTTTCAACTTGTCAAGTACCTGCTTGTTCGATGAGTCGCTGGGAATTGTGTTTGTAAGTTCCAGCAGTCGGTCTGCGAGCGTCGACTTTCCATGGTCAATATGTGCGATTATCGAAAAAGAGCGTGTCTCGAGCTCATCGAAAGCAATAGTCGCCGCCTTGCAGCACATCCGACTGGAGTGCAGGGCACGTACATGCATGCGCCACGGAAACGTGCCGACATGCAAGGCAGCCTGTCGGACGCACAGGCCCATGGATCGCGCTAGCATGCGATATGGGGCAACCAGAGAAATCCCTGACTGCTTTTGCTGAAGATACGTTGGACTACGCGAGGTACGCGCGCGCGTATGTCTTTGAGCTTTAGGAAGTGGTTGTTCTTGAATCGGGGTGCTGCTCTCCACGAATCGGGGATGCGACCTGCGTTCCACACAGCACCGACCGACTCATTTCACATAATACTTCACACGACAGCAACTTGCCGTAGGAATGTGTATATATGCATCTTCTACCTCAAAACAACGACCAACCACGTTGCGCGACACTACGAGATGCCTCCTTTCATATTTTAGGAGGCCGCTTCTTGATATCTTCAGGGTTGACTGGGTGAATAAATACATGCGTCTCGCTCGTAGCGCCCTGATAGCCCTTGTGCCAGTCGTAGCCCACTGTATTTTTGTTAACATGCAATTTAGGTGTCTGAAACAACGTACGTGCATAAGCAAAAATGGATGCATCTGCATTAAACGTAATGGCGGTGACAGGCAAACGGTTAGGGTTCGTTTTAAATAATTCCTTAGGCGCCATGGCTGCACCCTTGGTTTCAAAGGCTAAAAAAAAAAAAAGGAAGTTGTGTCAGTCACAATGCTCATGCAAACTTGTCCGCAGGTGGGTACGTACTTTTCAACCTTGTGCGGCTCGCTTTACACCAGAAACTAATTGAGCCATCACCACCCCCTGTCGCAAAGGTTCCTTGTGCATTGAAAGCAATCGCATTCACAGGGTACAGTTGAGTTTCATTCCGAGGAACATCAGGATGGTCGGCATTGGTCCTTCGATGACAACGGAAAGCAAACTTTTTACTATAATTTCCATGTCAGTACATATGTGGGGAAGAGGTGAGGTTGCGACATACACTTTACCGTCTTTCGGGTCCGGTGGATCATGGAAGTAGTGAACAGCAACGCGACCTTCTGTGCCTCCAAGAGCAAACCCATCACCATCAGGTAGCGCGGCAATGGAGCGTGTTTGATACTTTAGCGGGCTAAACTGATCCTGTCACAATTGTAAGCAAATGATGCGAGAAACAAGGTCTTGCCGTTTAGGGCATCAGATCGTAGATACGTACAACAACTTGCTGCGCCGTACCCGTAGCTTCATTACATTGGAACGCCATAATCTTTCGTTCAGCCATTGCGACGATGACAATCAATCCAATCACGTCCATAGCATATACGCGCTCCGGAAGATCTAATGACGTAATAAGAGTAGGCTGTGGCTCAATTTTCCAAATTTTCACTGTCTTGTCCCAACTGCCTGTCACGAGAGCCCCACCAAATGCACGAAGCCAGCGCACACAACGAATTGTATCATTGTGTTGAGCAACTATTGCTGCCTGATTCGTATTCAGATCAAAACAACGAGCGACTTTATCAGCACCGACAGATATCACTTTACTACCGTCAGCATTGAAGCACACATCCAGCACGGGGCCCTCATGCTGGTATTGCTGATGTGGCTGCACCGGCTGGGCATTTGTCTTGTCAATGCGATAAATCCGTACGAATGTATCCCAACTTGCAACGGCAAGCACATCAGCCGTTGGCGAAAATGCCAATGCTGACACAGTGTCATTTGCGCCAGGCGTTACTTCAATATCTTGCTCACCGGCAACTTTGGTCGTAGCTGTGATATTGGGTGTCGCAGTGGCCGTAGCCGGCCTGCTACCCCACCCGCCTGTGCTAGATGTCTGGAAGAACGACACGATAGGCAGCTGACGCACTCACAGCGTCGTTGTTCACAGACGTAAGTCTCGTGCGAAACACGCGTAACAACCACACACACGCTCTCTTGGTGCTTGGTTTCGTCGCACAGCGACCGGTGCAGCCAACACGACGTGCATAATTGAAATTATTTTGACTCACAGCGCGACGTTCAGGGTGGCGATATGGAGCCTAGAGGCACAAGTCGGCGCCCAAGTGGCAACAACGGAGGTGGAGACGGTCTGTACTAGCCAAACGATGCCCGGCATCCCCACCACCCCGAGGCGCTCCACAGAACTCGCCCTCCACATCATGTCTGCCTTTGGCAAGTCAGCACGAAATGACGCAAGACGCTTACCATGGAGGTGCGTTACAATGGGGTCACGTGTAGAACTATAGTTTTTTCGTCGCTCTGCGACGACATCTCGAAAGGCTGCTGCTGTGCGAACGCCTCGCCCTCCGTCTTCAAGGCATCGCTACGTCAAGGTACGTGCCGTTGTGCGAGTTGAGGGGTCGTCGTGCGCCGACACACGCTGTGCGATGGACCTTGTAATAGCGAAGTCGCTGACACGAAGATTAGATGAAGGTCGAGTTGTGCTCGTTCTCGAACAGGAAGATTTACCCGTACGTATAACTCGCCTTGAGTGAGAAGGAGCAAGGCGGATGGCGTTACATCGTCAGGCGCCGCACCTGTTCGCGTGGAAGTTTGGAGAAACAACGTACTAACACTGCGTAGGGGCAAGGGAAGGCTCTTCGTCCGTGGTGACAGCAAGGTAAGCTATTCACGCTTGGCACGAAGGGATGCGATACAACAACAAGCAGAGTTGGGGCACATGCATGGTGATACTCGTGTCTTATCTTTGGACGTGAGCAACAGCATGGAAAAAGCAGTCCCAGTCGGCATCGGTGCTATATGAAGAGTTCCAGTGGGGGTTGCGCAAACAATCCACTTGTCTACGTGTCTAGAAACCAATTACGTTGGTATTGAAAGGGCGTGCCAAGTATCTTGATGTTGCTCGTGTCTCGATATGAGTTGCTACATTGCTAGTGTTTCTTCTTTGACACGCTAGCCCGACTAAGAATCCGCTAGTCCCATCTCTCTTGTTATTGTCCTTGGTTCCCTTTGAACGCCGCGGCTATCGTAGGTTGGTACTAACACACTACAGGTCTTCCGCTTCCAGGGCTCGAAGCCGGAATCTCTGTTCCACCAACGCAAAAACCCACGTAAGTTTGCCTGGACGGTTCTGTACCGCCGTATGCACAAGAAGGGTGTGACGGAAGAAGTTGCCAAGAAGCGCACGCGTCGCACCATCAAGAGCCAGCGTGGTGTCGTTGGTGCCTCGGTTGACTTGATCAACACGCGTCGCAACCAGAAGCCAGAGGTTCGTGAGGCTGCGCGCAAGGAGCACATTGCGAAGACGAAGGAGGCCAAGAAGGCTCGTCAGACAGAGCGCAAGGCCAACCGGCAGGCAGCTGGAGCCAGCGCTGCCATGTCGCGTCAGCAGGCCAAGCCTATGGCACGCGGTGGCCCCAAGGCTTAAACAAAAGCTGCTTTGCAAGCGGCACAAGGGTGCAAAATCCCTCTGTGTAGTATGCCCCCTATATTTTGTCTTCTTGTCTGAGATGTTCTAGGTGGCCGGCTGCTATTTTGTAGCTGATATCTAGAAACCAACTCGCGAGCTATGCAATGAGCGCCCCGTAACATATCTCTTCATCTTTTTGTGCTTGCTACGGCTGGTACTGATCAGGTAGAATGCCTAGAGAGGCACGGTGAGTGATTTCAGTAGCTTGGTAGTCGAATTCTTTGACGACCCGACCTATCGTGTGCAAGAACGGAGCATGTCAGAGGGGTGAGGGCGCTTGTTTTCGGCCGAGATAAGGCTCATATCGGCACACTTGACATGCATTCGGCCTCATCTCTTGGAGGTCTGTTTCGTCAGCCAAGACCATGGGCGTGCCGCACACGCCACCGGACGCTGCGGGCGGGGCACTACCCAGCAAGACGGGTCTGCAGCACTCGGAGTTTGGGTTGTGCAAGAATGAAGCGTACAGATGGACGTCCAAGTACGATGAGAGCCGCTTGGAAGTGTCCGAGGAAGACAGCCCAAGCTACTTGACAGTGTTATCGACGTACTTGACATATATTGTGCTGATTCTGTATGGGCACTTGCGTGACTTTTTGGGTCGACGCTTCTATCCGCAGGATTTCTCTCATTTGCAGGAGAACAATGGATATGCAGCGCTCAACTCGGACTTTGACAGCTTCTTTACGCGTCGCCTCAAGATGCGGATCGATGACTGCTTTGAGCGGCCTGTGACAGGAGTATGTGGCCGCACTGTGATGACGCTCGAGCGCATCACACGCAACTACAATCGCACTTTTGAGCTCACAGGCAATACGCGGCGCGCACTGAACATTAGCGCGTACAATTATCTGGGTTTTGCACAGTCGCACGGCGAATGTGCGGACAACGTGGACATTGGACTGAGTCTGTATGGACTATCAAGCGGTGGCACGCGTCTAGGTGCTGGAATGCTGGATTTGCAGCGGCAGGGAGAGAGAATGGTTGCTCGGTATCTGAACCAAGAGGATGCTATGCTGATTAGCATGGGCTTCGCTACGAACAGTACTACGATCCCAGCTATTGCAGGCCCAGGCACGCTCATTCTTTCTGATGAACTCAATCACACATCGCTGCGGGCTGGTGTGCGGATGAGCGGTGCAAGTATCCGAACGTTCAAACATGGGAGCATCGACGCATTGGAATCGCTCCTGCGTGAGTGCATTAGCCAGGGGCTTCCGCGAACGCATAGGCCATGGAAGAAGATTGTGCTGCTCATCGAGGGGCTGTATTCGATGGAAGGCACAATTGTTGACTTGCCACGAGTGCTGGAGCTTAAGAAGAAGTATAAGTTCTACTTGTATGTGGACGAGGCGCATTCGATCGGGGCGCTTGGACCTCATGGCGGAGGGGTGTGTGACTACTTCGGTGTAGATCCTTCGCTAGTGGACATACACATGGGTACGTTTACGAAATCATTTGGCGCTGTCGGTGGGTACGTGGCTGGAAAGAAAGAGATCATCGACAGCATCCGGCGATACAACTATTCGAACGTGTTTGGTGAGACGATGGCCCCACCGGTGCTAATCCAGATTATGTCGACACTTGCCACTATCATGAGTGTCGGCAAGATACCGGACGGGCGCGCCCTGCTCCCACCGTGGATGCAATTTTCCGAGCCGTTCTTGGCTGGTGTGGAAGGCCGGCATCGTCTAGAGCGCTTGGCATTCAATGCACGCTATCTGAACCACGGGCTTCGGAAGCTCGGGTTCATTATTTGGGGCAGCCGCGACAGCCCCGTGGTGCCGCTCTTGCTGTTCCAACCCGGCAAGATGAAGTTGTTTTCGTCTTTCATGCTGGATCGCGGACTGGCCTTACCGCCGTCGCAGCGGTGGAAGACGGAAGATGATGCATGGAATACCGCGACACTCGAGACACCCAATTTGTCTCATACTGGTCCACATGGCGTGCGCCGACGTCCACCGATTGTTGTGGTGGTTGTTGCATACCCCGCTACGCCACTAATTTCGACGCGAGTGCGCTTCTGTGTGAGTGCTGCGCACACAAAAGAAGACATCGATGACGTGCTGGTTGCCTGCGACGAGATTGGCTCGGCCATTTGCCTGAAGTATACAGATGGCGGCCCTGGTGGACGCTGGTCCATCGACAAAATTCTTTCTCATGCTACGGACCTGGTAGCATGGAACGGTATAGACCCCCTTCCTGAGCCCAAGGACTAACTGATTGTATGAAAATTCTGCACCACTTGTCCCCTTCCTACCCGCAGTGATATCTCTTGTGTACCATGACTGTCGACAGCCATGGCGCTGCGCTGCTGCGCGTTAATGTGTACTTTTTATGCACGTTATAGAAGCCCACGAATAGCGTGGATGCGCTGCACGAGTGATCCAAAGGCCAGTCGTACGAGTGAGTGAAGAACTGTGTGTGCGCGCGTGTGTGAGTAGGGTGCAGAATTTACGAGTGGCTTTGCCATGCCATGCATCCTCGTACGTACATGTCCAACTGCGTTGTGTGTCTCGAACGGGATAGTCCACCACAGGTGGGATCGACGTCTGCACGACGCCGAACCACACGTCCTCAGTTATGGCCTTGGGAGCCGTGAGGCCCAACAGACCCTCTGGCCCGCCAAAGCGGCCATAGCCGGAATGTTTGCACCCGCCGAACGGCAGACCCTGATTCAGGTACGAAATGCCAAAGCTGTCATCAGTTAGCATGGGTTGATCACGTGATGAGTGCTTGGCAACGTCTCAAGAAGTGGCTTGGCGGTGATGGCGCCTCTATACATGCAATCGCGGAAGAGTGACAGCCGGCATATCGGCGCTGCTCCCGTTCACAGATAGAGATTGCAGATGTCTCTATCTTGTCTTGAGGAGGAGCGACCATGTCTTCTTTTTTGTTCCCTCATCGCGGTAGCCACAGCCATGTCTGCTGCTGCAGGCGCCATCACGAGTACTTCTTTGGACAATGGCTGCCAGCCTCGTGCATACGTACTCGTTAATATTAACCATACCACATGTTAGTTGTGACGCAACATGTTGGCATTCCTTGTAGTCACGGCCAAACACAGAAGCACCCAGTCCGAATGGGGTGCCATTCGCGATAGCCACAGCATCATCCACTGTACGGTATGGCATCACCAAAAATACAGGGCCAAACACTTCTTCTTGCGCAATCCGCATGGTCGGCGTCACATGTGTCAGCAAGGTAGGCGAAAAGTAGTGGCCATGCGGCCATCTTGGGTGGTTGTAGCGCTTGCCTCCGACAACAAGGCGTGCGCCATGAGCGACGGCGTCTGCGATAAGCTCCTCAAGAGCATCGAAACGAGCGTCTGTGATCATTGCACCGCAATCGACATGATCGCCATTCTTACCTTGTTGAGCTTTCGCGCCATGGCCCATGGATGTATCGTCGAGTGTGCTGCCACAGCGCAAAGCGGCGATCCGTGGCTTGACAGCTTGTACAAGGTCGTCTTGCATGCTATCGGGAATGAGGAAACGCTCGATCCCGATACAGTTCTGGCCCATGGCTTGGAAACACGCTCGGAGAACTGATAGTGTAAGTATATGTGTGCCGGTGTGTGTGTGTGTGTGTGTGTGTGTGTGTGTGTGGAAAGCATGTATACATACACATGGACGTGAAAAAGTCCAGTCGAGTGCTAGGAAGGATCAGCGCCGGGTCCTTACCACCGAGTTCAAGTGTCGTAGGCGTAAGCTGCGGTGCAGCTGCCTCTGCTACGCGTCGGCCTACGACGTCGCTGCCAATGAATGTGATATGGGCGAGGCGCGCATCGCGGGTAAGGGCCTCGACTGTTTGTGGACCACATGCCACAAGCTGGACAAGATCGCGGGGCACGCCACATGCGTCCATGCACTTGTGCACGGACGTCAGGACGTGCTGTGAGGACCATACAACATGCTCAGAGCATTTCACGATGATGGCATTCCCAGCAAATAGGGCCGAGATGATAGGGCCAAGCATGTTGTGGACGGGATAATTCCATGACACACATGCAGCGACGACACCCAATGGCTCGTGAAGCACAGTGCATCTCTTGTGCGCGAGAAGAAGGTTGCCTGCACGTCGCTCCGGTCGAAGCACTCGCTCACCGTGCTGAATTGTCCATGTAAGCTTTGCACAGGTCGTGAGAAGCTCGCCGAATGCCGCATCAATGGCCGTCTTTCCCGTGTCGCGGCATGCGATTCTCGCAATGATGTCGAGATCACGCTGGATCCACGCGAGCATCGTACGCAGGCATTGCCTGCGTTCTTCAAAGGACGAGTTTTTCCATGCGCGTTGTGCTTCTGCAGCACGACTGATCTTGCTGTCAATCGTGTCAGGTGTGTCGGCAGATACGCTAGCGAGCAAATAGCCCGTCGCTGGATCATAGCATGTAATCTTGTTTTCTTTGCTAATCAGAGGTGCATCTGCAGACCGAAACGTCGCACCCTGCCATCCTGGCTTGGCTTCTTCGGGATAGTGTTGCTCTATAGAAGGCACGCGTCTTCGGCGCCTGAGGAGTTGCAGGCACGCTGCAAGCGCTACACACGCACATACAATCTCAACCAGCATATGAAGAGGTATCAGATATGCAGTTGTGAGTGTGAGTGTCACTGTATATCTTTCACGCGTACACAATGGCAGGCAGGCGGTTGGACGTTAAATGATGGTCTAGTACACACTGCAGGGTTCACGGTCGTAGCGTCGCGGCATCAGGCCCGAGGCAAACGGGCAAAATGGGGTCATTTTTTGGCCTGCAGCCTCCTCCACACTCTCGACAGCGTGTATACGGGGATGACGCTGCGCGTTGGACAGATTGGGACTTGGCGCAAAGACAACATTCGGAGACCATGGACGACGCGGCGAAAGAGGCACAGCACGTGTTCGAAAACAAGCATAGCGTCTTGCAGGGCGAAGTGCATGGTGACGCAGCGTTATACACGCACGACACAACAGCATATCAAGCGCTTCTTCGTGCAGCACCATGGCGACGAGATCGCCAGTATTTCCGACGTGTGCGCGTATCAGTGATAGCACTACTGAAGATGCTCCTGCACGCGCGATCTGGCGGCGAACTAGAAGTGATGGGTCTGATGCAAGGGCATGTACGCGGAGATACGGTGTACGTGATAGATGTGTTTGCGTTACCAGTGCACGGGACTGAGACACGCGTAAATGCACAGAACGAGGCCTACGAATATATGGTGATGCACCTTGAGGCAAGTCAACGAGTGCATCGACTAGAAAATGCCATTGGCTGGTACCACTCGCATCCCGGGTATGGATGCTGGCTGTCAGGAATTGATGTCCAAACGCAACAGACAAACCAGCAACAGGATCCGTTTATTGCTGTGGTGATCGACCCTTTACGGACCATGTCAAGTGGACATATCGATCTGGGCGCGTTTCGCACCTGGCCACAGGACCAAGAGGCCGACGATACGCAGCCAATGCGGCAGCACATACCAGCTAGTAAGATGGCCGAGTACGGTGCTCATGCATCCAAATACTACGCACTGGACGTGCAGTATTTCAAGAATGCTGCAGACCGTCCCCTGTATGACCAGCTCTGGCACAAATATTGGGCACAGGCACTGTGCGTGGGTACATCGACATCGATGTCGATGCCGGCACATACTCAGCAGGCAGAGCCATCGCGGCAACCACAGATTCCACCAAGTCTCGAATTGCAGCGTATTCACGAACTGCGCGAGCAAATGCAAGACACTGTGGCATCGATCCGCAGCACGAATCTCTTGCCAGGCGGCGTATCTTATGCGCAAACGGCAAGAACAGTGCCAAGAAGTGCCGACGTTGACTTACATGCGCTGGCACAGCAGCTGGAGAAGCGCGCGAATGAGCAGCCACTAGGCCGCGTCGCACATCAAGCCGCTGCAATGGCATCAAGTGCGCATCATGCACTTGAACAGGAGCGTCGTAGGGCCATGCTGTTTGGGTAACACAGATGTATGGGCAAGTACATCGCACAGCGATGCCTAGCTATATAACGTATATATGTATGATGGATTTGGAAGACGTCACAAACGTCGGTATAGAAGAACTCGCTCAATATTATACGGTCGTCAACGAACAGTCGCACACGAGGTCCAGGCCGATCGATAGACACCATAGTAGGATGTCGGTGGCACAGAAAAACACCTGAACCAGCATGGACCTGATAGCGCGTGGTGATGAGCGTGGGCAAGTTCCCGTGGCGAAGATGTACTTTAGTTGGTTCGTGCCGAGTGGCAGAGGTAGACAGACCATGAGGAAAGGGAGGGGACAAAGGAGATGAGGAGGAGAACAATGTCGGGATCCTGGGCCATAGGCGAGTTGCACTCAGCAAAGAACACAATTGTAAGTAAGATCGGGAAGAGACAAAGAACTTGGTTATTGTTGGATGGATGAACATGAATGGAAGGCGTAAGGAGCAGGCAACAAAGAGTCGATGAGCAGGGAGTCATATGACGAGCCCATCCCCTCTCCAAGTGCCTTGCGGAGCAAGTGTTGACGCTTAAACAGAACGTCGGGGAAAGCATGGAAGCAGAAAAGGGGAGATGGTCAGGTGGTGTCAAAGATAAAAAGGTGCAAGATGAAATGAGGTACATCGAATGGAAAGGGGGATAGGGGTAGCAGCGAGTGCAAATCATCTTTGGCCCAGATATATATCAATGAGTTCAGGCAGTTGCAGAGACAAGCGACTAGTGAAGAGCAGTCGTGAGGAAAAGCGGGAAGAAAAAAAAAAAGCGCTGGTGTATCACCGTGTTGCCGAATAGGCAGCATCAGCTTCCTGCGCCTGGGGCGATTGGGATGGTGAATCGACGTCCGAGGACGATGGGCCTAAAGGAAGTACGCTTGGGCGCGGATGTCCATGCCGCTCATACAAGTCGACACGGAGCATATCGAGAGCATGTTTTTCGCCGTGCTCATCAGTCCACTTGCCGACAGTGACGTCATCTTGAGTGATGACGGCGTGCGGGAACGTATTCTTGGCCCATTCCATCACATACGCACTTGCCCTCATGAATTTTTTGCTGCTGTACTTTTTGTGGAAGTGTAAGTGGGCTGGTGGTCGGAGGCAATAATCAAGCATGATCTCGGCTGTGCCTAGGAGCTCGGGCTCCGCATATGTCGAGTAATGCACCAGTGTGGGCGTCCATTCACCACGCTCCAGCACTTCACGCGCAAGCCATACAGCCGCCGCAGCGACGAGCGAGGGTGGGTGGTCCAAGAGGCGGTGATCTACCAGAGAGATTTCCATAAAGTACTTGGCCACTGTTCGCGTCTGGATATCATAATTATCAGCCTTTGAGATACGACGCAAAAAGTTCATGGGCGACGCATAGCTCAAATCAAAGTTCAGCACTTTGAGCATGTAGCGCTCGGCACGCAGGATCTCTTCGTCCGTGTACCCGCCATCAGCCACGTACAAAAAGTTTTGAATGGACGGGCACAGCACTTCTTCGTACTTGGCAGCAATAAAGAGTGCAGTTACACCCACGAGCTGCAACTTTGACAGCGATATGGTGCGCATGCTCAGGAAGCGATCAACGATATTAAGCGCCAGGAACAGCGTCTCGGGCAACAGGCGGAACTTGGCATGCGTCTCAATGAGCCAATCAGCCAACACACCACGAAGGTGCCAATTCAAGTCACGCTGAAGGTCCATGTAGCTGCCATTCGGCATGCATTGGATCTCGATGTCTCTCATGTATGCAAAGATTTCTTCCACGTACTCGGCGACCATCAGTGGGTCGTCTGCATCGTCCTTGTCGAGGTCTTCCCATCCCTCGTCCTTCGCACGCGGCACTACCTGTGTCATTGGTGCTGCAGCTGGTGCATCGTCCATACCCACACGCGCAAGACCAACACCTGCGCCTGTGCGTGTGCTTCTTTCGCGACTCGCCATGTCTACTGCCGTCGCAGACTCCATGTTCTCCGTCATGCGCACGCGCTTGGTCTCGCGTGTATCGACAGGCTCAACATAGACGTCCATATTCTCCTTGTCACTTCCATTGACATCGTCGATGACCATAGCCTCGGGCTCGCGTGTCCTGGGAATACGACGCGTCGGGGCGGCCGTTGACGACACCGTTGTCGTCGTTGTCGTCAGCGCACCATGGCTACCAGCCGCACTGGCACCGAACCGAGCGGAGGTCGGCAGATGTGAGCTGTGAGCCGATGAGCGCATGGCTGCCGTGGCTGCTGCACGCGAGCGCAGTACGGGCTTCTTGGGATCGTCTGCCTTTTCGTCTTTGCCCAGAGCCGACGCCGTGCTGCGGGTGCGCGCAGCATTCGTGAGATCACCCAACGCTGCACGCTTGCGCGTGCCCAGCACACCAGATGCACCTGAACTATTGCACGGCTATGCCCGTGCCCGTCCCACTTGAAAAAGAGTTCGGACGACCTAACGCGTCAGATGCGCCTGTGATGCAACCGGGCGCCTTGCCCTTGGCTGTGGATGCACGGTATGCATGGGCATTTTCATCTGTCTTCGTGTTGCCCGGGTTTGTGCTTGCCGAAGTCGCACTCCGTGTTCGGCCAGGAACTCGCCGTACCGGCTGGTGTGTGTGTGTGGTTAGTACTTGTACAACGAACGCGTGCCAATGTGTGCGCCATATGGGTGCCCAGAGGCTCGATGACGGTATTCGGGTCTCTGAACAGTCCTATGTATGTCGCCCGTGTAGGACGTGCTTCAGCTAAAGGCATTGCACCTACTGTTCAGATAGCAATCGCGATGACCATCACTTCCATGGCAGTCGTTATTGCCACCGCTACCGCACTTGATCCCACATGCACATACATACGTACACACACCTAGATACATACCAGGTTCGACGACATATAGGTACGGGAGTGACCGTGCCAGGATCGAGATAAGTCGTGGACACGACAAGAGAAGGGGTGTAGGACCGGGTCCAAGGAAGCGTGTTCTGGGTTCGCTTAGCGGCCTAAGGGAAAAAAGGCCTAGGGGTCAGCGAGGTCCAATCGCGCGTCGCTGCAGAAAAACGACGGCTCGTGATTTTTCCCAGAACAACACATAGATGCTACGTGACGCCTTACATCGCATGGGACACTGCCTACTGGCCCTGCGAAACGCATGACGCGCATAGGACAGCCAAACGGCAAAGGGCATATGCGTCGGCCGAGCTGATGAACTTCCACTCGACTAGTGGATGTTACGCGCGCCACGCGCGTCCACCTGGATGCCAGGTCACGAGGTCGTGTCAGGATTATGCGCACGTGATGCTCAACCAGGTCTTGCGCCGACGTGCTTGGTCCTGTATGGTGGAATCCAGTTGCTCGAGACGCGCGCGCGCGTTCCCCCAGGAAGCAGGGGGAGGTGTCTCGCTTTTGCAATTCTGCGCGGTACGCACGCGCTCTAAATCAGCGCAAACGTTCCATTTACCGTACGCGTCAGCTTACGCATTTCACGCGACAGCGCACATAATAGTTAGCCTAAGCGCTTGTGCAGTTTCCTCTTTCGTGTTGATTGATGCGATGCGCAGGCATCTGACGGATGATCAGGTCCATGGACACCCTGTAGAATGACCTGTGAAAATGCATTTGGTCGTCTCGCTTGGTCGAGTACATGTGATCCCTAAAAACGGCGTTCCTCGGACGCGCTTCCTGTGTATATCTTATCGCCTTTCTCTATGCGTTTGACTTGTGGTTTTCCCTCCCCTCCTGCCAACTATACACATAGTCTCCCGCTGTTCGTTTCTAGTCTACATACACAATGTTAGTGCGTCAAAGAGTGTGTGCAATGTCTACGTCGCCGGTGCGATTCCATCGTACATGTGTAGTCGTCACGTATAGTGTCCTCTCCCATCCGTATAGTGGCTCACGTATGTGTGCATTCATACCACAGTAGGCCTTGGCCATCTACGTATAGCATCGTGTGCATCTGCAGAAATCAGACTTGTCCCTATGCGAGTTGTCTTGTTCCTGTCCCATTTTCATTGTCAGTGCGTGCACAAGTGTATCCCTACAACATCCGATGTAAGAAAAACGGCGCATTTTCTACACTGCACGCCGCTCTATTCGAGTGGGATGACGGAATGGAGGGCTGGATACAGGACAAATGATTTGAGTCATTGTCCAATGGCATGATGATGATTTGACATTTCGTGATGCGTTGCCTATGATTGGTAGGTATTAGACTGGGAATTCCTCGATCAGGGATAGGCAAATTCAACGAACGAACTCTGCCGCCAATCCATTGCGCTAAGCAAACTTAATCTGGAAGGACAAAGCAGCTGGTGACGTGATTCCTATGAGAACACCCACGTGCTTGATGTGCTGGGGCCATATTGACTTCAGACTTGCGTGCTTAGCTGGGAGGACTTGAGAAGATCGAGTTACCGTTTTCCTTTGCCTGCATCACAGGCGCGTAGCACAGGGGAACAGTCGCCCCGTCCTGAACAATACACCGAGACGTGGCGCGTGTATGGTCGGCACAGCGACTTTTTTTTTTGGACTCATTGACCACACGAGAGCCCCATTTGTTTCGTTTCTCGTGCGTCACGCGGCGGCATACAACAGCATCATTTCGCCACCTCGCAACTGGCTCATCCGCACACAGGATCTCAAGCACGTGCCATCTCTGTTCACTTGACCAGATAGCGTGTGCGTGTAGCCAGCGTAGCTAGAGGCATGGCGGACGCGTCAAATTCAGAACACACCCCACAAACGTCTGTCTATACATCTACGCCAACAAGCACAACATTAACACGAAGCACTGCCAACGTAACGCCTGCTGCACGCGGGGCGTCCGATGACGAAGTGCCTGCTATAGGCGTGGCACAAGATGACACAAGCCACGGGCGACCACCTCTGTTCCCTGCACCCAAAGTGCGCAGACGAGGACGCCCGCCCAAAACGGCCAACTCCTCTCGTGTGAACACGGAGCGTGCGTNTAGGCCTTATCCCGTATGGCGTACCTCGTCAGCGGCTATGAAGCCCTCTTCTTCGGTGCTGACAACAGAGACCTCATCTCCGACGTCACTCGATCTAAATACCCCACCGCTCATGGTTTTTCAATGTCATCAGTGCCTAACCATCGTGGGCGATTCTGTTGCCTGGCTTCTAGCGCAGCGACAACTGGGCTTGATTGTGCTACAAGAAGTGACCGACAAAGTGTTGACACTTGAATTTCTCACCACGTCCGAAGACCAGGACTGGGAGCGCTGCAAGTTCGCACCTTTAGCGTGCGCAAAATGTGATCAAATCCTTGGTCGCTTTTACAAAGACACACCACCTGAATGGACTATCATGCGCGGCGCCTTTAGCTTGTACCATTCTGCGCTTGTTGTATACCAGTTAGGAACACCTCGCGGCACCCCACACCGTACAGGGGATGGCCGTGTGGATTCTGATGCTGGTAGCCAGCGTTTGCAAGCTGATCCACGTTCGCTGCGTCCACCAGACTTGATGTCAGCTGACCGTCGCTCGTCCCTCTCGCCGCCACGTTCTCATGCTTCGTATATACCCTCATCGTACACAGTGACACGCGGCCCTCGATCTGCATCGCCTTCCCTACCTCCTATGACAGTCCCAGACAAAGGGTCACCGGCACCTTTGTCGTCCATGATGTCGTCCACGTCATCACCTGCAACGACACCCTCTTCGTTCGCAAAGGTGTCGAGGCCAGCTCAATCTTCGACATCAAGTCCATCTTTGAGCGCTGCCCTTGCACCAAGTGGAAGGACAACGATGTTGCCATCGTTGACGACCACGTCGTCATCATCACTAACGCCGAACTCGGGTCCTCCGCCAGCGTCTTTCTCGTCTGGGCCTATGTCTTATCCATCCTCCACACCATCGTCTGTCTCGGGTGATAAGGCCGAGTCTTCACGCACGGACACAGATCTTGAAAAGGTTCGTTTTATGCTCTTTCTTGTGACTCTTCGACGTCTGCTAATACATATCCATTATTCGCCTTTTTTTTTTTTATGCAGATTCGCACGCTACTCATGGGGATGGGAGAACGACTTATGCGTCTCGAGCAGTATTTGCCGGTACCACCATCTTCGACATCGTATCCTTCGTCAACCTCCTCATCGTCCTCTTCATCAACAGCTACGTCGGCTACATCTACAGCGACTGCACCGCCTCCTTCTGTACCTTCGATCATCGATGATCGGTCTGTGCAGCGGCATCCGCATGCTGCTTGGGATGAACTACGACAAATATCTCCAGTATCGACGTATCCGTGTGTCGATGCCTCTGCTCGACGAAACAGCACAACGATGTGTTATCCCGAGGACACACTGCGCAGATGGCCCCCAAGACGGGATGGCTCACGCTCCTTATCTGACACGGCTCGCCGCTCACTCGTGTTACGGCCATCGCCTTCCTGGAAGAGCGGGGCGCCGCCGGACGACGTGAATAGCCGCCCATTTTCTCCTCCCGATGAGCCACTCCTTTGATTTGATTCACATTTTGTACTACTGTAGTATAGGGAGCATGATCTAGAGAACAGCACACGCTTTTTGAGCAGCTGTGTTCATTCACTACTGGTTCTGTCCATGCTGCTCGTACATGGTATAGAGACGTTCGACGTATGCCTGATCTGTCTGCATCGTTGGTTAGTTTTAATTTCCTTTTATTTTATTCCTGCAGCAGGTTGTATGTCGACAACGTACACAAAGAAGCACAATGAGTTTTTGCACAAATTCAGCGCGAGTTAGTCGCTCGTAAGGCAGACGCTCAACCACGTATTCCGGCGGCACAGCATCTTGTAATGGACGATGTGTCTTTGAAGCGGATTGTATCGGAGGCAATTGCTCTGCTGTTGGTGGAGACGCTGTTGGCTTGCTATTATGCAGATCATCCACAGCCTGGAATTCCAAGGGGTCAATATCTGCGGTGGGATCAGGATGGGATTGGACAGAAGTGCCAAATAGGTCATTCAAGTCGATTGACTTGCCCATCGAAAGGCTTCCCTCGTCGGTCGCTGACCCAGAAGATGGTGCACTTGCACGCTGGTCAGTGCTTGGCTCACTTGTGAAAGACGGCGCAGTGTTTTGTTCGGAAGAAGCATGGCCTGAAGCATCTTTGTCCGACGGCGCAACGTACTCTGACGATTGTGGATTTTGCGCACTCGGGTTTCGTTGAAACGAGCCTAGCTCTTCTGGGTTTGCATGTGATGCAGCTTCACGAAACAGGGCATTGAGAATTGACGCACCTGTACGATCCTGCTCCGTGAACACTGGAACACCAGATGACGACGAGTCCGAGTCCCGCGCGTCCTTGGCATCTTTTCCTCCGAGGAGATCCTCAAGACGAATGGATTGGGTCTGAGACGCCAATATTGCATCATCCGAGGGTACTGATGATACTGATAACTGGTCTGCTGCTTCCGGTAGTGACTTGACTTGTGGTTGAGGCGGTGGATACGGTCCTTTTTGAAGACTGGGAAAAAAGGGTGAGTACAAGCAGAGATACACGTACGAGAGAATCATTTTCCCTAGTTGTTCGAGCTGCGATGGCTCAAAAATCCAGAATCCATAAATGGTATCATCGGCTCTGTCTTCTGTGTGAGGAAGGGTAGAAAATGGGTAAGTTTCATTCACGAGACGTCATCTTACATACGCTGCTGGTGTGAACGGTAAATAAGGAATTCCTTGCTGAGTTCAATGTCGTCGAGCGGAGAAAGGCCTACATAAAAGTTTTCTGGGTCATTACGATTCAGGATTTGAAGTCCAAAGTACGGCTCCTCGGATCTGCTAGTTAGTTCCGAAGGCCGACGGGATGGAAAGGCCACTTACCGCTGGTATAGAAATAGGGGACCCTCGACACTTGTCTTGGTCTATTATTGCGTCAGATCTTATGTGTGCCGGATGCCACATACCCATTCATTTTCATACTTGTAGTAGACGGCGAAGGACGCCACGCTGAGCAGCTGCGTGACGCACGGATCGATTCGGCGCAGTACGCGCGTGTTCAGCTGCAATCGAGCATCAAGGTCCATGGTGTGTCGTTATATAAAGGCGCGCGTCGATCGAGAGTTAACGCAAAAAACAAAAAAAAAAAATCGAGTGTGCGCTAGTTGAAGAGAACGCCGCAGTGTCTTGAGCTCACGCACAAATTGAGCGACGTTGCTCGTTCCTGCTCTGCGACCACAGATTGAATTCAGCTCTCACTCACTATCTCGGCTTGCGGCGCAGGGAATGCGACCCTGGGTATGTTAGCAGAGCAGGGCCTAATGGGCCACACAAGACACACTGAACAGCGCTCATCCAGCATGGTGAAGCAACCGGGCGAGATACACACCTCTATCGTCTGACGCGCCTCTGGGTGAGAAACAGGAGCGGAGGCCTCAGCCAGCCCTGTCGTTGCTAATGTACGCGCGTGTGTTTGCATGCGCGTGACGCGTCATGATGGAGGCGCGACACGTCCGAAAAATCGTGACAAGCCTCTGACACGACTGCACGTACATCTTCCGCTTCATCACAGTATATGTCGAGAGTGGCGTCGGAAGTCGACGCGTGGGACGACGACCAGTTTGCCGAAGACGAGTTGGCTGAGTCTGTTGGCACGAGCTCGGGCACTGAGGCAGGTGTGGATACAGATGCAGATGCAGATGCAGCGTCTGCGGATGAGGGGCATGACAATGAATCTGTTGACGATGTGGATGAACGTGTGGCATTGCTACGTGCGCCGATCCTATCTATTTGCTCGGCATTAGGTGGTTATGAGCATATGATGCGACAAGGACGCACAGAGATCGTCTATCGGATTGGTGATGACTGTTTAGGTACGTGACCACAGATCTAGGCGGCCATGTGTTCTTGCGCATGTTCAAAGAGACTGACACGCATATCAGAGTGCTTGCGTGATTTGAGACGGCTGTGGCGACAAGACGATACAGATGCAAGCCGCGCCATTGCGCGCGTGCTCGCGGATCTCGGCACGCTGCACAATGACCTGATTCCGATTCTCTTGCACTGTGCGGGCGCAGATGCAAGTGAAAAGGAGCAAAAAATTGCTTTGGCATGCACAGACTTGATGACAGCGCTCACATGGCCAATCGATTGGTCGGCAGAGCTGCATGATATTGCGACGCGTGAAGAAGATGAACATGTTCTAAGCAAACTTCTTGAACTGCAAGGCGCGCAGGTACAATACAAGGCATCTATCCTGCGCGTACGCGCTAAGGAGCCACGGTTGAGTGATCGGACTGTGCTGTCGTGTGTCTTGCGGCATGTGCTCGTGCCCTCGCTCAAGCCCCGCACAGAGCGCACAGACCGCGATATCGGCGTCGTAAGCATGTGCTTGCACTTTTTCCGCAACCTGCTGACGATTCGCGATCCACCCCTGCACACGACGAAAAGCTCTACCAATATCGCCAATACAGCCCTTCACAGCGTTCTTGTCCAGCAAATGGAGTCTGCGCATATCCTTGCTACGCTGCGCATGTTGGCGAGTCAAGCGGACTCGAAAGACTACGACCTATGGACGCCTGTTGTTGCTGACTGTGTCTACCAAATGTATGCAGGCAGCATCCCATCGCAGCTGTCGAACGCGGGGGGAGCAAATGCACAAGCATCCAATTATGCAGGTGCTCGTGGGCCGGCGCACTTGCTGGCGCATTCGCTAGCGTCCGAGGCACGTACGAAGCGGGCAAGTTTGCGCGGTGCGAGTGCACGACATTCGCGTTTCGGCACATCAATCCAGTTCCGTGCGCATGATGGCACATTGCGCATGGCGCATTCGCCGGCAGCATTGACCGACAGTGTCGCGCATTTGGAGCAGCGTGTGATGGACCGTACGAAGCGGCGCGTGTCGCGACAGCGGCCAGCGACGGAGCGCGGTGCCCCGCCACGGCGAGTGCTGTGGACACCGGGTGCAGCCGCTGTGTTGTGTCGATGGGCCGATCAATTCGTGCAAGATGGGCTACTTGACGTCCTGGTGCGTGCGTATCTGCGGGACATCCACGCGGAGCGCGAGCGGGTCGGAGACCTTGACATGGCAAGATGCAAAGCCATGTATATCGCCTCGTTTTTCATCGATTATGCGCTTGCACGACACATGCGACTCGAGCTCGTAAGCGCGTGGCTCGAGCCGTGGTCATTCCGACTCGTTCGCGCACGGACAGCAGTGGCTCTCGAGAACCGGCAGTGGCTCGAGTTCACGGTGAGTCTGCGCCTGTGGACGGTGCTTCTTAAGCTCGTTGATGCTCTGTCACGCGGCTCGCCCACCGAGCAAGAAGCCGCGGATTCACTGCAACACACACTGTACTATGATGGGGATCTACTTGATACAGCACTGCATGCCATGCATGCGTACTCGGCCCAAAGTTTTGCGTGCCTCGAGGCTGTCGTGGACTTTGCCTACATGATGCCGCGCCTCCTGGAGCGTCATGCAGCAAAGAGTGCATACATGTTTGTGAAGCAGCGACGACGCAGGCAGCCAGGTCAGCATGACACAGACGACCAGACGGACGTCCCTCCAGACGCCGATACAAACGTCCGCTCAGAGCGCGTGTTTCGTTTCGAGTCTTTTGAAAGAGCTATGGCATCGGCATCTCTTGTACATGCATGCACTCAGTACCTCGCTCGCTATCGAGACTCTGAACATGCTCATGTCATGCTGCCGAAACTCGCGTCCGTCGTGTATCGGATCATTGTGCGAGTCTCACGCGTCGCTCTGTTTTTCAGTGCCAAGGTGCGCCGTGTGTGGGCACATGCGATGCGCGACTCCTTTGCGCTGCGTCAAGCACACGAGCGCGCAGCGAGTGATCTCACTCGCCTATACCACATTATCCACAAGTCGTTTACACGGCTCAGTGAGGCGTCGCGCGCTGCGTACAATGCGGATCGCCGGCCACCTAAGCCTGCTCTCGAAATGTTTGTTCGCTCCGACCTGTCCCACAGCGAGCAGATTGGCGTGGCTGTTGGCCTGCTAGCTGAAGCACACAAACTCACATGTGTCTCGTGGGTTCGAGCTGCATTGGAACGTGCAAGTGCAGAACGAATGGCGATGGGCGACATGGATCCCATGCATCCACCGCCGGCGTTGCAAGCACAATTCCCTGTGCACGAACTGCCCGATGGCGGCGGGCATGATGCCGTGCATTGCGCTCCGCTACGTCTCCTATGTCGCCTGGTCGGTCTCAAGTCTGAGGCGCGTGGCTCCGACGCCACCGTCTGGTACGTGCCGACGGACTGTGTGCCTGGCGCATTGACTCGTTGCGCGCGGGTGATCGATCAGTACCTTGCTGAGCCGTTCGTCTTGGAAGGCCACGCTCTTTCTGATCTTGTGCGCATGAAGCGACCGACTCAGGGCTCACGAACAAGTGACCACGCAAGGAAAAAGGCGCGGCAAGAGAGCAGGGCATCACCATTGCAGGCTGACGCAAGTGAAAGCGACAACGGCAGCGATGGCCACGAGCGCTTCGTCTTCAGCACGAATGCTGAGCACAGTGAACGCGACGTTCCCGGTCTGTCGGACACGTACACAGCGTCGCAGACGGCGAGCTCGTCGCCCCTTGCTGATCATGCGCCTGAAGCCTCCACGGATCGCGGTGTGACTGACGCGACGCGCGCAACGGGGCATCTTGCGCCAACACCTGCTCTCGTGCTGCAGGAGGGTCTGTACCACAAAGAGGCACCGATCAGCGCGAGGCCGATCCGCACCGGTTCGCCTGGCCTGTTCTTTTCAGACTCGGATGACAATTAACGCTTGCCGAAGAAGCTCAAAAGACTGTGTTGCTTGGGCGCAGCAGAGCCACCAGCTGCTCGTGAAGACTTTTTGGGCGGCGGCGCAGGTGCAGCAGGAGGCTTCGCCGAGTGCGATGCTTCTGGCTGTTTGGGCGATGTGTCGGATTCGTGCGACGTGGGCTTCGATATAGTGGGCTCTCCCACACGTTTGGGCGGCTCGCGCCCGCCGAATGGTGTACGGATGCCGATGGCGGAGTCGTTGTCGTCGGCATCGGAGCACGACTCATACGTCTCGATATCCTGAAATACTGTATATCCCTTTTCATTCTTAGTGCGAACTTTCTTGATGACTTTGCGTCGTTTGCGTGCATCGGCTTCCGTAGGCTCTGTCGGTACCATGGCTTGTGCATCGCCTTGGGGACGTGCACCCACTTGTTGCCCGTGTAGGTGAATTGCACCAAATGCACTTAGCCCCGCTTCGCGCTGTCGTGCATAAGCGGCGTCACAAGCTAGAGCACGATTCATCGCGGCCAAAAGAGCAGCATCATATGCCATGTGGCCCGGCTGCAATGCATACACTTGTTTCGCCGTGGTCGGGCCTAGCTGTTGCTGCGCAAGTGTATCTTCCAGTTTGTCTGTACAGACGACATGGACAGCGTGCGGTCCATGCACCGTGTATACGGCCTGGACGATCCCGCTGCCAGATGATGTGGTCGCGTGGAAGAAACGCAGCAAAGCTGCCTTGGCTTCGTCGACATGCAGCCCCAGAGCTCGGCTCAGGACGCGGTACGTGACCACCTGCTTGTCATGCAAGATGCGTGCTGTTAGGAACGCATGTGTTTCATCCATCGTAGAAATGTCGTGTGCGTGAAACGCCGTCTACACACGAGCGTTTGGTGGGGCTCGGCAGGTTCTCTGGGTCAGAAAGACATATGCGAGTGTCGCTTCGATATTGTGGAGGTGCGCGTCGCGTTCTATGTTGGCGGCAACATACATTGCCACATGGTCAGGGCCAGACAGAGCGGTGCCTAGTCTGGTTGCCGCGAAGAGTCGGGATTGTGGCCTACTGGGCTAAAGGTGCTTGCAGTGGGCATCACGACAGGCGGCGGGCGTGGTTCATCGAACCAACACAATATCGACAAGTGGTTGATTTTTTCTGGCGGCCGCCCCAACAAGAAACAACGTACATTTTTCATTCTGCACATGAGCGATCCCAAAGGTGCGCACTATACACGCGTACTAACACATGCTCAGTTGCATCACTGACGGAGCGCCTGGGCGATATTTTATCTGACGTGTCGCAAACGACCGACTGGGCGGACGACGATCGAGAAGACGCACCGAAGCCCGCCACCAATACAGACAAGAACGTGAAAGAGGGTGGAAAGGAGAACGAGAAGGAAGAGAATGGTTCAGGCTCGCAGGGGCCACTGCATGAGTCCAAGTACGATGTACAGGTGACACTGGCTGATCCCAACTCGCCACTGTACTCGGTCAAGTCGTTCGATGATTTGGGGCTGCATGCCGATCTCTTGAAAGGAATCTATGCGATGAAATACACGAAACCATCCAAGATCCAGGAACGTGCGTTGCCGTTGCTCTTGCAAAACCCACCGCGAAACATGATCGGACAGTCACAGTCTGGTACAGGCAAGACAGCCGCGTTTGTGCTGACGATGCTCTCACGTATTGACTTTAGTGTTGACAAGCCACAAGCCCTTGCTCTTGCGCCGTCGCGTGAGCTGGCGCGGCAGATCATGGATGTGGTACAGGAGATGGGCAAGTACACGCCCGTCAAGACGGCCTTTGCGATCCCCGACGCGATGAAGCGTGGTGAGAAAGTACAGGCACATTTGGTCGTAGGCACACCAGGCAAAACATTTGATCTGATCAAGACGCGTGCATTGGACCCATCGGGCGTCAAGGTGTTTGTGTTGGACGAGGCTGACAACATGCTCGACCAACAGGGTCTGGGTGAGCAGAGCATTCGCGTGAAAAACACCATGCCCAAGACATGTCAGCTGGTGCTGTTCTCTGCGACGTTCCCGGAACATGTACGGACATTTGCAGTGAAGTTTGCACCGAATGCGAACGAGATCCGCCTGAAACAGGAAGAGCTCAGTGTCGAGAGCATCCGGCAGTTCTATATGGACTGCAAGACAGAAGAGCACAAGTACGAGGTGCTTGTTGAACTGTACAACCTACTGACCATTGGCCAAAGCATCATCTTCTGTGCAAAGCGCGATACAGCCGACAAGATTGCACAGCGTATGACGGCTGAAGGCCACCGTGTCGACTCGCTGCACGGCAAGCTTGACACTGCTGCGCGCGATCGCACGATCGATGAGTTCCGCTCCGGCAAGTGCAAGGTGCTGATTGCTACGAACGTGATTGCTCGGGGCATTGATATCCAGCAAGTTACTCTTGTCATCAATTATGACATGCCTCTTACACAGCAAGGCGATCCTGATGCCGAGACGTACCTGCACCGTATTGGTCGCACTGGTCGTTTTGGCCGGAAAGGTGTCTCGATCAACTTTGTGCATGACGATACGTCTCGTCGACAGATGGAATCCATCGAGCGTGCATTGCACTGCCATATTGTGCCGGTGCAGACGGATGACTTGGAAGCGATGGAATCCACTATCAAAGAAGGTATGTGTTGAATGCAGCGACGATCATGTCCATGACCACTGACACTTTTTAGCCCTGAAAAGCCATGCGAACCCTTAGCTTTCCTTTCCTCTCTTTCATGCATCATGCCTGTTTCGAATTGCACCATCTGTCGTGTACCCTCGCTTGCACTTGCTGACTGCCATGCCATTTCCTTCCACGGAGCAGACTTTCCATCGCGTCCCTCCCCGTAGCCACAACCATGGTTCAGACGCTCGCGTGCTCGATGTTAACTTACATAAGCGCACATACTCGCTACGCTCACCCCTCCCTGTAGATCGTCGTTCACGTATGCTGCAACAGCTGCTGCAGCTGCGCACGAACGCACGGTCGTGAGCGACCACGGATCCCGAGACGACGTCACTTGGTATAGAAAGCTGAACAAGTGACGACGTTGCACGTATTCTCGTCAAAGCATGTCAGGGATCGCGCGCGAGGACGGCGACATGTCATTGCTGACACTTTCGGAGGAGGCCAGTGCCTCCATGCAGTTGGAACCAGTGACAGGCACGTCTCTTGCCATGTTGCAGCGGTGGATGCTGTCTTTGGCATGTGTAAATTTTGATCTAGAGCTGGGCCCTGATGTTGAGTTTATGTACCCGCCACTCGAGATCAGCAAAGAAGAGAAGGACAACATCGCATTCTCTTCCTTCCCCGATACATCCGTGTTCAGCGATGGGAATCTCACGTTTTCGTGGCGCGTGCGCGAAGTGCCGCTGGTTTTTTCTGCTGAGCGAGCGCCGCACATCCCAGACAAGCCTACTTCGCATCGTCCATCGTCATCGTTATCAGCCTCGTCTTCTTCAAGGCATGCGTCGTCGTCATCAGCTCGGCGGCGCTCACTGTCAGCGCGCCAGTCCATGTCGCGACGCATATCGTGGCTCCGTGGACGCCCCAATACGGTGCCGGCAAAGTCGCCCAGTGACACATCCACGGCGTCTCATGCCGCTTCTTCCTCTTCCTCTTCTTCCTCCCCCACCTTCCCCACGTCCTCATCCAAGTCTATGCACTCACACAGTCGAAGCACCTCGTACTTGTACGGCTACACGTTTTTCCTGCAGCGACGAGATCCATCTGTACGGCGCGGCTACTTTCAAAAATCGCTCGTAATCCTCACACACCTACCCTATGTGGGACTCTTTCTCCAGCTCATTGGGCGTGTGGGCCCTGCGTTCTTCGAGCTCGGGCTGCCTGTGCTCGAGTCGTTTGTACATGAGGTGATGCAATGGCCCGCACCTGAGCCGGGGGCGACGATCCAACTATCGGCCCTTGGCACGCTTCTTCATGCATCTCTCCCGCACGGCAACGAGGCTCAGAACGGCGACGGCATACGTGATGGCACTGACGCTGAGCACCCGATTCTTGCATCGGTGCCGCCGACGGGCCTTGTGCATGTGTTTTATGAGTTGTTGCCGGATCTTTGGCGTCTATGGGAATGTATGCTCACAGCTGAGCCCGTACTGATTGTCGGCCACGATCCACGCACGACCAGTGAGGCGGTGTGGCATCTGATGGATCTGATCCGACCGGTGTCTTTGGCAGGTGACTTTCGCCCATATTTTCATATTCATGACTACGATCTTCGCGCATTCGTGGGACGCCCTACGCCACCGCCTGGTGTGGTGCTTGGAACGACGAATCCCTTTTTCTTGCAAACCTGCTCACATTGGCCGCACATTGTGCAGCTGGGCCGCCGGCACGACGAGATGCACGGGCGGCTCGTGTCGAACCAAACAGTACGAGTGACGTCCACCAGCAAGCGTCGCATTAGCAAGGACCAGGCACTTATCAAGCAGCTCATGGTATGGCGCAGCTCGCCGGACCAGTTCGCTCATGCCAACGTGGTCCTGAGGCGGTACTTTGCCGATTTGACAGAGCGGTTCCTTGCGCCTCTACATCAGCATTTGGCCACCCTTATTCCCGCATCGTTCGATTTGTCCTCACCCGCTGAAGCACCACGCATCAAACCATTCCACCGCGAGACGTTCTTGCAGTGGCTCAAAGCGCATCCAGGTCCCCTCAAAATGCGGCAGCGGTCGCTCTTGCCAGCGAGTGTATTGCGCCAATCCTTGTACGCTGATTTTTTGGAGTCGCCCAACTTTGCGATATGGCTGCACGAACGTGTCGAGGCGGCACAGGAGGAGCAGCGCAGGCGCCGCGTGTCTGCTCTGGCCATTGGCGATGTCGTTGCGTTCGGCCGCACGCGCACAGAGATTGAGTCCGTGGATCTGTACCTGCGCTTACGCGACGAGCTCCAGGCCATGGACGAGGCACTTGCGCGGCCCACGCTGCTGACGACAGGTCCAAGTGAGCGATGGCGTGCGTCTGTGCCAGCGAGCGGTGACAAGTGTGTGCCGGCCGCCCAGTCGCGCTCTATGAAGGCACAGCGTGCACGCCTTGCTGAACAAATGGAGCGGCTCCTTTCAACCTTGCCTCACGACCTCCGCGTAGGTTTACCATAGCATTCGCGTTTTGTATCTTCATCACGACCATCTATCCATTCATTTTTTTTGGGCGGTTCGTTCTTCTCTAGATACGTGGAGCAAGAAGACGACGAAGCATGCGAGACATAGCGCCTGATGCAACGACCTGCGTCCCACGCAAACGATTGAGTCGCACGCTCGACATGCCAGAGTTCAGATGCTGCTTGTTCGAACTGGAGCGTTTGAACTTGACACACCCAGGGTGCCCGCGTCCTGAGCCGACGACAGGGAAGAACCGCTTTTTTGCTGCCGAATGCGTCTTGAGTTTCGGGGCAGGTGGTCCTTTCCTCTTCGGTGCTACTTGGGCGCAACCTGAATTGTGAAATGCTCTTGACGATGCAGGTATCGACGGAACGAGCCGCGCCTGAGGCTGCGTTGTCGCACGTAACGATGCCAGTGACGGTGTGGATACAAGTTGCGCTACGGCGCGTGCCGGTGTAGCAGCAGTAGCAGCAGCAGCGGCCATGCGCAAGCGCTGGCGTAGCATGGTAAGAAGGAGCATCAATGCGAAAGGCGTCTTACTGGCTGGGTTGGTCGGACGATCACCGAAACACAGAGCGCCTTCTCCAGGTCCAGCCGAAAGTACGAATGACGTCACCCGCTGCCTATGAGGCTGGCTGGCTTTTTGCTTGCGTCTTCTTCTGCCCACCTGCACGCGCGCGCCAAGCACAATCGGCTGACAGCATCGCGCTTGCACGTGTACATCACGTGATCCACATCCCCACGCACTTTCCCCATACACCAGGGCGAGTGTGGTGCGTTGGTTATCGAGCCGGCGTGAGTGGTTCGAGCAACGCGGGGGAAGGGGCTACGGACGAAGACGAACACCCGGAAAGAAAGAGAGATAGAGATTGAAAGGTCATACACCTGTGTCATCTTTTTCCGTGCGCGTGAAAGCACACATTTCGTCCATTGCTTCGTCCTGGTCACGTCAAGGACTCCCTATGAGCAGCAAGTCGTCACGCGCATCAGGCGCGCGACAAAACGCAGAGCGTGTGTCGTCTGCCTATAAAGTGACTCAGTCGCTGTTTCAAGAGCACAAAGACTTCGTACATGCACTACATTCGGACATGATGAACCATGTTGCTCAGGAGCTCTCAGAGACTCACTCGTACACAGACGCTGAGCTGAAACTTGCGCTCGAGTTCCTTGACGACATTGTGATGACATTCCGCTTCGCACGGCGTGCTGGTTTTGAGATGGACATTGCTCGGTCGATGCTGATCAAGACTGTGCAGTGGCGATTGGAAGGGGGGATTGATGCGCTCGCGCAAGACATGCTGCATTCACCATACATGGACGCGACGTCCAATGGCGTGCCCTTACTTTGGGGACACTCGCGCTTCCGCGATCGGCTGGGTCGACCGTGTTTGTACGTGCGCTTGCAGCATGTGGAACGGACGCCGGACGGACTGCGTGAACTGAAAAAGTCCGTCATCGCGGCGTTGGACATTATGCGGCGCTACCTGCTGCGTGTGAATCGTCGGACGAAACAAGGTGATCCGGTGATCCAATGTGTGACGCTCATTGACGTGATGGAAGCTGGCCTTTCCAATGTCGAGCTCGATATGCTGCCTTTTCTAATTGATCTGCTCAAGAACCACTACCCGGGCATGTCAGGTGCTGTGTATGTGCTGCGGTACTCGTGGTTTCATGCGGGACTCTGGCGCATGCTCCGCCCAATTCTTCCACCCAAGCTACTTGAGCGTCTTTTCTTTGTCGACGCTCCTGAACTGCTCGCTCACTTTGACCACCATGTGCCTCAATGCTTAGGGGGCCCACTGCCCGTGAGCATTGCACCAGACACGAGCGATGTGTTCAATTACTTTGTTCGGGCAGCCGTATGGGCTCATGAGCGCCCTAATGAACATGCTACGGGCGTGATCGCATCGACAACCGCGTCCGAGGCATGCTTGTCCACCAAGATGCCTGCTAGATCCGCTCGCGGTGACCCTGTGCCGCCGTCACTGTGGATTCGGCACCAGGACTTTGGCACCATCTACGATGTCATGTCACGCTACGGATCTCCGTACACGTCCATGACACCGTTGACTCCCCACACAAGTGTGCCGCCGACGCCGCGTCTTCGCCCACAGCCGTCCAGTCCATCGCTCCAACTGCGTGACTTGCCTATGTCGCCTGAGGCGTACAAATGGAAACAAAAGACACATCATGAACCACCTGCTGTACCGAATGCGTACCATACTCGCGACACACGGCCGTGGTCGTCGTTGCTCTTGTCTTGGCTTCCCATTTGGCTCTTCGGCAAGCGCACTGATGGCACGTCGTTTTCGGATGCGACCGACTTGATTCCTGCCGAGCCACGCATCGTCTCTTCGAAGTGTACATTCTCGAAGAAAGCGGAGGAACATGCACCTCCTGAGGCGTCTGCATTGCTGCCCTCTGAAGGATCCACACCAGCGCCAAAGGCTCTCACATCATCGACGAACTTTGCGGCGACAATGCCGCCATCCAGTGTGAATGCAACGGATGAAAGCAACTCTGTGACACGGTACCTTTCGCGGCGTGCACACATGTATGCGGAAATGGAAGGACATGTGTCACCGTACAACATCGAGAACCCATATTTTGGATACCCTGCCTCGTACGTGAATGAACAAGGCTCCATGGGTCTCGATATGAGCAAGAGTGGCGCAAGGCCAGCGGGATTTTCTCGTGAACTTCATGTGCGACGGCGAAAGCGGGATCTCGTTCGCACACTCACATACCTATTTGTCCTACGCCTAGTCCATCTATACCGCTGGATCCGCAGGAGCATTTACGTCGTGGTATGGAATGTGCTTGGACCACGCCGGGCATGGGCATCGCTCGGCCACATCGCCGCAGGCAAGCATCCGTCGCATTATATCCGGCGGCGCGTGCTGTTGTTCCTACTTGCCATACTGTACTTCCAAGTGCCTCATAAGCACATTTTCTCGCGAAGAGAACAAGCACCATCCTATCGTGCTATTATGTAAAGGGCAGCATGACTGGATGGTGTATTTTCGTTCTTTGGTTCGCTAGCTCATTCACATACACACACATACACACACACACATACACACAAACACACACACACACACAAACACACACACACACACATGCAGACCCCATCATTCCTAGCATCTTTTTTTTTTTCTGTTCATAGTTGGTTTCGTGCGTCCCTACTCTGTTCCTGCTAGCATGTCACGCAGATGTTGACCATCAATTCTTTTCTTCCTTCATGGCTTCAGCCAAAAACTGTTTAATAAATGCTTCTTCCTCACTGTCGTTCGTTAGCACATATGTGATCACGTACGCATTCTCAGCGTTCAGTGGCACGCTTGCCGGTGTCTTTTCTTCCTTCTTTGACGAGCCACCGCGCATCGATGCGTACGCAGCAGCACCGATCGTGCCGAACACACCCAAAACGAGGTGCTCACTTGGGATCTTCATTCCTGATCCAGTGTCAGTGGCCGATCGCCGACAAGATCGCATGTATAGGAGACGTAATACACCCCGTGACATGTTTGTGCTTGTTCGCACCGTAAGCGCCGAGATGCAGCATGTTGCATTCGCTACAATCACACGCACTCTGATGCATGCACGCACTCCCACCTGTTTCCTTCTTCAACATACCTGCAATAGTGTACGACATATTTCCAGCTTGTGTGCTTGTAATGGCAGAAGGGCTAGGACCTCTGGTCCATCCGCACTGAGCAGCCAGCACCCGCCCCTCCCCCGTATAGACCCGTCAACGTTCGGCCGAGACAACCAACTCTGCTGCAAAGCCCCGCATGGCCCCTGCTGGTCCAAAGGGCCGAGTGGGTCTTGTTCTCATGTTGGTTGGGTCTTGCGCGCTGGTCACGCGAAATTTTGGAATTGCTTACTTTGTCCCAGCGCTTGGGTCGTGCAGAAGCCGGGCGTCATTCACGCGTCGGCCGCGCGTCGCGCCGCGGCGCCCAAAGGGAGAAAGAGGTGGCGGCGGAGGGGAGGGGGGCTAGGAAATACGCGTAGCTCGTGATGTACCTGGTCAAGAACAATCAATGACAGCTGAAGTGCCTGACCCACAGGGCCTAGGCGATGCCCCGCTGTCGAGTGTCTCGGATGACTCTATGACACATCCATCGTTCGATACGAGTGCGTCATTGCTCCAGCAAGATCAGCAGGAACAACAGATGCAGCATAGCAACGAGCCATCAGACGCTGCGAGTCATATGTCGGCATCGTTACCACTTACGCCTCAGACACAACGTACGTCCGACAAGCAGGGCGAGCTAGGTGAACGTGGTGCATCGTCGTCGCCTCCCAGTTTTGCTCTGTCAACGCATTCCGCGCCGACACCGCGTCGTGGTCGTCGCGTTCGATACGTCCGATCACGCGAGCCGCCCAACACGCCGCCCGCGCCTCTGACGTCTGCCTACTCTTCTCGACTCCAGCGTGAGCAAGTGGACAGGATCGTTGCCATGTGTCATGATGTAAGTATGGGTCGCATCAAGCGCATGGCGCCCGTGCATGCAGAGACGACGCGAGCCATCGCAACAAAGGAGCGTGTGTGCATGGAGCTGCGCGAGGAACTTGCGCGTGAAGAGGCCCAATTGGAAGAGCTTCGCTCTGCTTGGAAGCGCATGACACAGCGCATTGGATCACACGCGCCTTCACCTCGATTGCCGCCGCAGCTGCGCCACAGCACACCTTCTCAAACTCAGTCACGTCGGCGGTCCATGGCGCACAGCCCCAGTCATCAACCATCGCCTGCATCAGGAACACCTACGCGATCTCACATGCCGCCTGCCCACGAGGCTATGCGGGAATCATCTGGGCCCTCGACGGACCACCCACCGTCAAGAACGACATCAGTCTCGGCACCACAAGCTGAGGCATCTCTGCTCGCATCGTCCTCGGCGTCTGGGCCCGACACCTCTTTCAAGTCATCTGACTCGGCATGGTCGGACCTTCGCCGCATACCTACGCATTTGTCGAATCAGTTGCATGCTGTGATGGATCAACTCTCTTTGACCGCAGACGAAGATACGTCTTTGGGATCATCGCCGTCGCATGATCGTACACAGCGTGCCGGAGCGAACCTCAAGCCAGACACGACGGCGGGTGCTGCAGAAGCAGCGGCATCGCCGAGGATGTCTCTTTCGTCGCTCCCTCAGTCGCTTGACGAGCTTTCATCGGACATGCTTCGCGACAAACTTTCCAGTGGATGGCATGTTTTGTCTCAGAGGCTGCGTGATACGACAGCATCCCTCAAAGACATGTCAGCGTGGATACCTGAGGACATGCCGCCTCTCACAAGTCGCAGTAGCCGTGCGTCCCTGCCTGTGTCTATGGACGAGAATGCATTCAGTGGGCTCACGTCCAACCTAGAGTCCATGTCAATGAGCCCTCTGAAGTCAGATCCGCGCCGTGCATCCACTATGACAACCATCCCACCTGTGACATCGCCACGCCAGAACATAATTCCGTTGCCGTCGGAAACTCAGCGAAACTTGGCTGCTCAGCACAAAGCTTCATTAGCACGTTTATCCTCGACCACGTCGTCGCCGCAAAGAAGCGCGCGCTCAAGTCACGAGAAATCACTTCCTTCGCTGCCGCCAGAAGGTCAGAGCGAACAGGCACCACAAGTCATGTACGGCCATGCATACGACTCAGACTTGGGTTTGCAGAATATACCCCAAAACCAGCCACCCCACCCCTTGGAATGAGCAAGAAGAAACACCTACGTAGAGACAATCAACGACACAGTGACACATGCAAAAAATAAGGCACACTCGTTTTCGACCAATTTCATGAGCGAGAGATAATGCGTCTCGATTTTTGTGGGGGCACAAGCACATACATGCCCATGAGCCTGAACATGACCCTATAGAAACAGCTAGACATGGAAGTCGATTACGCCTCCTGGGCACGGACGCGTGCGTTGGCGTTGGTAACACGGACACCAAGAATCTTGGCCCTGTGATAGTTAGCATGTGTTCAGCACATCGCTCAATACGTACTTCTCGAGGATCTGGATCCGCTTCTTGCTGCTCACGTTGTGGGCGATCTCAGCGGCGAACGTGTTGTTGTGCATAAGAAGAAGATCCATGTCACTTGGGTTGGCCACGACGAAGCGACGGAAGCCGTTTGGCATAATGTGACGGGTCTTCTTGTTCGAGCCGTATCCGATCTTGGGCATGGCGATGGTGCCCTTGAAGCGGCGGCGCACACAGTTGTCAATACCTGTGGGCTTGCGCCAGTTTGGCGCCACGCGCTTGAAGCGGTCGGACTGGTGGCGAGCGAACCTCTTTGTCCGCTTCTTCACGATCGGAATAGTCGTAGCCGGCATCTTGAGCTGTGGTTGTTAATGAGACAGGGCAAAGACGTACAGTTCAGACGGGGCGACCGTGTGGTGAGCAAAACGTAGCAAGAATCTCGCCGCGGCAGACAAAGCGCTGGTGGACGCTATTCGGCCGAATCTCCCTACAGCAATCCCACGCCCCAATCGCAAACTATAGTTTCAGAAAGGCACGTGATCTCAACCTGGTCCATCCGTTCACTCGTGCTGCTGATTGAGATGGGCTGGCGAGAACGTCGTCTCTGCTTTTCTTACCTGCCGGCCACTCGACCAGAGGTACGTGTCTAGTTGGCGACGTCGGCCCAGTCGATAGCGACAACGGCCACGACGACGACGACGACGACGACGACAACGAAAAGTGGGAGAACACAAGTACTGACACACGTTGCCTGCGTAGTTCGCACATACGAGAGCCATGTCGCTGATGCAAAGCACTCCGTTCATTGTCGACGGCAAGGGCCACCTCCTTGGCCGTCTTGCCTCGATTGTGGCCAAGCAGATCTTGCTGGGCCAGAAGGTGGTTGTGGTCCGTTCGGATCTCATCAATGTCTCGGGCAGCTTCTTCCGCAACAAGGTGCGTGACTTGTCTACGAAAGAAATAGGCCATAACGAGGCATGCCATGCTAACACGTTGACAGTTGAAGTACCTTGAGTTTATGCACAAGCGTCACCTTGTGAACCCATGCAAGAACGGTCCATTCCACCACCGTGCTCCTTCGCGCATTTTCTTCCGCGCGGTCCGTGGTATGGTGCCGCACAAGACCGCCCGTGGCGCGGCCGCGCTTCAGCGCCTCAAGGTCTATGAGGGCATGCCGCCGCCATACGACCGCAAGAAGAAGTTTGTTGTTCCGGATGCGCTGCGTGTGCTGCGTCTCAAGCCGGGTCGTAAGTACGCTACATTGAAGCGCATCTCGAGCGAGGTCGGCTGGAAGTACCAGGAGACGGTCGACAAGCTGGAGGCCAAGCGTGTTGTCAAGCAGCAGGCCTTCCACGAGCGCAAGATGGCCAACATCAAGCGCCGTGCCGCTGCTGCCACGGCTGCTGCTTCCGAGTTGGAGCCTATCAACAAGCAGCTCGAGCAGTACGGCTACTAAGTGCAAGCTATCTCATATATACTGTACTTCTCTGACCCAAAATCAAAATGTCCTCGCAGCCGATCTAGCTAGAAGGGTGCACGATTCGCTGTCCGCGTGAGAGTTTGGGTGCGAGCACATGATCCTGATCGTCGGTGGGTATTGCGCCCCTGTCGGCGTTCTATGGTGGTGTGCTCGCATGCTTGCGCGTAGTCGTCGCTTGTGTTGTCCGACATGTGCGTGTGTCTGCTCTGGACACTCCAAGGGCTAAGGCATTGCATTCGTCCTACAATAGATTCCCTCCCCGTATGTACTACCGTTGGCTAGTTTCGTTATGTTTGAGGAACTCTTTACCGCGCCTTTTCCAGTTCTCCGCGCTGATCATGTATTCCTTCACCTCGAACTTACTATGAAAGGAATGCCGTCGTGTCATGCACCAGTCGTATCTGCCTACGGGCTCGACTCAGAGCCGTGCGTCCTGTGACGGCATTGCGTATGTGGAATTGATCGTTTGGTCAAAGGCCGTTTGCTGATAGGCTGAGTTGGAACGTGTGCGTGCACGGGTGTGTGGATGAAAGCGTCGGAATTTCTCGACCTACGGAATGCAGGCAGGCCACACATCCATCCGCCCACGCAGAACCCCGCGTCAACTGAAGCATTCAGGCATCATGTCGGAGTCTGCTGAAAGCTGGATGAGCGATTCGGCCATGCCTGTGTTCTCGTCTTTGATGACACTCATTGCGTCGTTGATCAAAACACTCGTCGTGTTGAGCTTGCAGCTCACGGCGTTCTCTTGCGGGGTTTGGCCGTTCATTTTCTTGATATTGTGTGAGTTGCGTGGGCTGTATTTGACGTATGTGCGCGACGGTGGAAGTGATCCCGACTCGCTATCACAAGATGACACCCAGACGCCAGCGGTACAAGAAAAGCCCGTGCCGATGACGGAGCACCACAAGACGGCAGCTACAGCGGCTGCTGTGACGGAGGCAGCGACCACGGAATCGACAAGCGGTCTGGCACCGGTATCCAACCCCGTTCCCGAAGCAAATGTGCCAGCTTCTTCTTCTTCTTCTTCGACGCCCACCATTTCTCAAGCGACTCCGGGACTGTCCAACACGGCCTTGGATGCATCTGCACCGACTAGGACTGAACGCGGTGTGACAGAGCCAGCGAACCACGAGACCCCTGGAGCGACTGCTCCATTAGTCTCGCCTGCTTCTGAGCCATCGACCTCGTCCGAATCTAATGCGGCTGAACCACTTGCGCAACGTGTGGCTCCTCAGACACAACAGGTTTCTTTGTCGGATACCACATCTCTTTTGAGTGATACGCCCGAGCCAGCACCCAGCTCGACCACATCATCGCACTTGCTTCATGATGCAGACTACGTTCCCCCAGGAGACTCGATCCCGAAGCCCATCCCTGCGATAAGGGATGCATCCCCAGTGACGCGCGCCAAAATTTCAGTGGTTTCGACGGGATCTGGCCATGGACATTACCCAGCTACGAGCATGAATCCAAGCTCAAACACCGTCTTGCATCCCGAGTCTAACCAGCGCGAATCGGCTGACGCGAATGTGCCTTCTTCTGCTTCCACGGCCATGTCGACGTCGTCCCGGATGCCTACTTCAACACAAGCTGGCCAGTCGAGTCCCATGCCTCCCATTGTCATGAATTATCCGCATGCTCCCATGTAAAACAAATCCAAGGACGAAACGAATTGAGACGGCGACAACAAACTACATTTCTACATAGACCTCTCTCATATCGTATCATAGGCGTGTTTTTCTTTGATAGATGTCGTATGTATGCGGGGTATATCGAAAGCGTGGATCTCGTCGTTCCAATGCAGGATTCGAGAGGCACACGCTCGCTGCACGAAGCATATCGGGCTTAGTGAGGATGCTGCTCCTCGATGTCGTGCCGTAATGCGGACGAAGGCGTCGACATGCGATGGTGAGGCAGATGCGGCTGGACATGAAAGCCTGGCGAGCTGGGACTCAATCCTACACTGAGACCGCGCTCCGCCAGCATAGCAAACCAGGAGGTTCGGTGAGTGCTGGGCGATTCGTGTGCGTGGTCAGTGCCGAATGGAGGTGTGTGATCGAGGGAGATCGATGATGACGAACGTGTCCTGATGCCAAGTTGGGCCGCAGAGCTGTGCATACGCCGATGGACATACAGTTTCAAAGATGGTACCAAGAATGAGGGAGGCGGCGCTTCCACATGGCCAGAACAGGATGTCCGGTCACCAGCATGGGATGACGACGCTTGCACGGCTCCAGTGGGATCGGAAGTCATTTCTGTCGAGCTTTGTTTATGCAAACTAATGATCCAAACGCCCCAGAGAAGAAGCACCGTGCCGGTCGTTACCATAAGGACACTCAACCAAGAAAGACGCGAGAGATCGTCAAAGTACACGAGTCCAAGTGTGATAGACGAAATATTGTAGAAGCAAAATGCCAGAGGTGCAATCAAGACTGGATCGGCCAGCTTAAGACTCTTGTGCAGGTACCACAGTTGAAGAAGCGCAGCAATCAAAAGCGCTATAGCAAGCAGCCAGCTCTTCCAGTGACCAAACTGATTGCGGCCCTGCAGCGAGAGTATTAGCAAGTCAACGCCGCTCTTTGCCATCAGCAGGCAAATGCCACTGAGCGTCCCGCTAGCTGAACTGTATACGACAGCGAGAGCAAGGACCGTCGGCCGCAAGCTCGGGGAATCGTAAAGGGAAGACCGTGTTCCAGCAGCGGCTGAGGACACCGGCAATGTTGGTGCCGAGCGCGATGTCATCAGGGAGGGTCTCGACTTACGTGTGGTTTCTGGTACATCTTTTGCATGAAATGCACCATCCGGGTTCGATATGGCGCCGTACTGAGAATGAGCGGATGATGACGATGACGACGACGCGGGATTTTCGGGAAGCGTGCCGCGCATGTGCTTGATGGCTCGAACATCGCCTGAGAGCAATTTATCGACGCGGTCGTCCTCTGTGTTCTGGAGAAGTGGCGACGTGATGCCAGAACTATTTTCGCTGACCTCTGCCACTGTTGCCAGAGAGGGCACTGGCAAGTACCGGCGCAGGCCAAAGCGTGGGCGGCGGCGATAGGCACGCCGTTGAAACGCTTGGACCGAGTGCCACGTGAGCTGCCATTCCGTGAGATGCGCCATCGTCAGCAGGCTAACAAAGACCAATAAATAGAGAACAGCAAGGGCCACGAAAGCAGGACGTTCATACAAGGCGATCAGCTCATCTAGTGTGCGTGGTGAATGCGGCACGGTGCCAAAGTAGCCGATTAGGACGGCACCGATGGCGATGAGGCATGTGCCAGTGAGCATGTGCCACGAGAAAAAGGCATCAAGCATGACACGTGCCAGCAGCGCATTGTACAAGAGACTCACGGCGCCGAGTGGGGCAAGAATAACGACTGGTAATGTGCCGATCTGGAATAGCGTGCCACTAATATTGGCGCCGAGAAATATGACGAATCCAATCACCCATAAAGGACGGAGCCATTCAGGCTGTCGCTGTGATTCTGGCAAGCGCTCATTCTGGATATGCGAGCGCCGTTGGATTGTTATGCCAAGGCTTTGCACGAAGCTCGCAATGAGCCCGATTCCCACAGCGAGCGGCACATCCATCGAGGCAGACGAACCACGATTGTGTGTGCTCACAAGAATGGGCCAGAAAGATCAGGGAAAGAATGCCGTGAGCGCGAGCTTCCAAAGTGAATAACACTCGTTCTCCTTCCTCTTCCTTGGTGAGGCCACTGACTTGCCACGACTCGTTTGAAGATAAGTGTGTGTTGAACAACAGCCAGTCTTCGTGTGGAGGCAGCCATGATTGGGCCAACAAGAGTCCTTTGAGTGGGTGGCAAATTGACACTTGCCCGTGACCCGATGCGGGGCAAACGGGGGGCGGCGGTGCGCGCCGGCTTGAGCTACCCTGCTGTGACGACAGAGTGACACGCACAGACACACGCGCGCACGAAAATTATGCAAGGCCCGATCTTTGCTGTCGTGGTCACATCTTCCTGTCACGAACTTTGATCCACTTATCCCATCCGACCGCCGACCAAGCGACGCCGTTTTCTAGCTTGCCTACCTGACATCTAACGGGTTTTCTTCTGTACCTCTGGTCGTTTTGTTTGCTCTGTCCTGTGTCACCACATCTCATTCGTTAGGCCGGGGAGCGTACTTTTGCGCGAGTTCCAAGCATGGGGCCAAGCGCGCGACCTGCGCAGGCGGCCCCTGTAGGTTCCAAACCGAGACGATCCTGCAGTGAGCCATGTCCAGCGTGTCCCAGTTCGACAAGAACACCATCACCGCAGCTACTTATGGCCGTGACTTCGTCACCAGTATCGATGTCGATGCCATTGTCCATGCCACCGACGACCGCTGACATTCACCGACATCACCGACACCGGACGAGACCCACGACACCACCGACACCACCGACACCACCGACACCACCGACACCACCGACACCACCGACGCCACCGACGCCACCGACGCCACCGACGCTACCGACGCCATCGACGCCGCCACTAGCGACGACTTTTCGTTTTCTTCCTGCGAGGTACACGGCATGGAAAGAATCGACACGTGCTTTCAAAGCCATGCGACACAACAGATCGGCTCAGACGACTCTGCCACCCGTTTGTGTTTCGCCTGTACCCTCTGTTGTGGCATTTGAGCCTTTGGATGCCATGATACCCATTACGATGCGTCAGGGCGAGCGCATGCTGAAAGTAACGCAAAACAAGGTGGCGATGCGTTTGTTCCGCGTCGACACTGAGTCGGCATCGATCGTGTGGGAAAGCAAGCGAGGGAATTCTGTGCGTCTGTATGCGGTGCGCGATGTGCGTGTTGGCGAATCTGCGCGCTCATACCGTCACTCGTTGCAGATTTCTGACGAGCATGAGCCACGCTGGATCTCGATCATCTACCAGACGGCGCGGGCTTACAAGGCTGTACACATGGTGGCGTTATCTGATGAATCACTCGCTAGATGGCGCGATTCGCTCCTGCGCATTCTTGCGCAATGGCATGCGCTTGTATCAGGGCGCGTGACAGCATCGCGTGCACAGGGTGAATGGCTCCAGGCGTCCTGGGATGTAGAGAAGCGACTTGATCAGAGCGCGCTTGCGCGGCTGTGTCAGCGGATGGGTGTGCAGATCAGTCGGCCCGAGCTTGACACACTGTTTCTGGAGGCTGATCGGGAGCGTGTAGGAGCGCTGAACTTTGAGGCATTCCAGCGTTTCGTCGCTGCACTGAAGCGGCGACCAGACGTTGAGCAGCTGTTTTACCAGCTGGCCAAGAGGGATGCGCAAGAGTCCTGTTCGATTTCGCTTAGCTCATTCACCTCGTTCCTGCATCGTGAGCAGGGCGAGTGGAAGTGGACATCCGACGATATTGCCCACATCTATCAACGCTACCGGGTCGACACCCTGGATGGGTTTGCGGCGTTTCTCATGTCGCGAGACAATGGCGCGTACAATGATCCCGTTTTGTCTGGAGGCGAAGCGGCAGGAAAAGAGAAGGAAAGTGGAAGCCTTCATGCGAGGACTCAAGCATCGAGCGGCCGACTGGATGAGCCATTAAGCAGCTATTATATATCGTCAAGTCATAACACATACCTGGAGGGCGGGCAATGGAAAGGCGATAGCACTGTCGAAGGCTATGTACGTGCACTGCATAAAGGCGCCCGGTGCGTTGAGCTCGACTGCTGGGACGGGCCTGGCGGACAGCCACAGGTCACACATGGACATACACTCACCAGTCGCGTGCCCTTGGACGATGTGGTGGCGGCCGTGGCACAATATGCGTTTGTCGCTTCGCCGTACCCACTGATTCTTTCGTTGGAAGTGCATAATGATCTTGCACAGCAAGTTGTTCTGGCCAACATTTTGCAGGCGCGGCTGGGCGACATGCTTGTGACGGCGCCATTGGACGACGATGTCCAGCCAGGGATGCTACCAAGTCCTGAACAGCTTCGCTTCCGCATCCTTGTCAAGTGCAAGGACCATGTTTGGATTCATTCTCAAGTTTCACAAGATGCGGACGACCAGCAGCCGCTGCCCCAGGGGCGTAGCTCCTCCTCGACTGAACAGACGGAATGGGAAAGCGATTCATTTTTGGATCAAGCGCGGAATCTTGTACGTCTCGCGCGACATCGCACCGAGCGAGGGAAAATCGCTCGGCCTCTCGCTCGTGAGCTTGTGCGCCTTCTCGTGTATACCGTCGGCGTGCCATTCCGCGGACTCAACAAGAAAGAACAGTATGCTGCTGAGCATATGTTCTCTCTATCCGAGCGCTCTGCGGCGCGGCTCATGCGGCAGAGCCATGCAGACTTGGTCAAACACAACCTGACGCATTTGACGCGTGTCTATCCATCGATGACGAAGCTAAGCCGCCTCACGTCCAGCGCGAATTTCCTTCCCATGGACATGTGGGCATCGGGCTGCCAGCTTGTGGCTCTGAATTGGCAGACACACGACCAAGGTATGTCACAGAACTTGGCTCTTTTCGCGCGGAGTGCCGGCTATGTCCGCAAGCCGAGTGCCCTGCGTGTGAGGAGCTGCTTGAAGAATGACGGCGGCACACTGCTTGTATCGTGCGTGCTGACCATCGTGTCGGCGCAGCAGGTTCCACACATGCGGAGCGCAGACGAGGCGGTGTGTCCGTATGCGACGGTAAGCGCGGATGTACCCCAACAATGGGGCAAAGATGCCGTGCAAGTGTCTGTACCAGCGGCGGTGCCGAGGGAATCGCCATCTATGGCCACGTGTCAAGGCGACTCCCTCGCAGGCTGTACGGCTTCAGGGCTTGCCGCGTCTGGTGCTGGAAGTCGAACCAGATCTACAGGCTCAGGATCAGGATCTACCACAAGAGCGGCTTCGTTGGGCTCGACACCCAGTCCCTCGACGTCGTTGTTACCGTCGTCTTCGAGCTCGTCTGCCTCTAGCACAGGCGTTGCCAACCTGCTTCCACCCATCTCATCATCGGCACCGGTATCATCACGCCGCAGTCCTTTCCGCACGCCGGCCGTGCGATCGAATGGACTTAATCCCGTGTGGCAAACTTCGTTTTTGCTAGACATACGTATGCCAGCAGGACACGATGCCAAAGCGATCGTCCTGCAACGAGCGCAGCGGCTTAAGCATGGCAAGGAACGAACAGACGATCCATGCGTGTGGGAAGACGTGACTCGTGGACTCTTACATTTGTGCTTCGTTCAAGTGCAAATTTGTGATGAGCAGACAAGCAGCCAAGTACCACTCGCAACGACGACGCTAAGTCTCGGCCGTCTCCGGCATGGCTACCGACATGTCCCGCTGTATGACATGCAGCTTTCGCCGCTCATGTATTCCTCTTTGTTCGTGCACACATCCTATACCCATATGGAGGTCCTTCCCTCGACGTAGATGACGTTGTCATTCTAAGGAACACCACGCTTGTTCTGCCGTTCTATGCGATGTGAACCATACATTTGCCCACAAAACAAAAAGCAACTGACAACCCTGGCATTGATATGTTCTTCTCTCGGCTAGGCATCTCTATAGCTATCCCACCGACGCAGCGTCACCATATACAAATAGGAGACGATCTCATGGTGAAAACCACAGACATCTGATGACCGGACCATCTTTTCGCCGAAACTCACACAAATACGCACACACAAACACACACAAATATATGCAAACAAGCACGAATGCCAAGATTCATCAAGTTCCTTTTTCTCATTGGAGTTTCAAACACACACACGCACACACACACATTGTCACTTCCACGATTTGCCAACAAGTTTTTTCTACGTTTAGCTCAAACTTGGGAATGCATTTTCATCGGCAAGGTTGACCACGGGGCCCTGGTTTCCACCGCGGCCACCGCTACGGCCACCACGACCACTGCCGCGGCCACCACGGCCATTACCACGGCCACCACGAGCACCACCGCGGCCGCCGCGGCCGCCACCACGGCCACCACCGCGTGGTCCATTTCCACTGCCGCGCGACATGGATGGCGACGTGTACACAGGGTCAATCTCGACCAGCTGCTTTTCCTTGCGTGGGCGTGGTGCGGACGTCTTCTTTTCCGTGCCGGCGAAGTACGACTCACCTTCGCCACGGTCGAGGCGCTGTCCGTACGACTCGTCCTCCTGGACAGTGCGGGGCGCACTAGCAGCAAGCTGCGGGCGCTTTTCAGCTTGGCTCTTCAGGTACTCGTCCAGCGTGAGCGTCTTGTCTTGCTCGGGCTCTGGCTGCGCAGCCTCGCGTTCAGCCTTCTTGTCAGCAGCGTCCTCCTGTGCGTTCTGCTCAGCCTCGTGCTTCGCGTCTTCCTTAGCGCCCTGTTCCTGCTTCTGGGCGCTAGCTCCATCAACACCACCCCAGCCCTGGCGCACCGACTTCTCCGTCTCTTCGCGACCGGTGCCCGAGTGACGGTCAAACTGACGGCCACCGCCACGTCCTGAGCCACGACCGCCGCGACCACCACGGCCACCGCCACGACCACCACGCTCACGGTAGTCACCGCCGCGACCACCGCCACGCTCGCCACGAGCACGGCTAGCGCCACGGGTGTCACGGACTTCAACCGAGTCGCGTGGGAGTGGCTCATCGCTGACAGGTACCTTGGGTGCTGTCTGACGAGGAGCTCCTGGCACATAGCGCTGGGTCATAGCAGGAGCAGGGGCCGACTGGGTCTTAGGCTTGGATGCCTGAGGGCCGGCACCGGTCGAAGCGGCCTGCGCGGCAGGCGCTTCTTCCGACCCATCCACGCCAAGCAGATGGAATGGGTTGTTCATAGCAACCGACATGAGGGATACCAAAAAGACTGCTCGGTAGACGGCGAGTAACTATAGAAATTCGTCAGTATGAAGGGAAGCAAAACAACCATACGAGTACGCACCTCACCAAAGGCCTAGGTCGATGGAAGAAAACCACGCCAATGTCGGTCGGTAGCCCTCCTTCCTGGAAAATAATTCCTATTTTCCCTCATGAGGCCGCCGCAGTTCTAGGTCACATGCATTTTTTGTACTTTCGGAGGTGGATGCCATCCATTTGGTGGCAGTTGGCCTTCCAAAGCGGAGGCAAGTGAACAAGGGTCTTTTTATTTGTCAGTACAATGTCCGGGTCCAAGTCCTATATATTCCACAATTCTGAGTTTATCTATGCCGTCAGCGAGTTGGGCCATAACTGGTGCCGAGAACATGGTGTCTTGCCTTGCGCCGATGTTGGACTTCGTAGTATGAACATGTATGTCCTCCCTCTCGATACTTCTACCTGCCAATCATGCACGTGGACCCGCATATCTCTCTCCATAGTTTCGTCTTCCATAGACGCAGACCCTCTCACAACTTAAGCCCGTGAAATACGTGCTTCATTTTGTGCTAGCGCTGCTACTACAACGTAACTGCTTCTGCTGTCAATACACACAGCACAGTTGTCGCAAGTCCACAAGCGCCGCCAGTCTACATGGGACATACAACTAAGGACACACAGTCCGCGTATCGCGCGCTCCATGCTGTACGCGCGTGCACGAATGCAAATACACCGGGATACGAAGACGGAAGACGCGGCTGGCTGGAGGGGAATACATACGAACGCATTTTAGAATGCAGCGGCGTGAGGAGCAGCCTGTGTGTAGGCTGGTGTCTCCTGCGCTCCTGGCATAGCAGACGCTGGGGCAGGTGCCGTCTCTGCCGAAGCCACGGGCTGGTTACGCGACTCGGACATGGGAGCTGTGATAGGCTCGTCCTCCTTGGGCTCAAGGATGGTGACGGCATCAGGAAGTGGGAACGGACGGCCTGAGCGGCCCTCTGGATCCCAGCCGTGCATAATCTTGACCTTGAGACCAAGCACACCTTGTTTCATGAGAACGTGACGGATGGCAACGTCAACAAAGTCCTTGGCTGGCTGACCGGTGTGAATCATGAAGCCGTCGTTGAACTTCATGCTCTTAGCACGCGCACCGCGCACCTTGCCGGAAATGACCACTTCACAACCCTTGGCACCAGACTCCATCACGTAACGAAGCACACCGTAAGCAGCACGGCGCACTGGCAGGCCACCGAGCAGCTTGTTGCGCAGTGACTCACACTGTGCAACGGCATGAAGACCACGGTTCGCGACCTTTTCGGCGTACAGCTCAAGCGAGCCTTCTGGGAAGCGGAAACGCTGGCGCACAAGCGTCGTCAGCTCACGCAGGCGACGACCCTTGTCACCCAGCACCTCCTGCGTGTGCGTAGCACGGATGATGATCTCTGTGCGAACGTGGTTCACACGCACAAGGCAACCGGAATAGCCCTCAGCAGCGAGCTCGCGAGTGAAGAACTCGTTCAGCTCAGCCGTGAAGACACCGTCGGCAACAAACTTCCTCTTCTTCGAGATAATAGCGGACGCCATCCTGGTGTTGTGCAGAAGGCTTTGACAACCGTGGTAAGGCGAGAAAGACTGTGTGAGGTCTCGCCTGGCTTACGGGCACGCCTCGTTGTCTGTCCTTCGCGCGCTTCCTAGAACTGCAAAAACGATTATTATCACGTGATACACGTGAGGCAGCCGCACGAGGTGGGGCCCTGTTGTTAGCTGAAGTCACCAGTGTGCGGGGGCAGGACCCCTGCGCTTGTTGGGCACGGTGCACGCCTCCATGTACACATGCATGCAATCATTGACAGGCCTTCCCTCATTCTCGCCCACGCACGGCATGTCCTTGCACAGCGCAACGCGTCATTGGCTCAACGCCTGCTTTGAGGTGCAAGTGAGCTTTGCTTCGTTGCCTCGCTATTTTTTTTACCGTTGCACTTGTGGTATTTCGTGCAAAGGGTCCAGGCTGAAATAGACGATGGTACGTACGAGGCTGCGAAGGGGATACGCAATGCATTCCAAGTATGGGTGGCTATGAACGATGAAGTGCACGTTTGCACGTAAAACTGGCATCTCTTGACCGATGGGCCACTGGCTCCTGAGCGAGTGGACCGGAGACGAGAATCGACCGACTGAGCCACACCTACTTATGTTGCATTGTTTTCCTTTTGGTGGACTATGGCTAACATGACCCAAGGATAGGGATAGTAAAGTAATGACAAAGCCGGCATATGGGAAGATGGTTAACAGGTGATAGCCTGCGACGAGCTTTGTGTACCCACGGCCAACACTGCCAACGACTGTAGCTTTTGTCGGTGGGCGATCAATAATCGGAGGCCATTGTCACGCGCTGCTGTCAGAGAGGGAAGGGTCGAAGGAACGGTGAATTGATTGGAAATCAGGATGAATGCAAATCCGTCCTGCTCCATGTTGTCAGACATCATTAACGACGGGACTTAAGAGCACCGAGCCGCAGCTTGCTGCCATGGCCGGCGTTTGAGTCATAGCCCGCCGACATCACGATGTTAGGCCTGCCTTTCGTGCACTAGCTGCTCGAGAGAGGGCTTTCAAGTCAGGCTGGCGTACCACGTTGACGTCGTGGCCCACACGCGCCAAGTGGGGACCACTCGATGGCACATGCCATGTCGAATTTCGTCATGCTGATTTATGCGATGGAGTGCTAGCGTCAGTCTACATTGCCGTAGTATATACACTAGAAGAAAAGCCACTTTGATGCTGAGCTAGACCGCGCTGGCTGCTGCTTTTCGCTGTACAAACGAGTAAGCTCATCAAGTTTGATCATGACTTCCTCTAGTTTGAACTTGCGTTCCTGCAGATCAATGTGCTTGCGGATGACTGGGTTCTGCCGCGCAAAGTTGACCATTTCCTCGCGGGTCATGTCATACCCAAGTCGTGCGTCGATTTCGCGTGGGAACTGGTAGAAGAATTCGGCCAGAAGCTCAATGTTGATGAACATGACGGCTGTGTACGTAAGCTTGTCGGCGACGACATTCAGGAATGTCTCGGGGCAGAACACCTGGGAGACGGGGCCTGCCTTGCATCGACGGGACTTGAGGGCAGCCATACGGAGACGCAAGATATCTGCACGGTCTTGTAAGAAGCGAGCTTCGCGTGCCTTCATAAGCAGCGCTGCATTGAAGCCGGGGCGTGTCGGATCGTTCTGGTCGTCGGAAGCGAGGTCATACTCGCCTGTCTCGTTCGTGTGCTCCATGCGCTCTGCGACACGCTTACGCTCGCGCTCTTCGAGCTGATGGATGTATTCCATTGCGCCACGGAGCCGACGAGAGCCAACAAGTTTTCTGAGCCGCTCATACGCCTCATTGCACATGTCTAGCTCGGTCTGCATGAGCCGCACAGACTGCTCACGACCTTGTTCCCACTCACGTGGCTCCATTTCCACCTCGTACTTGAACGGCTTGACACAGTTTTCCACCTGATCGGCCGTGATGGAAAAGCGGTCACGCAGCAGCGCACTTCCGAATGAAATGATGCGCTCAGCCGTTTCAACGTGGTGATTGAACGGCTCGGCCGTCGCGAGTTGCTCGAGATATGAGCGGATTGTATTTGCAACGAGCTGCGTGCTCATGCGTCCAATCCCGCTTTTCGTTAGCGATGATGAGCACATATCAAGCTTATGCATCCACGAGGGATCCAGATCGTCGGCTGTGATCTTGCGCTGCGCACCCATTTCACTGAGTTTCGGCAGTTCGGCATCGGACCAATACACCTGCGCCAGGATGTCCATGACTTTGTCGTCGAGGGCATTCTTCAGCAGCAGCCGCACTTCTGGCTTGCCAAAGTTCGTGGCAAACGTCTTGAAGCGCTGTTTCAGCACGTCCATAACTTCTGCGACATATGTTTCGGGTGTGATAGAGCGGTCGTTGTACTGAACCTTGAACTGGTATGCAGCATCGTCAAGCTCTGACCGCACAAGGTTCGACACGCCCGAGAGTGAGGAGCCCATGTGCTCTTCTAGCACAACCATAAGTCGCTTGCGCAGTTGATCTGTACCGACCATGGGAGCGACACCTGCATTGCGCCCGCGTTTCGGGGCCTCGAAAGCGTCGCGATGTTCGTTGAAGTAACGGCGCTCATAGTCCTGGGTGAGTTGAATGAGCGAGCGGCTGCGTGAGTATGCAAAGAGCGATTGGCTCATTTGCTGGGGCGGCTTGCAGACGACACCGACGTAGCCGAGGGAGAGTGGGTATTTGTTGTTATTGAGAATGGCTGCACCTACGTCTGGATCGACGAGGTCCATTTTGGTCACGACGCCAATCGTGCGCATGCCGAGAGGATCGACCTTGCGACTCGCACGCAATGCCGGAGAGTTGGCTAGGTCCACATCGGCAGCACAGACAGCCAGGATCACATTCGGTTCTTTGATGTACTTGTTGCACAGGCCATTGATCTTCTCGCGTAGTTCTTCCGGCTGGTCCATAGAGCTGAGCTGTACATAGCCAGGGAGATCAATGAGCGACAGATCTGGCACGTGCGGGCTGTGGATGTGCAGTTCGATCGGCTTCTCTGACACGCATTCCTCCTTCGGCACGGCCATGTTCATATCGTACAGGATCTTCTGGATGCGAGCAAAGTCGGTGATTTTGCCGCCACCAGACCCTGGGAACTCGCCGTACTCGTAGATGCCGTCGGCTGGCTGCCGGTCTTTCGGGACGTGCACAAGCGTCAGCTCAATGGGCCGACGCGTCACCATATTGTTACCTTTGGGGAGGAACTCATGCCCAACGATGGTCTCCAGGACACTGCTCTTGCCACTGCTCTGAGAGCCGATCACCACAATGCTTGGCAGCACAAGCTCGTCGGAATCGTGGTCGATCGTCTTCAGGATATTTCGCACCTCTATGAGCTTGCGTGTAAGGACCATGAGCTCGTCGCTCTTTTCTTTTTCGCTGTTCTTATCAGAGTCGCCATCTTCCTCGCCAGCTGAGCCGCTACCGTCGTCATCAGAGGTGCCCGTGAGCGAAGCGGCCAATGCAGCTGCAGCTGCACCAAGTCCCCCGCCATTTCCGCCATTCCCCCCGCTGCCATCTTGTTCGCTGTCTTCGGACAACGTATCTTGCTCCTCACTGCTCCTGCCGATGCTCTGTTGATCCCAGAACTCAGCCTTCTTGATGTCTTCCAAGCGCTGCATAAACGAGCGCAGTCCGTCACGCGCAGTTCCAAACATGCCGGACGAGTACTCTGCCATGGAGTCGTACAGATCTGACGCCTTGTCGGACGCCGAAGAAAAAAACCCGTTGACCGCCTTTCTCATTTCATCCACTTTGTTGTTCGTGTACGCATACAGCCCACCAGCGGTGGCAGCGCCAGCTAGCGGCAACCGAAGAGCTTTGAGCATGAACCGAGGTACCCCTGTGCGCGTGCTCAATGCACGCGTTTGCATGTGGCGTCGCATCATGACGGGCATGACTGATGGGCGCATCGATGCGGCTCGCAGTGTGCTGGCCGCACGACCGGGCATCCTGTACGCGAACGGCAGTTGGATCGATGTAGAAGATCGAGGCTGATTCGCTGCGGCTAAGCGCCGAAGCGGAAGCATCTCAAGCAGCCGTACAGCGTGGTGGCAAAACACACAAAATAGAAATTGTTGTGGGCCGCTACAAAGTTTTAATGGACGGGTGTGGATCCAATTTTTTAACATACCCTCTTCCTTCTACCCACCACCCACCACCCACCAACCGCCGACCAGACCGTTGGCCCGCGCGCAATTTTATTATTTTACTGCATGTCTATTTCCAGGATTTCGTTCCGCACGGCCCTGGATGGGAAATATGCAAGAGACGCGCATTATCAGGTCATGTGCGAGAGGATTCGATCAAATTGGTCGACGAGATCATTCGCTCGTTGCATGATGCGTGGATCAGGCACGTCAGAGTTTGCCGATGACCAGCCACTCACTCGGCCTGCATGCACATATTCATGACCAAAGAAGTTGCACTGGGCACCGTAACGAACCGTCGAGTCTAGGTACTCAACAGGGGCCACAGCCACAAAGGACGCGGCAATCGCGCCTTTGTACGTGTCGATGGGATGATGCGGCGAGAATGTGAATCGTGCCTAGAGAGGGACGAGGTCAGTGTTAGCGCATGATTCATAGACTATAGCCCATCAAAGAGGCATGTAGGGGAAATACGCACCAAGTAGAAAACCAGTTTCATAAGAACCATCATGATAGCTGGGATCACGCCACTAAAGATGCTAGTGGCCACAATGCCCGGATGGGCTGTGTATGCGCGTGGCATATGCGGCTGCGTACTCGAAGTGTAGCGCTGATCCATGCCTAGAGCCAAGAGCTCACATTGATACTTTGTAGACTCGTATGGACGAGGTGACGTTTGTGGATCCAAGCACTGAATGTCCTGTGCATGAAAGTCAGCTTCATTTGCCTCGAGCGAGCCGGTCCAAATTACGCGTGACGGCGTTGCATATGGTGATGCACAGAGAAGCGGCTCTAGTTCCTTCGCGAGAACATAGTGACCAGCGGCATTGATTTGCCAAACCCAGCCGAGATCATCACTGCTCTTGTCGCCCGAGCGCTGCAGCTTGAAGGATGGCAGCGTCACGGCTTTATGAAGATTTGTAAGGATTTCCCATGTTGCTTTGAGCCAGTCCACACCCAGCCATGCAGCGCCTCCGGCATTCAAAATAATATGCGTGAGATATGGCACTTTGGCTGTGATCGTACGAGCACATGCTTTCGTGCTCTCGAGGCTTGCGAGATCAAGTGGCACCACATCGATCACGGTACCCTTGCAGAAGGATGTACGGTACATTTTGCGGGCTTCGCGCGTGCGCTGATCCAAAGGCGAGTTGAGTCGAGAAGTTGTCATGTCGCGATGCCTAAGTGAGGACGTCGATGACATGTCGATGGCGCTTGATGAGGTGGAAGAAAGCGTCGATGCTGCTGGAGCCGATGCCGGAGACGATGCGGTGGCTGGTTGTGTGTTCTTCTGTGCTGGGGATGGAAGCCCATGTTTCTCGAGGTACTCATCGTCTGTCGTGCTGAGGCGATGCAGGAGCGACTCCAGCTGTGCTACAGCCTCACGAGCCTTGGCCTGATTTCGACAGGCCAGGAGTAACGTGCATCCCTCACTCGCGTGGAATGGCGTGCTAGCCACGTTGTGCTTCGGATCGTCTAGCATGCCACTATCTGAAGGCATAGTACTCGAGAGCTGGATCAAGAGGCGCTCACATACTCCAAGACCTAAACCGGCATTCGCCCCAGTGACCAAAATGATCGGTCGATTCATGGCGAGGGTGTGAGAGAATAGGATGTGGAGTTTCACGAGCCAACTCGTGTTCCTGAAAGCCAGTGAACGGGTGGAGGCTCTAGTCTCTTTGACAGGTTCGAGTCCATAGAACAACATGCGATGTGTTTGTGTGTTAATTCCTATGAAGGAACAAGCCTAGATTTTTTTCTTTGGGCAAGGACGATACTACTAGCATGCTGCCTGTGCGTGGGCTCCTCCATAATGTGGTATGCCCAGCGTTCCGTGATGGAGAATGTGAGAAGCAGCGCGCTGGAGGCTGTTTGTTTTCGCATGATGCGAACCTATTGGAAAAGCGCCCTCATCCAGACAACGCCACAGGAGCAGTGAAGCGTGCGGGACCGACGCTGACGACAGAGGGAGTGCCTAGGAAGCAAGCTCGAAGAGAGGCAATAAGCGAATCGAACCTACCAACAGAAGCGCCTGCCCTGCCACGCATCACATCACAACGACATCCTTCGACATCGAAGATTTCCCTTGCTCAGCGCCAAGATGGCCTCAAGAAAGTGCACACTACATTGTGTCGATTCTATGCTCCCATATGGCAGCATTCAGATCCACGTCTACAAAAGCTAGGTCGCGAAATGGCAGCGTCCGATGCGCTGCGAATGGAGGAGGATGTATTTCAGCATGTGAACGAATACACCTATAAGACATCGAGTATTGCTGCTGCTGCAAGTGTGAACAAACGGGCAACAGATGTGCTTGCATCTGCTGTACACGAAGCTGCCATAGCACTGGCTGGATCCGAGACACAAGGTGCTAAGACAAGCGACAGTATAGGTCGAGCTAAGTCTGTTCTTGACGCATGCACGGAAACAGGTTCTGAGGCAGACGTGCAACAGAAACGCCAGGCCCAAGAACGACGAAAAAAAGGTCGACTGACGCGTGAGCGAATCATCAAGGCAGGCTTCTTGTGCCCTAAAGGCGATTTAGAAAAGCTTGGCTATGTCACGGAAATCCCGCCCACATGGGGCGCCGGGAGTGAGAAGCCTGATGCCTGTGGTGAGCGGCCGACATGTGCACGATGTGGCATTGTGTACAGAGTAGGGCCACTGGGCCGTGTCAACACGGACAATGTGAACGAGCAAGATCCTGAGGCATGCCACTTTCACTCAGGTCGACCACGCCCCGAGAAGCTGGGCATGGCTCGAGCCCGGAAAGTCTATCGTTGGTCTTGCTGTGGACGCACTGTCGATTCACACACACTCGGCGATGATCGGTGTGCGACGGGGCCACATGTGTTCAAGGAGGAGGGTGCAGAAGCTTTGCACAAGCGTTCAGCATATGTCACTTGGTCCGACATCCCTGGACAGGCAAATGCACAAGAGGTACTACCTGTGGCAGCGCTGGACTGTGAGATGAGTTACACAACAGCTGGGATCAGTGTAACACGCATTACCCTCGTGGACGAGACGGGCGATGTCGTGTTTGATGAGCTGATTCGATGTCCAGATGGAGTGTCTATGATTGACTTGAACACGCAGTTTTCTGGCATTCACGCCGAGGCATATGAGGCTGAGGCAATCTTTGACCTAGACACAGCGCGAAGGGCCCTGGCTCAGTACATCGGACCGCAGACCATATTGATTGGTCATGGCTTGGAAAACGACTTGCATGCGATCCGTCTTGTGCATACCAACGTGGTTGATACATGTCAATTGTTTCCACATCCTCGAGGCTTGCCGTATCGACTCGCCCTGCGTGATCTTGTTGCCAAGTATTTGGGCCGGATCATTCAGGCGGGCGGCGCGAGTGTGGGACATTCGTCAGCCGAGGATGCACAGATGACTCTCGAACTCGTGCGTTGGAAATGGCTTGATATGTGCTCGTGAAGCACGCTGGTATGCCACGATGGCGGGCCTAGTCGTTGTGCTGGCGCCTGGCTCCATCATGCATACTTGCACGCTTCTCACGACGAGCGGCACGGCGTATCTTACGGCGCTCAAGCCGCGGGACGTACGTGTCGTCGTGCTTGCGTTTCTGGGTGGGTTGATGCTTCGATTTGGCTTGTGCGTGTTGTGCCTGCTGCACCCGCTGTTGTGTCGCTTGCCTGGCTGTTTGGGCGCGCTGGTCTTCCAACAGATCAACGAGGGTGCGAGGGTCGATATGAAGCACACGATCGCCTTCTCGCTCCATTTCTTCCTTTGCAAATGCAATGAAACGTGCATGACGTCGCTTGTGGTTCTTACTTTCGAGGTGTACGTCCATGCTCTTGTTGTTTTTCAGGATCAAGATGGGACATGATACGCAGCGGAACTGTATCACGGAGCCTGGCGCCTCGTCGTCGATGTAAATAGGATTCTCAATCGCATGCGCCACAGTAAATTCGTCCCCTTCTTCGTCTTCGTCGTCTTCATCATCCTCCTCACCCTCGATGCCTTCATCATACGTGTCCGCTATCGTTGCCGTCGTTCTCGTCGCTCTCGGCGTCCTCATCATCCTCGGTACTCTCTCTGTCTTCCGCTTCATCCATTCCCTCTTCCTCACTAGGACTATCGTGGTCGATGGCCGCATCAAGCGACACGTGCTCTTGGTCTTCACCACCCTGTTCGCGCAGGGCATTCGCCTTGCTGAGTCGTTTGAACATGGCACAAGGCACAGGAATTACTACACACACTGTCGAGCGTCCCAAGCAGAAAACAATGCTCGTTCAAGCGTCGCAGCAAGCCTGGATGATGATGACTAAGCGACGCGTCGCGCTTTACGACACGTCCCCTCGAAGACATGTAATGTGAGCGAGCGAGTCTCCATAGCTGCCCGCCACACGGCCGCATCCAACAGCTGTGTCGTGGCATGGCGCCAGATGCGAACGACGCATGGATCGACGCATTCTTAGATTCGAGCACAGAAGTAGAAGAAACAAGGGCTGCAGTCTCATCTTCTGCACGCGCAGCGGCGCGGTCCCTTGGCGAACCAGGTGTACGACGGAGGGCCCAGGACCTTGTACGACTGGCGGTATTCACCGAGTATGATCGCATGCCAATAAAACGCGACATTATTATCAAGAATGTGATTGGAAAGGAAGCCAGCCGAGCATTTCCCGTCATCCTCGCATGTGCCCAACAAATACTACGCCTCACGTTTGGCTTTGAGCTCGTTGAAATGCGTGCCAAGGGTACAGAGAATCCTCTGTTGGCAGAACAGACTTCCCTCCTCGACGAGCGCGCAGGATCGAAGCGGCGTCGCACTGACAATGATAACACGCAATCGCGAAAGACGAGCGCAGCTTCGCATGGATATGTCCTGCGCTCAACCTTGCCGGCGGAAGTCATCCAGTTCATGACGACGAGTGGCCCACCGGTGCCGCCAAGTGATCAGTCCTCCAGGGATGCTCCTCATGCTCGCAATGACTTGCCCATGCTGGACTGGCAAGCCTCTGAGGGCGAATTAGGTATAACAGGACTACTCTTTGTTGTGCTGGGCCTGATCCTGGTGTCTGGACGCCAGGCATCTGATACACGCATACGCTCCTGTCTGGCCCAGCTGTCTTTATCTATTGATCGTCCACTGCCTAAAGCGCTGCATCCTTTGGGTTCTGGTACTCACGAGCAGGGTAGTCATACGCTGGACACATTCCTGCAGCAAGCTCAGCGGCGGGGGTATTTGGAGCGCGTGCGTGTTGCTAGTGCTGCCGAAACGTCATCCCAGGCATGCGATTGGGAGTGGCGCTGGGGTGCACGCGCTGAGATCGAGATCGGCGAGCATGCAGTTGCTGCTTTTATGGTCGATGTGTACCACCAAGACGCGAAGCCCGAGTCGTCAGATTCACTGACAAAGCGGATTGAGCGGGCGGCAGGCACGCCGCTCGTTGGATGATATGGTTACACGGCCACTTCCTGTACATCTCCTTGCAGCTCCCACGTCATGCGATGACGCCAATGCCGACTCCAGAACTGCATGATGTCCTGCCATTCGGCGCCGTGGATCATGCTCTGGGCGGGATCCATATAGTGGAGGTGTGTCACATGGCAGAACGCTCGCTGCACGGCCGTGACGTGGGAGCGAGACGCACTCGACATCGCAAATGGTCGGGCATCGCGTGTGACGAAGCAAACACGCGGCGCTAGCGGTGGTGAGAATGTTGGCAGGGAAAGCAGCGGGCCACATACACTTACGGCACTGCCGAATGCATTTGCGCGTGTGGCAATGAGCGTCTCAAGTAACACTGAGCCACCTTGAGCAAAGCCCAGCGCGTGCATGTGCTCATATGCCCAGCCACATCCACCCTGTGAAACTGGTGCAGTCAGATATGTCAAGAGGTGGGTGATATCTTTCATCGCACGTCGTGGATCCGGATTCAAGCGCACTGTGTGCAGTTAGTAAAAAAAAAAAACAGCCAAAAAACGGACGAGTGGTGCTTGCAAGCGCGTGTGTGGCGTGGGTAAAAAGGCAGCGGCGGTGGGGGGGGTAAGGCATGACACAATGCCAGGGATCATTCTACGGCAAGCAACACTTTTTTTTTTTTCATGGACAGACGGACAAGCGAACGTACCTTCACCTAAAGCATCAAAACTATCGTACCACATCCATGCCTCTTCCTCTAGCAGTGGCACGCGAAGTGGAGCTTGAACACTAAGCACAGCTGTTTGTGGGAGTGTCTGTTGTAGACGCTGACCAAGAGAGAAGAATGGATCTGCTGTATCGCCTAGTCCATGCAGAAGAAGAAGTAGATTCGAGTCTATACCACACGGCGCAGGCTTGTACTTGAGCACGAGTTTCGTATGGTTGAACGAATGGAGTCCAGCAGACGACGGTCGTGGCGCAGTGCGCCACGACGCTGACGACATCGGAGGTGCGGATGCCATGTAGTCGTGCGCGATTACGTTCTCGGCCGCTACACGAACCACCAAACAGGATATGTGTGATATGTACGAGCGCACGGACGATCGGGCGTAGCAGATCGCTTACGGACGAAAGACAACGAATTTCACGCACTCATTCCATCATTCATCCACCGTCCGGCAGAGAGAGTGGGTGGCCTTTTCCACCTGTTCCGGTGTGCCCTTTCATGTGATCACATACACGCCACGCGAGCGAGCGGGTCGTGCATCATATGCTGGAGTCACGTGTGCACGAGACAGGTGGGTACATGCGCCAGTCTTTTTCGTAGACAACATGTGCGTTGTGAGGAAAATTGCCTCGTAAGCGTTGTCAAGTCGATAAATATTTTTAACGGCGCAACGTGACACTTGACAGCCCGATTGCATTGGCGACAATCACAGCACAGCCACTGTGATAATTCTTATCTTGCATGGTAAGTGGCGAAGAACCACCAAATCCGACCAACCAAGCTAGAGTAGTGCTTCGCGTGGCGGTGGGGTTCGAGCCAACGTGTGATACGTGCGTGTTTCTTGGCGTCAACCGAGTTGGCATGGACTAGTTCCATGGCATCGATCTGTGTGTGCTTGTGTGCGTGTGCATCTCATGGAGGCTCTTGGCACTGCGGCATCAGGATAAGCCACCCACTTGCGTATGGAGGCACGCACGGCCCGCCATGGCTCTTTCTGTCTGCTCAAAGTACTAGACCCATTCGCTCGTCGTATTCCCAAGCCAGCCCTACTCGAAGCATTCTGGTCTAGCCATGCTCATAGCTAACATAACAGACAACACTCGGTCCTTCTCCTTCAAGTGAGGATGCAAAGTATGTACCTTTCGACTACGTCAAGGTCCCACACCCCGCACTATCGGGATCGATGTGCTCTGCAATTGGAGTCAAACCCATGGCTTCCTTGACAGCCCCATCATTTGAACATGTATTTATGGCTAACGATGCACATGTGCATGACCCACAACATCCTTCAATGCATGCATCAACTCAAACAGTGCCATTCTTGCCACCGTACGTGTCAGTTCCACCACACGTGATGCCTCAGCACATCCCATTCGCACCCTTCGGAGCGGCTTCATCAGCTCATGCACATGCTGCAGTAGCAAGTATTCCTACGCTGCCTCTGCAAATGATGAATACGCATGAATCTTTTGCTGATTCAACCAGTATGGCCATGCTGCCCTTGAAGTCATTCAACACGCAGACCACCTCGGATACGGCCGCGGTGCCCTCCTCAGCCATACCAGATCACACGTCGCTGAAAACCACGTCGGGCGGCTCGTGTGCATGGAAGCGCAGGCCAGGACGCCCACGCAAATATTCTGCATCGGTGCATCAAATAAGCAAGAATGGCATCCAACCGAGGCTGACGACATCATCACTGACTATCTCGCCGTCGATGGCGAAGCAGAGCCTCAAGTCGCGCTTGCGACCACCGAAGCAGCCGCTGACAGCGTGGCAATTGTACTTCACGGACGAGCTGCGCAAACTCAAAGCTGCATCACCAAATGAGCGCTTGAATGTCGCTCAGCTCGCGAAGGACGCTGGTCAGCGGTACGCGTCTCTGCCAGATGACAAGCGGCAGCAGTACTTTGTACGTGGCCAAGAAGCGCGAGGTCAATATGAGGCGGCCTTAGCTACATGGCGGGCACAGCTGACGCCTGAGGAGATCCGACATGAAAACATGATTCGTACAGCTAGGCGGCGGATGGGCCAGTCTAGACGGGGAAATTTACGTGATCCTAATGCACCAAAGAAGCCTTTGTCGGCATACTTTCTGTACTTGCGTTCGATTCGCGCCGACCCAGAGCAGAGAGAGGATGTTTTGCGTGGCGAGCACGATACGACCAAGCAGAGTGTACTTGCGGCAGCGAAATGGCGTAGCCTCAATGCCGATGAGAAGCGGCCCTTCGTCGAGCAGGCAGAATGTGACAAACGCGCGTATGAACAAAGGCGTCAGGCGTATGAACAATCACGCACGCTATCGGGTTCTTGAGAAGCCAAAGTTGGTTTGGACCTACTATCCAGGATGCCGGCTAACTGGTTTATTCGCTGTGTTGTGTGGATCGTCTTTAAACGACGTTGCATATGTTACCTAGGTGACCGTGACATACCATTTTCATCAACCTCTTTTATCATGTTTGCTTTCTTTTCTGTAGAGTACTAGCTAATTTATCAAGAGAGCAGCGTCTAAGGTTCTCCTGGTATGCAAGAGAGAATGTCTGCTTTCGTCGTCTTTCATGCATATACATTTTTCATACAATGCTTTCGAGTTCTTTGGCAAAGTGCAAGTTCGTGGTAATGGTAGAGCGTTTCGGGATTTGTTCATGCTCATCCAAAGACTCTGTCGTCTTGTTCGCAAACTCAACGGTCTGATTCGTTGGATTCACATGCCAGCCACGTTCTTTAGCAAACTCCAGCACTTCTGGTAAGCTGTCGAAGAACAGCAGTGTGGCAACATCGTTGAGCGGGAGTGTGTCATACGCCTTTTCTTCGCATGAAGCAATCTCGTGGCGAATGGTCACCATAAGACTGTTCACAAAGAAACGGTATTCGTCGCGCGGAACATTTTCACGCTCGCGCCATACATTCGAGTAGGAGCCCTCCATGAGCCATCGCTCTAGCAGAACAGGGTGCTGGATATAGGGAGAGTCACGTACCAGTTCCATCGGCAGTGACTCAAGGGCGATGTGGAATGATGCAATCGAGTTAGTTGAGAGATCACGGAGAAGCGAAAGCCCAATAATCGGCTCATAGTTGCTTGATCGAGGCAGAGCATTTCCTAGGTCCAAGTAAAATGACACGAGCTGGCTCCAGTAACGATCGAAGCTCGTCGTGTCCTGTGCACGGATACTCCACAGCGCGCCAATCTCCAGGACGTCGCGTGCAAGCAAAAGAGCATCCTTCTGCTGTGCAAGATCTACGAACTGTGGGTAAAGTATGTCCCGCTCTGTCAGCATGACTTTGAGCAGCGCGAGTTGCGTGCCGACAGCCTTTAGTGCTTGTTCATTCTGACCCTTGCTGCTTTCTAAAGCGTGGAATTCCTTTTGCAGATTCGCATGTGCGGACGAAAGCTCAGGATCCACCGTCATGAGGGAAGAATGGAGTGGAGCGCGTTCTTGATCAACCTGCTGCTGCGACAGCCTCAGCGACAGAGTTAGCCTGCTTGCTTCGCCGTGATCTGGTGGCGGATGGACGTACGCGTCCATCTCACGTGATTACTCACACCCTAGCCTGACCTGATCGACTCGCTCAACTCATCGCTTCATCTCGACCTGCCGGGAAGTTTGCACATTACGCCTGGTTCTTGGATGTGGAGGTGGGGCTTGTGCCATTCAGGGCCAGTATCTATCGGTCGTCGACCGTAGGAGAGGAGTGGGTTGAAACGTCGAAGTCTCGATGCGTGGGAGTATGGCAGGTCGAAGCGCCGTAGCAGATGCCAATCGCTATGTCTTGGCTCCGATCACGAAAAAAACCAAGATGCATTCACCGAAAGGCCAGGAACTCATGGATGAAATGGATTCGGCTGTGTCAGCGAACCTGTTCCGTACGTAAGAGACTATGGAGGCTTCGTGAGGCAGCGTGAATGACTGACATCTTTGGTCAGTGCATATGCTGGCATCGCCGCTTCGAAAATGCGTCGTCACACAAGCGACATTACCTCGAGGTGAGCATACCAAACTTGACGCGTAACAGTACACTAATGAAGCCTAAAGACCTGATGATTCAATTAAAGCCGGTCATTATGCCTCGTGCTGATAGGCAATCGGTTGAACAAACGCTCGTACCTGAAGGCATACTACACCCGCGCTTTGCACAAAGAAAATCGGGCGCGAGCCTCTACATCACAGGAGATCAGTATGTGCTGCAACAGCTCCTGCAAAAACGTAAGTGTTGCATATTCATGTCTTGGGGGACGAAAGAGCTGCGCTAAAACTCAAAACAGAACAACACCGTACAGTAGCACCCGAAGCCAATGTATACCCACGCTTAGTATCGCTCATTACACACCAACTCCAGCTGCGGGTTACGCAGGAAGCTGAACTACTATATGCTCGTGCACGGACACGTGCTTTAGGAAGGGATCAAGAGCCCTTCGTGGCAACTTTGCGCGATGTTGTCGGGCCTTACGCTCGTGCATGGGAGCCAGACTTGCAGTGTGTGCCGACATTTAGACTGAGGACCCTCATGCCCGATGAAGCTCTGCGACAACGCTTGCTCGCATTCATGCAGCGTACCTCGGCGACAGGCCGTGCATGGACAGCTGCCAAAAACGGCGGCGACACTTGGACACTGGTTCGACACCGACACACGGCAGCTATGGCTACGGCTCTATGGCGCTTATCTACCTGGATCGATTCTGGACAACGGCTCGAAAGTCATAGTGGGACCGAACAGTATATCCAACGCGGCAAGTCATAGACAAAGCGGCACGGACCAAGACACTATATTTTCAAAATAAGAAAAAAAAAATTCAATAATTAATGAGTAGCAAATATGTATGGTCACTCTCTGAAGATGAACCAGAGAGATGTCTTTGTGGATGAATTCAATATAAGCATCAAGAAAGTATAGGAATGAGACACCTTGTCTTCCAGCGATGCTAAACAAAGGCCACGCTACATCATACTTATCCTTTCATACCACGCTCGACTTGAAACCCCTACAGAGCACAGCGTATAGAAAGCGTCAGAAAAGAAGGAGCAGATGAACTAATTGTGAGGATCGACAAAGACGACCAAGGCGTTACTTGTTGCGGACCAACACGAAGTAGGCCACCACAGCGACAACGGCAGCGACCACCAGCAAGTACGCAGAGCTTCCCGAGTTTTGGGCCATCAAGTCCGACGCCTTGCCAGCCCTCTTTGGCAGGTTTTCGGGATCAGCGAGCTTGCCGATGTAGAATGTCTTGAGCTGCTCACGAGCATCTTCAGAGTGACCGACATCCTCGAAAGGTTCCGTGGCATCGTTGCCAGCCTCGGTAAGAAGGACTTCGTCACCACCAGGGTGCTGCATGTTAGCAACGACTAGACATGGTGCAATAACATACTTCGCTAAGGAACTTTGTCACATCGTACACTGCGGATGAGTGTCAATACTCTGACGTTGACTGGACGAGCTTGTTCACTCGTCGTTCCACATACCGTTACCATCGATCACGAGCCACAGGCTGGACTCGGACTTGTGTTTGCAAACTTCGGCGTACGTGATCTCGCGAGCAGCCATATTCGCAGATGCGTGCAGGACGTCACGTCAGACGATGCGGATCGAGAGCAACGTCTAACGCTTCATGTGACCTCGTGTGCAGACCGAGACCCAAAGTGGTGACACCCATGGCGACCTCGGCCGAATGCAGTTTCGATAGACCGGCCCATTGGGACTCGTTCATTACGCAACGTCTATATAATCCGCGCTTGCTCATTGGCTTGTAGCTATGTACGCTTACGCAGACGTGTCTTACAATTTCGCGGTGACAACGGGCGTTTGGTTGTTGTTGGGCACAGACGCTGTTGAGTCTCTGGATGACGACGCGGAGGTGGAGCTGTGGTTCTGGTGATGGAGATGATGGGACGAGGCTTGCGCTGCGGTGTGGAAAAGGATCACGTTCACGGTAATATCATCGCGGAACCGGCGGGATTCGGGACTAGGGATGGCCAGGAGACCAGCCACTCGCTCGCGAGCAGCACCGCCTAATGCATTGCGTACAAGATGGGTGCTGAGGTTGTCGTCTTCGAAAGTAAACGTCTGCTGGTTGCTGGGTGACTTGAGCAACGGGTGCGCGGGCCCATGTTGCTGAGGCACTTCCGACGATGTAGCTGTCGCATCTTTCGCGGATGTGCGTGCATCTGATGCGAGTCCTGATCCAGAAATATCAGGAACGGTCTTTGAAAGCGGCTCAAAACACATGCGTTGTAAAACATCGGCCCGTATGGTGCCACGCATGCCAGCCAGGTGACCAGCTACCAGACCGACGGCTTCTTCGTTTGACATGAGATCCCATAGACCATCCGTCGCCATAATAATGAAGCGTAACTCGCGTGCGGGCGACTTGGACGACGAAGATGGCGCGGCAAGCGTGGTTGTGGCCGGTGAAGGACTTGTCGATGTTGAAGAAGATACCTTGACACCATCAGGCATAGCCTGTGCAGTAGCTTCCGGTGTCGTCTTCGTCGTTGTCTTAGCGATCGTTGTCGACGCTGGCACGGACGCGGCGGATGCAGCTATAGTGTCAGCGAGTGGTCGAAGACGACGCCACTGGACTAGGGGCTCCGCCGTCACGTAAGGCGGCGTTTTCAGGGCACGCGGCACACCGCGCCGGTACTTGTCGGGCAAAAATGCCTCGGCTATGCGCTGCTGTGTGCGACGGTCCCACTTGTAGCGGGAATCACCAAACGCGCGAGTCGGTTCAAGACCACCGAGTACACGGCCGCGCTGGATCACATACGGTGCCTCTTCGGGTGGATGCTCTCTTTGAATGCGCCTGACCTCGGCGGGATTGCGTCCTGTCTGGTCCACACTGAGTGCCTCGACCTCCCAGCGGCCGGCACGTTCGTCCCAGTAGCCAGCGACGGCGCGCGAGTCGCCCGTCGATGCGACATACAAGTCATGGCGTGCGCTGTCGACATATACCATCAGCGCACAGCTTCCGCTGATGGCAGGCAATATGCTCTCGAAGGCTGAGCCCTGCGACATGGTGGAGAAGGACGTATTCTTGGGCTGGCCCAGAGACGATGGCCAGATACTGTGCGCGAGCGACGAGAGCGAGTGTGCGTCGTCGCCTGCGCTGTGCTTCTTCGACACAGACGCGAGACTCAATTCGTATTGCTTAAGCAATTCGAGCGGTGTATTGATGATTTCCTTGTCGAGACCACGGAAACCTTTGATCAGAGCGCGCGTGACAATGTCGGGATCGCCGTCAAGTGCCATCGCTGCGAGTCGATGACTGCTGGTCGCAGACCTGCTGCCAAATAGCGTGTTCCACACGGAAGCAGCAACCGATTGTTTGGAGCGGGCCATATCTGCATACTCGCCCGTCTCTTTGAACACCTTGTCGAGCTCAAGCGCAACAAATGCCACAAGCTTGCGAGAGAGTACCTGCGACGTAAAGTCACCGCCATGTCCATCCATAACGGTGAAGAAACACAAATCACCACGCACACGCTCTGGCTGCGAATCTGCATCGCGCGAATCCCGACGCGACATTGGCAATTCATCGATGCCGCGATCTCGTTCGACAATCACCTCGGCATGGCGGTCTTCATTTGTCGCGTTGCTTGCAACACTGTTGGTATCGTAGCGAGCTACAAGGCACGCACCTGGCGGACGCTCGACTCGCGTGCTGTGCTCATTTTCATGCAGACGCGCATTGACCTGGTCTTCAGTAAGTGGCGTAATAATGCGGTACATCGGCTGGCCTGTGTCTTTCGAGCGCACGGGGATCGTGAAAGAAGTTGGCGCACTCGCACTCAGAGAAAATTTGCGTCGTGGCGGCTCGTTCGCATTACGAGAGTCCATCTTATTCCAATAGTACCAAGTGCCAAAGGCTGCCGCTGATCCTGCAACGCCCACAAATACCCACTCAGTGCGCCGCTGTCGGTAGTATGCTTCCGTTGATGAGGGCGTAGGGGGCGCGCGTCCAGCAGCCGCTACGCGAGTTGTTGTGTGCCGGCCGACGACAGATGTCGTCGATAGCGCACGCACAAACTCGGGTGGGCATGCGCGACGTCGGTGCACAGCGCCTAAGTACATGGACAGCGAGTGTCAGCGTAGTCAACACACACACACTAGTACGCTTTCACAAGCAGAATTTCTTTCACTCTCTAACACACACACACTCTCTCTCTCTTGCACACGCACACACCCTCACAAACCGCCAACGCCGATGGAGTAGACTGATTTTCGGTGGAAATACTTGGTGCCTCCGGGTTTTTTTTTGGGGGGGGCTATCGCTAGTCAATTTACCTTCCGCATCCAACTTTCCTGGTTTTGCTTCGCTTTGCCACGCTTGACGTCGGCCTGCTTGCCCCGAGCGAGTGTGGATGACTATATCCCGCCCGCGCACGTGTAGATGAGTCAGCATTGGCTAGCTAACCTGCGCGCGTCATAATGAGCGGGGGCGACGTAGGCCCGTTACGTGGTGCGCGCCTTTCTCTGTCATAGGCCACGCCCCTCCACTCCATCCATCCCCTGCGTTGCTAGCACTCAGCGTATGTGGAGACATTACGGGCACAGGCCAGGCAAATTGTGCGCGTTTGCGTCATTGTTAGGCGACGGCGTCGCGTGTGGCGCTGCACAGTGGCTATTGCTGACTAGGCATCGTCATCCGGTCCACATATTCTGCTCTTTGGCGCCTAATTACTGAAAGTCGTATCCTGGTCGAACCCATTCGATCCAGGACAACAAGCGATCCATGGCGGGCTTTTTCCGCTCAGATCGGACAAATAGTGGTGATGTACGCAATATATATTCGGGCGCAACGAGTGGCAGTAGTACTGGCGGCATAGGACGTCACCCACTCCCATCATACACGACGCCTCTGGCTGGCGGCACCAGTGCACGAATGCCTGTGCCACCTGTGCCTGGCAATGTTAGTAGTGGTGGCAGCAGTGGTACAGTGCCTGTTATGCCTGGGGCTACTGGCATGATGCCAGCAAGCAGTGCTGTGCCTCCGCCAACACGAGGCATACCTATTGTGCATCCCGCTGAGACTCGGCAGCCACACATGTTCCGAATCGTCAAGTCGCCACCGACGCTGAACACGACGAACTGTGTGATTCTGAACCCAAGCGAGTGGGGCAACACACGCTATGTGCTTGTGTCTGGGCGTTTCGCATTCACGGCTATACCCGACAACACACACACAATCGCACCAGGAACGATCGGTACAGCCTTGCTGCAGCGACAGTGGGCACGGCTTAGTGCTGAAGGACACGATGTTGCGGTAGAGGCATTTGAGCCGACGGTGCTGGGCAAAGGTGTGTATTTGGGCAATGTGGATATTGAGCTGGACTACCTGAGTCGGAGCCAAATGCCTACTGGACCATTCAGTGCCGATGAAATGCAGGGCATTTTCACGCGTGTATTTGATTCACACGTATTATCAAATGGCCAGGTGCTAGTGTTTGAGTTCCATGGCCAGAATCTGAAAGCGACGGTGCGTGGGGTATATTCGATCGACACCAGCGCAGCGCATCATCTGGGCGTTATGATCCCACAGACGCAAGTCAACTTCTTTGTCGCACAGGGCAGTGCGCTTGAGATCAAGGCGAGTGGAAAGCGTGCGCGGCCGAACGCAATTCTTCAGCCGAACTTCAAGTTCGAAGACATGGGGATCGGCGGTCTCGACACAGAGTTCAGTGCAATTTTCCGTCGTGCGTTTGCGTCGCGCATCTTCCCACCCGACCTTGTTGAGAAACTTGGGATCCAGCACGTCAAGGGTCTATTACTGTATGGCCCGCCCGGTACGGGTAAGACCCTCATGGCACGTCAGATTGGTAAGATGCTAAACGCTCGTGAGCCGAAAGTGGTGAATGGACCCGAGATCCTCAGCAAGTACGTCGGTGCCAGTGAAGAAAACATCCGCAAGCTGTTTGCGGAGGCTGAAGCGGAGTTCAGGAGCAAGGGTGACGAGTCAGGCCTGCACATCATCATCTTCGATGAGCTCGATGCCATTTGTCGGCAGCGAGGCACCACCGGTGGCGGCACTGGGGTAGGCGACTCGGTTGTGAACCAGCTGCTGTCCAAAATGGACGGCGTTGACCAGCTCAATAACATTTTGATTATCGGTATGACGAACCGGCTCGACATGATTGATGAGGCGCTCCTGCGTCCCGGTCGTCTTGAGGTGCACATGGAGATCAACCTGCCCGATGAAAATGGACGTCTACAGATCATCAACATCCAGACTGCCAAGATGCGCACGAATGGAGTCATGGACGGTGACGTGAACTTGCAAGAACTCGCTGCACTTACAAAGAACTTTTCTGGTGCAGAAATTGCCGGTCTCGTGAAGAGTGCGACGTCTTTTGCCTTTAACCGCCACGTCAAGGTCGGTACGATGGCCGGCATCTCCGACGACGTCGAAGGCATGCGTGTGAATCGGGAGGACTTCTTGTGTGCGCTGGATGAAGTGAAGCCAGCATTTGGCGTAGCGGAGGAAGAGCTGCAGCAAGTCGTTCGCAATGGGATCATGCACTTTGCACCGCACATCGATACGATCCTTCGCGACGGTCAGCTGCGTGTTGAACAAGTGCGTACAAGTGAACGTACGTCTCTTGTGACAGCGCTCCTGCATGGACCGCCTGGCTCGGGCAAGACGGCACTTGCCGCGACCATTGCGATGGCGTCTGACTTCCCTTTCATCAAGCTTGTGGCGCCTGAGAACATGGTCGGCATGAATGAACAGGGCAAGATTGCGTACCTGAACAAAGTGTTTAATGATTCGTACAAGAGTCCCTTGAGTATTGTGGTCGTGGACAATTTGGAGAAAATCATTGAATGGGTTCCAATCGGGCCGCGGTTCTCCAACCCCGTGCTGCAGACGCTGGCTGTCTTGCTTGGCAAGCAGCCACCGAAGGATCGCCGCTTATTTGTCTTGGCTACGACGTCCAACAAAGCCATGCTCAATGACATGGACATGGCCAATGCGTTCCTTGCCGATATCCGAGTGCCCGACATTACTTCGTTGCGCAGCATTGATCATGTGCTTCGTGAAACGCAGCTGTTTAAGACGCAGGAAGAGCACCTGCGCTGCATGCAGCTCTTGGCCAGTGCTGGCTTGGGCCAGAATGGCCGCCTGAGCATTGGCATCAAGAAGCTACTCTCTGAGATTGAAATGGCTCGCCTGGACGATGACCCTGCTGATAGGCTTACCGCAGCACTGAACTTCATGTAGGAAGATAGTAGCATGGTGCCTTCCAAGTCTTTTATAAAGAGCGCGTGTTACGAATCGCGCACTCCTTCAGCGCAGTTTAGTCGTGGGTTGAAGAGCTTCTCGTTCATTCGATACCGTCGCCCTAGATTTTGTGCGACGATACTTGGCTCGCTTGCATAACCAAAGGGATTTTTAGCACAGGATGACATCCAACGGCAACTGGCAATCGACTGGATCCGAACCGAGCAAGCGACCAAATCATACGATTTTGTTTTTTTTTTTCACGTTGTTTCTTTACACAAACTGGTGAGAGCGCAAAGTGACACTCAGCGAGTGATTGGATTTTGACACCGTAGTTGTGTAGATCACAACCGCGTGTTGTAAAAATATTTCAAGCACTACAATGTGTGTGCTGAGCTGAACAAGGCAGGAACCATGACCACGTTGAACAACAACTGCCGCATATCAGACCAGAGGCACCAGAAAATATGTTCTATAACATTGAATTAACAAGAAAAGGGAGAGAGAAAAAGAAAGCAAATAGGTATGATATGAGACATTGGCCCATCCACAAAGCATGACTCAAGCATGCGACCGGGAGCATTATGCCCTGGTCAGACGACGTGGCTTGCCGGTGCTGGATCGAGCCTGCACGGTCCCTGGAGCCAAGGATGCGCGAGTTGGCTTGCGTAGCTGAGCTCGCTTAGCGAGTTGAACATCATCTTCAAATGCCACAACAATCGACTGATCGGAGCCGTAGGTGTAATCGTCACGCACAACTGTGCCGCCATACCGCTTCAACACATAAGCATAAGGATTGCCCTTCTTTACAGCCTCAAAAGACCACGAAACGACGTAATTGCCTGTCGATGTGACGATCGACGTCTCTGCATCGGAGCCTGTATTGAAATGCGCAGGTGTGAAATGCACCTCCGACTCCATGTACGCCACATGATGCGGCCGCAACTGCAAGCGGCGCGGTAAGGGACGAGAGTCGGCAGGGAAGCTGCGGTCAAACCCGAGCTGGCCTTGGAAGCGGCCATCGTTGATGAGTGTGTCGATCAGCAGTAAGTACGTGCGGCAAGTGGCGATAACCCAGCGGCCGTCCGCAGACACATCAACACCAATGATGGGATCACCAAGCGCAGGAAGCGCGGTTTTTGCATTCTTGCCAATCTGGTCAAACAGGCGCAGGTCACCTTTGTTTGATGCGACGGCTAGGCGGCCTTTTGCATCCGTTGCTGCGGCACTAAAGTCATGCTTCGTCGTGTACAGCTTGAATTGAGAGTCGACGAGCGTCTGGTCACGAAGGCGCGGATCGATGCGGAACACGCCGTTTCGTGATGTGCCAATAAATGTCTTCTCAGACGTCATCTGCGCATATTTACTTGACGGCAAAATGTTGTTCACTGGCACATCATCATGCACATGCCATTCTTCCACAACCTTGCCATACTCCAGATCCATGCGATAAAGTGCATGCTGGTTTTTTGGATCCATCAGCACCATGTCTGTGTCTTGATCATGGAGCATGACACGCTTAGGCGCAAAGGAGCGTCCCTGGGGCGTGCTAATCCGATTGATGGCTGTGGAAAACTCGAGGGTGTCGTCATCTGTGTGCTTAAACACGCCAATCTTGTCGCCACGTACGACAAACGCCCTGTCCGACTTGTATCCGACGGCCAAAGCCGAGTTGCGCTCGCCACCCATGTCAGGCATCACAGGCGCATCATCAGCCTGTGTGGCAGCTTCGACATCGTCCTCATCAGTGGCATCATTGTATTCATCATCGTCTTCATCCATCGGATCGAGTTGAGCCTCGACGGCATCTGCATCACCATCCTCGTCATCACTAAGCGCTGACGTGTGTCGCGGAGACAGCAGAGTGCTGTGATGCGGCTCACCTTCTTCGTCGGTCATGGCCACATCCTGCTCGTATGCCTGCTCGACATACTGCTTGTCGACATTCGACCCCTTGCCCCAGCGCTCTTCATGCAGAGTTTCCCAAAGCAAATGCGAGAAAGACTCTTGGAAATGATGGTACGACGATTTGTCGTAAAAACGCAAAAGCCACGAAAACACTTGGCGTTGCTCGTCATAGTAATTCCACACAGCACTGAGATTCTCGAGAGAAAAGTTCATGTTCATGCGCGAGTCGACGCCTTGGCTCAACCATGGCGACTCGGCGCCATCGACGACCATCCAGTCTGGTGCGTTAGAACCTCCGGGTGGTTTCTGAAGCTTTGTACGTACATAAGAATCGGCCTGCCTCTGCGACCTTGGCTGTCACATTCTTTTCCTGCCGCATAAACAGACCACTTGCCTGGTCATACAGGTACAAATCGGCACGGGCAGTCAGCACGATCGTCGGCTCAGCCGAGCCCGTGACACTCTGCAGAGATTCAGCCGCAGGAGGCCGGGTCGATTGGCGCTCCTGCGCAGACGGAAACGAGGTGGAAGTAGTGGGGGTGGTGGAAGCAGATTTGGATGCTGACGCCGTGGTCGCTGACGGGGCATTCACCGCGCCAGCTGCTCCTGTTTTTGTGACTTGGTTCGTTCGTACAGTCGGCTCGTTTTCTGGATGCCACTTGAGTGCCTCGAGATCTTCGTCTGTTGCATTTTCATGGCTCTGCCCTGTCTTTCGTTCCCACGCGCATTGAAGATACGTCACTTCAAACACAGAGCGCATCACAGAGTTGCATTGCGTGCCGTCAACGACAAACTCTAAAAGCTCGCCCGGCTGGCCCTGGACATCATTCCACACAAAGGTTGCAGCATCCCCTCGCCTACTTGCGTGAAAATGCAGAGCCTCGTCGATGAGGAACGAGCTCTCATCAGGAGCTGACGCGTCAATATCATCGTCGTCAATGCCATTGACATTCTCTTTCTGCATGACTTGCGATACGGCCAGCACATACTGGAATGGCACGGACGAGCGACGGATCGTTGCCACAGCCCTCTCATAAATACATTCACGCTCGCCCTGCAGACTGTGCGGCCTAAGTAAATAGAAGGCGCCTGCGGGCAGCTGCACAAGCTCGATATTTTCCTTATCACCTGTGTAAGTACGTCGGCTACATACTCCATATCTTTCCAAAGACTGTGTACGTTAGTCAGGATGTCTTCGTCAACGTACGGCTCTTTAGCATGAACATCTTTGGGGGGAAGGGGTGTCGTCGGGTGGAGACGTGGAGAGAGATGAATGCGTTTTGGAGAGAGGTACCACCCCTCACTTCGTAAAGTAGCGAAATTGGGACGCCGATGAATAAATCCTTCCAAAATCGCACGCAGTTGAATTAATTTGCGTGTTCGTTTGCCAGAACAGGCAAGCGTTGGCGCAGCCTATCACTGTTGACCTGCCTGCCTGCGTATCTTTGGCAACAGATTTTTTTTTCTTTTTTTTTTCTCGCTGGCGTTCTCTACGACCAAGCCACGCAGAGCCTCATTGCACATCACGTGCAAACGCCTTCGCTCGGCTCGTCTTTCCATTCCTGCTCTCATGTCCCAGTTCAAGCTGCCAAATGTAGCGGCGGACGACGAGTGCTGGGGCCCGCGATCGGGTCCTAGTGCCGCCTCCGTGCTTCCAAAAGAGTTTCAGCAAATTCCATTTGCGCCATTCTCGAAGAATGACCGCATTGGCCGCATTGCTGACTGGAACTCGTCCGGCACGAATGCTGAAGAGCGCGGCGGCGCATCGACAATGCCTGGCCGCTCTGCACGCAGTGCTCGAAGTGCCGCGGCACCTGCCTACTCGGTTGGTGCTCCCGTGAATACGTTTGCGTACTTCCACGGCGAGGATGAGTCCAGCTTCAGTGTCGTGGACCATGCACGTTCAACGGCGCAGCGACGTCCTGCTGCAGGTCCTGCGGCGCGGAACGGGCGCGGTGCAGCTGCATCAGGACGTGCGTCGGGCTTTGGACGCAATGCGTCATCAGCACCAGGTGCCCGCGGCGGACGTGGCGGCGGCGGCAGCCGTGCTTCTGGCTCAGATGCACGCGGCCGGCGACCAGGCTGGCGTGATTGGGAGCGGTCGCAGCGCAAGACACGCGAGGCTTCTATTACCGTCGGCCCTGACTGGGAGGCGATGGGTGATCTGGACTTTGTGCGCATGTCCAAGCTGCGTATGGATGTGGAAGAGCCTGAGGACGTCGGCTCGTACGGCACGCTGTACCAGTACGACCGGTCATACGATCGGGTCAGTGTGCGCTTTGAGCGGCAGCTGCAGCCCCGCGATCGCGTGCATTACAACCCAACGACGTCCGAGGATCCAGTGATTCAAGACATGGCAGCGAAAGCCAAGCAGCCGCAGGTGTACATGACGGACTCGATCCTGGCGCTGCTCATGTGTGCGCCGCGCTCCGTGTATCCGTGGGACATTGTCATTACCAAGTCGGACGACGGCACCTTGTTCTTCGACAAGCGTGCTAACAGTGCGATGGACTTCTTGACTGTGAATGAAAACGCCACTGAGCCGCCGATCGAGCTGAACGACCCTGCGAACGGCCCATCACCCGAGTCCAATGCACGCGCGCGCATCAACACACCAGGCACGCTGAGTCTGGAAGCGACGTTTGTGAATGAAAACTTTGGCTTCCAGGTGTGTGACGAAAACAAGACGTACAACTTTGAGCATGCAAATCCCTTCCACGCTGCCGACAGCGACGAGGGCAAGCTTGCGAGCTGTGGCTACCGGTACCGGCGCTTCAACCTTGGTACAGAGGAGAACGATCCCGTCGACATGGTGGTGCGCACAGAGCTGAACGCGTTCGTTGCTGGTGCGAGCGACAAGAAGCCACCGTCGCAGCTCATCACGATCCGCACACTGAACGAATTTGATTCGCGTGCGCCTGGCGCTGGTGGCGCGCCAGACTGGCGCTCACGCCTGGACCAGAGCCGTGGAGCTGTTGTTGCGACCGAGATGAAGAACAACTCATTCAAGCTCGCTCGCTTCGCGGTGCAGAGTATCTTGGCCGGTGCCGACAACATGAAGCTGGGCTATATCTCACGCTTAAATCCTCTCGACCCGTATCGCCACACAATCCTTGGTACATCTTGGTTCAAGCCACGTGAGCTGGCAGCACAGATGGCGTATAGCCTGCCGAATGGGTGGGGCATTGTGCGCACGATCATTGACGTAGTGCGTGCGCAACGGCCTGGCCGCTTCGTCCTTGCAAAGGACCCCAACAAGCAGGTGGTGCGCTTCTTCCGCGTACCATGGGACTTTGAGCAGCAGGACGAAGACGAGGAGGAGGAGGACGATGACGACGACGGAGAAGAGGGCCCGGAAGAGGAATAGCAAGATGCACGCCATGTAATGGATGGTGGCGATGATATGCGCACTGTGATGGACGTCCATGGACGTTAGCATTGTGTTTCACAACACAACGGCGCGCGTGCCTCTCATCACTCTTGTCTGTCGATTTTCCATTTTTCCTGCCTGCGTCTGTGCAAAGGTGGGCGGAAGCGCGTTACATAGGAACATGGCATTGTCACGCATACATAGACTACTATGAACGATGCTTCTGTGCACGGTACTGCTGGATCACACGTTCACGCTCCTCGTCCAAGATGCGCTGTCGAGCAGCAGATGGTTCGGCTCGCTCTGGAAGCTGTATAGCAGCGTCCTCTGTTTTTCTGCGCCGCTCCTTCGACCGCGCCGTAAGTGTGGGGGGAGCCTGAACAACATCATGTAGTGACCGCGACAAGGGTGCACGGGCGAAATCAAGCTCATCTTCCTCCGCCTTCTGAGCAGCGATAGGGTCCTGCGCGCGTTTCTTTTCCTTGAAAAGCTCGCGGCGTCTTTGTCGTTTCTTCCGATTCGATTCGGAGCGCAAGTTCGAGCGCATGGTCTGATTGATGTCGTGGGCGAAAGCTTGTTCTACACGCTCATTGAAGTCTTTAAGGCGCTCGCCGTGCCGAATGTGCATGTCCATGGGTATCGATAGTGTTTTGCCTGTGGTGGGTGTCTTGGCTCCAGCGGTAGGTGCATTCTCATTGAGATCGTCTTTCCGTATGCGCAACTTCTTTGAAGGTGGCGGCGGACCACGAAGAAGTTCGATGGCTCGGCGCGGCGTGTCACCCCATTCGCCACGCTTCTTGGCTTGTGGCGGCAAATCGTAGCCCAGAGCACTGCGCTGTGCGAGACGTGCTGATTGCTTGGCACGTTTCCGAGGCATGAGCTCGTTTTTTACGAACAAAATAAAAATTTACGCGAATGCAACTGGAGTGGCGATGTACACGGGAGTTGGTTGTGACATGCGCGCGTCACAAGCGAATGTAGGCTCAATTTTCCATCTGGACATCCAACATCGACGGGCGACAGTCAGGACGAGCCCGAGGCTTTTCAAACACTCACTGAATCGTTGTGTTTGTCTCCTTCCTGGGACTGTGACTCCATTGTGTCCTGGGCCCATCAACAACACGAGCTCTTTTCTTAACGCTTACTTCAAGATACTTGTCTCTCTCTTCACATGACCGTGACGGAGAGTGAGCCAGGTGCACCATGCGCCATTCTCTCTTTGCTTGACGCCCCTTGTGCCCAATTGATCAAGCAAGGGGCTGAAGCGAAGGTGTACTCAGTGGATCTATGGACACAACCACCTCACCTAGTCATGCCAGACGGCACCACGCTCGAGCGGCCGGCACATGCCGAACGCGTGCTTGTTAAGCACCGCTTCTTCAAGCGTTACCGACATCCAGCCCTTTCAACGAGTATCACATCCTCACGCACAGTTTCGGAAGCTCGCTCACTCGTGCGAAGTGCAAAGAGTGGTGTGCATGTGCCGCGACTCGTGTGTGTGGACGAGACGCGCGGCATTCTTGCAATGGAATGGATCGATGGACCCAGTGTACGGCAATGGCTCGGCGGCGTACCGGAAGAGGACGGAAGCGACAGCCGCGAATCACCAAGGGCGCCATATGTGTCCGCCTCTCCTCCTCCCACGGAGGAAGAGCAGAACCATTTTATGGTGCAGATCGGTGAGCAGCTAGCACAAATGCACTGTGCGGATGTGATTCACGGCGACTTGACGACAAGCAACATGATGCTGCGTTTGCCAGAGAAGGACGTGGTCCTCATTGACTTCGGTCTGGCTAGTGTGTCGAGTTTTTGGGAGGACAAGGCCGTCGACTTGTATGTGCTCGAACGTGCCTTCGCATCTACTCATCCGACATCCGAGCACCTCTTCCATCGTGTGCTCGACGCATATGCTGCACATACAACAAAGCTCACGCGTGGCCAAGTGTCCAAGGGTGAACGGCAGAAGGAAGGCGCATGGCCGTCGATTCATGCTCGTCTGCAAGAAGTGCGTCTTCGTGGACGTAAGCGAAGTATGGTGGGTTGATTGCTACGTCACTGCGCGACCCACATTACATCACTCGTCCTACTATGTACGTCGCGAATGAGCGTGTGGAAAACACCTTTTCCCCAGGCTGTACCGTGTGGAATCTGCGCCGCTGCGCTTCTTCTTTCTCAGTGCGCAGAAACATGGTAGCAATTTCATCACTGATATCTGAGTCGGTATCACTGACGTCCTGCTGGTCGATATCGTTGCGTGGGAGCACAAGCACTCGCACAAAAGCAAAGCCTGCTTCCTCCATCGCTTCTGTAAGCTGATATGTGCGAGAAAGCGCGTCAGTAAAAAGAGTGAACTGAAGCAAAGCGCATGATTCTGCCGGTTTTTCGGCAGAAAAACGTACCTCCTTCAGTGACCAAATACGAAAATCGTACGAAAACACATCTCGCAACCAGGAATGATCCGCGAAGCGGAAACTCAGGCTCATACGGAACCGGTTCGTTGTGTAGTCGATCGGTCCATCTTCGCGCCAATACTCAAAGCCGCCATGCGCCGTGCCCGTCCGCACCATCTTGAGTTTTCCGCGCGGCCACTCAGCGCGTGTGCCACGCTCTGTATCACTCGGTGCCGGACGCACGACGAGATCATCGTCGTCCGTATCAGGTGCTCGCGTCGGAAGCTGGAACTGCGCAGCATCCCCGGCTGTGCGGAGAAAGCCTGGCTCATCCCAGAAACGTGTCCACAGCTCATCTTGGTCTTCGTAGGCTTCACCTGTCGGCGGCCCGCCAAACATGTCGGTAATAAACACGCCGGTCTTGGGCCGCAGGCTCTGGGCGACACTCCTCAAGTAGCGGATCAGTGTTGAGCGATCGTGGAAGTAAGCCATGGCGTAGTTGAGTGAAGCCACAATATCAGGTTGCTCCAAAGATGTACCACCCATTGTTGGCGGCACAGGTAGCTCGAGCACATCACCATGAAGAAGCACCATGCGTGGCTCGGGCGCAGCAGCAGTGGGACCATCGCATTTTCCCTGTCCTGCGGTCTTCTTGGGTTTGCGATCCTTCCGCTTTGCCAGCCGACGATCAAGACGCTCTGATCCCTGGCCTTCAGCCCATGATGTCACGTAAGTGTCCTCATTCGCAGCTGCCATAGTTGTCCTTGGCTCCATAGATTCTGCGGGCAGCTCAACAGTATGCGTTTGATGTGCGAACGTGGGGCTCTGGAGCAATTGGACGCGACGGCCGCCAAGCTTTTTCTGAGTATCACGCAAAGCATCCAAATCAATGTCAACGCCTTGCGATCGATTCTGAGGTCGCAAAGTCAGCCATGTATTTGCAATGATGGCTAGAAATTGTCAGTCATCCATACGGATACGCACCTGTGGAGCAAAAGTCTTCACGAAGGATTTCAGCATCGAGACGATCCGAATGTTTGTCTTGTGAATTCGTGTATAATCCATCTAGATTGACGCATTCGACCAATGGCTCTTGTACGGCCTCTTCATAACATCGCAATACATCGGCTGTAGCTGCGATCGGCACATGTGCCTCATCTTGCGTCGCACCACCACTATAGCCCTGGTGCCTTGCTTCGTGGGACATGCCGTCAAGTGGAGAAGAATGATGAAATTCAATATGACGAATAGAGAATAAATGCAATCCATTCACTTTTATCGATCCGTCCTTTCATCCACTTGCGTCGGTAACGTCCGTTAGTGAATTTTCGATTCAAATGGATATGATATATCTACATGTAATTATGGTTAGGTGCTGGGTCTATTCCAGAGCATCATAGTGACTCTTGACAAGCTCTTTGCAACTATGGCCCAGATAGTTCCGCGTCTGGAGAAATGGCGACGTCTTGGAAAAATGCATGTTGTAAAATCCGACTCGCTGGCCAGCGCCGTGTACAGTCTAAATACAAGCAAACGCTCGCTAGATGGACCACGTACTGCACCTGCTGGCGATAGTCTGACGGCTCTGGACAGCCGTCAGGAGGCTCAAACAAGTCGGGACGAAACTGCTGGATCAACTCCGGGATCCGACGGCCGCTGTGATTTACCGTCGGCAAATTACAAGAGAATGTCCGGTTGTGTAGCATGGCACATTGCTCCATACGGCGCTGGCCAAAGATAGCCGCAAGTTCTAAAAGTGCCTCTGTGTCGTCATTTGCATTGAACAGCGGGAAGCGGCGCAATAGAAATGATAGTAACACAATGCCCGCTGACCATATATCGATGGCAGGCGTCTGATCTGGACATTTCAACAGCACTTCTGGCGCACGAAAACCGCGCGTTCCCGCACGATTTGCACGTATGCTTGGCCGTGGATCATTGCGCAGATAGCCAACACGGTCTGGTGGGCCCATTGGTGCCATGCGGCTGACATATGAGCTGGATTTACCACCATCTTCGGACCGCGCCAAAGCGCCACCTGGCTGTATATGTGTGCTTTGTGTGGTATAATTGATGCATTGCTCACCGTGCGGATGCTCTGGAGAGGGTAGGGTATGATGGCACTTTCCATGCCATTCAGAGGCGTCAAGACGCTCGGCGAGGCCAAAATCACACAGAGTGCCGTAGCCCGTGCGAGGATCGTACAAAAAGTTTGCCGGCTTGATGTCACGGTGCACGATGCCCTGCCTGTGCATAGCTTCTAACGCAGAAAACAGACAGTAGAAGTAGCACGGGAAGTCAGACAACGGCATGATCCGGTAGTAGTCACGAAACTCCGAATGCCGGGTATACGGCATGACGACCATAACCTGGTCGGCTGAGCGGAATGCCGTTATCAGGTACGAGATGTACGGCTCACCACGGAGCGACTCCATAATCTCTAGCTCGTTTAGAATTCGTGCTGTGCTAGAAGTAACATAAATACGCTTTAGCGCAACATAGACTGTTCCACCACGACTGCGCTCTCGTGGTTTGATGTAAGGCGTGTTGCTTTTGAACCACTCAGCATTCGCGTACATTTCATGATGTATATCAATGGCTTTGTAGACGGACGAGAAAGTGCCTTCGCCTAGTTTGTCGACAATATGGTATGCTTCGATTCCATCAATCGTGTCATTTAGCTGACTGATTTCCTCCTCGAGCCGCTCAATGCTTTCTTCGTCGCGTCCCGCATACAAGTCGTCTTCGCTTTCGTCAGAGCATTCTTCAAAGTACATAAGCATAGAGTCATTCGTCCTTTCGTTGCTTTCTTGTTCCTCTATTTTTCTTACTTCCGTCTTTAATTAGCATCACGTAGGTATACATACTCTCGTGTCTGACGCCCTGGAACCCGCCACCTCCTCCGCCATACTTGCAGCAAGAAACCGTTAATCGAAGCCTTCTCAAGCCATTAAACGACACTTCACGTTACGCGTCGCACACTGATTATCACGTGACCTACACGGTTCTCAACTTAAAGTCGTGTGTGCCATTGCTATTCTCAACACCGTCGAGGTTAGGCACGCTATGAAAGCCTACAAGGGGCGGCCCTTGTTCGTAGAGATCCATGCTTTTTCGGCATCTGAGCCTTTCGGTAACACGTAGAGGTCAATGATTCCATCACGCAGAACGATACCATCGCGTTCTTTAGGATCATTGTTCTCCGACAACTGTGCGCCTTGGTCAAGGAGTTCACGCAAACTCAACTTGTGGCCCATACGCAGCAGACGTCCTTTACGAGTCTTGGCAATCACGGATAAGTTTGGCGAGACATATTCGCCTTTTGTGTCCCAGGGCAACGACCCACGCGATTCTGGAGGGAACATGACGTCTAAATGCATGCCGACCGGCGTATCTTCATGGTACTCAGAAATAAGGTCAGACGTATTGTACTGTGGATAGAGCATCATGACTGGAAAAATAACAGGGGTGGTGATAGGGTCCGGAGCCTTCCATGGCCTCAATGCACCGACAAGAGGAATGTCTTTTGAGGAGGCGGGTGGGAGGGACTCGTGATCGAAATGTGCCGGCGTTGGGTTATCGGGTGGATCATTGCTTTGTTTCATCCAAAGTCCACGAGACACAAAAGCCATTTGAAGTGCCTGGTTCTCGAGTCCCTGGCGCCGTTTGCGCTCCGCACGCTCCGCCTCTAGTAGATCAAGACGTTCTTTGCGCTGGGAGACACGTTCTTGGAGTTTCACAAGCTCTGGGTTGCTAGGATCAAGCTCCAAAGCCAGATCACTGCAACCTTTGGCATCTGCGACTCGATCTAGTGCGAGAAACCCTCGCGCGGCTCGGTAAAGTGCCTTCACCGATTTAGGATTCACTATTAATGCAGCGCGCGCCTCATGCAATGCGCGTCCATAATTTTCTGTATGTCAGAGTATTTCGTACACGTACGTAGCTCGAGATGACAAGCCGCGCAATTCAGGTGTAAAGTCTCTTTCAGCTTGGCGTCTTCTGGCTCAGCTTGCAGACCTTGCTGGTAAAATCCAGCCGCTTCTTTGTACCGCTTCGCACGAAAGTATTCATTGCCCTGATTCTTAAAGTTTTCTGCAGCCTCTGAATGTGAGCAAAAGATGCAGACTACAACGTACCATTAGGGGGCCCATCAAATGCGAGTGTTTGCAATGCCTCTAGAGCAGGATTTGGGGTTTCTTGCTTGGGAAGATCACGCATGAAGAGGGGGACTGTATCGAGCTCTTTCATTTTTTCCTCATAGTTTGGACGTTTTGGTGGCTCAGCCGTCCTGCTGTGAGTTTCCTGGTCACACTTACGCCACAGGTGCTGATGACGACGTCATGATGTCGTTGGCCATGTTAGAAAACGGAGCCGAGACAACAGTTTTGTGGAGGTGTGTCGAAAGGGGCAGCTGGGCTTCGAAGTAGTCGCGTTTAGCAAGTTGAGCGCAGTGTGTGGGGGAAGAGACGGTGATTCGAATCAAATTGCGGTGTCGAACACTCATCACATTTCCATCCTGCCCCACCTCCATCCTACTCATTCATCATGGGGTGCGTGGCTTCAAGACCCAAAGTTACTATTGACGAGAAGCGCGCATTGTTGGCAGAGTATGCGTCAAATGCAGTGCATTTTGAGTGTGTCGACACAACGGAGCGGTTGAATGCTCTGAGAGAGGCTATGAAGGCATGCTGTCTCGATGCTTACATCGTTGGTACGGAAGACGCGCATGCATCTGAATACACGGCAAATTGTGACAGAAGACTTGCGTATATTTCAGGGTTCACAGGAAGCACAGCTACCGTCGTGGTTCTTATGGATTCAGCACACTTTTTCACCGATGGACGCTACCATGTGCAAGCAGCGCACCAGTTGGGCGACGCTTGGACCCTCCATAAGGTCGGCGAGCGCGATGTGCCGAACTGGCGGGAATGGCTACATACATTGCGGGAGGGATCATACGTGGGTCTTGACGCGAGGCTTATTTCTTACAAAGATGCAGTGGAAATAAAAAAGTCGCTAGCCGCCCACTCCATAACGCTAACGTTCCCAGAAATTAACCTGATTGACGATATCTGGGGCAGTGAGCGGCCGCTTCAAGTACTTTACCCGGTGCAAGAATACAAGCTGCAGTTTGCAGGTGTGCACGCATCAGACAAGATTGCAAGGCTGCGAACGTGGTTGTTGGAAAAGGGCGATGCTGCCTATGTAATTTCGGCTCTCGATGAAGTTGCATGGTTCCTCAACCTTCGCGGCGCATCGATTCCATGCAATCCTGTTTTTCCCGCCTATGTCATTGTAACGGCCCAAGAGGTTGCATTGTTCGTGAACCCCCGCCTCATCATGCAGCACATCCGGACATACCTAGCCAAGTTAGGCGTCACCGTGTACGACTATGAAGCTGTGTGGAAGTGGCTGCGAGACACATCAGTGGGGCATGTATTTGTGGATTCCAAGGCTTCATATGCACTTGTCACCGCAGCTGGGGAACGAAATACAACTGTACAGAGCCCTGCTAGCCCTGTCGCCATGGCCAAGGCCCGCAAGAACGTGGTCGAAATCCTGTGCATGACGCGCGCTTACAAGCGTGATGGAGCAGCCTGGGTCAAGTGGGCAGCTTGGCTTGAGAGCGAGATGAATAACGGCGCCGAGGTGTCGGAGCGGGATGCAGCGCAAGCCTTTGAGCGTATTCGTGCAAAGGACCCCTTCTTTGCAGGCATGCAAGCGTATGACGCTATCAGTGCATCCGGGCCCAACGCCGCACTACCTCACTATGAGACGCCGACAGAAAACTCCCGCATTATTGATCGTATGACTCCTTACTTGAATGACTCTGGGCCTCAGTACTATGATGGCACGATTGACACAACTCGCACTGTTCACTTTGGCACGCCGACTGATGAACAGAAGCGCGCCTACACCCGTGTTCTGCAGGGTCACATTGCGTTGGCAATGGCTAAATTCCCTTTAGGCACCACTGGCGCACAGCTCGATATGTTGGCCCGGCAGCCGTTGTACCAGGATGGTTACAATTATTTGCACGGCACAGGCCATGGTATTGGTGCCTTTTTAAACGTGCACGAAGGGCCACATGGGTTTTCGTCATCGTCTGGAGGTGCGTCTGAACCAGTCGCTTTGCAGCCAGGCATGATCCTTAGCAACGAGGTACGTATGGATTCACAGGCTCTAGGGCCATGCATGAACATGTATTCGGCAGAATAGGTGACTAACTCATACAGCCTGGATTCTATGAGAAAGGTCACTTTGGCATCCGGATTGAGTCGGCAATGATTGTACGCCAAGCGGCTACGCATCGCGACTTTGGCAGTGCGCCATGGCTAGAGTTTGCAACACTGACTCGTGTCCCAATTTGCACGAAGCTCGTCGACTTCTCGCTCCTACACGACCACGAAAAAAAATGGCTTGCAAACTATAACACGACATGCTATCAGGACCTCATGCCACTGGTTAGGGGCGACTACCGCGCGGAGAAATGGCTCCGGCGTCAGCAAGCACAGACTCCTTCAGCTTGAGTTTGTTCTCTTTCTTGTCCATATAGGCAATCCGTTTCACTGCTGAGCTGAGTTGCTCTTTTAGCGATAGATCCTGCTTTAATCGTGCCCGGAAATGCTGCACCAAGTCGCTCGTCGATGCGACACGGCCCGAAGATATAAGCTGCACAATCTCTGTCTCTAGAGGCGATAAAGAGCGCGCCGATGGCGAGCCTGAGCGGACAGGTGAAGTAGACCGAGATTCGGTGCGAGCCTTTTTCTTTGCCTCGTCCAAACGAGCTGTTTCGTTCTTCCGCTTGACGCCTGACTCGAGTTCCGGTGTCTCAGACCGAGTCGGAGGCGTCGAAGCAGCAGAAGACTCCTTCGTCTTTTCAAGCCGTGCTTTTTGCTCACGAGCCGCAAGAAGAGCCCTTTCTGGATGCAAGACCGTCAACTCCTCATCTGACTCGTCTGACTCTTCACTCGCATATGGATTTTTTGCTTCCTCGTCACTGTCATATGTGTCGAGACCCTCGCGTCGGCTCAGTGCTTTCATAATCTTGCGCATCTGCCGTCCGCTGCCTGTCAACATAGCATCATCGTGCCGGCCATACTCGGATGATCCCAAGAGGTTATCTGCACCGCTTCGTCGATTCACAGCAACAGCGTCGTCTAGTTCGTCTGGTTCGCGCTTAACATGTGCGTCGTCCAAGCGATCTGCCACCATCTCACGCTTCAAGCGCTCATCGAGCTCCTTCGCGTCAGCATCATCATCGTCCTGGCCATCGGCACGCTCGTCATCATCTTCGAATGAGTCTTCAAAATCAAGCTCGTCATAGGTTGTTTCATTTTTGCGCACTGTTCCGAATAAGTCGTCGTCATCATCCGCTCGTCGCTGCGGCTCACCGCTAACGGCAACAAGCCGTGAGCTGCTTTGCCATCCAAGAGATGGTTGTCCTGGCAGTGCGAGTGCAGGCATACGACCCCTGGCTTGTCCGGATGAGCTGCCTCCAGGTGCACCAAGACCTGCACCAGTGTTGTAACGATCGCGCATGAACCACCTCTCTGTTTCCGAACTGCGTTGATGTCTTTCAAACTCCTCTTCCACTTGCTCGCTGGTCAGAACGCGTTTGTGCAGTTGCATAAATTTGTATTGGCGACGCACCGGCACGACCTTGAATCCGCCTGCATTTCTGTCATCAAATGCGAAGAGAACATGATGCGATGTCGACGTTTCGTCAGAGTCGCCTTCAAGTTGCCCGACCCAAGGTGCATGGGGTGCCATGGTTGACGATGAAGAGTTCGCCTCCTGCTTTATTTCTGGCGCAGGCAACTCGCGCCTAGATTCGCGCCGCTCTTTCTCGGCAAAATACCAAGCCTCGAGTGCCTTGAGACTGTTAGGCAATGGTTCGCGGGAACTCTCCCATTCCTGCGGCGTTTCAAAGTCTTCAAGGACCCACGGATAGTATTCTTCGTTTCGCGTGCGACGAGCAGAGCTGGATGACTTATGCACCTCGCGCACCCGCTTCTTAAACATGCGGTTGCGCGTGAAGCTTGTGCCTGAGCCAGTGGAAGCATCATTCTCCTGTGCTGCTGGTTTATCGATATCAAGATACGGACGAATCGTCTCCAAGTCAACATCGTGGGAAGGCCATTTCAATGCATGTCCTTCCTTGTCCATAACAGGTTTGCCCCACTTGTCAATGACCTGATCACCGGGCTTGGCAGGCGGCATCTTCACCCGTAGCGGCAACTTGCGATTCAGCTTGACAGGTGGTGTAAATTGGGACTCGTTATTTGGATCAACTCGCGTATGAGTAGCAAACTTCATTAAATGCGTCACAGCATTCGACGAGCCCATCGAAAAAAGTGGTATGTCACGGAAGCCGCGCTGCTGAACACTAGGTTTGACATCCTCGGGTTCCGACTTGATGCCATGTTCCTGCTTCATCGTCGTCAAAAGTCACGCACTGCGCACCACTTACCTAATATATTTCTTGCCTCATGGCGACGAGCAAGTCACACTCACTGAAGGAGTTCTACGGAATTGGTGACAATGATACGCCCGCCAAGCCTGCAATCTCGAAACCCTCTCTCGACGAATGGACTACGACAAAGCCTCTCGATGCCTTGCTGAAGGCATCGAATGAGTTAATGGATAGTATGTTGATATGCCTCAACTTACACATGTGACAGGTATCCGTGACTTGTACGCTGATCGGCAAAGTCTCGTGTACAACCACCATCAAGAGCTCGTAAATGCTAGCGAAACAGTGGGACACATGCGTGAAGGGATTGAAGCGCTTGGACCAAGCCGACAGGCTCTCGAAGCTCAGCTTTTGCAGATTCAGAAACGACGCACGATGCCCCCACTCCCTTCTCTCGCTTCGCAGAAGTCTGACTCTGAGTCGGGCTGTGACATTAACTGGGAAAAAGATGTTGCCCCAGTGGCAGAACTTCCTTTGACGTTGCGTTATATGATTGACGAGAGCAAATTCAACGATGCAGAGTCACTTTTCCAGACATACCTGCCAGTGCTGGAAGCGTGGGAGAAAGCAGGCGTGGTAGGAGCTGATGAACTTCGGAAAGATTGTACCTATATGCTTAAAGATGCGCAAAGAGTTCCAACATAGCTATTATACCCTTTAAGAGTCGTTCAAATCGATGTTTTCCATGTCGGCTTCGGTTTTTCGCTCGGGAGTATTGTCGGTCAACGCTTCCTTGTCAGTATGTTGGGTTTGAGTCTCCTCAGTCACAGGCTGATTGCCCTTGACAGCCGACTCATCGTCAGGTGTTGGCTTTTTCGATTCTGACTCCTGCTCTACAAATTGATGAAGGCCAGAATCAACGGGATAAGCTTTGTCATTAACAAGTTCCTCTTCGGGCCCTTCGCGAGTCGATGCAGGAGTTTGATTCGATTGTTTCTTAGCCTCGGACTCTTGCATCTTGGCCTCATCCGTCTCCAGCATAGTTGGCTCAGGGCGCATTTCATCCACTGGAGCACGCTCATGCTCGTTCTGTGTGGAAGTCTCATCCCATACGTTTTGGGCCATAAGTGCGTCGCTTTGAGGATTCTCTGCCGCAATGGACGCATTTCGTGGACTTCTTTGCTTAGCGGGTTCAGTTGAGGCCCAAACGTCAATAGTGTCATCATTCAACATAGCCGGTGCAGACTTTTCGTGGACATCAAGCACCTCTCTGTCCGAAGCGGGGATGACTGGCAATCCCGCATTGACTTGACCGTTATTTGTAGACTCCTCAACGCTGGCATGAGGACGCACATCGGCTGTATCCGCAGTATCAGAGACTGGCCTTTGAGTATTCTCTGATTGCTCTTGCATCCGGGATATTTGTTCCTGAACTTCAAGCGCATTTGGTGGCATGCAGTCGACGTAGAATGGAGATATGCTCAACATACTGTCTCATAAGTGAAAGTCAACATACCGTTTCTTATCACTGCAAGCAAAGAGCCAATGGGGCTGGATAATAGGCAAGGTGAGCTGTTCTGCTTTTTCATAGAGCTTCATCTGCTGTTCTTCAGTTGGACCTGGTGATACTGAACACACTAAATGTGTTGTTTCAAGCTGAATCTGATTACTCCAACGAGCCCCCAAAGCCTCTACGACTTTCTTCGTAGCTTCACAGAGACGTGCGTCAGGAATACAACCAAGACAAACAAATATTCCACTTAGATCATCAAGGGTATGAGTCTTAATGAGCAGTTCGTTAGAAGCAAATAATCCAGCAGAGGTAGACATGACTAGTTGGATCGAGTATTCTGTATCCATAGCTAGACCAGACAATTTCGTAGACGTGCTTGAGCGCGCTCGAGGAATTTTGGCAATGCGCTCACCATTGCGCAATACATCCAACGAAAGAAGATCAGCATTGGCTAGATCGAGGGGTTCCCACCCAATTGTTACAGTCGTTTGTGTCACACCGCTTTGGTGTATGACAGGGGCTGGAACTAGTCAGGCATAAATGTGGACGTACGTGAAGGGCTTTTCACACCATACTTCTGCAAAATCTCATCCTGCAGGGTAATAAATTCCTCGCGCTTTCGTTGCTCCTGAGTCTCGTTGCGTGTAACGCGGATGTCCACAACGCTTCCGAGCCCCACACCCCTTGGGAGCAGCACGGATGGAAACTCAATCAATGACGCGTGATCGCCAATGAGGATTGCCTGCGTAAGAAACATCGGACTTACAATACCAGCATCTTCTGTTAGTAGATAGACAACGTACCGAGCTTTCCTACAGTAAACGTGTAATTGTCCTGCTCGCTCGAGCCCATGGCGACGTAGTGGAGCAGAGAGCTAACAAGGTGTGCGTGTATTGACAAGCAGTACCGCTGACTAACAAAAGCACTTCAACAAATATTGTCCTGAACTAAGGTGCGTCTCCTATGGTATGGTGGAGGCGCAAGAACCGATTCTCCTTGCGCAAGTCATTAACTTCTTTCTTGGCTGCCACGAGGGCCTCACGAAGTGTGTCAATCTCTTCGTTTGCAGGGCGAAAACTGTGTCGGTACAATTTACTGAGCTCTTCGTTGAATACCTGGAAATTTGTTAGTCATTTTTCATTTGCGTACATTATACAATTCAGCATTCTCCAAACGCGTATCTCTTTCGAGCTCTTTCAACGATTCACTTTGTTCTGTGAGCTTCTCCACCTGAAGCCGAAGTGGAAGAACCATGTTACATTGGTTTTGAAGGTCGGAGTATTCTTCTTGCGACAGATGGACGCGAGTATCGTATTCAGGCTGTGTTAATCGAAGAGATGCAAGCTCCATTTGATTGTTCTCATAGGCACGCTCCATCTTCGTCCAAGAAACATTCAGGTGCTTCACGGCCTGCTTGAAAGCGTTCCATTCATCGGGCCATTCAGGCGTTTGAGCTGAGGGGCGGAAGCGCCGAAGTGATAGAATCCGTTCATTCAAACTTGTAATAGCATGTTTCATCGTCGCCAAGTCGGTCGTCTCAGAGGTTGGCGGCACATAGAGTATATCATCGCCCGATCTCTCTTCTGGGAGTGTCTCAAGCTGATGTTGCGATATATCCAGAGGTTGCGGCACAACAATTTCAGCGCGTCTTGACTCGGCAACCTCTCCCCTCTTGGCATGTACAACCACAGGCTGGTGACTAGGCGTCACTTGAATGTGCTCAAGCAATGGTCTTAACATGTCATGCATTTCCTTCTCAGAGACACTCGGAGCCTTTAGCTTAGAGAGTTCTTTGGGCGGTGGTGGTGGTGCCTGTGACTCGTCAGCCACAGAATTGTTGGTTGGAATAGGCTCGCTTGCAGATTCCCCAACAGTAGGATCGGGCAATAGATTATCGCCTGCCACTGGCATTGTCTCTTGCCCTGGTTCCGCCTTGGGTTCGGCATCTGGTGCGGCTTGTTCTTGCTCTGGTAATGAGAATGGCACATGTTCTTCCTCGAGCTCTGGTTTCTGAGTTGATACAGAAGGATTAGGTTCTTCATGGACATGTGTTGGCTCAACAGCACTTTCCGGCGGCAACTGTTCACCAGGAACATCGTGCATTGGTTCATCCAGAACCGCTTCATGAAGTATCTCCGCCACCGGTTCTTCCATTTTCGTCGGCTCAGGCAGAATGGGAGAGGAGCTAGGCATAGCGCCGCGTTCGTCGAATGGATTCGGCAAGTCGAGCGTATCATCAGCATACATACTTAATTGTGCCGGACCACGTTTATTTGGCGTACCCTGTTCATCCATTGGTTCAGCTTGAGGCATTGCCTCTTGCACAGGAATCGGCACATTCTCGGAACCCTCTGCTTCGCTTGGAAGAACGCGACGCTTTGGTGACATGTTGCTCAAATCGGCTAAAGGTACACTGCGTTTGCGGCCGAGCTGAAGTTCTTGGCATTCACTCTTCTGAACTGCCTCGAGACTTTCATGGATACTAGCCCGCACACGTTCACTCATAAGACTTCGTGCACGATGAACATTAGGCACATTGCGTCGCTCCGTATGCAATGATTGAGCACGACGCACGGGCTTATTGGGCGACACCTCAACAGGAACAACTACCGGTTTGGTTGAAGGCAATGTAGTCAACACAAGAAGATCCGCACATATGCGTGGCAAATCCGTTAACGGCGTGGTCACTTGTCGAGTTTGGGCACCCCACGCTCGACTCAGATATGCAATGCATTCATCTACATCTTCTTGAAGTTCCACATTCACAAACAGCTCAGAAGACCGTGCCATGGCGTCGCGCGAAGAATAATCAAGCGAACCAAGCATGATAAGCAGTCGATCGCGGCTTTTGAAACGGTCATATTGTGAGCGGGTAAATAGGGTCCAGAAGAGAGATAGTGGACCCTTTGACGAGTCAGTAACATTTGTTCGTGCTGCTAAAGCATGTCCACGAGCACGATAAATGACCTGGGATTGCCATAGACAGTCAAGAAAGAGAGGAATATGAGAGGATTGTGCATCCGGCATAGCATCCACAAAGTGACGAGTCAAAACCCTATTTTGAGCTCCGCGCAACGGTCGTTTGAACTCCAGAGTGAATTGCGACCCCTGTCCAGAAGCAGAGACATCGAGGAGACTTGCCATGCCCGCAAATGACAGCTCCGTCCGCCTAGAATTTTGGTGCGGACCAATTTGTGCGGATCGCATCATCTCGGCAAGCCTGTCTGGCTCATGCACACCAAGAAGGATGTGGGTTGGCGTCGACGAATGACGCTGAATCAATACTAGCGCATCTGTGAAGATGAGCAAAGCGAAAGATGATCGTGTACGACGCCCAAGAACAGAACCAAGTGTGTAAAATGCCTTCGACTGGGTCGTGTCTGCAGTCAGTTCATCCACATCAATACAACCAAGTAACTCGCGATGCAGGCTAACAAGCTCGGGAGGGAAGCGATCAATAGTTCGTTGACAGCTCCAGAGTACGGCAGCCAGACGTTCTCCGTCAGTTACGCGACGTGATGCAATAAGCGTTGCTGCTGAAGATGCGTCTTGCAGCCGCTGCACTTGTGGGGAAGTTGACGGTAGATGCTTCAGCAAATTACCGATCAAAAGCTGATATCGTGGGATTCGCTGCAAAGGCTCAACCATAAGCTCACGGAGCCCAGCATTACCAACTCCCTTCATTGAATGCTGAGTTCTTTCAATAAATTCACGGAATGATCGATGTTTAAGCATCTGGTTGTACGTTCTCTGCGCTCTTTCAAAATTAGACAAATACGTGTCATAGCACCCAAACATGTATATCTGTGGTCAGCACACGAAAACAACTTACATTACGGGAAAGAACGCTTCCAACAACTGATGCTAACTGAGCTGATCCTTGTTCATACTCCATTTCCAGCTCACAAAGCAAAACTTTGTTGGCGGCCAAAATTTCGCCAATATTACCGAAAATGCACTCGGCCTCAGCTGCAGGAATAATTTGTGTATCCTTGTCCTTGGCTAGTTGTTGCAATGGTAGCGCATATCGCTGCGTAAGCTCTAATAGAATACTTACATTATACAATGCTTCCAAACGATTCACATAGCTGCGTTCAGTTGTGACAAGCTCAGCCAAAGCGTATTCCAACATCCGTGTCACTCGTATTTCGCCATTGGAGTACAAGCTCGCAGTCTGTGTGAGTCCAAGATTTTAGAACGTACATCGCTCAAAACCGGACTCGGTTCACCGGATATAGGAACAAAATCATCTTTTTTGTCGTTTTCATTTGCGGCATATATCTGTGTGCCCATCAGCTGGAGCAGCACTTCCAGACGAGGAACTATTGTGAGTTCTCAGTATAACATACTCTGGTTCTGTGTCAGATCATTCAGAACAACATCGCATAGCTTTGACACGATGGAGAACGCTTGCGAGCTTCCATAGCCCACAGCAGTGTCCATTGACATGCCAAGTCTATATGATCTAGTGGACGTGTACCAACACAACACGCGGTGCGCGTGTTTCATTTGGTATCACGTGTCTGTCACATGATGCACACTCTGACAACTATGACCATGCTCGACACGCGCACGCGTGCCTGGCGAACAGTAACAATCCAGCATGTCAGATCCGTTGCCACCGCCTCAGCGAACGGGCGTCAGCACCGTACCGGCGCGTAAGCCGAAAGAAAAAAGTCGATGGCAGACCTGGGGAGAATCGATTGCAAACAAGGGTGTGGCGTGGAATGACTGGGCTGCAGGTTATGTCAATAGCGCCGTGGAACGTACGTGTGCGCCGTACATTCTGACAAATAGGTATGGGAGCCGAACGATTCTGGCCTTCGTCCAAAGATTTTGAGCTTGAGGTAAAAAAGTGCACTAGGATTTTGCGTAAGTATTTTTCAATTGTAAGCTAACATTACAGGCACGTTTACATCCGATGGTATTGCGGTGAAAGAAGATAAATTGGCTAAAGTAAAAGTTTTGTACGTTTGCAGCTGTCTAGCTCATAAGCAGAAAAAAGATTCCACCTCAGGTAATTCGTGATGCAAAAGGTATTTGCATTTACACGTGCATGAAAACAGGTCTGCCCCCGTTCGGTGGTATGAATGGGTCAGGCTTGTTGCTTGGGCGTTTGCCTGATGGCTCTTGGTCAGCGCCGTCAGCGATTCTTCCGAACTATTACTCGGCTGGCTTTATGTTTGGTGTTGACGTTGTTGATGTATGTCGTTCATGTAAATCCAAGTATACTTACATTAAGATCGTTCTTATCATCAATACTGATGAGATGTTAAAGTCATTTCGCACTCACAAATTTGCCATCACTGCTGAAACAATTACATCGTCAGGACCTCTTGGTACACCTGTTGCTGGCGGACTGGAGTTTACGAACAAAGTTGCACCCATTTTCACCTATGTGAATTCCCGTGGATTTTATGCCGGCATCGAGGTGACGGGACAAGTGTTCCTCGACCGATTTGACGAAAACGAACGAGTGTATTACTGGCCAGGTATCAAAGCTGGTGATATTTTGGATGGTAAAGTCAAAGTTCCAGAGTGCGCAGAGCCTTTGATTCGAGCTCTTCGTGAAGCTGAATATGGCGTGGCTCAAGCTGGGGTCCTTGAAAAAATGGAAATGATGAAGAATTTGCCCTCGTCTATTTATACAGAAAATTTGGAGCGCACACTCGACTCGCTCCAAGAAGGTGAGCATATTCAACTCCCTCCAACTCCAGAACAACTAGATGCAATGGAACATGCAGGCTACAAGGACGAGTATGATGAAGCACTTGAAGAGCAGGAACGACAGGAAATCCGCAGTCTACCACCGCCGCCTATTCATCCGTCTGCGAAGAAAGGCCAGAGAAATATCTCTGGATCGACACAATCGCCCAAACCTCCTGTCATCCCCGCAAAACATGCGTCTCGTCCCTCCACTGAAATCAAGCCAGCTCAACCGAAAGGCGAGAGCCAGATTAACTCGAAAAATCTTGAGAATTTGCAACCTACCAATACAGAAGATAAAAATCAACAAATTGAAAATGAAAAATCTTGAAATTGTAGTATTTGAATTAAATAGTATGTAATTGTTTGGAAAAATAATATATTGCTGAAAACGTTAATATTTTCGTTAAATTACTGTCATTAGAAATATATTTAAGTTTTATAATTTATATTGTTTTACACTTTTTATAAAATTTAATCAAAATAAACAAAATATTTTGATAATAGTATTTCAGAGAATTATTTTTAAAATTAAAAAACGGACTGTATCATAAATTTATCAATAATGATTGAATCGAAAAATAAAGTTTAACCAGAACTTTTGCAAAAAATGTTGATTTTTCGACACCCTAGTTTTGTCCGGCTGTTCGGCACATGCCTTGGGCGTTTGCTCAGAAGGAACAACTTTGAGTCCTCAGATTGACAGTCTGCATGCTTTGGGACGAAAAAGTACTGCAGTGAGTGTTCTCACCTCCACGTCTTTAACCATGGTCGTCGTCGACGGCCCTTCGACATCGGATCTTCCAGAGGTTCGCATTTTCGTGGGCGACTCATCTGGTCGTATCAAGACTTTATACACAAAAAGCAAAGTTTATGAATCTTTGACTATTCCTGGCTGTCGATATGGCTCAGCAGCAGCATGCCAAGCACTTGTTTGTGGTACACTGAATCTAGATGAACCTGTGTGTGTGGTAAGTGTGTTATGGCTTACACAACAGCTTGCGATTGCACGAAAGAACGGCACGCTGGATATTGTAAAAGTTCCTCACCCAGAGGGAGATAAACGAAGCGAGTGCACCTTGCTCTGCACCATTCGCGAAGAACGAATGCGCGTGGGGTTGGAAAGATGGGTTGGTTTGCGCTTGACGCCTGAGTACGTGCGCTGATTTCTGACAATTAGGGGCCTATTTTCTTGTACATCCGGAGGATTCTTCCGCTATGTTCCTTTACAAAAGTGCTGTGAAGGCGTCACACTTAATGAAGTTTCAGACGAGATTATCGAACAAAGTGCGTGCAAGTGGACCGTCCCAAGTCCCTTGCACTTTGTGGCGTTTTATCCAGAAAATGAGTCTTGTGTTACACACTTTGCTTCGGGTGGCGAACAAGTGCTGTTATCAATTTGGGACATCAAGCAAACTCTTGATCATTACAGCACTCCCGAATCAAGTGCAATCCCATCCAAAAATTGTGTCACAGAATCGAAGGTCGAGTCTGCGCAAGAAAATACTGGAAAGAAACGCGGATCTTCTCACAAGTCGAGTAAAGGACAAGAACTTTTGCCAGGAGAAATATGGCGCGCGAAAAACCTACCAAATGACCATTTGTCACTGGCGCGCCCACCATTGATTCGATGTATTAGCTTTCTTCCACGTTCAAGTAATACCCATGATGGAAACAATCCGCTAATAAACATGAGAGTGATTGTCGGAACAAAGGATGGAGTATTGCGTGTATACGAGCCGGTCGTAAAGCCTCGACATGTTCACGAATGGCAAGTGGTACCAAAGAACCAAGGTTCAATACGTGTAATTCGAGTTTGCCCGTCTGAGAGAGCAATCTTTGTGGGAGATACATCGCGGCATTTGTATATGGTCGACATTCAGACTGGTCGCACCCTGTTCCAATACAAAGACATTACAGGCACTGTGTCGGACGTGTTGACTCTAAACGACGTACCACGAGACCGGACACTTGTGATTGGTTCTTCTTTGGATCACCTTATTCGTGTATTTGATACAGGAAAGTCTCACGGCTCGACGCAACGCCAGCGTGGAAAATTGCTGGATCAATACTTTACGGGCGTGGATCATGCTATATGCATGGCGTTAGACCCTCATTATAATTTGGACATGGCATCACCTGAGCATGAAGACGATGAAAAAGTATGGGCGAATATGACTGTGGTAGGCAAAGACGATCCCGACTCCGATACAGACGAGGCGAGTGCCAAACGTTCTGAAAAGCGGCACCGCATCTCCATAGAAACGAGAGATCCATAGGCTTTGAATGCCCGCATGTGGAGGTTCTTGCACCTTGTGCTTTGACTTCATCATGGCAGCAGTAGGCGCGTCAATACAGACGCTCTTGGACAAGGTACGTGCTACTGGATCTGACAAGTAGATGAGGTCATCCGATTCTGATGTTCGGTAAGCACATGGCACAGTTGACATTTAGTTACATGGCTCTGAACGATTTGTCGTCGAGTATATCGCAACGCTATTCGTTTTATTCATTCGATTCGGCCCTTGAACCAGTTATTTCGGAGAGAGTGTTGGAATTGCTGGGAGATCCCAATTCGGAAGTCAAGAACTTGGCTGTATCGACGTAAGTTTACCCGATACTGACGATGAAAGACTCGGTACGCTGTCTCTTCGAGTGCATCCTGAGCAGCTGGCAAAGATGCTGGACGTACTGTGTGAGGGCATACGGTCTTCTAACGAGGAGTACCGGGATATATGTTCACTTGGTAAGTGAAAATTTTGCTAATGGAAGCTTTACGTACGCTGATGGCTCAAATTTCAGGTGTTGGCGACAAAATGGCATCACTAGCAGATGAAGTGGTTCAGTTGATCATCCCGTCGCTTGTCGAACAAATCGAGTCGCCAATAGAGGGACTCCAGACAAATGCGCTTGATGTGCTTAATGATGTTTTAGTACACGCTGGCACCTTTGTATCTTCACATGCTCCATTAGAACAGGCGGTTGCGGATATCCTGTTGTCCAAACTTTCATCTGGTCGTGCATCGCTTGTGCGCCGGGGTATTCAAGGCCTGAGCTTCTTGTCTCAGGTGTGTAGAATACACACTTATGATGCTATTTTGGAACGTGGTTTGGCAGGGCTACAACCACCTTTCTTGTCTGAGGCAGTTGCCGTACAGTTGCTGGGTGTGTTGGCTAGGGAGACCCCCCAGCGTCTTCGCCCGCACAAGACCAAATATACACATGGCTTGATCTCGGCACTTGAGCGAGCAAACCAAAAAGAAGAGGCGGATGAATTTCGGGAGTCCTGCCTGGTTTCACTTCAGTCACTTGCACGCATGGCAGGCGCTGAGCCAGAATGCATGAAGGGCGCCTTGGAAACAGCTCTGAGCATGCTTCAGTACGACCCTAATGCTATGGATGCCATGGATGAGGATGACATCGGCGATGACTTGGAACTTGATGATGACGACATGTTGGACACTTTCTCAGACGACGATGATCTCTCGTGGCGGGTGCGCCGCGCTGCGAGCCGCTTGCTCGGGACATTATTTGAAGAAAACCCTCAAGAAATGGTGCCATCAGCGTCTCGTGTAACTGCTGCATTAGTAGAAAGACTTAAAGAGCGCGAAGAGACGGTGCGCTTGGAGGCTTTGGGAGCTTTGAAAAGCGTACTGATAGCTGCCCCTGAAGCCTTCCGATCACACACTTCAATTGTTGAGGCACTCTGTACGTGGCGAGGTGCAGCGGCACAAGTGGCTGCATTGGATGCACTCGACAAGTTCGTCTCTTCATTCGGGATGGCCTTGTCGCAAGGCGAAAATGCTCTGAATTTGGCTCTATGTGCCGTCGAAGATGAAACTAAAACACATAGCAAAGGGCGTTGCATTGCTGGTTTGGCGCTGCTTCGCCAACTCTGCGTCTGTGTACCAACCGTCGTGCTTCCTCATGCTGTACGAGTCGCTACAGCGCTGGCTGAATCGAGTCAGTTATCTCACCACCACACAGCACTTGAGGGGCTCGAGGCAAGTACGCAGTTTTTGTGGCACGTGGGACCTCGAGTGCCTCAACAGGCCGAGCTTTTATGTGATGCTGTCTGTACACGATTGGAACGCTCTGACACGGATGCTTCCGTGCGTGATGCTGCACTAGTAGCATTGGATGCAGCCTTATGTTCGACGGGTGCGCAACTTACCGACCGGCTACCTCGTGCCTTGGCATTGATCTATGCGCGTCTGACGCATGAAGTGACTCGTGCTCGATGTGTGCAAGTGGTCCATGATGTAATGACGTGCAGATCGCTGCAGACATGCGCTCCTACTAAAGATTTTGCACGTCAATGTCTGGCCCCTCTGTCAGATCTTGCCCGTCAAAGAGACACTGCTACATCTTCACTCCGTGCCCTGCACAGTGTTGCTGTGCTGCTACAAAATGAAGCCCAGCCCACGTTACTTAATATTCTGAGCCGAGAATTGCCTGCTGTGAATTCCCCGATGTTGCCACCCACGCTTGAATTGGCAGAACTTGCTGTACAGTGTGATCCCAGTGTGGCGCATACTGTCGTTGACAACGTGCTTCCAGGCTTGTTGAAGCAGCTAAGCGATGTTCCACCTCCTGCGTTGGAGGCTCTTCACTCACTTCTGACATCACTTGCATCAGCTGAGGACTCGCTCGCACCTGCCCTGGTAACTGCTCTTGAGCATGCTTGGGAGTTGCATTGTAGCGACCGAGCAGCACAGGTACCTCTGGTCTACGCTCAGTGCTTGGGAGCTGCCGCCGCTGCTAGTGACTCAATCAGCACAGTCCTGGCTCGTGTTCAGGCATTGTTGAAGGAACAAAGCACCACAGCACAGACCCTTGCACTGTACGCCCTAGGTGTGCTGGGACAAAAAGGCTTGCTTACAGGCTGGCCACATGCGCAGCATGTCTTTAAGACAGTCTTGAACTTGCATTTACACGGACGTGCATTTGCTTTGGGAGGGATGATATTGAGCAATGCTTCGTTTGCTTCGCCGGTCATTGAAAAGCTGGCGGGGGGGGAAGCTGATGCTGCTCGTATCTTGTGTGAAGCACTTTCGCTCGCATCTGAAACCCAAACCCGAGACTTGGCGCCAATGATGTGGCCCTATCTGCAAAGTGCTATTCTTGCTGAGCACGCGCCAGATGCATGTGCTGAATGCATTGCACGTATCGTCGTGGTTGATACGAAGCGCCTTGGCGAGTTGGCTCAGCTAGTTCAGGCACCACAAGTGCCAATGCGAGTAATGGGTCTGGTCGCTGTGCGTACACTTTTATCTCTGGATCGCCAAAATGCAGCTGATGACGAAATGAACAAGTACTCCGGCAAGTTCTTTGAGAGATTGGGAGACCCTGAACTGCCAGTGCGTCGAGCGGCCATGATGGTTCTGCATGCAGCAGTGAACAGCCGAACGACACTTATGTTGAAGCATGCGTCACTCGTCTTGCCTTTCTTGTACGATGCAACTGTCGTCCGCGAAGACTTGAAGCGCAAGGTGCTTATGGGTCCATTCACAGTTATCCAGGATGACGGACTTGACCTACGCAAGAATGCGCTCGAGACACTCTTTACATTCGTTGACACGTGTATCGATTGCCTCCAACTGCGTGATGTCATGGACTGTGTGTTGCGTGCACTCAGTGATGATGACAGTGTGAAGCTACTCGGCTGCCTAATGTTGATGAGACTTGCGGACCTGGAGTACATGGACTTGACGCCCTACCTCGATGCAATCACACCAAAATTACAAGCCATTCTCACGCGCAAAGTGCGCGACAATGCCACGAAGCAGGAAGTCGAAAAGGCGTCGGAAATCACACATGCCGTCCTTCGCGTGCTGACTCGACTCGCTCCCTTGGCCCCTTTAAGCCCCTCTTTCACAGAGCTTCTCGCACAGACACGCGCCTCTCCACATGGTGAAGCGTGGCTGCGTCTGATGGCTGATCGATCGACGGAAGGGGCCCGCCCGTAAAACAAGGATCAAGAGGTGGAGAGAAAGCCAGGCCAAGCCGCGTTCCTGCACGTGCACCAAAGCAGCAAAGTACCCTCACAAGGGTTCGTCGTTCATATAGCAGTGATAAGCGTTTGATTCCATCCTAGTAAGTGCGATGAGTGGATGCGTTGAGATCCCCGGTCCGACGTCGCCATTGGCCGTGGGACGCGGACAGCGCTACTTGTGTGTACGAAACTTTCGCCTTGATTGCGGGGTGGAACTTCAGAATGTGCCCGTCGCCTTCAAGACATGGGGTACGCTCGACCCTGTGACGAAGTCGAACGTTATACTGGCGTGTCACCCTATCTCAGGGAGTTCCGATGTAGAGGAATGGTGGACTCCCTTGTTCGGTCCAGGGCGCGTCCTCGATACAGACAAGTACTTTATTGTGTGCTGCAATGCCATTGGTTCACCATATGGCACACTGAGCCCGCTCACACGCAAAGGAGGAGAGGACATGTCAATAAACGGACACTGGACATGCAGCCCACACGTTTATGCACCCACCGAGCAAAATGAGCAGATTTGGTGGGGCCCAGATCTACCGTCCACAACAATTCGTGACGATGTAAGGTACGTTGTGTAGCACACGTTGTAGTGCGGGACATGCTCTGACTCTCGATCACCAGACTTCAGAAGCATGTTCTCGACTTTCTGGGTGTTGAGCAACTTGCATGTGTCATGGGTGGTTCTATGGGCGGTGCAACGTCGCTTGAGTGGCCTTTGTGCTTCCCCGTCCGTACGCCATCTTCACCCGACGCCATAACTTCGACCAGTTCTGACAAGCCTTATGTTCGCTCAATTGTTGTCCTTGCGGCGTCGCCACGGCACTCGGCATGGTGCATTGCTTGGTGTGAGATCCAGCGCCAAGCAATTGAAGCCGATACCCGTTTCAATGGCGGGCGGTATTTGCTGCGTGATCCACCACAAGGAGGTCTTGCAGCTGCACGTATGTGCGCGTTGATGACGTACCGCCAGCCACACAGCTTCGAGCGCCGATTCAGTCGTATGCGTGGAAAGTCAAATTTGGCACCGTCGCCGCCCAAAGAAGAGTCACAGGCATCCTCACTGATGGAAGAGGGTGGTGACGAAGACGTCGACGTTTCGAAGATCTCTCAGCCTCAGGCACAAGAACAGTACGCTGTACAATCGTACTTGCACCATCATGGTACAAAGTTTCTGACTCGTTTTGACGCATTGTGCTACATTCATTTGTCAAACAAACTGGATTCACACGACGTCACACGCGACCGTGAGTCATGGGCAAGTGGTGCGAAAGACGACGCCACCGTGCTCAAGGGTGTGCTTGGACATCTAAACAAGCCCCGCAACTCGCCCCATGTACTAATTCTTTCAGTTACGTCTGACATGCTTTACACTCCTGCAGAGCAAGCCTCGATTCATGAAGCTATTCCGACATCCGAGCTCGTGCACATTGAGTCCGCTGAAGGCCATGATGGGTTCCTGATTGAGTACCCTCAAATTGACCGAGCAATTCGTGCATTTATGGAACGCCTCAACGTGTCCCACGCTTCCTCTCTCTAGACTGAAATAGCCTCGCTTCTTCCACAGAAGCGTGTCTCGATAACATGGATGACTAGTCCCGTAGCTATATCTAGTCCGACTGTTTCCTTCAACAATTTCGCTCGGCGCCGCGAGCCTGGATCAATTCTCCACATCCTCTCGGTCGGTTGGCTGCCTGCTGCGCCAGATGGGAGGGGTGTGCCTCTCCATCGACTTGAACTCAATTTAGGCACAGGTTTTTTTGCTTCTACACTGAAAGCCATGTATTGCCTACGTTGGTGGCTGCCTATATTCATCTTGCCATTTCCGGCCGCCCCACCTGCATTTCTCATCCTGTTTCTTGTGAGCTATGCCCTATCCACACGACCGTGCCCTTACTGTGGTGCGATTGTGCTAGGCCTTGTGCTAAGTTCATGCTACTTTACGACACCGCACGAGCCCAAGTCTCTCACTATACCAGATGCGTGGGTACACACAAGAGTGGGGTTCGGCTTCTCGCGATTCCTCGATTGGATTATGTCCTCTCCATCGCCAGGCGCCTCTCAACATATCCCACCTAGCTCGTCATGTTCCACATGCTGGACAGACTTGGGTGTTGGTCAGGGTCGTGGTTTTTTCGTGCCTATGCCGCGCCATCCTTACTGCGAAAGTGGCGTCTCATACCCATCACCTAAGGCGCCTTCGACTCTGTTTATCGGTGTCCCGGGCACAGCTTTGGGCTTTGAGCTGGACTGGAGCCTATTTATTAAACCTGCCTGACTAGTGCGCTTGCAGACGAACCCCTCTCCTTATACTATATGTGCCATTGATGGATTGTTTTCTTCTGCACATTGAGTGCTTGCAGATGCTCGCGGATCCATGCAGTTCGCTGCTCAGGGACGTGTGCAAACATCTTGTATCTCTTATCCGCCTGTAATAGTTAGTGAATGTGTCGTAGCGGTAACACATACCTTGAGCACAGATTCCATCGCCTGAATGTCTAGTTGAGATGCCATATCAAGTAATGACACGGTTGTTTCCTCATCATCGTCGGCTTCATCTTCGCCATGCAAAGCGGGCGACATCTCGTCATCTCGTTTCGCCTGCTTCTCCTTTTGTAGTCGTCCCCAGAAGTCGACAAAGGCATTCTCCCGAAGCATGGTGAAGAATTCCTGCTGCGCTCGTTCTTGTCGCCATGCATCCCAGGCGTCAAATTCAGCTTCGAGATTTGTTCCAACAGCTCGTTTGTGAACGCCTGTATCTTCACCGACAAAACGTGGCAAGGGCGACTGGATGTACTCATCATCAGCACGAACTAGTGGCAGGACCACGTCTGCTGTACGATTCAGCTGTGGGACACCACGTTCATTTAGTGAATGCTTTTCAAATAGTCTTGCTAATTGGTCCCGCCGCCTCGATCGCAAGTGCTGCAGATGCTCCTCGAACATCTGACGCTTGCGTGCGTCAGTGACCACTCCTCGCTCCATCTCGCTGTGGAAGGATGAGGCAAACGATGATGCATCCGTCCATGTGATCCATGGATCACGAACTGTATCAATGAGATATTGTCGGAATTCAGTCTCGCGCTGTTCAACCAGAGCATCTGACCGTGCCAAATCAGCCTGCCGCGCTTGTCGCGCACGTTCTCGGCGGACTTGGGCTTCACGCTGCTCCAAAGCTTGCGCGCGTCGTTCAGCTTTCGATCGGTGTGTCGATGTAGTGGGGACAGCGCCTCCCAGCCACTGGTGGAACAGTTCGAAGCGGCGGGTTGCACTTCCCACAGCGTCGTAGCGTGGGTCTGCCGAAAGACCAGGTGTCTTCTTCGCTTTGGCCCAGACCTGCTGGGCAGTTTCACGATCAAGTGCATGCCTCGGGACATCAAATTCTTCAGACGATATATATTCGTTTAGCAGATGTATGTAGGCTTGTTCAGCTTCATGGGCCATTTTGAGTTTGAGCTCTCGAAGCTCGGCAAGCCATGAATGGAACATTCTCTGAGCTTTTTGCTCGTTCGAATCGCGCAGCAATGCAACGTATGCTGGATCATGACGAAAAGCCTCACGAAAAGCTGTGAAATCGGTGCGTGTAGAAGCGACCTGCTTTTTAAGCAGCGCGCTAAATGCTTTCTCAGATGAAGATGTCTTGGATTGAGAGCGCTTCTCACGTAGCCGGAACTTGCACCATTCGTTGAAAACATCCTCACGGTCTTCCAATGTAGGCAATGCACGATAAGCGCGTTCATGCACAAACTTCGGCAGTTCATGATCCCAAGGAGCCATGGGATTGACCTCCCGAGGTGTTCCATTCAGCGACGTGAGCATTTCCATGTACATGGCCTTTCCTTCTTCGAAAGCCAAGTCTGCGAATTCATCTTTATGTTCGATTGTGCTTGCTTCATTCTGTTCTAGTTGCTCTCCTTTCGCCTCTGTTGGATGCTCAGCACCGCAAACATCTTCACCGCTGCGAAGGCTTACTTCCCCGTGTTGATGTTCTTCCAGGCGCAAGCGTTTATGGCTACGTTCTTTTTCGTCTTGGCTATCGTCACTGATCGGCTCAATGCCCAATGCCCGCTCAAACTCTAAGACTTGCGTATGAATTTCGGAAGGAATCGTCCATTCTGAGCGCTTGGTTTTTTTTTGTGCGTAAAATACATTTCCATGAGTTGTCGTTACGCGTAGCCATCCATCCGTATTTGGGATTGGCACTCTGTGTAACGGCCGATCTGGCCCCGTCTCCATGCTCTTACTCGTAGTCGCCATGGTAAGACGCGTACAGTGTTCAACGATGTCCGCGTCAGGTCACATGACCTCTCCTTCTACACATCGCTTCGTCGAGATCACCACCATCACACTCGTGATGGACGACAGCGATGATGACGAAGTGATTGGTCCCATGCCTGCGACAGGGCCTGTCTCATCTGCACACGATGGAGTACAATCATTTTTGGAGCGTGAAGAAAGGCAGAGAGCGAGAGAAAAAGAGGTTACCCAGGCGAAGGAATCTGCCTCTGCAAGACCAGACTGGATGCTTACGATGCCGTCAACCGTAGAGGGAGCACGGACACATGCAATTCCACTTCGTGCGCGTGGATTTCAGCAGTCACATGGACGCGCCCAGCGTGTAGAGAATGAAAATGCCGCAGAAGCGCAGCGTTTATGGACAGAAACACCTGCGCAACGTCGTGAACGGATCACGCAGAGTGCAGGTGGTAGCGCACTCTCTACTGTTCAAGATGACGAAGCTCAGAAGTTAAGGCAAGACCACATTTTCTTGCGTGACGCGGCGATTCGCGAGAAGGTCAATCGACTAGTAAGTATGTTCGAACGAAGCTCATGAAAGAATGTAGAGAGACAAAAGAGCCTCGTTGAGCAGCATGAAGAGCGCCGGCGCGATGAACTACGGAAGAAACGGCGGGAGGAACAAGCTAGAGAGCATGAAAAATATGACAGTCACGACCGTCACAGGCGCCACGAACACCGCCATGAACACCATCATCGACGGCACCATGGGCCAAGACGTGAATCAAGCTCACACCGGCGACACAGGCATCGATCCATGTCACCACCACGCCGCAAAACTCGCGCAGAGCGTGAAGAAGAAGATCGGCAAGTGCATGGCGACTATGCACCTGCGTTCTTTGACAAAGACAAGGTTCTAGGAGCTGGATCGCGTCTTATGGATGATCGTGCACGCGCACGCTCTGTTGCGGACGCCGCACAACTATCAAACCGTTTTGCCTCGGGCCGGTCTGGCTCCTTTTTGTAGCATATTCACGACAGTACATGAACCCAAGTCACACGCCAAATCAGGCCCTCAATCCCTCCACATTCCCTCGCAATCTTTTTCGTTTCGGCCGAGATTCTCTTGGTTGCCCGCCACTCGATCGTGATCCTCACAGCCTCGCCACGAACAGGCTTGCTGTCAGTGTGCGCCCGCTGTGCGCCCCGCCATTGAACACCACGTTCCTGTACTATGGGAAATTGCTTTAGCTGCTGTAAGTGCTGAAATGTAGATCGTGTCATTTTTAACGACGGAAGGTGTGGGTTCACGTGGCCCCCAGTACGAGCCTTTGCTGCTTGACAATGAGCGAGATGCTGTGGCGGACTTGCTCCAATACTTAGAGAACCGCTCGGAAACAAACTTTTTCGCTGGTGAGCCTCTGCGTGCACTGTCGACATTGTCGTTCAGTGACAACGTAGATTTGCAGCGCAGTGCAGCGCTCGCATTTGCCGAGATAACCGAGAAGGAGGTCTGTGAGGTCGGTCGCGAGACGCTCGAGCCGGTGCTGTTCCTTCTGCAGTCACACGACGTAGAGGTACAGCGCGCATCGAGTGCAGCGCTCGGAAATCTAGCTGTCAATGCAGAAAACAAGCTCCTAATCGTTAAACTAGGCGGCTTAGAGCCTCTCATCCGGCAAATGCTTAGTCCGAATGTGGAAGTCCAGTGTAATGCTGTCGGATGTATCACGAATCTTGCTACTCATGACGAGAACAAGTCAAAGATCGCTAAGTCGGGCGCTCTTGTTCCCTTGACGCGTCTGGCTCGCTCGAAGGACATCCGTGTACAGCGAAACGCTGCAGGTGCCCTCCTTAATATGACACACAGCGACGAAAACCGACAGCAGCTCGTTAATGCAGGTGCGATCTCCGTGCTCGTGTCGCTCCTGAGTAGCGCAGACACTGATGTGCAATACTACTGCACCACGGCATTGAGCAACATAGCCGTGGACAGTGTGAACCGCAAGAAACTGGCACAAAGCGAGCCGCGACTTGTACAGAACCTCATCGGGCTCATGGAAAGTGGCAGTCTCAAGGTCCAATGCCAGTCGGCGTTGGCCCTTCGCAATCTTGCCAGTGACGAGAAGTATCAGATCGAGATTGTGCGCTCCAACGGCCTGCCGCCGCTGCTGCGTCTCTTGCGCTCATCATTCCTGCCGCTCATCTTGTCAGCCGCTGCATGCGTGCGGAATGTGTCGATCCATCCCATGAATGAGAGTCCCATCATTGATGCTGGTTTCCTCCATCCACTGATTGAGCTGCTGAGCCACGAAGAGAACGAAGAGCTACAGTGTCACGCTATCAGCACGCTGCGTAACTTGGCCGCGAGCAGTGAGCGGAACAAAGCTGCAATAATTGATGCCGGTGCAGTTGAGCGCATCAAAGACCTCGTGCTCCATGTGCCGTTGAGTGTGCAGAGTGAAATGACCGCCTGCACGGCTGTGTTAGCGCTCTCAGAGGATCTCAAGCCACAACTTCTAGATATGGGCATCTGTGAAGTTTTGCTACCACTCACAGATTCGCCATCAATTGAGGTTCAAGGCAATTCGGCTGCGGCACTCGGCAACCTTAGCAGCAAGGCCGATGATTACTCGCCCTTCAATGCCGTGTGGGAGAAGCCCGCTGGTGGTCTACATGGCTACCTGGTGCGCTTCCTCGAGTCGGACGATACCACGTTCCAGCACATCGCTGTGTGGACACTGATCCAGCTGCTTGAGAGCGGAAACAGGGATTTAGAGCAGCACATTCGTGAGAGTCCACATCTTCTACAACTCGTCCGTCAGCTGCAATCACGAGAAGACGGCAGTCATACAGCAGAAGAGGATGTCGATGGTACAAATCAAGACCTGTCTCCTGAGCGGGAGATCGCAGCGCTCTCGCGACGCATTGAAGAAATTCTGTTTGATGACAGCGATGGTGATGACGAAGGTGCTGGTAACACCAAATAATTGTAGGGTTCCTTTCATCGTAGGTCGTAGTTATTGGATTCCCCCTCCATTGGTAGTGATGTTCAGCCCCTTGCCTCGCCTGTTGAATGCGTCGACACACACACCAAATCAAACTACCTATACATCACACTTTTCTGCAGAGTAAGAGCCGTGGAACTGATCAGGCGTTGACAGCGGTGTACTATTCTACGACAAAGCAAATTACATCTCAGGTGCTGGGTAGTTGACCTTCGGGTTGTAGAACAGCGATTGCTGGCCCCATGGGAAGTTCTGCATGTGTTAGTCGGCAAGACTCTTGTACACCCTGGTGTTGCAATACGTGCCTTTTTCTTAATGTTCTGTTGAGTCAAATAAAAGTGAGAGATCAAAGAAAAAAAAAGGTGTTAATTCTCAAAGGACGCAAAATCCATCAACCACGTACCATGTACTCGTACTCTGGGCGCTCAGGGAGCTGACCGTCATTCTCCTCGAGAATGTGCTCCTGGTGCGCATGGTGCTCTGACTCGATCTTGTACATGTACGCGCCAAGCACGACAGCTATGGCAACGTTAGCACATCAACTCAGGGTTCACTATCGCCACGCATACATACCGCCAGGAATCAGTGCGTACAGGCTAATCTTGCGCCACATCTCGGCAGACTCTGTGCATGTAAGAGACGATTCTTTTCATCTGCTATTTGGTGTCCCCATACGTACTGCCGGCGTGCTCGAACGCGTGCTGTCGGTGCTCGACGAACTCCTTGGCAGCCTCGGCGTTTGGCGACAGCGATGAGCTATAGCGACGCATCACAGGCTGCGATGCACGCAGCATAGGCTGAGCTGTGCGCAGAGCGGCCGAACGAGGGATCATAGAACGGATTGCAGCCATCATCGAGAGACAAAAAGTATGAGGAAAGAAATACCCTATGATGGCACAACCCGACATCGAAAGCGGGTGTCGCCGGTACATGCCCGATGTCACGTGATTCGCTCCACGCGGCTCCATCGTTTCGAGAAGTCACTAACATGAGTGCATTCAGGTCAGTAGCTGTTCATCCTGTTGGTGTAAGTTGTGGCCAGTGCAAAGAGAGACAGGATCCATGTTTGCGTGAACAGTCCTCAGTGCTACAAGATGGGGAGATAGGTAGAAAAGATCGTGCTCATGGGATCCAGTGACTGGCACTGATCTCATGCACAGATCCAAACTTCCAGTCCCAAAGCGCACATTCTCCGTAGAATAGCGAATAAGGATGACAGACATCTTTGGACTCTTCCAACGCGTGTGCTTCTTTACTTACCGTGTTTGAATTTTTTTTTTTTTTTTGCGAGCACGATTCATGCCATCGAGTGCTCGTTGGCGTAACTCCATGATGTCCCGCTGAGGATCAGTAGTTCGCCCCTGCTCAGGTGCTGGCGTAGACGTGGTTAGTTGTGTACATGGGCGTTGTTCTTGTGCCGCTTCGGTTGAAGCAGGTGCCTCTTGGGGGACAGCTTCTGTCACGAAGCGCGTTTCTTTCGTCCGTTCGTGCATGCCTATGTGTAAATGGCCAAGTGGTCACGTACGTTGCTCACGAAATCTGCGGCTCGTGTCAAACATGCGAGCAGCACCAGGGGTAAGATATTGCACACCGTGTCGTGCTTGCCACGAAGCTTCGTCCTCACCTGGTGCAAGGTATGTCCATGCATCTTCTTGTTCTTGACGCGATATGTTGTTCGTAGGCACAGTCATGTCCAGTGCATCATGCTGCGCGATTTTTTCCGTAAACCATGCCCGTCTTGCGGGGTCCAAGAAGTGTGATGCATGGAACGCTTCAAGCAGACGGTCGTGTCCATGCATCACGTACGTCCCCACGTTTACAATCCTCAAAATGGGCCCCATTTTGACGCGCGCACACAACGTCGCGTGAATCAAGCACCGGTGGATGTCCACGTGGGCACCTGCAACCACATTGACTGAGAGGCAGCAAGAGAGTGGAGAAGCAGCTACGAACGTCCATCACCATATGCTGGGCTGTGCGTGCCCCCCTCCTTCGTTCACATGATGTGAGGGAGCAAGCAGGCTTACCGGGCTAGCATGTTACAATGCACGGACACGACATTATGCATCATTCTTTCTATACTACTCATGTTAGTGTGTGTGTTTTTTTTTTTTTTTATTTTTTTATTCTTTTTTTGCAGAGGCACGTACCATGGACTCCATCTCGCCAAACACATTTGCAAAGTCTTCCTTGCTCCAATTCTTCCCATAGCCAGCTTCGAAGCTGTTGGCAATGGACTCGGCAGTCACGGACGAGTCTGTATTTCCCACCGTAGTAAGCAGCCCGCGGAACCACTCGGGAAGCGCACGCACATATGGAAGCAGGGATGTAAACATGGGCTGTGAAATGGCACGGCCCAGACCACTGTCAAGCGTGTCGACCATCGCGCTGGCCACCTGGATGGGCTCAAGTACAGGCGTCAGGAAGTTGTTGTCCGAGTCCTTGAGTGCGTGTCCCAGGAGCGTGCGCACCTTTGTCGGTGTCACAACGGAGGTGCGCACGCGGTGTGCTTTGTACACGGAACGGAGCTCGGCACGGAGCGTTTCGTAGAAAGCAAGCGCAGCCGACTTGCTCATCGAGTAAGGTCCAAGCAGCGGCAAGGAGAAGTAAGAAGCAGAGCTTGCGACCACCATGAAATGGCCGTGGTTGTTTTCTACCATGTATGGCAAAAACTCATGCGCGAGAATTACGTTGGCCAGGGCGTTGATGTCGAATGTGCGCGAAAACGTCCTCGATGACGTCGTGAGGATGGGACCAGCGAGTGCCACACCCGCACAGCTGACGACGATAGAAGGCGAGTTACCGAAGTGGTCCTTGATCTTGGAATGCGCCACTGCGACTTCGTCCTTGTTTGTTACATCCGTGCGCACGTAGAGAATGTCCGGCGCCCCATACTTGGCTGGTGCGTACGTGGGCTCCGTAATGTCCAACACGGCAATGCGAGCACCGAACTTTCTCGAGAGGTGCTGAACAACGTCTCTACCAATACCTGTTGACCCGCCTGTGATGACGACTACGTCCTTCTTCCATTTTGGCCTGTCAGGTTTCGAGACGCCCAAATTGCTTGCTGAACGAGAGCAGACCTTGCTAAGCTCTTTCAACACGATGAAGATGACCATACGAAACACCCATCTATGCCGCGTTGTAAGCAATGTGGACCATTCCGACAACGAAGGCAGTTTCAAGAGTGCACTCGAGAGCGACTGACCCCGTCGTTCCCAAAGGAGTGCGAGAATAGGCAGAATTACTACGAACGGCTTTGAGAACGGCACCTTGTCAAGAGATCTGAGCACGAGATCAAGCGTAATCGGTTCGCGGAAGTGTGTCATAGTGGATGGTCGAATGAATGGATGTCGTTGAGACAGGCTGATCTGATTCACATGGCCAGTGCTTTCACAACGTCATAGGGTCGGCCATGTCATATTACCCACGACACACGTAGGGCGCCTGACCCCAACACATTCGCTGACTAAGAAACAAGCCGCGGCGGAGCACGCGGTCTGATGAGCAGCGTGTGGCACAAGGAGGGGGTGGCACGAGAGCGGATGGATCTCTGACATCAGCGCTTTTTGTCCAATCAAGCGCCTTTCTTCCACTGCGTTTTAAGGGATCGGCTCCTGGACACACGCTCGTCTCTCTGAGTCTGGTCTGGCGCGACCGAGCGGAGAGCCGTCGATGAGTGGCGACGTCAAGCTACCGGCCGAGGTGCTTCGGTTGCGCGATGCAGCTGCACGCCGGCTTGTTGATGTGAAGAATGTCCAGCTCCCTCGTCTGTGCGAGTGCACACATGCGGCGCAAGAGCTTATGGCGCTCGAGACCGAACTGAACGACACTCTACATATGGTCACATCATTGGTGCAGCAAATATCTGATGAGGTCGATGACGCCGAGTCTGCTGCTGAGCGCACGGCCCTGCAGGAACTCGCTAGAGCCCAGCAAGCGCAACTCGCGTCTGTTCGCCAAGACGCGCGGCGTGCATTACTCCAAGCACACCGTGCGATGGTAGCTAGACAGGAGTCTGCTGCACGCACATCTCTTCTGGCAGCATCGTCTCGGCATGTCGGTGCGAGCACGGCGCCAACGGACCGTGCCAGTGCAACATCGGAGCGAGTGACGAGCACGCTCCAACGCACCGTTGCGCTGATGTCGTCGGAGCTGGAAAAGTCGGGTTACTCCGCACAGCTACTTGAGGAGTCGTCTGAGACCATTTCCCAGGTATCGACGAAGTATGCGTCATTCAACGATCTGCTGCGTGATTCCATTTCCATGATCCGCCAAATGGAGCGTGCCGAGCTCGTGGACCTTGGCATTCTGGCGGCTTCGATTGTATTTTTCGCTGGCTGTGTCATGTACATATTGTATGCGCGCATATTTAGCCGCGGTCTCAGCGCCATATCTCTGGTGTGGCGCACATCGAGTTATGTGGGTTCAGGCGCTCTTGGTGGCTTGTCGTCGTTCTCTGCCGCTGTTTCGTCTGTTGCAAAGGTACCTCAAAATCGCCCTAAGCCAGAGGCACCCGGCATGTCTGCGAGTGACGTACGAGAAAGCGATCTTTTGGAAGATGCCTTGCGGTATGCAGAGACAGCTGCTCCTCAAGAGCATGCCGAGATGCCAGGGATGGACGCATGGCAAGTTGATCATGGGCGGGAGCGTCGGAAAGAAAGCGCTAGAGAAGAATCCAGCAGTCCAAGTGATTTACGCGACACACACAGTTCAGGAGTCTCGTTTGAGTCTGGCCCAGAGACGTCGCGGCCGGATACGGCTATGCACGTGCTTGACTCGCCGGCCTTGACAAGTATGTCAAGCGCGTCGATACCCGCAGCATCGTCAGATCTAGACTCTTTTGGCTTTTACGAGTCGGTGCACCTGTCCTCTAGCGCGCAGTCAGACGGTGCAGTACATGGGACGAGTGTGCACGAGGACATCTCAAGCATGACGGCCAATCCTGTATCTTCGAAGGACACGTCAGACTCGACCGACGCTATATCCTTGGCGGGTATGGTGAACTCGAAACACAAGTCCGATTTGAATGATTCGGCAGACTTAACGGATCCCACAGACCTGAAGCACGCTACAGACTCGATGGATGTGTCTGAGCCGACTCGCTCAGCTACTTGGGATCCGATAGTGTCATCATCTGTCTTGGGTTCCTACTTGCATGTGCCAACGTCAGAGTCGGCTTCTTATTCCATGCTTTTTGACCCCAAGGCTACTGCATCGCCTGACCGTGGTACTTACCAAGCTGAAGCAATCGCAGGTGCTGTGTCAAGTGGATACGAGGATACTGAGCACATCAAAGGGATTGCCTCTTTGGCTAGTGAGGAACAGCACAGCCCGGAGAATCTGCCAGCGGAAAAAGAACCTGGTTCTAAGCTTGAGACTGCATCTCCCTCTCCCACACTATCACCTGCGACTTCTCCAGCCAGCACGCCTACCGAGAACATCGGGCTTATCGATCCGATACATGGTTCTCCAGGCATGCGGAATGCAGTGCCAACATTAAAGGCTGAGCGGGAATCCCAAGAAACAAGCGATTCAGGAACGCACGCAACCGACGTCGAAGCTGGCGCCGAAACTAATGCAGAAGATGATGCCGAAGCAGACTCGACTATGAAGCCAATGGACGCGGTCGCTGCCAAGGCTCTCTCTGCTGAATCCATTGAACCTGCTGAGCCTTCTGAGCGAGAGCCGCCGCACCACGCATCTCCATCGTCAGCCATTTCTCTGACGAATGGATCGACGTCTTCTTTGGTGCCGAATGCGTCTGTTCTGTCACAAGATCTATTGCCGGTCCCATGGCTTTACAACTCTCTATATGCAGCAGAGAATGCGAGCCTGACCATGTCGCGTCTTGATGCTTCATCTACACCGACACCCAAGCCACATGCATCCAGAGCTACGCTCACAAACAGCAGATCGATGTCGTCAGCATCACTCGCAGAACATGCTTCTTTGCCCGAAATATCTGCGTCGTCCTTACAAGTGACGCCTGTAGAGCCGCACGCTCCAACTGACAGCCCAAGCCAGATGGAAGAGGAGGCTCCTCGCGGATCGCCAGGCGTGGCAGAGACCATCTCCGCTCTAGTTGATTCGCCGGTAGCCTCTTTGTCCATGTCAAGTCCAGTGCCCGGATTGTCATCGCTGCACCCCTCGTCGATGGAAGCAGCCTCGTCACCGACGACGTCCATCGAGCTCGCTGTGCCTGTGCATACAAAGGGGCCTGTTTCGACTCGTGAGACAGATGTCGAGGCTTCTGCAACGGGACTCAACACGTCGCAACGTGCTCCTGGTGAGACCAAGTCGAAGCACACGAACCTCGAGGCGGCTACCACACCCGGGCCAGTCGGCTCATTTGACCCGGAGGTCGAACATGAGCGAAGCGTTCTCTCGAACACGAAATCCCCTAGCGCTTCTGAGCCGTCTCTTTTATCGACGATCTCGTCAACGGACGTCCCACCGCTTATGCAGCACATCGAGTCTCCTATCGAAGAGCATGTGCCAAGGGCGGTCCCCTCTGTGTCTATGTCGAGCTCTATCGGGGCGTCTTGGCCCTCTACTAGCGTAACGATCGCGAGCGCTAGCACCGATGTCATACCAACAGCGCCACTAGCCGCGATGCATGTCGACGCTCCGTCTGATCCCGCTGCTGTAGCCGCGGCTCCTGACCAAGACGAAGCAGCGTTAGGTACATGGACGACAACCACCTCCAGCACCACAACCACGACAAAGACTCCACCGTCACGCCGCCGAAAGCCATGGACCGATGAGCTGTAAACCTAATGACTATGCATACAATTCTACAGGAACCGTCTTACGCCTCGATCGATTCGGTAGCACGACAACAGGGACGGAACATTCGACGATTTCAAGGCGGGTCGTCAGCGTGCCGATGCGTCCACATAGTGACTGTGTACCGTGAAACGAGGTATGGTAGGCAGCGTATCCCTCGCTCTCCGGCTGCAGATGCGGCGGCGGTGGCACTTGGTGTGTGCCATTGTCTGCTGTCTCCGTCAGCAGCGAGATGCGGAGCGACCAGCGATGCCGGATGCCGCTAGTCGAAAACTCCGGCGTCGCTCCGCTTGGAATGGTCAGCAACACGCTTGTCTGTCGTGTATCGAGCGTGTTTTCGTGATGCACCGCATACACCTGCGTCGTCGCTTTCTGCACACGCCCTGCCGGCAGGAGTGCCATCGTAGCGTCGATCTCTTCGTGCGACTCGAGGGTCGCTGCAAGCTGTCTCGTGTTAGTGTATGTCGTTTGCATGTGCATCCGTGTATCCCAATACGTACCCGAACAATGCGCACCGATGTCTCAGGCATGTTCATCCGCACAATCGCCTGCACGTCGTCGCCCAGACGGTACTTGGCCCGTGCGAGTGTCAACACGGCTGCCACGTGGCCATTCTTCGCGATGTCGTACGACACTTTGCCGGCCCGCTGCGTCAGGTCATGGACTGCGTCCATGCAGCTGGGGACCGTGGGCGCATCTGTGCGCTCATTCACAGGCTGTGCTCCCTCCCACAGACGGGCGATCCACTGCGCCGTCTCTGCGCGCTCTTTTTCATACGCTTGTGCGGACTTGCCGGCGGCGGCGCTGGCACCACCAGCTGCCGATGTCTCTTGCACGGCGGCCACGGACGCATCAAGCTGCGGAGTCACAATCGGGTTCAAGAGATCAAAACACGTATGAAGACCCGTGCTAGGCGCCACATGATTGTAGATGCGGATGGGAATGTGCAAAAGCCGCGATTGCTGGGCACTGCCGGAGCGTGTATCGGCTCGGTTCGTACCGACCGTCAGGTAGTAGTCAAAGTGCACGGAATGGCCATGGAAAGAGGGCGGCAGGTCCATGGGAAGCTGCAGCTTGAAGGTGAATGAACGGCTTTCGCCTGGCGCAAGCTGCATATCGATGCCGAGCATGGTCGGTGGCGTCGAGTATGTCGGCAGTGTGCGGCTCATAAGTGTGCGCGTCTGGATATCGGAGAGCGTCGAGCCGGATCTACTGTGCCGCAATGAAGGCGAGGGTTGCTGGTGCTGCTGTGGCGATCGCAGCATACTCGCTGGTCGGAACAGCAAAGCTGCAATTGTCGCGATCGCCGGCGCATGTTTCTCGCGCAAGTCCGCCGTGACTAGACCCTTGTCGTACTCAATAGACCCTGCCTCATATTCGGCATCGTACCCAAACTCACCCCCCCCTAGTGTGCGCGGCGTGCCTTCCGCGGACGCAGGTGACGACGGCACGCTGGGCAGCTCACCCCGCGCAAGCCGCATGCGCAGACGATCAAAGTCCGTCGCACGCACCAGACCATGCTCCAGCTCCATCGTGCCACCGAACTGAGCGAAGGTCCAGAGCAGCTTTTCATGTCCGATAGGCAGCGTATCGCGTTCTGGGAATAGGGGGCTCTTGACTTCATGTTCAGTGAGCGAGTCGCCAGCCCATGTCACGACAGAATCGCGTAGTGCAGCGTCCATAGCTTCGTTGTGTGACACATACATGTCGGGATGTGGTGATGGCTGAAAGTCCGTCAGTGCATGTGGCGCGGCACCTGATACTGTCGTCGACTCTGCGGCTGCGTCTGCATCTGCATGATCATGGTTCTGCAAAAGTCCAAATGCCTGGCTGAGATCTTCAACTTGGTACGCGACGACGGATTTTTGCCGCGCATGTGGGTGAGACATGGGCCAACCATGCCTCCTGGGACCAGCTCTAGCGCCTGGCCGCGCTAAACCTACTTGACTGCCCGAGAATCTCGACGTCACAGATGTCGAGCTAGCCAACGACGATGGCGCTGCTGTGTCTGGCTCCGGCGTGTTGACAGCAACGAGTCCGTGCCGTTTGAATGGCGCCTCGCCACGACTATGGGCAAGTCTTGCCTGATCCCCATACAGAACTGAACCCGTTCGTACCGATGACATGCTCCGCCGGTGGTCGGCTGAGGGTGGCCGGATCGGTGCATTTGTGTTGGTAAAGGTGATCTTGCACTCCAGCACCTCGCCTGCAAAGCATGAAGGCTCCTTCGGCGTCACGGAAACGACCACGGCCGACGCATACCCCGCTTCCTCCGTCGCCATACCGTGCCGTTGCGATGCGTGCCGTTCGCAGCACGTACGAGCGGCGTGAGTGGCTGGTCACTCGGAGATGGGGGCGTCTAGATTCCCCCTTCCCCTGGCTCTCTATGTTTTCTCGTCCACAGCGACTCGGAGGGGGGAGGGGCAGTGGGTCTGGCCAGTCTTTGTGCCTGACACACACACCTCCATCACACGGCCACGCGTGCGTCCCTGAGGGCGAGTTGCTGTTGTGCAACGGGGTGGCCCAAGGCGTGTGCCTAGGTGAGTCTCAAAGTAGCGGTCTAAGGCGCACCGTACGACAGCTCCTGTCGTTTCGTGCATCGTGGCAAGTAGTGGGACGAGAAAAAGAGAAAGAGAGAGAGAGAAAGAGAGAGAGAGAGAGAGAGAGTGTGTGTGTGTGTGTGTGTCAAACGTCCGCTCCATACATCACAACCGTCTGCACAAGCGCACCTTTTTTTTTACTGCGCACGATGGACGCAAGAAAACGCTCAGCTACTACAAAGACTGGCTCGTCGAAGCGAGTCAAGGCCGAGGAAAATGACAGCCCATCAAATGTGCCTGTGTGGAAGCAAATGGCGCAGCGGCGAGCTGCGGGACCTGTTGCTCCCGGCAGCAAAGCGATTCCTGAAGGCGCGCCTAACTGCCTAGCGGGTCTCACACTGGTGTTTACCGGCGAGCTTTCGAGCATATCACGCGAAGATGCCATTGATCTTGCTAAGCGGTACGGCGCAAAAGTAACGACCGCCCCATCTTCCAAGACATCCTACGTGGTCCTGGGCGATGGAGCGGGTGCGAAGAAACTCGAGACCATTCAAAAGAACAAGCTCAAGACCGTCGATGAGGACGGTTTCCTTGCGCTGATCGCCGAGCGTGGCGCTAGGGAGCTTGATCCGAACGTGAAGCAAAAGATCCAAGCGGAAGAGAAAAAAGTCGTCGCTGCTGCCAAAGCGCTTGATACTCCCAATGTGCCGGGCCAGCTGTGGACATCCAAGTATGCACCGAAGCAGCTGAGAGAACTCATCGGTAACAAGGCTCAGGTCGACAAGCTCCAGGCTTGGCTGCGTGACTGGCCCAAGTCACGCAAAGCCCATTTCAAGAAACCAGGTCCCCATGCGACCAACACGTTCCGCGCCATGCTCATTTCCGGCGCGCCTGGCATCGGCAAGACAACTGCCGTGCATCTTGTCTGTGCGTTGGAAGGCTACGAGACACTGGAGCTCAATGCCAGCGACACACGCAGCAAAAAGCTCCTGGAGAGCGAGCTATCTGACACCATCCATAATAGGTCCATCGCTGGTTGGACACACAAGCAGCAGCCCAACGTTTCTACAAGTGGCCCAGACACAAAGCATGACCGCCTCGCGATCATTCTCGACGAAGTCGATGGTATGTCTGGAGGCGACCGTGGCGGCATTGGTGCGATCAATGCGCTCATCCGTAAGACACAAGTCCCGATCATTTGCATCTGCAATGACCGGCGGCATCCCAAAATGCAGCCCTTGCTCGCGACGACATTCAACATGACTTTCTCGAAGCCTACGGTCCAAGCCATCCGCTCACGCATGCTATCGATAGCGTTCCGCGAAGGACTCCAGATTCCTGCCGAGGTCATGGACCAACTGATCATCGCTGCACAGAGCGACTTGCGTCTCGTTACCAATATGTTGTCGACGTGGAAACTCTCTCATGCATCCATGTCATTCGACCAGAGCAAGTCCTTTGGCGCTTTACACCAGAAACCCACCATGCACACGCCCTTCTCTCTGTATGGCGAACTAATGAGTCCTCAGCGCTTTGGACCCTTGAACAAGCAAAGCCTCAATGACAAACTCGACTTTTACTTCCAGGACCACTCCATTGTGCCTTTGATGGTCGAGGAAAACTATCTGAAGAGTCAGCCATTGTCTGTGCAGAAAGAATCGACGCCGCCGCTGCGTGACTGGAAACATCTTGAGCTTCTTTCCAAAGCAGCTCACTCAATCTCCGATGGCGACCTCATCGACACAATGATGCGGGGGCCACAGCAGCACTGGTCCCTCTTGCCCCTTCATGGCATTGCCAGTACGATTCGTCCGTGCTCCCTCACGTACGGCGGTCACTCGTCTTTCCCAGCGTTCCCAGCCTTTCTTGGCCAGAACTCGAAGCGCCTGCGCCTGCAGCGGCAGCTCGTTGATCTTCAGACACACTTGCGTCTCCGAACGACGGGGTCCAAAGACGACGTGCGCCAGTCGTACGTGCCGGGTCTTTTGTCGCTTGTTGTTGACCCTGTCCTTCAGCATGCTCAAGCCGGCATTCAAGACGCGATCCACAACATGGACGAGTATTTCCTCCTGCCAGATGACCGCGAAACGCTCGTTGAGCTGGAACTGGGCGACCAGCGGCGCGAAGATCGGCTCAAAAAACTCCCTGCAGCCGTCAAGTCTGCCTTTACTCGCGCCTACAATGCATCGTCGCAGTACGTATATATGCACATATGCCGTCTGCCCTCCTTCACCATGCTATGTACTGCTGATGGGCGTTGGTATATTGTCGCTGGTGTTGGACATACTGACTTACACATGTGCCCATTAGTCCGGTCGCGTTTCAGCCGTCTTCGTCTTCTGCGCCGAAAGTCCGTGCACTCAAGGGCGAGGCCTTACCGGACAACGAAGAGGCGTATGGTGTACGTTGGAGCTTGGATTCCTCGCGAACAGGTACTGACGACGACGACAACGTCGAACAGGTGGATGAGGAGCCTATGGATGACGCTGACGATGCTACCGCTGATTCCAAAGACGACGACGACGTCGCAAAAGTACGTTCATATGTGCCTCCACGCCTCGTGGCACTGGCAAGCTGACAGCCTTGTGCAGGATAGTTTGATCCGACCGACGAAACGCGCCAAAGCCAAGCAGCGGTGATAACTGTTACATTTATGTAATTTTTTTTTATTTTGGCCGTCCCTTTTGCTTCCACGCTGATCCAGATACGTAGCGAGCGAGCGAACGAGCAACACCAATTTTCCTTCGGATCTTACTTGGAGAAAAGTTTCGAGGGTACTATTGGCCCAACGGTGCTACGCACTAAGCGGGTCATTACGGCCGCTTAGTAAATAGTGGCCTATGGAAATAGCTCGGACGAGTTTGACCACGTGGCACGCTTGGTTTTTCTTCTAGCCTGGCGCGTTGCACGTCAGGACAGTGCAAGACTGACGTACGTCAGTTGTCAGACTCACTATATCTGAAAGAACACTGCAGGCGTCCTTCACCACCTCTGTGGCGGGATCCATCAAGTGTTCCTCTGCTGGGTTCGTCTCATTTCTCTGATACCCATCTTCGTACACTTGTGGAGTGGTCGCTTTGGCTCCTGCTCCGTTGGTTTCATGCCTGCCGCCGGCCTTGCTTCGACGGCGCATTCAGATGCTGTCCCCTTGTCCGCAGCCTCCGCGGCCTCTGTGCCATCACGACACCTACCATTGGCCTCTCAGCATAGGAGTGATATGGTACCAGCGACAGGAATGAACATCGCCTCTCTCAAAACTGCGGACGCCGCCAACGACGCTGCCTCCTCCCACAGTCAGCGAGAGAGGATCGTCCCTACATTCAATGAACGCTTCCTCTTCGATGACGAACTGGAAGCTACAGATGATTCGGCCTTCATGAACAGGTACAACCTTTCAGCAGAAGATGACATGTTTCCCATGCTTTTCAAGCCACAAGGCCCACCGCCTCTGTCCGCAACGACCCATTCTGCAGCCCCTCTCGCTCCCTCGGCCGCTGCTGCAGCCACAGCAACTACCAGCATCTCATCTACTCCTGCCTCTGCGCATGTGTCTACGCCGTTGTCTCTGCCGTCTCAGCTCTCTACGTTCTCAAGTGCGCTCGATCTTGCTCCCCTGTCACAGCTGCCGAAGCGCTCAGCCCAGTCTTTGGGTCATGGACCTATGGCCTTGTCTCCATGGCTCCACGCTGAGCGAATCAATTCGCATCAGTCTAATCCAGCCACGCATCGACCCACTTCGTTTGCTGGCATGTCTCCTCGTCACATTGGCACTTCGCCAACAGCTTCTCTACTCATGGGTTCTAATCCAACGGCGCATCCTGCCTCGTCGTCCTTGTCGGATTTTTTTCGATAAATCATTCGACGTCGCACTTACCATCGAGTCTCTCTGCATTTCCTCCTACCATACCGAGCTTGTCCATGGGACCTCATTCAACGCCTTTCCACGCCGCTTCGCCTGCGTTCGCTCCTCCTGCTCCTATGATGCCTGCAACTTCGTCGACAGCGGCATCATCTACGCCTACTGCGGGCACTGCGTCCCCTTCGGTGCCAACCTCTGCCTCAGTATCTACGGCAACACCAGCGGCTGCGTCAGCCATGTCGTTGGCCCAGCCACTCCCCGGCGCCTTGGACGCTCTCTCGTCTGGCGCACCAACCACATCGTTCGCATCGACACCTACAGCTCACGGACCTATCGGTGCAATGGCTGCGGTGCGTCCAGAGTTGGGCGAGGTTGCCGCTGTAGCTGCTGCCGCGGCAACGGCCAGTCGCATGAATGGACGGCTTAGTCGTCGCGATGACCGCAAAAAGAATGCGCACTCTAAAATGCTTCCAGGTGAAGCTGTTGACCCAACCATGTCGCGAGGTAACGTTGGTTCGATGGCTAGCCATGGAGGGGGTGGCGGCGGTGCATCCGGCACCCATGGTGGGCCGCGACGCTCGGACATGGATCTTTCGGCTATGCAGCTGCACGACTTGCAAGGCGAAATCCCACAGCTTTGTCGTGACCAGTTTGGATGTCGATTCCTACAAAAGAAATTGGACGAGGGAATTCCATCACAGTGTGATCAGATTTTTGCTGAGACATTTCCTTACTTCGCAGAGCTGATGACTGATCCGTTCGGCAATTATTTGTGTCAGAAGCTGCTCGAGTATTGCACTGACGCCCAGCGCGACAGATCGTCGAAGCTATTGCAGGCGATCTTGTGACGATCTCGTTGAATATGCATGGCACACGTGCAGTCCAAAAAACCATCGACTTCATTTCAACGCCAGCGCAGACTCAGGCTATCATTGACGCGTTTGCGCGCAATGTCGTCACGTTGATCAAAGATCTGAACGGGAACCACGTGATCCAGAAATGCCTGAACCGACTTCCTGCAGGTGATAACCAATTCATCTACGATGCTGTGGCTGCTCAGTGTGTGGATGTAGCGACGCACCGCCATGGGTGCTGCGTTTTGCAACGCTGCATTGATCATGCATCGGAATCGCAGCGGCAGCAGCTTGTGAACGAGATTACCATGTACTCACTGACGCTCGTACAGGATCCGTTTGGCAATTATGTCGTCCAGTATGTGCTGGACCTGAACGATCCTGTGTCCACTGAATCCGTAACCAATCAATTCCTGGGGCATGTGTTCCAGCTATCGACGCAGAAGTTCAGCTCCAATGTGATAGAAAAGTGCATCCGTGTCGCGGAGCCGCCGCTTCGTCACAAGCTTGTAGCCGAGCTTGTCGACCCATCACGCCTCGAGCTTCTTCTGCGCGACTCGTTTGCTAACTACGTTGTACAGACGTGCCTCGACTATGCGGAGCCTGCACAGCGCACGCATCTCGTCGAGTGCATTCGACCGATCCTTCCGTCGATCCGCAATACGCCCTACGGCAAGCGTATCCAGAGCAAGCTGCAGCGCGATGGCTCCGAGCCGTCTCGACACCGTCGCTCTGAGCAGAGTCGATCGTCTTTTGCTCCATCTCATCATCATCACCATCACGCATCACGGTTCGGATCCACCCGCTTTAACCAGGCTGACGCTGGGCATGGAAGTGGACATTCATCCACGCACACATCGAACTCTCCGTTGTCTCAATTCCACTCGACATCCAACGATCATTCTCACTCGCAGCCGATCTACTCTGCTTCACCATCTGCCTCTACCTCTTCGCCGATGATGTCATCCACGTCGATGCCAGGCGCGCCATCTTCACGCCATGGTCGTTCGTCCCACCAGCACCACCAGCACCACCATCATTCCTCCAAGAGGCCTGATGGTCTGTACTATCAGCAACACCACCACGCATCCCATCATCTACCTTCCCATGATTCCTCTGCTAATTCGACTTCTGCGACCCCATCCCCGACTACTTCTGCTTATGCTCTTGCTGCGTCAGCCTCTGCTCCGGCAGAAGCCGCTGGAAACTCATCATTTCTTCATGCTCAGGACGCCGCTGCACCTCTGTATGCACCCCTTCAACGTATGCAGCTGAGCAACGGCATACCATCGTACGAGTATCATCCTGACGAAAAAGCGCTTTCGGCGCATGCCGGCAAGGGACCTTGGTGATTTATGTATACCTAAACGCTGTGTCGTGTATAGTACTACCAAGTGATGGGGTTTGTGTGCCGGGTCGTTGTCTTGAGCCGAGCCACTGCCCATTTTTCGGTCGTCCAGCCTAAGACCGTCAATCATGTATCGTAGCTTTTGAAAAAGAACCAATGGGAAATTACATGTAGGAACAAACGATTCGCTCTGCGTTCGTAGCTGTACCAACGTGGAAATATGCTATACAAGCCGGTCATGCGGGTACACCACGCGTTGGGACCCGTCGGAGAAAAGGGCGTCAAAGCCTGAAGAAAACATGGACAAGTATGCAGGCAGGATGATGATGATGATAAACAAAAGTAGGAGAAGGTGGAAGTAGGAGAGGGACGATGATGAACTAGGCGCTCAATGGCCAAGCATAGGTACGTCTTCAGGGTCAATGGTTCGAACGATGGTATCTTTGATCTTGGGGAACACCACTTTGTACGCGTCGCAGCCCAAAACCATGTCCATATGCTCATAGCCTTGGAGTTCCAGGATGTGAACGATTTGGACATTGCTCTCGTATTGAAGCAAGCGATCTACGAGCGGTTTGCCAGCCACGAGGTGATCGATGGTGCCGTACGCCACTGTCAGCGGCGGGAACTCGGCAGAAAACCATGGACTCCGTACGCGTGGGTCAAACACACAGCCACGAGCCACAAAGCAGTGAATCCAATAGTACAATAGCTCACTCGACGTCGACACACCTGTAGAACAAAAGATCTTTGGTTTGTGACGATCGACCCAATTGTGGTCGTGGAAATCGAACAAATATCCAAACACAATGTAGCCCAAGTGCCCCATGAGGAACTTTGGCAGGATGATTCGTGCCAACTCTAGTAGCGGCATGAATGTCCTCACACCAAACACAATCGACCACGTCCAGCGCGACGGGAGCATCCGCATGACTCGGAACGGAAGGCGGTCCAGCGACGAACCTGGGTATACGGCGGGGCCTAAGGCTGTGAACGAGGAGATTTTTTGTCCAAAGCCCTTGTATTTGTTCAGCGCGAGAAACATGCTTCCTGTTCCTTGTGAGTGACCCACATAGGCCAACTGCTTGTACCCTGTCTCTTGAAGGACAAAGTCCACTACATCCACTAGGTCGTCGCCCAGTTCGATAAGACTCCACGCCCAGAACCGTGGATCCCACCGCTTGAACCGCGTGTGACCGGAGCGGAAGTTGGAACGAATGTTTGTGCTCCATACATCATAGCCTTGATCAACCAGCCAGAAGCCGAGTGAGCGCTCTTCCGACGTGAAAAAAAAGAGGGATGTGCACAAGATCCCATGCTGCAGCACCACCGGATAGCCCCGCCCGCCAGGGCGCCGTGGATCGGAAATTCGATGCGCCTTAAGGATCCATCCTCCTTGCGTTACAATCTCGTATTCCTCGCACTGGTAGCCCCAGAAGTCTGCATAGTACTGAACCCGCTCACTGTATCTCTCACCGGTAATGCGCCGCTCATACTCGAAATCCACGCGTGCTTTTGGATATAGCTTTCGGAACGGATTGAAATACCGCGCGAATGCCAATATTACGACAAATGTCATGCCAAGCGATGTTATAAGAAACATGTTGAGTTGCTGAAGCTCGAGCATGAGACGAGATACAAGATTAAACTCTCCATATTGTCCGATCTCGTGATGAAAGAATGTAGGGAATTGCTCCGGATCGGCTTCTGCCGGGCTGGGTTCCTGGGAGTGGAACGGTACACCCTTGTCTTCAGGCAGCTCATCTTCTGCCACATCTTCAAATGCCGTGTGCGGTTTTTCCACATACACACCATGACCTCGAGACTGTGCATGGTCGGATTCTACCGGGTAATACTCTCCCATTTTGCCTTTGTATGCGTGTGCGGGATGGGTGGGGGGACTATGCAGAGCACCGAATCCTCCAGCGCTTCGTCCTCCAGGAGTCGACCACTCGTGGTCTTCGTCACCCGAGAGCAGTTCTGGATCGTCATCGTGATCCCGTGTCTCGTAATCATCATCATCGACTCCCGTGCGACTAGATTCTAAGTATGTCGATGGCGCATCATAAAGGTTATCATGTGCATCTCGGTCGGGGTATGGATCAGTGCTGCGGTATGTGTCCGACTCGCCAAACGTCTCATCTTCGTTGTATGGGTCATAATAGTACGGATCATCCAATGCCAAAGAGCCAGTTGCTGTATCTTCGTACGCATCTTCAAACTCATTCGGCTCATTCATCTCGCTGCCTGCCCGAAGCGCCCGAGACTCTGACTCGCCGTCATCCCAGTCATTGTGCGTCCCCTCCATCTGCTCATCCAGTAGAGACGGTGGTGCGTTGCGATAGTTCTTACTATCCAATGAACTGTACTTCTTCCCTTTATGAGCATGTCGTGAGCTTCGTCTCCGCTGAGACGATACTCGACTCATGCCGGTCGATCGTCGTGGCAGTAGCCGAATGTATAATTCAGTTGCCGCTTTCGTTGAACCAATTTGTTTCGCGTTACCCCACTTTTTGACGAACCCAATATGTGGGGCAGCACGTGATATATCGGCCGACGTCAGTGTTTCTTTCGCACTTAGTTGTTCCTGTTGTATGGCAGGTGAATGTTGCATGGGGTAAGAAGCACGCCTGCTGCTGATGTGGGGCAATCGCAAGATCTCGTAGGTTTGGATTGTACGAAAAAGCTCTGTGTACTCCTGCATCAGTTCCACCAACAACACTAGACGTGAATGTCGACTTCTTGTCGTGCTTACTTGTCAAGATCGTTGTGTGGATTGCGAGGACTCATGAGCTCTATGAGCGATAGGGGCAGGTGGTTCTGACAGGTTCCCATAGTCTACGAACAGATGCAGCAAAACATATACTCGCATTTTTGAATGACTCAGAATCATATCAGCTCTCCCTAACAGAAAGGAGGGATCCCATGCTGTTGTTCCGACTGCCGTGCAATCGTGATTCCTGACTGCAACAGCGACACTCTGCTTGCGAACCCAACCGACGCTCGATCACTAAAGCGACCTTTTGACACGCGGTTATCCTGCAGGTCTGTTGTGATGGTAGATTCAGTGGTACCGTGTCACAGCATGGCATACCGTATACACATTCCTCGTAGGAAATCATTATGCTTCCGTCGCACCAAGACGAGAAGAACTGGGCTGTGACACATCATCACGCTCAACGTACGCGTATTTCGGCATCGAGGCCATTTTCTCCTCGGGACTTAGTACGGGGTCAGAATACACGAGCCGAGACTTTAGTCCCCGCTGCAAAGCCGCTTTATGTGGATGCAAAGAACTCGTGTCTGAGCCTAATGCGGTGGTGATCTTTGCATTTTCAGACACTGGTGGCTGCGAAGGCTGTGCCGGAGGTGTGGGCTCAGATGGCTGCGACGCCACAGCTGATTCGTTGTGCATCAACTCCGCCGGCTGTGACGGAGCTGAAGAGGCAGGTGATAGATACGGAGCAATCAAGCTCAGGCACAGCAGCAGGAGGCGCAGGTGGCGGATTCGGCACTGTGGGACGTACAGGTGGGACAGGAGGAGCTGGCGGAACTGCTGGCGGCCGTACGACCTGAGGCATCGTTGGCGGTAGTGATGGTGGTGGTGGCAGCGATGATGCATTTGCCGCTGTAGAAGGTGTGAGCTGTGGCGGAGCCGATGTAGTCGTGGCCCCACTCATGAGGGCTTTGTGTGCCTCGAGTTGTACACGCAACTGTTCTGCCGAAATGGGCCCTTTGTCCACACGGGGCCGTTTTGGTCGGGGCACGCCTTGTGAGGTCGAGGCAGTGTTCTTAGGCGCACGCTCACTGCGACGAACTTGCCAAGATATCAAGTCACTGTCAGGCACTCCGACCATACCGTAGATCTCGATTTCAAACGAGTCACGACCAGGTAGAGTATTTTCGAGTCTGATTGCGTCAGATACTTCCTCTTTTCATCCAAAAGCTCTTAGAAGTAGCACTTACTTGTCGGGTTGGGCCTTGTGCACTTGGCCTAGGTGCACGGCCAGTCCACCTGCCGTGTTTAGGCGACGTGGACAAAAGGAGCACTTGAAGTGCTTAGCTTTCTGGTGCTCAATCAACACCTTTTCATCTTCAAACTCACGGTCGCAATACCAGCACCAGGCGTCCAACTGAGTCGCTTTCTTCTTCTTGGTCATTGTGGAAACGCAGTAATGATCCACAGCGATGTCTGTTGACTCGTTGCTGGTCTGATCGCTCAACCAACTGGCTTTCTCTGATCCGACCGGCCGATTGATTTACAAAAAAAAAAAAAGTAATCTACATCAGCTTCCAAGTCTTTACACAGCACGCTTTCCTAGCCAGGTGAATTGCCCCTTTGGGATCTCCATTCATCTGGTCAACCGTCTACGTGGACCTTGTGGCGCATCACGTGAAGTGATGTGGGTGATTTTCATAACGATGGCACACCTTGCATCATCACATGAAATTTCATTGGTCCGTTCCTGTCCCGCAAACAGTATTCGTTCAGCTATATATTGGAAGGGTTCGCGACACGCGCGCGTCTCTTCCTGCCCCACGCGAGCGGCGCGAGACAAGTCCTGTGCGGCGCTTTGCAAGAACCCAACGGCCGTTTTCGTGTCGACTGACCTTGGCGCACAAGATACATCGCGACTTGTGTAACGATCATGGATCAGACGCAGACAACACACTCACATGAGCAAAAGGATGATGCGCATATGGATGAGCCTATGCGTGTAGATGCGCCCTCGACCAAGGACGCGTCGTCTGAGTCGGCGCGCACAGACGAGAAGACGGAGGCAGCATCTGCAGCTGAGCAAACATCGAAGCAGGCGACACCAAATGCGCCGTCAGCTGAAGATGCACAAAAAGACGAGGTCCCCAACGATACTACCAAAACACAGGACGATGCCTCGAAGCGTCCAGACACAACATCAACGAATGCTTCCACCGCGCCGTCGACCGATGCAAATACATCTACGACAACTAACACAGCGACATCTTCTGACACAGCGGGAGCATCAGAGCAGGACATCAAGTCTGAGTCCCAGAAAGACACACCATCACAGAACGCGTTGTCTCGCGACGAATCAGCTTCCACGGAAAAAGCTGCGTCTGCCTCCCAGCCTGAGCAGCAGCCGCCGTCAAAGCAAGAAGCACAGGCTGCGCCTGAGTCAGGCACTTCGTCTTCGTCGCAGGCTGCAGATGGCACGTCGTCAGCTCCTGCGCAGGAAGCGACGCCTGCAGACGACGGTCTCACTCACATGGACATTGCTATGCCTCACGTCAAGTATGCACAGAATACCATCCGCTCCCTCAAGTCACGGCGCGAGGCAGGTGCTTTTCTTCAGCCTGTCGATCCCATTGCCCTACGGGTTCCTCACTATACCCAGATCATCAAGGAGCCTATGGACTTGGGAACCATTGACCAAAAGCTTGCATTAACGTCGCACAGACTCAAGACTGCACAAGGCGGGCCGAACCGTATGACTGACAAGTTGAAACAGGCCATTGACTCTGGCCGGATCCATCCCGACAAAGACTACTACACGAACGTGGATCAGTTCGAACGCGATGTGTTCCGTGTATTTGACAACTGTGTGTACTTCAACGGAGCTGAGCATATCTTTTCGAAGAATGCCGAGGCGCTGCGTGCCGTGTTTGAAAAGCAGCGCAAGGGACTTGCGACCGCTGTTGCTGTGGCGGAAGAGGCCAACTCTCCGGAGGCAAAGGCGCGCCGCAGCTCGTCAGCGCTGCCGACGATCCGTCGCTCTGCTACAGGCGGCCGTCCGAAGCGCGAAATTCACCCACCGCCCTCGCGCGACTTGCCGTGGACTGAGGAGCACATGCATCCGGCATCGAAGCGCGCTGTGGCTGCTCGCCTGGGCAAGACTATGGACCACATCTCGTCGCGCGAGCAGTCGTACTGGGCCAAGGTCATTAGCGACGAGCTCAAGTTCTGCTACCGCGTCATTGACGATCTGCTGAAGCCGGCGCATCAGGACTTGGCGTGGGTGTTTTATGACCTGCCAGCCAAGGACTTTGACTGGGCGCCTGCGTACTACCAGATCATCAAAAAACCGATCGCGCTCATCCCGATCCAGCGCAAGCTGAAGAACGGCGGGTACCCTGACCTGGCTGGCTTTGATGCTGACATGCAGCTCATGTTCCGCAACTGTTTCACCTTCAATCCACCGGACTCGGACGTGTACATTATGGGGGCTCGTCTGAAAGATGTGTACGAAGGCAAGATGCAGAAGAAGCCAGTGCCGCCGCCGCTGCCGACGGAAGACGATGACGACGATGATGGCGATGATGATGATGATGATGATGACGACGACGATGACGACGATGCCAATACGGTGCTTGTCCAGCAGCTGCAGAAACAGATCTCTGAGCTGGAAGGCACTCTCGAGACGCTCGAAAATGGGAAGAATAAGAACCCGCTCCTGATCACGAGCACGCGCGTTGCGCTCAACTCTGTGCAGGCGGCGCTGGCTGGCGCTATGAGCGTCGCTGGCATGTCGAAGCGTAAGGGCAAGAAACGCAGTAATCCGTCGTCGTCATCGTCGGCGTCTGAGAAGAAGAGCAAGTCGCAGGCAGACAAGAAACGCAAGAGCCCTGCGGCGAAGAAACCGCGCACGAGCAGTACCACGTCGCCGACGCCGCGCCGGCGCAATGTCGGCTCAGATGAAGACGATGTGCGTACGGTGACCTTTGATCAGAAGGAGGAACTGGCAGCCAAGATCACCGAGCTGTCAGACGAGCGCCTCGAGGGAGCGATCCGGATCATCAATGAAGACAAGCCGCACGGCACGCAGGGCACCGAAGACGAGGAAATTGAGCTAGATATCGACGAGCTCTCGCCCCAAACGCTGTACAAGCTGTACAAGTATGTGGTGCGTCCAAAGAAGAAGAGCTCAGGCCCCGACATTGGTCCCAATGGTAAGCCCATGCCGGCAAGTGCGCCGATCGATGGACGCAAGCGCGGCACTGGTGGCCTGAAGAAGAAAAACCTTGATGAAGAAGAGGAGGCGGCACGCATTGCGCGTCTGCAGCACCAGCTGCAGCAGTTCAATGATGCATCGTCGTCGTCTGATGCGCCCAAACCGGCGTCGGGATCTGCGGCAGCGCCTTCCGAGCCCGACAGTGCGACGAAGCACGATGATCTGGTTCCGTCTGAAAGCTCATCCAATGAGGACGAGGATGACGATGGTCGTAACGACAGCGAGAGTGATAGCGAGAGCGATATGGACTAGCATCGTCGTCGTCGGACGACTGCGGTCTCAGGGAGAGCGAGAGACGAGTTGTATTGTAGTAGCCAAATGAGATACTGGCGTAATGTGCGTTCTCTTCCTAATATAGTGCACACAATGTCCATGAGGATGTGGGCGAATATGCGGGCCGTTCGTGGCGCGTGGGTTCGCCCGAAAGCGGTATGATGGGCGGCGATGTGTGAGTTGTTCTGGTTGCGGACATGCAGCCTGCCTAGCTGATAAATTCCCCCCTCCCCCACCCCCTTCCCGTCCGCTACCCGCTTCCATCTGCTACGACACTATGACGGCACACGCACATGAAAAGCACCTGTTGCGTTAGCTTATCGGAACCGGAGCATGCATCCCTCCACGTACAAATAGGAAGAAACTCGGCATCCACTTGCACCGAGCATGGCACGCCCAGGCGTTCCATAGCGCCCTGGATGAGGCCCGCTGCATACGCCAGTTGCATCGCCACGTACGCATTCGTACGGTCTGTCTGACCCAACGCCGCCAGGGTTTTGAGCGCCTGATCCTGTAACACAAATACACCCTAGCATCGGAGTGTCAGTAAAAGGTACATGTAAGGATAGCGGGGGCGGCAGCAGCAGCGACTCTAGCGCCCCAATCCTGTTCCGTGCCGTCCTATCCCATCCTATCCCGTGTCGACGTACGCGGTGATTCGTTCGTAGGTTGTCAATCTGCTTGTCCCATACAACTGTCCATAACTCTTTACACACAAACTTGACACGTTCCAGCGTGTCTTGGAGGCGAGGTCGATCACGCACCAGTCTGAAAGAAATGCATGTTAGTCGTTCTAGTGGCGCGCGTGTAAGTCTACCACGTACTGCTCGGTCAGATTGCCGCCCACATGCCGGCCGATCGCCTCCATCCGTCCACTCGCCATGTCGGCTTCATCGGACGCCGACAATGGCGGCGGGATATGCGCACCAGGATCCTGGATTTCTAGTTGCTTAACAATATCATTCGCTTGTCGCACTTTGAACGCTGTGCTTGCCTGCAGAACATGTGCCGCTTCGATCCACAGCAGCTCTGCACAGGTGCGGTCCATCATGCTCTGCCGCGTCTCTGCGATCGCCTTGGCTGCTGGCGTAATGCTCCAGTCCTTTTTCGGTACATCCGGTGGTCGTTCTGCGTCTTCGCGTACGCTCACACGCGGTGCATCAAACTCCATGCTGGGTGGCGACGCACGCGTGTAACGCGAGCCGTCGATCTGATTGGATCCTCTAGACACGATCCGTGAGCCGTGCTGGGACTGCGCGTACACACCTCCATACGTCCATCGACATATGACTCGCTTCCACGGACATGTCCTGCCCCTAGCGGCGTCGGCGGTGGGTGGTGCGCCGCAAAACGCACGTCCGATTCATGTGCTTCTTGCTCCGGCGTTCACGTGATGTCTTCGTCATCCAGTCTTCGTAGGGCACTGGCACCTGCCACAGCACAAGATGTGGGCGCTGCTGCTGCTGCTGCTGGTCTGCTACAGATGCTGCTACGTGAGTTGAAGGCTGGCGTGGCTTTACGAATCTTATTTCGTTGAGCCTGTCCCTCAGGACTACCGCTCTCACTTTCTGCAGCGGGCGTGTCACTTTCCACGGCGCCGATGGATTTCGACACGTAAGGAGGAAGCACTTGCCCTCCACATATCCTTTCTGGCCATCCACCCATCCGCCTAGTATATTACCTGCCTACATTTCCGAACGACCGCACTCCGTCACTTGCACGCTCACAGCAGCAAGAAGCATGGACCATGCGAGTGCGGTAGTGGAGCTTCTTCCACGCATCGCGAGCATACCTATACCAGGAAACCCTGATACGTATCGTGTGCCTGCAGCGCGTGCGCGCGAAGTTCGACAGCGCCTGTGTCATGAACTGCTCTCGACCGTGCCCGTGACCAGTCTCTTCCCCGCCTCCATCGCATCGACCAGCGCAGATGCATTTGCTCTCTTGGACCAATGTGACTGGCACATCACAATGGCGCAGCAGCGTGCCGAGACCTTGCAAGACGCGCACGCCTCAGCAGCAGCAGCAGCAGCAGCAGCAGCGCCATCAGAAGGAGTAGCAGCCACCGCTTCATCACAACCCGAGTACTCAAAGAACCGCCGCGGCATGGCCTGTGGGCATGTGTTCCGCAAAGGTGAGCCGATCTTCCGGTGTCATGAATGCTCGTTCGATGACACGTGTGTCCAGTGTGCGATGTGCTTCCGCCACTCGATCCACGCACGTGAGGATCATGATGTCGTGTTCTCGGTGGCGGATGAGGGGGGTGCTTGCTGTGACTGTGGCGATGAAGAGGCGTGGAACCGTGATCTTGGATGTGAGTTTCACAGTCTTCGCCCCCACAATGCGCCTGAGCATGAGAGTGGCGAGCAGGTACCGAGGGGCGAGCAGACACTCGACGAGATCCTAGGAATCGTGCCTGAGAACGTGCAGCAGGATCTCGGGGAATTTGTGGCGCTTCTGTCGGCTTTTCTGCTCGAAACGTTTCTACATGCGCCCAAACAGACGCAGCTTGTCATGGGTCCCGACGTTGTCGACAGCATCAAGCGGCAGCCGTCGTTCGAGAATGCCTTCCCTGCGAAGGGCAAAGCCAGGCAGGACATGTCTGATGGGGCCGAGCGTGATCCGCAGCCGCCACTCTTTGTCGCACTGCTGTGGAACGATGAGAAGCACAGCTTCAACGAAGTGTCAGACAAGATTCTCGAGGTATGTACCACCATGACGCCCAAGGACGCACGCAACTTTGCCGAGGCTGTCGACCGGCACGGCCGGCAGGTTGTGGCGATGTCGGACGATGTGCGGCGGCTCGTCCTGATGGCACGCCGCATCGGCGTGATTTACCTGCTTGTCACCGTGCAGCATGCATTCGACTACTATGTTGAAGAGGTTGCGGGATGCGTGCTCGAGTTTCTTATGGAGCTTGCCAGTTGCTCGTTGTATAGCGCCGATGCGACGTCAGACGGGCGCATGATCAAGGCCCAAATCACGAAGACGCTCCTGCGGCCGTGGCTTGTGCCGGAGTGGGCTGAGGCACCTGCGGCCATCCGCCGTGATCTGTTCGATCCGACGCGACTCTGCATACTTGACACACTGCTCCTTCTCGACACAAAGATGTGGAAGGGCGCGCGTCTGCAAATGCGGCATCTACTGATGGATCTGCTGGCGTGTCGTGAGGCGAAGCGGCAGATTGCATTGCGCTTTGGCGCTGTGTATCCGAAGCTCGTCGAGGCGTTCATCTTGCATGACCGCGAGCCCGAGCACTCGATCTATCACATGACTGTCCAGCTGTTCAGCGTGCCGAGCATTGCGACGCAGCTTGTGGTCGAGCGGCAGTTTCTTGTGGTGCTGCTGTATGTGCTGCAGGCTCTGTTTGCGAACGACAACGAGACGCGCATCACGTCGCTCGTCCTGCCAGCGCCTCTCCCTGCACGTGGCCAGGCGAGTCCTGACACGGCGCTTCTTCGGCAGCAGAAATGTTACCACATTTTCTACGACATCCGCTATCTGCTGGGCGCACGAGACGTGCAGCTCGACATCGTCAAGCATGCGGAGATGTATCTGGGCATGTGGCTCGAGTTCTTTGCTCTCTTCCACGGCATGGCGCCAGACAAGCGTGCGGTGCATGCGCATGTTGAGTTCGAGAGTGAGCTGTGGATTCAGGTCTTCCACATCAACTCGCATCTCGGACGCATTGCCAAGCTGCTGGGCGAGGCGTTCGCGGGCGCGGACAACGCGCGCCTGTGTGAGGCGATTGGGTTCATCGGCACGACGATCCTGCGCCACATGGCGCGTCTAAGTGCGTTGGATCCTGCGACACACCCGCCGCTGGCCATGCGGCCGATGAAGCTGCCGGCGTTGGAGCATGCGCCGCTCCAAGACACGCGTTCAGGCACCGAGGCCAAGCGCCACGACGTTGACGTCGTGCCGTTCAGTGTGTCGTCGCAGCCCGTCAGCTTCCACCACCCGATGCACTGGCTCCTTGCCGAGACTCTCAAGCACCTGCACAAGGTGCAGAGCATCGACGCACTGCTTCCTGTGCTGAACGAGGACGACTGGCTGCGTCTGATGGAGCACCCCGTGCGTGTGGCTGTGAAGCTCGCGCAGATCCGATGCAACGTGTGGGTTCGCAATGGGTTTGTGATCAGGTCGCAGGCCTACCACTACCGCGACTCGATGTGGATGCGGGACATTATGTACGACCAGGACCTGTTCCTCCAGCAGTGTGGTATGGCGTTCACGACACCCGAGCGTTTCCTCGCGACGCTCCTGGATCGCTTTGAGCTCGTTGACTTTCTGTCGGGCCGCTCCGCGCAACACAACGTGTACGACGCACAGCAGCTCGTGTTTATGACGGAGGAGCTCTTCTTGCTCCTGACGGTGCTGCTCAACGAGGTGAGCGTCATGGCACACTGGCCAATCGAAGCGCAGGTCCGCCACGAGCTGATCCACTACCTGGCCCTAGGCCCATGCACGTACTCGGACCTGACGAAACAAATCCCCGAGCGGTACACGGACCATGGCTGCTTTGACCACGAACTCGCACGTGTCGCGCATTTCCGCAAACCTGATGGCAGTGCCGACCACGGTCTGTATGAGCTGCGCCCTGCGTACCTGGCCGATGTTCAGCCATTCTTCCATCACTACTCGCGCAACCAGCGTGAGCAGGCTGAGCAGGTTCTTGCTGAGAAGCGGCAGCAGGGCTGTACACTGCCGCTGTACCAGTCGAGTCAACTCCATGTACTGGCCAACACGCCCTTCAGCGGCCTGGCTCATGTATTCACAAGTCCCGTGATGGCTGACATGCTCTTCTATGCTCTCTCGTATGCAATCTCACAGCCGGAGCCTCCTGACACGCTCATGAATGTGACGCTGCACTTGATCGCTCAGGGCATCGAGGAGTGCGGCCGCGAGTTTGTCGCCAACATCCTTATGCCCGAGCGCACGAGCCGCGACGCCAGCAGCGAAACGAACGAGCGGGCCGAATCGGCACACGAGGTGCCTGTACACACACCCGATCCAATCTCGGCGACAAAAGGTGCGACAGAAGGTGCGACAGAGGGTGCGACAGCGGCTGCTTCGGCCGCGTCCTCTCCACGCACACTTGTGGCGCTTCTAGTACAGCTCTCGCAGCACAGCCAGCAGGCAGCCGCGTACAAGCCCAAGGTCACGTACATCCTCGAAAAGGCTGCCGTCTGGGCGCCCGACACGGCGGGGCTTGTGCAGCACGTTCAAAAGCCGACCGAGCAGCCGACCGACGACGATGCGCGGCGCAAAGCCGCTCGTGCTCGACAGACTGCGATCCTACAAAAGTTCTCTGCGCAGCAGCAGAGTCTGCTGGCCGAACTCGAGGACGAGCTGGGCTCCGACGACGACGACGACACCGAACAGGGCTACGGCCCATGCATCCTGTGTCAGGAGCGGCTGGACAGTGGCAGCTCCTTCGGCACACTCGTACATGTTCAGCACAGCCGTCTTGTGCGCACGTCTGTCCCGCGGACCTCGGAGGCGCTAAGCGATGTGCTCGCGACACCGCTGAATCTCGATCGCGTTCGAGCCGCTCCGCACGACGACATCCACAGCAGCCACGGGTCCTCGCGGGACCGCATGCGGGGCCAATACACACGCACCGACGAGCGCGGCTCACAGCTCGGGTACCCAGCGCCGGCGCACGTCACGGGTCTCGTGGCTGTGTCGTGCGGGCACAGCATGCATGTGTCTTGCTTCCACACGTACTTACAGAGCACCGAGCAGCGGCATGCCTTCCAAGTCGCACGGAACCATCCCGAAGATCTCTCGCGCTTCGAGTACGTGTGTCCGCTATGCAAGTCGCTGGGCAACTTGCTCCTGCCCGAGCCTGGTGTCTCGAGCCTGGGCTCCCAGGCACTGTGGGACACGAGCCATGCGATCCCCTCTTCGCCAGCGCAGTCCCTGGGTCATGTGCAGCTCAGTCCGGCGCCGCTCACCGAGTGGGTCCGCAGTGTGAACATTGCGATCCTCAAAAGCACGCCCGCCGACTCGGCCGTCTTGACGGACCATCAGGACATGGTCCATGGCACCGGCTGCTTCGTCCCTTGGCTTGTGTCCGGCTCGGCTCAGCCGCACAACCCTGACCTGGGCGCTGGCATCTTTGGCGCTGACGAGTGCCACATGCTCCATCGCTACACGAGTGTGCTGCAGCTCCTGTCTGACGAGACCGCCCACTCTCGTCTGCAGGAGCGCCACGCGACCGTCCTGGATGCTCTTGGATCCAACAACACCGCCATGTACGTGCCAGAATCTCTCGTCGCCTACACGATCGCGCAGCTGGACATCGCCCAGCGCGGCATGCCCCAGCCCATCGCACACTCTCTTTCCGCGACGCAGGTGCGTGTCGTGCAGATGCTGCTCGAGTCCTTGGGCGCCTCGGCTCGCCTCGTTGCGCACCATGTCCACGATGCGCACATGCTCCAGCAAGGACTCTACAAGCGTCTGCTCCCGCAATGGGCAAGCGAGCCTGCCGTGCGCTCGCCGATCATCCTCCGCCATGCGATGGGTGTCCTTGTAGAAGCAGCTGTCCTCGTGCCAGACCAGATGCGTCACGTCGCGACGCTCATGTTCTACGTCAATTTGGTGCAGTGTGTGTTTGGTCTTGCGCAGCCTATGATGAAACCCACCAAGCCTGCGTCACCCGTGGATTCGTCCGACCTGGATGCAGCCCTGCGCATCTTCCCACATGCGCGGTGGCTCGTCACCAGCATCGTGAGTCTCGTCGGCTATGTGCGTGGGAACATGACTCTTGGCTTCGACCAATTGTCAGATGGCGAGCTTGCTAAAGCGCTCTGCTCCTACACGCTGCCTTTCCTGCGCCGCGCTGCCATTCTCATGCGTGTCGTCGCGGGCGAACAGGCTGTCCCTGTTGTTGATGCGGACTCGGAGTACGAGTCGCTTCTTGCCTCGCTGCAGATCATCCCCCCTACCGAGGCTCTGCCGGTGCACTCCCAGCCGAACGCCTTGCTTACGATGCTCGTCGAGGGATGGACCAAGCATGCCTACGTGCACTTGGCCCCGCTGTTCCGTCCTCTGCCGATCCAGCAGGGTCCCGCGCAGTCGGTCGACAGCTTGGTCCTAGAGCACCCGCACATATATGAGCTGTTGCCCCTGCCCGCGCGACCTCACGATCCTCCTGCAGCAGACGCAAGCCCGCACGTGCCGTCGCTGCGGCACGTTGCCGCCCACATTTTCCCTCTGCCTGCTATGTGGCGAAGTGCTGTGCGAACAGTCGTATTGCTGCTCGGATCCCGACGATGAAGCGCATGGCGAATGCCATCAGCACATGAAGCAGTGTGGTGGCTCACTGGGCCTACATTTCCGCATAAGCAACAACGCCATTGTCATTCTCTACCAGGAGAACGGCACTTTCTCGTCGTCGCCATACCTGAATTCGCATGGCGAAGTCGATCGATACCTGCTCAAGTCCCGACCACAGCGCCTGCATCCTCAGCGTTATGACGAGCTTCGTAAGCAGTGGCTTTTGCATGGCCTTGCAAATGTCGTCACACGCCGCATAGAGTCGACGCTGGATACGGGCGGCTGGATTACGTTTTAAGGCGCTTGCCTGCGCTAGCGAGTCCATCCAGCACAAACGACTGAGACCCAAGTCATTCCAACGGCCTCGCACATCGACGCCTCTCTATCTCTCTATCTCTCTCTCTCTACTACCTCTCTTTATGTAAGTGTCGACGAGATGGAAAGAGGCAGGCGAGCGGAAGGGGAAACCTGCTCTGTTGGGCGCCGTCTTCTTGCTTCGCTGGTCTCGCGTAGTCTTAAGCAAAGCCAAAGCCCTCTGAGCCCTCGTTCATGGCTAGTAGCAACTGACTCCGTAGCTTTTCATACGAATCGTATGCCGGCAGGTCCAGCTGATTGAAACATGTATGCGCTGCCGGCAGCCGGTCTTCTCCATACGCACGGTGGATATTGAAGCGCTGCGTCCCATTGACGCCCTGCAAATGGGCAAATCCCTCTAGTGGCACCTTGGATGTGCCTGTGATGAACTGCAGAAGCTTCGCCTTCTCCGTCTGGTCAAACGAGCGCACAGCTCGCCACCACCACTGGATCACCGGATCACTGGATTTGTAGCCTTGCAGCTCCGTGTGGTTCTTCCATTCGTCCACATCAATGTCTGGTAGACCAGAGATCAGCAGCTCCAGCTCCTGCTCACTAAACAGCTGGATCAGCGAGTGAGGAATCACCTCGTGGAAGCCATCCAAAAACGCATCGATCTGCGAGCGGATCGAGTTCGTTAGGCGCTGTTCTGTCACAAGGCGCACATACTCGTGCTTGTTCGCCTCCGTCACGGGAATCGACGCACCCCCCGGCTTCAGCTCCACGACACGTGTCTCGCCAAACACATCCTCGTCCACCGAGAACGTTAGCTCTAGCACGTCTGTGATGTCGTTATGTAGCATCCACTCGATGCTGTTGTAGTACTCAGGATCCACTGCCTCGAGATCCTTGTAGTCCACCTTGCGTCCAAGAATATGCTTGTAGAAACTCCGCGTAAAGTACGCATCGAGCAAGCGGCCGTCATATATCGCTTTACCAATCACACGGCCAATAAACTTGAAGAAGGCCAGGTGCATGTCGTTTACCGAGCTCATCCGATTCGGCTGGTACGTCGTCCGGTCCGCTGCGCATGGCTGAAACAGCGCATAGTCCGGATTGAACATTTCTCTCGACAGCACTTGAAACCACTCGCGCGTCACACCACCAGCGTCTACACCTTCCTCATGATGGAAGCGTACATTCAGCTTACCATGCTTGATTTCTGGCCCCGATTTTCGGTTAAAGTACTGGAAACTGTCATAGAACACGTGCTGCCGTCGAACCGTCAAGGACAATGGGGTATAATGCTCGCGGCGGCCCTTGTGCAGCTGCTGAGAAAAGTAGTTCCGCTTGTTATCAAAGTCCAGCACCTTGGGATTCCGCACGAGGAGCGAAAACGAGCCTGACATAAGCGCAGGGTTCTGTCGTACCATCAAATTCAGGATCTTGCGGTGCTTCTCTGTGAACACGAGAAAGTCGGCTTCCATCTGCGCGCGGCGCGTGCCTGGGGCCGACGTCACTGACTCCAGTGGTGCATCCTCTGGTGCATATGTGCCCATGACATGCTGAGACACCACCATCAAACTCTCAATCATGGGCAAAAGCACCTGGGCAGACCCTGGATCCCTTCGCAAGCGCGTCAGCGCCTCACTTAGGCGGGTCCAGAGCGCGTCAAAGTCAAAGCTCTCGTATACGCGCGCAAGCTTCTCTTCTCCCTCCCGCTTCTCTTCTGCACTGACATTTTTCGTGCTCTCATCGCCCTGTGCCGATTCTTGTGACGAGCTCCGCTGCCTACGTAGCGACGTCACAGGTATGGCTCCTGCATCTGGCATGAGAAGTGTGAATGGATTCGCGCCCCCACTCTGCAAGCGTGACAGCATCTCAGCGAGCCCATCTGATGAAGTCTCCATAAACGCCGAAGCATACGGCGATCCACGCTCCCTGTTTCGTGTTAGTTGTGTCGCTTACTAGGGTGGATAGGACACATGTTGCTACATGTAGCCAATGAGCCAATTCTCATCACCACCCACTAAAACACTCGTACGCACTCAGACATGCTCGTTCCTCTCTCTCTCTCTCTCTCTCTCTCTCTCCTATGCTGAGGCGAGAGTCTGTTCTCGCTGTTCTTGCTGGTGTTCAACGCAACGCCTACTGACCAGCGACGCCGTCTGCTGATGGCAATGACAAAACGTTCACAACGTCAGCTTTCGCCAGTCATGTGCTGAGTCATCAACACCACCAACTGTCCCTACGACAGTGTAGTTCTCCCGCCGTCGCGTGCGTATTGATCTTACTATTCGAGTCTCAGTCCGCGCCCTTCTCCACACTTTTGCGCACTCACACCGTGCGCCTGAGGGTCCCTTGGTGATTACGCCATTTGATTATGTAAATATATTATAATCCCCATGGTATCCACACGGGTGCCGGGGCCAACTCCCGCGCCCGAGCCAAGTGGCAACAATGCCTAATATAAACCGCCGGTCTGCCCCCACAACCCCTCTTTAACACACCCACAACACATCTTGACCATGCCTCTCTTTGTGCTCTCGCCCGTACGTTGCACTTCCCATATTGTTGCACTCTTGCTGACCTCTACAGGCCTCGCTTGCCCACTCGGCTCTTTTCGCTGGCTACTACACGTACCTGTCTGCTAACGTCGGGTACCAGCGCATTCGCACCGGTATTCTGGATGCAAGCAAGTCCGCAAACGACGAAAAGGTTCAGCGTGCCGTGCGTGCGCATGCAAACTTCTTCGAGTACACTCCCTTTACGTTCGTGCTGCTCTTCCTTGCTGAGCTGAATGGAGCTCCTACTGCTTGGATCCACGCTGCATACTCGACTCTGTTTGTTGCACGTGTCTCGCACGGTTTCGCTATGCTGCGCCCATCGCATCAAAAGGTTCTCCGTATCTTTGGCTTCGCCGGCACGATCGTCGTGATGCTGGGTGCCGGCCTGTACAATCTGGGTCTCGGCTACGAGCCGCTGAAGTCGTTCCTGGGCATTCAGTGAAAAGCTCTCACATAACTAGTTGAAGAGTTTGTTTTATCTCATATGTATGCATCAATTCAAGCTTCTCTGATATTCTGCACATATGTCTGTCGACTCTCTCATAAGTTATGTCACTGTGTCCGTATGAAAATAGTGTCCGCCCCCACCACCTCCTTGGAGTGTACATTCGTAGGTCCGCGTGATTCCGCGCATCGCGCACATGCTTATGAATATCGATTCGCTGCGAGCATGTCCGCCCCCGCACACGTCTCCTGAACAACAGCATCACGTCTTTCCTTCGTTCTCATGCTTCCCGTCATGGATTAGCCCGTGGCATAATCATTGTCCACCTTAAAACATCATCGAGAGTTTGCTACCCTCGCGATCCGGCACTGGCACTTGTGAAGATGGGGTCCTCTTGCCCCAATTCTTGCCAAAGGTAAAGCCGACCCACATCGCACGTCCACCATCCGACAACCCATTCTTCGCCTCCATAGCCTCAACGTGTCGCTGCTTCTCTTGCACTTCTTTGTATTTAGCCATGTCGGCGGGGTCATCAAAGTTGTCAAAGTAGCCTGTGTCGAGCTCGTTCTCTAGCTGTGGTACAAATGGTGCAGCCACTTCGCGCATGCGCATCAAGTCCACATAGCGGAAAAACGGATGCGACTGGACTTCTGAGAGCGAGTTGTAGCGCCTTTCAGGCGAGTTAATCAGACGCACAATGATGTCCCAAGCCACGTCAGTCAAATTGAACTGTAGATCCTCTGGCTTCTCGTACACGGGACGTTGAAGTGCTTTTGGCCAGTTCTTCAGATTTGTCCACGTCTCGTCAGGATGTGCGCCGCTAAACGGCGGGAAGCCGCATAGAAACTCGTACAAAATGCATCCCAGACTCCAGTAATCAACGCTTGTGCCATATTCGCGCCCACGAAGTACCTCAGGCGCCATGTAGTCTGGCGAGCCCACGACGGAGTCAGCGTACTTGACATTCTGTGTGCGCATCATCTGGTACAGAGAGCTCCGCTCAGCAGGCGTACGGTACACAACATCGGTGTCTTTTACCTGGTCAAGACGGCGCTTCATCGAATCGATGCGTCCAGGATTGATCGCTCCTGCCGCCAAACCAAAGTCTGTAAGCTTGATGTGGCCCGTCGCGTCGATCAGAAAGTTTTCTGGTTTCAAGTCGCGGTGGATGTATCCAAGTTTGTGGAGCTCATTTACCGACACAAACATCTCTGAAATATAGAAGCGTGCATGTTCTTCCCGTAGCACACCACTGTTGTTCAGCAGCGTACGGAAGTCACCACCCGGCACATACTCCATGGCCAAATACACATGCGACTCGTCCTGAAATGCATACAACAGTCGCACAAGCCATGGCGAACGCGTAGCTGTAAGGATATCACGCTCCGTCAAAACATGCCGGACCTCATCCATCTTTATCAGCACACGTTTCCGCAGTCGTTTGAGAGCGCACAGCTCGCCTGTGTCGCGCTTGCGTGCAAGAAAGACTTCGCCATAACCGCCTTGACCTACTTGCGTCACAATATGGAACTGCTGAAGACGCAGCTTGGTACGTCGTTTATGCAGCAGCTCTCGCTCGTAAGCCATAAGCTTGGCACGCTCTTTCTCATACTCAGGGGTCGCGCGCACATTCGTTGCTGATGACTGTGGCTTACTCAAAGACATAGACTGCATGGAGTCAGACAGCAGATCTCCGGCAAGTGATGCTGAAGACGATGATGCCAAAGGTGAAGATCCAGCCCAGCCACGCTCCTTCATCCTTACTTCAAAGTCAGCAAGGCGCGCACGGCGCTCTGATAAGTACCGAAGCGAGTCAAAGTAATGGTTTAGGAAGTACATTTGGGCAAGTGTGGCTTTACGCTGAACTTCAGGCATCTGAAGCGTCTCTTTCTCCCACGCCTGTAGTGTATCAGCCGGATTCAGGCTCCGGATCGATGTGCGTGTTATGCCCGCGGCGGCTGACGCAGCCGCATGCGTCTTCGTAGGGCTCGGCGACATGCCCAACGCGTCGGGATGCGCCGCAATTTTAGGGTTGGTGCCTGTTTTTGGTGGTGAACTTGTAGGCTGGTTCGCTTGTAAGCGACGCAGAAGCGGCTGCTGCGACGCCGGCGTCGGTACAGACGACACTCCCATGTCTGTCTTATTATATGTGGATCCAGGCATCATAACATTGGCGCTGCGTGGCGCATTCTCTTTCGTATAATCATAGTATGTGTGATTTTTGTTCATCGTGGTGTGGTTGCTATACAAAGAAAGATCCACACTCACGCTCACACACACTGACGAGGACAAGGGACCAGTGGACAGGGAACAAAGGTGTTGTGTTTTTTTGTGTTGCTTGTTGGACGTACACTCGCTCCAAGCGCCTGGTTGCACAAGTGACCACGTGATGCGCGCATCTCGATGAGCACGCACGTGATGTTCAGTCAGGGTGACCTGAGCTAGTCAACGTGGATGAACGCGTGCTCCATGGCACATAGAACCAAAGCGTGCGACGATCTCGTGCGTTTGGGCGGGGGCTTGATCGTAGACCGGGGCGACATAACTTGCTAAGCTTGGTCAGCTTGCTCAGTATTTGTGCCGGAAGTATTCAAAGTGGGGATAGGTCGCTGATACGATCAGTCGACGCGTATATCTTTTTATGATGGCGTCCGAACATGATGCCGACGCCATGGATGTTTCAGCCGAGGCGCCTGTTGTTCCACCAGCAAGCACGACTGTCTTGGACTTTTCCGACTTGGATGCATCGATTCAGTCATTTACACGCCGATTTGACCACTATGTCCAGACCACCATTGCTTCGTGTGATGAAGCTCGTCTTGCGGCTGATGCACAACGCACTGAAATCCAAGAACGCGTTCGTGCACTGGAGCGTGAGCGCGAAGACACGAAACATGCTCAGAAAGAGCTTTGGGAAAGTACGTAACAGTTCGCCATGTGGTGCTGACAGGCATTCTTACCTTTGTGTAGATGTGGCCTCTGAGCGAGATGCAGATGCAAAGCTACGCGCCAGTGTGCAGAATCTGATGGCACAGCGGGAAGCACTCGTACAGCGAACAGCCGGGATTCGGAAGGAAGTGTCCGAGATTCGTGCTCAGATGGAGGCTCGAAAACAGCACAAACAAATGCAAGTCCAGCGTCTGCGCGAGCAAGTTCGTCGTAATGCGCCAGAACTAGCCCAGCTCGAACGCTTAACTGGGTGTACTATTTCGCCTAGTGTCCGGGCAGGCACTATCGATTTTGCATTCTCCCTCATATCACGCGACAACCCTGCACGGTCAGCGACTCTGTCGTTAGACGTGTCGAAAACGCAATACAAGGTCCCCACGTATGATTCGATCCTCTCTGCCGCGACTGTGAAGGCTCTTCTTCAAGAGCTAGAGCGCACCGGGGACGTCTACACGTTTCTCAAGCGAGCTCGAAGTGCGATGGTGGACAGTTTGGCCAGGGAGAACTGACCCTATTTGGATGGGCCTTCGTGAGATCCGATCACAACAACCACCACATGCACACCCGCCGTGCTTACACTGTACTTCTATTCATAAGTATATAAATAAATAAATAAATAAATATATATATATATAGGCATGCAAATATGGAGATGATCAACATGTGCACAAAAAACCTATGGGGGGCTTTGAACGAACGAGTCGAAAAAAAAAAACTCAAAAAAAGTATGCAAAGACAAGGAAAGAAACATGCCGTCTACGCATAGTTGTTGCTGCTAGCATCGGACTTGAGCGCTAGCTTCGCGCGCTCACCCGCCTCACGCTCTTTTTTCTGTTCCTCTTCTTGCGCAAAAACGCCTGATGCTGCAAGATGCGCCGCCCTGGTGTCAAAACCGCCATCCGATAGCATAGCGCGGATATACAGAGCCCATGTACCGAAGTAAGCCTTGATATCGGAAAAGCGCTCAAGGAACATGAGGCCATGATAGAAGTACATATAGTTCCAACAGGACGAGAGATACGACTTCACGAAGCCGAACGAAATCCCCTCCGACCGTCGGCGCGCCGTCAGTCGTTCCTTATCGTCACGACGCGCAGCCATTGCGCAGTACCGCGCAGTGATGATAAAAGGACGTGCAGATCCATGCGTTGTGTGCAAGTTCGCGTCCAAAGCGCGCGTCAGGTCATTGATCTTTAGTACCATGAGCATTGCACGTGGGACGCGGCGAAGTAGCGCCATAACATCCACAAGAAGCCCCTCTTTTTCCATCACAGTCTTACGAATGTGGTCTTTTTCGTCATCAGACAGGCGCGAGCTTGAATCGAGATCCAGAAGAGAGGACTTGCGCTGCTTTCCCTTCACGCCTGTTGGATTCTTGTTGTCACTACCTTCCAAGCCTGAGCGACCGGTGATCGCACTTTCCAACACCGGGTAGAGATCGTCGTCGATGTTGCCAACAAGCCTTGCATATTTGCGGCGCTCTCTTGTAACTTTCGGCGACGAGCGTGAGATCAACGAGAGCCAAAACCGCGCGTAGTTTGCACGCAGCTCCTCATCGATCTCAAAGTACAGGCCGTGGTCCAGGAGCACAATCTCGAAGTTCTCCGCGGATCGCGAGCCAGGCTGTCGTGGACGAATCAACACATTGCCACCGTGTGGGTCGGCATGGAAAAAGCCGTGCATATACAGCATCTGTGAGAAGATGCGAGCAAGTTCCTGTGACACGCGATTTCTGTCGATGTGGTGTTCAGCCAGGAATGCAAGGTTGTCCGGCCGTTGTCCCTTAACAAACTCCATTGCCATCACACGCTTGTGGACCCATGGTACCTTGGGGAAGTACACACATGTCGACTTGTACTGGGCAAAGTCCTTTTGCGCGCGCAGTGAGTTGCCAGCCTCGTGTCGGAAATCCAGTTCCAACGGCAGGTTCTTGTTCATTTCATCAGCAAGCCAATCAAAGGCGAACTGAGGAAACACTCGCTTGACCCAGTTCACCAGAATTGTTACCATACGCATGTCAATGTCGGAGAACCGCTCCACGTTCGGGTGCAGCATCTTGACAGCGAGGATTTGGCCGGTTTCTCGATCACACGCGCGGTGCACCTGCGCAAGAGATGCCACACCCAAAGGCTTTTCATCCAGCCAAGAAAAGGCCTCATCAAACGTTTTCCCTGTTTCGTGTTGAAAGAGGACCTCGAGCTCCGGCAAAGGTGTTGGCTCATTTTGATCCTGCAGCGGACGCATCGTCGTTGTCCACTCTGGCGGCAGCAGAATCACTGACGATAAGTGCTGTCCCAGCTTGATATAAAGGCCTCCATTCGTCTGCAAAGCAACAAGCAAGCGCTGTGCGGAGCGCAAGTGACAGTTACGCAGACTTTCTTCCTCCTCTTCCTTTGATGCATACTTCGCATTCAGGACACGCCGGTAGTCCCAGACACACAAAGCTACAGCCTTGATAATAGTCGTCGACCGTTTCAGTGCAAGAATCATAAACTGGGCTGTCTGCGACGCACTCGAGTCAGAGACACTCTTCTTCAAATCTGCATATAGCGATTCTAGGCTCGAGAAAGAAGATGTCGATGGCGGCGATGATGGTGAGGTCATCGTCGTGCCTGCATCTGCTGAGAGTTTGTTCCAGCCAACATAAACAGTGCCACCGAGCACGAGAGTCACTCCTAGCACATACGAAAGAAGTCGCGAGCCGCGACGGAAAGCCGCGTGCTGATTTGCTGTGCGGTGCGGAAATGGTACAGCTGGCTCATCAAAAAGAATGGGCTCAGGTGCTTTCTGCGGCGGGTATCGTGGCGGCGGTGTTGTCGGACGCACGCGGAATTTCGCTGTGGACGGTCTTTTATCGTCTGACGAGCCCGTCGCAAGCAATCGGATCTGACCCCGTCCATGACACGGGGCTGCTTTGGCACATGTGATGGCTCGTAGCCGCAGGCCGCCCACCATGCACAGCATAGGTCTCATAGCTCCACACCAATGCTGCTGCTGCGACGGCTGGTGTTGCTGCTAATGATGTTTCGAGCCGTGGAGGACGTCGTTCGTCGCTTGTACTGCGTAAATGGTCTCTCGTATTCGGGAAGACTAGCGACCAAACCCGATATATCACGTGAATGACGCCCAATGCCACCTCCACTGAAACCTAGATGAGAGTTTGATTGATGAATGTGAATGGTCGAGGCGAGTGCTTGGCGTCAGTTCAACACCCTGTGAGTAAGGGCGCCAGGCGCACACTAGGGAAAGTCGATCGAGTTCCATTCAAGCCAGTACCTGCTTTCTCTCCAACTTTCATGGATGAACAGGTGACCAAGGAGAAGCCCGAATCGTCGGCGGTCGAGGATCCCCTCGCTGACCATGCGATCTTGAGCCAGCCTATCGTATCAAGTTCCACGAACGAGTACTCGCCAGAAGTAGAACAAAGGGCCGGAAGCCCGGTCGCAGAAAGTGTCGCTGTCGCGAGCGAAGATGGCGAGAGTTTACCTGATATCACCAAGATACAAAACAAGCCGAAGGAGTCTAGGTCTTCATTCCGCCACCAAAGAAGAGCCGAACGAACTTGGAGCACGTCGGCACCTAGCGGCTTAGTACATTACCTTCGGCGTACGTCTATGGCGGCTCCACCATTGGCAGATGCGCTGAATGCCCACACGGCTGTCGAAGCACCAAAAATGACGCTGAAAGCAGATAGCTCAAACGAAAACATCTTCAAGCGCGCGTTCTCTGAGATTTACGAAAAGCTCGAGCGCTACGAGTCTCAAGATGCCGAGGAGGGTGCGCGATTCGAATATCGCTTGGCCAGAGCGCGTCAGGCCTTGCCAGATAATGTTCAAAGCATCGAGGACATCCGCGGTCAAGACATGGAAGATATCGAAGAAGGCAAGATCCAACCACTGTCCATGCGCCGCAGTAGTACCACGCGCTCTGAACCCAAAGAGAAAGGCGATGCTGAGCAAAAGCCAGACCCCTTTCTCGTCACATTTGAGACGACAAACTCGGAGCATGAAAACCCGCGTACATGGTCTTTCGGTTATCGTGTATCGATCTTGGCTATGTACGCAATGTTCTCGCTTATCGGACCATTTGCTTCGTCAGTGGTGTCACCTGCTTCGGCGGCAATTGCTGAAGATTTGGACATGGAGTCGAAGCTTGAACAAAACCTCTTGGTTGGCTTGTTCATGCTCGCATTTGTCGTTGGTCCCTTGTGCTCTGCACCTGTAAGTGAGACATATGGACGCCGCGTCGTGGTGCTTGTTTGTTCTCTATTCTTCATTGTCTTCAATATCGGCTGTGCCGTGGCCAATACTGCTGCTCAGTTGTTGGTGCTGCGCTTTTTTTCAGGTGCTTTTGGTGGCGCTATTATACCCATGGGTGGCGGCACTGTGTCTGATATGTTTGAGGTGCATGAGCGTGGCACAGCTATGGCTTTATACACGATCGCCCCTGTCCTCGGTCCATCTCTGGCGCCCATCATAAGCGGCTGGATTATCCAGGGGTGGGGCAAGGATCACTGGCGCTGGGTATTTTGGGTCTCGACCATACTTGCAGGCTTTATTTGCGTTCTTGGTATATTTTTCGTTCGAGAGACGTATGCTCCTCGTTTGTTGTATCTAAAGGCACGTAAGCTGCGCAGGGAGTCGGGCGACAAGCGATATCATTCATCGTTCGAAATGCGATCAGAAACTATTTGGCAAAAAGTCAAGCGAATCCTTCTCAGACCATTGATTTTTCTCGCCACGGAACCACTCGTCACTCTCCCTGCCCTGTACATGTCAATTGTTTACGCGTGTTTCTACCTCAACGTTGCTTCACTTCCTTATGTCTTTCGTGATCATTACGAGTACAATGTGGGCATCGCATCTTTGCATTACATTGGGCTCATGATCGGCTTGGTGGGTTTTGGACAATTCGGTGGCTGGTTCATCGACTTTATGTACAAACGATTGAGCAGAAAACATGGCCGCAGGCGTCCTGAGTACAAGCTTCCTTTGCTTATGATCACCGTTTATGTGTTGCCCGCTGGCATGCTTTTGTTTGGGTGGACGGCTGACTACCACAAATTCTGGATTGCACCAGACATTGGTCTCGTACTTGTGGGCTCCGGGATCATTGGCAGCATGCTTTTAATACAAATGTATTTGGCTGATCTTATGACAATTTACGCTGCATCCGCAATTAGCGCTGTGACATCTTCGCGCTCACTGATGGCCTTTGTTTTCTTGTTATTTTCAAACGCCATGCTGACGAATTTGGGCGTTGGATGGACTATGTCAGTTTTGGCATTGATTGTGGCAGTTGTTGGTATACCTGCACCATTCTTACTCTATAGATATGGACCCTTTCTCCGCTCCAAAAGCAAGTATTGTGTCCAGGGTTGATGTTGAATGCATTGTATATATGCTTTGTTTAGGCATTCATGAATCGTGTCCGGACGTGAACTATAGACAATGTAAAGGCGCTTTGGATATATGGATTATTCTACAATAATTTGGTTAATGACACGGACAGACGAAAACTCGGGTGAACAGTGATGGTCCCCTACGACAAGGCTAGGGCCTACATGATCAACGCTGCTTCATATTTTGGTCGTGGTTGGTATATACTTCATGTGCCAACGGAAAGGGTGCATCGGAACTTTCCGGGGCTGCACATACACATGTGGCGACGAGTGTTCGTTCCGGGACTAGGGCCAAGTCCAACTATGCTGACCACAGGCCAAGTGAATCATGCTTCGTGAAGGGCAGCGAGTAGCGCGACAGGTAGATGAGAATGAGTAGTGATGTACATACGCAGAACTGTAGGACATGGATTGCTAGCGTGAAATATATGTTGTTATGAGGGGTAAGATCTGATAGAGCCACAAGCTACCACCAGTGTCATTCGTAGTCGTACAATGCCCTAGCGATGGAAGACAGGCATGCCCGGCTTCCATCCAATAGGTCTGCACAAATGCCAAGTATCCGTCTCGGAGCGATGTTCTTGATAGGTGTTTTTCTGATCCACAGAGGCATACACTGTGAAGCCATGTTGCTCGAGTGTCAAAACCAACTGTAGTATTAATTGGCGAGCAAGCATGGTGTCTGAACCCTCCGCGTACCAGTAACTAGAGTTCAACGCTATTTCCGTGACACCCTGTGAATACTGGTGTGGCTCTCGACGCAAGCGAGCAATCGTCAAGGCGTTGTGGAGCTCCCATGAGAGATCTGGTGGAACGTCAATCAGTCGCACCATGTTGAACTGCGAGAACGCAATGCTAATCCACTCGGAGGGTGGCGGCGGAGGCATTTGATGGCGAAAAATCATGGTGTCTTTGTCAGTCTCTTTTTTGCTAACATCGGTTGAGAATATCAGAATCCAGCCCGCGCCATACAGTGCTGCCAACACGTTGCGCACAAGCCTTCGAGCTTCAATGCCTGCTTGTCCTTTTCCATCCCAAGGAAATCCCCACAGAACATATTCGTGTGAGCCGCCGTAAGGCTTTTCCAGTTGGATCCCTAAAGGCCAGCTCTGCTTGATTGTGTCACGCAGCATATTGAGAATCTCGGGTGGAAACCCTAGGAACCGCATTCTATCGGCTCTGTGAAGCGAGACGGACGCCATTTTAGAGAAAAATGTATAAGATGAGTTTGGCATGTCGCTGTTGGTGACGGACGAGTCATTGTGAAACCAACTTTTTATTGTCTGTGCACCTTTGAAAGAAGGCATGGTCGAGGGGAAAGATGCGGAGATAAGCGGTGCCTGAAGATCGAGTTCCTGCTTATCCATGTTCGGCTTTCTTCCCCGCATTGATCAAGAGAGCTTAGTCATCATCGCCCCACGAGCACGAATTTTCCGTCAAGCCGGCGGGGAATAAGGAGAGTCAAGCAAGCATGAAGTAGGCTGTTTGGCTCGCATCTCTCCACACATAACCATTGTGCTAGTGCTCATATGTCGTACGAAGGAATTCCGTCGCCTAGATACTTCAAGCTCCATTGGCTCGCTGAATCGGTGCTAGGAGTCGCATTGAACCGCCCGCCAGTGAATGCATTCTGTGTAGCGTAAGTGGCACGCTATTTGGAGAAGAGCACTGATGGCAGAATGTGGACTGAGATGCATCAGATCTTCGATCACATCCGCCGCGATGGCAATGTGCGTGTCGTTGTATTGTACGGCAATGGCAAGTGCTTTACAGGAGGTTTGGACTGTATGTGACCTATCCAAGTTCTGCCTTTCCCCCTTTCCCCGCCATCGTTTTCTTTATTCGTACTTACACACAGTAGTGCGCGAAAACGTGCTAGGTCAATTACTTGAGAGGGACGTGGATGCAGCACGGCGAGGTATGATGTTTCGCGAGTTGATTGAGCGCTTCCAAGCTGCGATATCGTCTCTGGAAGTATGTGAAAGACCTGTCATTGGTGTATCCCACGGCTACGTCATTGGTCTTGGCATCGATATCTTGAGTGCTGTAGATATTCGCTACACGTCACAAGATGCACGTTTCTCGATCCGCGAAGCAGCCATTGGACTTGCTGCTGATATCGGAACATTGCAGCGACTCCCGAAAGCCGTCGGCAATGACTCTCTCGCTCGCGAGTTGGCTCTGACAGCACGCGACTTTGATGCAGCAGAGGCCAAAGAGCTTGGCTTTGTCAGTAAGGTATTTCCCTCTCAGCAAGAAGCTTTGCGTACGTATCACACGACAAGCGTGCAAGAAGAATCTTGACATGACTAACCATATAACAGATGGGGCCGTAGAAACGGCGAAGCGCATCGCATCTTTGTCGCCCGTTGCTGTCGTGAGCACCAAGTTGTCGCTTGTGCATGCTCGAGATCATTCTGTGGAAGAGGGCTTGAGATATATGCAGTACCTCAACGCTGCTGCTCTCCAGACAGATGACATTATCGAGTCAGTGAGTGCGACGATGTCCAAGTCGACACCCAGATTTTCCAAGCTGTAATTGTATGTATTCTACACTTCCTCCAATAGATGTAGTTTCCATGACTCGTGGGACACGGTAGGTGCCTTCTTGGGCTCTTGCATCTGTCGCCATCTCCACAGTGTCGACAGCGTGGAACTGGCGGTCTCGCTTGGTGCACCGGGTCCATGAGCGAGCTGCGTGACTTGCGCCGCTAGCGCCTGCGTTGTCTCGGCACGATCTTGCATTTGACGTGCGTACCGCTCTTCCAAGTCTGCGGCTGCTCGCCGCGCAGACTGTTCGAGCGCCAAAAGCCTCTGCTGCAGTTCCTGTGCAGCGAGGCGATGGCGCTCACCGAACATGACAAGCACTGGGAGCAATCGGGCCGTATCCTTTTGCAAGGTACCAAGACGTGTCTGCAAGAGTTTTTGCAGCGACTCGTGAAGATAGCCTTCCTCGTACACACTGCCTTTCTTGCCGGCATTCTTCTTTTTCTCCTCCTTCTTGGCTTTTGCTCGCTGCCGCGACTTGGAGCCAAGTGACAACGTCGACATGGACGGGGCAACACTTGTGGCGGTTGTATATCGAGTGAACTGCGTCATCTGGGACATGTCGCTCGAGACTTCCACATTGTTCAGTGCCTGCACGTCCTCACTGACATAAAACGCAGACGGATCCTCGTCTCGTTTCGCATCCAGTTCGAACAAACGCCGTACCTGCTTCGTCATTTGTTCTTCAATTTCAGAAGCTTCCTCGAGCAAGGAGCTCTGCGTCTCCAGCAATCCTGGTGCCACATGCGTCTCCATCAGGTCCCAACGATCATGTGCAGCACACTCGTATTGTGCATCGACGAATGCATGTGCCCGGCAAAGCAGCTCTATGCCCGCTTCCATGTCTGGCAGACGCAGCAGGACGCGCGCAGCTTGCTCGTACTTGTGCTGCTCTTCTAATTGCTCCGCAAGTGAGCGCATAAAGTGTGTGAGCTCTGGCCCAGCCATGCGTGTCTTCTGTGCAAGTGTCAATGCCTGCTGCCATTGGTCCGCTTCTTTGTACGCGTTCATCGCATCGATCAAACGGCCAGCAAGCTCGTAGGCTGTGGCAGCTTCAGCTGCGCGCTGATGTGAACTTAGATAGTCGCCGAAGCGGGCGTACGCCTCACGGAGCCGCTCAGGATCGTTCGCGAATGCCTTAAGACCCTCACGGTATAGCTTGTGCTGCACCATATACGCCATAGCCGACTCCATCCGGGATTCATCGCCGGAGCGTGCGAGCCAAGCCAGTGCCTTGGCATGGTGGCCGAGGTGGTCGTCGATGCAGAATCGTTGGTACTCCAAGGGCTCTTTGGAGCGAAGATCGCGCAGAAATGGAACGTATTCACGGGGATCACGCGGCGACTGTTGCGCAATCATGAGGGCAAGGGACAGATCATACATGCCCAGAGCCACCTTGTAAAGCTGATCGGCACTGACGAGGAAGATAATGTACTTACACGCCTCTTCAGCAAGGGGCGGATCTGTGTCGATGTACTTCAGCAAGACCCGAAGCCCACCTTCATAATCGGGAGGAACCTTACGGACGTGAGCGGTGAGGATACAGGATAGGAAGCGGCGCTCATCAGCAGATTGGAAAGCGTCGAGGAACACATCGCAGATCCTGTTGACCTTGGTATCGAGATCACGCACGGGTGTGTGCGACGAAGGATCCCACGGCTTATACAGCGTCTGTGTGACGTCTTCGTTTCGCAGATTCGACAGAAGCAGGTTGAGATGATCGATGTTGTCCACTTGATGCAGAATTTCAGGCACATTGGAGAGGAAAGCCGTCGGATTGTGATCATGCAGCAGATTCAAATCGACACGGTGTGCACGACTCAAGCGCAAGGCGTCACCAAACAGACATTGGTCAAGTTTGCTGCGAATAACATCAAGCACCATAGGACGTGGATATGTCGTCTCCAAGTTGCCGCGCGGGATTTGTAGCACGAGCGACATGGCACTGGGTACAGCTGTCACTATGCGACTGCCACGCTCGACGCGGCGGCTGAGCTGTACTATGTTCGGCGTCGTAGACAGTGCCGAGAGTGGCAGGAACTTGACTTCGTGGGAGTGTGTCGTCCAAATAAGCAGGCCATTCGTCGAAGTGAACGAAGTCGCATCTTTCGCCAGCACGCGGTCCGGCGCGAGCAGCCGGCTATCTGCCGCCAGCCCAACAGGCATGAGTGTCTCGTCCATGTCTAGAACATGCAGTGTCGGGCAGAATGCCAGAAGAGGGTCCAATGGTGTCGGAGGCTCCGTGGGAGCCAGTCGTGTGACATCACCGCGGTCATCATGCAAGGCAAAAGCTGCGCTCGACGGCACGCTCACAAGACGACGTGGACCGTGGCCATCCAGAGTCACGCGTACGGGCTGAGATTCCTCCGAATCGCTCAGCATCCATACGGCCGCGTTGTCGCCATCAGTGGCCAGCACCGCCACAGTCAACGAAGAACTTTTTGATGACAGCGCAACCTGATACGGATACGTGTCACGTGGCACTGTCAACGTCCTGATGCACTCAGGCAATAGCGGAGCACGCGGGCGTGGCTGGGCTGCAGAGAGCGAGCCATAGGGCAAGCGCCACACATGCACAACCCCTTGCGAGTACAGGAGCGCAACGAGATCAGAGGTATTTCCATCGGCATCGACATCCGTCGTCCAAGCGACGTGGATGGGCGTCTCAGGCGGCGCGTGAGCGTGCGTGTCTGGTGAGTCAAAGATAGCCACGGAACACATGGGCGGTGGAACATTTTCGCGTCGGAAGGGCGTTAAGTATAGCGCATGGCCATCGACAACGGCAGCGCAGGCAGCATCATGCGGTGGCGGGCCACGAGAGCAAGCAGTCTCTAGCCACATCGTCCGCTTTTCGACGCGGCCATGCGCCGCTACATAGAGTGTCCAAGGCTGCTCAGGGTGCCAAGACAGGTGATTGAGCATGCCCTCGTACACTGACTCGTGTTTCAGGTACCAATGATAGTTCCCACTTGTCCACAGTTGCAGGACGTGGTCCGAACCGCGTTGCAAGTGGACGGCCAAGACCGAGCCATCAGCATTCCAAGCGAGCGCCTTGATCTGATGTTCACACGACCACGGAGGAAGAGGTGCCGTACCGTGCAACACGTCGGGACACGCGCCATGCTCTTCACGAAGCGAAAATTCACCATGCCGTAAACCGTTGCGCTCAAAAAACACAATGTCATGGCGTCCTTGGCGCCCAGGTGCATAGTCGCCACCCATGCGCTGAGATGTGGCGATCAGATTCCCTGTGGGACGGCATGCAAGCACATGAGAGATGCCACGTACACTTCGATCGGACGTCGCACTGAGGGTGCCTGAGCGTGTGTATACACGGAGAACACGGTGCAGCGCTGTGGTGTCAGAGAACGGCTCGGCATTAGAGATCACGAAAAAGGAGCCGTCTCCGCGCCAAGAAATGCGGGGAAGACCGTCGTCATCCGGCACAAGCGGGCCGCGTGGATCACCACTCGCTGGCTCTTGTGCCGCAGCCATAGCTGCCTGTTTGCCCTCTGAGCCATGAAACTGTGTCGACTTGGATCCCCAGCCGACGTTCACGGGCTGGTCATCGCCAAACGTGTCTGTCACGAGGATCGATTCACTCACGACTTCAAACTCGCGAGTCATGATCAAAAGACGTTTTTCACCACCCGTCACGATCGTGAGCAAGTCTTCTTCAGGACTCCACGCAGCTGCAAGAATCCCCTGGTCAACGCAACCCACGACGTCCGCAGGCGCTGCTTCGTCGCCACCGACCGGCAGCAACACAATGTCGCCACCCGTGCACACAATGCACAGCGCAGGCACATGATCAACAGTTGAGCCACCGTCAGGTAGTAGGCGAAAATCCGCCACACATGGCATGTGAGATGAACGCGGCGGGGCCGACACTTGCAACGCGGCCAATTCCTCGGACCCAGCGTCGCTCAGTCGTGCTATGAGAAGTTGCGCGTGTTCGTCGCTTTTTTGCTCCATATGCAGGACGTATGCCGCATCGTCAGACTCTGTGTCTGCGACAACGGCATCCCATGACACATGGGGCGTTTTGTACACTTGCAGTGCAAGTGTAGACAAATTTCGCATGGTCCTGGGACGTCGTCGTTGGGATGGAACGGACGCGCGAATGAGACGAGGAGCAGCTTGGCAGCTAGCAGTTGGACACGCAGCGACGCCTATTTTTTTTCTGTACTACCTGCATCTTTTTGTCATCGAGACAAAAGCGCCCACCCGCCCCGTCAAGCAGCGCTTACCTGTGGAGGCTCCAGTCATGCACAGGTGCCTAGACGTACGATGGTCCGTCTTTGCCAACCTTCGGCTGGACAGCCAGCCAGGCACATCCATTCCTTTCACTGCTCGACGCTATCTCGCGGGATATCTAAGAGGAAGAACGCAACGACTCGAAGTTGGCTTGTGCCTTGAGAAGGGCTGCCTTCTCAGCCTCGAGATCATCAAGTCGCTGGTTCGTACTAGCGCGGACGTCCTCTGGCGTCTTGGACCAATCAGGCTTCTGGGTCAGAGCCACGGTGCGTTGTAGTTGGGTCTCATTCAGAGTCAGCTTCTTTGCAAGCTTGCTCAGCTCCTGGTCAAAATCGACAAGGCCACTCACAAGAAGATGGACCTGAATCGTCGCTGACACACTAGCCACAACGCATCCTGCCGGCACCTCGGACGCTTGCGACACACACACAATGCTCTCACAGCCCTTGATGAGCGTGTGCATCACACTGCACTGCGTGCTCAGCACATGCCGAGACTCGGCATTCTGCACCTCGACAAATGCCTGGATCTTGGACGTGAGGCCGTAGTCAGCGGCAAGCGCACGCACCGCACGCACACTCGCAAACACATCGTCAAACTGTGCGGCTTCGGCGGCAAAGTCGTGCGTTGGATTCCACGGAGGGAAGCGCGTGTGCGCAATTGTCTCGCACGTTTCTTGCGGGCGCACAGGCAGACGATGCCAGAGTTCCTCTGTGACGAACGGCATGAATGGATGCAGCAGCTTCAGACCAGCGTCCAAGCATGCATACAGTGTGTGCTGCGCAGAGAGACGGGCGGCAGGCTCTGCACCCGCATCGGTGATCGGCTTGATGGCCTCAATGTATACGTCACACAGATCGTACAGCCAGAAGTTGTACACGCAGCTGGTGGCACTCATGAACGAGCGCTGCTGCATGTCGTGGTCAAGCTGTTTCGCAGTGGCATTGAGCCGGTACAGGATCCACTTCTCCACAAGACTCTGGGGCACAAACGCATCCTGTTCAGCCAGCGGGAGGGGCGTGTATCCGTCTTGCAGCTTCAGCAGCGCGAAGCGCGTGGCATTCCACAGCTTGTTGCAGAACTTCCGGTAGCCCTCCACACGCATAATGTCGAGATTGATGTCACGACCTGCCGCTGTGTAAGCGCACAGCGTGAAGCGCAGGGCATCTGTGCCGCACTGCGGAATGCCGCGCGGGTAGTCTTTCTTCTGACCTTGCGCTGCCTTGTTGATCTCCTTTTCGTCCAGGTTGCCTTCGCGCAGGCGCTGCTGCAACCCCTCGAGCGAGATGCCCTCGATGACATCGATAGGGTCAATGACGTTGCCTAACGACTTGCTCATCTTGCGTCCGTGGGCATCACGGACCATCGCGTGACAGAACACCTCCTTGAACGGCAGCTGGCCCGTATGGTATACACCGAGCATGATCATGCGGGCGACCCAGAAGAACAGGATGTCCCAGCCGGTCTCGAGCATGGATGTCGGGTAGTAGTACTTCATGTCGTCCGTGTTTGCACGCGGCCAGCCGAGCGTCGAGAACGGCCACAGACCCGACGAAAACCACGTATCAAGGACGTCTTCGTCTTGTTTGAGCTCGTATGCGCGGCCATTCGCCATCTTGGCCGCACGCTCGTCGGCCTGTTCCCGTGTGCGACCAACGACCCACCAACGGCCCTCGGATGCGTCCTGCTCCACACCTTCCATGTCGACAAAGTACGCAGGCACCCGGTGACCCCACCACAGTTGCCTACTCACGCACCAGTCCTGGATGTTCTCCATCCAGCGGAAGAACTCACGCTTGCTTTGTGGAGGCTCAATCGCCATGTCCTCCTGCCGGACCTTTTCGACGGCCGCCTTGGCGAGAGGTTGGCAGTTGACCCACCACTGTGGCTTCATCACCGGCTCGATCACGTCGCCAGATCGCTCACACACAGGCACCACCATAGGGTTGTCCTTGGTCTCGACATATAGGCCCTTGGCCTTGAGCGCGTCAACGACAGCGCGGCGCGCACTGAATCGCTTCATGCCCTTAAACTCACCGGCGTTCGCATTCAGTGTGCCGTCATCATTCAGGATGTTGATGAAGGGCAGGTTGTGGCGCTTACCCACATCATAGTCGTTCGGGTCGTGCGCAGGCGTGATCTTGACAGCACCTGTACCGAACGCCATGTCCACGGCCACCGAATCCGTCACGACAGGGATGTGGCGCTCGGCAATGAACGGATGCTGCAGCAACTTGCCATGCAGATGCTTGTACCGCTCATCGTCAGGGTGCACAGCAACGGCCGTATCACCGAGAATTGTCTCGGGACGCGTCGTCGCCACAATGATCTTGTCGTCCGAGCCGACCACCGGGTACACGAACGAGACAATCACACCAAACTCGATGCGCTCGTTCGGTGGGTAGCCCGGCACATTCATGAGTGTGCGGCCGGGGATTGTCTTTTGCACAACCTCCAGGTTCGACAGAGTCGTATTCAGGTACACACACCAGTTCACGAGGCGGTTCTCTCGGTACAAAATGCCGTCTTCAAACAGTTTGCAAAAGTTTTCCGTAACCGCCTCAGAGAGAGAAGCATCCATCGTGAACGCCTCGCGCGTGAAGTCAAAACTCGCGCCCAGCCGGCGCATCTGGTTCGAAATACGCGCCTGATACTCGTCCTTCCAGTCAAAGACCTTCTGCAGAAAAGCTTCGCGGCCGTAGTCATAGCGCGACTTCTGCTCCACTTTCGCCAAGCGCTTCTCGACAACTGTCTGTGTCGAGATACCTGCATGATCAAAGCCCGGCACGTACAGCGTGCGGTATCCCTTCATGCGGTAGAAACGAATAAGGGCATCCTGGATCGAGATTGTCAGTGCGTGCCCAATGTGTAAGAGACCTGTGACATTAGGCGGCGGTAGTGGGATGACAAACGTCTTGGCTGGGTCGTACGGGGCCGCATCACTGGGTGGCTTCGGTGTGAAGAAGCCCTTCTTCTCCCACCAGGCGTACCATGACGACTCTACATGGAGCGGGTTGTATCCACTCTCCATTGGTGCCGACAAGTCCTTTTGCTCGCCTGGCTTCGTAGGGTCAGTCCAGGCAGGTTCTTCCTTTGTCTCCTTCTTAACTTTCTCCTTCTTGGGCGCACCAGACGAGGCTCCGGCAGAAGCGGGCGCTTTTTCCGCCTTCAATGCATTCTTGGCCGCAGCCTTCGCTTGCTTCTCGGCCAGCTTGGCAGCCTTTTTCTGTGCCGACTTGGATGTGCCTTCCGCGCCACCCTCGGCCGCTGCTGACTCTGCTGCTGCTGTGGCGGCTGCTGGCACCTCGGAGGGCGGCACGCCCTCAGGTGACGTGTGCTGAACGCTAGGTGGTTGGCTCATGTGTAGAAAAGCTGTGTGAATCGGCACCAGGCACCGGTTCAAGAGTTGTCGTGGTCGTCGTACAGAATGTGTCGTTGCAATCCAAGGACGTGCCCAACGCCAAATTGGCATGCAATATGCACCACCCCGCGAATTCAACACAAACGTGCGTACGCGTGCTACTGCTACGTCGACGTCGTTCGTTCTTGTGTGGACGTGGGCGGTGGGCCTTCTTTCTACAGCGCCAAAGCCAACGCTCATGCACGTGATGACTGATCACGTGCATGTGAAAGATGCTGTCGGGTCGCGCGCGTCTCGAGACGCGTAGTGCCACGGAAAAAGGAATAGCAGCCGCAGTAGCTGCGGGAGCAGACGCCGACGTCCAGACCGCGGCGGCGACGGTGGCAATAACAAGCCAAAAAGCCCACGCTCCGCTGCTGCATCTGTGTTGGCGGTGCAGACATGAGAAAAAGAAACATCGGGAATGTATTGGCACAATACACGATGACTGCGAACAACCTAAATCACGCATGGAATAGACATGCGCGAACATACACAACAACTTCATAGTACAAATGAAAGCGGAACATTAAGAGAGAGAGAATGTGCAAAACAAAACACAAAAGCAAAGCTTGGCATCACTACTTGGTTGATGGCTTTGCAGACTTCCAGTTGTGTCAGCAAATGTGTTCAAACATGTTGGACAATGCGTACCTTAGCAGTGGCTTTCTTAGCTGGGGCAGCTTTCTTGCTGGACGAAGCGCTCGAATTTGTTTTCGCGGTGCCTTTTCTGTCAGCGGTCGCTTTCGTAGTAGCTGCAGCCTTCCTGCTGGAAGAAGACGTGGTACCCTTTTTCGTCGTTGACCTTGCCTTCGTCGATCGGGCGGACGTGTTCTTGCCTTGGCTAGTAGACGGCTTCTTCGCCGTCACACGCTTTGTTGTAGAAGACTTGGTCTTCTTCTGAGATCCCTGCAACGCAGTATCCGGCTTAGATGTCTTCTTTTTAGGCGCGGCTTTCTTCGTCACGGACGTTTTGGCATTGGACTTGTCTGCCGCATGCTTAGCCTTGGCGGCCAGCTTAATTTTACCGCTCACGCCTTTGGGGAGAAGGAATACGCCCTTGTCTTTTCCTCGTACAATAGCCTGGTTCAAGTGTGAATTGAATGAAGCAAGGGGAAGCTTGCTGGTGTCGGGATGTTTCATCAAAATATACTTTTTCAGCGTCGGACGACCCAGGCCTGAACGAGCGTCGTCTCCATGCGCCATAATGGCCTCGATAATCATTTCCTCATACGTCATACCGGTCAGATTTTTCGTGCCTCTTCACTTGTCAGTAGAATCTCGAAGGAAACTAGATGGTGCGGCAGCAGTGGCAAGGACAATCGTCGGCTTGCAATGGGATGATAAGACTAAGGTAATCGGGGGAATTGGGCCACCAAGCCAAATAACGCTATCTGGTAGTAGCACGTGTTTAGTTAGGGCCAATTTTTTCGAGCGCGCTCAGGCGTCGGTCGAGCCTGAGTGTCGCCCAAAATCAATCCTACCATGCCCCTGCATGTGTGCGACATTTATGATAGGCCATCTCCACTGACGGTCCATATGCACCACGCGCTGTACATCATGTAGTTCTGATCTTGCGTCGGACTACCACTAACGCGAGCTGGACAGCATGCACACATCGTGTCTAGACGTATGATCTATGTAAAAGCGAAACAAAACACAACACCAAGTATTGTTCGTTCTCGTACACCACAGAGTGAAGAAGAAGGAGAGCGGATCATCGAAGCTATCATATAGAGGTTTGTCTGCAAACAAGGAGGGAAAATGCCAAGTCTATGTTGCGACTTGGGGGCGACAAAAAGGAGCACAGATTGTCGCGTCGTTTCGTCATGTGCGTATGCGCTTGATCGGGTGTCCTAACGCGTGTGATCGGGTGTGATGCGATTGCAGAAAGAGAATCATACGAGTTTATTCTGCCGCCATCGGGCGAGATGCAGTAGTGGTGGAGAACTTCGACACGACACGTAAGCGCGACGAGCCTTGAGTGGAGGGAATAGTTCACCAACACGTTCCATGGACACATGGTTCAAGTCGGCGCAGTTCACGCCGCTCGAACCGCCAAAGCCAATGAGTGCTGACCAGCTGTAGCTACGCTAACAATCTGCCATGATCCTGGCTCTCCTGGCATGGGCACAGGAGTTGGCACTGACTTGCTTTGATCATCACCCCATGTCTCGGCAGGCTGGCCCATAGCTTCGTCAGACGTCGTGCCCCATGAGTACAGCGTGCCATCCTTAGCCAGGGCAAACGTGAAGCGCATGCCCGCAGCAATGCCAATAATATGTGCACGAGCATCTGTGCCTGGCATCGGCACATGCACAGGTGTGCGAAGCTGCACAGGCTCAATAGGATCATTCGTAGATGACGACGGTGACTTGGACATCGCCTCATGCGTCTCGGGCAAACCGAGTTTGCCTTCATCACCATCACCACAGATCCAGACATCGCCATTCGAAAGAAGAAACGCCGTGTGAAACTCGCCACCTGCCACTTGGACGACACGTGCGCCACCTACACGATGAGGATCGAGGGCCTTGACGCGTGTTGGACGTGTGACTTTGTCCTTCTTCAGGCCCGTACCTGTTTGGCCGCGGGTATTGAGGCCCCATGCAAACACACGACCGTCGGCGTCTACAGCAAAGCTTGTGTTCAAACCACATCCGAGGCGTACAATGTTTTTTAGCTCAGGAATCGCTTCAGGCGTCAGAAGCATACTGGCTGGAGGGTCACGCTTCAAGAAGCGAGCACGAACGTGGTACAAGTTGGCGAACCGGCCCAGTTGAGACATGCTGTTGAGTCCCCATGAATACACACGCCCATCCAGCGTCAATGCAAGGACATGGTTCTCACCGCACACAACCTGCGCAAAGCGCACATCTTCCAGCGACGGCACCGGGACAGGTGTCCACTGCTCACGGGGAGCATTGTCAGCATCCGTGTCGGCAAAGCATACTTTGCCTTCGCCATCCTTGAAATGACCCCACGACACCAGCTCGCCATCTGCATTGAGTGCGATGCTGCATCCGTCGGAAGCTGCGACACGAGTCGCGCGGAAGCGACGTACTTTCCCCTGCTCTGATGGCACACCCTTTCCACTAGGTGAAATGCCTTCCACTGGGCGCAGCACGTAATAAAAGTCGTCTTCAGACTCATCTGAGTCGCGGTACTGACGCGCAAGTGTACCATGATCATCACTTCCGCACGATAGAATTCGACCATTTGCATCAATCAGTAAAGAATGCATGCCACCAGCAGCAATTACCTCTGGGCCACCGGGACCAAGTTCGCCCGCATCCGTATCGGCGGAGATGCCCTTGTTGCCAAATGGTTTCGGTTTTGTAAGTTTGTGGATATTATCGTCATCAGGACCGCCGAGCGACAGCTGGCCTGCTTCGCCTGTGCCCCAAACAAATAGCTTGCGGGCCACGATGTCTGATTTATCTCCCTTGGCCGCTAGTAGGCCTTCCTGAGTTGCAAAAAGTGTGCCCATAGTGCATTGACCCGCCGTGTTTGTCTGGATTTGAGGCACGTGTAGCGCAGGTACAGGTGCAGGTGGCACGTTGAGTGTGGAAGCACGCGCACGCTTACCACGAGGCACCTCATGGCTATCGTCGGACGTTGTCGCTGCTGCGCGCTTTCTTGTGGACGAAACCCCCGTCACACTCTTTCGCGAACGGGCAGCAGAAGCTGCAGCTGGTAAGCGCAGATGTCTATTTACGTACCTTTGGGTGGCATAGCAAATGAAGAGCAAAAGTAGGAAGGTTAAGGTGGGTGCACGTGTCGTCGTCCACTTCGAGGCTCTCAAGTCCAGCTTATTTTTGATGGTTATGAATCGATGTCCTGCTGATGTGAGCGCCTGGTGAAGTAAGCATGTGTACGAGCCCGATGTGCACGTGATCATGCACGGTGTCGATCGCGTCTCTGGTACCTCACCACAGATGCAGCACCTGGCGGGCTCGCCAGCCGACAAGCACAGACCACTATGTGGAACGAAAAAGACGCTGCGACAGATCACATACACACACAGCACGACAGGCAAAGACCATTATATTATCACACTATTTGATTTCGAGCAGCTTGACATCAAAGATAAGAGTCGAGTTCGCGGGAATGCCAGGCAGTTTGGTCTTGCCATAAGCAAGGTGTGGGGGACACGTGAGGCGACGCTCACTACCAACTTGCATTCCCTTGACACCCTCGTCCCAGCCTGTGCACACCAGTTAGCGATACTGCAAGCCACAGTCATTCCCGCACGTACCTTTGATGACCTCGCCTTTACCGAGACGGAACGAGAATGGCCTTCCCTTGGTGTTGGAGTCGAAAACCGAGCCGTTCTGGAGCTTGCCAACGTATCGCATGCTCACCCGGTTGCCAGGCTTGGCCATAGGACCCGTTCCAGTCTTCTTGTCTTCTATAACCAGGCCCGATGGAAGCTTCACCTTAGATCGCGAACAAAACGTCAGTCAGCATGGACGCCAACACGCCTCGTACCTTGTCTTGCTTAGGCTGGGAAGCCGACGCTTCAGCCTTGCGCTTCTTGTTCAGACGCTTTCGCTGGCTGCGGCTCAGCTTTGCGTCATCGGCAAGTGATGTGTCCTCGTCCATCTCAGACACGGAGCGCTTCTTCGATGGAAGGATGACAATTTCTTGCTCTTGGTCATCGCCGTCCTCCTCTTCATCATCGTCATCTTCGTCCACTTCCTCCAAGATAACACCCTCTTCTTCGTCCTCATCGTCATCGTCGTCCTCGTCGTCATCGTCGTCATCGTCGTCATCATCTTCTTCGTCGTCTTCATCTCCTTCTTCGATCTCTACGTCCTCTTCGTCCTCCTCGTCGTCGTCCTCATCTTCGTCATCATCCTCTTCATCACCCTCGGGACCACCAATAAGAAGGCGACCAGAGCGACCATCTTCTTCATCGTCGTCCTCGTCGTCGTCATCCTCATCATCGTCAAGCATACTTGGGTCCATGTTGCTCAGCGACGTAGGCAAAAGATAGTTGCCAATGATATCCACAGGTTCATTACCTGACACTGACAGACCAACCTCTTCTTCCTCGCTGATCTGAAGGTTCAGTGTCACCTGCTCGACCTGTGTTGCCTGTTAGCAAATGCACGTGCTGCTGCAAACGCCAGCTACGTACCTTTTCGGGAATAAGTGAGCAAACCACATACGAGTCTTCTTCGGTGAACACTGGCACGCGTGGCTCCATGTCAACCATTTCCTCGTCGTCTTCGTCCTCATCATCGTCCTCGCCATCATCCTCTTCATCCTCGTCTTCATCGTCCTCGTCCTCATCTTCCTCATCTTCGTCATCTTCCTTCTCGTCTTGGTCATCATCTTCAATTTCAATGTCATCCTCGTCCTCGTCATCTTCCAAGTCGATCGGATTGCCTGCATAGTGCACACGAAGCACAGAGCGCTTCTTGCCCTTCAGGTTCTCAGGATCAGAGTAGCTCACATTCGTGATCTGCAGGTCGCGCAGAGTATCCAGATGATGGATTTCTCCAGGCAGCAACCGAAGCGTGAAGAATTCAACAGGTGCAGACATACTGGTGTGGTTGGATGTATGTATGTGGTTGGTGTAGGACCTATATGTATGTTGGGGGTGGCCTTAGCCACACAACTGACCACGTTCAGGCCCGGCAAAAAAAAATTGCAACACGTGCACGGAACGTCGCCGAACATCTCATCCAACCAAATTCCATGCGCATGGTCGTCCCCATTCGACGAGGAGGGTGTTTCTCCACATTGTGCTTACTTGAGGCGTGAATGTCTACTGCATCACTACTCTCGTCTTGGGCGCTTCTTTTTTACTGATAGCACTCGCACGGGCGGCGATGAGTCTCGCTGCCGAGTGGCGGAGGCATTCGCCTCATGACCGGAACAGGCATCGTGTGCGCGCGCCTTGACGTCTTCAGGCACAGTGTGCAGTGGAATCTCCACGCATGGCATCGATTGACATCCTTTCCGGCGTAGCGCGCGATCGACCGCGTCATAGAGACGCCGCGTGCAGTGAGCTGCATCTGCAGGCACGTTCCATGTACATGTGTCCTGCATCATGTACTTGAGCACGATATCATCTAGCATGGGGTGAGGAAGCGCGCACGCCTGCGCTGGAGGCGCCACGACGTCTGTCGGCGGTGTGCACGGATGAGTGAGCTGGAGATGATGATCCCGACACGTTGTGGTGATGCCGACGACAAAGATCCCCACCGCGTTGCCTGAACAACATTCCTGCCGATATCCCATGCGCTGCCAGAAGCCGTCGACACTGAGTCGCTCAAGCACATATCTTTCGTGCATCGCATCCCGCTGTGCAGGCGTCGGCGCTGGTTTGCACTGCATGATAGCTTGAGGACATGAAACACCCGGTGCGTGCGCGGTCGACGCCTGCTCGTGGAGAAAGCGGCCCTTTGGATCGTCGGGAAAGACAGGTATGAGAGTGGGAATCACACGTGCCGCTAACGCAGCGGGACGATCACGAGGGGGCTTGTACCGATGCTCCCATGTACAAGCGTGCAGCGGTAGAGGCGGCACTTGCTCGACGTTAGCGACGCCTGCCCCGCGCGCTGAATACGGGTATCCATAGTGCCAGTGTGCACGTGCCGAGATATGCACCTGTTCAGGCCGCGCTAGCGGCACAATGGCATGAGAATCGAGGCGCTCGTAGCCAGGAATGACATAGAATGGATCGACACGAGTGGCTAGCTGATGCCGTGCGAACAGCACCACTTCGCTCAGGCAAGTGTGCCACCAGCGAATCAGCGCTGCATCGGACAAGACTCGCTTACCTGGGTGCTGCTCAGACGATGGAAATAAATACGCATGCTGGGCTCGCGCGAGCACATGCAATGATACATGGTCGACCAGATCAGGCCAATGTTCTCTCGAAGCAAAATACGTGAGCACAGCGACGGTGAGAGCTGCCGTAAGAGACAGTGGCATGGTGGCTCCTAACGCGCTTGTCGCTGGGTCCGTCGTCACAGCTGCTGTATCCTTCACGTACTTTCGCACATGTGCACAAGGCGCTTGGGGGCCGTAACCGCTCGAGTCCAGCTTGGATACGTAGACGACGGCAGATCGTTCGCGTGGCAGCGTGTAAACATACAGCTCTAGTGCATATGCTAGTCGTAATGCCTCGCCTGGAGGCGACCATGCCGCTAGCACGACTACGTGTTCCTGCCATGTAGGTACAGCTCCGTCGTCCTTTTCATTGGATTCACTCGCTTCTGTTGCATGCACGTGTGCTAGCGGATAGAGAGAGCGGATAGGGCGTGGCCGACTGAAGAGCGTGTGGATTCGGAGGGTCCCATCTTCGCCCACAAGAGGTGGGCGTCGTTCTAGTGCTTCTTGACACCATGTCAGCAGGCGTGTCATGAGCGCCCGACTAGCAAAATCGAAAACAAACCTGTGTGCTTCGCGGCGCCGACCAGCGTTGCACACCATTCATGCGCCATGCGAAAAATGGCCGACATTTCGCACACTTCCTCGATACGCCTCCACACTACTTGGCATGCACCAACCATGTCCAGAACCAGATGCTGGGGTGCATCGTTTGTCACTTGAAACGGCATGTCGCGTGCGAGCTTGTGCCAGGCTACCGACAATAGAATACATTGTGCATGCCCTTCTAGATGCGGCGATCAACCGCGGTGCGGCGCACATCCATTTAGACGTCGACTTGCAGGCATGGCGCATCGTCTGCTCTGATGATGGCCCGTCGAACCAAGATATCCTTTTCTTGCTGGCCTCGCGACGAGTTGTGCTCGATCCACACGCCCATGGAATCGAATCTACACCGCCTATTTCGTGCATGGCGTGGATTAGCTTGCTGGAAGTATCCACACCAACACAGACTCTGTTGCAGCGTGTACGTGTGACTCAGCGACCCACCACTGACTTTTGCAGCAACATGATGTCTTGTACTGTGGTACGGCGAAGCGCGCCAAGACGCATCATCAAAAAACGTATACTCGCATCATTTTGCACGACCTGTTCGCACATGTACGTAATCTGGCACTGACGTTAGGTGCCTGTGCGTCGGCGCATTCTTGAACGCAAGCGGAGTCGTACGTATCATCGAATTCGACAGCATCTCTGGGCGATGGCATTTGCACATCCAACAACTCATATTACCGGAACCGGCACACGTATTCCCGCTTCTCACAGACTCGATGTCATGCTTCGTCGCTTGCAGCCCAGTATTCGGGATATGGTTCATATACGCACTGAACAGACATTTCTTGCGGATCATGACACTTGGACCGCCACCATGGAGGCCGTAATGGGCCATGCGCCAAGTGCCCAGCATTTTATATCGCTGAATGGTGTGCCCACATGGAAGCGACTGACCTGGCCTTGTCCTCCTCAGTGGGACGATGTGCCTTGGCATGCAAGCTTGAGTGCATGCAAGGACTGGCCCATGATCGTGCTGGATCTTCTTGAGCGACCATATGCAGCGACATCTTTGGTCGTCCGCATCCATGTCGTCCGTACGAGCTCCGCGCGCCGCCCACAAAAGACCGTGGGTGGATGGACTGGACTATTCGAGTATTTGTGTAGTGGCGTGCGTGCTTGTTCTCAGCCGCCTACGTCCCGCACTGCTTCGTGCTCAACACTTGCGCTACCATCGCGGCCAAGAAGCGGGCCAGCGCCATTCCACATGCTCCGTGTTCATCCTGATCCTGTACGTACCCACGTTTTGCCAACGAGTCTTGCCTCCGTACGTCCGATCGCTCAAGTGGATCGAAAGTACGTGCTATGCGCTTGCCAAGACTCTGATTCGTCCATCGCTTTACTTTGTTTGGATCAGCATGCCGTCGATGAACGTGTGCGATTCGAACAGGATGCATCCGCGTATGCGACAGCATGCATGAACCAGAAAGAACACTCGCGCACGCTACGTCCGACATGTGTGGTGCGAGCTCAACTCCCTGCCTTTGTTATGCAAGTGATGTGCTTCTGGGGCTGGGATGTGACGTGTGTGCGTGCCGAATGGCATGTAAAAGCTGTGCCATGCATCGTGCCGATGCATCACGCATCTATCCGTGACCTATTTCTACAATGTGCAGCATGGACAGCTGATCACGCTATCGATCTATCGACGCTTGCACGCACTGCTTCTTCGAACACGCACGGGGTCGCGAGTCTGTTGCGGCACATGCCTCCCATGCTCCGAGATGTTCTCGCTTCACATGCATGCCACACAGCCATTCGTACGTGCATCGACCTTTATCTCTGGTATAGCTGACTCTCAGGCTTTCAACAGTTGCTGACGAACGAGCAATGCTCCCGTTTAACGCAGCAGTGGAAGTTTACGTCTTTGCCGTTTCAGTGTGCGCATGGACGTCCTTCAGCTGTGTGTGTTTGGAAATGCACGTCTGCGCGATCTGACGCTGCACCTTGCCGCATTCGCTGGGATACACTCAAGACGTTAACCTAGTCTGTGTACTAGAGAATGCAGCTGTACGCCACGGCCCAAGGCAGGATGGCCGCCTTACGTGGCTGTGGATTGGACATGCACACCCGGCACGCAGGGAACGCGGGGATAGCAGGTGGAGGTCAGGCCCATCAAGGCTGTGGAGCAGCCCACACGCGTGAACTGGAGGCCGCTTGGGCTTGAAAGATTTGGCTCTTCGCAGCCTGTTGGTTCCTGGCACGTGATCTCGGCATCTAAGCAAGCGACGTGGGATGCCGAATTCTGCCAGCAGCCTTCGGCGTTGATTTTGTTCGTCCACATTCTGCCATCACATTTGTCCGTTTTATTTTTTTTATTTCCTTCTCCGTGAGCCACAAAACAACGACTTGGGCGCTAGCAACGGCAGTTGTCCTACGACCGTGGTGATATCAACAAGGAGAAAAAAAAATCATTGAGCGCACTTTTGGGCCTTGATGGATTTGACCAACTTGCGCGAAAGTCTTGAATCCACAGGTGATGCTGCTCATGAGACGTCAAGTCGCCTCTACGACGAGCGGCTCACGAACGAATTTCGAGGTACGTTTACGCGCACGCAAAAGATGACCAAGGAAAACTTACACATGCACTTTGTATCTAGTCGCTGCATTGCAACTCACCAATCTTTACAAGCAAGGAAGAAAAAATTCCCATCATGCCTTCCTCGATGGATACACGAGGGCTCTTCGTGATACATTGGAGTGCATGCGACATGCTGCTTTAGATCAGACGGAAACACCGCAAATGCGGCTCGATCGCTTGTACGACTATATTCAACGACGACTTGAGGCATTGCAAAGCGATATGCAGGACCAGGAGGACTTGGATGCTCGGCCTGTGCAGCCGGCAGCCGCCACAGCCACGCGGTCACACCGAACAGTCGAGCGCAAGCCAGATGTTCGGGTTCGTCATGCGCCATCGCACGATCCGAAGAGGTCTGGTGGCGCATCTCATGGTCATACGCAACGAATGGAGTCGGTTCGAAAAAGTAGTCCGGACTCGTCGCAGTGTGTGTCGGAGTCGGAGACCGAGACCCAAGAGCCTCTGCATGATCACCCACGTAAACGACGTCGTGCTATACGATCCAGGATGCTTCGCGCACATTCTGCGGAACATGGCTCCTGATACGAGCTTCCTAGCTTGCCGCGATATCCGTTCTAGCTCGTTTGTATATAGATACCCTACGAAGCTTGGCAGCTCTCGTTGCAACTTTTGCTTGGTAGCTGCTCGGACAAGATAAAAACATTCACTTGTATGGGCGGGCTTCCAAGTCCCAACACGCGTGCCCTCGCAACCAGTGCTTTGATCAAAAGCCACATGCAGCGCAGAGTCGGTCCACCACCGCCGTTGTCACCATGGATTGTGCTAAAAAATAATAATAATACATAAAAACAATGCAACGATAGTGTCAAAATTAGCCAAGTGGGTCTTGACACATAGCGCGGAACAAGAAAAGGCCCTTATTCGTCGACCCAAGTCAAACCCATCTCCCCCCACCCATGGTGGCCCCATGGCAGCACGTGGAATCGACACGCAAGCGTGTGGAGGATGTAGTGTGGGCTAGACACGCAGGCAGTCAGAGAAGGGGTCTTGGGCCGTGCTGTGAGTACGGGGCAGGGGACGTGGATCGGTTCGTTACCAGACTCCCGCACGGCCTTCCGTCTCTGGTGACAATACGACACGCTAGGACGACGGCCTAGGCCCATCCTGTCGTAATGCAGTATGTGGGGAGACTCATGTCTTCCGTGTACAACACCATCACACCTAATATCAACCCCTCGACACTCACAGGCGCTATTGATGTGATTGTCGTGGAGCGCGAAGTGGAAGTCGAAGAACCTGTGACGTTGCCTGATGGAACGACGACGACGAACAAGAGAAGTACGACGGAGCTTGCATCATCACCGTTTCATGTGCGCTTCGGCAAAATGAGCGTGCTCAGACCTGGCGAGCGTAAAGTCACATTGCACTTGAACGACTCGCCCGATCCGCTTCCGTTTGCCATGAAAGTTGGCGAGAATGGCGAGGCCTTTTTTGTTATGAAGGTCGAGAATCCCGAAGAACATGTGCCTGATGCGCTGGTGACCAGTCCTGTTGTAGGACCGCTCTCGAATCCTCTGTCGTCTGCCGACCCGGTGCCCCTGGATCTGGGCGAGTCATGCTCTGCCAATGCCGGTGCCAATGAACCCGCAGCAACGACAGAGACATCAGGGCCAACACAGGCAGATACAACAGGAGCTACGTCCGCTGCACCTTCATTGACTGAGCCGCGACCCTCTACGCCACCCATGCAGCTGCAGCCTGCATTCGGCGATGAGCCTGTGAGTGAAATGAATGTGACGCCTGTCGAGCTTGACCTCGATATGGAAGGCTATAAGCTCAGCAATAGCAACCGGCAGGTCGCGCTGAGGCAGGGTCAGCGACTCGCGGGGGAGCTTCCGCTCAACAAACAGCATGGTGGTCGGAATCCGTTGATCCTGAGCGAGCGCTTAGACCAGCCGAATCTTCGCTGGCAGCACCACCTTGTCAACTCCATATCGAAGCTTGTGATGCCATCCAGGTCAGGAGCAACGTCTGAGCAGAGGAACGCATCCACACGACCTCGCCGCCTGAGCGATACATCGCTTATGGTGCCTGTGGACCACGACGAGTCATCGCCGTTGCCATTGCCGACGACCAAGCCCTCATCGTCTTCGCCACCAACTGGGTTGCTGCATCTCCGAATATCGCGCAGTGACTCAGCGCTGTATGCACATGCCATGGCTCAGCAAGCAGGCGACGCGATACTGCCAGGTGTACATTCGCCCTCTATGGTCGAGGCCAGTGAGGCGGTGAATGAGAATCCGAATGAAGAAGACGCTGTCGGCACACTGACATGTGCACAGGCTGATCCGTACTTGTTCCAACTACGTGTGGACGACAACACCGTGTACTCGTTTGAGCTCAGTCTCTGTTGGATCCCAGCCGCTGGCGCTTCTGATACAGTCAATGCTGAGTACCTTTTTGATGAGGGCCGCGTGTCGTTCCAGCGATTCCTTGAAGATGACTCGATCATACAAGACCCACGTCTCTGTATCCGGCACAATGACTCGTACCACTACCGAGAAAGTGAGCACGACATGTTCTCTACACTCGCGTTCTATCGGGACATATTGATCCGGTCTTCATCTGAAGCTCCTGCTGTCAGTACGAAAGCCAGTGTATGGCGCCGAATATGGAGCAGGCCTGAGCCACGTCTTCCAGCCGAGCGAGTCTCTGCCATTGCGGATGTGAGCCAGGCACCAAGCGATGTGGGCCGTGCGGCTGCTGGGAAATCCAGAGCATCTGCGCCTCCGAGCCTGTCATCCAATGCAGCGACCACTGTCGCTGTCGCCGGAGCCCCGACTTCTCCAGTGCCAGAGAACGGCACTCTCGCTGCTGATGTCGCAGAGGCCGGTGACGAGGAAGCTGCTGGTGCAGCTGCAGCTACAGAACCGGTCATCACGGAAGAACCCTCTGCCGCACAGCCCGACACATATGTCAAGACATTGCGTCTGTCCTCAGACCAGCTCAAGCAGCTCGGTCTTCGGAAAGGCACCAATACCATCACTTTCTCCGTGACGTCGTCCTATTCGGGCGTCGCAACGTGTCGAGCACGAATATTTTTGTGGGACTGTGACCAGCCTGTGGTCGTGAGTGACATCGACGGCACCATCACAAAGTCGGATGCTTTAGGCCATGTGTTCACGCTCATGGGCCGCGACTGGACGCACTTGGGCGTTGCCAAATTGTATCATGACATTGCCAAGAATGGGTACCGGCTCATGTACCTCACATCCCGGGCCATTGGGCAGGCGGACATCACACGAGACTATTTAAGGAACATCAACCAGAACAACTACCAGCTACCAGATGGTCCCGTGATCATGAGTCCTGATCGACTCATTGCGTCACTGCACCGAGAAGTGATTCTTCGCAAGCCTGAAGTGTTCAAAATGGCCTGTCTGCGTGATATAGCGCGGCTCTTCGGCATTGATCCCAGTCAGCCGGACAGCGAGCACAGGACACCATTCTATGCTGGGTTTGGGAACCGAATTACAGACGCTCTCAGCTACAGAAGTGTGAATATTCCCAGCTCACGCATCTTTACTATCGACTCCAATGGGGAAGTAAAGATGGAATTGCTGGAACTAGCTGGATACCATACCTCTTACCCAAACATGACGGATCTTGTCGACCAAATGTTCCCACCCGTGCCGAAAATGAAAAGGAATGAACACATTGCTGCCTACACCGACTTTAATTACTGGCGGGACGAGCTCGCCGATGTCGAGCTCCCCCCTGACGAAGAGCTTGTGCCGGTTGTCTCTCCATCATCACCCCAGCAGCGCAGTCTTCGCAGTCCAAAGCAGAAGTCGTCTAAAGGCGAGCGGCAGCAGCAGCAGTCACAGGAAAAAGATCAGCCGTTGCTTAAAACACAGCTTTATGATCGCTCGCCGTCATCACCATCGTCTCTCGTGTCCTCATCGCCACGTTCAAGCACATCAGACCCATCGCTCTCTGCACCGGCGTTGCCCCCACCTGAGAAACCCAGTCGTTTTCGTCGTCTGCTGGGCTTGAGTCGACGTCGCCGCCCAGCCGATTCGACCACTCCAGCCTCGTCTGAGCCGCGGACTGATGACATACGTCCACGCTCTCTCGATCTGTCCGATGGCTCACTCAGTCCACCCAGTTTGCCGGGCTTGTCCTCAAGTTGGAGTGAGCGCCATATCCTGTCGTCCGATGACGATGACGATGATGACAATGCGATCAAAACTCATCACCAACAACGGAAGTATGCAAGCCTCTATGATGAGCCGGGCGATGAGAGTGACGAGCCTGTGTCGCCTGAAGCTCGTAGGCGGCAGCAACGGCGGCAGCAACTATTGTATGGGTCGTCGTCCTTGAGCTTTGACAAGGCTGATCCACCTCGGCACTTCTCCGACTCGGCGCCTCCGCAGATGGAAGATGAAGATCCCCTCTTGGCATCCGGTGATATTCAGTTCGAGTGGCGTGGATGAAATAGCAACATTATATGTGTATGAACAAGAGAAATACAAACTCAATAGTGTCGCACGCCTTCGTAGATACGGTATTATGATGATGTACGTATGACGGCGTGCTTGTGATGCAATTACCATGGTAGCAAGGACGCGTAGAACCTGGCTTAGTTTCAGGTACCACTGCCAATAGCTCGAGTTGCACTGGGCTTTGGCCAGTACTCGTCTTCTGACTCCTTGCCTGGCTTGTGGCTCATATACACTTCCTTCCGCGCAGCAACCGTTGTTGCACGATACCTTGTCGAGGATGGCGGCGCCTCGTCTGGTCCGTCATCGTCCTGCCCAGCAATTGTATCCTTGTTCTGCGTGTCGCTGTTGTCCTCGTCATCGTCGTCGTCATCATCATCATAAGGAACACTGTAAAGCCATGAGCGGCCTTCATACGGGTATCGAGGCCGCATGCCCAGCTGCGGTAAAGGTACAACTATAATACCTCTTGCATCGGGACGCCGTGGAAGTCGTGGCGACGGCGACGGCATGCTTACGGACGGGTCCACTCGGTATTGGTGCACGGTCGACGATATTTTCCGTGGTCGCGCATTCGCATGTGCCTTATTTTCGCGCACATGTGTGAGAGCCTCATCGCCTAAAGCGTCCATCTCTTGTTTGTGTCGTCGCTGTGCTTCTTCGGCCTGGGAGTGAGTGAGTTTGCCCCGCGCTATGGGCGTGCTCATGTCGCTCGTTGTGGATGCTGCTGCACTCTTGGTATCGTCGGCAAGACGTCGCCGTTCAAGCGCCGCAAATCCCCAGAGGCGCGCGTTCAGATCAGCGTCGGCATCCTGCTCTTCCTGAGGATCGCCGACTTGTCTGGCTCGAATCCGCTTCCCATCGAGCAAAGTGACCATGCCCGTCCCACCAGGACGAATCGCTCGTACCAGCTCACGACTCCGACTTCGACTCCGCTCGCCTGCAAGCGGACGTGACGGCGAGGGCGAAAGAGATGAAAGAGATTCGTTGCGCTGTCGGCGGAATGGCGACCAAGCACGAGTGAGTGAACGACCCCTGGCTTCTGACTCGGCATCGTCGAGTCGCTCGCACCGACCTGCACTGTTTGTACGCTGGAGTAGAGATCCAGTGTCATTTGGTATGAGTGACTCTTCAGATCCGTTACTTCGTGAGAGCGGGCGCCATGGTGGCGGGGCCAGGAACGTCGTTGTTGCGGACGTCGATGCAGCTGCATCATCCAAATCTGAAGCATCGTCCTTCTCAATGATGCTCTTGCTGGCATCTTCCAGCACCTGCGGTAATGGTGCAAACTTGACGAGTCGTACGCTCGGCGTAGATGAACGTCTATGACATGGCAAGTCCACGTCCTTCCCATTTTCAGGCTCCTGCTTTGCCAGTGCCTGGGCAGATGCCATACTTTTGCGCGTATTGATGATGGAGTTTAAGTCGGCGAGTTCTAGTGGATCCATTGGTTCTTCATCGCCATCGCTATGGCCATCATTGTGAACGCTATTACGAATCCTGTTGCCACGGATGCCGATATGATGGTCCTTGCCCATGAAACTGCGCCTACGACTTGTATCGAGCTCGGCATCTCTCTGAGATCGCGAGGAAAACGTCCTGCGCAGTTTCGCGCGAGTACCGAGTGCTCGCTTGTGGGATGGTTGTGCGGATACCTCTGACATAATCACCCACGTATGCTGTGGTAGACTGCGATCGTCTACATTCGCTTGTTGTACAATAGACAAGCCGCGATAGGGATGTTTAGATGATTTGGGGTTTTGAAGGATGGATGTGATTCCATTTTCTGTCACCTGCACCGGTGCAGGAACCGCATCTGTCGACATCGCATCCGTTTCAGACACACTCGCAAGACGAAGGAAGAAGGTCTCGACGTTGTGGAGAGAGAGGGGTGGACGAGAGAGACAGGGACAAGGAAGTAAAATTCGATTCGTTCTTACGCAATGACCCCAGTTTTCAATTGCCCAAATCCCCGCGCCTCATTTCTGAATGTGATTACTTTTTTTTTTCCCTGCATGTTGCACTCCATAGCAAGGAGATTTTCTAAAAAATGAGCAAATGAATTCAAGACACCATGCTGACAAAGCGGTGCCCACAAGTCTGGCGTCAAGTCTCCAGCCAATGTCCCAGCAGATGAGCGAAGTGGCGTGAGACCATGCTCCTGCATACGATGTCAGCATCCCACATGCCAAGCGCGAGAAGTGCCTGTAACAGACAAAATACTCTTGGCATACTAGTCGTAAACAAGGAGATGAATTCATAGTGGATATATAGGGCGGCGACTTCTACATGTATTTTGTGAGAAACCAAATGAAAAAAGACCACAATACACAAGCACGAAGAGATGGACGTAAGGACTAATACGGGCATTACGAGGCCATAAAGCCAGACGGGCGGCGAAGAGGCGTATTGACGCCGGATGGGGCTGTTGATGAGGAGGGGAAAAACAGAAACCGCAAACGATGCAGGATCGGCAGCTTAGGGAATAGCACAAGCAGAAGGCCAGCCAGGTTCAGCGAGAAAAGCCATGGATTGTAGTGCGAGTAATGCGTCGATAGCAAAAACATGGCTATTGGTAAGCTTGTCAGGTACTTCTTGGCAGGTGTGTATTGGTATCCTTGATCAATCTGCTCCCAGAGCGTAAGCTCGTCGTAAGCCCCACTGTTCAGGTCTAGTGGCGCTCCCTTCACATAGTGAAAGATACAGTACGAAACAAGCATGTATCCCATATTCACAATGGTCCACTTCATTGCATCCGAGATACCCGGCACCTCATTTATGATCAGTTTCGCCAACACAATCAACACCACATGAATCACCCATGCACCTTCAGATGTGTTAGCAAAGTCCTACGTTATCGTCTTGGACAAGAACGCGCTTGTGTTTCCACGTACCTTTCATATTTACCCATTCCGCATTCACATTTGGCGCAACTGCCTGGTCCACGACTTCATCAGGTGTTTCACGAACGTGCTTTACCATGATGAAACTATTACTCCGACGATGGTTCTGGCGTCGATTCCCTTCGCCAACGGTTGTCCGGCTGATGCTCTCGCTCTTCTCTGCAGTAGCGGATGCTTCACCAGCGTCCGCCACGGCACCTTCTGTTAATGATGTCTTCTCCTCCATCGGAGCGTATGCTCGCTGGGTTGTCGGCATGACTTCCTCACAAGGGCAATCTCACTTCCGTGTCTGACGTGTGAGAAATAAAAAAAAAATTATCTGGCGATAGCGAGACCAAGTCTGGGTGGGCTTGCGGCTTGATGACAAAGGGAAGTCGGACTTGAGCCACGCCGTTCTTTCGGCGTGAACTATTTGTTCCTTTGGCTCTGACATTTTGCGCATATCCGGCCGAATTGGCGGACGACCTTTCGAGTAGTGGCAAGCTTGTGTGGCGCGGTCGTTCATGTGGAGATGTGCAGTCTTGGCACAATGTGTGCATACGGCCACCCAACACCCTGACTGATGAAAAATAAAGGGCTTGGTTCGTGTAGCTCGCCACACATCTCAAGCACACACGCACACATACGACCAATTCACCTTATGAATGTATGAAGGGACGTCATGCATTCGAGCTATGGAGACACGAGAGGCATACCGTCGCGGCTGCCTGTAAACAACGATGTCCATCGTGGGTATACACGCTGCCGGTAAGCACACACACACACACATCCTGCCATTCCACACATACCTTGTATAGGCTCATAAGCACTGTATCTGTGGTACTCGTCAGCATACAGTTGCATTCTATAAGCAATCCACGTACCCATTTGAGAAAGAGGACCGTCGAAGTGCGCTGTACGTCGTCAGATCTGTCATCCCCACATCCACAAAACCAACTTGCGCCATCATAGATACATACCTTTAAAGTAGCCATGCGTTCCCAGGCTCTCTCTGATATGGCCAGTGCGTCCATACTTGGTCCGTAGAGTGATTGGCGCAAAGTAACGCACATCATCAGCATTGAAGAACATAAATCGGATCGTAGCTGTCTTCTTGTGCAGCTTGTACGGATGGCCCGACAAGACAATGCGCTTGGCGATAATCCGCGTCGGCGCAACATCGAGTACAGAACCAGCCCCCACAAGATGTGGCGTCTGCTCAGCACTGACGCCGTCGTCGTCATATCCAAATTCCTTGCTTTCTGACCGCATGCGCAAGAGCACTACCGGTACATTGGAGCCGCCAAATGTCACAGGCGCATAAATACTGCCCACAGCTGCTCCAATGCCATGAGGAAGGAAGCGCTCATACTTGTACATTGGTTGCCCGCCCCCACATACGCGGCGTAAATGCTGTGAACACACAGCCCGTCACACGTATCGCCGGAATCCCAAACACCCCACGAGGGGGTCTTTTGACTTCACAGGCGCCTCGTACTCGGTGTTGCGAGTCACTGTAAAGTTGATCACACTCTTCTTGTGCTCGTGGCGCAGAAGTCCAAACACAACAAATGGCACAGCCTCGCGCTTCTTTTCGGAGCGCGACTCGCCCAAAGCGCGCTGAGCCGCAGCTCGTGGTACATCGCGAATCCATATGCACACACGAATGCCAGGCGCGACGCCTTCTAGCAGTGCGTGACTCTCAACACGCTTGCGTGTCCTGTTAAAGTCATCAAACTGGAAAAGACGCGCATAGTCCTCGGGCAGGTCTTCATATGGGTCCCAGTAGCTCGTGTACATGCTCTCCAGCCCACGGTACCGAGCAAATCGCTGCCGAGCCGGCACATCCATGGGCGTATCGATTTCATCTGGAAACTCGGCCGCATCAGCTTCCTCCCTTTTGGTTTCGCGCTCTTTCTGGAGCTGTTGTCGGTACTCTTCAATCGCACGCACTTCCTCTGCATCATCGTAGTCATCGCCTGCGTTGTCATCCCCCTCTTGCTCGACAGCCTCCTCGTCATTGGCCTCTTTGCCATACATGGCCTCATCGTCCATTTCTTCGTCCATGTCCTCATTGTCCTCGTCGTCGTCGTCGTCGTCGTCGTCATCCTCCTCATCCTCATCCTCATCCTCCTCATCCTCATCCTCTTCGTTATCACTCTCAATGATCCATGCGGCTTGATACTTTTTCTTCGCGTCAGCATTCACATGTTTCCGGATTTCACGTGGTGTCGTGCCTGGCGCGGCAGGCGGCAGTGCATCTTCCTTCGACCGACGCACATCGCTATCCATGCTTGCTTCAGCCTCGGCCATCTCCTCCTCAGTCGGCCACGTCTGCTCATTGGCAAGTGGATCTGGCTCATTCTCGCTCACGAGGTCATCCGCTTCTTCTTCATCACGCATTTCTAGCATGGCACCTGGCACAAGGGGCGCATCAGCATCTTTGACATTGGCGTCTGTGTCTTGCATGCTTTCTTCAGGCATATCCGCTGCATTAGCGAACGTACCAGGCGGTGCGTAGGTAATGCGGTCCACAACATAGTCGCCAAAGTCTGGAATGTGTACGAGTCGATTCGCACTGAGCGGCGCGCCACGAATCCAGCCCTGGACCTTGAGTGTGCCGTGATCTGGCCCTACCGGCACGTAAGCAGCATCCTCTGTGACACACCATGCGCGAAAGTCTCGCCAGGCGACGCGCTTCGGCGCCGTTGTCACGAGTGTCCGGACGAGCGCACTGCGACTTGCCGCTTCGTCCAGTACATGGAGCTTGGCTACATCTGGACAAAAGTACTGTACAAAGCTCAGCAGACTCTTTCGCACACTCTGTGCTTCTTTTGTGTGGGCATTCTTCTTCTTTTTCTCGTTTGCATCTTCTGATGACTCAAGCGTCGGTACAATAGCTAGCGTCTGTGGCATGCCATGTGCTTGTAACGAACGCAAACACAATTCACCCCATGACCCAGGCTCAATGGATGTCTCAGCAGACATGAGAAGCACGACAAAGTCGGCACAACGACATGCGTCCATCGCAGGCAAGAGCGCGCCATATGGAATTGGAAGAAACTGCACAGTTTGGCGGAACCGGAAGGCATCTAGTTCACACAACGGCCGCCCTTGCGATCTGGCCTCGTCCGCACTCTTGCCTGACACAGCTCGCACGCCTAGGGCCTCGCCATCGTTCTCCAGCGCCCGCACAACATCCCATTCTTTTGCATCAGGTGTAAGGGCAAGTACTGCACAAATACGTGGTGCACCTGCCTTGTTATAGCGACCTGATCGCCCACCTGATGCACGTGTCTCCCCTCGCAGGCCTGTGCCGGAAAATATACGCGTGCTTTCCACAAGGGCGGCACGCTTCTGTTGTGACACCTGGCGCGCCTCATTTCTTCGATTCTTCCGCGATCCCTCAGCGCTGCCTGCTGCTCGAAGAGCATGTGCTTTGTGCGCACGAGCCGCGATGGGACGACTGGAATCTGACTCGTTCTTACCTGCCGTGAGTCAGTCACGCAGGAGAGCTGGAGTGCATTCCACGTACCTTTGGATGCACGCTTCAAGGAGCCCTTCGTCGCATGCCCCGACTTGAAGGGTTTGTTTTTTTGCTTCAGCGTCGGCCTATGACTGAAAGGCATCGTCGCTGCTGAAGGAACCCTGGTGCTAAGGCCTGTTTGGAAAAAAAAATCTGATCTGCAGACTGTGCCCACCAAAAAAATGGTACTCTCGCGTGGAGGAACGCACCTTCGGAGTTCAACGAACTCCAAAAAATATTTGACGCGTTGAAGACCAGCAGCCCGACCGACGACGACTGCAACGCATGCTGTGATGTTTGCATAACGGGGCAAGACGTCTCGACGAACGATTCCGATGTTGGTATACATAGGTATTCACCATGTTCATGGAAAACTGCTAAAATTATTGATGTGATCAGGGGCATCATCTAGTCCAGACAAACGGCATCAGACATTTGGAAAGACATGCCACTGAATGAACTAATGTCTCTATCCAACTATGTCCTCCTTTCACTTATCCCAAACACACACACACACACACACACTCTCTCTCTCTCTCTCTCTTGCTATCTCAAATTGAACATGTCTACTTTTTTTCTAAAGAGTCTTTCGTTTGTGGCGACTCCTTGGGGACCGATCCACCCTGGTCATCCAGCTTCTTATCTTTGTTTTCGTCAGTGCCGTTCTTCTCATCAGTATTGTGTTCGCCCCGAGCCATTTCAAGGCGGTTATTCACAAGCGCATGCAGTGCAATCACAGAACGGATCAGGCTGCTCAGGTATACAATCAGCAGGCGGTCGTTGTTTGCGACACGGAAGCTGCGCACAGTCTCGGGCTTCTCGAGATCTGGGAGGTAGTTAAACACATTCTGCAGCTCATACACAATCTCATGGTTCACAGGCAGTTCACCACGCAGCACTGCCTGAAGGTAGTCTCGAATATCCATGAGCCGACGGTGTAGGCCATGCAACGACGCTAGCTGCTGAGACACTCGGTCCGACAGAGAGCCCATGGTGGTGGTATCGCGAATATCACGCAGCAAGTGCTCAACACCTACCTCCTCCGACTCTTCTGCTTCAATGGTTGATGGGACATGCATAAACGTCTTCTGTGTGGCAGTGCCGTCATCTTTGATTTCCTCGACGGCCACGTAGGCATCAGTGGGAATGCCTACGTCGTCTCGTTGCGGATCAATTATTACCATGACAGGCCGCGGAGTAAATCGCTTTATCAGCTCATTGATCTCGAGATCTGACGACCGCAACTTCGGTCCGGTATGGTACCACCCAATCATCTTCTCACGTGCGTTCACTTTCTTGAACATCTCGAGCATGCCGTCAATGTAGTCGTGGTCCAGGAACAATGTCTTTGGATCATGCTCATCTTCCTCGAATGGAACGGCAAAACTGTTCGCCACATTGACAGACTTGCCATTGTCCTGACCCAGCAGCACGCCGACTACTCGTTTCCGTGAGCTGATCGACACACGCGATGCATGATCCGTCACCGACAACAGCACCAACGGATGCACAACCACTGTTGTTGCAGCTGAAATCATGCTCATCTTTTCAATGTTAGCTTGTGTTGTTCTCCTACTCGGCAAACGACAGACTCTACGCACCTCCTCTGACGTCGTCGGCATGTCGTCTTGACCCTCACCGATCGCCGATGCCACGCGTCATCACACAACTCTGGCCGAGGGAACTTGAGTGCGTCGACTCCCATCACGTGAGATGCGCGTGGCTATCCAAGTGGAGATGTGTGGAGATGTATGAGTGTGTGTGCACGGCGGAGAAGCCATGCGGTGCACAAGTCAGCATAACGCGTCGCAGGAAGAGATGTCAAAGAACCTCTTTCTCCACACGCACACACACAATCTCTCTCTCACTCCAGTAGTGTGTGAGGCGATTCCAAGTCTTTTGTCTTTTTGTTCGTGTCGCCAACCAGCACGGTCTTTTTCTTGTCCGATTACGCGATCGTGTCAACCTCGAAAGGCTCACAGAAGAACGCGCCTCTCCGCGAAGCGCTCACGCGTGCTAGTAGAGAACAGGCCAACGATGTGCAAGCAATAGTTCAAGTGCTTATGCAGACGTGTCTTGATGCGTTGTGCACGCTTCATCTCGTCGGCGGCGCGACAGATCGAAACATATCGCACACAACCAGAGTACGTTGCACACCATTTTTCCCCTTACACACCAGAGCATGATTCTAATTCTTGCTAAGAAACGCACTCGTGAATCACCATATCACACAAGATGCACACCGCACGCTCCGCCGGAGCTATGGCATCCTATTCTCTTGCTATAGGGAAACAGAAATCCGAGAAGCATTGTTTGCTTTGCTCTGTGGGTTGACTGAGCGCCAACATGTGCGTGCCTTCCGAGTTCGTGCGTTGCTGGCGCTCTATCATCAAGACAAATCGCCCCATATATATGATTTACTCGATACATTCGCCATGTACTGGCCGTCACTGCTACTTCCCGTCGACCAAGCAGCAAAATCCTCGTCATCATCGCAAAAAACAAACAGATCCCCGGCACCGGCCTCGAGCGAAACGTTACCGACGCCGCCATGGCATGCATGGGCTCATAGCCTTCCATGTTGGATGCCTCCTGATATGGTACCAGGGCTTGCGGCTGGGATGCACCCCATTCGATCGCGCGTACCTCGCTGTGTTCAAGTCGCTGCTCTGTTGGATCATGATACAAACTGGGGCGTGCGTCTCGCTGCCTCTGTTGGGCGATTGTTGGCTGCACATTATGCATACCAACATCGGAAGCAAAAGCACGAACCAATGCCTGATGTCCCTCCATTCGATCCGCATGCTAGCGCCATTCTCGATGCTCTTTACATGCACTGCGCTCCGATGCAGGAGCTCCCAATGCCCCTGGTGCCGTTCCTGGCTCATGTTATTCGGTCCATGGGCCATGATGCTGTCGTGCATTTGAAGCAAAGCATGGACATAAGCGGTTGGGAACGGACGTGGCATCCAACGTTGTTGGCTTTGTCACGCCTTTTCACCTACCTACCACACCTGCCTTGGGACGTGACCATGTTCCCGGCTCTAATCCGGCCACTGTGTCATATGGCAGCCATGGACGGTGTTTCGGACATGTTTTCTGCTCATATCATGCAAGCACTCACCCGCGCACTTTCTCATTGGTGCTGCACCAATGCAACAGAGACACATCCATTTCTTCTCTGTGTTTTGGAGCTACAGGATGCACTCCTGCTTGATGGCGATCCATCCATCGCCATGTACGTCGCGACGATCCAACTGCACGCCGTTCTGACAAAGCATGGACGCGTCGAAGCCTCAAATGCATCATTTCCATGCCCATTCATCCAGCTTGCGACGCCTCCAGCGATGACCGGCTCGGTTCTCACATTGGACCTTCTTTGTGCGCATGTGTTACGTTTGCGGGCACAAGTCCTTGATGCGTCTCAGCCACTAGCGCTTGACGCTCGATGTATAGATGCTATGGCTACATCCCTGGTCGACATGATCTGGAGTGGACGCGCCTTTGGCCAATTCCTCCAACAGGGTCTTGTTATTGATCACGTCATGGCATGCGATCGCGGAGCTATGGCTATCATGAAGCACGCATGTGACGAATTAAGGATTGTCCCGTTTGTTCTTATCGCTTCGTTGTCGCATGGTGCACTCCTTGCGCCGCTCTTTGAGCAATACTGCAGCGAGAGCCTCCTACCTGGGCATGACATCCGCGCTCCCATCACACCTTCAGCGCTTCGGAGTGCGCGTGGTGCGGGGCTGCCTGAACACATCCAGTATGTCGATATTCGACGTGACTATCTTCTTTGGCTCGCACGTCGCGGAGCGCCCAACATACTCGCTCTCTTAGAGGCATTTGTTCCATCATTGCGGACGCTAGCCGCGCCCCATATGCTACAGTAATGTACTTATCAAATTCCTTATTTTGTTGTTCTTTTTTGCACCCATCAGCTCCCCTTCATTCTTTTCTAGGCGCGTTGTCGCATCCGTGCACTGACAGTGCGCAGCTTCGCATATACTTTGCCTGGTGGACTGCCCATAATCAGCGCCACGATCGAATCCTTGGCCATGCGGATATTTTGGTATGCACCCAATATATGGATCTTCGTGTCAGCCAGAACAATGCGTGTTCGACTGGCATTCTCAATCGCAAAACGCGTACGACCATCTTTGCCGGCAATGCGGCCTATGGCTCGACTCAGATGGTCGCCATGCAGTGTCTTGACATCTTTCATTTCAAACGAGTCCACATACAGATCATCAAGACGCAAAAGCGCAAGTGCATCATCAGCGTCAAATCCAAGCGCATAGGCTTTCACAAAGTCGCATGCTTTTTGTATGACCCCCAGATCCTCCGTGTATTTGGACGACTTGATCTCAACAGCCCGAGTGCGCACATTCATACGCACCATAAGCCCCGCTTGCTCAACTAGAGGCGTATAAATCTTTGGCCAATCACGCTTCAACGGGCTCATGCGGTGGGGCGGGATGGGAACCTTGCGTACCTGCGAATAAGCCCGGTTGTCGGCCCCGGCCTGGGATGCGGCCAAAGCAGACGCACTGATCGGCTGGAATCGTAGTGCATCTTCGTCCATATCTACATCCTGTCCACTTGCTTCATGATGATCCGGTTGCTCTACCATGTCCTGGTCAATTATCAGTTGATCGTCCTCATCCTGGTCGCCGGTATCGCGATGCCCTGAAGCCAACATATCTTCGTCGTCGTGATCATCATCATCTGAATCTTCTTGTCCGAATGGCTTTCTTACTGGTAGTTCGTGTTTTTCCTGAGATAAGGGTTTGGGGTTTGATGCCGAGCGCTTTTCAGATCGCTTCAGCGCCTTCGCGGACGCGTTCGCCCTCTCCTGCTTCATCGTGACCGTCAAGATGAACAAGCGACAAGGAAAAAAATAAAAATTGATCGCTGACTCAGCCAGCGTCAGTTGAGCACGTCGCAAATTTTCAGGAGATGGGGGAGGAATTGTCGATGCACACTCTTCACGGACGGCTATCAGAATCAAACGCAAATAAAGCTTATGCAAACAAGTAACACATTCTCTCCCTGCATCTAACTGTCATAAAAAATCAAAAAAAAAAAAAAACTGAGAAGAGAAACGACCCGTCACATACATGCATGGCAGACACGCGGTAAACCGCTCTGAGAAATACAACACATGGGTGCTGTTGCACGTCCTACAGTGGTGTACAATAAGATGCACTCATCACAGTCTAGACAGACAAAAGATGCTCTTGAGCATGATGGCATCAAAATTCGCATGCTCACACAAAGACTCGCATACAAATTCACATAGGCGAGAGAAACGACTAGTCAACACTACATCCACTTCTCCAAGCAACACATAATAGAGAAGAGATCTCAGAAGATCTAGCACACAAAGAAGATGAAAAAAAAGGAATTCAAAAGTTTACGAGGCCCCATCCACATTGTAGACTTACTCAGTGTGAAGACCGCCCGTCGACGAGGCAGCAAAGCCCGTCTTGCTTGTGTCGGCGGCAGTCGCCGGAGCACGCGTCGATGGAGTCGAGCCTGTGATCGACAGGAATGCCGGGCGCAGAATGCGGTGGTACACCAGCTTGGCACCCTGCGTCTGAGGGAGCATAAGCCAGACAATCGCAAGCGTCTTGAACGTGTAGTAGAAGGGGAACCAGTACAGGACAAAGTTCACGAATGTCTCAACAAAGTTGAAGAAGCCAAACACCACCCAGTACGTAAGCCACTGGATGTCGTCCTGTGGCTTTGGCGTCTCGAGAGCGTACAGCGAGAAGTACATAGGGATGAAGAAGCCGATGAAGTTCGTCAGGAAACCGGCGAAGCTGAAATCATGTTAGCACAGGGGAATCTACAAGCTCAGACTGCCACCGAAACATACATGTTAAAGAAAATGAGCTGTGCATATGTTAGTACAAAGACGGCAGGCCGCAAGCTTAAGATACGTACAATTGTGAGGATCGACAAAACACCAACGGCAATGTACGACTTTGGCACAGGAAGGTGCTTGTCGAAACGGTTCAGGGCCGGATACCTGGACATCTGAGAGACATGTAAGTCCACCTTTCATCCTTCATGGCGTATGACATACCTCAGCATCGAGCTAAAATAAAAAATTGTATCCCAAGTCGAGCACAAATGCGCAAATCATGTGTCAGTAGAATGCTCCTCATTACACAAAGTTATTACGCACCTGAGACATGAATCGGTCGACCTTCTGCTGGATCACTTGAGCCTGGGATGCCATTTTGATTGTTGTTGGTAGACAGAGACCAAAAAACCTGTAGTCTACATCAACTGAATGTCTATGGGCTACCCGGCTTGGCCTTGGCCGTGTAACACCGCGTGGCCGTTTCGCGGCCTACAAGGGCATCACGGCTGTGGTTTTTTACCAGTGGCTGGAATGCCGCAGCCCCTGTAATATTAGTCAGCCATAGAAGACCGTTCGACAAGTGGAACTGAGACGACTGTGATTCACGCCGTACAGAGCCCATCTTCGACGCCACACGAAGACATTGAGAAAGAATGTTGCCAGCAGCGAGTCGTAACGCCGTATTTGGCGTGTTCACACGCCCCATGCTGAGCGCTATGCGTATGCAGACGTCACTTCCACAGCGCTTTTACTCCGACAAAGCAGAGGAACAGAAGAAAACCGATAACGACAATGGCGCTGTGCCTGAGAAGGAGTCTGCGCAGTCGGAAACTGCACCGGAAGAGGATGCTACAACAAAGCAGCTCAAGGAAAAGGATGCGCGTATTAAAGATTTGGCCGACGACCTGTTGTATTGCAAGGCTGAGCTGCAGAATTTCCAGCGCCGCACGGCTGAAGAGAAGAAAACCATGGGTGACCATGCCATTTCTCGTCTAGCCAAGGACTTGACAGAATCCATTGATGTACTCGACCTAGCTCTCCGCTCTGTGCCCGAATCCTTGCGAAAGAGTAGCCAGACTGACGAGCCGTCTCGCGCCTTGGCAGAGCTATACGATGGTGTCAGTCTTACTCGCAAGAGTATCCTCGACATGTTGCGCACACACGGCATTGAAGCATTCAACCCTATCGGCGAGAAGTTCGATCCATTATTGCATGAGGCTCTTTATCAGGCTCCCGTACCTAGTAAGCAACCTGGCTCGGTTCTCGACTGTAATAAGATTGGCTATATGATCAAGGGCCGTCTCTTGCGTGCTGCACAGGTCGGAGTAGTCCAAGAGACTGAGTAATAAATCATGGAAGAGATTGGGGCATGCCTTGGACATATCGAACACAAAAATACACACTCACACACTCAAAATTAAAAATAATATAGCATCGACGCGCTCTTACACTAACTAAATCATGCACAGAATAACGGGTTCTTTCCATATTTTGTTTTCGATCGATTCTTTCCCATACCCAACTAACGAGAGTGCGCGTGCGAGCCATCATTTAGACCATCAATACACACACACCTTATTGCCTGAATCAAGCAAGGTGATCAAGTCTTTGCTATGGGTCACGTGATGTCCACACTAGCCAACGCTTCGCAGAAGTACATACTTGACCTTTGTGGACTTGTGGGAAAGGCAGGTCGATGTATATGAAAGTAGAAACAAAGACAAACTAGGCTATATGTGGGAATAAAAATGAATAATGGAATGCTGCAGACCGTTCGTGTCAGCAGGACCAAACGACCAACCTGTCGCGGTGGACCGCGTAACTCGGTTTCTGTCACGTGCTTCATTTTTTTCTTTGTAGAGGCCTCAGGTTGCATGGGTTTTGAGCCACTCGCCCAAAGGAAAAGCGCGGGGCATGCGTATGTGGGTGAAAGCCTCTAGAGATGCCGCCTTCGCCGCCACAATTTCTTTTTTTTTTTTTGAACCTGGGAAAATTCGTTTCTCTTTACCCCTCTCTCTTCCCAAGTGGTCGTCGTAGCCCCTTCAGGTCGCGCCCCCCTACTAGAACAAGAAAAGCTTTCCAAAAAACCCTAAAAAAAAACTTACATTACCAGAAACCATGTCGTCTGACGTTGCCGCGACGCAGCCAGCTGCGACTGCAAACCCTCCAGCTGAGACGCCAGCTCCTGTGACGTCGGAGGCCACTTCTAGTGTGCCTGCCTCGACGACGGAGTCGAAACAGCCAGAGAATAAGAAGGAGAAGGAAGAAAAGGAAAAGCCCAAGGCTGCAGCATCACCAGCGCCGACGCCGGCAACAACAACGTCGTCGTCGTCGATGAACCAGGGATCTGTGAACACGTCTTTGTACGTCGGTGAGCTTGAGCCGAATGTGAACGAAGCGATTCTTTTCGAGATTTTCAACATGGTAGGTGCTGTCAGCAGCATTCGTGTGTGTCGCGACACGGTTACGCGCCGCTCACTTGGATACGCGTACGTAAACTTCCTCAACGCCGAAGACAGTGAGCGCGCGCTGGAACAGCTGAATTACACACCGATTCGTGGGCGTCCATGCCGTATCATGTGGTCGCAGCGTGACCCAGGCCAGCGTCGTGCAGGCCAGGGCAATATCTTTATCAAAAACCTGGATGAGGCTATTGACAACAAGGCGCTGCACGATACGTTTGCAGCGTTCGGAAAGATCTTATCGTGCAAGGTGGCTTCGAACGAGCACGGTAGCCTTGGATATGGATTTGTGCACTACGAGTCAAATGATGCGGCTGAAGCTGCGATCAAGCATGTGAACGGCATGCTTCTGAACGACAAGAAGGTGTACGTGGGCCACCACATCTCGAAGAAGGACCGCCAGGCCAAGATCGAGGAGGCACGTGCTCACTACACGAACGTGTATGTGAAGAACCTTGACCCGGCCGTGACGCAGGAAGAGTTTGAGAAGCTCTTTGAAAAGTACGGCAAAATCACGTCGGCGGCCATTGCGACGGACCAGGAGGGCAAGAGCCGTGGCTTCGGCTTTGTCAACTTCAGCGAGCACGAACAGGCTGCCAAGGCTGTGGAGGAGCTCAATGACACAGAGTTCCACGGCCAGAAGCTGTTCCTTGGACGCGCACAGAAAAAGTCGGAGCGTGAGGAGGAACTTCGCCGTGCATACGAGGCTGCCAAAAACGAAAAGTTGTCCAAGTACCAGGGCGTCAACCTGTACATCAAAAACCTGCCTGAGGACTTTGATGATGAGCGCCTTCAGGAGGAGTTTGCGCCCTTTGGTACGACGACATCCGCCAAGGTCATGCGCACACCTACAGGTGCGTCGCGGGGCTTTGGATTTGTGTGCTATTCAGCCCCTGAGGAGGCCAACAAGGCCGTGGCAGAGATGAACGGCAAGATGATCGAAAACCGCCCGCTGTATGTGGCATTGGCTCAGCGCAAGGATGTGCGGCACCAGCAGCTTGCCGCACAGATGATGCAGCACAACCAGCTTCGTCTGCAGCAGCAGCAGGCCGCTGCAGCTGCAGCTGCACAGATGTACCCGGGTGCCCCTGGCATGTACTATCCGCAGCCACCGGCGGCTGCTGGCATGGGTCAGTTCCCTGGGCAAGTTCGCCCGCAATATGCGCCAGGTATCATGCAGGGTATGCCACCCATGGCTGGCCAGCCTGCCGGTCCTTACCCACCAGGTCAGTTCCCGCCAGCCGGCGGCATGTTCCCGCAGGGATACCGCCCACCCCGCCCACCGCGTGGGGCGGCCGCTCCTCCGGCTGGCGCCCCAGCGGGCGTGCCGGCAGGCGCTGGTGCCCCGCGCACGGCTGCTGTGCCAGCGCAACCAGTGCAGCCAGCACAGCCTGAAGTGCTAACGGCTGCTGCGCTTGCGAATGCGTCGCCCGAGGAGCAAAAGCAAATGTTGGGCGAGGCTATTTACCCGAAGATTGCCTCAACGCAGCCGCAGCTCGCGGGCAAGTTGACTGGTATGATCCTGGAGCTGCCCGTTGGAGAGCTTCTACACCTCGTGGAAGACGACGAGGCTCTCGCCAGCAAGGTCGATGAGGCCCTGACTGTGCTGCGTGAGTACGAAAGTAGGGAGGGTGCAGAAGTCAAGGCCTAGAGCTCATGCATGTAGCAGAGACGTGACACATACACAAGCGCCTGAGTGCGCGCGTGAGTGTCATGCTCGCCTGTATAGTATACGACAGACGAGTCTCTACTAGGGGCGAGAGAATGAGAGAGGTCCTACATACAGCGGTGCGTGTGGCGGTAACGACCCTGGGTCTTGAACGGTCACGCAAATACCCTAGTCTATGTACAGCGAACGAGCAAGCAAGCAGTGCAATGCCATATAGCTTCCTGTGTGGCAACATCCTGGGGAGTTGGGTTATTTCGTCAATGCTGCTCGGCAAGGATGTGTTTTCCCACATATGTGCAGGCCGCGAATGCTCGATACTGGCTTACAGGACGTGGTTTCCTCTATCCAGAAACTATGTTTTGAGACGTCTTGTGTGAGTGCATGACACGTGTAACGATATGAGTTTGCTTGGCATTTCCGGGCCTAAAGGTCGGTGGTGGCCGCGATAACTCGCTTTTGTCAGAGCCCTAGTTACGTGAGTTGTTCGTAGGTTTGAAAGAGTTGTCAACATGGAATGGTTGGGCCCATCGGTATCCATACGTAAGGTTTATTGGTGCCTGTGCAACCCGTGTCATTTCGAAGATCTGGCGTCTCTCACAACCATCGCATGGAATGCCACTGTGTTCCGAGCGCTGGTGGTTCACATTGTTCCATATTCGGCAGGGCACAAAAGACCAGGCTCTCGTAAAGAAGACTGCCCGATGAGCAGATCTCCAAGGCAAAACGCCACTTTATGGTATGTTTCTGAATTGAGTCCCATGCACATACACACACACACTCACACACACGCTCTCTCTCTCTCTCTCTCTCTCTCTCTCTCTCTCTCTCTCTTAGCACAAAAGTCCTTCCTATATCCTAAGGAGTCCATTCAAGCAAGGCTGACGCAGTCTCGCGTACCTGCGCATTCGCATGCGTCCGACTGAGCATGATAAGCTCCCAGCATGGCTGCCCACTGGCCAGCACGCGCGCACTCTCAGGCTGCTCGGAATATGGGTCAAAAGTGCCATCGTGAATGGCATCGCGATTGTCCACGAGTGCCTCGAAACGTGTGTCGACCGACGCGGCGCGAGCCAATATCGCATGCGCTATCTGCAGAGCGTGAAGCGTCGTCGTTGTCGGCCAATGTAGGGCAGACATGAGCAGTCTGCGAAGCATAGCAGCCGTGCGATCCAGAGAGACATGCAGTGTAGACCGAGATGATTTTACGAGTGCCAGCTCGAGCGCATGGAATAGCATCGATGCCATACTCCAAGAGCGCAAACCACGCACTGACGAGCCTTGACGCGGCGCGCCCTCCTCGATCTGTGTGGACATGGCTAGCGGCCACATCACCTGGTACAAAGCAACATAAAAAGCACCCAGGTCGAGCTCGAGCGCCCCACCTTGACCGGCCTGTAATTCCAGCGCAGCTACAATGCAAAGCAGTGCGTGTCGTGGCTCATGTGCATCGATTGCTTTGGTAACATGCGTTCGAAGTACACCGACCACGTCGCGGAAAAAGTCCGCACTCACATGGTGTGCAAAATGCACAAGACCCTCCAACGCACTAGCAAGCAGAGGCAATGGCACGTCATCAGTCTTGAGAATGCGGAAAAACAGTGCAAACATGAGCTTGAGCGTCTCAGACTGACGCCGCTCACGCTCCTCCAAATCCAACGTTGCGTCCGCCTCGCGCATCTCATGTTCAATCTGGCGGAGTTCGCGATCGCGCTTCACTTGCTTTTTGCTTCGGTGCACCGCGAGACCCTTGCGGACCTGCCGCGGATCGGCATGGCGCACTTCTGATGCTGTTGGCATGGAATTCGATGCGTTCGCAGAGCCCATGGGCCCACGGCGCACACGCCGACTGAGCTCGTCACGCAGGCGCAGGTGAACCAGGATTTCAAGCACATTTGCATGGACCGCCAACTTGCGCTCGCGAATCATCCGGTATAGCAGCATCACAAGCTCGAGACCCAGTTCGCCGTCGGCATCTTGTCGAAGCAGCTGAGCCAGAGCCTCGAAGCATTGTTCGCTTGCAGGTGTCCAAGCTTTGCGAGACAGCAAGGATATGACGGAGGCCAGGAGGTTTTTACGATAGTTGAAGTGCGGAGCACGCACAAGAAGGGTGCAGAAGCATTTCCGGGCGACAGGCGCGAGTGGCGAAGATGCATCTCGCACATCACCTTCACAGCACTCGAGGTAGTCGCGGTACAGGCGAACAAGTCCTTGCTCCCAGTCGCGCCGACGAGCAACGTCCTGACTAACGCGATCCTTTTGCTCTGTTTCCGACAAGGCACGAATGCGGTAGCCAGGCAAGATATCGACAAAGACAGCAAGCAGCGAGAGCATCGCAAGTTGTCGAATGTAGGGATGCATAGGAAGACGCTTCGTTCGAGGACGTGGGTCCTCGGGGGGTACGTGCACATTGCGCTGAGCAAACACGAGGAGACGGCGCAAAGACGCCTGTCCCTGCTCAGGATCTGCCATGATACTGGATGACAGACGAGCTATTTGCTCACGCGCAGCTAGAATAGCCTGCGTGCTGGTGGTCCGATTCGACGCAAGTGCCCATTCTGCAATGTCGTAGGGTGTTTGGTATCCGAGATATTGTGCGTCAGCCGAGGAAGATGATGTCACGCCAGGACTTGTCTTTGACACGTCACCGTTGTCGTTGTCGTCATCATCGTCATCGCTGTCCTCCATGACATGTGGTTCGTATATAGCACGGCTGTTTCTCGATTCTTTCGAGTTCGGCTGCTCAATGATGCCTTCTGATGTTCGCACAGGCAAGGGGAGTTGTGCCAAAGCGTGTCGCTCAGCTCGAGCGCGTTTTTCCCGCTGTTCAGCCTTGAGAAGGTATGCATCTTCGAGAGGATCATGTTCATCGGCATCTTCGTCTAGGTCACTCTCTTCCAAATCGTCCTCACTGATATCTTTGTCCCAGTCCATCTCATCCTCGTCACTTTCACTTGCACCCTCCATATCAGTGCTCTCGTCACTTTCGTCCTTGGCATCTGTTCTTTGCGCATCTAGTATCTCACGTTGGCGCCGCTTTTCGTCGCGAACTCGTTCTTTCGCACGTCCTTGAGCACCGGAAGAAGTGACATCTGGCAGACGTGCCTCGGACAAGAAATGCAGCTGACCTGGTTCGGCATCCACGGCCATGTCTTGTGCATCCTGTACCCATGAATCGTCCACGTCCTCGCCATTCCCATCGACACGCGCGCGCTTATGAGAGTGTTTTTTCAACTGCTTTTTTTCCTGATTTGGTGTGCGGGCATTCTGCTTTGGCATAGGCCGCTCACGCTTCTTTAGACGCACGCCGCCATGCGCCATGATCCAGGGCGTGAGCGTATCTAAATTTTTTTGATTCGAGCATGACACGCTTTCCTGTGTGTGTCACCCTTATGGAGTGATGCACGTGATGCGTAATGAGCGTGCCCTGTGGAGGTGGTGACGAACTAGGAGCACGAAGTTATGCAGACCAAAGTGAGGATCTAGGCACAGACCACGAGCGTGGACGACGGCGAAGCGCGTGCAGCAAGCCTGCGGAATTGAATCGACATACGAAAAATGGCGCATCAAAAGCGCACGTCGCCGTTTGCTGTGCCATACTTGCCAGGCGAAGACAGCGCATCGGAACGCGCGTTTGACATTGAGGCAGGGTACTTGCCAGTGCGCAAGCCCGTCGACGGCGGCACAGAGCCACAGGATGATGCACATTTGTATTTTATGCTGCATCGAGCTATGTATCCGCAAGCGCGACGCAAACTTGTGTTCTGGCTGAATGGCGGGCCTGGATGCTCTAGCTTTGATGGCGCACTGCTGGAGCTTGGTGCGCTGCGAATCCAGCGGAACGGGTCCCTTGCACTAGCGCGCCCAGGATATGCATGGAATGAGTATGCAGATGTCGTGTACGTGGACCAGCCTGTTGGTACGGGCTTTTCGTATGTGTCGAACCATGCATACGCAAAGACACTCGAGCAGGTCGCAAAAGAGTTTGTCTACTTCTTGCATGAGTTTGTTCGTGCATATCCAGCGTACATGAATGAAACGGATGTGTATCTAGCAGGAGAGAGCTTGTACGTTGCACGGGTGGACGATGCATGTGCTAACGACACACGCTGGTACGCAGTGCGGGGCAATACATTCCGTACATTGCACATGAGCTGTTCCAGAATACGCAGGACGCGTATGGAGCAGTTGCAGATGCTATGGCAGCCATGGGAGGAGGAAAAGAAGCGCGGGAGGTGTCAGCAGCACATGAGGAAAGAGGCGGTGGAACAGTGCCGCCGCCGCCACCACCATCGCCCATTTTGCTGAAAGGCATCGTCATTGGCAATGGGCATTTGGACCCTGCACGGCAGAGTGGCTCGGAAATCGACACGCTTGTCCGTGCGGGGATGTGGTCAAAGAATGGGCCAGAGCATCAGCGTCTGCAGCCGCTGTTGGATGCATGCCAAAGTGCCGTAGCGAAAGATGCGATTTCTCGCGCGGAGTATGAAGAGTGCGATGCGATCCCAAGTCACATTGTCCATTCCACCATTCAGAGGTACGTGCGTCGTGCAGGCATGTGCGAGAAAAAGAAAAAGAAAAAAACGAAAAAGAGGAGAGATGTACTCACGCATATATACACGCATGCAGAATCAGTGGGGCAGAACATTGCATCAATATATACGACATCCGCCTTACCGACAAGTCGCCAGCCTGTGGCATGAATTGGCCACCGGAAATTGGCGCTATGACCGAGTACTTGCGCCGGAACGACGTGTTGGCGTCTTTGCATGTAAATACAACGATGCGGCCAGAGGCGTGGGTCGAATGCAATCCAAACGTGGGCCCTGCAATCCACGCACACACGCGGGATACCGCTGCGGGTGCTACGTACCTTCCAGGAATCCTTGAGCGTGGTGTGCCGGTGCTCTTGTACGCCGGTGATCAGGATCTGGTGTGCCCGTCCCTGGGCTTGCAGCGATTTGTTGATCATCTGACTTGGCATGGCGCTCAGGGCATGCAGGGCGCCAAGCCTGAGCCATGGACAATCAACCATGCACTTGTGGGCACGTGGCAATCGGCACGGAATTTGACGTTTGCAACGCTCATCAATGCATCGCATATGGCGCCATACGACGCTCCCTATGCGGCGCATGACATGATGCTCAGGTTCATGGATGTGCGTCTGCCGCGCGTATCGAAGCAGACGCCGTCGGTGCAGTCGAACATCGGGAAGGATGAACGTGTGCTTGTGCCGCATGATGCGGCCTTACTGCTGCAGAACACATCGGTGGCCCCAACGACGTCGTCGTCCATGCCGTCATCACTGCCAGCCTATGCATCTGACCTGTCCGGCAGTCTGCTTGTATGGATCCTCATCGGGATGGCCATTGCACTATGTGTCTACATGCGGCGACGTGTCCGGCATCCGATAGGCACCCAGTACCATGCTGTGGGACAGCACGTCATGGAAGATGCAGCAGCATCGCTTGAGTCGGCAACGAGGCGGCCACCGGAAACACAAGATGCGCAGTGGTTCTCTGCGGATCACGAGCTCGACACATTTACGCTGGGTGATGAGCACGACGAAGATAAGAATCTGGCGCTGCGATAGATGGATGCTGAGGAGCAGCGGCCGGAGCTGACGCCGTGTGAAGCGAGGCGCGCCACGCCTGTACGAGCGGGACGTCGGTCGTCCTTGTGCTTGTGGTTGTCGTCGCTGTCATCGACACTACCACCCACATCAGACATCTAGAACCTCTTTCGAATAGGCAGGAACAAGTAGACTTGCTTCATGCAATGCCAAACGGCGCGAGCGCTGTGCATCATCGCCAGACTCAGCCTGTTGCGCACTAGAGATCAGACCCTCGAGTGGTGCACGCAGCCTGGATACCATCTGCAGTGTATGGGCATGCGTCGACAGGGAACGTGTGCATTCACGGAGGAAAGGATGCATCGCTGTCGCGCCGAGCCATTGTGGGAAAAAGGTATCGATCAAGTCCTCCATAAATGACAAGCACGCATCGAATCGCGCCGGCTGCACGCCGCCTGTTCTGTATGACAAGGACGGTTTCGATGCTGCTGTCGCCGAGGACAGCGGCAGAGTACGAACCTCGTCCTTCATCCGATGCACAGAGGACGAGTCCCAAGCCGAAGCCATGTGGAGATCGATCCACGTGTTCAGGATATCTAGAAGTATCAGCACATCGGCATCATCTGTGATGTGTGTGCGCAAAGCCACACGCAACGCAGGCTTCGAAAAGGCTGGGGGAAGAAGGATGTGCTGCAGCACGCGTGGAATTGCTGGCGCTTGTGGATCCGAGTCGGCCGCTGCCCGCAAAGCATCATGCAGGAACGTCAATGCCTGGGCCTCACTCAAGTCTGGCACATGCCGCAAGAGGAGGAACACGAGGGACCAGTCGTGCGTGAGTCTCGCGCGGGGGACAAGATCAGGAAGGAGTGACGTAGATACAGCGCCGCGTTCAACAAAGTAGCGAACGGCTTCACGAGCATACGGTAAAGCGACCGCGGACCGTGACGAGACGCGCCCCGCTTGCATCGACGTGCCCGACGAAGCGAGCGCAGATGCACTGGTGCCGGGCAACGCCGGCAGCGCCATGTCCATCACCTGCTGGACAAGTGCGGCATCGAGCGGAACTTTCGGCGCTTTGCGCCCAGCCTTGGTTTGTGTGGCTTCACGCAGCGCGTCACTCTCTGCTTCGAGCCATGCAAGGACGTGAGCATCTAGCGCTTTTGCGCGCGCAGCCGCATCGTGCGTCGGCAGGCCCTGCAGACGATCGAGCAGCGCACGAGCCCTGGGCGAGCCAGATGCATGTGTGCTGCACGAGTCCGGCGACCGCACCGACGAGGTCTCGGGCGACACAAGCCAGGGTGCCGTCCGTGCAGCTGCACCGAGAGCGTGGCGCAACAGGCCGGTCGTTGGTACACTCACAGGCAAAGCCACGACGGAGCATTTCGACTCACTGGATGCATATGGATCGACTTGCACAAGGACGTAGTCGTCCATTGCGCGTGTGGCACTGATTCGAGCAGGTCCCGACAGCGCAACAGACCATTCCACGGTCGCGACCACAGCGTCGAGATCCATGTCCCACAGGAGAGCAGATGCACGTGTGCGCCCATGTTCTGTGCGCAAGACCACCGCTAGTAGGTGTGAGGCTGACAAGCAAACAAGACTTGCATCGTCGACGGGCGGCAGCTGCAGCGCAGACGGCTCGTCGATCACGAGACGCGCATCAACGGCGTGGAACCTAGCTGAAAGTAACTTCTGCCCACTCGTCAGAACATGCAGGCGGCCGTGCGGCTCCAGAGCACAGCTCATGATATCCTGCTCAGCAGGGAGCATGCAGGTCTGTGCATGCAGGGAATCTGTGTGCACACCCACTATGTGGACGAGGACATCCGTACTGGTCGGCGATGCACTGGCGGCCAGCGCTAGTGCACCAAGCAGTGGGCGCGCCGCATCATGTTCATGGGGGAGAAGAGTCCGCGCATCGTTCGAATCCAGCAGGCACACATGATGGAGCAGCATATTCCCACTATCGTACGTCGCAAGGACACGAACACTTTGGGCAGCGATAGGATCCGCAAGGAGGAGCACAGCACCGTCCTTGCGTGTGGCCAAAAGCTGGCCGTTGCCTAGTGCGTAGAGTGCACATAACGTGCCTGGCACAGTGCCGACGGTCTGGTGACCCATGTCCATGCCGACGCCAGAGGACGCGCCGTTTCTGCTCCCATTGGGATCCGCGCTTCCTGGGGCGTGCGCCGGGATATGTTTGCCGCGCGAGTCTAGTATTTCCGTGTATGCGCGCACCTCAGTGTGCTCAGACGTCGCTTGCACGCCCACGTACGTTGTGCGAACAGGCTGCTTGGCAGGTACATACAAGCTCCGCTCGACAACGAGGGGCGGTGTACACACATGGTCAGAGGGTGCTAATGTGTGTGTGTGAACGGGTGTCTGAGTCTGCAAATCCATCAGAACAATAGCAGTACCCTGCTCAAGAAGTGCCACAAGTCCTCGACGCCTACGAACAGAGCCCAGAGCACCACGAGAGCTCAGCCGTACAACGTCGCCAACAGCTACGTGGGAGTGCCGCGTGGTACGTGCACTTGCATTGCACAGTTCATATGTCGCCGTATGCTGGGATGGCCGCGGCTGTGCATATGTACAAAGTTGGATCGGCGTGTGCAGCAGAGGAGCAGCTGCCGAGTGTCTCGCACTAGACGAGGATCCTGAAGCAGCAGGAGCAGCTACTCCTGCTGGTTCAGTCGCGGCTGTGGTCATTCGTGATGCAGTGCTTGGAATGCCACGACGTTTCGTCTCGCACACGAAACGGCCGGCTCTTTGAATCTGACGAAGCAACAGCAGCAGGAGAGAAAAAGTGCGATCGCGAGAGGGAAAGGAAAATCCGTCTCGGCCGAAAAGAAAATCGTCCGTGCGTGCGGCCAAGCAAAATAAAAAAAGAGAGGGCATGACAAAACGCCACACACACGCACGCATAAGCCTGGCTGGCTCTCGGAGGAACGTGGCTGTTGTTGTTAAGCGCAAGCGAGTGTGAGAACATTGTTGCGTTTGACACGAGCGATTGCCTTTCCCTCTTCACCACCACTACCACCACTACGGACGCATCACATAGGTACCATGTGGATGATGAGCAGAATGGGACGCGTGCATGCGAGCGCAATGAGGCGTGCATTCGCTGGACAGCCTCGCACGTATACTCGGATGGCGACTGTGGCTGGACGGCCGCGTGTAGGATGGCCCCCGATGCTGGTGCGGCAAGGGACGATGCTGCCAAGCCGCAGTATGTTTATCCAGACCGAATCGACGCCGAACGAAGACTCGCTCAAGTTCCTGCCAGGATGCAGGGTGATGGAAAAGGGCACCGCAGAGTTTTTGGACCAACGATCGTCGATGACGTCACCACTTGCCAAAGACCTGTTTGCTTTGGACGGCGTAAGTGGCGTGTTTTACGGGCCAGACTTTGTCACGGTGACCAAAGATACCGACACGCCATGGTCCGCGATCAAGCCAGAAGTGTACAGTACGATGATGGAATTTTTCACGGCTGGCCACAGCCTGTTTCCTGATCCCAGCAGCGCACAACCTGGCTCCGATACGACAATCCTCGATACAGACTCGGAAGTGGTGGCGATGATCAAGGAGCTTCTCGACACGCGTGTGCGTCCAGCGATCCAGGAAGACGGCGGTGATCTCGAGTACCGTGGCTTTGGCGAAGACAGTGACGGCATTGTGCGAGTCAAGTTGAAGGGTAGTTGCCGTGGATGTGACAGCTCGACAGTGACGCTCAAGTCAGGCATCGAGCGCATGCTGATGCATTACGTGCCAGAAGTGCAAGGTGTTGAGCAGGTGCTGGATCCAGAGGAGCAAGTCGCGATGGACGAGTTCACAAAGCTCGAAGACCGACTGAAGAAGCAGCGCGAAGAGCGTGCACGCGGCTTTTCGTTGTGATGCTCGCGGGGTGGAGCGCTGCACAATCACATATACACACAAGTAGAAGCGAACCGGGCACGCATGACGTCCACACACGTGCATGTCCGCAGGCGAGGGCGGGGCGCAGCAGCACCAAGTAAGGAAGGAAGTCTCCCCCCCCCCGAAGGCTGGCGGCGCATCGCACGCTGCGTGGCACGCGCGCCACCGAGGGCACTTGTTCATGACCTGTGTTCTGGACTATGGCGCTATCGCAAACGACATGCGAAGACCCATGGCAGCAAGCTCTGCTACAAGGTATTTGAGCACGTACGGCACAGCAATCACGTCCAAGTCGCCAGCGCGACGCAAGACATTCGACCTCGGCATACGCACCCGCTTTGATGCATCGAGCCGGCGAACGGCCTGGCCAGCCTGCGCGGCGCGGCGGCATACGCGGCAGTATTCGCCATGAGGACCAAGAGGGACGTGCGCGACCGCCTCGGGGTGGCTGCTGTTGTTCTTGCTGCTGCTTGTGTGCTCGATCGTCTGCACAACACCAAGACCCGGCACGTGGACGCCGGCGGTATCGTCGTAGCTGAGAGAAATCAAACTGCCACAAGTCCGGCACACATACGCTGTTGTATAGTCGGAGCAATTGAGCAGGCGGTCCTGCAAGAGGAACGATGTGCCATGAGCCAGCAGGGCGTCACGCTCCATCTCACCGAACCGAATGCCACCCGCACGCTTCCGTCCTTTGACGGGCTGCCGCGTGAGCGCATGCACGGGGCCAGTCGTTCGCACTTGGAACTTGTCATTGACCATGTGTCGAAGACGCTGGTAGTATACAACGCCCAGGTAGATGTCAGCCCGAAGCTCCTGGCCCGTGATGCCCGAGTACATAGGCTCGTTGCCCATGTAGTTGTAGCCGGCTGCCCGCAGCTGCTCGCCAAAGTATGACACAGGCGTGTCGTGCTCGCCAAAGGTCCAGGGCGTCGCATCCTGCGAAAGGCCATGCATAGCACCGGCCTTACCGGCCATGCTCTCGATCAACATGCCGATCGTCATACGACTGGGGAAGGCATGGGGATTGATGATCACGTCGGGCTGCATGCCGCTCTCGCTGAACGGCATGTCCACCGCAGGCCACTTTTGCGAGCACACACCCTTTTGCCCGTGCCGCGACGAGAACTTGTCACCGATGACGGGCGAGCGTGGGATGCGGAACATGATCTGCACATGCTGGCACTCTGTGTCGCCAGCATCGCTGCCGATCACGCGCACGGTGTCGACGTAGGCGGCCTCGTCGCCCTTGTACCGCTTGACGATCGTGCGACCTGTCGCTTCATTGAAGCACGCGTACAACGGTGTGCCACGAGTCATAAAGGTGCCGACGAACGGCAGCCCATCGGCATCGAGCTGCTCACGCCGTGCATCGTCCGCACGGATGTCGGGTCCAAAGCCGAAATGCACCGGCAGCGCACCGGCGCGCCCGCCACGACTGCTTCCACTGCCGCTGCCGGCGCCGCCCATCATGTCCCGCAGGTGAATGACCTCCGACTTGTACACGCTGCCGTACCCAAAGCCACGTTCATGCGCTGACTTGTTCAGGATCATCGCATCCTCCATGTCGTAGCCCGTGTACGAGATGACGGCCACAATGGCATTCGTGCCGTTGGGGAAGTCGTCCATCGCATACTTGTTGTGCAGGGAGGGCCTCACAATCGGAGTCTGGCCGGTCTGCAACCGGTACAGCTTGTTGTCGGTGCGCCGTGCTATCGCGCCACTGGGCGTGCCCATCGTCTGCTTCCCCATCTGGCACTGGTACATGTTGCGTGGACTCTGATTAAAGTCCGAGAACGGCGTCAGATTCGCCACCACACTCAGCACATGCGTCGGTGTGTATTCGATGTGGGTCGAGATGCCCCGCTCGATCTCGTGCGCCTGGCACGCAATGTCCAGGTACACCTGCTCAAACGGACCCACATGGTCCCTCGCGGCCGTTGAACAGGTAGCGCACAGGGCGCATCATCCGGGCGCGGCCACTGAACAGATACACGACCCGGTACTGCCCGCCATGCGACGTCGGCACGAAGCCGATCTCGAGATCCAGCGGCACCGCGTGCAGTCCCTCCGTCTTCCACACACGCAGCACCGTGGCCATGTGCCGCGCGAGCGCCGGCGTCGCATAGCCCAGCATAACGCCGTCCAGCTGCACGCACACATGTGTCTGTGCACTGATCTGCGTCGCGACACCTTCTGTCATACCGAGCGACGTCAGCAGCGCTGGGATGTGGGCCACGTCCAAGTCGCGCGTCGTGAGCTGGCACGTGTGGGAAAAGTGGTTCAACAGGCCACACGGACTGCCATCCGGTGTGTGGACTGGGCAAAGAAAGCCCCAGGCCTCTGGAAGCAGCTTGCGGACGGTGGTCGTCTTGAGCTCGGCAAAGAACGCGCCACGGTGCACACTGCGGAAATGCGACACGTACCGGTAAAAGTTGAGCTTCTCCGCCACGATCGTAAAGCCACCGACCTGCTGCAGATCCAGGCCGGACGGCGACGACAAGTTCCCGGTCGCTAGGAACGACGAGAGCCGCGTGCCGATGTCGCCATTCACCTTCGCAAGCACACGCTGCACATACCGCGCGTCGAAAAAGTCACACTCCTTCGCGTGCATGCGTACGTCGCGCGCTATGACACTGCGTACATTGATGAGGTACTCGTCCAGGCGTTCTTTGATGATCGCGCCATACAAGAAGCCGGGCATTAGCACCTCCTGGTGCTGCGGGCTGTCCGGGTTGTCTGCACAGCACTCGCCAGCGACAAAGGCATACAGCTTGCGGATCATGAACACGAGCAGGCGGTACTTGTCGCGTGGCATATCGAGATGCGTCAGCACAAGTCGGTTGATCAGCTCTTCGCCAACCTGGGCGTGGCTCCAGTCCTCTGGCGCACGCATCACAACACGGAACTTGTCGCCCAGGTACTCGAGGCACTGCTCGCCCGTCCAGAGTGCATATTGCTTGAAGCTGCGCAGAAGCAGCTCGACACGATCCGTCAAGAATGTGTTGCTTGTGTCGGCTTGTACGATGGATGCAAAGATCTCCTTGTCCGTCGCACTGACAAGTGCCTTGAGCACCATCACGACTGGCACCATGTACTCTTGTTTCCGCCAACTGAATCGGAGTGTCACTCCCCCATTGTCGAGGTAGTGGACTGAGTTGGTGATGCTCATGAGATCGTGCCGACCCACGCATCGGATCGAGCATGCCTTCGACGTGTACGATGGACCGCGCCGCGTGAACGACGGCCGCTCCAGCGCCATGACATGGTTTGCCTTCGCGAGGATCAGAAACCGCATAAGACGCTCGTTGCCGTTGATGATAAAGTAACCGCCCATCTCGTTCGGCTCTTCGTGTTTCGCCACAAGTTCACTCGATGTCAGTCCTCGCAAATGACACCGATTCGAGCCCACCATAATAGGGACTTGTCCCATGTCGCGGATCTCACTTTGCTCTGGCCCATAGTCAACGCTCCATGTCACTCGTGCTGTGAGTCGCCCGCGATACGACACAAGTCGGTTCCGGCACTCGTCCGGGAACACGCGCCGATCCAGGGCATCTTTCGCCCGGTCCGGCACCATAGGCCGGCTTAACGAGACTGAATCAATGCGCATTTCAAGTCGATGTCCGCGGTCTGCGCCTTCGCCACTGCCGTCAAACACGACTCGTGGCGATAGCGTTTGCAGACTGCGCTCCAACAGACCGCCGCTGTCCATGCTCAGCTTATCTCCAGTGCCAGGTGCATCGAGCGATGGGTCGTCTGACCAGAGTGCATTGAAACTCTCGATATGTGGCCGCGAGATGTCTCGGAGTGCAGGCACATCCCACTCTGTCTTGGATGGCTTCATGAATCGCCGTTGCATCTCGAGTGTATGAAACGTATGAGGTTTTGCCCATGCTTCTTCTTGCAGCATGCTCACATCATCCCCTGGAGGCGGAGTCCCTGGCCCGGTTGACTCGTCCGACGACGAGGCACTGTGCGGCATGTCGCTTTAGCAACAATTTTGCTCGACGCGCCACGAACAATGAAACGAGGTGTGTGTGTGTGTGTGCGGAAGTGCGAGTGGGAAAAAAATTTTGACCAGATGCAGCTCGGCCGATCATCGACGAACAAGCGGTCGGACCCTTCTTCTTCTCCACCTACAATTATAGTCGCTCCTCCCTCCGCACGCGCAGTAGCCGATGTATGGGGGATGAGGTGAGGCACTTCTGTAGACAACCAGTATGGCCGATTTATGATGACCTGTCTCCGTCATGTCATGAATACATAAATCATGTCCAGGTGAATACCTGGCACGCTTTCCGAGACTGTAGCGAAAACATAGACACGTGTGCATATTGCGCTGAATGTCTGCTCACTACGATCATCAGTCTAGTGAGACTCGAATGAAAATTCGTCCAATTTACATGTAGTGATATTTCACGGTCGTAGAAGACAGTGCATTATATTGTCCCTTTACCGACTTCCATCGGATATCTCGGCCGGTTAGCACAATTGGTAGTGTGTCTGACTACGATGACTCTAAAGGGTCTTAGTTCATCAGGAGGTTGCGGGTTCGAGCCCCGTGCTGGTCATTTGTCCTTTCTCTTTTTGCCAACTGGTGCACAACATTTTCCGATGAAATTAAGTGCTACCTGAAAGAATAAATATGCACACTTGCAGCCAAGAAAACATCGCATGGCCGGTTAGCACAATTGGTAGTGTGTCTGACTACGAAAGCCTTGCAGGCTTTAGCTTATCAGGAGGTTGCGGGTTCGAGCCCCGTGCTGGTCATTTTTTTTGTTTTGAATTGTCAACACTAATGAATACAGAATAATCTGGACATATACACGCAACCTACAAGGATTCGGCCGGTTAGCACAATTGGTAGTGTGTCTGACTACGAAAGCCGTACGGGCTTTAGCTTATCAGGAGGTTGCGGGTTCGAGCCCCGTGCTGGTCATTGCTACCTTTTTGCCATGTCAAAACACGTACTATCATCATTTTTTTTATAATATTGCAATATCACCATGGGTGTCGGTCTCACACTCGTTACCGACGGACACAGATTAGTTTCGCCGTCACATCACCACCCCCTTCCAGCTTGTACACATACATACAATTATACATACATATTTGCCTTCCAGTCTAGTTTACCCCTACGATCAGTAGCCAGCCAAAGACGATCTGAGACATGGCAATACCAAACAAGAATTGAATGCGTGCCGCACGCTGGCCTTGAGTAACAGTGACGCTAGAGGGAGAAGTCGGGTCAGGAAGAACGACGTATCGCAAAGAGCGCAGGAGGAAAAACGCGTTCGCAGCGAACATGTACAAAAATGTAAGCCAATAGAGCCAGCGACTGATATGCAGAGATCCCACAGCAAGAATAACCAGCGTGCCAACAAACTTGTAGCCCGAGTACGCAATCAGGTCAAACACCGTATGATCGCCTTGAATATTGAGCAAGTAGCATCCCAACTTGATGGCACTAAATTCAATCAGAACGATCGCCATGGCACGAGAAGCCGTGTAACCCAGCACCTCGGGATGGAATCGACCACGAATCCCATAGATGAACGACGTTGCAATCACATAGGTCACGAATGCCATCAAGGGTATATACATATCAGGGCTGTTGACATCCTCACGCGGCACACAATACGAGACCGGCTCGACGGAGCCGCTAGGATGACCGCCTTCTGCCGACAACGACCGCTCCGGTGTGCTCATTCCAGCATAGATGGTAGAGCTGCTCTGGGTCGGCGACATGATGCCAGATGCACCATACGGCGTGGAGTATCGCAGTCGCCGCGACCAGGGCCGATGCCTCCAAGGGAATAGGATGATACGCAGCTTGTGCAAAACGTATGAATTCGACACATTAAAGTAGTGCTTGAGAACTGGCATGGGAAGAAGCGCACGGAAGTTGCGCTGCATGTATTCACCGCCCACCTGTGCGACATGCCGGCCTAGCTGCATGCCCATTTGTGTCGTAGCATCGTTCATCATGTTGGACGAGCCAAACGCAGGGATCCCTGCAGCATGCGAAAAGCTGTCCCACGCCGAGTCCTGTGGTGTCACAGGCATACCGTAGGCATCTTGCTGCACCACTGGTGGCGTGCTGACGCCATCAGCTCCCCAACCATTGGCCGGCGAAGGATACGTATCTGTGCTCTGCGGCTGCCCAGTGATCGAATTCGCTCGGTAGGGTGGCGGCGTGTATGGCGACGAAAAGTCTTGGGTCGTGGGCGACATGGGCGCAGGTGACTGAATCCTTTGGTACTCCATCGGCTGTGATGCCAATGGACCAGGGCGAACGACGCGCTGTGCACCTGTCATGCTAGTGCGCGGTGTGGTCGCGCGGCGAGGTGCATTGGGCACCGGCCTCCCTTGTGTTGGTGGCCGACCACCTGCCCATGGACCACCACGAGGTGGGCGTGGCTGCGCCGGTGCACCTTGGTACGATGTAGCTGAAGCGTCGCTTGAGCCCGCGCGAGAAGGCGCAGAGGCACGTGGATGCGTGGGTACAGGTCGTTGCAATGGCGGTGGCACGCGTCCCGACGGGCCAGTGCGCTGTGGATACATGACACAACGAAAGATGGGGATGTGCTAAGGACGTGTCGTGTGTGCAAAGCCCGTGTGTGTGTGTGTGTGGATGACGGCGATGTCGACCAACGAGCTAGACGAGACGAGACAAGACGAGAGAGCGCAATGTGTTCGAGACGCTCAATTCTTCGCGCAAACAAACCGTTTGCGCTCAGCGAACCAGGCAGGCCAGGCTTGTGTGTTTGCGTTGGCGTGCGGTGTTGACGGCCGGGCGCCCACTGACTCTGGGCAGAACGCCGCTGAAGGGGGGGCAAGGGTGGGTGGGGGGGAAATAGGGTCCATGGCAGGCGGGCGACGCAGGGTGCACGTGACGAGGGCGCCGCAGTCGGGCTACGTCGTCTGACTGGGGCTACACGTAGGGAGATTTTCGCGACCACACGATGCCCAAGGCGAAAGGCAAGGGTGGTAAGAACCGCCGGCGCGGAAAGAATGATGGTGACGACAAGCGCGAGCTCGTGTTCAAGGACGAGAGCCAGGAATATGCACAGGTGTTGAGGATGCTGGGCAATGGGCGTCTGGAGGCCATGTGCTTTGATGGAGAAAAGCGTCTTGCGCACATCCGTGGCAAGATGCGCAAAAAGGTGTGGATCAATAACGGCGACATTATCCTGCTATCTCTTCGCGAGTTTGAAGATGGAAAAGCCGATGTAATTCAGAAGTACACGCCAGACGAAGCGCGCAGTCTCAAGCAGCATGGTGAGCTGCCTGAGGCGACAAAGATCAGTGAAGATGCGTTTGGCGAGGACGAGGGTGATGAGATTGAGTTCCAGGAGCCTAGCGACGAGGATGAGGAACAGGATGATGATGAGGATCTTGATGATCTTTGAGCACAAAGATGAGAAACGCGTACCCATTCCCCGCAAAAAGAACATGTCCACATAGGACGGGGATCGATGCATGGCACCACCGACTGTGTGTCTACATCATCCACGAATCGCCGTAATCCAATCTACATATATATCGCACTTGAGTGCTATTGTTTCTTTTTTCTCTTCTTACTATGTAGCGCGCGCGCGGTGTATACACTTTTTGAGTTGTAGACTGCCCATGACGCAGACAGAGCCATGGCGTACGATAGCGCTGATGGTGTGTGTTCTGTGTCCATGGCGAGTTCGCATGAACGACGCCTCGCTGCCAGACCTGTCCTGCATGTAGTTATGCACAGGTAAAAAAAAAGATCGATTCACTCGCGTGTTCTTGTATAGCTGTATTACCATGCAATGCACAAATGACTATGAAGACGGCGCAGTCTCCGGACCTGGCGCCGCCGGTCTTGACTCTTGCGTATTGGAATCTGTGTCTGTCGCGATACGTGACGACGCAGCCGCCGGCTCGGCCTTGTCATGCATGCGTGTGTCTTGAGCAGGTGCGCTTGTGGCTGCTACCGCTGCTGGCTCCGACGCTGGCTCTGTTGTTGGCTCTGACGCTGCTGCTGTCGCTGTGGGTGTTGGTGTTATTGTTGTTGTTGTGGACGTCTTCGCATCGACACTGGTCGGGGCCACTGTCTCTGAGGAGCTGCTGCGCTGGACAGGCGTCTCAGAAGAGACATGTGCATGCGATGCCTCTGAGGGCGCCTCAGAAGTAGCATCGGCTTGTGTGGAGACAGTGTGGCTCGGGCCAGACGCATCACGACTGTGTTCCATAGCCAAGCCGCGACGGCGATCACGTTCGTCCCGTTCTTCGCCTGGCAGTGACGGAGATGCGTCCACCATCGAAACATCGCCCGTCTCTTCCGCATGCTCGTCAGGAGCAGGAGCAGGAGCAGGAGCAGGAGCGGGAGCGGGAGCGTCTGCACCAGCCGAAGGTGAGGAAGCCGAGGCCGGAGGCACCGCGGGCGGCATGCGATCGGCCTCGGTGGCCAAGGGCTCGGCTGCTGCATCGGTCGTTGTTGACAGAGTGCTCTTTGTCTCGTCCATAGCCTCCAGACGAGCGTGGAGCCAAGCATGCCAGCGTTGCGTGCGCTGGGCGGTGATTTTCGCACGCGCCTCTTCTTCTTGCTGGCGGCCAGGCATGTCATCGTCTGCCGAGGATGGAGCCGCCGTTCTGTCAGCGACGCGGATCCGGGCAAAGACATCTTCCGTGTCCTGCACGAAAAAGAGCCGGTATGTCTTCATACACACACGGATGTCGAGGTTGTTCTTGACGATGTAGCGCGTCGAGTCGTCGGCATCCGCCACTGCGCGCGAGTCTGGCGAAGCTGGAAGGTTTCGATGTAGGAAAGGTGCACAAATCTTGGTCGGCAGGCCTTCTGTCGGCGACCACAGGCAGTAGCTTGCAATGTACTGGAGCCATCGCTGTTCCTGGTCATGTGGATCGTCGAGCGTATGGTCGTCGTGCGACATGAGCTGGATATGCAGCTCACACGGCATCATGGACGACATATCGGCGACATGTGGTGGCGGCCGAGGCACGGCTTCGATGCGGAACAGGTGTTCGTCGCGTCCGATGGTGTGCTCGGCGGCCATGCGCGAAGCAATGATCCGTCGATACAACTTGACGTCGCGAGCGTCGATGCCTGCATCGGCCCACAGCGCCGCACAGTCGCGGTGCGTCGATGCGAAATTGTCCAAGAGCTCCTGGCACTTGGCGTCGGTGTTGATCGTCAGGGCCGTCTTGATGAGCGCCTGGATCACCTTGTCGATCGTGTACACCACGTAGCCCTCCCGGGTGTACATGTAACGCACGGGCTCTTCAAACGAGCTCTGGTCCAGTTCGTTGCGCAAATGCCGCACGACGAGCTCCAGCAGCACGGCATAGTACTGAGACGGGTGCAATGTCAATACCGCACGGTCCGCGTCACTCAAGGTGTCTGTGTCTTGCGGCAATGGGCGTGCGCCAGGCAGTCGAGAAGCAATTGTGCTGACGAGGCCGGCAGGTCCCGTCGCCGTGTCCATAAGACCCAGGTTCGCCGCCAGTGGGTTCACCTTTGACGACGAAATACTGCGCTGGTCTTGGATATGCACATGCTTGAGTGACGCGAGACGTGTGTACAGGAGGCACAGCAGACGCATAAATACGTACATCGTCGTGTTGCCAAAAAGCTGAGTCGACACGCGCATCTCGCGTGCTGCTGTCGACGGTGCATGGACGAGCCAAGTATCGACGACTGGCGTCTTGCCTGCTTCACCTTCATGGCTGATCGACGATGTCGATGCGTTCTCTGTGTCGGCAGCACGATGCAATTCGCTTTCTGAATGGGCATCTGCATCGCCATGCGAGTCGCCACCATCACCATCACCATCGCCATCGCCATCGCCATCGCCATCGCCATCGCCATTGCCATTGCCCTCGCCATTGCCATTGCCATTGCCATCACTATCGCCATCGCCGTCGGCATCGTCGTCGCCGTGTGCGTTGTTGTCGGCATCGCCATCGTCGTCTGCATCGCCGGCACCATCGTCGTCGCCATCACCCTCACGCCGTGATCGAGCACGCTTCGGTGTCACGAGCGCCAGGAGCGAACGCCGCTCCATACCCAACATGCGTGAAAGCATCGCTTTGAACACCTGGCGCACACGCGCGCGATCATGCGGCTGGAACGGTGCCGAGGGCCGGTCCAAGTAGTGGGCCACCAAGCGCAGGACATCGGCCAGGACATGCGGATCGTTCATCGCAAACGACAGCTGGTATCGTGGCGCAAGGCGCGGGAGACTTGGATCCAGCGTAAGCCGTCGCTGCTGCTGTGTAGCGACCAGCGACTCGATCTCGTTGACGAGCGCCTTGGTCGTGATGGTCTTCTTGTCGGTGCTCTTAAAGTTGACGCCCTGGTGGTCCAGTGCCTTGTAAAAGTTGCGCGCATCGACTTCGCGCCACACCTTGTTCCACTCGCGCTGCGCACGTTTCCATTCCTCGTCCTTCTGCTTCAGCCGCGCCAGCACGATAGGCACAGCGACGCACGGGTTGTCGTGGAGCGCAGCGATCACCTCGAGTCCGTGCTGCCGTCCGTACACCTTCTTGATGATGCGTTGGTATATGCTCTTGCTCTGCCCGCCGAGCCCCGGCTTGAGTCGGAACGATGCTCGCTCGTCTGCATCCATCACGGCGATCCGCGCGGCAATGGGCTCCAGCAGGGCTATCGTGCGCAGATTCGCCTCGATGTGGTAGTCGTACTCGTGGCGCTCCTCTTCACTGCGATACAGCGCATCTTCGTACACGTTTTTCTTGTGCGGATTGAACGACTCGCCCTCACTCGCCCATGTGGGATGGCTAACCCAGCCGTCGTTCAGCACCTCCCAGCACAGTGCGTCGCGTCCACTGCACGACAGCTTGACTTCGCCAGCCGGCAGCTTCCGGTACGACGGCCCGCACGACTTCTGCGTCGACAGGTCGAAGCGCTCGCGCTCCAATGCCGGCACATTCTCCAGCACAGGGTCTTCGTTCTCGAGCCATCCGTGCCGACCCATGTGCGTAGCCGACAAGCGTTTTGAATGCGCCCAACAGCTCAGGCCGTCCGTTCAAAAACAGCGCTACACGGTCCACGAGCGTCGGCACATCGATCATGTCCTGTGCATACAGATTCAGCAGCTTCAAAAAGTCCATGTAGGTCGCGCGGTCATCGAGGTGCTTCTTGACTCGCTCAAAGAAAGTCACCTCATCCACCGTCGCTATGGGCGGCGGCGGCATCGGCACAAGATCCCCTCCAGCTGCCATGTGCGGCGGCGGATACGCCTGCGTGCCGTGCATGCCGGCAGCTGGCAGATAGCCTTCTGGCGGCAATGCTTCATACCCAGGAGGCAGCGGCGCTCCTCGCGCATACATGGCATCGCCCATCATCTCGCCTGGGCCTGGGCGAGGTACCGCCTGTAGGTAGGGTGCCCCTGCCTGAGGCAAGCCGGTCCCTGCCGTGCCTGGTGCCCCTCCTGGTGGCGGCGCCCCCGGTCCACCTGGCGTACTCGCGGCGCCATCGCCCTTCTTGCTGCGCTTTCGGCCCGAGCTGCCACTTGTCTTGGGCGCTGACGACGACGACGATGACGACGTCGACGTCGTCGTCGTCGTCGATGCTAGGCCCATGGACTCTGGCCCTGGCGGCATGTCGTCGATGACGCGCTTCTTCCGAGAGAGACTCGGCGCCGGCACCGCCTGTGTCCCTGGATATGGATGGTGCTGATGGTGGTGCGGATGTCGCGCTGGCACTGCGTCGTACGCCATACCAGCACCAGGTGCACTACCTGGGCCTACGGCGGCCGCAGGTCCCATGCCGCCGCCAGCATTGCCGGCACCGCCAGCAGCAGCATTCACTCCTGCAGCGCTCCCAGGGGCCCCATGGGGCGGTGGCGCCTCGCCTGGACCCATCCCATTCGTCATGTGTCCAATCATGCCAAACAGGCCAGCTCCGCCTGGCGCCGCACCTGTGTCAGGAAGAAACTGTTTAAACTCTTCCAGCAAGTCTTTGGCATGGTCAAAGAGCACCGTTACCTGCGCATACACTTCGTGGATAGGTCGTTGCTCCTTCTGGTACGTCTGCAGGATTTCCAGAAACTGCTTGTACGTATCAGGATCGTTGCTGAACCGCTGCTTGATCTTGTTGACGTAGCTAATAGCATGATTGAACTCCACCGGCGGCCGTAGCACTGGCTCCGGCGCGCCTGCCGGTGGACCACGGCCTACGGGCTCATATCCCATTGGCATTGCACCGCCATAGGCACCATGTGGCGGTGGTGGTGGTGGTGGTGGTCCTGGCTGTGGCGGTGGCATCGATGGCGGCATGCCCATAGACCCAGGAGACGTACCTCCTCGCATCGGCATGCCAGGCGCCACTGGTGCAACTGGTGCCGCTGGCGCTGCTGCTGGCCCTGTTGGTGGCGGTCGCGGCAGGCCTTTGACGTTTGGCGGTGGCGCCGGCCCCATTCGCTCCGCATAATCAGAAACCGCACCATAGGGCGAGGGACCACCGGTGCCTGGGCCTCGTGAGGCAGGCACATCATGCAGCGCCAAAGGTGCTCCTGACGCCGTCGTAGGCGCACTTGACGACGGCACAGGAGCGCCCCCCGTCCCTGCGATGGCACCTGCGCCATTCATGGCCATCCCTGGCGCACCAGGCGACGGAACATCGCCTGGTGGAATACGGCTGACTACGCGTGGCACCATACCGCCAAGCGTCTGTGTCGTTGTACCATTCGGCGTGGTGACAGTGATCATGTTACCGTCATTTTGATCCATGCTGCACTCGATACGGTAGCCAGGTGGCAAGAATGTATTGAATCCTTGAATGAGACTAGGTTGTCCGCGGAACAGCATCGATACACGCTCGATGACGCCTGGTGTGTCGATAGCTTGGCTCTTGAACTGCGCATGGTGTAAGTCGTCGATGCTGGCCATTTCTACGCACGTCTTTCATAATATCCAGGAAGCGATTGTACACGTCAGGATGGTCCGTAAATTGGACCTTTACCTGGTCCAGATACGACAGCGCATCGCGCACATTGAGTGTCGCCTAGATTTCCCTGGTCAGTATGACGTGTCTCCTTTTCTTTTTTTTTTTTTTCTCTATGCGTGTATACATACCATGGCTGTTGCTGCTGCGTCTGTGTACCTGATCCAAGCCTCTCACGCAGGTTCTGGAGCGTCTCGTGAGCGGCTGACCGCGCAAGTCCAGACAAATAGACGATCGAGAGTCCGCTCGTCAGGTGTGCGTGTGTGAGAGTGAAAGAGGGAGCCTCGGCGATCCACGCTGCTGACGAAAGCACACACTCGCCGCTCCAAAGTTTTGGCTGGTTATTTGACTGGGCTACTTGATGCCCTCGGCCCCTCGGCCCCTCGGCCCCTCCGCTTCATCACCTATCTGCGTCGGCCCCGCCCCGCTTTTCCTCCACATATGTCCTCGGTCGCTTTTTCTCTCTGTCTCAGACTCTTTCTTGGCTTGCGCGCTCTTACACGTGACCGTACCGGCGCTCCCTCCACCATGCGCTGCGGTTGCCGATTGTCGGCTTGGCGCTTTTCCCTGTCCACTGTCGACGGCGAATGGATCAGCGTTGCTCCTTCCAATTCTCACAGTCTCGCATGCTGGGCGTGCGCGAAAGTACTTCGATACATATCGTCCCCACGCACCCTTCCCTTCTCTCTTTCCTCCAAACTCCAAACTCCAAACTCCTCCCCACTCCCTCCCTGTCTTTCTTCTATCCCATACTTTATCGTCTATCAAAGTCGTGCATAGATACTAGGCGGACTCCGCCAGCGACCAAGCCAGTAGTTGAGTCGGATCACAATTAGGTCGCGGCCCATGCGCATAGAATCGGAAAGGAGGTGGATTTTGCTACCGTCAATCTCAGTCCAGTGCACAGCAACCTCGGAAATGGGCAGCGGCAGACGCAGTAGGGTATCATGCCCGTCTCCACGCTGGGACTCAGGCCGAAGCACGTGCTGTGCTTCACTCACTCGGCACGCCATTTCAGCCAAGAGAAGCAGCTCCACATCAAAGATCCAGCGGTCAATATGGGCGAGTGGAAACAACAGCTGGGCCGTCGCTCGCGAAAATAGCTTGAAGCCGCATTGCGTGTCGAGGATCTCGGGCTGTTGTGGGAGCCTCTGCACCTTGGCTCCTGATGGAACCACGCGCGGCCATATCGTCGCGATGCTGGGTGGCCGCATCAGCACCGACAAAATCACATGAAAGCAGCGCATCAACAAATTCCGTAGAAAGCTCCGCTTCACCACAGCCTCACTCGTCACGAGGTGCGCGCGTGATCCAACCACAATCCCCTGGCCCATCGGCGTCAGTATGCGGCTCATTTCCCGTGCTACTTTCGCCAGGTCTGAAAATCGCGTTGCACCATCTGCATCAGCGAACAAAATAAAGGCTCCCCGTGCATGCATCACTCCGTGCCGCACAGCTGCGCCCTTTCCGCGATTGTAGTGCATACGCGTCAGACGCACTTCCGCACCAGGAGCTAGCGGATGCTCATGTGCATACGTCATGGCCACTTCACACGTTCTGTCCTGCGAACCGTCATCGACTAGCAGCACTTCGTACGTGCGGAGTGGCTGTGTTAACGGCGCTGCCGCCTCTGCGGCCGGCGTGGTTACATAGTTAGGCAACGCTTGCGGCGCTGGCTGTGCTAGCGGCTCACCCGACTTTCGTACACTTTCGAGCCAGGTGAGTGCATCATCCAACATCGACCCGAGTCGCTTCGCCTCATTGTACATGGGCACTACGACGGTGAGCTGGACTGTGGGCTCCTCCGTCAGCCGGGGCAGAGGAGTGGGATCATTCGGCTCCTCTGCCGTGATATACGTGCACTCTGCGGCTGTCATCTGTACCTCTTTCGGCGTGGCAAGTATGAGAGCCACATACATGATCACCGCACCAAGTAGTAGTGCCATACCGACGCTCCATGGCGACAACACGCCTTGGGTGTGTGCGAAGAAAAGCCCCGCAGCAGCAGACAAAAAAGAACCATCGAACGTGGTGCTTCCTGCTGCGGAGCCAATGCAGCAAGCCGCACCCATCGTCAGGAACGATCGTACGTGGCACGCTCTCTAGATTCGCGTCACTTGCTTTGTAAGTTCCACCGTGTCAGCAGGTCGCTCGATTGGTGCCTGTTGGCCTGCCTATCTTGGTCGCGTGCAGGGCATGCCACGCGTCTGCTAGCCTAATCGTAGGGGCCGGGGGGGGGCAAAATGCGGTTAGTCTTGGGCGGTTGCCGGCTATGGCACGTGATACATCCTGTTGGCTGGCCGGCTTTGTCCCCAGACCCAATCGAGCCCTCCACTACCGTTTCCCTCCCTCTCTAGCCTGTGTGTCTTTATGCGCAAACGCCGAGTCTTGAGCGAATCTGGCGTGGCGCGCGCAGAAAGCTATGTGCGGCAGTTTTGGTCACAGTGTGACTTGGCATAGACACACCAAGCTTGTTGGGCATTCATCCGACTTTCCACGCTACTCCAAGTGTGTTTGGTTGGGGGAACCGAACCATTGAAAAAAAAAAATATAGTATAGTCGACTAAAGTGAGGTCCTTGGGCTGTGTTACTATTGTACCTTTCTCCGCACCTTTTGACATTTTTTGATTACTTCTCTTTCACTCATGGTCACTGTCATCCAATATAAGTTTCCACCCGAAGCCTATCAGGTCCTGTTTCTGCTGAGCATGTTCCTCTACGTGGACCAGGCACGACCCAACACAATCGGCGCTCGAATTCGCCAGTTTGTTGGCGGCCCGTCCGTCATGGACAAAATCCGTCAACTTACGATTGGAATCCACGTTATCGAAGCCCTCGTTATGCTCTTTGTCAACGTTCGCCGGGGTGCCTCTTTGAGCGTCACAGTACGTGCACCATGCATGCGATTTCTTTCGTATACGCTAATCTTACATGCAGATCAAGTGGGTTCTGACAACACTCATTTTTGGCGGTCCGTCCTGGGGCACATTCGCGAGTATGTGTAGTACTATTGCGCATCCGAGTTCATGTTTCTTACCCATGTACAGAGATCAACCACGGCATATTCTAGGAGTATCGTCTTCCACAGTTGGTACTACGCTATCTGTCGCTTGCATGGAGGTTGTCTATTTATATTCTCTATTAGCCATCCGTAGTCATTATATGTCTTCACCGTGCTGTTTGAGCCATGTTCCACGAAGTGGGGACTCTGAACCGGACAATATAAATCCCAACTTCGGATTTGATTTCATAAACTAAAAAAACAATTCGACAAGAATGAGATTCGAACTCACGCGGGCAGAACCCAATGGCTTGCCGACTTAAATCGTCGTGCTGATAGCAGGCCACCGCCTTAACCACTCGGCCATCTTGTCAACGCGACACCAACGACCGAAAACAATGCGTACATAATGTTTCTACATGAATGAGTCATCGCTTTCCATCCCAAAGTCATCAGACTCTGCATCTTCCGCAGATCGCTCCTTTGTCTTTTGCGCGGCGCGAATCCGTGCGCGCCGCTCTTTCGCGCGCTGCTCCTCAGCAATGAGTTCTTCAGAAAATACTGTCGTTAGAAGATCTGAAAGGTGCATGCGTGTGCGCTGGACTCACAGCTTGAGTAATCCCTAGCAGCAGCTTGTTCTTTGTGTGTCCGTTTGGCTTCAAGGGTCTCTTTTTGCTATTGGCATGTGTAAGTTGCGTGAAAGACGAGCGTCATACCTGTTTCAGAGCAAATTCTTTCTTCTTGCGCCCGATCGCTCGTTCGCGTTCCTGGCGCTCCGCTTCATAATCAACGAGGCGGTCCTCCTTGGTCTTGTTGAGCCTGTTGACGATTTCGTTTTTGCGCTCTTTCACGTAAAACCGCTTCACTTGCCGGTCATTGTGGAAACAAACAGCACCCACAGCCATATCGCCCGTTTTCTTCCATGAGCACGCCCTCATCGTAATGCACACACACGTACTTTGACATTGCCATGAGGTGTATAAATGATGGTCAGGTTGTTCTTTTTGTTTCCTGTCTTGTAAGACGTACAGAAATAAAAAGACCAGACATGGGCACATACCTTCTATTGAGTTGGCCTTTACCAGTTGAGCGCAGTCCTCAAGCAACGCTTCTGGGATGGATGTCCAAACCATTCCTTCAGGCATACGAAGATACACGTGTGCGGAGGACAACTTCACCATTCATGAGTGCCGAGTAACACTCACCTTGTCGACGTGAAACCAGACATCCTTTTTTTTGAATGAGCCACACAGACTCACCGGCAACTATACGTACCTCTGGAAACCCATGCCGGATCAGATCTTCGTCTATTTGTGTCAGCCGAGTCGTACTTGCTTTCTACTTTATCTCGACCCATGTAGATTGTCACGGGTGGATCATATGCTACACGCGAATGTAAGCTGAATTTATGCGTGTTTCGTACCTGTCGACGTGTAGAAAAACACCATGGCGATGTCAGTTCGACCGTGCGCCTTGCTCGCCTGCTTGGTTCTTTAGCCCTCGCCAGGCACAGTTGACGCTATGGACTTGCCGTGAGGAGCGAGACCAAGGATCCGTTCACGTGATCATACGCGTGTGTTCGGGGGTCTTTCTTGCTGTTGGCAAGTGTTGATCCCACTGTACCTGGCAGTCAAGCTTCGTGCACTTACTTTCACTCGCAGGACACACTTGGTCGGATTGCACCAGGCGCTTCCATGTCTGACAGCGATCGAGCTAAATTAGAATCGCGCATGTCATCCATGTCGATTCATGGAAAAAATGACATGAAAGCAAGGGGTCAAGGAGCGACGGCCTTGGTAAACACGACATGGCTGGCCTCTCAGAATCGCAAGGCTGCGCCACAGCCATTCCAGCCACGTCCATTGAAATCTATTGTTAAAAATGATCCGGCTTCTTCCTATCCACGCGCACCTCTTACTGCAAAACATGCTGCGGCCAATGTGCCGTCGTCGGTGGACAAATCGGTGGGACGAACAACATCCATGTCAAATGTACGTGTGCCGTCGGCCTCTTCCGCACACACATATGGACATTCTGAAACAGGGTCTTCTACTCGTACACCTACTGTCGCGTCCACTGAACCGACAGCCCGATTGGATCTGGGTCGATATGATGGTGGTCTTGAACGTGATGAGAGCAAAGGCCGGCGCGAGACGTCGTCTGAGGCTGACTTGCTTGCTATGGATTCCTCTATGGACGGCTTGCAGCATCAGCCAACGCGTCCGTGGAGTCTCTCGGAATTTGAAATAGGCCGTCCGCTTGGAAAGGGGAAGTTTGGTCGCGTGTATCTGGCGCGTACCAAGACTGTGACATCTGCACGCCTTGGGAACCAGGGCTACGTGGTTGCACTCAAATGTGTATACAAAAAAGAGTTGGTCGAGAATAGGGTTGATCTTCAGCTGCGGCGCGAAATCGAGATCCAGATGAATCTTCGCCACCCCAATGTACTGCGCATGTTTGGCTACTTTCATGATCAAGGCCGCATATTCATGATGCTGGAGTTTGCCGGGCGCGGCGAGCTCTTCAAAATACTTTCGAAGCTACCTGATCGACGCTTCGATGAAAGTACGGGCGCCAAGTATATTGGCAGCAAATCGCTGATGCTCCTTCAGGTTATCTTCACTCGAAGCATGTCATTCATCGAGACATTAAGCCAGAAAACCTGCTTGTCGGTATTCGTGGAGAAGTGAAGATCGCCGACTTTGGCTGGAGTGTGCATGCACCAGGAAATCGACGCGCTACCTTGTGTGGCACACTGGACTATTTACCACCGGAAATGGTCGAGGGCAAACCCCATGGAGGCGCTGTTGACTTGTGGGCGATGGGTGTGTTAACGTACGAATTTCTCGAGGGTGTTCCGCCGTTTGAAGAATTAAGCGGTGCGAGCATGACGTACAAGCGGATTGCTGCCGTGGATCTTCATATGCCAGAGCGGTTCAGCGAGGAGGCGAAGGACCTAGTTCGTTCTTTGCTTAGGTATAATCCCGCTGACCGTCTTCCCCTATCAAAGGTCCTGCGCCATCCGTGGATTTCTCGACATGACCCTACTGCATATGCTAGAGCGAGCCGCTATGTGCGCATGGAACCATAGGCTCCCTGCCTCTCATGAACCAAGCAACGCTATCGTGCCACAGTGTGATGCACAATAGTACAAGGACCTGAGTCTGCATCTCTATGAGGTTGATGTCAACGCCCCTCGTTTGCTCTCATGGTTTCTGTTTGGGTTGAACCCACTGCACCTTATGATATAGGATTTTGTTTATGGATGTACCACATATTTGTCTAGTAACACAAGCAAGGGATTTATCTTGATCGCTCAATTAGAATGCATACATGCATGCACACTCGAAGAGATAGAGAAAAAGAAAGAAACACACAACGGCAAAAAAAAGGTAAAAGAAAAGCTGGGATAGGAACATCTAGTCTGATGAGCTCTTCTTCTTCCCAGGCGTCTTGATAACTGCGTTGCTCCGTTAGCTGTGGTCTTAAACACTTACGTGACTTGTGAATATATGGCAGCACGCCACCTCCGGCAATTGTTGCACGAATAAGTGAATCAAGTTCCTCGTCGCCACGAATGGCCAACTGGAGATGACGTGGCGTGATACGCTTTACTCGCAGATCCTTTGAAGCATTGCCTGCACGTGTCAGTCTACACGCATACATTTCAACTATGCAGTACAAACCAGCCAACTCTAGAACTTCAGCGGTAAGGTATTCAAGGATGGCACTCAGATACACGGCAGCCTTTGCACCGACACGGATGTTGTTTTGCGACTTGTTCTTCAAGTGGCGGTGGATACGTCCCACAGGGAACTAGCGAGAAGAGTGAGTCATGGAATCAAGCTTCCAAATACATACCTGAAGTCCTGCACGCACAGACTGAGAGACTGGTTTTCGCGCTTCTGGCTTTTGACCAGTTGTTGGCCCGGACTTGCCGCCCGTACCAGATGACGACATGGTAGTAAGACGTGCCTGATTGCATGACGCGTTCCACCTGCTATGGGACCAACACGCGCGCGAGATGTACATCTCGGCCGAACTCACCCGCGTTTCCATGCGCGCATTCGCGCTCATGTGCGCGAGCGAGCGAGCGACACGGGGCGTGGCGTAGGTTTCGCTTTATTTTATTTTATATTACTTATTTTTTTTTTTCGCTGTAAGGGCACGAGTCTGTCGGCACAATGACATGACTACTCTCTCAACAGATTCGTACCCAAACAGCTAGCCTTAGTAGACGCGCTTACGTAACATAGCTTCACAACATCGCTCAGACCCATTCTGGCGTTGGCGCATTGTAGTTGCAGTAGTCATTAGCGTGACGCATCGTTGACGAAGCGGGGATCGTTCGAGTCTCGCGCAAATCTCTTTATTATTTGTTGACAGCGAATTCGCATCTAGCAAAAAAAAACTTCAACTGGCTTCGATCGGCGCTTTGCCGTCATGACTCATGCAGCCACGCTGCTTGTTCCCATGGGCGTGCCGCGTGTGCCGCCAAGGATACCATGGCAGCACCGGCATGTGGGTGCAACAGAAAGGGCGCAGCGGAACAATGATGAGAGAGAGAATGCGAGTGAATGTGAAGAAGCGGACGGCTGGTCAGAGACTGATTCCGACGCCGAGGAATCGATCCAAAGCAGCGGCTCTGTTTGGTCGAGTGCTTGGTTCCATGTGTTCCCAGCGAGTGATCGCACAACGGCGTCGCAAGGAGAGGCGCGGTTCGCGGTAGGCGGCAGTGATGGATCTATTTCCATCTTTTCACGTACGGCGTATTCGATGGCGTCTGAATCTGTAAGTGCAACTCTATGCAACTCAATACACCTGAGCGTGAACAGTTCGTCAACGACATCGCCAGCGACATCGCCTTCGACATCGCCTTCGACATCGACATCGTCGGCGAAAGACCAAAATAAGTTGATAACGCGCAAAAAGCACCGACGGAACTTGCAAATGCTTGTTTCTAGTATGTACTCACCCACAACGTCGGCGGCTTCAGGCGCTGAACAATCAAGCATGACCTGCAGTCCGAGTTTCACAAGTCGAGGCGCCGATGGTGCTCAAGGATCGGATGGAAGTACTGCGGGCTCGACGGGGATATACTGTGCACTTCAAAGCCCATTGCATGCGCCACAGAGTGCAACGATCGGCATGACAAAGGCCACGTCTGGACCAGCCCAGCTAGACGAGCGTTCTTTCGGCGGTCAGGCCGAGCATTTGCTGGAGGCACAATACCAATCTACGGACATACCCAAAGTTATCGAGCATCCAGTGCTGGATCATCATCCGCACTATGTGCCCCGCACCCATGAGCCACACCAAGATATGCATCTTTCGAAGCAGGATGCACACCGAACCGTTCCCGATAACCAATCGCGTCCCGCTTTACCACGAGTCGTTAGTGGACACACTTCACCCGAGAGAGAAAGCTCTTCTGATACTTGGGCGCTTCATGATGGCACGTGCAAGTGTGTGTACCGACTCTACTCATCGGATACCTCAGCGATCGTCTCATTGCACGTTGACAACGACCTGCGAACACACCCACTTCTCATCTCGTGCCAGGCATCCGGCCGTATAGTTGTATGGGATGCTACTTTCATGACGCTTATTGGGAGTGCTATGATTCGGTGCACTGAGCACAAGAGTGGTCAGGCTGGTCATAGTGCTGATGACGATCATGAAGATGCCGGTGATGTCGTGTGTGTGCATCTTGAGCATCAGATTTTTGGATCAACTTACAAGACTGTGGCAACTGCAGCATTCTCCATGCCAGCACCGGTCGGATGTATGCGTGTTCAACGTGTTCGAATGACGGCCGACTCTGACGCATCGAGCGCGTACGTCGCACTAAGCTGGCCGCAAGCGAGTCGTGCTTGTATTGTATGGGTCGACATGACACGCGCTATTCTTGTGCCATGTTTATTTGTAAGCTTGCCGGATGATCTGCAGGGGGATTCACCTATTGACTGGGAATTGCATGCTACTGGGATGTCGGTATGGTCGACGCCGCTTGCACCGGCCTCAGCTACGGCTCCTCCTTCACTGACGCCAACACTCGTTTTGGCTTACACAACGTCACACCATATGGTCGCAACGACAAAGTATGTGTGGCAAGATTCACTGGCGCTGCAGTATTTCGATATGCTCTCACATGGTCCCCACGCGCCCAGTGCGCCGCCGTCCTTGCCACCGTCTATGGTCGTTAAGGAGCCTGTGCACCCAATGAGCATGACTGAACTCGGCGCACTGGATCAGAAAGCGTTGCAGCTTGTTCTCCTGCAAGACATTTGTGTAATCACGACGAAATCTTTGGTCTGTTCGATGGACCGGCATGCCCGCTCCGGAGTCGTGGACTCATGCCAATTACCTAGTCGGCCTGAGCGTCTTGTCATTTTGGGCTCCTTACTGGGTGTGGTGTGTGTAGACGATGTGCTTACGCTGCGAATGTCGCCTGCAAGTCTACAACTGAAGGCCACTGAGTCACGGCCGTCTTTGCCTCACGTTGCTACTTTTTTGCCTGAGACAATCCAGCTCATATGTGCCAATACAAATGGGGATGATAAGAACACCCTGGACATGGATCACGAGACCGAATACTTAGCGGGCCATACCCATGGTGATCCGGGGGCGAATGTCACCACTGGCACCAGCTCTGACACAGCCCCATCCACGTACCCAGCCTCTGCCACCCAATCCTCACCCAATCGTTTGCCATGGACGGCCGTATGGCCTCACAGTCTCAGTCGGATTCTTTTGGCTCTATCGTCGGGTGGTATTTCCATAACGACATGGTCCAACTGGCTGAGCCAAGCCGTTCTACAGGACCGCTCTCCCGTGCCACACTCTGCGTCGTTATGGGACGCCGATGTATCTGTATTGCAAAGTGTCACAAATCCCCGTACCGGCACGCGCCATCTTATTGGCGGCTCTGTCTTGGGAGATATTGGCGTTTGGCACGCCGACACGCTCCGTATCGAGGCATCGTGGTCTTGGTTCACATCGTCCGTCCAAGCAGTCGTGCCTCTCCATGGTGTCCAGCCCGTGTCGCGTTTGTTTGGTTGTGTCTTGTGCGTTGCGACCGACGGCACCTGTGCATTACTTGCACTTGACGATGTGCGCCTTGTTCAACTGTTCCCGCCCGCTGATGTGCCCTTGTCTCTTGTGGGCGTGCATGGAAACCGCCTGCTTCTTCAATATGGGCATCATCGTGTGCGTGTGTGGGATGTCGAGACTCAAGACCTTGTTCGGAGTGAGGTCGGCGAGTCGATTCACACACTCTTTCATGGTCCGACCGCGTCTCCCTGGGCATGTACTCGTATTCCAGCCATCGGTCACACACACGTTTCAACCGGCATGCTTACGTCCTGCGGCTGTGCACAAGCCGAGACAGCGGGCATCTTGTTGGCTAATGTCCGACGCGCCGTGGATGTTGTATCCAAGCAGGCTCGTCTGGCACTTCATGTGCCATCTTTAGCCCCGCGTCTTGAGTCCTACACGCGCGCGCTACTGCCCGGTGCCTCAGCTGGTCTTCCGGCAAGCTCGTCCACCGGATCAATGGCCTCTGATGCAATGTCAGACACATGTATTCTTAGCCGCGAAAGTGCAGCCAGAGTGCAGGGTGTCTTGCTGCCACTTACCTCTACGCTCGTCCCTGTGGGCCTTGATCCGATCTTTGATCTGATCACACCGTCGCCGTCCTTTGTCCCTCTAGGTATACCTGGCGCCGTCCAGGCGCATGGCTGCATGAGTATGGCGTGCGATACAGCACCCTATGTGCGCTTTTGCATAAGCCCCGAAGCGACTGCACAGCATCTCCTCTTGAATATGGCTCTTGCGCTCCTGAACCGTGTGTTGGACGCCCGGTCACAGTCGACGATCGATGCTCTTGGATCACCTGCTTTCATGCAACGAGTTGCTGGTCCTGCATTCGTATTCCCTTCTTTGAGCTTCCTTGCTCTGTTCATTCTCGATGAGAACGAAGTGCTGCGCACGTCGGCCAAGATCTTGTTCCATGCGTATGCTGCCGCTGCACCAGCTCGCGTACTGTCACGCTTGGAACAAAGTTGGTCTATGCATCTGCCGACATCTGCGCGACGTCCGACGCCTCTCACATCACATGCCGTTCTTCTTCTTGGCCTGCTTTGTGCCGAGCGGTATGCTTACTTTTCCCCTGCTCTACTGAAGCATGTAGCGAACATGGTGCTTCACTTTCTCGCGAAACCAGAGCGTGGCACTCTACAGGCGTATATCGCACTGGAACTTTGTTCGGGATGCCATGTATGGCAACATTACATCGATACCGTGGACATGGTCCGTCGCGTGTTCGCGATCGCCACACTTACTGAGCCAGAAGAGGAATCGTCGGCGACGAATTCAACGACGTCTGCATCTACCTCTGCGTCGACGTCGCACGTCCGTCTGATGGGGCTCACGCTGCGCGGACTTGCGCGTCGTGTGACACTTGAACTCGCCGAGAAGCACAGTACACTTTTCATGAGTACGCTCGCGATGGACATTTTGCATGCGCCATCTGTCGTACAAAGCCAAGTGACATTGCGACTCGTGGCCTTTATCATTCATCAAAAACCTCTTGTCCTATATCCAAGTCTTCCACGTCTCGTCGAAGCCGTCGTCAAGTCACTCGATCCTACGCATGCAATGGTGCGTTCGAGTCTCGCAAAGTCGGCGACTCTCATGATCAACGAACTTGTGCAGACGTATCCGACCATCGCCTTCCACGGCGGCACACAGCGCCTTGCTGTCGGTACACACGATGGGCCTGTCGTCCTGTACGACCTGAAGACAGGCACCCGGTTGTATGTTCTTGATGGCCATAAGTGTGCGGTCACAGCGTGTTCCTTTTCTCCTGATGGCCGCCGCTTCTTGTCCATGAGTCTCGCAGAGGAGCTTGTGCTCATCTGGCAGCTGCATGCCGGCGTGCTCGACATGTTCCGCCGCCCATCACGCTTCGGTGCGCGCCATGAACCTTCGTCAGACTGTCGTTCCATTCAGATCCATCTCGGCCCTGCGGCTCAGTTGTCACAGGCCGATACTCTGCGTCAGGTAAAATTCGAATGGCGCGACTCGCGAAGCGTGCGCTTGTGTGTCGGTCAGGCGCACGTGAACGTGGGGGTCGTGTAGACTATATCATAATACGGAACTATCAAGCATTTTCTCTTGGTCAAGCAGTGCGCACGGATTTGGGTCTATGGCACCGACGAACAATGCACCATAGAGAGACGAGAGCCGGCTCTGTTGATGAGAACGGGGAATTGGCGGCCTGTATACCTAAGTAACAGTAATGAGATATGATCATTCGAAACCCGTAATACGTCGGGCACGGCACATCGGGCTGCACATCCCGATTCAATGCATACTGATGCGGATGGTTTCCGAATACACCCATAGATACGCAGCCTTGCAGGCATGGGCCCGTGCCACACACATGCATACACCGGTTCAAACGATTGCACATGGCAGACAAACCAACAGAGCGTTTGGTCAATTCCTGCTTGCGTGCGTGCACAGCCGAGCCGGTTCCTGGCACACTAAGCCTGTCCTGGCAGCCAAAGCTGGACTCGCCGCAACCGGGTTGGTTGAATACGTGCGTGCGTGCGCGCATGCGAGTGTGAAATCCACTTAAAGGCGGAGACATCGACACATCCGTGACAATATAGGACGTAATCCTACCTCGACACACCGACACATCGACTTACACCGACTTACATCGACGAAGACGAACGCCTTTGTCGGTTCTCACATCACACACGTTGCATTTGTCCTGCCTGCCTGCTCGCCATGTCGCTCTCCCAGCTTCAGGTGTTCCATGCTGGCCTCCCTGTGCCTCCAGAATACAATCCTATTCGCATCCTCTTGAAGCACACGCCTCGCCTGTTGGAAGTGTTCCCCCAGCTTCGCTTGTCTGAGAATGTGTTCACGCGTGTGCTGGGTCCAGTGGGTGCTCGTGTGTACGAATATCCGATGCCAGATATCAGCTTCGAGGACATAGCGGATGAAGGCACACGTCTCATCTTCGACACCTTCGTGTTGTCATTCATCGTCATTTTCCTATACCGATCGACACTCTCCCTATCGCCCATGACGCACCGTTTCTTTACGTTTATCCTGTCATCGATCATTATGATGTGGCCCTTCTTTATGATCCCCGGCAAGGCTCTCTCTGTCAGCTACATTCGTGCTGCCATTGCTTTCCGTTTCTCGCTTCTCACGTGGGACATGTTTGAGATTCGTTCGCGTGAGGAAGTGCAAAAGTGGACGTTCCCCATCACGTACTCACACCTGACTCTCTTGCCTGTTGAAAAGGCCGACCTTGATGAGTTCAAACGCGTCAAGGGATATCCACGCAACCAACGTCTCGCAAGCCTTAAGAAAGTTCCCAGTGCCGCCTTGTCCCTGGTCGTTTCCCAGCTCCTTCTGCCTTTCTTCACGCCACGACAAATGCTTGAGCAGCAATCGTGGCCGTCCTATCTCATTAATGTGTTCATCCAGGGATTTGCTCTCTACTTCGCTCTCGCCTCTGGTGGTAATCTGGCGACGAGCCTGCTCGGTGTTGTCCTTGGTGTCGAGCAGCTTCCCATGTTCGAAAACCCATTCTTCACGACGAATATTCGTACGTTCTGGTCTCGCTGGAATCGTGCGATCGCCTCGGTCCTGCATCGGATCGTCTTCGGTGGAAAGAACACCAACATTCGTCACGCCTCGCACTCGACGACGAACGAGAAGGGCAAGCAGAAAGATGGATCGGTTGGTGCTGCGAAACAGCACCCCAGACCCGATGCGCGATTCTTCCAAAAGTCCCTGCAGGCAGTTCTGACGTTCTTCGTCTCGGGCATGCTACACGAATACCTGTTGTACTTCGGCTCACCAGGCTTATACGGTTGGCAGACCCTCTTCTTCATCCTGAATGGTCTGATGACCGTCGTGTCTACGTACTGTCGCAAGTTCCATCCGGACCTGGTAGCTCGTACGCCTGTCTTCGTCCGCTGGCTGCTGATGATGATTTTCTTCGAGTTTGTCTGCATTTTGTTCTTCATTCCGTTCCAGAGGACGAACATGCTCGCGGAGATGCAGATGGTCGGGCAGGGCATGCTCTTCCCGCGCTACGCACAGCCCCGCCGCGCCACATATGTCTACTTCCTGGACAACTAATAGATCATGAGAATAGCTATCCGTACGAACGCACAACTCTATTGCCCGCATATGTTGTTGTTTCGCATGGTGTGGGAATCACGCGTTCTTCCATTTCTCCATGTACGCCTCGGAACACGTTCCGTCAGCCGACACCACCATCACGTCCACACTTTCTGTGCTTTCGCATCTGTTTTGTTCTATTGCACACCCTCTATTACATAGGCACACTCGGCGGCATGGACGGCATGGCCATTGGGTCCACAGGCTCAACACCACTTTCAATCGATACACCAAGTCCAACCTTCGCTCCGCCGCTAAGATGATCCAGCTCGCCGCTGAATGTGAATGCAAAGGCAGGCGAAATACGCGCCTCATACACAGACGTCAGCTTACCAAGACTGTCGATCTGCGCACGCAGCGACGACATGCGGAACGAGTAACGCGCCGAAAGTGATGCTTGTGCATCGCGGCGCTGCGGCAGCATAATCATCTGGAGATCACTAGCCACATCAACTTGCTCGCTCAGCTGATGCCAGTATGTGAGCTGACCGACACCCTGGGGCTGCCATTGGGCTGTCGCGATCCACTCCTTCGCCGGACCGACCCACTTCGCCATGTAGCCGATGCTTGCTTCTTCAATTTCAGGACTTGGGTGCTGGTACACGGCCTCAGCTCCCAAAGCAAAGCGAGGCGTTAATGTCTGTAGGTAGTTACCCACGTAGATACCCGTCATGTTCGTCGGCGACGGGTTCAATGCCTTGAAGTTGATGCTGTAGTCAGAGCCTTGGAAGTCGTGCTCCAGCTGCACAAAGCTCTGCCCCCCTGCAGGCGCTAGCTGCGCCTGGATCTTCGAGATATGGCCTGGCAGCCACTGGCGGTTCAAACGCATCGTTACATTTCCAGCGTCATCAAGACCCGCTTGGTAGAAGCGGTTCTCGTCACCGTACACAGCACCAAAGTTGTACGCATTCTTTCCTGCTGCACCGAGCGTGAATGCATGCGTCACTTGGAAGATCGGGTTCATGTTGAGCGCCTTCGTCAGGTCTGCCCGAGCACCCTCGAACTGGAAGTTCGTGGTCTGCACCATCTTGACTTCATTCTGCATCTTTTCTACAGTGCCGAGATTAGGGAGAGCGAGTGAACGTCGGATTTCACGCATCTTACTGAAAGTATCCGCCACGGGTCGCACAAGCGGATCCATCATCGTGAAGAAGTTCGAGAGCGTCTTCTCAGCGGAAGGCTTTTCAACCACCACATTTACCTGCGGCGTCGGCACCACTGGCACTTCTGCGACGGGTGTGGCCATCGTTAAGGCAGTTTGGATTCCTCGTCGAGCTGTGTCTCGTCGTCGTTGACAAGGCGCACTCTGTGTCCGACTCACGAGGTTCTGCAGTCCACGCCCTGTCTATCATCAGCCCTGCGTGCCCGGAACGAAGAAACGATCACGTGAACATCATTCGCGTGGCGAGGCGTCGTTGAGTCGCTGTCTCCTTTTTTTCCCCTCCATTGTGCAGAAACGCAGGGAACTTGAATTTGACTGGCTGACTAACTGGAGGGCTGACACAAGTCACGGATTCCATCGTCACACTATCCATCGCCAATACCATTGCCCCCCGTTGCTGGTATTTTTTTTTTGTTTTTGGTTCGGGTGTCTCACCTCCGTAGTAGCGTGTGCCAATTCTTCGTTCCTTGTAGATGGGTGTGGATGAGGACGCGTCAGCTGCGCCTTTGCGTCGTGGCTCGCGCATAAAACGTCCAGCCACGCGCTATATACCAGATTCCATGCCAGATTCCACCGCACATGCCGTGTCTCGTAAACGTGGGCATCGCGGCTCACAGGGTCATGATGCAGCGAAACGGACGCGCGCATCGAAATCTGTGAACAACGAAGCAGAAGCAGAAGGAGTAAAGGAAGAAGGTGGAGAGGTTGGTGACAACGACGAAGACGAAGACGATGATGAGGACAATAGCGTGTATTGTATATGCCGTCAGGGCAACGATGGATCACCAATGATATGTTGTAGCCACTGTGGCGAATGGTATCATTTCAGATGCGTGGGATTATCAAAACGTGCTGCAGACCAAATCCAGGAATACGTGTGCGATGAATGTAACAAGGCAGAACAAGCACCTCAGAAGCAAGCGGAACAAGACCCCGAGTATCAACACCCGGAGAATGAAAAAGGAGAAGAGGACGAACATTACAACCATCGTTCTATGGATGCAGACGCTAGGATTGAACTAGCTGGTGACGATGCCGTTGATCCTCAACCATCTAGCGATGGGGTTGATGATGACGCTTCTGATCAAGGCACAGCAACACATTCACGAGCTGGTTCGCATAAGTATCGGAGATCTACCTCTAGTTCAACAAAAAATGCTGCGCGGACGACCGTGTCGGGTCAAGATCCTGTTCGCAAGCACGTTCTCACGACTTTTACATCGATATTTGAACCGCTTTTCTCCGCAAAAAATGCAGAGCCAACCAAACCACATGAGTACGCATCACAGTTAGAGGCCGAGTTGTTTCGTGTATATGGCCAAGACCCTGCGCTACGGGCGTACAAGGAAAAGTTCCGGTCCCTTTTATTCAATGTGAAAGATCATCGGAACACATCTCTGCATGAGCGCATCACCTCAGGCAATCTGCCCGCTGCTGATATTGTTCATATGTCTAACGAGGCTCTTGCTAATGATACTATTCGCGAAGCTACAGAGAAAGCTAAGCGGGACGCTTTGCATCAAGCCGTGCTCCGTGACCAAGCAAATGGTCCTGCGCGGAAAATCACGCACAAGGGCGAAGTCGATATCGAGAGAGATGCTTCGATGTCGTTTGCTCCAGGTGACATGGGTTTATCTACCTCGACCACCATTCACACAGGGCCAGAGCCATCTACGTCCTCTACGAATGAACACGTGACCTTATCAGCGCCAGGATCTGCTAGTGTGGCAAGTGACACTTCAGGCTCGAACGACTCGTTCGAGAAGCCGAACGTCGCTGCATCAACACATAGATCTGATCAGTCCGATCAGCGCGTCCCTATATCGCCGTCACGTACGCCGTCACAGGATGGTACTGACGTTTTGGTCCCACCAGAGCCTATCTCGTTTTCTGGTGTCTGGGATACGTCTCAGAGGCAGCAGCATACTGAAACGTCGACCAATTCGAACTACGACATTGAGCCTACGAACTTTGCTGCAGCTGATGGCAGCTCTGAGTTCGGTCTCGAGGCAGATGCCCAGGCTGATACTTGCATTGATTCTTTCTTAGATCACGAACAACCCGAGGCTGCTTCTGAAGCACATACGCCTCCTGGTACGCCGCCACCGGATGCATTTGTTGTTCGTGCATCTCAGGCTGCAAGTAAGAGTCCTATTGACCATTGCCCGGTGGTTTGGGACGGTGTTATCACCATGCCTGAGTACACGTCTGCTTATGTACATGCGCGACAACTGACTGAACCTACCTTCGCCGTAGATGCACCTGCATGGCAGGACTTTTTCCCCACGCAGGAACGCGTTGTTGAAGGTCGTCTTCCAAGCCAGACGGCCATCGACTATCTGTTGCAAGTTCGTCTGTCACCTCGCAATACGATGGTCGTGCTATTAGTTGACGCTGGCGGCGCCACAGCTGCGTCAGAACGTCATACGTCCACAGTCTCAACACTGCATGGCTCGCCAGCACTCGATAAGCTTGTACACTACTTTGCTGATAAACAGCGATTTGGTGTCCTGACGCCTGCCCCCGGTGCTCAGGGCTCTCTTGTCAAGGACTTTTACATCGCGCCGCTTCTCTCTCATATGCCTGTGCCGGAATGGCTCAAGCAGATACATCCTGAGGGTCTCGGTAAAGCTTGGGATGCTCAACGTCCTGCAAATGTACTCCTTGTCGTGCTCGTGCTGTTCAAATCAGCATTGGAAGGCCGCACGAAGGTCGTAGACACGCCCAGCGCTCCGCCACATCCTCGATCAATCGAACAATCCGTCCAGCCTGTTTCCCTTGACGCTCTCCTCAACGTTAAGCCTGATGCCATACAGAATTTGTTGTCCACACTCAGTGGTAGTGCATCTCCCGGTACGACTGCCGTTCCACCAGTTGTACCTGCCATGCCAGGTGTTCCTCTTGGTGCTCCGTCTCCGCTAACGCCACCAGGTCCAGCACCAATTTCATCTCCACCAGGACCAGTTTCTGGCGCACCTCCATTAGCACGGCCTATGCGGCCATGGGGTGGTGTTGTGCGGGATCAGACGCCATCGAGCCATGGCTATGTTACGCCAATCCAGCCAGGCCTTCTTCCTGTAGGGGGCACAGCGGTGCCTCCTCCTATGGACATGGGTTTTCGACCTTTCCCTGTTGGTCCTGGTGGCTGGTATGGTGGCAATGTCGATCGGACGAAAGACAAATCGCGCCGTCGTGGTGGCGACCGAGGAGGAGGAGGTAGTGTCAGCAGTGGCTCAAGACGCGGCGGCGCTCGTCGGTAGATGCGAGGCTCATGTATATACAAAATACTATGTTTTACTGTAGAGTAGGTGATAGAAAGAGAGAGGAGAGGGAGAGGGAGAGAGAGAACAATGACCTGCTTTTCGCAATTCATGTCATGTTCCCTTCCCGACCCTCGTGGCCTATTGTGTTACGACCAGCTTTCCTCTTAAGATCTTGGCACAGATTTTCGCAGCTTATGAGCACAACATTCGAAAGTAGGGCACAGATGCCACTTTGCAACAAGACCCTGCGGTGCGTTCTCGAGACTTACAGTAGGGGTGGTGTTACTTGCATTGGTCCTTGTTGCGTAAGCTAATGTAAAAATGAATGACACCTTAGCGCAAGCTCCACGTTCCCTTCAGCACTGCCAACCGGCGTAATTCTCAATTTCCCACCCCACCTTCTCCAGCACCCAAGCGGCTGACGACATCGTCATCTGGCATGGCGACTGTGCTGCGACCTGCATTGCGGTACTCACCATTACCGCTGCCAGATGCTGTGCAGGCAGATCAGGGAGGCGATGCTGGATTGGACTATGTCGCTGCTCTCCTCCAGACTATAGTTCAAGCCACACGCGTCCCTGTGGCATCGTCATTCAGCGAGCAAGCGACGGGGTCTTTAGGAGGCAAACCAAATGAGCAACTCCATCTTGTGCATTTGCCCATTGAAGGCTCATCTCATGCGAAAGTAGCCGAGATTCAGAAGCTTGTTGATAAACTAGCTCGTCGTCTGTGGGCTGAAGAAGATACACATGCCGTCGATAAGCGCGCAGGACCCACTTTTCCTATGCGCGGGATCCCTGAGCCAGTATCTCGTCTTACTGCTGAGCGTGTGGATCCTGTGCTGCGCAGTCCTCATATTGCACCGATCCTCGCAGCTGTAGCACCTACGGGCATGGATCCTAATGAAATGCTCGATTATGCATCGGCAGAAAGCGGTCTCAGCGCTGCAGAAGAACTTCATCTCTTACGCGCACAAGTGCGCGATATTGCGCGTGTATGCAAAGCTGTCGCTCTTGGCGACTTGACACAGCACATTATGGTGCCTGTTCAAGGCCCTGTCATGGTGGAATTGAAAGACATCATTAATCAAATGGTTGACCGACTCGGCAACTTTGCGAGCGAGGTGACGCGTGTTTCGCTGGAAGTGGGTACGCAAGGCAAACTCGGTGGTCAAGCGTATGTTCCTGGCGTCGAGGGCACGTGGAAAGAACTGAAGGACGTTGTGAACCGTCTCGCTGAGAACTTAACGAATCAGGTCCGCGGTGTGGCACTTGTAACTAAGGCTGTCGCTCGCGGAGATTTGTCAAAGAAAATAGATGTACAGGCGGGTGGCGAGATCCTCGAGCTGAAAGTCACAATCAACGTCATGGTTGACCAGCTTCGCCATTTTGCGAATGAAGTGACACGTGTGTCGCGTGAAGTCGGCTCACAAGGCCAGCTGGGTGGCCAGGCGAATGTACCAGGTGTCAAGGGTGTGTGGAAAGAGCTCACCGATAACGTCAACCGCATGTGTTTGAATCTCACTGAGCAAGTGCGGTCGATAGGTATGGTCACCACCGCTGTTGCGCGAGGCGATCTCACGAAAACGATTGAGATTGTTGCCGAAGGTGAAATGGCTCAGCTTAAGGATACGGTTAACAGCATGGTGGCACAACTGCGTGTATTTGCCAGCGAAGTCGTGCGCATGTCGCTTGAGGTCGGGACGTATGGCCGGCTTGGTGGCCAGGCGCATGTCCCGAATGTCGAAGGCATTTGGAAAGACCTGACGATGAGTGTGAATAAAATGGCTGACAACCTCACGTCACAGGTGAGAGAAATTGCGCGTGTCACGAAATGTGTCGCAGAGGGCGTGTTGACGGAGTTCATTACCGTCGACGTCAAGGGAGAGATTCTCGAGCTTAAGGACACTGTAAATAACATGGTGCGGCAGCTGCGGACGCTCTCGGATGAAATCATCCGCGTATCGGTCGAGGTCGGTACCGAGGGTCGCCTCGGTGGCCAGGCAAATGTCGAAGACGTCAAGGGTCAGTGGCAAGTGCTGACGGAGCGTGTCAATATGATGGCATCGAATTTGACGACGCAAGTTCGCTCTATTGCCACAGTCAACACAGCTGTAGCTCGCGGCGACTTATCAAAAACTATCAACGTCGAGGTGCGTGGTGAGTTCCTTGATCTCAAGCACACGGTCAACAACATGGTCGAAAGTCTGCGCACGTTTTCGACAGAAGTCACACGTGTCGCTACGGAAGTTGGCACAGAAGGCAAATTGGGTGGACGTGCAAACGTGCTGGGTGTCGATGGCACGTGGAAAGACCTGACAAACTCAGTCAACACGATGGCAGCGAATCTGACGTTGCAGGTTCGCACAATTGCTCATGCCACGACTGCTGTTGCTCGTGGCGACCTGACGCAGAAAGTGACGATTTCCGTGAGTGGCGAGATCCTCGATCTCGTCAACACCATCAACAATATGATTGATCAGCTGTCGTTCTTTGCTTCAGAAGTCACACGAGTCGCCCGCGAAGTAGGCACAGAAGGCAAGCTCGGTGTCCAAGCACAGAAAAAGGACATTGAAGGCACGTGGGGCGAAATCACCGACAACGTCAACATCATGGCCAACAACCTCACGTCCCAAGTGCGTGCATTTGCGCAGATCACCGCCGCAGCGACAGATGGCGACTTTTCTCGATTCGTTACCGTAGAAGCGAGCGGTGAGATGGACTCCCTCAAAACAAAAATCAACCAGATGGTCTACAGTCTGCGAGACAGCATCCAGAAAAATACAGCAGCTCGTGAAGCTGCCGAGCTAGCAAACCGGTCCAAGTCGGAGTTCCTCGCGAACATGTCGCACGAAATCCGCACGCCAATGAATGGGATTATTGGCATGACGTCCCTCACGCTCGAGACAGAGTTGTCGCGCACGCAACGCGAAAATTTGGTCACTGTATCAACGCTCGCTAGCAACTTGCTTGCTATCATTGATGACATCCTGGACATTTCAAAGATTGAGGCCGGCCGCATGAACATTGAAGAGATTCCCTTCAGTTTACGCGGCATCGTATTCAGCGTTCTCAAGACTCTCAGTGTGCGAGCCGCTCAGAAGAAGCTCAACCTTGTGTACGAAGTTGCGCCAAACGTGCCTGATCCACTCATTGGTGACGCTTTGCGTCTCAAGCAGATCATCACCAATCTCATTGGCAATGCCGTCAAATTTACTGAGAGCGGCGGCATTGTTGCACTGCGTTGCAAGCTCAATAGTGCGCCAGGTGCACCCGAGACTGTGCTAGAGTTTTGCGCGTCGGATTCAGGAATCGGCATCAAACAGGATAAACTTGACATGATCTTTGACACGTTTTGCCAGGCGGACGGCTCGACGACGCGCAAGTATGGAGGAACTGGTCTCGGTCTCTCAATTTCTCGTCGGCTTGTGAATCTGATGGGTGGTGATATGTGGGTCCGCAGCCACTTTGGCAAGGGCTCCGACTTTTTCTTTACGATGGTAGTGAAGTGCGACAAGTTCACTCCCGAGCAGCTAACCGAACGAATGCGGCCCTACAAGGGTCGTCGCGTCCTCTTTTTGGATACGCTGCATGATCAAACTGGCGTTACAGACATGCTTGTTCTCTTGGGCCTAACGCCGATCGTACTTCACTCGATTCGCGAAGCGTTGGACCAAAGTTCGTCGTTTTCCCGCATCGATGCCATCGTCACAGACTCTCTCGTTGTTGTCGCTCAGTTGCGCAATGTTGAGCAGCTTCGCTACATTCCTATTAATTTGGTGACGCCGTCTGTGTTGTCGCTGAATCTTACGTATTGTCTCGATTATGGAATTTCATCTTACATCAATACGCCGCTTGGCCTAGAGGATCTATACTATGCGCTGCTTCCGTCCCTGGAAAGCAGTGCAGCTGCGCCAAGTGAAGGTGGCAACAACTCCAGCTACCACATTTTGTTGGCTGAGGACAACTTAGTCAACCAGAAACTAGCTTGCAAGATCCTTCAGAACCAGGGCCATAAGGTCGATGTGGTCGACAATGGTGAACAGGCTGTTCAAGCGACAGAGCAATGCAAGTACGATGTCATTCTGATGGACGTGAGCATGCCCGTGATGGGTGGAATCGAGGCGACAATGGCGATCCGCGACCGTGAAGATTCTCAGAACTTGGAGCACATTCCCATCGTCGCATTGACAGCGCACGCGATGCTAGGCGACAAGGAAAAGTGTCTACAAGCAGGCATGAATGCCTATGTGAGCAAGCCGATTCGACGTGTGGAACTGGTCTCGACACTCAATCAAATCCTCAGTCAAAAGTCTGAGCCGCCCAGTAACGATAGTGGCGAACAAAACAACAACGCCACCAATTTGTTGAGTCATCCCCATGACGCTCCGTCAGAAGAGAATTTTGACAAGAATCCAAGCGCTCATACAGACACTGTATAAACGGAGGAAAGTTATCTCGATGATACCATTACATGCACACAATGAGAGCTTTTAGCCTTCGCCATGTTCTTTCCACTTTGACTTTGATCCATGCCATATTACGTTGTTTCCTGGCATCGCCGATCCTCCTTCGCTTCCTTGCCCTTTTGTGTAATCTCTATTTCTTGCCGTACTTAGCAAAATCTAGCCAATGAAGTATCAAAAAGGTTTATGGACTCCTAGAGCTTAGAACTGCTTGGGGGTACTGTGCCTCTTTTCAGTACTCTCCGAGCCAACAGGGGGCATCTTCTGGCTTTATAGCAGGCGAATTTTCTTCGGGCTCAATACTGAGTGAACTCATTTCGTTCGAGACCTTCGCATCTTCGCCATCTGTAGAAATGCCACGTTGGTTCAATAGCGATCGTAAACGCACGACTTCTTCACTAAGCGAGTGGAGCGCAAGATCTCGCCGCTCGATCCTACGTTGAAGTCGTACCAAGTATTCATTTGAGTGTCGAAGAAGAAGCACTTTGGCCACAATTCGATTCGCATCGCGACATTGATCAGGCGACGCAAACCCACTAGCACTTGTAGGCTCTGCCTCGTTCTCAGCTTTGGATGAGTCCTCGAGTTCGAGCCCTTCTGCGATACGATCTTCTTTTGTGCCATCTGCGCCGAGTACCGAGCCTCCTGGTACGTTGTCGTCAATTGTGATTGCAGGCAAAAGCGCACGAAGCTCGTCGAAGCAGTGCTTGAGAGAATCGCGACGTTTCTGCTCAGCAGCCTTGTGTGACGAGCGGCGCTGTTCCAGTCCCCCCTGCTCCAAATGTCGGAAACCGAGCCATGTCGAGCGATCCTCAGAGGACAGGCCACTAGGCAGAATAAACTTTGGCTGTGATGATGAATTGGGGTACATCAAGCTCGCATGAGGGCGGGCTGCATTTATAAGAGCAGACGCTGTGACAGCATGAACAGCATTTTGGTTCGGATAGGTATGTAAACTCGAGAAGTCAGATGGTTGCTGATAGGTACGCAAGGGTTGTGACATGTGTTGCTGGGCATGCGATGGATGCGATGGAGTTTGTACATGCGAGGGCTCCGCCTTTCGCTGAGCCTTAGATGATTCGGGCGCATACACAAGACCCATAAGGGATCCCGGTGTCGCTGGTTGTGACGAATGCTGAGTTTGATCACTGTTTTGCGCAAGCTCGATTGGCGAGGGGCTCTTCGTTGAGAGGTTGTGAATAGAAGCATTCGACTCCCCACTAGCAAATTTCGTGGATCTCAAGCTCGGGCTCAACTCACCAGAGGGCGGCCGATTAGGTGCTGAAACTCCACCGCGCTTATTGATCGCTAAAGTCGCTGGGGACAAGGCGGGTGATGGCATCGACAAACTAGAGGCTTCCTGCATCGTGTTCGACAAAGATTCCAATGCGCCAAGCGATGGCGATGCATGTTGGTTCTGGTCACGCTTTCGGCCTTGCCACGCAGAAGAACTACCACTGGCTGATCCCTTAGGACTTTGGATAGGTTTCATAAGTGGCGAAGGTCGAACGCGATTGATCTTTGTATCTGTTGCACGACTTCTTCGCAGCGCTGGTCGCTCAGCTTGCACCGCAGGCGGGGAAGTAAAAGGAGCGGACAAGCTATTTGGTACTGTGCCGTAGTCTTTCGGAAAAGAGCCTGCATCACCCCTTACCCCGTTATTTTGAGCGGGAAGCATAGTTATATTCGCATTGGAAGTATGACCAGGCTGCAACTGAAGGAACTCAGGCGGTAACTGAAAGTTATCCGCGTCTTTCAAACCGTAGATAGGATTTTGGGACCCTTGAGGCTGAAGCATAGGCGAATTCAAGGGAGAAAGGAAATCATTCGTGCTTGCCGAGCTGATTTTAGAGAATACGCTGGCTGGTGTGATTGAAGATGACTCCAGAGGAGGACATGGTTTTTGCTGCGCGTTAGTGGTTGAAAGGGAAGGCACGTTCCGGCGGACGCACCTTCGATACGTACTGAAATAGAGGACATGGGTGTCATACTTTGCGAATCCTGGGGCGAATTGTCAAGTGAAACATCTGTGCGTGGGAGAAAGGCATTGCCTGTCATATGAGGGAGTTTTCCAGGCATAGAAAACGGCATGTCCAGTGCGGGCGGCATATCAGCTGTCATACTTCGTTGGTCATTCTGATTCGGAACCGCTGCATACGCATGCATCGACAAATGATCTGAAGATGCTGCGCTATTAGGCCTTTGAAACCCGGTCATACGTTCGTGGAACATGTGTTCAACTTGCTGGGTATGAAGCCCGTCGATAGGCAATTGGTCAGGTGATACCACATTCTGAGAGTGACTTGTTTCGTCATTCAGCATTTGCATAGCGTGGTTCGCTCGATTATGCACGTCAGAAGGAAACATCAAGGGATCCGAATGGTCATGCAGAGCTACGTCGGGGTGCATGACCGACTTAGTCGTTGGATAGAACGACGCTAGGTCTTCTAATGGGTAATCAGAGTGAAAGTCGAAGGCCTCCATGATAAGAGAAACCCGTTATTCCTTTCAGAGCTAAAAAGAACATGCAAAATGATTTTGTACTGTTCTTCGAACTACCGTGATGGCGATCACGATGCGCTTGAAGCTGACGCTTCTGTCTGTTGTCAGATATGCCTCAATCGACGACAACAATTGCTACGGTGTAGAGTGAGTGCAAAAATGAAAAACGAATTGGTCTGACTAATCCTAACGAGATTCCCCCCGTCGTTACAACAAGTCGCACCTAATTAGGGCTAAGCGCAGTTAGATTATGTCATGTGTTCAGACGGACGTACCATGCACCGGCCCAGTGACCCGGCTCGTGGCACTTGAAACAGGTGTCTTGATTAAATGATGATTCCGGTGTGCCACTGTCCATGCGCCGATAAGGCCTCGATCTTGTGTTTCTAGCGGGGGCTTTTGGCGCTGCTCCACCAGACATTGATACATCTCGGTCATCCTCAGCCCAAAGAAAGAAACGACATCTTTTCCGTCAGCAATTGTTTTCTTTCACTCGCAGGACCGTTAAAACGTACCTCGCGCGTTTGCTCTCCTTCGGACAAGTGTAGAATAAACGCCCCGCATTCGGGCCCTGTTGTAATTAGACACTTCGTCAGTAAACATACCTTCTGTGCTCGGCAGCACTTGGCAATCAAGTCACAATTGCACATTGTATGTTGACCATTGGTTTTTGCGCGTTTCGCGCGAGGCTCACGATCAGCTGAGCGTTTAGTCGCCTCCTGCAGAATTCGCGAGGCTTGACCCTCGTTCGTATGCGGCGAGGTTGGCGTCATCGCACACCATCGAAAGAACCCACAGTCATGACCTCTGAGGTCGCGGTTGCCACATGCCCAATACTCTCTTCCCGAACGATGCTCCGTACATGTCGTGCATGCAGCGCTGCAATGGCATGTTGGAGTACTACTTTCTGTTTGGGCACTCTCGTTCGGAAAAGGAGACGCACAATAAGCCTCTGCCTGTCGCTGCTCCCGTCGTGCGTGTTGCCATCGTGGCCCTTGTACTTCGTCTTGCGGTAAAGTTCGAAAGTAGGTGCATACAGCATCGCGAATTTGTTCAAAATCTCTCTCCACAATGTCATAGATTCGTTTATACTCTGTCAGATTCTCACTCACTGTCTCTTGCTTCGTTCGCTGTGCTGTCGCAATAAGTCCCAACTGAGTTTCTGTATCGTGCCGGAGTTTCGGCTTACAGAGCTGCAGACTCGTTTCGAGGCGCTCGTATCCCTCGACGAGTCCCATACCCAATGTCGATGGCACCAAGTACTTGGTCTTTCCTTGTTTGGTGATAACAACGTACTGACGGTCGATAACTTTTTTGATGTGTTCAGCAATCGTGGCATCTGTGCCAATCCCATGTTTATCCATTAGATGAACAAGATCCGCCTCCGTAAGCAAGTTAGGAGGGCTGGTACTCCCGCTTTTGACACTGATGGAACTCGGACGAAATCGCTGGCGCTCCTGGTACTCAGGCACAAATTTGCTCGTCCATTTCTCATACGGAAAAATTGTTAGGAATCCAAGCGTCTTGACGAGTAAACCTGACGTATGGAACGACTCGCCACCCATCTCAATAAATATTTTGGTCTCCTCCCCCATGGCATCGGTGGTGCAACTGGCGAGGAACCTTCGTGTCACATAATCATACACTTGTTTCTCATCGGCTTTGAGATCATTTGCATGTGCCGTTGGATGAATAGGTGGGTGAGCCTTGTCATTTTTCTGTCCATCCCGCGGTCGTTCATATTGTAATGAATGCAAGGAATCTGACCCGTTTCCAGTAGCCGATGCGAATATCTCCGTAGCATGCGCCCCCCAAATACAATCGCTTCGCTGCTTGTCTAGCAGGCTGACGAAGTCAAAGTCTTTATCATATTGGTTTGTCTCAGTGCGTGGATATGATAAAAGACCGCGCTGATAGAGAGATTCAGCCACGTCGAGGATTCTCTTCGGCGCCATGCCAGAAAGCCGAGATAAATTTTTTTGTAGCTCAACTGTCGTTAGGGGCGTTGGCTTCCGTTTCCAAGTTGTTCTCCGCACGACCTGCTTAACTTCAGCTTCTTCTGCATCCTTGCAACGTTTATGCAGAATGTGGACAATTCTTTTATCAAACAAATGATTTCTGTCCCATAGAAATTCGACATTCGTTCTCCTGTCTTGCCCTTGTTGGGAAACAGCGTGCCTAAGGTCAATGGACCAGAATTCCTCAGGTACAAATGTCTCGACTCGCTTGTAATGATCCACCACAAATCCGAGCGTCGGAAATTGACAGGGTCCATAACTCAACAGCATGCTATCCAACTTTAGTAGTGGACCCAATCTCATGGTTTGTAAGCGCGTAAAAGCTGCACCCGCCCGAAGATCGACCTCCTGCCGCGCGTCAACTGCATCCACAGCGTGAAGGTCTAAGTCTACCAGGTTCATACATGCATGGTGGATTTGGCTAGCACGTTAGAGTTGGCGTGAAAGAATGCAACGTACTCAGCAATTACGGCACTGAAGCGTGCACGCTTCACTATAAGGCGCCTTTGTGCCTTTTGACAATGTTGCGCGATTTCAAAGCCAATTGCCTCTCCTTCACGATCACAGTCGGTCCATATTATGAGCATATCCGTGCTTCGAGCTTCGATAGTGAGATTTCGTGCAATGCTTTCGGATTCCTGCATTTTGTCAGCGCATTATCTAGACGTGCCTTGGCCGTACGCTTGAGTAAAGGAGCCGTGAATAAGGCGGACGGACTGCATTTGCTCCAGCGAAAATCATCTGGAAACTCTAGCTCTGTCATGTGTCCACGCACTGACGTGAAAGTCATTTCAACATTGACTGTGGATGACGTAGTAGCGTTTGAAGGAACGAAGCGGGAAGGAATTCGATACAAAAAATCAAAATTTCGACAGTACTTGTCTTTCCCTGGACGCTAGCCTGTGTCAATGAGCAAATATTCAAGCTTACATTCGTATACGAGCCATGAGACAGAATCTGTGTGATGGATTTTGCCATAGATGCTTTTATGTAAGTCGTCTTCCTCAGTCCTCTTTCTGACCTACGCTTCTCCGCTACACACAATACTCGCATCGTCGCCTAGAATTTTAGTTTCATGACTCAATGATTCATGCCCGTCTGGCCCCGCCAGTCAAAGTTGTATAAGAACAAGCGTCGATGTACAGACATTTTGCACTCTCAGGTACGCAATTTTGAAGACGCGTCGCACTTCTACGTTCGATTACATAAGAATCTGCCGCATGTTACCACGCCCAAATATGCATGGAGGCATCGTAGAAGGAGCAGCTGTAAATGAAGTGGTCATTGGGAGCAGCACGCTCCCAATCGCAGCCGTATGCAATACTATTGTGACCATCAAAACGAGTCACTACCTCCATAGGTTCTTCGGTGATACTTGCTTCATTTGAAAGACCTGCACAATCCAAGACAACCAGGCCACCGTGCATGCATGCAAGAAGCAATTTCTGAGGCAACGTCGGGTGCCATTTAGCCCGCCATATACCACCACCAACGTGTGTCTCATTTACAGGGTATCGCATTTGACGTGCATCGTATAGCCTTAACTTCTCATCGTAACTGCCAACAGCCCAGTAATGCTGTCGTAGTGGGTGACTTTGGATTGATGTGACACCACCATCGAATCTTTTTGTTAAATCGGACGATTGTCTTACATACCCTCTCTTACATGTGAAAATAGGTGCACGCTCTTGCTCATAACAGGGAGTACGAATGTCCCAACCTTTGAGTGCCAAATCATCACCACCTGCGGATGAAAATGAGTGAAAATTCAGGCATCTGCGTACCACTCCAAGCCACAACACCGTCAGTCCAACAATCCCAGGCAGCAATCCACGCCTCGAAATCATGTGCACGCCATGTCTCTAAGCCATGTGGAACAGTTCCAGTAGCACCCAAACTAGGGACCGTGCAGACCGTTCCATTGCTCTGGCTAACTATAAGCCGAGCATCGTTTGACGATGCACGCATGCGATCAGACCAATCAAGACTCAGGCAAAGTGCTGCTTCCTCGTTCATGCGCCATTGCTTACGAGGAGAAAAGTGTAGGGATGAATTTGGCCCTTTCAAGTAGAGCAAGTGAATGTATCCGGTCGCATCAGCGATGCCAAGTATCCCATATCCATTTTCTTCTTGCTCGGCCGCTGACGCGAGACACCATTTTGTGTCAAGAATTGCTGAGCCATCCCACGTATCAAGGACCGAACTCTCATGAGCGTATCAGTAAAACGTACCAATGCAAGCCATTTTGGTCGCTCCATGCACGTTGGAGACGGCATCGACCACGTCGGGAATAAGAAGGACTCGATGACACCTGCGCTTCTTCTTTGTTCTGTTCTATCTGGTAAGTTGATTCAGCAAATACATTGGCGAGATAGGGATGAGACTCGATCGAATCCGCACACAGCTCTGTAGATTGATTGTAAAGGCTTTGAGCTGGAATTAGTACGAGTGTTCAAAGGACATTGTCGCAGTACCTTGATGCATAAGACCTAAACAGCCTAATGATCCGCGAGGCCAAAATTATGACAATAGGGGTGGTTCGCTCTGGCTTTTTCGAGTTCTTGTCTTATCTCCACATTGACGTGCGCAAATTCTCTGAAGAGGTCCGTGCGACAATTTCACACGTCTGGCAGACTTCATTGATGAGGCCGCGATCGAACATGACGCATGAAGTTTGTCGTCGTCAAATGGTGACTCTCTAATGTGTATTTCGAGAGAAGAAGCATTAGAACGAATTGAAAAATTCGTACAAGATTTTCTTCATGGAGTAAGATCCGTGCCAAAACAGCATGAGTGCTACAAAGTCGCAGTGGGCGCACCGAGGGCTCGGAATCCACACAAGTCTAATCAAGTGCGCTGGGAATTTCCTCCCAGCCGGCCAGAACGCATGATGCAATGGGGTATGTTCATGAAGCGTACATATCATTAAATTTTTTCTTCTAATTGCAGTGCAATTCTTTTGTGTGCTTCGTCACATTCATGACGCGCTATTGACACATACCATCATTACGAAACGGTAAGTATTGAAAAGACGTGGGACTCTGAAACAAGCTTAGCGATATATTTTACCGAGATCCAAACCTGTTTCAAACGCAGTGCAAAGTAGATTCCATGATCGTTCGCATCTGCATGACACTAGCATGTTCTCGAGCATCGCTTAATATAAGCGCATCACCACGAAGTGTGGTGTTAGGACCTGTCCATTTCCTAGTTAATGATCAAATGATCCGCTCTCATCGAACTTCTGTAAGGGAAAAATCTCTAGAGCAGCTTATTCCTGATCCATCAATGTTGCGCGGCGTATGCACACACGCAAACTGGGTGCTCGTAGTCGAAAAGCACGCCGTATTCCAAACACTATGCTCACAACGCTTTCTTGAAAGGGTGCAGAACCATGGGATTATTTGCCCCGGCCTCATTATGACGGTACGCCAAATATGCACTGACCATTTCAGGGTAAAGGTTATCCGGATTATGCGGCTCGGTGGTTTTTGGCTCAGCTCGTCCAGACATGCATGTACGTTCGCCATTAGCCTACTTCTGACTACAACAAATTGTAATAGATGCAAACTGTTTTTTCTCGTGGACGCAGGTTCGTTGGATCAGTGAGTGGGCACTTACCAAAGTTAGACCCTCATGGAATCGACATCATACGGTGCGTACAGGCTCGGATGAACTTATGGTCAGCACGTATTTAGATGCGCTTCCCAGTCCAATGCCCGCGTACTTGCACACTCACTGCCTCGGTCTTCACATGCGCCAGTGGATACAGTGGATTCCCAAGGCACAGCTCCAGCAGCTTAGTCGTACGGACCGGCACAAGGCCATTCACATGCTCCGAGACGTGCGCCTGCCAGTCATGCTCAAGACAGAATTGGCAGCACAACTCCATGCCGGATACAAGTGCGAATTGGAAGTGTTATGTGACAAACATGATGGATCTGCTATGGGAATCAACGCATGGAATGGACATCTGGTTGAGTTTGTTTGCGGTGCGATGCGTCCTTTCATAGTTTGAGCGAATTCGAAGGACGATGATAGACGAAGTACACGGCCGTGCCTATGGTCGTGCCAAGAATAGCGCCTGCAAGGACATCTGTTGGGTGATGTCGATAGTCCATGAGACGACTAATAGAAATACAGGCAGCAAGCATAACTGGCATGAGTGGTATGATCAGGCTGGTAAGACTGAGTGAAAGAGGCGGCTCGGAGTGGACACGATCAGCCGGAAGGCCTTCCTCCATATGCCGTGCCTCGTCAAGCGGCGCCGCTTCTTCGCGAGAATCGGAAAGACACGCTGAATTTTGTATTATAGTCGTGCCGCATCCATGTAAAAACCAAGCCAAGAAGACAAGTCCGGCAAAGGACATGCTTGAGTGCCCGCTAGGAAAGCTTTTAAACCCATCAGCGAGTGTACGAGCATGAATGGATGTCGAGCAGACAGTGTAATCAACAAGCGAGCTCTTGTAATGAGTTGTAGGATGGGATGCCACAAAACCATGTTTTGGCTGACAGCGATCAAGAAAGTCTGGGCGCGGCCGACCCACCAAATTCTTGCCCAATTCCGTAAGACACCCCGTAATAGCAATAGTCATACCAAGACCCAGCCAGGCTTTGTTCAGACAGGCCCAACGCCGTTTCATACACAAAGAGAGACCTGAAACCAAAAGAAACGGAAGAAGCACAGAGAAATATGCTAACAGAGTGTCTGGGACACGCTGTTGGCTTGAGTGCGGATGCTGAAGAGATGCGTCGTTCAAGCTGAACTGCTGATGGAACCCATCCGTCCTATGATGAAGTACGCCACGGAAAATAACCATCAAAACAAAACAAGCGATCCAATCCAGTGCCCAGCGAGCTCTGCTGCTGTGGCATAATTCAGCCCAAGTGAAACGCTGGCTTAGCATAGCCGTAGACATGGTTGCTTGGAGTCAGCAGGTTATGGGCTACTTGGATGGAGGTTGTGTCAGCCAAGCAATTCCAAAGAAAAATGTTCGAACCCAAAGAGTTTGCCAGACCCCACACATGAACCTCTAAGCCCAAAGGGACACGAGACTGCTTGTAGGGCGTAATTCGTATGTACTTGGTTACAACGTTCATCTGACCTCGTGCATAAATCCAATCTATTGACAACCAGACACACTTCGTCGAATGCATCAACACGTGAAAACTGCAGAATCTTTAAAGACATGAGCACAGAATAGGTGGGACCCACTGGCGGGGGAAATTGTTTCAAGACATAGACTGGGTTGAAGTTGATGAAACTGACTCAGTGTCTTCATCCTGTGACTCATCGCCATCCTGGCTGATTCGTTCCATTTGAGCAAGCCATAGCTCATGGTAAAGGCCGTGATGACTTAGAAGAGACTCGTGCGTTCCACGTTCAATGACATGACCATGATCGAGTACTATGATATGGTCAGAATCTTCCACCGTGCGCAGGCGATGTGCAATAAATACCGACGTGCGGTGCATTGTCTGCAAAAGCGTGTTGATGTTACGCATTAGCTCCGTCTCCGTATGAGAGTCTAAAGCGGAGGTGGCCTCGTCGAAGAACATGATGCGCGGATTTTTGAGCAGCATGCGCGCAATGGCTAGACGCTGTTTCTCACCTCCGGAAATCATGAGTCCCCGCTCACCAACAATTGTATCGAAACCTCTTGGCAACTGTGCAACGGCTTTATCGACACGAGCAAGTACGGCCGCACGCCGCACTTCATCATCAGTTGCTGAGAGTTTGCCGTACTTTATATTGTCCCAAATACTTGAATTAAACAACGCTGTGTCTTGAGGCACAACGCCAATAGCATGGCGCACACTGTCCAGGGTATGTTGGCTGATATCTTGGCCATCAATGTAAATTTTGCCACTCTGAGGCTCGAAAAAGCGGAACAACAAGCGGAAAATTGTCGATTTCCCACAGCCTGAAGGACCGACCAATGCTGTCTTTTGGCCAGCAGGAATTGTAAAACTACAGTTCGAGAGAATGGGTCGGTCCGGATGATAGCCAAATGTCACATTCTCGAAACGGATTTCCCCACGAGTCGGTGCAAGCGATGGTGCATTCGGTGCATCTTGGATCAAACGCTGCTGTTTCTGCAGGTTGAACATTGTTTCCATATCCACAAGACTCTGACGAAGCTCGCGATATACAGATCCCAAGAAGTTTAGAGGCAAAGACAGCTGAAACACCAGCTGGTTGACCATAACCAAGTCACCGACAGTCATGGTTCCTTTCACAATGCCCTGTGCCGCAAGGAGCATCATAATCGTCAAACTTGCCGAAAAGATAGCATTTTGTCCTGAATTCAGCGCGGCCAAGCTCGTTGAGACACGAACACTGGCTTTTTCATAATCTTGCAGCGCTTTGTCGTATTTTTTGATTTCATATTGTTCATTGTTGAAGTATTTGACTGACTCATAATTCAGTAGTGAGTCTAGCGACGTGGTCGCACCACGCTGATCCGCCATGTTGGCATCGCGACGGAAATGCGTCCGCCAGCTGGTCGTGCGGATAGTAAACCATGCATAAGCCAACATAGTTAGACCCGCGACACTCGCAAATGAAGGTCCGCATCTGACCCCCAGAATACCACAGACAAGTGAGATTTCCAGCGCTGTCGGTACAATATGAAACACAATAGACGAGAGCAAAAACGAGATTCCTTTTGTGCCGCGATCTATTGCCCGCGTCAAGCCTCCTGTTTGACGTCCAAGATGCCAGCTGAGATCGAGAGAAAGCAGATGTGTGAAGACATTTCTCGCAATTTTTCGAATCGATCGTTGTGCCACGTTCGCAAACACAGCATTTCGTAGCTCGGAAAAGCCGTAGGCGCCGATCCGAGCCGCACCGTATCCTAAGATTGAGGCCCCGGCAACGACCCACACCGTGTTGGGGTTAGCCAAATCAAGAGACTGCGAGGAAAGTTCATTCATCCGATCTACAACGGTCTTGAAAAAGAACGGCACTTGGACATTCAGCAACTTGCCGGCTAGCAAGAGAGAAAGGGCTAACAAGACACGCGATTTCGTGCCAATGTCATTTTTTGGCCACACATACGCGAGAAGCGTCGAGATGATCTCCCAATTTGAGCTTCTTTTTTGAGTTGCTACAGGCTGAGATCCATCGGCAGGTGGGCTGGGTTGTGTTGGCGGTGTAGAAGGTGGTGGCCCATGACTATGCCAACGACGCGGCACTTGCAAGCGCACAGGCAAAGGCGACTGCACCGCACATGGAGTTCTAGACACTTGAACATATGATGTCCATAACGAGCATCTCTGGCTGTGGATTGTGCGCAGACCAACGAAGCCTCGTGGTGCGCGCAACAACATAATTGTGGCTGCGGACATCGCTCTTGTCCTGTTCAAACACATATGTTACGCCGACGACACTCGCATCGTGCAAGTCACGTGGCAGGCATGCTTATTTCGCCCTTCCCCACGCCTGATGAATGTAGCTAAAGGGAGCAAGACTCGCATTCAAGTCCTCTAGAACCACGGGACAGACAAATGTCTATAGACCCAGTATCGCTCTAACGTCAATGGAAGATACATGATGACCAACGAGGAATGACTCACCGGGTCTGCGCGTCCGCCGCTACATTCGTGGGTAAGACAAACGCCTTAATGTTTATATGACAATGCTAATACTACAAGAAAAGATTCGTAATAAACGTCACGCACAGAGAATCAAAGGCATACAATGTACGTGTGCATGGAAGAACTATTCGGAAGACTTCGGTGGCAGCGAATCGCTAGAAGTCATCTCGGATGAAGGAGGAACGGCGCTGCGGCGAACGCTAGCTGAAGTACGACCACGAGCAGTTCCATCACGTGCCGATGTGCCGCTTCGGTTTCGCTTCTTGATCACATCAGTTTTCAAAGAAAGTGGACGCATCACGCCATGAAGGCGATGGAATAAACCACAAGCGTTGCACAGCACATTTCCATCGGGATCTCGACGCCATAGAGGCGTCATGGACGTGTGGCAATTGAAGCATCTGGTTGTGGACGTTGGCGAAGAGGCGCTGCCAAGGTTTTCTGCAGACAGGGTTGCATGTAGCTGCGACTGCTGGTGATGCTGTTGCTGCTGTTGCTGTTCCATGCATTCATTGGGAGACTTGGGCTGAGGCTGTTCAGGTGAGGACATCGGAACATGCCTCGTCAGATTAGTGTTTAGAGCAGTGCATGGCACGCTGAAGTACGAGTCAGGAACTTGATGGCCCGCTTGCATCGGCGAGTACTGGTTTTGCATAGGCCCGGGAAAAGATGAAGATGGGTCCACAACCGATAAAGGATGAAATACAGAGGTGAAAAATGTGCCGTTAGGATTTGTCTGATCAAAAAGCACAGACTGCTGCGAATGGATTGGCGGCCTTTGTATTGTCTGGGAGAAAATTCTTTCGGAGGGCATTGATGAAGAATCCATGTCAGTGAGCGTCTGACTTGATAGCATGCCACTGGCACTATTTCCCCCCAATGATCCACTGGCAGGTGTGCGCTGCGCAAGCAACTGTGTCGGATCGACATGCAAAAGCGAAGGAGACACTGCCGGATTTGAGGTGGCACTTGGAGTGCTTGGCGAGCTTGCTGGCGTAGAAGATGTTGCTCCTGCAAATCCTGAAAAAGAGGCATTCAAAAAGTTGCTTTGCAGGTTTGGGGTGGAAGGGTGTACAGATGCAGGCATGGACGTAGGTGCGAATGATGCGGGGGCAATCGAATCGGTCTGTAAGCGAGGATTTATTTGCATCATAGGCGGTAGATTCTCGTTTGTAACAGAAGCGGACCTCGTTGGCAACGAACTCAACGATGAGGAAGGCATGTCCGTATGGTTGGTATTAGACTCTGCTCCTGGAGGGGGCATGAAAAAGTCAAATGAAACGGAAGGCATGTACTGCATGAGACCATGCGAGTACGAATGAGGCATTTCGCGAGATAGACCTGAAGCAACACGTTGGTCTCCAGTTTTGGGCATGCTCATGCCAAATGGCATGGGAGATCCGCCTCTCACACGTTTGCGAGACTGAACTTGTTCAGCGTCATTCGACTTGTCCGCCAGCTGAGACACCCGATTACGAGGACCGCGAGACTCACTGCGTTCGCGGACCTTGTGATCGAACGAGGTCTTTCGCACGAGACGAGGAAGAAATCCATATTCAGGATGTTGATTTGCTTTATGTCCGACATAATCGTCAATGCCAGGTACACTGTCGAGCATCGATTTGTTGGACAAAAATCCATCGTCCCGGTCTTGATTAAGGTGAAGAGAGTTGATGCGCTTGCCGCTCATTTCCATGACAACATGAGCATGGTGCTCCAGATCAGACACTGCGCGCCATGCATTGGGTTCTGACTGGTCAAAAAGGTTTTTATAAGCCGCCATTGTGAATTCGTTAAGTAATCGCTTCTTTGCAAGTTCTTTGTCTGACTCGGAAAAGACTGCGCTCGACTCTTCAGAAGACCGAGAAACAGTCATGTCTTGCTTCGGCAGAGTCAAGGATGGCTGTGTCGCGGAGACGGAGTGTAACGGAGACATGTTTTCGACGCCCGAAATGGGTCGTGGCGGTAGCAAGTTCGCAGGTAAAAGCAAGTCTGACCCCGTCGAACCAGCCATGTCAAGGATATCATTTGTGACTTCATTAAAAAGCAGCTCGGGGTCACGTAGACCTAGGTCAAGCATCATGTCTTGTTGGGATCCAAGACCAAATGGGTCCCCATTCATCAACGGCGAGTCGGCAGGGTGTCTCTCCCGAGAGCACTGGCGCCGAGAACTAGAACGCTCAAGGTCCATCATGCTCAATGAACGTGAGCGTGAGCGTTGAAAGAAACGAGAGTTCTCATTCGTTGGCTTCACATCAAAAGGCATCGCGCTCACCCCTATCGTGCGCACCGTCTTGTTGCGCCCGCGTTGCACGTCGACCCCTGATTCACGCTCTTCAGAGCAAGAAGGCGCAGCATGCAGAGAGGAAGAGGGCAAGACTGATGTCGGCGAGTCTGTCTTTTTAGCTGTGTCTGTAGCTGGAGAAACAGCAGACGAACTGGGAGTGGTGGCAACAAAGCCCGCATTCGCGGTATTCTTGGATGAAAGCGAGGAGTCTAGCGAGTTAGCGACAGACTCATGTTGCTCACGCTGACGGCGTAGAGTGAGAGACATGAGCCGCCACGTAAGATTCTCCATTCGTGCAGCGTTGGGAAGTTGGTCGCGTTGTTTGGCGTACATCCGCCAAACCTGCGTGGCAAGAGGATCCTTTTCAGCCAAGACCACCGGATCCATCTCTTCTTTTGACGGAGCATGATGCTCTGGGAAGCCAGGATCATGCATGGTGCAACAACACAAGATGCTTGGTACCTCTCCCCTCAATACTGCGTATTTGCAATCAGCGACTGGAAGGCGTCATGTCGACCGGACGTGTAACGAGGCCTTCAGAAAATTAGGCGGCGGCGCCACCCACACTTAGGCCTGTCTGCCCACGCCAAGCGCACGGTGTGACCTAGATGGCTTCGCCAATCACAGCGCGGCAGCTTCTCGGATCTAGACTCTTTCCGGGCCTGCGCGTCCCCTCCTATTTTAGGGGCATATCACGTGAGTCAGACATGCTGCGGGAGGATGCGCGCAAGACTGTCTACAATGACTTGAGACGCAGATCGCAACGCACGGATCGCCATGGGATTGACATTTTCCTCACTGTATGAGTCTCTGTTCTGGTGGAGACGCCAGGCACCCATGCGCATTCTCATGCTGGGTCTCGATAGTGCAGGCAAAACGACCATCCTGTACAGACTCCAGCTGGGGGAAGTTATTTCCACCATACCGAGTACGTGAAAGCGTGTGAGCCGCGAAGCACTCACACACATCTCGAAAGCGATTGGATTCAACGTCGAGACAGTTGAGTACAAAAATATCCAGCTTCAAGTGTGGGACTTGGGCGGTCAGTCGAGCATTCGCCCGTATTGGCGATGCTATTACGCTGACACATCGGCTATTATCTATGTTGTAGATGCATCTGACCAAGAGCGTCTGCCGACTGCGCGTGCAGAACTCTTAGCTATGTTGGCAGAAGAAGAGCTTGCTAAATGCAAGCTGCTTGTATTTGCGAATAAGCAGGACCTGCCGAATGCTTTGGACGAAGTCCAGATTGGTAAAGCAATTGGCTTGGACGAACTACGCGACCGGCAGTGGAGTATTTGGCGCTGCTGTGCCAAGGATGGTACCGGCTTACAAGAAGGCCTGGATTGGTACGTGGCTGCTTGAGCGATATGCGCTTTATTTGTTTGTTTTACGTGCAACTCACCAACACGACACAAACTCAGGCTTGTTGACGCACTGCGTGCGAACCCGTAATGACTGACCCTTTTTTTTCATGGCCATGCATTTATGAAACAACTATGATGAGAAAACACAAAGAGTATAGAGAGAGAGGGGAGGGGAAGACCAGTTGGATCGACTATGTGATTTTCATCATCATCGAAACCATATTTAGTCCACGACAATGTACCGCGGTTTGCCTGTCCTCCTCTTGCTTCCCCCACCACTAGAAGTAGTCTTGGCAGGAGGACCGACCTTCGCAGCAGCAGTATCAGGTGCTGCCGATCTTGATGTTGTTGATGTTGTGCTAGACGGTGGTCCACCTTCAGTATGTTTGGTTGTTGCATCATTACCGCTGCTTATTTTGGTGTCTGATGCGGGGGCATTGGCCGGCTTCTTAGGCGGGGGCGGCAGCGCTGCAGGGGCGGCAGCGCTGTCAGCGCCGGCTTTTTTGTTGACCCAGCGTTTCAGCTCCTTGTCATAGTAGAAAGATGTCTCTTCTCCTAGATGCGCTCTCACAGCCTTACCCTCCTTCTCATTCTGCTGAGCACTGGAACTTCGCGAGCCAAGCAGACGACCAAGCCATGAATTGCCCGAAGACTTTTCCGCTGGCTTCGCCTTTGGTTCTGGTTCTTTGGGAGGCTCCTTCGCTTGTGACTCTGCGTGGTTTTTATCGGAAGCCGTCGTCTTTTTATGACTGGTGTTACCGAAACCGAGATCATCGTCCTCGTCAGGCTCTTTATCCTGAGCTGCAGAGGCCGTTGCAGAGGGCGGTGGTGGTGCCTTGGAGGCTGTTGCTGATGGAACGATGGGCTCTAAAGCGGGCATTGGCATTGTCGACAGGAGCCCGTCCTGACCGACAGCAGATTCCACCCGATGGAAGACCGGAGGCGCAGCAGGCGTAATCTCCTGGTCATTCTCATTTCTATCCGCCTGTGGCGATGTTTCTGCCTTGGCATCAGCGTCGTTATCAGCTTCAGCCTGAGGCTCTTGGTCAGGGACATCAGGGGACGCATTGTCTTGGGCAGTGAAGGTCGTGTCTTGGTCCTCACATGGATCAGCGCCTGTCTCACCTTTATCTGCATCAGGGTCACCAGAGGGCTCCATGCTGTCTGATTCTTCCACTTGGTTTTCGTCATAAGCGGCCTCGGGGTAGTTGCCTTCCGTATACTCGCCCTGAACAACGCCCTCGGCGTAATCGCCATGGCAGTCACCCTCGACGTACTCGCCCCCTGCATAATCTCCCTCGGCATAGTTGCCGTGGTAGTCACCTTCGGTGTACTCGCCTCCTGCATAATCTCCCTCGGCATAGTCGCCCTGGTAGCCGCCTTCTGCATAATCTCCCTCGGCATAGTCGCCTTGGTAGTTGCCTTCTGCATACTCGCCTCCTGTATAGTCTCCCTCAGCATATTCCCCCTGGTAGTCTTCCTTAGCATAGTCACCTGCGTAGTCGCCTTCAGCGTACTCGCCTCCCGCATAGTTTCCCTCAGCATAATCGGCTTGATAGTCGCCTTCAGCGTACTCGCCTCCCGCATAGTCTCCCTCAGCATAATCGGCTTGATCGTCGCCTTCAGCGTACTCGCCTCCTGCATAGTCTCCCTCAGCATAGTTGCCCCGGTACGGTTCTTCTGCATATTCGCTCGTCACTGGTTCGGACAGTTCTTGCGGCACGTAAGATTCGCCATACGCATCAGCCGAGTAGCTGCCTCCCGTTGGCGTGTCGCCGAGGACGGAAGGCCTTGGAGTCTCAGATGCAATAGAAGCGACTTCTGGCGTAATTGCACTGTAGTGCGTGAATGCACCAACAGCTGACTCCTGGCTTTTGCTCTTCGATTGATCCTGCGCAGCGCTTTCTTCACCAGCAATAAACTTCGTCAACCGCCCCTCGAGAGCGCCCCAGACACCATCCAACGTCGGGCGCTGTAGTTTCTTGCTCCATGACTGTGTCTCGCCATGAACGTGCGTGCCATTGAGTCTGTTCATCAGCTGATGCAGCTCCGTCTGTAGCATCGGCGTCAGCAGAGGAGGCGCGCCTTTGGTCTGAGTCAGGTTGATCAGCGCGTCACAGTACTTCTTGGCACGTGCTGAGTCGCCGAGTTCGTCATACACGGCCGCCATGACTATCTTATAGGGAGCAAGAGCTGGAATACCCACGTACGGCTCGGCGTTTCTTGGGTGCGAAAGTGAGTACGCATATTCAAGTACTTCCGTCATCAGCAACGCATCCATGTCATTCAGCACAGTATGCACAGGCGCACCTGACACAGTGCCCAGCATGAGGAACGGCTTCTCCGGCATCTTGATCCATGCGCGATGCTGATGCGCGAGAAGATAGCAGACATGCGCAGCCTCAGGCAGGCCGGCAGTCATGAGACCATCGCCAATGGCACAGAGCACGGTGGTCTGACTATTAGGCGAGCCGCGGTTCGACAAGAGCGTCGCCACGGCCTGGCGCCATTGTACATGCTGTGCTTCGGGCGAGAGCTGAGAAGGTCCGCGGAATAGTTCGGCAATCTGCTCAGGCGTCTGGTCTGTATATAGGCCATACGCGACCTTGATGCTTGTGTAGTCCTTGCGCAATGCATCGTCGGCATCTGAGTCATCCAGCTCGTGATGCACGAACTCTGACATAACACGATCGCGAGTCTCTTTGTTCAACTGCTGAGAAAGAACCATCGCATGTGCCCACATGCGTTCGCGTAAAGCCAAATCCACGGCTCGTGGCAGGTCGCCTTCCTGCAAGATTGTCTGAAGCTCTTCCAAGAAGCCCTGACGAAGCGTATAGGTCCGGATTGGACGTTTCGTTGCAGATTGCGACGATGCTCGTGAGTACGTCGGCACATTAAAGGCGCCGAAGTCTGTCGCTTCGCTGCGCCCCTGCAACAGATCGGTGACTGTCGGTATTTGTGCCGGGTCGTCAGCTAGCTTGCCATCGTGCTCGAGCAGTAGCACCAGCAGCTTGAGAAGAAGAACCTTGTCCTCTGTACGGCGCCAATCATTTACGTCACTCTGCGGCATGCTGTCGTCCGTAGAGTGGATAACAGACTTGCGCCGCAAGTAGCCGATGCCACTGGCCGATTCACTGATCTGCTCATGCAAGTATCGGATTGTGTCGGCTTTCTTCTGCTTGTGGTTCACACGTGTTCCTTCGAAGAGAGGGCCTGGGAACTTGTGCATGTCGAGAGTCGAGAACGGTCGCGCTCCCACGAGATGTGCAAGCGAGTGAATCTTCACACTCCGTTGCATGTGTGGACTCGAGTAGTCAAACGCATCGCCCTTTGCGACGGCAAGTGGTAAGTAGATCGCCAACTTTCCACCAATCCCAAATGCAGCCAGCGGCACGGATGCTTTGCCCCGGTCTTGCATAGGATCATTTTCCATGACACCTGCGGTGCTTGGTGGCGCAGGAACGTATTCCTGGGAGGCATAGGCATCGTGTGCATACACGTCGTCTTGCACATCCGCATCCTGATCATCGTTCCAACCCCATGCGTCGTCATCCTCAGCACCCACAGCTGCGGCTGCATTTGTATCTGCCTCTGTCTCTTGTTCAAATTCGGCCGAATCGCCCCAGCCCCACGCATTGTCGACGTCCGAGACACTCGGAATCTTGGCATGCGTCTTTGCATCTTGCTCCGAACTCGCTGAAGGAGCGACAGGTGCGGCTGCTGGGAGCTCTCTTGCTGCGATACGTGCACGATCAGCTGGCTTCTCGTGCGTCTTGGCATGAGCTGGGTTGACAGCACCAGGCCTTGATGGCGAGCGCACCGATGACGGCTTGGATGGGGCAGGACCTGATTTGGCCTCTGGCATGCTTGTCAGCTCAGCATTGCGCTGAGCATTTAGACCACGTTGAGTTGAAGGGGGCACTTTTTCAGAAGCGGCATGTGAAGTGATCGACGTCGCCGAATTCGGCTGGGAGGAAGCCGGGCCTGTGGCAGTAGCTTTGAGCGGCTGCAATTCAGATGAGGGGAATAGGCCTGCTTCTTGCGCATTTGCAGCTGAACGACGTTGGCGATGGGATGAACGGATAGTGGCCTTTGGGGGGCCTTGCAATCCTGCTCTTGACGCAGGTGTCTGAGATCGCACATCTGCCTTGGGGGGAGGAGAACCGGTCTTGCGAGTGGGGGGTGCTTGAGATGGAGCGGGTTTGGCTTGCATAGTGTCGGGTGCATTGGACGGCTGTGGCGCATGAACATCCGCTGAATCTGTGACTGTGGCGGTCGAGACATGAGGATCAGCAGTTTCGTTTGTCTCAACAGGAGCCACATCCTGGTATCCCTGCTCAGTTCCAGACGCGTATTCAACAAACACATTTTCGCCTCCTGGGGAATATTCGCCATCAAAATCACCTTCAGGAGCATAGTTGTCTTGGTGGTCACCATCTTGAGCGTATTTTCCTTTAGATGGGTACTCTCTTTCCGCGGCTTTATCACGCTGTGGAGCATAGCCGCTTTCGGGAACATGTTCGTCCTGGTACCCACCTTCAAGTGCGTATGCACCCTCAGTCGGGTACTCGCCCTCTGGTGCGTATTCACTCTGGTATTCGCCTTCAGGTGGATACTCGCCCTCTGGTGCGTATTCACTCTGGTATTCGCCTTCAGGTGGATACTCGCCCTCGGGTGCATATTCGCCTTCAGCTGGGTATTCTCCTTCAGGTGGATACTCACCCTGGTACTCACCCTCAGCTGGATATTCGCCTTCAGGTGCGTACTCGCCCTCCGGCGCATATTCGCCTTCAGCTAGGTATTCTCCTTCCGGCGGATACTCACCCTGGTACTCACCCTCAGCTGGATATTCGCCTTCAGGTGCGTACTCGCCCTCCGGCGCATATTCGCCTTCAGCTGGGTATTCTCCTTCCGGCGGATAATCGCCTTGATACTCACCCTCAGCTGGATACTCGCCTTCAGGTGCGTACTCGCCCTCCGGTGCATATTCGCCTTCAGCTGGGTATTCTCCTTCCGGCGGATAATCGCCTTGATACTCACCCTCAGCTGGGTATTCTCCTTCAGGTGGATAATCACCCTGGTATTCACCCTCAGCTGGATACTCGCCTTCAGGTGCGTACTCACCCTCGGGTGCATATTCTCCTTCAGCTGGGTATTCTCCTTCAGGTGGATACTCACCCTGGTACTCACCCTCAGCTGGGTACTCGCCTTCAGCTAGATACTCGACTTCGGGTGGATACTCGCCCTCGGGTGCATATTCGCTTCAGCTGGGTATTCTCCTTCAGGTGGAAATCACCTTGGTACGCGCCCTCTGCTAGGTACTCGCCATCAGCTGGATACCCTCCTTCGGGTGGGTATTCGCTCTGGTATTCATCTTGAACAAACCCTCCCTCGTACTCCCCTTGTACTGCATAATTACCCTGAAAGGCTGCGTCGGGAACATACTCGTGTTGGCCTGCGTAATCTTGCTCAATTTGCTCGCCATAATAGCCTTGATCATAAGCCTGGTCTTGTTCATAGTTGTAAGCGGGTCCGAGCTGATCACCCATGGATTTGGTAGATGTTGTCGCCCCCGTGTCACCTAGCATATCATTCAGCTCGGTATCATACTGTGATGGGTCCAAGAATTCATCATCCTGCTGCTGGTAGCCGACGTCCCAGCCAAGCGTTGCCCCATCCTGAGCATATTGATCATACTCGTTGTGCTGGGCATGCGAGTCATATGGAGCGCCATCTTGCGCGTATTGACCGTTTTGGTCATATGAATCATAGTTGAAGTCTCCTTCACCGTATTGGCCATAGTATGTATCGTTTCCATCATACTGTGGACCTCCTCCAGCATACGGACTGTTCTGCACACCATACTGGTTAAATAGATGCTGGTCCTGCACATGTGAGTCTGCAGAGTCGATGAGTGCTGGCTCTTGGCGTGTTGTTGCCGCTGGCTGGGCTGCGAGCGAATCAAACGCTGGTTGAGTTGGAGCATCATGAGGCTCCGTTACAGCTTGGTCAGTATCATTTACAGCTTCTCCCTCATAGCTGTACGGATTCCGACTACCCTCGCCATGATAAGGCCATCCATGTGTATCATTGGATTGAAAATGGTCGGTTTCCAGCGACGGGCTCAGATCCCAAGTCTTATTCGCACGACTTGCATCCATTCCCTGTTCACGTTTTGGAACATGATGTCCCTGTCTTTGCTGCTGCAATGGTTTTGAGAAGCGCGTTGGTGGTGGCCGTGTTGCCCGTGGAGCCATATCCGGAGCAGGCTGTGACCCGATACTTCGACCCGTCGGCTGGGACTGCAAGCTCTGACCCGTATTTTGTGCACTCATAGTTTTTTGAGGCCAATGCATGTCATACGATGGGGATGGGCGGCCTGATTGAGTCGGCTGCGTAGGCATACGACCAATTGGCGTGGATTTCGAAGGAGCCTGTTGTCCGGCACGGCCTGCCGGAGGCGGCTGCCCTCCCCTAGCATATCGACCATGTGTAGATGTAGCGACATTCGTGCGAGATTCCCATGGTGGAGATTTCTGCACCGTGCCAAATACATCCGTCGGCGGTTCGGCGAACAGTGACGAAACATTCGACGACGCAGACTCCGTTGTCTGCGGTTGTGACCGCACGGGTTGAGGGACTGCATTCAGCCGCGCAATGTTGCCGCGCTGCTGTGCAGGCTTCATACTCGGGCGATTCTGCAAAGGCGGCATTGCGCCCTGATGGCGTTGTTTGGGTGGCAATGCCATGCTTGTCACCCACTCCAAGCCCAAGCAAGGTTCACAAACGACAGATGGTCTCTGAACACGTGAAGAAACTCACGTCCGATGCGAACGGGTCCGGGGGTATGTGGAATTATTTGTCTTGTCCACATTGAACTGGCTTTCGTGCGTCTCCACCCGCCAGCAAGGCAACTGATTTCGATCATAGATCCCAGACTGCCTCGCCGAGCCCATCCCCTTGGCAAAAGACATACGCGTCTGTGGGCAAAACTACTTACACATCGCAGGTAAAACAGGAATCTTTTGGTCGTCTTACTAAACACTATGGATTTATGATGGGCAGGCACAAAATCCAGAGGTAAAAGCGAAGAGGAATGAAAAGCACGATTGAGCCGCAAAATAGAAAGGAGCAATCAACTCCAGGAGATAAAATACCAAGACATTGAAGGGCGTATATGCATGCGACATGCGCGGTGAGAGTACAAGAATGTAAGAGCCGAACTTAGTAGGCATCTTCATCATCACTCATAAATTCATCCTCCTGCTCATCGTACATAGCAAGATCCTCGAAAGCCACCTTGTAACGCAGAATACCGCCAATGCCACCGAAGCCCTTACAGAACTGCATACCTTCCTGTGAGCGATCAGTGACAAACTCTAGGTTTGTACCAAACTGCTTATAATTTTCAGCAATCCATTCAAGAAGTGGTTGGGGCTCTTCCACTTCTTCCATTTCTGCCCCTGTCGCCTTGTCGATAAATCGAGAGCGGTCTTCTTCTTGTTCTTGCTCTTTATTCAACAAAATGACGTGTTCTCTACCTTCCGAATCGCGAAGCACATGACGCGTGTGCTCGAGGTTCTCCCACACGATCAGTGTCTCGACAGCACCCATCTCGAGGGCACGGAACGTGTCATCTAGACCAAAGCAGTACTTGCCTGACTCAGTAGAAATCTCGTCAAAGTACTTCTGGATAAGCCGCTTCTCCTGCACGAACTTGACATTCGCGAGACTGTCGGCTGCAAGTTCAATTGCTTGGTTGAAACCGTTCTCACCACCATACGACACATCGACAATTTGAATGATCTTTGGTGCAAGCCGGTAGTCGAGCAGGTCTGATTGACTCAGCTCATTCTTAAAGTCGGCAGAACCAGCCAGAACTAGACCCGTTACATTACACTTAGTATCCGTAATGAAGTGTTGCGCCGCATATTCAGCAACCTTTCGGACGTAGTTGTGACGAGCTTCTTCACGCAAACGCGAGAAACGTAGGGCAGACTGACCACCACGACCATGTTTTTTGGGCAGATCAACAGAGAACTTGTGCAAGACTGTGCGAGTGTTACCCGAAACAGACCCGAAGAGAGTGCCATTACCGTCCATGATGATGAACCCAAAGCGAGCATCTGATTCTAGCAGCTCCGCCAGTGCTTCAGTATGGAATTTATTATCACACAAGTACAATGACGTATTAATGGGCTTGAATGGCTCAAAGGAAAAGTTAACCTTTTTCTCCTTGCCTTCGGCCGTCAGTACCGTTCCACAGTATACAACAAGACCATTGTCAGGTACTCGTGAATATAGCTTCAGGCGCTGCTGCGTCGACGTGATAGCTGCCAACACCGACAAACGATTCACACGTGATTTGATGTTGCTTGCTGTGCCGTATTCCTGCGTAAGCATGTTTGTTGCCTGCGAAAGCTGCGATTTGGGCGGTAGAATCAAACTAATCATAGATGTACCGGCGCCACGCGCATTTTCAAGGCTCTTGATGAGTTTCTTCACCTTCCAGATCTATTCAGTTGGTCAGTAAATTCTGTGAGAGAGAAAGAGTTTGTGAGGAGAGGAATAGGGGAAGTAACGCACCTGGATATTTTGGTCAGTCTCGCTCATAGGTTGTGACATGTTGTCTCAATTCGACACCTATGCTCCGTTTGTGCTACTTTGGGTGCACCAACAACGGTAGTAGAGAAGCTTTGTGCTGACGACGTTCGAACTGCCCGGTTGGAGGATGACAAATTTTCAAGCCTGCACCCTCTGCCCTCCAGAGCTGTTCTTTTTTTTTACGGCACTACAAGGCTTGTTTCCCTGGCTCTAAGTGTGTAGCTGTCGATGAAAAATAAAGTACTGGAATTTGCAGAAATACCCAGATACCTTCGATCATATGTCGGTCAAGCCTTCTCTTTTCCTCTGTGAGCCACAAGCCATGTTTGCTTCGTCGGTTCTGCGTGCTCCGCGCATTCCTCGCAGTGCTCTATCGACACAGCCCCGACTGGGTGGAGCAGCTAGAACTTTCGCCATTCCTTGCCGCAAGGTGGTGGTCGAATACTGCGAAAAAAGTGTCGCAAGCAAGGGCACACGCGATTACCTCTTGCAACAAGCTGTGTCGATTGCGCGTGCTTATCCGTCTGTAGAATTCGTGGTTATTCCACGCCCACAAAAATCTCCTGTCTTGCGTGGATTTTACCGTAAGTAACTATGAGAACTCACACGGCAGTGAACGGACGCACCAAAGTCATTTCTACTCATAACCTAGCAGCGACACAAGTGGGGCCTAAAATGCAACTGATTTTGGATGCTAGCGGCGCAAAAACACATCATCTCAAGCGTACGCCTGTGGCCAGCTCGAATGAGTCAGCTCGTGGTGTTTGGAGCCCGATGCACGACAACTTGCCTAAATTGTAAGAGCAAGTCACTGCACCTTCAGTCAAGCATTAGTGAGGCATGTTCATGGTCGCTATACGGCTACGGTCATTAGGAAACGATTCACGCTTATATTACGTTTGTGTTTCACTTTTGAAGCCGGTCGAATGCCGCGCTTCATACTTGCCCCCCCCCCTCCCCGATCTAATCTACCGCGACATCCTTCCCGCCTCCTTTCTCTCTATTTTTTCATGTATACCAGTGTCATAGTTAGAGAATTCACAACCCGCTGACATGGCATCCCAGCCATCAGAGCGACCGTTCCATCATCAGGTCATCATGTGGGGCTACATGCTACATTCGGCCGAAAAGTAGCATCCATCCAAGCGCGTTCGCAGGTGTGACCAGACTGTAGGCAGGGACAGTGACAATCGAAGCTGACACACAGTCCACTTACATACACACACCTCGTATCATACGTCGTAAAGCCGATTGCGCCCGCGCAGGCCCTGTCAGCCGTCCTTCGTTCATCAAAGGTGGACGTTGCGCTGTCCCCTGCATTGAAACGCCATGGATAGCTTGTTTGGGCGGAAACGCTGGGGGCGCCAGAATGAGGATCGATCGGCAGCTCGTCGCACGGTCGATCTGTCAGACGAGGCGCCTGGAGCTTTCGCCATGAGCGCTCCTACTATAACTCCTGTGCGCTCAGGCAGTATCAGCTCGGGGCACTCTCGCGTTTCAACGGATACGCAGCGCCGTGGCACTGGTGCAGCTTCTCCAGCGCCCACGCTGCAAGTGCCAATTGTTCGCCATCCGATGGACCCTGATATTAGTGCTTTGCGCCAATCTCTCCTGAGTCGTATGCATGAGCTCCGAACAAATCGGCCGCTTGATGCAGAAGTCGAGCTCATGTTTGCTGACCTCATGAACCGCCGGGATCTGCTGGGCGGACCTGGCGCTCCGCCGCATGAGGCGCTCAACAATATGTTCGAATTTACTATGGAAAAGAAGTGGAAGCTTGTTTACAATGATTTACTCACGATGCAGGGGTCTGCGCTCGAGAGACCGCGTCGATTCGTCACGAATAACGTGTCCTCGGCGTCGTCCAGCACGCCGATGGTTCTTGTGCGCAATTCGCCGGAATGGTTTATCAAAAAATTTATGGACAACTCCGTCACAACCAAGCACATCGAGTCACTCGCCGTTACACTGCGGACGTGTGCTATTGGGTGGCTTCAGAGCTTTGTGGAAGCCAAAGGCACACATGTCCTTTCGAGCTACTTGCTTGCCCTACAGACGCGTGGCACGTTGAACGAGCAAGACTTGAGCCAGGAGTACGAAGTGCTCAAGGCGTTCCGCTCGCTCTTCAACAGCAAGCCAGGCGCGCATGATGCCCTTCAACACCCAAAGTGTATCTGTGGCATTGCCCGTTCGCTCGTGTCACACCAGTTGTCGACGCGAAAGCAGGCATCGGATATTTTGTTGTTTCTGTGTCATTGGGAAAAACCTCGTGGACACAGCCTCGTGTTGCAAGGGATCGATGAGCTACGAGTTGCGTTTGATCGACATGGCCGTTTCGACGCCTGGTTCTCGGCGCTGGAAGCGGCGATTGACGGACGTGGTCGTATGGGCAGCCTTGTGGGTGCAAGCGATGAGGTGCGTCGACTTCAGCTCAGTGCCATGCCTGAAGCTGGTTTGCCGGAGTATGTGGTCAACAATATGTTCTTAGTGAATGCGCTGGTCAACAGCGATATTGTCGACTCGCTCCAGGCACGTGTGCATCTTCGCAGCCAGATGACAGCGAGTGGTCTGCCGCGGATCATGGCAAAAATGCGTGAGCTCTCGACGCCGGATCTTGATGTCCAAATGTCTGTTTACGAGAAAAATGCTGCAGCGGACCAGGAAGAGATGATGGAATCGTTTCATCAGAGCACCGTTAAGGACCTGAACGATCCTCAAGACGTATTTCGGCTAGTCATGGACCGCGTGCAAGACTCACGCGCTAAAGATTTTTTCATGAGCGCATTACAACATCTCTTGTTTATCCAGCGGGATGGCGCTGATTTGGTGCATTTCTACCAGCTCATTGACTCCATGATTTCCACTGTCGTCATGGACCGTGATGGTGCCGCGACGAATGCCGACTTGGAGTCGCTTATGGGCACCTCGCTCAACAATGTGTTGGACCGCTTTGCCGACCAGGATTTGCTCGAACGTCTGCAGCACGAGCTGAAAGATGCCCATGCTTTCTTGCGATCGCGCGATGCTGAAATCACACAGCTCAAAGCCCAGATTCACGAGTCAGCAGGTGGCTTGGTTGGGCATTTGCAGACGCAGATCCGCGAACTTCAGCATGACTTGGACCTATCGCGTGAAAATACAATGTCCATGCAGCAAGATATGGATGAGATGGAGCGCTCTTATGTTGACCGGATCTTAGGCTTGGAGCTCGAACTGCGTGAGTCGACGTCATTACTACGTCAGGCTCAAGATACCAAGCAGAACGACCCATCATTTTCACATTTTAATCGCCAAGTGCTTCGCGACTCGCTGGAACGACAAGTGGAACGGAGTCGAACCATTCGTAAGCTTGTTTCGAACTCTTCCACAGATTCGTTTGTCCCTCTTGACACAGCGGCTCCCAACTCGCCGAACGTCGTACTTCCGTCTCCCCGCGTCCCTCCTCGCTCACTCAGTCGCAATCAGCACGCAGATCAGTCGCCCAACACAACAGATGTGTCCGACCGTATCGGGCGTGCTGCCATGAGGACTGACACGCCAACATCTCTCTCACCAGGCACTGACAGTGTTGACGCGTTCCCAAGCTCGAACTCGTCTCTGGACGAATCAAACGAGTGGGGCATGCAGGCAATTCTCGCTACACGCATGGCACGCAATTCTGATATGCAAGAGCGGATGCGG